GATATGATTGTGTATATAGCTGGAGTGTGTGGGCAGAGGCCATGCCTAATTTGTGTGGACATCTAAGCACCCTAATAAAACAAGGCTGGTAGATAAAGAATAGTAATATACCTTGAAATCATCAGCCTACAACACTACAGATCCCCCTATGTGCACATAAACAACAGCCATATATCTTATCTATAGCTGACAAATGCCAATAACATGTATACCTTTTACTATATTTCTTGACATACAGCCTATAATTATCAACAAGAAGATCTTTATCTATTATATAATATACAATAAACAAAGAGGTAAAAGGAAGAAGTTGTATTAATTAAAAGGGAGATAAAGGCATGTTTATAGTATACTGACCATTGTGTAAATATGGATACATACAGATATTTACTTAGATAGGTTGTTAAAGAATGATTGTTAAAGAAGAAAGTTTTACCTACTACTAGCACCATGCTTTAGATTAGGTAAAAATGAATGTGAAAAAGGATATGTTATGTTATCTTTATATGAGGTGGCATCTACCATTGTTATAGTTGGATAGGGTAATTACTAGATATTGTGGATGTACAACATATATAATAGAATCAAAACAGACAACAAGTATAAGTAGCAATTGAACTAAGAATGAACCAAGAGTCATAGTAAGACTAGGCGATGCCTAAAGGGCCATGTACAAGTGTGCTATCTATTTTTATACAATCTTTTATGTTTAATATAAGGCCACATGCACAATAAGTATATATGAAATATTTCTTGGTCTACCATAACTATATAATATGTTCTTTTATAATATCATAAAATTATTAAGAGAGAGATAGTTATCAAAAATAATGTCTTTCTAGATTATCTCTATGACATATAGATGTATGTTATAGAATATGGAGTCAATATTGGCTATGCTAGAGTATTAAAACTAGATTTCAATTGAAAAAATTATATAAAAAAAAAACTCAAAAAAAAAGTCTTGGGGCTATTATTGATTCTCACATATATATTGACCAGCAGCACAACATCCCTCTTCATGATTAGGTCCAGAGTATAAATGTCTAACTAGAGATCATTGATTAGCATTTGTGCTCAATATTCAATAAGTCAAAATAATCAAAGAAAAACTTACATGTATATACCAGAGGGTAGGTTGTATTGGCTTTGTTAGACTTGCTATAAGAGACTTATGCACTACTTAGAAGAGGTCAGTTTTAATATGTGAGACTGGCCACATGACCCAGGTCTTTAATATATATATGAAATCTAATAGTATTATATGGTGTATAAGGACACCTAGCCTAGGCTAGGTATAATTGGTCAGCTAGTTGATGGTAATAGTCATGGTAAACCTACTAGAACTATAGTTGACAAGTGGCCTATAATGGTGCAATAAGTGTTGACAATAAGGAAAGCAGATCTGCCTAGTGTCTTGTAAAAATACACTTTATTTCTGTTTGTAAGGATAGTGCTTATTGAAAGACTGTGCTAAGCCTAGGACTAGCTCAGGTACCTTGCCTAGCATCTTATAGCATAATGTAAACTATGAAGTTAGCAGCAATGGTCCAAAAAACAATACTAACCTCTTATTAATAGGAACAAGGCTATTAAAAAGTATAACTAAAGTGTAGCATGTGTCTCTATATACCTTTGTAGGTTCTTATATAGAAATCTGCCATAATGCTGATCCATGCCATTTCAAAAAGTATAGATCTTATACAGCCTTATGTATTTTGATATTATCTAGATAGTATCAATTTCTTGGATAAGGTATATTACCTTATCTAATATTAAGGTATAATTACAGCTCAAATTAGCCAATATATGCTAAATATTATGAGGACATGAATTATAAGCAAACCACCTTATTGTTGGATCAACATAGTTGAATATACCTAATATTTGTAACTCAGCAGACAAATATACATATCTACTATGATAGAGAATGCCTGGTCTATTTCCTGGTTCAACTTTAACTCAGGAATGTGCATGGGATCTATGAGCAAAGATATGATGCTACTCTTAGTCCTGAGTAATAACATAGTAGGAGAAGAAGTCTGTAGGTTTGGTAGTCAATGAATTCACTATAGAGAGTAAGGGTGTGAAAGAGAATGTGCCTAGGTTGTTTAATGGGCAATAAGGACCTAGCATAAGGTTTTATTTTCTACATCTGTTCTTATTCTATGCTTATTCCCTACAAAATGAATATAGAAGGATACTAGCCAGCATGACCTTACTAGGATATATACTGGTACACCTGGTAACTATTTGTCATGAGTTTTACTTTAAGCAAAAGAAGAAACTTTTCAGCAGCAGCTTACAGCTATCTTAGTAGAATTCATAACTTCTTTTCCTTATTTTTGTGCCTCACTTTTATATAGACAGCTTTACTCCTTCCTACCTTAATTAGTATAGAGGTGTGAGTCCTACTAGAGTCTAGACGAAGATACACAAAGTAAAGTAAATAAGTGTGATAAATCAAAATTAGTCTACATTTGCATATTTTGGTAATATTGTCAATACTATCCATTCCAAAATTGATACTATACTAAGAAGAAATATAGTAATGAGGCAACAAGTATGATGAAAGCATAGAATAGATAAGTAATGTGTAGGCTAAAAAAAATGGTCATAATTTAGTATTATGCTATAGCCAAGGAACATAATAGTAATAAATAGAATATAGTTGTTATTATAGTAGTTTCTTGAATATACCAAAGAAGTTGACCAGACTTTGATGGAAGGCAATGGGTTATTTATATTAGAGAAAGCACTTGCTAGAAAATAGGTATCATTTTTAAGAAGAGTGGCATTACCATAGTATAAGCTTATTATATATTGTAGAGTATTTATAACACATACCATAGTAGTTTGAATAGTGCAAAAATTTGCTATTGATAATTAGGATAATTAAATAAATTATAACAAAATACTTACTATCACTGCAATAGGACAACTTTCCTATATAGTTGATATAGATTGAGGCCATTTAGAAGATTCCATACTAAAAGCTCTTGCTATATCAGAGACCATACTATGTTTCCTCTATAGGCCATTATGTATTAAGTACTTAAGATTAGAATAATATCCATATTCATATCCTTATATTTAGCATAATTATCCATAGTTATTTCTATTGATTGATATTGTATACAATTTCATTGTGGAAATGTAGTAAAGAGGTGAACAAATATATAATAGGTTTTAGATATTAAGATAAAGATGAGTAAAAGATCTTAATTAGATTACCAGAACTAGAACCAGTCTAAGTTATACATGTATACTTAATTTTAGTCATATTTAAGATCTCAGAGTATTCTAAGAACTAATTCTCAGAAATAATATATAAGCTAGTTGACCAAAAGGTCAAGCTAATGACTAGGACTTTTCTAGAATTTGCCAGAGTTATGAGGTGATTTTTAGAGGACCTGTTGCTTAGTCTGCCAATATTAACTACAAATCCTCTAGAGTTTAAGCTAATAAGAAAGGATTGTAAAGAAGAGAATAAAGATATTGCTGGTTAATAAAAAAGGATAGCTATAGTCAGAGGAAATCAAGTTATTTCATTATATTTTAGTTTTAAATCAAGATATGTAATAATATTCTTAACCTCTCTAAGAGCACTTAGATTGACTTTAATGCCAAAAGGATTTACTAATTAGGTTGTGGAATTCTAAAATAGCATGGTTTTTATTTTATAGGACAAAATCTCTAATAAAGCCAATATTTTCATCAATAATTTAGAAATTGTAGGGCTGGAAACCACCTCTTCTAATAAAAACAGTAAATCAAACATCTAGAAAAACTTCTTCTCTTTAAAAGATCTAGCAATTTAAAATATTAATCAGATATAGGGAAAACAAAGTGTACTGTCAAAAGACAGTACTAGACAAAGGATTGTATAGTAGGAAGACTGCACAATATAAAGAGAATAGACTAAAAAATATTAGCCTATTCTATGGGCCTTTTATACTACTTTAGAAAAGGGTGTGAGAATCTTGTATATATATCTGTAGGTATTTTCTAAGTCGTTTCTTTCTTTAAATGACTACTCTTGCTTTTCTGCTTGTCTTCTTCTAACTAAGAGGACAAAAAGCTCCATGCCCATGTGTGAGTAGTTTATAAGGTGAAAAAGGATGCCTGCCATAACAGGCTCGTAATACTCACCTAGCGATAGATGATCAGCTAGGAGTAGATGGCCAAAGATACTATCTGTACCTTTATGTATGCCTCAGGATGTAAGGCCACCTGGTAGTTGTGATAATTGTATTAGACAGACTGCTGTGAAGGCCCAATAAGTTGTGATCATAACAATATTCTTTTTCTATATTCTATTTGCCTAGTAGGACAATGCCTTGCATTTCATCACCATTCCATATACAATTTGCTTTCTTGACCCAACGATGTATTGACCAGATGCGCCTTCTAAGATATGACTGCATTTTCAGAGAAGAAGACCGACTTACATTGTTTGATCCTTTAGGGGAGTTTTCCATCTCTGTTAAGCTATTTGTTTGTCAACTGTTAGGGCATTCCAAACCCTTATCTATAGGATGTTCTTCCTTCATCCATCAATTTGTTTTGCCATAGGTTAGAATGGCATCAAGAAAGGTGTATGAATGTGAATGGTGGATGGATGAGTAGAAACTCAAGTAGGTTGATCACTTTACAAAGGCTTAGGCCTACTTTTCCAGACTACTAGCATGTCGTTCCAAGCAGTATTGCTCCTATATGGTAAGCTCTGGTTGAGGTCCTAGCCAATTCCAAGCAGTATTACTCCCATACAATGAGCTCATCTTCAGTGAGGTAGTACTGACATCTAGAGTTTGTTTGTCACAAACATGGGCTTATGGCAGGGAATACCACATATAGTATTGGGTTTAAGGCAAGAATGTAAAGAGAATCAAACTAGATGGGCACAGTAGAGAGACAGGAGGATTCTGACTCCTTCTCCAAAACTGCCTATTTGCATGCATGAATAGATGTCAAGACTACAGCTAATGTATTTGTTGGGTTCATGAGATATATCCACGATAGTAGTTTAAACATTGTGTTGAGCGCAGTGACAAAGAAGCGACTGGCACGGAGAGAGTGCCAAAAAGAAGCTCTATAACGACAGGACTGTGGTCCAGAGGGTAAGAGTCTTTATAGATACAGAGAACAGAGGGGAGCGCACCTGTGGTCCAGAGGGTAAGAGTCTGAGGAAAGAATCGCCCTCGGACCACGGGTATTTAAGCTACACAGAACAATAAGAAACGAAATAGGAAGGTATGACATCAACGGGTCATTACATGTGAAACATCTTACAAAGCGGTCAAAAGCTCCACCTGGAGCTCGGTCCGGAGTGTCAATGACATCACACCGGACCGCCTCAGCCGGCTAACCCGGTGAAACAACTGAAACAAGGTGAGACAAGGTGAAAACAAGGTGAGACAGTCCAAATAGAGAAAGAAAGCAATATACCCGCTCTGGGAACGGCTGTAGGGCCGCTCCCGGTTGTAGAGGCGAGTAATCAATGAGTCCCAAAGGGGGCACCCATGTGGCATCCATGCCACATCAACCAGAACGGCCAAAAACAACACACCCTCCTGATTGCACACCTCTACAGCGTCCAAAACACCCTCCTAATGCGGCAGATCCTCTAGTCCCATCAGGCCGCAGCAAATCTTCACCTTCTCAGGTGGAACAGCCTTCGTCAGGATGTCTGCAGCGTTGTCCGCAGTAGGAACGTAGGCTGGCGCGATCACACCAGCCTCTACCTGGTCCCTGAGCCAAAAGAATCGAAGATCGAGATGCTTCATGCGCCCATGGTGCTCTGGATTCTTGCTAACTGCAACAGCCGACTGGTTATCGACACGGAGAATTGATGCCTCAGACAGGGAGTAGCCAAGTTCAGTCAGCAAATTGCGCATCCAGACGATCTCCCGGCCCGCATCAACGGCAGCAATGAATTCCGCCTCTGTGGTCGACTGTGCAACCAGTCCCTGAAGCTTGGAGCTCCAGCTGATCGCTCCAGAGCCAATGCGCTGTTGTTTTTGGCCGTTCTGGTTGATGTGGCATGGATGCCACATGGGTGCCCCCTTTGGGACTCATTGATTACTCGCCTCTACAGCCGGGAGCGGCCCTACAGCCGCTCCCAGAGCGGGTATATTGCTTTCTTTCTCTACTTGGACTGTCTCACCTTGTTTTCACCTTGTCTCACCTTGTTTCAGTTGTTTCACCGGGTTAGCCGGCTGAGGCGGTCCGGTGTGATGTCATTGACACTCCGGACCGAGCTCCAGGTGGAGCTTTTGACCACTTTGTAAGATGGTTCACATGTAATGACCCGTTGATGTCATACCTTCCTATTTCGTTTCTTATTGTTCTGTGTAGCTTAAATACCCGTGGTCCGAGGGCGATTCTTTCCTCAGACTCTTACCCTCTGGACCACAGGTGCGCTCCCCTCTGTTCTCTGTATCTATAAAGACTCTTACCCTCTGGACCACAGTCCTGTCGTTATAGAGCTTCTTTTTGGCACTCTCTCCGTGCTAGTCGCTTCGTTGTCACTGCGCTCAACAGGTTATGGGCCCTGCGCTCTAGCGACTTTGCTCTACATCGTTTTATCCACACTTTCTGGTCTCCCATCTGCTGTGCCACTCCTTTCTGGCCACACCCCATTGCTGCCACATCTTCCCCATTGCTTTCCCTGCCTTTCCCATCGTCACACATCGCTTCCAACACCTTTCCCTCCTTGTGCCACTCGTGCCACACCATGTCTGACCCCTCATTCGCTCTCCCTTCTGTCTCCCCTCTCAATAATCGCAACTATCCTTCCTGGTCCAAGGAGATCAAGGCCTGGCTTCGTCTCAAAGGCCTGTGGCTTCTAGTCTCTGGTGATGAGACAGCCCCTGTTGGCACAAAGGAGAAGCCTGCTGACCCAAGAGAGGTGGCAGAGTGGAAGAGGAATGCTCAGAAGGCTGCTGGTGCGCTCTTACTTTCAGTTGAGGAGCAGTTCAGAGGTGTCTTGGATGGCATTGAGGACGACCCCATTGCCATTTGGACCAAACTAGAGGAGCAGTTCAATAAGAAGTCTGCTGGATCGCGTTTCAACGCGATGGAGGACCTCTTTTCGATCAAGAAGCACAACGATGAGTCCCTCCAGTCCCTCATTCATCGTGTCGACGAGTCTATGCGCGTCTTGAAGAACCTCCGCGACTCTGGCTTCGATCTCAAGAAGCAGGACGAGGAGCTCACTTGCATGGCCCTCTTGTGGTCTCTTCCCTCCGAGTTTGACACCTTCCGCTCCTCCCTTAGTCTCATGGACGTCTTGTCTCGCTCCAAGCTCGAGGACGCGTTCAGGCGCGAGGATTTGAATCGTGCGCGTCGTTCTGATCCCACAGACTCTGCACAGGCCCTTGTGGCATCCTTTCCTTCGTCCTCCACCTCTTCCTCCACCTCCTACAGACGTTCTAGGCCACCCAGAAAGCAGTACAAGTGCGACTTCTGTGGTGCCACTGGCCATACTGATGACAGGTGCTTCAAGAGGATCAATGAGGAGCTGAAGAAGTCCAAGCCACAGCAGGCCCACTCGGTTCAGGCCCCTGAAGCCTCTGGTCCCATGCAGTTTGCAGGCAATGCAAGTTTTCGTTCCCCTGCTCCATCTCCTTCATCCACAGCCCCCTCACTCGTCACTGACCTCGATTGGAATGCGGACACAGGTGCGACCTCTCATATGACGCCCCATCGCCACTGGCTTCGCAACTATCGTCCCTTTGTTGTCCCCATTCGTCTTGCAGACTCGTCTGTCATCTATTCTGCTGGTGTTGGGACTGTGGTGTTCAATCCGATTGTTGGAGGCAAGAGGGCGCAGTCTGTGGAGTTCTCAAACGTCCTGCATGTCCCTGATCTCGGTTGTAATCTCCTGTCTGTGCTGTATTTGACTCAGCACAAGCACTTCTCTGTGCTAATAGAAGGATCTTCGATGCATTTCTCCCGGGACGGTGCAGTGTGGTTCATGGCAATCGTTCCTGATGGTTCCAACAACGCCTATCTTCAAGGGACCACATCCATCGTTGTTTTGCAATCTGCTGGTGCCGCTTCTACTCTCCCTCTTGACTTGTCCCTGTGGCATCGTCGTCTCTGCCACCACCACCATGCTGGAGTGCAGAAGATGGTGAAGGAACGACTCGTTACTGGCCTACAGCTCGATTCGGACGTGCAGCCTGACCCTGTGTGCGAGCCCTGTCTCTCTGGCAAGATGCACGCTCACCCCTTCCCCTCCACTGGCTCTGTGACCTCCAAACCGCTTGAACTCGTCCACTCTGATCTCCATGGTCCTCTCCCTGTTGCCACTCACTCTGGAATGCGCTACTGGATCACCTTCATTGATGAGTTCACCAAGCTCAAGGTGGTCTATGTCCTGCGCTTGAAGAGCGACGCGTTTGAGGCTTTCAAGCGCTACAAGGCCTATGTGGAGAACCTGACTGGACAGCGCATTTTGGCTCTGTAGGATGACAAGGGAGGAGAGTACATGTCCAATGCCTGGGACTCGTTTTGTTTGGAGCATGGGATCGCTAGGAGGCACACGGCGCGCAATCGGACACAACAGAACGGCGTGGCAGAGCGTGCCAATCGCACTATCATGGAGGCCCTCACTGCCATGCTCTCTGAATCGCATTTGCCGCTTGTTTTCTGGGGTGAGGCTCTGGCCGCTTATGTGCACGTCTGGAATCGACTCTGGACGTCTACCCTGAAGGGCAAGACACCATTTGAGATGGTCCATGGGAAGAAGCCGAACGTTTCGCACTTGGGGGTCTGGGGCTGCTTGGCTTATGTGCATGTGCAGAGGGACAAAAGGGATGGATTTGGATTGCATATGGAGAAGTGCGTGTTTATTGGGTATCCTGAGGGCTACAAGGTGTGGAAGTTCTACAATCCTGTGACTCGGAAGGTCATCATTTCGGAAAGGGCAGACTTTGATGAGCGATTCTTTCCTGGCACTCGCCACTTTGATGCTAACACCCAGTCTGCCACCCCTCCTTCGTCTCTGTTCAGTCTTTGGGATGCAGATGTCGATCCGGTGCCGGTTCTGGGGGGGGGAAGCAGATGCTCCTCCTCATGCTGGTCACCTGGAAGATGCTCCCATCGATCAGGATCATCCTGTGGCAGACCCAGCACCTCCTTCACCTCTTGCTCCTGTCATTGTCCCTCCTGATGCTCCCCCTCCTGTCATTCCAGCGCCACCTCCTGCTCTCAGAACGCGCTCCAGGAATCGCTCTGCTACCCCTGAACCAGGCCCATCTGTTACTCGACGCTCCACTCGTACTCGTCGCGCTCCTGGGGAATGGTGGAAGGTTAGGACACTGTCTGCAGACAATGATGCTCATTCGGACACTGCTGAGGACGCCCCTGATGCTTCTGGAGAGGCAGAGATGGAACCCATTGTTGAGGACACATTTCTGGCTGAAGTCGAGCGTGCCCTATTCACCTCTGGTGCTGAAAAGGCTGAGCCCTCGATGTATCGTCAGGCAATGAAGCGCCCTGATGCAGATGAGTGGCAGAAGGCGGCAGAGGAAGAGATGGAGGCTCATGCTCGGAATCGCACCTGGGACATTGTTCCACTGCCTGAGGGCTCCAAGGCAATTGGTTCTCGTTGGGTTTTCAAGGTGAAGCACAACACGGATGGCTCTGTCAAGCGCTACAAGGCTCGTCTTGTCGCCAAGGGCTTCAGTCAGCGCCCTGGGTTTGATGACTTCGAGACATTCGCCCCCACAGCCAAGTTTGCAGCCATTCGCGCCATCCTTGCTCTCTCTGCCCTCGAGGACTTTCACCTGCGCTCTGTCGACATCTCCCATGCGTTCATCAATGGCGATCTGGACACTGTGGTCTACATGGAGCAGCCTGAAGGATTTGAGCAGGGAGGTCCTGAGATGGTCTGTCGCTTGATGAAGGGCTTGTATGGGTTGAAGCAGGCGAGTCAGCTGTGGTACAAGAAGCTCAAGGCGGTACTGGAGCGGATGGGATTCAAGGCGATCTACTCTGACAACAGCATCTATGTCTATGCGAAGGATCAGGTCAAGGTCATTCTGCCTGTCTTTGTGGATGACTGCACTTTTGCATCAAATTCCTTGTCCCTGCTCGATGATCTTGTCGTTGAGGTCTCCAGGTCGTTCAAGCTTCGCGATTTGGGGCCCACCACCGCTCTTCTTGGTATAGAGATTGCGAGGGATCGCCCCAATCGTCGCCTGATGCTCTCCCAGCGCCAATACATCCAGACATGCTGGAGCGTTACGGACAGGCCGACTCGACCCCTGTGAAGACTCCCATGGTCCCTGGCACCAATCTCTCTGTCTCCATGGCTCCTGCATCGACTGAGGACAAGGAGTACATGAAGAAGGTTCCCTACATCTCTGCTGTCGGTTCCCTGCTATTCCTTGCACTCGCCACTCGTCCTAACATCGCCCACACGGTCTCTGTCCTATGCCGTTTCAACTCGAATCCTGGGATTGCGCACTGGAAGGCTGTGAAGCATTTGTTTCGCTATCTGAGAGGCACCCTGGATTATCGACTCGTCTATGGTCCCACCAACTCCAAGGAGCTCTTTACCTCGTTCTGTGATGCTGATCATGCAGGCAACCCGGACAACGGACGGTCCACGAGTGGATATGTGTTGCGCATTGGCTCTGGAGCGATCAGCTGGAGCTCCAAGCTTCAGGGACTTGTTGCACAGTCGACCACAGAGGCAGAATTCATTGCTGCTGTCGATGCGGGCCGGGAGATCGTCTGGATGCGCAATTTGCTGACTGAGCTTGGCTACTCCCTGCCTGAGCCATCGATTCTCCGTGTCGATAACCAGTCGGCTGTTGCAGTTAGCAAGAATCCAGAGCACCATGGGCGGATGAAGCATCTCGATCTTCGTTTCTTTTGGCTCAGGGACCAGGTAGAGGCTGGTGTGATTGTGCTGGCCTACGTTCCTACTGTGGACAACGCTGCGGACATCCTGACGAAGGCTGTTCCACCTGAGAAGGTGAAGATTTGCTGCAGTTTGATGGGACTAGAGGATCTGCCGCATTAGGAGGGTGTTTTGGATGCTGTAGAGGCGTGCAATCAGGAGGGTGTGCTGTTTGTGGCCGTTCTGGTTGGTATAGCATCCATGCCACATGGGTGCCACCTTTGGGACTCATTGATTACTTGCCTCTACAGCTGGGAGCGGCCCTACAGCCGTTCCCAGAGCAGGTATATTGCTTTCTTTCTCCATTTGGACTGTCTCACTTTGTTTTTACCTTGTTTCACCTTCTTTCAGTTGTTTCACCGGGTTAGCCGGCTGAGGCGGTCCTGTGTGATGTCATTGACACTCCGGACTGAGCTCCAGGTGGAGCTTTTGACCGCTTTGTAAGATGTTTTACATGTAATGATCCGTTGATGTCATACCTTCCTATTTCGTTTCTTATTGTTCTGTGTAGCTTAAATACCCGTGGTCCGAGGGCGATTCTTTCCTCAGACTCTTACCCTTTGGACCACAGGTGCGCTCCCTTCTGTTCTTTGTATCTACTTAGACTCTTACCCTCTGGACCACAGTCCTATCGTTATAGAGCTTCTTTTTGGCACTCTCTCTGTGCTAGTCGCTTCGTTGTCACTGCGCTCAACATTCATCTTCCTAATTAGCAGCAGGTCTATTTTGACTCTGATGATAATCTTGAAGAACTTCTCAATAGCAACAAGTCCCAAAAGACAAAGTTGACTGAATGGGTTCATTGCCAACCAAAAGGATCCTACTGCCTATGCTTACACTTATCAAAAGAATAGAGTATGGACACCACATATTCAACACTCAACTATTGGCAGAATGTACTATGTTCATCCCTCAGCAGGAAAGCACTTTTATCTCAGGACCTTGCTTACTATTATTAAGGATGCCAAGGACTGGAAGGACATTTGCACTTATCAAGGCATTGAGCATCCAACCTTTCATGAGGCCTGCTTTGCATATGGCCTTCTGGAGGATGATGGAGAATGTGATATGGCCTTGGCTGAAGCAGCAGACATGTAGACTGGAACTCAACTTAAATCCCCCTTGCCACCATCCTTTGCTTCTGCATTCCTTCACAACCTTTTATTCTTTAGAACCACTACAAGGACAAAATCTGTGATGACCTGCATTGTGCGTCTTACTGCCATGGGCTTTTCTGATCCTACTTAGAGGATGTCTTTGATTATGGCCTCTATCTGCTAGACAAAGTTCTTACTGGAATGGGAAAGCACCTCATTGACTATCCTTCTATGCCTTTGCCTCTGCAAGATTGGAACCAAGCTGCAAATGTGCTTCTTCAGGATGAGCTCAACCATGATTATGTGGCTCTTTGGGAATAGGTCAGTTACTACGCATTCTTCAAAGTTGACCTTGAGCTGACCTTGCACATTAGGTGGAGACCAATCTATTGACCTTCAATGCTAAGCAGAGAAATACCTATGATGCTATCATGCAGTCAGTCTAGTCCAACCAATGCTAAGTCTTCTTTTTGCACAGTGCTGGAGGTGGTGGAAAGACCTATGTCTGCAATATCATTGCTGCCTCTGTCTGCTCTTAAGGCAAGGCTGCTCTTTGTGTTGCTTCTTCTGGATAGTGGTTGCACTGCTCACTCTTATTTCAAAATCCCCATTGAGGGTCTTAATGAGCACTCTTCTTGCTCTTGGGAGGAAAACTCTGACTTTGATGGTCTTATTCGTCAGACTGGGGTGGTCATTTGGGATGAGGCACCAATGCAGCATCACTATGGAAATGAAGCTGTTGATTGCACTTTTCAGGATCTCATGGACAACCCTGCTCCTTTTGGTGGGTTCACTGTGTTATTTGTTGGAGACTTTTGTCAGACCTTGCCTGTGGTTCCCAAAAAAAGCAGAGAGCAGATTGTGGCTATATCTTTACACAAGTCCTCACTCTGGAATCATATCTAACTTCTCACTCTCAAAAAGAATATGCACCTAGACCAGACTCCTGAAAGCAATGCCTTTGCTTAATGGCTCCTCAATGTTGGTTCTGGCCATAACCTTGGTAAAAACAAGTCTATTGAACTTCCTCCCAATATGTGTCTTGATAACAATACTAAGAAGTCCTTGATTGACTTGATCTATCCTGATATCTCTGATCAGTATCCCAAACCAGACCACTTCTTCCTTAATTATATGATTCCTTTTGGGCGCAATGACACTCTTGCTGAGATCAATAAGGAGATTCTGGCCAAGTTTCTTGGAGAAGACAAGCTCCTGGCTAGCATTGACTCTGTCAAGGACATAAAGGGTTAAGTGGCATTTCTCTCTAGCTTGTTCACCCTAGCAGAATAGAATTATAACATCTATGATTGCAAAATATTGGGTATTGTAAAAGCTTTGGAACACTGGAACCACTACCTTAAAGGAGTGGAACATTCCTTTGAGAATTGGACAGACCATAAAAATCTGGAACATTTCCAAATGGCCTGTAATCTATCATGAAAATATGCCTATTGAAGCCTTTATTTGAGTAGATTTGACTTCACACTCAGCTACAAAGCAGGATTAACCAATCACTCAGATGCTCTATCCAGGCATCCAGATCTAAGTGAGGGGGTGGAATTTGACAATAAAGCTCAAATCCTACTTCCAGCCAAACTTTTTAACAAGTCAAGTAAAACTGAGGCAAAACCAAACCAAAAAATGCATGTAAAATCCATGGAAATTATATCCTTGGACTTCATCTCCCTCATTCAACACTTGTGTTCAGAACATAATACCCTAATGGACATGGGCCTCACAAAATTACTGCAAAAAGGCCTATGAGCAATAAAGGGAGACCTAGGAAAATGAACATACAAAGGCAAAATTACCAGGCAAAATGGCTATATATGTGTTCCCAAAAATAACTTCATTTGAAGGCTTATTGTTAAAACATACTATGACACACTAGCCATTAGATACCTAGGCAGAGCTAAAACCTTAGAATTGGTATAGTGACACTATTAGTAGCAGAACATGACTAAATTGATCCACAAATATGCGGATGGATGTGCCATATGACAGTCTACCAAAAATCTGACATATTGGACATGACCACCTATCCACCCCCTAGAAACCACCAATGTTCCATGGCAATTGATCTTGACAGACTTTGTCACCAACCTGTCTAAAAGCAAAGGTTTCGACTTAATCAATATGATAGTGGATAAAGGACTTGTCAAAAGGCATAGTCATCTGCCATGTAAGAAAACCATCACAGCAGAAGAAACAACCATACTCTTTCAAAATAACATTTTCAATTGACATGGTTTACTAACCAAGATAGTGTCCAACATGGCCCCCAATTTATGGCAAAATTCACATGAGAACTATGGAAGCGGCTAGGCATCACCACTGCTTTCAGCATGGCATACTATTCCCAAACAGATGGGGAAATAAAATGAGTTAACCAGGAGATTGAACAGTTCCTAAGAATGTTCTGCAACTACCACCAGGACAATTGGGTAGACCTTCGACCATTCACCAAATTCTCACACAATGCATAGAAACACTCTGCCACTAGGAAATCACCATTTGAAGTACTCTACCATTTCAACTTCCCTTATTCAGTAGATATGGCTCTGGAGACAAAGGTACCTGCAGTAGCTGAATGCATATAGATAATTACAGAAGTCTAGGAAGATGCCACAGCTAGCTTACAAATAGCAAGTCAATATGCCAAAGACCAGGACCTCAATAAAAAACTTCCCTAATGGGAGGAAGGAGACCAAAGTATGGCTTAAAGAAACCCATATCTGGACGATGCATCCCAAGTTTAAGCTCACCCCTAGAAGATATGGTTCTTTCAAAATCTTGGCCAAAGTTGGACCCTTGGCATATAAGCTGCAAATTTCCCAACAATGGAAAATCCATCTCATTTTCCATGCCACTATGCTCACTAAATATAGAGAAATAGAAGCACATGGGGAAAACTTTATGAGACTATTACCGGAGGTACTAAATGATGAAGAACACCACAAAGTAGAGATGGCCCCAGACTCAAAATGACAAGGACGGGGAAACAAGCACTTGGTCAAATGAGAGGGATATTCTGAAGCCAATAACACTTAGGAACCCTACTCTTTCTTAAAGAAAACAGCAGAAGAAGCCCTGAGGGATTTTCATGACCAATACCACAATAAACCTCATCTTATATCACTCTGATCAAAAAGGTATAAAAAGGGCAATGAAAACACCTCATATCAAACATCTCTACACTTCCCCATTTCAGTCCTCATTATACCAATGCTCCTCTATAATGACACCACTGCCTTGTCTCCTTCGAGAAACTCCTCCCCTGATATTGTCCTTATGGTCATCAATCCAGACATTGAATGAATCAATAGAGGAACAAGCCCAACACCACTGGAGTCCAACACCACCACTACTATCCTCACCCAAAACCTTAACAACTTTTCAGATGATGATACTGAGGACTACACAAGGTTCAAGAGGCAAGAGAGGACCTATACCAACAAATAATCATCCAGGAGGAACTCCCAAGATGCACCATGGAATGAGGGCCCTAATGACAAAGACTATGGCAATCCTAGTGGATCTACAACTTGAATTCCACCTGCTACTAAAATTATAACAACTCCTAGAGCTGGAAGTCCCCAGAGGCTATGTACAAGAGGTGGAGATCAACAACCAGGCAATGGAATGGCTCACCTGTTTCCAGTTCTACTAAGAGCTGCATAACCAACAGTACTAGCTGACAGACAAACTTCTAGCACCATGAGAGGAATTACCAGTAGTCCAAATCCTTACTCCGGAGAACTGGAATAACAAGCAGATGCTCTCTTATAGTGAAACACCATCTCTGTGGACAATCAGGAAATAAAAATAGTGACATACCTCAATAACTGGCTAGTGCAAGCCAACAGATCAGATGGTTGGCCCTCTAGATTAATCTTAATACCACATCCTACATCCTAGTATGAAGATAACAATGGGTGAACTAAGGAACCTAGGCAACCCTCCGATGCGGAGAGCATGCTAGCTGGGGTATTTGACACTGGGATAGAACACCTGCTGCTAATCACCGACTTTGTACAGACGAGGGACAGAATAGCTAAAGCAGCTGCTAAGCTTTCTATGCTAATTCAGAGGCTCAAAGAGATTTGCTTCTGGACTCAGTCTAAACTTGATGCTTGGGATACTTTAGACAATCTAGGAAACTATGACAAAGCGGACCTGTACTACTGGCCCAATGAAGGAGGGGATAGATACCAAGGATATGATTATTGATGGATATTAACAGGGCAAGGAAGAGGGTAAGGAAGTGGTGGAACTTTTTACCCAAAGGATAATAATCCACATGCTATGTTGTTTGTGGCCGTTCTGGTTGGTGTAGCATCCATGCCACATGGGTGCCACCTTTGGGACTCATTGATTACTCGCCTCTACAGCTGGGAGCGGCCCTACAGCCGTTCCTAGAGCGGGCATATTGCTTTCTTTCTCCATTTGGACTGTCTCACTTTGTTTTCACCTTGTCTCACCTTGTTTCAGTTGTTTCACCAGGTTAGCCAGCTGAGGCGGTCCGGTGTGATGTCATTGACACTCCGGACCGAGCTCCCGGTGGAGCTTTTGACCGCTTTGTAAGGAGTTTCACCTGTAATGACCTGTTGATGTCATACCTTCCTTTTTCGTTTCTTATTGTTCTGTGTAGCTTAAATACCCGTGGTCCGAGGGCGATTCTTTCCTAAGACTCTTACCCTCTGGACCACAGCCCTGTCGTTATAGAGCTTCTTTTTGGCACTCTCTCTGTGCCAGTCGCTTCATTGTCACTGCGCTCAATATGCTATAGGTTCATGGTAGTCTGATAATGAGGAGGCACCCACACTAGGGTCTGAGAAAGGTATCCGGGAGGCTTTGAGAAGATACCAAACAGTACTAGACAAGTAATGAAGATACCAACTATTACTGAACATGGTTGGCCCCCACCTGACTGGCCATAACCCACTAAAGGATGCTTGGCAGCACTTGGGTCAGTTTGCCCACACTTTACATACTTACTATGACTGTACAGGAGTATTACGATAAGGTGTTTACAAGATTGGATCCAGGATTCCATGTCGGCCAATATCCTCTGTGAATCGGTCAATCCTTATCGCTTATCTTCCTAACTTTCACATAGTCGGTCAAACATAATCTTACACTATTACTTGGCCACCCTGGTCATATGTATATGTTATGTCTTCTTTATTTTCATTAGCTTGCCAATGCCTGTTCCTACTACCTACAGTTGGGCGACAAATCCCAAACATTCGGGTTTTCACTATTGCTAATTAACTTTTATCTTATCACTATCAAAACCCATATGGACATCTCACCTATCTTCTTATCTTCTCTGATCGCTAGGGCTTGGCGCCCATTTGATATCTACTCTTATTTCATGTTTAATATTTTACTTAGGGACCTTGTTTACTATAAAAGCCTACATACAACTCTAGAATGAACCAGCTTTTGCACACCACAGTTCAGAGCTCATTTGCACTTGTCTCAACCATTGAGATTGTCTTCATTAACTTCCAAAAACTTGCCATCCCTATTGTTTGGCCTCATTTGTATTTGTGCTTATCTTTTTGCTCATACCCCTTGTCTTTTCTTGTATATTGTCAAAGTCCTATGTGGCTTCTGGAGTACATAATTGTTGGTCATAACACTACCTTCTTGTTACCAACCAAATCCCTGACTCAACTGACCAAATGTTCAGTCAGTGTTTGGTGCAGTCCCAAAACTATTTGGGTGCTATAATCTCATACTCCTCATTGCTTCTTAGTATGCCTTCAATTTTTAATGTCATCACTAACAATTCCTTGTGTATTAGATACTAGCTTCAGCACCCTCTGCATTAGAGGTTGTTTGAGTATTGTGCTTGGCACTCAGAGCCACCTCTAGTGTATCACCAAAATAACCTAAAACTAAGTTCATCCGAAACAATGTGGATGAGCATGCACCTGCGCTAGGGTCCAAGGGAGGTATCTGGAAAGCTTTAGGGAGATACCAAACAGCGTTAGATGAGTACCGAAGATGCCGACTTGCATCAAACATGGTCGGTCCCTACCTAGCTGACCGCAACCCTCCGAAGGACATTCGGCAGCACTTGGGTCAGTTTGCCCACACTTTATGTACTTACCATGACCACACAGGAGTGTTATGATAAGTGTTTACAAGATCGGAGCTAGCAGTCCATATCGGCCGATGTCCTCCGTGAGTCAGTCGGTCCTTATCACTTATCTTCCCGACTTCCATATGGTTGGTCAAACGCAATCTTGTACCATTACTTAGCCACCCTGGTCATGTGTTATGTCTTCTTTATTTTCATTGGTTCTCTAACACTTGTTCCCACTACCTATGCTCAGGCAACAAATCCCAAATGTTTGGGATTTTGCCATCACTGATTACCTTTTACCTTATCACCTTTGGAACTCATATGGACTTCTCACTTACCTTCTTATCTTCTCTGATTGCTAGGGCTTGGCACCCATTTGACATTTACTCTCATTTCGTGTTTGATATGCTACTTAGGGGCTCTGTTTACTATAAAAACCTACATACAACTCTGGAATAAACTAGCTTTTGCACCCCACAGTTTAGAGCTCATTCACACTCATCTCAACTATTGAAATCGTCTTCGTCGACTTCCGAAAACTCATTATCCTCGTTATCCAGCCTCGTTTGTGTTCATACTTGTCTCTTCAATTGTACCCCTTGTTCTCCCTCATATATTATTAGAGTCCCATGTGGCTCTTGAAGCACATAGTTGTCGCTCACAACACTACCTTCTTGTCACCAATCAATTCCTTGACCCAACTCGACCAACCAAACATTCAGTCAGTGTTTGGTGCAGTCCCGAAACCGTTGATGAGCATGCACCCGCACTAGGATCCAAGGGAGGTATTTGGGAAGCTTTGGGGAGATACCAAACAGCGCTAGACAAGTACCGAAGATGCCGACTATTACCAAACATGGTCGGTCCCAACCCGACCGACGACAAGCCACCGAAGGACGTTCGGCAGCACTTGGGTCAGTTCACCTACACTTCACGTACTTACCATGACTGCACAGGAGTGTTACGATAAGTGTTTACAAGATCGGAGCTAGCAGTCCATATCGGCCGATGTCCTCCATGAGTCAGTCGGTCCTTATTGCTTATCTTCCCAACTTCCACATGGTTGGTCAAACACGATCTTGCACCGTTATTTAGCTATCCTGGTCATACAATACCTCTTCTTTATTTTCATTGGTTCTCCAATGCCTTTTCCTGCTACCTACGCTCGGGCGACGGATCCCGAACGTTCGGGATTTCGCCATCGCTGATTAACTTTTACCTTGTCACCTTTGGAACCCATATGGACATCTCACCTACCTTCTTATCTTCTCTGATCGCTAAGGCTTAGCGCCCATTCAATATCTACTCTCATTTCTTGTTTAATATTTTACTTAGGGGCTCTGTTTACTATAAAAACCTATATACAACTCTGGAATAAACCAGCTTTCGCACCCCACAGTTCAGAGCTCACTCGCACTTATCTCAACCATCGAAATCATCTTCGTCGACTCCCAAAAACTTGTCATCCTTGTCGTTCGGCCTTGTTTGCATTTATACTCGTCTTTTCGCTCATACCCCTCGTCCTCCCTCGTATATTGTCAGAGTCCCATGTGGCTCTTGAAGCACGTAGTTGTCGGTCGCAACACTACCTTCTCGTTACCAACCGAAATCCCCGACACGACCGACCGAACATTCGGTCGGTGTTTGGTGCAGTCCCGAAACCGTTCGGGCACTATAATCTCACACTCCTCGCTACTTCTCAGTGTGCCATCAATTTATAAAGTCATCACTAACAAATTCCTTGGGTATCAGATACTAGCTCCAGCATCCCTTGCATTAGAGGTTGTTTTGGTGTTGTGCTCGGCACTTAGAGCCACCTCTAGCGTATCACCATTCAGGTGCTTTAATCTCACCCTCCTCATTACTCTTTAGTGTGCCCTCGCTTTTTCAAGTCCTAACTAATGATTCCTTGTGTATCAGATACTAGCCCCGGCACCCCTGTATTAGAGGTTGTTTTAGTATTGTGCTCGGCACCTAGAGCCACCTCTAGCTTATCAATGTAAAACTAGGTTCATCCCTTATGACGTTAAACTGTATGCCCTCATCTGAAAGTAACATTAAACTACCCTATGTCTGGAATAACGTCTAAAATATTGGACCTGCATGTCTTAAAACTGTGAAAAAACAAGAAGACAGGGAAAGTACCTAACCACAAGCCCATGTTCTTGGAATAGTAGAATGTGGCACACAAGCAGGCATATTTCATATGGCAACATATGCATAGAATTTTCACATCCTTGCTGTCAAGGAGTAATCTAACAGATGCACTGAGCATCCCATTTGGATCCTCAGTTTTACAGGGTTTTTTCCACATTAGGGAACCCTCCATGGCTATTTATATTAGGTGTCAACAAGCCAGCTCCTTGTCTTGGTACAACAAAGATGCTTGTACATAACTAGTGCAAATCTAAAGCCAAGAATAATTATAGTGCATAACTCAGTAAAGTGATCCCTCACAGTCAAGGTCTGACTGGTGTTTGGACATCCCACTTTGGATTTCCAGTTTTACAGAATCATTTCTGCATTAGGGGTTTCTACCTGCTGATGCATAAGATAGTAGAGTCTGGGCTACCTTTACTAAAAGTGCTTGCCCCAAGGCAATGCAAGGCCACAAAACACATCCAGAATGATATAAAACTACCAAAGGCTTCATCTAGAAAACCACCCCCTTGTATTAGCTTTGGATTATATCTGATAGTGTCTAAAATTATCTAAAAGTGTTAATAGCATCTAAAAGTGTCTAATTTCCTAATTAGGAGCAATACATTGTAAGCATTGGATTAGTTTCTAATTTTATAATATTAGCACTAATTCCATACTAAGAAGTCTTTAATTAGCAGTAGGAAATAGTAAGTACTACTGCTCTATCAGTGCAAAGGTAAAAATGTGGCACATTCTATACTATTTTAGCATATTACTCTCTTTTATATATGCCTGCACTATTATCTTGTAGCTCTTTTGCTGATTTTCCAGCTACCTTTACAAAGGACATAAAAAGAGAGAAATGTGCATTAATGCTCTCAGCCACTGTGTTAGCAGCTTGGCAGCTGCCATAAAAGGCTATAAAGACCTTGGTACCCTTAGCCTTGCACACAAGATCATCAAAGTTGTCATTGTTAGCCAATGCCTGCTACTGGTCATTATAGAACACAACATGCAGGTTGGGCTTAGGGATGTGCTATATGCAGCCTTGCAAACCTTGTCTATTAGTGCAGTGGTTAATACTGTCTTGTGCAGCACATAATCATCACCACTATTGATAGTACAATTCTCAGTGCCATCCATATTATGCATTGCTTTGTTATACAGAAGATGCTCAAACTGGGTGTTTTTCTCTAGCTCTTGGGCTATGGAAAAGACAGTCATATTGGTATATAGTACCAGAATAATATATTTGCCTGCCATATAGGAAATATGTGCACTAAGCATATTAAGATTATCTCTAACAATCCTATGCTTATTTATACATAGGCATGCCATACATATACCCTTGTCCCCATCCTCTACCTTACTAGTGGCCATTTGAAAAACCCCTCTCTCTTATTGGATCTTAATTATTGATATTGTTAATAATACTAATTTGTACTGCGTGCACTGCATGGTTTTTCCCAGGATAAACCATGGATAAAACTGTGGATATAAATGGAGTTTTTGTTTGGGTTTATCCACAGGAATTGCCAAAGCAAAAACTTAGAGCTTATCCAAGGTTTTGTCCCAGAACAAAACTATAACATAACCTTATGTTTAAGCTCAGACATTTTGTTCAAGTTTGTCCTACAGTAAATCCTGGGATAAAACTCTGGATAATCTTTAACTCTTATGTCACAGGATTTATGTCACATATGAAAAATCGCTAATAATACCATGAAAATCAGTGATTAATTCAGTTTATTACACAGCCCTTTGGGCACTGCCTAGCACCAAATATTAGATAGCCTTTTTATTCACAACATCTCTTGACCAACCTCAATGAATATGGCCTTCTGCAAAGACTACCTTGCTATAGAGAGTTTCTTAAAAAAACAGTGTGTAATTGTAAATACAAAGTGAAGCAGCATGGACAAAACTGGAAAAGTGACAAACAAGAATCATACTAGCAATCACAAATCATCAAGGCAATACAAGGGCTAGCTCATAGCTAAATTCATTATAATAGTGTCTAGTCTTAGAAAAATAGGGATTGTTAGTATTAAATCAAAAAATCAAAAAAAATAATGAGCTGTGCATATTGTCTAATTCTCTAATAATCTATTAACCACTGGAATAATTGTCTCTTGTAACAAGTGGCAGACACTGCAACAAACCACTGTTGCATCTAGTGCTAAGTGTTTGGCACTATAACAAACCACTGTCATACCCCACAACAAGTGTCCAAAGCTATGACAGACCACTATAGCACCCTGTGCCAAGTGTCCAACATTGTGACAAACCACTGTTGCACCCTATGACAAGTGTCCAAAGCTATGACAAACCACTGTCACATCTTGTGCCAAGTGTCTGATACTGTGACAAACCACTGTCATACTCCATGACAAGTGTCCAAAGCTGTGACAAATTACTGTTGCACCTTGCACCAAGTGTCTAATAGTGCAACAGTGATTTGTCACAGCATTAGACACTTGGTACAGGGTATGACAGTGGTTTGTCACAGTGTCAGACACTTGTCATGGGGTGTGACAGTGGTTTGTCACAGCTTTAGACACTTGGCGCAAGGTGCAATAGTAATTTGTCACAGCTTTGGACACTTGTCATGGAGTGCAACAGTGGTTTGTCACAGCTTTGGACACTTGTCATGGGGTATGACAGTGGTTTGTCACAGTATCAGACACTTGGCACAAGATGTGACAGTGGTTTGTCATAGCTTTGGACACTTGTCATAGGGTGCAACAGTGGTTTGTCACAATGTTGGACACTTGGCACAGGGTGCTATAGTGGTCTGTCATAGCTTTGGACACTTGTTGTGGGGTATGACAGTGGTTTGTTATAGTGCCAAACACTTAGCACTAGATGCAACAGTGGTTTGTTGCAGTGTCTGCCACTTGTTACAAGAGACAATTATTCCAGTGGTTAATAGATTATTAGAGAATTAGACAATATGCACAGCTCATTATTTTTTTTGATTTTTTGATTTAATACTAACAATCCCTATTTTTCTAAGACTAGACACTATTATAATGAATTTAGCTATGAGCTAGCCCTTGTATTGCCTTGATGATTTGTGATTGCTAGTATGATTCTTGTTTGTCACTTTTCCAGTTTTGTCCATGCTGCTTCACTTTGTATTTACAATTACACACTGTTTTTTTAAGAAACTCTCTATAGCAAGGTAGTCTTTGCAGAAGGCCATATTCATTGAGGTTGGTCAAGAGATGTTGTGAATAAAAAGGCTATCTAATATTTGGTGCTAGGCAGTGCCCAAAGGGCTGTGTAATAAACTGAATTAATCACTGATTTTCATGGTATTATTAGCGATTTTTCATATGTGACATAAATCCTGTGACATAAGAGTTAAAGATTATCCAGAGTTTTATCCCAGGATTTACTGTAGGACAAACTTGAACAAAATGTCTGAGCTTAAACATAAGGTTATGTTATAGTTTTGTTCTGGGACAAAACCTTGGATAAGCTTTAAGTTTTTGTTTTGGTAATTCCTGTGGATAAACCCAAACAAAAACTTTATTTATATCCACAATTTTATCCATGGTTTATTCCGAGAAAAACCATGCAGTGCATGTAGTGTTGAGCTAATTATGGCTAATTATTCATAATCATGTTTTTGATCAAATTTGCAAATTCAGGTAGCATTGTCTATAGTAGTAGAGTCCTATTGAATACTACACTCAATCATAGTTTTACACATTCTAAATCCAAATTGTGTCAGTGCCACAATTTGTTTTTATCCTATATAAAGTGTATTATTTATTTTCCATTGGTTTATTATCTTCTTAGCTAGTGTTTAAACTAAATCCTGAAAGACCTGACTTTTTGGGCATTTATTGACCTGTTTATTTATAAGATAGAGGAAAGATAAATATTGAATAAAATTTAAGATATTGAGGTTGCCTACATTATGTCTACTTATTTAGATTACCAAGTTCATATATTAGACTTTGTGGCTTTGTGGCTTAGAGCATCTGTCCTAGATGCTTGTATACATGAGGTTATTGGTTTAACTTTGGCAAAAGGCAAATTTGTTATGAGGTATATTTTGTGTTTAGGTATTCAACTAGTGTTCAAATAAACATGACTCTATAAGAAGGCTATGAGAACTGTGATTCTTGATTTATTATTATTTTTCCGAAATTTCAAGCTATAATTGATTCTGATAATTCCTAATTTAGAAAAACTATGTCTAATTGGAACAGGTTTAGGGGGATAAGCAAATAATCTCTAATCCTAATCATTCTTAATTATGCATAAATAGAACTAATTAGACAATAATACAAGAAAGTGATTTTCCAGATGTTAGTCCACAATGACTATAAACTACTAGGTGTCTGCAACAATGTAAAACTAGTCTGCGTCCAAAATGATAATAAACTATCCCTATCTGAGATAATGTTAAACTACCATTGACCCATAGAGTGTGGTTGTATTTTAGTGAAGCGCAGGTTGTCAGAAGACCTGCATTGCAAAATCCTGCCTATAAGTGGTCAAAGCACTTTGATATTCACTTGCTTTTTAGTAAAAGAATATCAGGTTGTCTTGGTTCAAATCCAAGCGAGGAGTTTGGGGATATAGAAAAGCACACACCTCTTTACAGTGTGCCCAGTCTAGTCCTGGAGTTGAAGTACAAGAATTCCGCTCCAAGACCTAGTCAGGAGGCAACTAGGACATGTGCCTCAAGTCAAGTATCTAGTCAGAAGGGCTAGATCACATGACTTTCTTTGGCTCACATCATGGAAGTACGACAAGAACTGGCCATTTCATTTATAAAGTCTATTCCACCAACAAAATACATCCAAAATGACATTAAACTACTGTCCCTCAGTTCTAGGGATTGTATTGGAGCTAGAATTACTCTAGCAACAATAATATCTGGAAAGATGTTAAACTAGGCATTGTTTTGCTATAATATTTGCAGCAAAACATGTCCACAATGATGCTAAATTATTGTCCCTTTTAGAATAGGAATTGTGTAGTGGCATCTTAATCACAAAGATAGCACCACATCCACAATGACATTAAACTACCATCTCTTCATGCATAGGGATCATATACAGGGTCTTTAAATCACAAAGGTCATGTACATTTGTAACAACATTAAACTATTTGTTCCTTTTAGCACAGGGATTGTATGGGGATATCTCAATTAGATATCACCATATCCACAATGATGTTAAACTACTTGCTCCTTAGCCAAATAGGAGTTGTGATTGGCGATCCAGGGTCCCAATCGGTCCACAATAACCTTAAACTACTGTCCCCTTTCACATGGGGATCATAGGGGGATATTGATGAAGAAATATCACCTCTGTCTGCAATAATAATAAACTATTTGCCCCTTTTTCCACAGGGGTATTGCCAAATGGCCATAGAAAACGCCAATTGAGTTGAGAGAAAAGATGATGTTTAGGAGAGCTAGAAATTATTGTATATCAAGCTTAGATATACATCAATGCTTTCTCCGACAAAAACAGAAGGGGATGGTCTAGAACATTGTGTAATCAAAGGTTACAAACAGGGACCGATGATCCTAGACAAAGGTAGAAAAGGCAAGAGAGCCCAACCTCAATGAGTGTTTGACCACAATCAGCTGCGCAGCAGCCTGGACAATCATGAAGCCGGAGCGAGTCCAATAGCATCGATGCTGTGATGCCTTTCTCAGAGCATCAGCAAGATCTTATCAGGCTGTGCCGTTGAGAATTCTCAAACATGGCAGAGCATCTGAGCACACCAAAAGCCTTCGATCAACATTATTTTTGACAAAGATATATTAATAAACATCTGAAATGATGGTAAACTACCTTTATCCTCAGAAGGCCAAGTCTATCATGACTCAAGGGACTCAGTCAGATAATAGCAGTCACTTATCTCACAGTGTTAAACTGAGTGGTCTCATAATCTTGAGGTGTTATAAATTATCTAGTTTGATATAGTATAAACTGTTCCCATCATGCCTCAGTGGGATCTGGGAAGGCAAAGTCTGGTCTAGGGCCCTATGCACATCACTGACAAATGTTCTGGCATGCAGAAACATCTTCCCTTACAGATCTTCAATGTTAATGATGAAGAAGGTCCAAAATAACCTTAAATGTAAACTATCGGGTAGTGTAGGGCACCCTAATGGGTCCGCAATGACCTTAAACTATGGACATCTGCTATGACGTTAAACTAGCAAACATCCTGAACAGTGTTTAAACTACCATTGTAGATATATCTTACAGACCCAACAAATAAATCAATTATGGTCTTGATGGCTATTCGTGCACATGAATGGGCAGTCTTGAAAATGGAGTTAGACTCCTTTTATCTCCTTGCTGTGCCCTTCCAGTCTGATTCTCTTCACATCCTTGCCTCGAGCCCAACACTACATATAGTATTCCCCACCATAGGCCCACATTTGTGACAAATAAACTCTGGATGCCAATACTACCTCACCAGAGATAAGCTCACTGTATAGGAGCAATACTGCTTGGGACAACATGCTGGTAGTCTGGAGAAGTAGGCCTAAGCCTATATAAAGCAATCAACCTACTTGTCCATGGACATCACTTGCTGTCAAGAGGAAACAACAATTGCAGGGGTAGATGACTATCCTAGAAACACTGAGGTTTGGCCCTTGGAGAAGGAAGAAGAAAAAATTGATGGCACAAACTAGAACCCACAGGCTTGAGTTTCTACTCATCCATCTACTATTTGCATTCATATGCCATTCTTGATGTTATTCCAGGGCAAACTGGAGTAAGACCACTAGGCAGGAACCAGTGGCCAAACAAATCAATAGGTAAAGGAAGAACATCCTATAGATGAGGGGTTTTGGAATGCTCTAACAGTTGACAAACAAACAGCTCAATAGAGATAGAAAACTCCTAGAGAATCAAATGATGTAAGTTGGTCTTCCTCCCAGAAAACATAGTCATATCCTGGAAGATGCATCCAGTTGATACATTATTGGACCAAGAAAGCAAATTGTATATGGATAGGTGATGAAGCAATATGCTACCCTACCAGGCGAATAGAACATAAAAAAGGGGTATTATTATGATCACAACTTATTGGGCCTTTATGGCAGTCTATTCTGATATGATTGTTACAACCACCAGGTGGCCTCATACCCTGAGGCGTACACTAAGGTACAGATAATACCTCTGGTTATCCACTCCTAGCAGATTATTCATTGCTGGTCAAGTATTATAAGCCTGTTGCAGTGGGCATCTTTCCCCACCTTACATACTACCCATACATGGGCACAGAACTCCTTATCCTCCTGGTTGGAAGGAGACAAGCAGAGAAGCAAGAGTAGTCGTTTAAAGAGAGAAATGACTTAGAGAATACCTACAGATATATATGGGATTCTCATGCCCTTTCCTAAAGTAGTATAAAAGGCCCATTGAATAGGCTAATATTCTTTAGTCTATTCTTTTTGTTCCTTCTATATCCTCATGTATAAAACTATGGCAGTCTTCATACTGCCCCTTGCTCTATTGCCTATGCTGTAATAACACACCTGGCTCCTGTGCTATATATACAGTTGAGACCATTGTTTTACTCTTCCTCCACAAGTGACCCAAGGAAGAACTCCCTACTCTTGGGGCTACTAAATGAGCAGTTTGTAACAAAACCCAAAGACAGCTTTGATGACTGGATCGACAATCTCTACGGCTTTCTCCATCAGATCAACAATATGTTCACCACCTCTAGCTCAACCTTGACAATCACTATCTTCATTTCCTCACTTGTAGGCAATCCCTTGACTAATACTGACTCCAATGACAAAGGCCTGACCATTGAATATTCAGATATCCTAAGATTGCAGAAAGCTTTAGAAGCTAAAGAAGTCTACGACTCATACCAAACATTAGTTTGGCCCTTTTCTCTCTCCAACTCTGAATATGCTACCTTCCTGCAATATTGCACTGAGTTCTTTATTGCAGCCAACAAGCTATGGGGAAAAGACTCACATAGTTGACACAAGATCGTTGCAGCCCCATCTAGTCAGATCACAGTTTTTACTACCACCCACAGCAACATTGCTTATAAGGGCTTCTAAGCCACAACTACCTCAGTCACCAAACACTTCTAGTGGCCACATATGAGGCAAGACATTTCCTGGTTTGTTTGGACATATCACTTTTGCCAGATTCACCAGACTTACAATATTCTTATTCACTTGACTGTTGCCATGCCTGCACCACTCTTCGCAAAGATATATATGGACACCATGCACATGCCGACTATCAGTGGTTTTAAGTATCTCATTCAAGGTCACTGTTTGGTATCATACTACTTCAAATTCCACATGCTGCAATGCAAAACAAGTTTATCTCTTGCTAACTGGACCTCTGAGGATATCCTGTACTGATGGGGAACACTAGCAGAGATCGTCTCCAATAATGGACTGGCATTTATCAAAGCACTTAACTAGCTAGCAAAGAAGTAACACATTTGGCACATTTGCATTTTGGGCTACAATTCCCATATGAATGGCATCACCAAATGACCTTACTTCAATGTTTAATAGGCTCTGTTCAAGGCAGTTGATAAAGATCAGGCCAAGTGGAATTGTGCAGCTCATTTCATATTCTGGGCTAATCACATTACTGTTCAGCACTGAATGGGTTGTTTTCCATATTTCATAGCTACCAGCACCCATCTTTTCCTTCCACTTGACATCGCCAAAGCCACCTATCTTCTACCACTGCTGACTACAACCCTCAGCACTACCAACTTCATTGCCTGATGTGCCATTACTTTGTGGAAACACCAATCGGACCTTGCCCACCTTTACAGCTCAGTAGTCAGCGCCCAAGTCTAGGCCACTATCCAATTTGAACAATAGCATTTGGTCACCCTTCATAACTTCAATTTCCACTGAGGCTCGCTTGTCCTGATGCATAACATGGCCATAGAAAAGGTGCTCAATTGGAATATGTGACTATAGTACTTGGGACCATTGCTGGTGATTTCTAGGAACCAAAGGGGAGCATATATTCTGGCCAAACTTGATGGATCAGTCTTTGATTGGCCAGTGGCAGCATTCTGCATTATTCCTTATTTTGCTCGCAGGTCTCTAGAGCTTGTCAATCTTAAAGCCCTCCTTAATATCTTGTAAGGATGCCTTCAGGCCATAGGAGAATCCTGATTGAGTGACGACAATGCTAAAGATGACAGTGCCAATGAAGATACCAACACCAGCTCAGTCCAATTGGTGGAGGATGACAATGCAGCTTTGGCAACCTCTGACTAAATCCCACTCTCCCATCTTTTGCTCTCTTTGGTTGGTGGCTAGTGACAGTCATGATTTCAGTAGGGAGGAGAATGCACAAGATATACTCATTCTTTATTCTGATCCATTTATCACAGACATGGACTGACACCCAATCATTTCTACATTGCTTAGTACTTTTGCCACTGACCGTGTGTAAAGAGGTCACAATGTGTTCTAGAAAAAGCAGGCATAATATTAATGGTAAGGTAAAAGTAGGCAATAGAAAAATGGGAGCAGAGTTCTCAGAAGTGTGACTAAACAATGAAAACCTCAAGTAACAAAGCAATAAGATTGGAGATAGTGGCAAAGATTTGAGGTGGGCAAGATTGAGTAACAGAGAAATGAGTGTTAAGCCAGTAGGCTTATCATGTGCACTAAGTACTAAGAGGTTCCCTAGGCTATTTAGATTATAAGGGCCTAATAGATAAAGACAATGGATTGTCTTTGGGCATATAGAAGAAATTCTGGGTTACTATCAGCCTTTTCTTCAAAGAGATGTAGAAGATAATCTTCAAGAATATCACAATATTCTTTAGGCATGTAACTATCTTTTTCTATCCAACTAATAACTCATGGAGGGATCCAACCAAGGACCCTATATACTATGAGCTCTTTATATATTATAGAGACAAGAGAGTGATAGAGGCTATAAGATGAATCCAGTGCTTTGTTAGACTAGATATAATTTCTCAGATCTGACAGAGTTCACAATACATGAGCTAGGAAGGTAGCCAGATGTCAGGCACAGTACAAAGATTAAGTATATACAAAGTAAATGAGCTGAGCTTCTTAGAAGCTCATCTTAGCTATTAATACATACAAGCTATTTAGGGCTAGACCTAGATCTAGTCTATGCTTTTAAAGGCTAATCTACTTAATAGGTGTTAGGGCACCAAAGCCAATTATAATCTGTAAATCATAATCTGTAATCTATCCATTTATAGTAATCATAATCAAATATCTGTCTATATCATTAGAAGTCAGGAACTAATTACAATCTTTATCAGTAAGCATTCATGCCAAAGCATGTCAATATGTAAGTATTGTAAGTATTCATGCTTTATCATGTCAATAGTAATCAAATATAAGTCACAGTCTGCTTCCAAGTCATAAGTGTATTACTTAACTAACCTTCTAAGTTATATGCAAAGCATATATGAGAATATGGTCCTAACAATGGGTGTAAGTGACAAACAATTCAGTAATAATAGGAAAGTTAGGAAAAACAAGGTTTCTGGGGGTGGTGAAGGTAATAAAAGAGTTGGCAAGTTATCAAAATTGAGAAGGTGATGGTAAGAGAGGTAGTAAGGCACAATGTTAGTGTTGGCAGATAGGCTGAGATCAACATTAAATCCAAGAGTACTAAAGCTAGTAATGGGTTCTTGGATCTCATTGCATTTAGCAGTATGTCATAAAGATTATTAGAAATCCCTTAGTGGAAATTTGAAAGTAAACCCCTCATAGTGGGCTTTAAAATAATGTGCTGTAATGGTTCTATATGTGAAAAACACAGCAAAACTACTATTAAACATGGGTAGGCTTGGAGCTAACTTATTTATAGACTGACAAACCTTTTATTAGTAGAGAGATGAAGTATGATATATATACACAAAGTTGTGCAAAGCTATGCAAAGCTAGACTGAAGCTAGATTAAAGCTAGAGTAAAGACTAGTGACAAGGTCAATAGCAATATAATGGTGCAAGTTGTATAACTGGCATGGAGCAATGTAGAATATATAAACCTCAGTCACAATTAACCAAGGGGACTTTAAGTGCAACAATAAAGGCCTTGGCAAGAGATACAATAATAGTGCAAAGACAATGGCAAAGACAAGCAATATAAGTAATATCTCCTTGTAAAGTTAAGCTCTAAATAGAGGGGTATTCAAAACTAGTATATTTTAGAGTCAAAGATAAGTATTTATAGTAAATCAAAGTAGGTAAAACAAATGTAAAGTCATAAGATAAAGTGCAAGTAATATCATACCAAGGCTAAAAACTCAAAAGATAAAGAGAACCATATATAGAGTTGCTTATAAATCTTAGGGTTCTATTGTGCCATAGTCAAGAAAATAAACAATATCTAGTGAGGGGATATAAAGAGTGAGCAAGGTGGTCTTTGCAAAGTATAAATGGGAATGAATTAAAAGACCTACAGTGTCCAATAAGCATATGCAATAAAGCTTACTGCAAATAAAGCATCACAAAGATAAACTTTGATACACTCATATGGAATGGTACATGGCACATATTATTAGGGCTTAGTGGCATTGGCATCATTGAGGGCACTTTCCTAAGTGGTTGCACTACATATAAGCACTTTACATAAACTATAAGGTATTGCTGGATAAACTGTAATAGATGACTGTGTTAGTCTATTGCCATGACTACCTTTAGGATATATTGCATGAGGCTGTAGGTCATCCCAAGCCTAACAAGTAGTAGCTAAATATTAGCAAAGTATAGTGTATGGTACTGCAAACTTAGTGATCAATTCCAAAGAAAGTACAAAAACAAGGGCCTTAGTGCTTAAAGAGGTGGCACACTTATCAATAAGGTAGGTGGAGGACTAACTTTACTAGAATATTAAAGGACCTTTGTGAGTGGAGAGATGGGGCATAAGATATATACTATAAGAACTCAAGGTATCAAGCAAAATGTCAAGATGTCAAGTAAGGTAATATAAGGGTATATGAGCTATAGCAAGCAATATTGAGGTGACACACGATTAGTCCCATATAAGACAAGACAATAAACCATAGACCAAGGTGACTTTAAGGGAAGCAAAGGCAATAATAATAAAAGCAATAAAAAAAGTAATAATAAGTCAAGCAAGGATAATATTGGTGATATAATAGAGATGTCTCTAAGTATTGAGCATATCACCAAAACAACCTCTAGGGTAGGGTAGACAAAAGCTAGTATCTAATATACAAAGAATTATTAGCATAGACCTAGAAAAGCAAAGGTATACCAAGATAAGCAATAAAAGGTATAGATTAATATGCACAAATAGTTTAGGACAGTACTAATAAATTGACTGAATATTTGGTCTTGGCTAGTGCACAACCAATAGAGAACCAAAAGACAGTGTTGCAACCAATAACTGTGTGCTTTAAGAGCCACATAGGGAGCTAATGAGATATAATAGAGAATAAAGAGGACAATCAATAGGGACAATATACAAACACAAATGAGCTTTAAACTATGGGGTATGAAAGCTGATATATTCCAGAGTTGTATATGGGTTTTTATAGTAAGAACAACTCTAAGTAAAATACCAAATAAGAAATGAGAGTAAATGTTGAATAGGCACCAAGACCTAGTAAATATCAAAGATAAGAAGCTAGAGGTAATGTCCATATAGGTTTAGAAGATGATAAGGTGAAAGTCTATCATGAATGCCAAATGCCCAAATAATTGGCATCTAGTATCCAAGTATAAGTAACTTAGATGTGCTCCCAGAACCAATAAGAATATATATAGAACAAATATGTGCATAGTAAAGCCAAGTGATGGTATAAGATTAGATTTGACCAAATATATGGGAATCAAGGAGATAAGAGATAAGAACTAACTTGGACATAGCTATTGAAAGCTGATTGGCTATTTGATGCTAAGAATATCATTAAGCAATGTAATGCTATCTTGCCGACTCTTATATACTGATGATAAACATATGGATGATATTTAAGACTGACTAAATAGTGCCAAATAGTAATTATTAGTTAGATATTGTTTAATTGGTGTTTGCTTATCTTTGGTAGGTAATTATGTCTTTGTTACCTACTTTCTTTGTTTAATATCTCTTCTAAACTCTTTCAATATTGCTTTCTAGTCCTTAGCATAAGTATATGCTCATTAATAGCAAGGAGCAATATAAGCAAGATCTTCTTACAAAGTTGAGCTCTAAACAAAGGGATATTCAAAACTAGTATATTACAGTGTTGTAGATAGGTATTTATAGTAAATCAAATCAAGTAGAGTGAGCACAAGATTATAAGATAAAGTGAAAGCAATATTGTGCCAAGACCATAATATCAAGAGATAATAAAAAAACATATATAGAAATACTTGTAGGCTATGAGGTTCTGTTATACTATGATTAAGAAACAAAGAGTATTTAGTAAAGGGTATAGTAGAGAGACAAGGTAAACTCTGTGAGAAAGGTAGACTAGTGGATCATAAGACCTATACTATCCAATAGGCATGCACAATAATGCTCACTGCTTTGCCTGTGTGGTCTTTACTTAAAGTGCATATAGCTGGTACTTGGTGATGCTTTAGAGGGTATAGTAGACTTAAGGTCAGTGTACAATATATATGGGGAGCAGGCAAGATAATACAAGTCAATGACTATAGTGTATAAGAAAGACCATGTTGGCCTATTATTATAATGTCAAGCTTATAGTATACATTAAAGGAAACCATACTAGGCTACAAAAACTCCTGATAGTCTCTGGGGTACTCCATAAAGCCACATAATAGTACTAGTAGAACCGTAAAAACTAGGAGTCTTGGCACTTAGAGTAATAGTATACTCCTTACTATCAACTTGTATCCATCTATACCTACCTATTATTAGACATAGGATACTTATAAGTACAAGCTAGTCCTACCTACTAAATATTAGTCCTTGATGTTGAGTGAGATCTACAAGATGGTAAGACTGGAATAGAAGAGCTCAGTTGTCACTCAAGGTAGAGGTAAAATAACTGAATTAAATAGTACCTGCAAGATGGTAAGGCTAGAATAAAAGAGCTATGAATGGCTTTTAGTATAAGTAAGATAATGTAGATGAATGAGAAGCTTACCTCAGTCATTACTTAAGGTAGAGGTAAAATAACTAGGGGAGTAGGTGCCAAGCATTACAGACTTAATGGTAGGTCTACAATACCAAAGTATGAATAAGGAAATCAATAAGTAGGAAAATACCAAATAAAGAAGAGGAGAGGTTAAAGGAAGTCATACTTCAACACTTCCCCTTGACCTCCATAATACCAAGACCAATCATCAATTTTTTATCCCAATGATGAGCATAGGTGTATTCTAGGCACCAATACCCCACTTTTCACAGCTTTTCAGTATTCTTTGACCATTTGGCCTATTTAGGACTGACTGATCCCAATTCATTTGATTTGTTAGCTACCAACTTTGTATTTAGACCTTTACACAGTTATTTAGGGCTGTTCATAGCCACCCTATGCACTTATTAGAATCAGAGGTAGCCAAACACTTTGTTGACTCAGAATAGATCTGTCTTTTTATCTCTTATTGTTCTTATGCCTTCTGTTGACTTATCCTTTATTATCTTGTCTCCAGGTCCATGTAGACTCACCTTGGCAATCTCTCTACTTTTTTAGACTTTAGAGTTATTGCTTCTTATCTTATAGTGTTTGTAACATCACTTCCTTATCTTTTTTACCTTTGACAGCTCCTAGCATGTATTTCTGATTGCTCTATGCCTCTGCCAATCTCTCTATCTTGTACCTATTCAGACTTACTATAAAAGGGCACCTATGGCCTTGCAATACATTAGCTTTGGCTCCCCCCCTCATTCTAATTCTATTTGCGTGCTTGTATTCATAAGACTTTGAGCCATTGCCTTTTAATCCTCATTCACATTTTGCCCCTTTGTTTGTGTTATTGTATTTGATTGCAGCCTTTCGTCAGAGCCCTCATTATTTTGCTCTCTCCCTCTTATCTAGTTTGTCATCCTCTACCAGTGTCTAGTATAGCCTCATGCCCATTCCCTTTCTTTTGCATACCAATTAAGTCCTAATCACATGTCAGCTAGCCAAAAATACCAATTTTGGAGTTGTTTGTTCAGACCACATTGTATTTGACTAGCATCTACTCCCTGCCAATTTGTGTCAGTCTCACTTTGATTACAGCTACACTCCAAACACTTCCAGTTATCCCAATCAATCCTGAACAAATGTTACCTAACTAAAGATTTTGGTTTCAGAGCCGTTTCTATACTCCAAATACTTTTAGTATGATCCCTTATTAGTTGTGGCACATCCAACAGTTCCTTGCACACTGAAACCAGCTCCTGCCTCCCTGCACTTATAGGGATGTTTCTTAGGTGTGTTTCATACTTAGAGGCATCACTAGCATATTACCAAGGGATCCCTTTTATAGGTTTATCCACCAAGTTATATGCTAAGCTAACATGCTCTATCTTGAGCTCCCCGCATTCCACACATTCCCAGACAAAGTGATAGTGAATATTGATGTGTTTTGCTTATAAGTGATTGACATATTCATGTGTCAAGATATTTATGCCAAGGTTGTTACTATATATTAGGGTAGGATTTGTAATTAGAACCTCTAGCTTACAGAAGAGCATGCAAAGCCAGATTTCCATCTGTGTAGTACTAGATGTGGCAATATATTTGGCCTTAGTTGTTGAGATTGTGATAGACTACTGTTTCTTGTAGCTCCAAGTAATGGGTGCACTAGCTAGGAGAAACACCCATCCTAATGACAAACAGCAGTTCAATTCAACTGTATAGTTCATGTCAAAGTAGCCAATAGGAAATAGGCTTCCTCTTTTTCCATGGTATATGATTTCATGGTCCATGATGCCTTTGAGATAATAACACAGATACTTGAGGACATACCAATAGTGTGTGCCAAGAGCATGCACAAATAATCCAAGCACCTAGGTAGCATATGAGATGTCAGGTCAAGTAGCAACAGTGAGATAGTTGATGGCACCTAGGATTTCCTGATAGGGCTTGTTATGGCTCTTATGGTGCTCTACGTCATCAATAGGCTCAAATAGTAGACAGTATGCTTCTCCTAAGGGGAGCAGGGTAGACTCAATGCTATAGTCAAGTACTTGCATCTGGAAAAACACCCCCTTGTATTAGCTCTGGATTATATCTAATAGTGTCTAAAAGTATCTAAAAGTGTTAATAGTATTTAAAAGTGTCTAATTTTCTAATTGGGAGCAACACACTGTGAGCATTAGATTGGTTTCTAATTTCATGATATTAGCACTAATTCTATACTAAGAAGTCTTTAATTATTAGTAGGAAATAGTAAGTACTACTGCTCTATCAGTGAGAAGGTAAAGATGTGGCACATTCTATACTATTTTAGCATATTACTCTCCTTCATATATGCCTATACCATTATCTTGTAGCTCTTTTGCTGACTTTCCAGCTGCCTTTACAAGGGATATAGAAAGAGAGAAATGTGCATTGATGCCCCCAGCCACTTTGTTGGCAGCTTGGCAGCTGCTACAAGAGGCTATGAAGACCTAGGTACCTTGTCCTTGCACACAAGATCATTAAAGTTGTCATTGTTAGCCAATGCCTGCTACTGGTCATTATAGGACACAACATGTGGGTTGGACTTAGGGATATGCTATATGCAGCCTTGTAGACCTTATCTATTAGTACAGTGGCTAATACTGTCTTGTGCAGCACACAATCATCATTACTATTGATATTATAATTTTTAGCACTATTTATATTGTTTATTGCCTTGTTATACAGAAGATGCTCAAACTTGGTGTTTTCCTCTAGCTATTAGGCTGTGGAAAAGACAGTCATATTGGCATGTGGTGCCAGAATGATATATTTGCCTGCTATATAGGAAATATATGCATTAAGCATATTAAGATCACCTCCAACAATCTTGTGCTTATTTATATATAGGCATGCCATACATATACTCTTGTCCCCACCCTCTACCTCACTAGTGGCTATTTGGAAAACCCCTCTCTCTTATTGGATCTTGATTATTCATAATCATGTTTTGATCAAATTTGCAAATTCAGGTAGCATTGTCTATACTAGTAGAGTCCCATTGAATATTACACTCAATCATAGTTTTACACATTCTTAGTCTAAATTGTATAAGTGCCATAATTTATTTTTATCCTATATAAAGTGTATTATTTATTTTCCATTGGTTTATTATCTTCTTAGCTGGTGTTTAAACTAAATCCTAATAGACCTGACTTTTTAGGTATTTATTAATCTATTTATTTATAAGAGAGAGGAAAGATAAATGTTAGATAAAATCAGAGATGTTGAGGTTGCCTATATTATGTCTACTTATTTAGATTACCAAGTTCATATCTTAGACCTTGTGGCTTAGTGGCATAGAGCATCTGTCCTAGGTGCTTGCATATATGAGGTTGTTGGTTGAACTCTGGCAGAAGGCAAGTTTGTTATAAGGTATATTTTGTGTTTAGGTATTGAACTAGTGCTCAAATAGACATGAATTTATAAGAAGGCTATGAAAACACTGATGCTTGATTTATTATGATTTTTCCGAAATTTCAAGTTATAATCAATCCTAATAATTCCTAATTTAGGAAAATTATGTCTAATTAGAACAGGTTTAGAGAAGGGGTAAGCTAAAAATGTCTAATCCTAATCATTCTTAATTATGCATAAATAGAACTAATTAGAGCTTAATACAAAGGGGTGGTTTTCCAGATTCAAAGGACTTCTCATCAATAAACAATTCTGCCAGAAACAAAAAATACCACTTCAAATGATTGACAGACTCATCCTGGTATTTAATGTAGATGGCACTGCTAATGAAGGAGGAAAAATCATAGACAAAGCATGCCTGTTGATGAGAATGACAGATAACAAAGAAGATTACCATGACAAACAAAGTGAACTCCTTGCTACCAACCTAGGAGGAGAGGATGTTATTTTAGGAACAAATTGGCTACATGAGCACAATCCATAGATTGATTAGGTAAAGAATCACTTCACATTCTCTTTGTGTGCAACAATGTGTCTAGTCAGCAGACCCAGATTCACCATATAAGCACAAACCTTCCCATGACGATAAAGACAATCGGGTACTCAAAAATAAAAGATGAACCAGAAAAAGAAAACAAAGATGAAAATTTCTTCTCCGAATTCTATGAAGAGTGGTACAACAAAGACCCATTCGAAATGCACCCATTTAAAGCCATTCACATCAGGTCTACCCACAGCAAGTTACAAGAACTAGTAGAAACAGTGAACAAGAAAAAGGATGAATATACAATAGAAGAAATAGTTTCTACATACATCCTTAAATGCTTTTCCAAAGTCTTCAGCCAGGAGGCCTCACAAAGGCTCTCTGAACACTTGCAATGGGATTATAAAATTAACATAAAGCTAGGATAGGAATTGAGCAGATGTAAACTGTACCCTTTAATGGGACAAGAAGAAGACAAACTATATGAAATGCTGTAAGAAAACCTGAAATGGGGAACTATAAGAGTATCCAAGTCCCCACAGGCCTCCCCTTTTTTCTTCATAAAGAAAAAAGAAGGAGACCTCAGACCAGTTTAGGACTATAGAAAGCTAAACAAGTGGACAATAAAGAATAAATACCCTCTACCCCTGATCAATGATGTAATTAGAACCATTGCAAAATCAGGAGCAAAGGTGTTCTCAAAATTTGACATCAAATGGGAATACAACAACATCTGTGTTGCAGAAGGAAACAAATGGAAAATGGCATTCTTAACCAAATTTGGCCTATTTGAATGCCTCATCATGTTCTTTGGTCTCTGCAACTCTCTGGCCACATTCCAGACTATGATGAACATTATCTCTCACAACCTCATCATCGCACAAGTCATGGCAGTATACATGGATAATATCATCATCTTTACAAAAACAGTGGAAAAACACCAACGAGTAACAATCCAAGTTATGCAGATACTCCTAGATAACGATGATACGCTAGAGGTGGCTCTAAGTGCCGAGCACAACACTAAAACAACCTCTAATGCAGGAGTGCTGGAGCTAGTATCTAATACACAAGGAATTGTTAGTGATGACTTTAGAAATTGAAGGCGTACCGAGAAGCAACGGGGAGTATAAGATTATAGCACCCGAATGGTTTCGGGACTGCGCCGAACACCGACCGAACGTTCGGTCGGTCGTGTCAGGGACTTGGTTGGTAACAAGAAGGTAGTGTCGCGACCGACAACTACGTGCTTCAAGAGCCACACGGGACTCTGACAATATACGAGGGAGGACGGGGGGGTACGAGCGAAGATATGAGTACGAACGCAAATGAGGCCAAACGACGAGGATAACAAGTTTTCAGAAGTTGACGAAGGCGATTTCGATGGTTGAGACGAGTGCGGATGAGCTCTGAACTGTGGGGTGCGCAAAGCTGCTTTATTCCAGAGTTGTATGTAGGTTTTTATAGTAAACCGAGCCTCTAAGTAAAATATTAAACAAGAAATGAGAGTAGATGTAAAATGGGCACCAAGCCTTAGTGATCAGAGAAGATAAGAAGGTAGGTGAGATGTCTATATAGGTTCCGAAGGTGACAAGGTAAAAGTTAATCAGCGATGGCAAAATCCCAAACGTTCGGGATCTGTCGCCCGAGCGTAGGTAGACGGGACAGGCGTTGGAGAACCAATGAAAAGTAAAGAAGAGGTATCGTACAATCAGGGTGGCCAAGTAATGGTGCAAGATCACATTTGACCGACCATGTGGAAGTCGGGAAGATAAGCGATAAGGACCGACCGACTCACAGAGGACATCAGCCGATACAGAATACTGGCTCCGATCTCGTAAACACTTATTGTAACACTCCTGTGTGGCCATGGTGAGTACGTGAAGTGTGGGCGAACTGACCCAAGTGCTGTCGAACGTCCTTTGGTGGCTTGTCGTTGGTCGGGCAGGGACCGACCATGTTCGGTGCAAGTCGGCATCTTTGGTACTTGTCGAGCGCTGTTCGGTATCTCCCAAAAGCTTCCCGAATACCTCCCTCGGACCCTAGCGCGGGTGCATGCTCATCAACGACCTGTTCCTTAAACCTTCCAAATGCGCATTTGAAGTAAACACAGTTGAAGATCTTGGCTTTATTATCTCTGTGAACAACATAGCCATGGACCCAGTCAAAAGCAAAGGAATGTCCAAATAGCCAATACCAACCAACTTAAAGGAAGTACAATCCTTCTTAGGTTTCAGAAACTTTTACCAGAGATTCATCCAAGACTTTGCTACGATAGCACGACTCCTAAACAACCTCACAAAGAAGGATACTCTATCTGTATGGACAGAAGAATGCAATATGGCATTTGAAACCCTCAAACTTTGTTTTACGTCGACACCAGTACTGATCTGTCCCTATAGAAACTGGCCATTCCAACTTGAAACTGATGCCTCAGACTTCGTATTAGGTGCCATTCTATCACAAGAAGTCCCGGGCAATGGCTAGCACCTAGTAGCCTATTTATTGAAAACATTCAATATGGCAGAACAAAACTATAACATCTTTGATAAAGAACTGTTAGCTATTATACATGCCTTAAACCACTGGCGCATCTACCTTGAAGGTGCAAGATATCCATTTGAAATATGGTCAGACCATAAGAACCTTCTTTACTCCTCCATAGCCAGAACCCTCTCCTGCTGACAAGCGCACTGGGCTCTTTTCTTATTACGCTTTGACTTCATATTAGTGCATAAACCTAGTGCTTCCCACTGCCCAGATGCTCTGTCCTGGCATCCAGACCTAAAGAAGGGGGTAAAATTAGACAACGAAAGTCAGATACTGCTAAAACCCCAACTGTTTGTCAAAAGCGCGATAGGAAGAGGCACAGTCAGGATGTTAGATAAACAACTCAGACAAGAACTAAAAAACATCATAGCAAAAGACAAAGAAGTAGTAAAAACGATAGAAGTCATCAAGGTGGCAGGACCAAAGACACTTGCAAAAGGACTACAAGAATGGAATCTAGAAGATGACCTCATCTAGCATAGAGGCAAGATATATGTTCCACCAAGTGGCAAACTAAAAAGAAAAATAGTAAAAATATACCATGACTCACCTGCAATCAGACATCCAGGATGATGGAAGACATATGTCCTAGTATTAGACAACTTCTGGTGGCCTGGAATGTCAATATTTGTAAAAGAATATATAATAGGATGTGCCACATGCCAAAATACCAAGAATATCACACACCCTACACGTGTTCTACTAATTCTAAATGAAATACCAGAAGGACCCTGGCAGATGATTACAATGGACTTTATCACAGATCTTCTGCAGGTCAGATCATATGACGCAATACACATAATAGTAGACAGAAGCACCAAGGGAGTTATCTACACTCCATGTGTAAAAACCATAGATGTGGAGGGAACAGCCAACCTCTACAGAAGAACATCTGGATACAATATGAACTTCCAAGGAAGATCATCTCAGACCAAGGCCCACAATTCACTGCCAGATTCACAAAAGAACTCTGGAAGAAACTAGCAGTAACAACAGCCTTGTCCATGGTGTACCACCCAGAGATAGACAAAAAAAACAAAAAGGGTAAATCAAGAATTAGAATAGTACCTTTGAGTGTTCTGCAATTACAAACAAACAAACTGGCCCGAACTCCTACCATACACAGAGTTTGCACACAATGTCAGAGAGCATTCAGCAATGCACCAATCCCTGTTTGAACTCATGTATGGCTATAACCTATCCTTCACACCTCAGATAATACCAAGATTTGATATTCCCCATATTAAACAGAGACTGGAAAGGCTGGAACAATTATGAAAAGAAACAAAAGCCAGCCTAGAAGTTGCAGCAGAACTAATGAAAAGGAAAACCACCGAGAATGAAGTTAGACTAAAAGCAGGACAAAAAGTTTGGCTCTTAGGAGAAAACATAACCATGACACACCTAAAAGACAAACTAGCCCCTAAACTACATGGACCATTTGAAATAGAAGAAAGACTAGGACTAGTAATGTACAAACTAAAACTTCCACCCACATAGAAAATACACCCCATGTTTCATGCCTTCCTAATCACACCATATTAAGAAATGACTGCCCATGGCCCCAACTACAAACAACCGCCCCCTGACCTCATGGAAGGACAAGAAGAATACAAAGTCAAAAAAATTCTCAATAGAAGGAAACAAGGATGCGGATACTGTTACCTAGTACGTTGGAAGGGATATCTGGACTTGTCAAACAAATGGATCACAAGGTCAAATCTGAAGAATGCCAAAGAACTCATAGAAGCCTATGATATACAACACCCTGGAAGCATACCCCTAAGGATGACCCTCGCAAACATCAGACAAACAAACCCAGAAACATATAAAATCTCTAACTCAATCTTCCCCATCCCCTCATAACTTCAACAACCCCACTTCTCTTATAATGATCTTCCTCCTGCTCCAAATGGCTTCAATCATAAACCTCACCATCAACTATTCTGACAGCACCTTTGTCAATGAATCAACACAGATGACTCCAACTCCCAAGTCATCTGTGACAGAAGAACAGTTCTCACTTTCTGACAAAGAACAGGCAGCCTATGAAGCAGGAATGGATGATGAGGCCACTACAAGACTGCAAGAAGAAGAAGATAGGTATAGAGATGAGATAATGGAAGAGCTAAAATATCAGGAGAGACTTAGGCAATACACTGAAGAGGAAGCAGCACACCCCACACCCTCACCCCCTCACTCTCCTTCTCCCCCACCCCTAATCTGTGAAGGAAACAAAGGAATTATCTTTCTAGACAGAGAATTGTACCTTAGCACCCCTGTCACATATCTCATGGGGCTCATAGAGGGGTCACCAAGCACAGAGTTTGTCTTGGGACCCACCTGGCCAGAGATACAGAGGGCACTAGAGATTTTGGAGGAAGAAAGGGCTTTTGTACAACATGCACAGAGCGCTTTACAGATGCGAGAAGGGACCCTCATTGCCCGCATCAATGCAGGTGAGAAAAAATTGATAGGACTCAATCATGCCAAACCCTTCTATAACACTTTTCACCCTGCTGATGACCCCACTTCTGCCACTGGATACTATATGCCATCCATAGCTGTGGTATCTCACACCTTATCTTCAGCTTCAAATGGAAGTCCACTTCACCTGATGCCAGAGACTTATACCACAGGCCCAGACAGAGGGATCTATAGGTTCACATATTCTTCCCCTCGTTTTTAAGCCATCCCCCTGACTTTTGGCCTCCAACGTTGATGAGCATGCACCCACGCTAGGGTCCGAGGGAGGTATTCGGGAAGCTTTTGGGAGATACCGAACAGCGCTCGACAAGTACCAAAGATGCCGACTTGCACCGAACACGGTCGGTCCCTGCCCGACCAATGACAAGCCACCAAAGGACATTCGACAGCACTTGGGTCAGTTCGCCCACACTTCACGTACTCACCATGGCCACACAGGAGTGTTACAATAAGTGTTTACGAGATCGGAGCTAGTATTCCGTATCGGCCGATGTCCTCTGTGAGTCGGTCGGTCCTTATCGCTTATCTTCCCGACTTCCACATGGTCGGTCAAATGTGATCTTGCACCATTACTTGGCCACCCTGATTGTACGATACCTCTTCTTTACTTTTCATTGGTTCTCCAATGCCTGTCCCGTCTACCTACGCTCGGGTGACGGATCCCGAACGTTTGGGATTCCGCCATCGCTGATTAACTTTTACCTTGTCACCTTCGGAACCTATATAGACATCTCACCTACCTTCTTATCTTCTCTGATCACTAAGGCTTGGCGCCTATTTTACATCTACTCTCATTTCTTGTTTAATATTTTATTTAGGGGCTCGGTTTACTATAAAAACCTACATACAACTCTGGAATAAAGCAGCTTTGCGCACCCCATAGTTCAGAGCTCATCCGCACTCGTCTCAACCATCGAAATCGCCTTCGTCGACTTCCGAAAACTTGTCATCCTTGTCGTTCGGCCTCATTCGCGTTCGTACTCATATCTTCGCTTGTACCCCCCGTCCTCCCTCGTATATTGTCAGAGTCCCATGTGGCTCTTGAAGCACGTAGTTGTCGGTCGTGACACTACCGAATGTTCAGTCAGTGTTTGGTGCTGTCCCGAAACCGTTCGGGAGCTATAATCTCACACTCCCCATTGCTTCTCAGTACGCCTTCAATTTCTAAAGTCATCACTAACAATTCCTTGTGTATTAGATACTAGCTCCAGCACCCCTGCATTAGAGGTTGTTTTAGTGTTGTGCTCGGCACTTAGAGCCACCTCTAGCGTATCAACGTCTACCCACATATACCAGACTTCCCATTATTGAGTACAATTCTAGCGACTCTGGCACACTCCCCTTTGTCAATTACTGCTGCATCCTCTGAAGAAAGCAGGTGATTGTCTGGTATGACATTAAACTGCCGGGGCAGATGACGGTTCAAATCCATTGGGCCAGTACTCACTGCCACAATAAGAAGAGGGACTCAGCTCTAAGATACAGTCCCCACATAGTTCTAACGAGGTAAGGTATCATAATGTCCATACTGAAGGGCTATCATGCTATGACTCGGCAGTGGGCAATGAGAATTAGTGCCCTAAGTATTATTCTCTTATGACCTGTAACTGATTCTATACGCATTGCTTATGTTTTTCCTGAACTCTTTACTTACTGTTTCTGGCACTGATGGCCTAGAGGAGGGGGTGATGTTATGAACTGCTTACTATATCTTTTCTTGTTTTACCATAATCCATATAAGGGTGCCTAGGACCTTTCTCCCAACTCTACCTTGTGTTCCTGATCCATTGTTACTTGGTCCGTGCTCCTACTTGTACATATTTATAGTAGCTGTGGTACAGCAGGGAAGCCTTAGGCTATCTACTTCTGTCCAATTTAGGAACTGCTGTTAATCAGTGTTCTCTGATTCAAAGACACTAGTCTGATTAGCTCAAACCCTTCACCCTCACTCTATCCACACCATTACTAATCAAGTGGCCTAGGATACTCTCATCCCGAACAGCCGTTTATGACATTTTGTGCTAAGGGCATGTGTTTGAATTATAGTCATAGTTGTCTTTTGGTAAGGGTTCAAACAGATGTATCAGAGGCTAGTTGCTAAATGTATTGAGTAATTGTTGTATCTAATGCCAGCTCTGATTTGGGACTGCTAACATTTTTGGGATATATTCAGCCATTTAGATGGATATATACAAGGCATATATGGCACACATAGAATATATCTACTAAACTGATTACCTACCTGGATTTGATAAAGCTAAGATAGGGCCAAAGTCATTTAGCTTTATTCTGAAACTAATTAGCTTTGTTGAGGCATTTTTGCACTGTATGAGTTGGAAGCAACCCCTATTGCATAACAGCTAACATGATGCTGAATAAGGTCCCGGTAGTGTAATAATTCTTGAAAAGGATGTTCGGCTGTGTATCTGCTGGGCAACTTTTTTGCCCATTTACTAATGCCAAGGAGGGCAAAACTCACACAGCATGGATACAGTGGTAATTTTCTGTCATACACGATAAAAGGAGAAATTTGGACTATAGGCTCAAGGGGGACAAGAGACAGATGTGCTCTAAAGTCGAAGATGCGGTGGAAAGCCAATATAACTAAATTGGTTTGATTTTGAAATGAAGGGAAATGAGAGAGAAGATGAGGCACTATGTGGGCAATGACTATCAGAAGTCAAGGTTGAAAGAAAGGCGCAACGTACCCGGAGATCCTGCACCAGATAATAGAATACACGCAATCCTTCCGGGTCCTCGCTATCCTGTATATCGGCTAACGAGCCAACTTTCGCGGTCTATGATAATGATGGTTGAGATATTTACCCAACGGAAATGGAAAAGACGAACCTCAAATGCGATGTGGTCATTGCCCACGCGGATCTCGAGCTCCTGCTTCCCCACAATATTTTTCTTTGGCCAATTAGTGTCATCTTCCCTAAAGAAGTGAAAAAGAAAGCGTGATCGCGAGTCAGAAAGGGAGTACAATTCAAACGGAAACGAAACGTACTTTGTGATCTCACTCTGCTCTACAATGCGCTTGAGCTCCTTCACTACCAACGGTCCTACCCACACTGTGATCATGTCGAGAAACGAGCGGCAGAAATAATGAACTGTATCAGCGGAGTCGAGACCTATTGGTGAGATCACGCACTTTCTTTGCGGATTAGAGAGTCATTGCGGTAGTTAGAGTTGTTAGCATATCGGAGGCGGCCATGCGAGTACTCGAATTCAAGAAATTCGTGCCCGTGTTTGCCAGAGTGGCCCGTACTGTGCAAATGAGACGGAGCCGGATTAACGAAAACGTGGGGGACGAAGACTGTTGACGCGTACTAGTATCTAACAGCACAAACAACCATTAGCTATAGTATTATGAGATACGGTGAGCATCTACCTCAAGTAGAAAGGGTCTTTGTCGTATGAGGACATCGCTTTGTCGTCGTCGTCGAATGCAATGAACCGCGTTGTGGCTGAGAGCGATGTTGGCTGCGTTTGGCAATGGGCAGTCCATGGACCTAGTCTCTCAGCATGCAGCGACTATTGCCCCCCTTTTTAAGCTACTAGGCTCATAATATGTAGTGCAGTCACATAGTCTAGTATAAGTGCTTTGATAAATCACGACGAGCGCTCAATGACCGGTAGTGTCGCAGAGCTGCCCTCGATAGACTGCATCTCCTCTTTGACAATCTGCTGCCCCACTGCCTCGACCTCCTTTTTTGTTGTGAGATGACCAGGCATCATCTGCTCTACCATCATGTCCATCCGTTTCTTCCCCACCCCTACAGGTAGTCTGTGCCACCTTACAATTCGCATACCAACGCCCGGCATGGCATGCCTCTCCATGTATTTGACCCACCGATCCACAACCTCCTGGTCGGCGTCAAACGCCTTGATAGCACGCTTGTGCACCAGACGTTCGAAATTTTCCTGCGACTTTTTGTGAACAAATGGTCCTCGTGGGACAGTCCACATAGAACGCTGGGTGGGGAGTGATGCAACACCGGACACAGGGATTCCAAGCGACGCAGCAGCGTGCGAGGCGAAGTGCGTAAAAAGAGCGAGGAGGGGAGGGAAATAAGAACGGAAATGGATGAGCGCAACAGGTATTCCGTGTGTTTGGGGGTGCCGGAAAGGGGTGAGGCTGCCGCGTCCATTGACCACTGTTGAGTGGTATTCGTGCTCCTCGGGATCAGAGGGAGCCCGCTTCTTCACAGGGTCAGAACTTGAAAACATTGTCAGTGAAATGCGGGACATGAATAAGAGAGAACTCACGGAGAAGCCACTGTCTGTTTCGAGCGTGTCCATTGCGTTGCCGCGGGTAGAGCAAGACGCGCTCGAATTCGAACGCTGGCCCTCACAACAGTCGAGAGCATTGGAAAACGGTAGAGAGCTGGTCTTGCTACTGGCTCTAAACCTCTCTAAACCCGGTCACTCCGGCTAACGCCGAATTTCCCGACGCTTAGTCTGGGCTCGAAAGCCTTGTGACCTGCAACCTCATCCCGCTCGTGAGACAAGTATGCCTGCAACCACCCAGTCTGAGATAGACACGCTGTATAGCCAGGTACACAGACGCTTAGTAGATTCAGGAGAATGGGACCGGTACATCTCTTGAGATTGACTCTTGACGGTGACCAGGCTCTGATTCTCGCACAGAATCAGTTTGTCACTGAAATATAAATTGAACGACGAAGGATGGATTGACCAATTGCGAGGGAAGTCCAAAGGTGTGTCTCCACACCTATCACTCTATGAACGTACTTCGATATCTCAGTGTGGGGGTACTTCATCTTACAGAGCAAGCAAGAGTGATGGAACCTCTGTCCTTGCGCCAGTTATTAGAACTTGTTGAGCCGAGCGCACAAGGTGAGGATTTTCCAGAGGAGAAACAATTTCTTTGTTCAGTCATCCTTAGCTTCTGTCCCAGAGACTGTCAAACACCAAACTCTAGTCTTGATTCGTCAATTCCTCGAGAAGCAATTTGATAACTGACCACGTAATTTCATGCCGACACGCAAGTTGTATTTTTATTTGATACCCATAATAACGGCACCAACTTTCTGTACGCATATGCACTCTATCACCCATAACTCTACACTGCCAAGCGCCGGTTTCATCTTTTGTGGACTTTCGCAAGCCACTGCAATTAATTATACTCTATCTGCATAATATTTACCAGGTAAAACCAACGCTCGATCACCGTCAATTGATCTATGGATTACAACCGCTGAACGCCAGTCCTTGGGCAATTTGCGCTTTGAGTCGAACTCTCTTCGCTAATCACAACCAAAATGTCGGTTGTTTACGACTGCTGAGATGGTAACGAGACCTAGGTGCGGGTTAGCATATTGATACCTCAGCGCGCACCTCATCGTTATAGCAAATACGTTCTCTCACAGATCTCACAACTCAAAGCAGCACAAATCTACGAACTAGGCATCGGGGACTATGGCTATCCAGGACTCTACTAGACAGCTCAACATTCCAGTCAGAAAAGGAATGGGGAGATGCACGTTAGCGTCGGGTACTTGACAGATTTCTCCGAGGATACACCTGTTGAATTGTCTCCTCATGTTTAACATACATCATTCGCATGCTTTCACGCCTTGACATCTCGTCGAAAATTAGATTATCAAGTGCAAACAACATTCATTTCCCAAGAAATTCAAATAAAAGACACGCAACAGGCGAACACGAAGATATAGCGGAACGAGAGAACATTACCCCTGGTCTTCCGCCTCAAACCCAACTTCACTCAAGAAGACGTATCCGTTGTATTGCTGAAGGTCGTGACTTATCAGCACGGCAACCGTCCGTCTGAGGTCACGCCCACTTACGAGTGGCTGACGCTGCGCGCGACACGAATCAAATAATCAAGAACAGGGGGCAAGCATCAAAGGAACAGAAGTGCATACCCGAGTTCCCATGTCCCATCCGGAGCTTTGCATGACGCCAGAGAGTTGACGGGGTCAGTAGGCGGGAAGCACGCAGCCGCTGCAGCAGAACCGGTATTCGCCTGCAGAGTACAACGTAAATGAACAGGTCAGGTCTTTGGATAATATGACATCTGGAGTGCGAGACGCACTAGGTCTTGCCAGCAATATTCCTCGGGTTCGCTTCCCAGGTTCTCAAAGAAGAAACGGCATGTTCCAAATGTGAGCTGCTGGATGTGCGATGGCTGCACCACGAACGTTGGGGCTATGATCCGACCCCTTCGATCAGCTCGACAAGCCTGAAAAGCGGAAGGATTCAATTTTTACCTGCATTGCCTGCGAAAATCTGAATGGCATCCTTGATCGTTTGGCAATCTTCAGTAGTAGGCGGGAGATCACCCAAACTACCGCAGAAGGTATTACCTGGAATAAGATGTAAAAAATATGGCCATATCATTTCGAGAGATCCGCACAGATAAGGCCACAAACATCCACAGGATCCGTGGTGTTGGTGTCCTGAGCTGCTGCTTCGACAACTCGTGTAGAGCTATCACAAGCAAGAGTGGAAAGCACAACAGAGTTGCCTCCAACCGTGATGACACTGCTATCCACAAGCTTAGTAGAGGAGCATGATGCCTGGGGAGCTGAACGAGAGACGAAATCGTTGAATGGGATCGCTGTGGCGATGAGAGCCAAGGTAGCAAGGACGACCAATCGTTCAAAGAACATAATGAACACCTAGATGAGGATAGAAGGAAAAAGCCTGAGATGTCTCTTGCTACGCTACTCAGTCCAGAGAGACCCACTCTTTATACGATTCTCCTGAGTCGACTGTGCCTCTGTAGTGTCAATCGCGAACCACGGCGAAGGTCTCAACGCCGGAAGTCGCAAGGTACGAGAACAAATAGGTCCCAACACCTATTGAAAAACAGGACAGCAATAACATCAGGCGCCGATAGAGAAGCTTCCCAGAGCGCATCGCCCAGCTGGCACCTGGGGCATTAACTGTTAGCACTGCATGACAGAAATTAGATACCTTGCATATAGCGCGGCTGGGAGCTAAAGCTTGAAGAACCGGATGCAGATTGATTCAACTCACAACGGGCGCCGATAATGCCGCACAATGACAAGGGAACTATGCCGAAACAACCACATCTTGTCGTGTGAATTCTGATGCCAAAACCGAACGTGGAATCCAGTTCAATGGTGTACTTGATGGAAGAATACCCACGGTTGAATGACAAGGGGAAGGACAATTGGGCGAACATAGAGCGGGTCCAAGGGGCAAACACACTGCACATGCAATGGAAAAGCGCTCCGGACGTGGCATTGCATGGGCCTGGGTCGAGCACCCCGAACGATGGTGATCCGTACCTCGATGTTCCGTGCGGGAATGGTACTGTCACTGGCCCTATATTTGGACAAACTGGACGAAAAAAAATCCTGCCCTCCGGAGACTTCGCCTTGTCCCCAAAAATTGGCACGAACAATCCCTGCTAGACCTTTTCGAGGCCTGTATACTTTTTTTTGGTAGAAGTGGGGAGAAAAGCAGAAATTTGAGAACGAGACCGTTGTTCGGACAGTCTGGTCACACCGGGTCATGAATCCGCATCGCGCAGCCGAAGCGGCCGCCTCTGATTTCAGACTCCGACACTCGCACCTGCCCGAACTGTTTAGACGAGGATCTCAGTGTGCACCCAATCATGAATTTAAGGAGGGACATCATGTTTCTTCCTAGCCTTGCAAAGGCTAAGGCTGACATTTCCTAGTTCTTTGACGGCTACTTGGGGTTGCTCTTCAGTGTACCGGATTCGAGGTTTATGCTTGTTGCCACCCTGTAGGGTTGATGTGGAGAACTGTTGTGAGACAAGGGTGTCACCTTGGTTAAACATAGGAGTGGGGGGGAGTTTATGACTTAGGAGACTGTAGGTTTAGTATAGTCTATGGCACGGTTGAGGAGGGGAGACAGCGGGGACAACCTGCGACACAACTTGTTGGAATGCCGGCTGGTTGCCGGTGGAACCTTGGGCGGAGAATGAATTTGCACTCCCCTTCTCCAACGCTCCGTGTCCGAATGTCATACATGATACCTTATATTTTCTTACGAGTGCAACAACACAGTGTGCATTTTCTTCACATACTGGAACCAATATATATGAGCTACAGTATGCCATACAAAAAAATATGGACCAGCAGTATCTTTCCTCGCGTGGTCCGACTCATCCGAGGCGTGACATTGGGCTTGCAAAGATACATTTTCCGTTGCTCGCGCCGCTGCGCGCAGGCGCGCATTTTCAACAATTAGGAACATGAATCACCCTTCAAAAATCTCAAATTTTCAGAAACCAAGTCTACACTATTTAACATGATTTATGGTCAAAAGAATGAGGTCGATGCATCGAGCAATGAGCGAGAAACAGACTGTCCGAACATCGGTTTTGTCCGAACATAAGGCCAGTGACAGTACTGCCCAGCATGGGATCACCATAATCTCCGGAGCTAAAAGCAGGAACTGATGCCATGAATCCTGAAACAAACCGAATACCGATGTCTGAGACGCTGACCAGTGAACATCGAATGTCGATGCTGTCACCCAACAGGTTCCTGACATGCACCTTGTATGATTTTCCGATAGAACCGTCAGAGTAAAGTCCAGCAGTGAAGCGAAGAGTCTAACATGTGAAACCCGTCGGAGTCCAAAAGGAATTTTGTTCCCAGCGCGAATAAAGCGGGCGACGGAACTTGCACATCCGCACCTGGGATCCTGTGTGATCCAAATCCGATGTCATGATCTTCGGAACTACACGTCTCTGTCGGCGATTGAGGGCACAGAAGCAGTGACAGTCATGATGCCAGCGCATCATATTCACGATAGAAAACGAGCGGTCTGGAGAGCTCTCACATTGAATGTAGGCACGCTGGGTGGGGAGAGCATGTGAAGATCAGTATGACATGCGTGCGCATTTAGGTCCGTTCCCTTACCCGGCCGTAGATCCTGAAATTCTTTAGGTACAGATCAGCACAGGGAGCCGTTTCTTGTTTGCGCGGAATAGACAGAAAAACACGATGAGCACTAAGAGCACTAGGAGCGAAGGATATCTTAAACAAGTCGAGTCTTAGACTCTCTCCTGTACGGACGAGTACATCTTCATATCTTGCAGCACAGCGTTGTTTCGGTTTGGGGTAAGTTAGAAGAGGGATTGAAGCTGGATGAGGCTGGACGAGGCTTGGATCTCCGCAGAATCTAGTTCCTGATGTGAGCCTGGCGCGGTCCAGCCTCGCTCGGAAATCCCCGCCCAGGTATCTAGTAAGTAAGACTGGATGCCTGTCTCAAGCCTGACGAGAGCTTAAGCGCCTATGAGCGATCGACGGTGGCCGACAGTAGCTTGACATAGATGTAAGATTTGAATGTTATTCATCGTAGATACGTATGTAAATTGTAGAAATACTGTAAGCGACGGTCTGACGTTGATTTCATTCTTCCCGTCTGAATCTCATCATTTACGAGTGGCTTACACTGTCAATCAGACAATCAGTACGTCAGGCCTCATTTTCAGGAAGATGAAAAACCGCACCCAACTTCCCAGGTATTGTCCGGTGCTTCGCACACTGCAAGAGAATTTACAGGGTTGGTTGGCGGGAAGCACTGCGTTGCTGCGACAGATCCTGTGTTGGCCTATGTGGACGGAAAAGAGATAATATTCGGTTTTTAAATCAACCGACCGTACAGAAAGAATGACTCACGAGATCCTGCCAACAATACTCCAAAGGCACTGTACCAAGATTCTCAAAAAAGAAGCGGCAAGTTCCGAATGTGAGCTGTTGAATGTGAGCAGGCTGAACAATGAATGTCGGCGCTGCAAACAGTCGCAAATCAGACTCGTATTCCCACAGAGTACAAGGGGGACCAACCGGAATTTCCTTCGAAGATTTGAATGGAATCTTTGATCACTTGACAATCGTCGTCTATGGGAGGGAGTTGACCGAGGTCACTACAGAGTGTATTGCCTACGAGAAACAGTCAATGAACATGTCAGAAAGGTTGGATATTGTGCGCACAGATCAGTCCACACACGTCGGTCGCGGTGGGCGTAGGGCTGGGCGAGGCCGTGACCGTGAGGGTCGCTGTGATCGTGTCTGTGTCGGTTTCAGTTTGCGTCACGGTCGCAATCGAAGTTTCTGTATCGGTTTCCGTGATCGTTGTCGGCTTCACAATCGTGACCGTCGAGGTGTGCTTGACTGGTCTAGGTTTTGGTGGGCAGAACAAACCGAGAATAGGACACAGGATACCAAGGAGCCCATCAGCCTGGAGCTGCACGGTGCAAGCAAGGACGTCGAGTGTCACAGTGTTGTTGCCGATCGTAACAGAACTACTGGAGACAGAAACGGGGGACCCACATGTCCCTGCATCGCGGCCTATATCCAGTAAGGAGGACTGCTTTTTAGCGTCCGTGGGCTACAGGGCTGGATGAACCAATACGTACCGATCAAAGGGTTGGCCAAGCCAGAGTAGGGGATCGCAATGAGGGAGAGGCAGAGCACTTGAAGAAGGGCAGGCGAGCGCATTGTAGCTGGCGTGTATCGAGCTGTGCAATGGCTGGTAGAATCAACTTCACGAGGAACGCGACTGTGTCGAGGCCCTGGTATCTGTGAAAGGGAGCATGGTCGGTTTTATATGCGCAGATCGAGCTTCATCTGAGGGAGACGTGATGAATGCACATTCTGTTAGGCGTCAGATGCGTCCGGATCACAATTCCTGAAGCACTGGGGAAAGATTGGATTCGCATGCCGGGAAGACCAGGGGCAAGAGTGCGGATGACTGATTTTACATTTTGAGCATAGATCCATCGCATTGATATAGCCAGGGGAGATGAAGGTACGGGTCAGAGCAACGAGAGGTACGTTACCTTGTCGGAACGCAATTGAGAAGCGTGACAGACGGAGATGCAGGGGCGGGAAAGAATCAGCGGGTCAACGCTTCCATTAGCACAGGAATATTACAATAGGAGAAGCCCTTCGACGTGTACGCGAATTGCATTGTGCGAAACTTGAGGTTTGTAAAAGCATACCCTCTGACCATGAATGCTGCAGGGGGTCTCGAGCGGCCACCGCATAGAAAACGCTCGTGAGAAGGTTCGAAAAAATCCGGTCGCTGTTAAAGAGCCCAAAGCAGGCGCCAGTGTGAACATCGATTTTATCTGTGCCTCTCAGATCTCAGAGCGCTGAAGGAAGCCGCATCAGATGAAAAGCAATATACCGCGTAGATCTCTGACCCTCGGACTTTGAGGCATTGAACGCTCAAGGACCGGCTACAGTGCTAGCTATCAGAGGATAGGTCGGAAATCTGATCCAGAGAGTGATCCGTGTGAACACACCTACATCAGACAGGCCAAGCGATGAGACATTATCTGAGTGCCGGGCAATACCGTCCTCGTAGAACCTGACTGGATAGCCTCTTCCGGGCCGACTCGAGGAAGAGTATCCATATTATGCGTCGTGATAGGCGACATCGATGGGGAAAATACGTTTTCCGTTCCCTGCGCCTGTGATCTATTCGTTCTTAGAGATTCCTCGGGCCCTTCCACCATCAACCAGTCGATTAAAGGTATCCAGAGTTGTTAAATCGTCTGGATGGCTGCACCGTGTTGCCCGACAAGTTCATCCAGTTAGATCGCGGTGTTACAGTACTCGATGATGCAGAAGTTAGATACGTCGATTGGAGTGTATTAGAGACAAGGAGGGTTGATTAGATTTTTTGAGCCGCCCACCATCCCATGAAATGACACACCTGCTGTTTCAGCTTTTTGGAGGAGATATATCCACGAGACTTGCGTGTAGAGGCAATGCTGCAGGATGACAGATCAGGACATTCACAGACCATGAGGCAAGGGCGTGTTGGTCTGTTGCAGTCAGGCGCCATAATGGGCGGGCACCTGTCCGAGGTCGATGGGTAGCCACCCTGTAACATGTACATGAGAAGGGTGAGCGCACTGCGCACTGCGCGGAGACCAATGGCACTAGCGACTTCATTAGTGAGGAGCAGGGTTGGATAGGGTTGGATCAGGCAGCCTTGTGTCGGCTGTTGAACCCGTGAACTGTCTGTTTGGTATTCCAAGGGCTAAATGTAGGAGACTAAGTACCCGATAAGCCTGGGACAAGTAGATGAATAATTGTGTAATAAACGCGCTGAAGGCTGAAGGGAGGTTTGTTTTGGGGTTGACGGAGCTCGTGCGACGTGCAACGGCCCTTTCATCTTCCCCGCGTCCTCGACGTTGATGCCACCTGTGTCTGCCTCCTATATCTCGATCTTCGAATATATATCCGACTACAAGTCTGCAAGAAGTCCGTATCGTCATCTTTTCGCCTTCTTCTAAATGCCTCACAAGACGGTTTCGGGTAGGATGGACTACACCTTCGGTGGCAAATACAGGCTTGAGGAGGAGCTCGCAATTGGCGGTTGTGGTGCGTTATTGATTCTATGTACGCTCCCTTTCCCTTGACTAAGTGTCCGTCAGGAACCGTCTTCTACGGTGTGCACACCGTGGCCGGCAAAGAAGTCGCCATCAAAGTCGAACCCGCCATCGCCAAGCATAGCCCTCTCAAGCACGAATCCAAAATCTACAAATCTCTTATGGGAGGACCAGGCGTCCCCTGGATCATTTGGTCTGGAAAGCAAGGCGACTACAATGTCATGGTCATCGACCTCCTCGGTCCTTCACTCGAAGACCTCTTCAAGATGTGTAATAGACACTTCTCTCTCAAGACTGTACTCTTACTCGCTGACCAGTTGGTGCGTTTTTTTTTCCTCCAATGTACACCCCGGTATATATATCATACTTTGCTCGAATTGCGAGAAGATTCCTGTTTGGGACGCACGCTAGCCAGTTGTGCTCTCACCTTGCTATGCGCCTCAGGCTCGCACGTTGCCCTTTCGTGGGTGTCTTCGTCTAGATGACACCGTATAAGGGTTTTTTGTACATATTTATCTGCTTCTTTGTGGCACCATTCACGTTGTTGAGTATGGAAGGTCCATTGACACCTCCTCATTTTCAGATATCCCGCATTGAATTCATTCATTCTCACGACCTCGTACACCGCGATATCAAACCCGCCAATTTTGTCATGGGCACCGACCGTGCCTCGTATATCGTCAATGTCATTGACTTCGGTCTCGCTAAGAAGTTCCGCGACCCACGAACGGGAGGACACATCCCGTATCACCAAGACCCTCACCACGGCGTTGGGACGTCGCTTTTTGCCTCCATCAATACCCATCTCGGCATCGGTGCGTCTTTATCTTTTCGAGCCTACAATCTCGTGTTGAAGTCTAGTAGAATGTTCACCGCGAGATGACCTGGAGTCTCTCGCGTACATGTTAATCTATTTCCTGCGCGGGACGCTACCGTGGCGGAAAATCAAGTCCACCACCGTGGTGGGCACGTGGGATCTTATCCGGGACGCGAAGCTCGCGGCCGAAAGCACAATCACACATAATCTTCCCCGCGAGTTTGGTGTGCTCTACGAGTACTCGCGCGCTTTAGCCTTCGGAGACATACCCGACTATGCTGGAATGCGTGAAATGCTCCGTGGCCTTGGGATACGCGTTGGCGCGCGGTATCCAGACTTTGATGACGCGTCGAGCCTTTCAGGCTCTTCGACCACTGGTGCACCGGAAGACTGGTGTGGATTCGATTGGATGGTTGGAAGAAGTGGCGAGAGCGAGAAACGAGGGCGCGTATGTGAGGCGTGCAATAAGCGAAGAGAGGCGTCCTCTTCATGGCGGGGGCGCGAGTAGTGTATATCAAAGTATATTTCGAGGTCATTCCGTTGTGTTATAGGACGTGAGTGTGCTTGACTCCGCCTGCTGTACGATCTGCTAATGGGTTTTCCCCACATTGGTATGGTGTGCGACATCTACCGATAGTAAGATATCGGCAATATGCCACGGTTATCACACTCCTTCTAGGTGCAGGGCGGCCTTCTTATTCTCCCTCGATGCCTACGCAGCGTCTTTTATTTCCTTTGGCATGTTGGGCTTGGCTCATGGCCTCGCGATCGCAACTTCTTGAAACCCCGTCTCTCGCCCTCACTATCTTGTCCTGCGAGCTTTGGAGCCTATTCTTTCCCCACAAATTCGGGCGCGGTGATGGCGGTCCCGCAGTGCCTCGTGGATTTTATGTACTACGATAACTGTCAGTGTATTTATTCGTTTCTCTTGTTGAATCTTATGCTGATACTTGTCTGACACTATATCGCAGACGACCGCAGAAGGACATGGTTCTTGATGATATCTTGCCGAGCGTATGACTGAACGACTCGTATGACCGAAACCGACATTTTCACGATTGGTACGAACACTCTTCACATACATGCCGCAAGGCCGCGATCCATCATGCCTGTTGTTTAGATATTTTCTTTCATAGTTAATACCGTCGCCTAGCCCTGCCGCTGTGATCACATTCTTTATACGATTCGCTTTGCCCCTGAACGTAAGACACTGTCTGTGCCATTTGTTTCTGCCTTGCTTTGTATACACACTTTTAACGGACACGCCTCGAATGCATATCTTGATAAACTTCCTGTGACTGCCTGATTCGAGAGCATTCGCGATACTTCAATCGACAAGCGAACCCATCGGCTACTTCCTGACTGTGACCAATCACTGACCAATCAGGCCTTCAGGATGCCCAAGCCACCATTCGGCGATCCGCGAACTTGTTCGAGTCGGGATTCACCACTTCGCTAACTGGCAATATGTGGATGGGCGTTGTTGGGGCAACATCTGGCAACATACTATGAGTGTATCACAGCTATGGTCATACCATGCTATTCAATGCCCCGCTCACACGCTGCGACGTCTCAAAGCCGTCAACTGCCGCCACACACTTCAGATGGACGAGAACGCACAAAAATGTCCTCGCTTGGGCCCCGTGCTTGAGCCCAAGGTACGTATGCACATCCTTGTATCGCATCATTGGCTCGCACATATAGATCTCGGCAAATCCTGGCAAATAGAAGCGGTCAGAGTGTTCGCCATGGCCTTGCGATGGCGACAAAGCGAGATGTGGCGCTTGTCTTCGAACAATTGCATGGCCACCTAACCACCCGCGCAGAGCCAATTGAATTTGCTCCTCCTGCTGTATAACAACGCCGCCTCATCTCGCGGTCTCCCCACCCGAGACCATCAGGTACACATACATCATGCATGAAACAAAGCCACCGTGGTGCCAGGTGGTTGTGGCTTGAACCCATCGACAAAGCAACAAGGTCTGTGTGGTATATAAACGGGAGGTCATGGCGAGGTTCCCCCACTTCTTCTCTTCACTCCCGCATATTGTTATCACTGTGGCCCCCTTCAATCAACAACGCTATCATGACTGCCCCCCACGCTCCTTTTATCTGCACTAAGACTTTCGGAGAGTTCTCTCAAGAGATCTACAAAATCCAGCGCGTTCTGGGAGAAGAGGCGACAGAATACTTGGGTGTGTATCCCAACTTTGAAGCACTCGAGAAAGTAGAGAAACAACTGTGCGGCTTTTCGTCCTGTACATTCGCTCTGGGCTCACCAGCATCTTTGTCTAGAGCGCGTTGTGTGCTTTCTTCTTCTAGATGCTTTGAGTGCGAGGATCAGTATGGTGGTATTCCAGGCCGACTGTTGACCCTTCTCGACGGAATGGCCTTTTCCGGGTTTGAAGAGTTCTTCCGCAAAGGTATAATCGCGCAAAGAGCATGCGCTGCCATCATTGTTAGCTATAGACTGTTTGTGAGTAGTCTTCCGCTTGTCACATCTTGCTCATTGCTGATCATCTACAGGTAGTCGTGAAACTGGTGCTGCAACAATTGTACCTGAAAGAGGACATAAGTAAGCGATATATTGTGTGCACAGCAAACACGACACCTATGTTTTTGTCACCAGAAAACTACAGATATTTAGAGGAAGAATTTGATGGGTATATAAGAACATTTAATATATTCTCGCCTTGGAGGACGATCGAGCCAGATCTCGAATTATTTGGTGCGTTCTCCTCTTCCTCCTCATCCTACACGTGCCCTGCTGAATGCGCTGCGTGGGTGTCTCTCTCAGCAATACCACTGGTGACGTCCCTAAATCCGAATCAATGGCGAACTCGGTCATTTGTCTACCTATCGGACGATCGCGAATGGGCGAACAAGGCTTTTGGGAGGCCTCACGCGATCCACGAAACGAACGATGTGCAGAATCCCACTTACCGAAGGCCTATGGAATTTTTAAATCCACCTTACAATGCTGAAGCTATCGCGGAGGAGAGGCGCAGATACGAGGAAATGGGCCGCATCGGAGGCTTCGACTACCCACCACAGGCCCTTGAAAATACTTCTTACCCTACTCCGGAGCCCTCTCCCCCTCCCTACTAGTCGTATAGATCAGACTTTCGCCTTTGGACAAATCGACAGTGTACATGTGGCGTTCGTGGATACCAGATGTTTCGCAGTGCTATATATAATATATTTACATTCCCTCTCTCGTCACCGCAAAACTTAGTCTCTCCTGCTCACGAATAGCATATGAATTGACGGTGTCGTAGCTGCAAATTGACGCATCCACTGTCGTTGGAGCTTGAACGAGTCCAATGTGATTTTCTTCATGTCATCGTCGTAGGTCTACAAGAACTCTCACACTCATAAAACACGACGATCGTTGTAGTAGCATTGAGTCCGCCCTTCCAGAGCAAGCACATCTTGAACGGTGAGCGCTTTGAGCCTTCGTGCTTCACCCGACAAGCCCGCCTTCGCTCGCAAGATTGTGCTTGCGATACAGCATATTCAACCACTACAGCCATACCTGCTGGATGTTGTACTCTTGCTAGAATCGCTAGTCATCGCTATCATACGGCGCAAAGAATGAAGAGTCATCTGCAGTTGAGGGACTGCATTCAGAAGAGTCGAGAGACTAGTCCTAATTACGATGTACAAACAATGTCGGGCGCGTGGTAGTGCTCTATCTACAATCGTGAAGCATTAAAACGTCAGCGAACGTGATGGTTGCCATTAACTCGAATCGTCGTGTGCGAGGCATAATGAGAAAGGGGTTGGGGTGAAGTGATTTGGACGAAGAGAGAAGGGAAATGAAGACAAAAGACCGCCTCGCTCACACCGTATACCCCTGCTCCTCCTCGTCACCCTTATCCGGCCCAACCTTCTCCATTCCGTCCGGTATCCGCCTGCCCTCATCGGTTACATCCGTCCCCTCGTTCTCGTCCACAGCCTCCATTCCTCTACCGCTGCCACCTCCACTAGCTCCGTCCACACCACTTACTCCGACGCCGCCGACACTACCAAGCGGGCTGCTCTTGAACCTCCCACCCTTGCTCGACGGTGTTGCCACCCTTAGAGCGCTGCTTCCAGCGCTCAAGCCACCAGTGCTGCTGCCACCGACTCCGATGGCCGCACCCGCACCAACTTGCGTCTGCGAGACCCTTCGCGCACGATTGCGATCATAGATGCGCGCCTCGATCGACGGTGCGGGCGACGCGCTGCGCGACACGCCCTGCTGTTGTTGCTGTACGCGAACCGCAGCCCTCAGCGACTCCTCGACCACAAGCCCCGCCTGCACGCTGGCAGGACCATCCACAATGATGCTCGGCGGCGCGAGCCCTTGATCTTGTGCCGAGCTGACAGCATCTACAGTCCTATCGTCGCCGTCCGCAACCTTCTCCGCGAGATACCCCGAGGTGCTACCAGAAGCGTCACCGCCGCTGTTGCTGGGATCCTTCACGTCCTGAGGTCTAGGCGTAGGCGGCGCACTCCTGCTCCGCGTGGTCAAGAAGCTAAGGCCTTTGAGCGCCGGGATTGCGATCGGTCGAATTATCCCTGATGTCGCGCTCGGCGCGGGAACGGGCGGTGCGCTATTGACCGGTTTGCCGTGCATATTCAAGGTCAGCGTATCACTGGTGGTGCTGGAAAGTTGCGGAGCTGAGCCTTTGCGCGGGAGAGTGTGTATGGCCGAGAGTGAATTCGACTGGGGCGGGATGTAGCCGGACGGCTCGCCGTGACCAGCGCCCTCTGGGTCGAACTCATCGTAGATCTCTTCGCCGATTAACTCTGCGCCAATACAAGTAGGTAAGTGACCGGTGAAGGATACAGAAATGTATGCATACCTTCCAGAACGTCCTCGAGCGTGATGATACCAAGCGGTGAAATGAAAGGATCGTAGCCTTGCAAAAACTAGACGAGGAAGACAGCATCAGTGTTCTATCAACAATACACAAGCGGAAATGGGCTTACCAGGCCCGCCCCCTCACGGCTCAGCACCGCGTCAGCCGGCATGCTCTGCTCGAGCCCAGGTTTGAACTTCGGCAACTGAACGAAACTATCCTTCTTCGCCTTTTGGAGCTCCGCCGCCTTGGCGACCTCCTCCTTGTTCTCGTCCTTGGACTCATGAGTCTCCGTGGTATTTACAACGCCCATTTCTAGGTCGGTCGGCCTGCTTCGGCGCTTTTTGCGGCCGTTCTTGCGTTTCTTTCTGAACGAAAAGTGACCGCGCTCCTCTTTAGGCGATTCCCCAGAGTTGGAATGTGAGCCCGATTTCGGGGCCGTGAAGTCGCGCTCCCAGAGCGTGTCACCCTTGAGTGTGACGTCGTGGTCAGATGAGCCCCTGCTCGCGCTCGCGGCGTCCCCACTCTCGTCCTCTTCCTCGTCTGTATCGCTCGAGCTTGAGTCGCTGATCCCGACACGGTCCTTCAAGCGCTGCGTAAGGCCCTTCTTCACGGCCTTCTTCACGCTAGCGGCCTTCTCGACGCTGAAACGCGAGACGATCGCCATGTGCGAACGGCCCTCTTGAAATTTATCGAGGATGCCAAGAAGTGGCTCGTTCTGGGCGACCGAGGGAACCTTGTTAAGTGGAACGCTGCGAACAGGGACGGCGTCCTTCGGATCTAGCAACACACACTGCATTTGTCCCGCGTGAGCACTCAGGTGTTCAAAAAATTTCAACAGGCCAAGGCTGGGCATCACGGGTCGCTCACCTGCTTGACTAACAGAACACCGACGATCTTTTTGACCTTGACCAACTGTCCTTCGTTGTCGGGCATCTCGACCTCCTCGTACACGGGCACACGGCTGTGTCCAGTGGCACACACTTGCTTGAGGGTCTTGTAGTCTAATTTCGCGTCGATCGATAACATAAAGACGTTGTCGATTTTAGTCATGGCTTGTTTGGCAGTCTTCTCCTGCAGATCGAGCGTCGCGCCAATGATGGTTACGGTGTCGGAACGAAGGTCGCCACCGTGGATGCCCATGGATGAGTGCATTGCGATCAACTCTTTCAGCTCAGCTCTACGATATATGATACCATGATGCGGTCCAAGGATAAATTCAAGAAGTTTTGCAACGGGCCACGCGACAATACCCTGCAAAATAACGGGAATGAGCATATATATAGAAAGTGTGGCTGGTAGAAACTCGATATACCAGAGTATACAACAACACCCTAACGAATGGGGCCATCTTTGCACCAACTAGAAGCCCATGTCGAGTGCAAACGGATTGAGGAATGATCTCTGCAAAACTGAAAAGGTGTCAGATGGCGAATTTTGGAAAGACACAGAGACAAAGAGCTGAAAGAGATCGCTCACTAGCGACGTGAGGAGATGGTCCATGAGCGACGCGCAGAGAGTGAATTTGTGCCTCCAAAACGGGTGCAATCTGGCCATTAGCCTTCGTAGAGCAACAGATCAAGAAAACATCCGCCGAGGCAGAACCGTCGGCATCGCGGCGCATTTGGCCGTGACGTCATATCCGCTGAGCGGCGCGACGCGTCGTAACACGCGCGCCGATGCCGACACCGATTCGTGAGGCTCCGTTCCTCCCGATGGGGCTAGATGACGTCGTGCGGCACAGAGTGTGCTCCAAACACGGAAATGACACAGCGGCTTGAACCGAACAGGACACGAAGCAGACGCAGAAACAGCGGCCGCGGGGGACAGAAGGGGACGGCGACTCACATGACAATGAGGACCGTGCTGACGACGACGCTCTGCACGCCGCCGCCCAGGATAGGGTCGGAAATGACGGGAAGCGTCTCGTTGACAATCATGTTGGCGAGGAGCAGCGTGACGAGGAGCAAGTGCCCGTTCTTCCGAATAGGCATAATCTTATTTGCATACTTGCGCTGCTGCCTGTGACACCCAAGCAGGAGCGAAAAGCGCCGGATGAGTCAGTCGGTCAGACAGTCAGCGGAGCCTCGAATCGCGGAGACAAGCAGGAGACATACGGGGTGCCACTGATACTCAGCACCTGGAGCTGCGTCTCGTCGAGAGACATATAGCCCAGTGTTAGACCGGCAAACACACCCGACAAGATGACAAGGACGGGTATGAGGGTCGCGAACACGATGAACTTGGTGTCGTGCGGCTCGCTCTCTTCGCGACGCGCAAAGGTGTGCAAGCCGGGACTGACGGCAGGGGCGGCGGAGAGGGGGTTGGAGAAGAGCGGCACATGGTGTGAGACAGAGGCGGCGATGGAGAGAAGAAAAGACGACGCGGAAGGGGAGATGGAGGTGAGCAGAGGAGATGGGACCATAGATATGGCGAGTTGTAGAGGCCGTCGGGCGCGTTTATAGGCAAATAGACCAAGGCCGCTGACGTAATTCAATTATGTAAAGCTCTGCGGTGCGGGGTAATCTCTGCTCAGGCGACACCGGCTCGTATTTATCCTCCCACTCGCTCTTCGCCGTCACAACCGCGACCCCCCAGCGCTTTGCCCTTTCACTTCCAGCTCGCTTCCACCGCCCGTGGCACGTTTCCTTTTCAACGTGATCATGGCGTCCTCCGACGCGCTTTCTCCTTCGCTTTGACTCGCGCTTGGTTCGATATATGCCGAGTCACACGAGGCGCCGGCACCAGTACAGCCTCCCGCAGCCGTCTTTTACTGGTGTACCCCATAGTGCTCATAACAACCCGACTCCTCCATTACCTTTCATAACGCTCCTTGGAAGCCATAACAGCCATGTGATCTTGTTCGGATACAGAGGCAGTGCGTAATTCTCAATGCAAACAGCGGACAAGTCGCCATTGCACGCCCGTTTGCGTGCGACCCGGCTGCAATCCAAGTCGCCGGATGCGACCAGGCCCCAGACAGATTGGCAGATAGCCCCTGCACATTCCAGATAGAACAGCACAGAACTCGAGAAACACAGGAACACGGTGCCGATGCGAGTAAGCAAAGAGTAGACAGCTAAACTTGGATAGAAGACTCGACCCAGGCAAACGCTAAACTTAGATACCAGATAGGTGAATGGCGAGCAACTACTGTACTCTGTTCGAGTGGGATCGATGCAGGCCAAGACTCTTTGCGGAGATGTGCGAGATGCGAATCAAGTCTGAGTCCGCAAGGTTCGAGGGTGCACGCGTACATGCGCCGTCTACCAGCACCGTTGCGCTAAGAGCAGCTCCTTGACTTGAGAGAAGACGTGTTCGGGTCGCGGTTGCAGCGACATTCCCCCGCAGAAGCGTGTGCTCGGGACCTCTGTACATATAAACAGACCGGCCTTGTAACCAGACGAGCGAGGAGTTGCACAAACGGTAGCCAACGAGTAACCAGACGAGCGAGGAGTTGCACAAACGGTAGCCAACGAGCATCACCGTCGAGCATCGAACTAGATATCTCTTGATCTATGCAGGCCTCGCCCGATCATACATGAACTGTGAGCCGAGGGGGGGCGTCGAACCTTAAACTTTGTCCAGTGCACGATGTTGCGCACCGTGAAGGGAAGACCCGCTCCTGTCATGACAGACATTCACATTAAGCAGTATCGGCAAGCCGCACCGCAGCCCAGTTCCGAGGAATGCGTCCCAGATGCAAGGGAGCAAATACAGACAGACAGACAAATCGGCATGATAGGATTCGGCCCCTTGGTGTACATCGAGGTCGAAAGTAAAGTCTGGAGTATACATGCGCTCTTATGCCGAGTTCTCCAGTGTTCCAGGCTCCAGAGCGCACTCCAGAGGCAACACGAGATGGGGCGCGACGGTGGATATGCCTCGGCATACAGTAACACCAATTAATTCTCAATAGTGTCCGGTGAAGCTCCGAGAAATGGGAACGGCGTGGCGAGAGGTGGCGAGAGGTGGCCTGATGTGGCGAGTCGTGTTGATGGCGGCCCTCGCATCATGCAACGCACTCTGGACTTTGGTGCACATGCAGTCCGACCCACAAACCTTCATCGCGGAGGCAGATGGAGTACAGCTTAAGACTACGCGCACAGAACGAGAACAATGAATGATGTCAAGACTCCACTGTCCACAGAACACTCACAAAGATACCCACCTATGCGGCCAATCGGAGTAGGTCAATGTTTAAGAGTATCCAATGCACCTTGATCAATATCAAAAATTCGCCGAAATGCGCTCCTCGCACAGAAATTCCCCGTCACTGCCACCGCCACCGCAGCCGTCCAACCGTCAAGCTTCATCATTATGACACGCCCGATGCAAAGCTGCATCGAGAAACGTTATTGGGTCTGGCCGGCGGAAAGCCTGTCCGATGCAACATGCATGTAATCATGTAATGGGGGAGAGAATGCAGGCCCAGCCAAGTGCCCACGACCAGCTGCACATTGTAAGATAATCTGCATCAGTGACCCAGTCGAAGGCAAACATATGATCGGATATGGTGTAACGGCTAACATTGCCGCCTCTCAATTAAGAACGCGGCAGCTCGGGGTTCGATTCCCCGTATCCGAATCTTTTCTCCTACTGGGCATTTTTTGCGCCCATTCCGACGATCGTAACAGTCTGTCCCAGTCCGTCCTCATACACAATCTGAAATCCCGAGTCGACAGCTTTTGTAGGAAGCGTTGAAGGTAGAACAAAACCAGGATCGAAACCAGGAGCTCGATGAAGCCAGGCCAGGTCACAAACGCACGAACAAACATCGTCGTGTATAACATGTACTTGACTATCATACATTGTCCTCCGGCCCATCCTCGATCATCTTCGCGTAGTCTTCGTAGCTCGCGAACGTCGGCAGCGAGCGGCGCTTCTTCCTCTGGCTCTTGCCCTTGCCCTCACCCTCGCCCTCGCCCTCGGCCGCGCGCTTCCGCTTCCCACCACCCGCAACCGCAGAGGCGCCGTCGCCGAAGCCCGCCCACTCCTCCTCGGGCGTGCTCCCGGCGTCCGAGCCGTCGTACTCGACGAGTCCGGTGGGGTTGACCTCGTCCAGGTCGAGCAGGTCCTCCGCGTCCGAGGCTTCGACGAGGGAGAAGGCATCGTCGTCCGAGGCGCGCACAGCGCCCGCCATGTCCTCGTCCCCGTCCTCGTCATCTTCGTCGTCCTCGAGCTCAGCGCCGCTTCCGTCCTCGCTGTCCTCATCCAGCCCCGATGGCAGCTCGTCGCTGTCCTCCATCAGATCGTCGTCGACATCCCCGCCCTTCAGCTCCGGCATGGACGCTTTCATAGCCTAACACGCGGGGCAAAAAAAGAAATCAGCAACCTTTCGCTCGCGCCCAAAGCCAATATTTAATCCTGATCGCCATACCTTCCAGATCTCCGCCTCGTCGGCATCGCTGTCCTCCTCGTCCTCATCCACGCCCACACCCCCGTGCTCCGCACCTGCCTCCTCCTCCTCTTCCTCCTCTTCATCATCGCCCTCCTCCTCAGACGCCTCCTCCGCGTCCGAATCGTCCTTCCTGTGCTTCCGCTTGCCCGCCTTGGCAGCCTTCGCCTTCTCCCGCTCATGCTTCTGCGAAAAATACTGGTGGAAGAACATCTACAATAATTCACGTCGCGTCAGGTCCCCTCAAACAGGAAACCCCCCCACGGCGCCAAAAGCGCGACTCACCTGGTCAGCGGGCACGCTCCCCACGCCACGCCTCCACCACCCGTCCTCATTCACCGGCGCCTCTTGCGCCTCGCCGCGCACCCTGCGCACACCGTCGCCCTCGCCGCCTACGGCCGCGGCCGAGGGCTGCATCGCGCTAGACCCCTTCGCCCGCGCCTTCTTCGGGTTCTTGAACACGAAGCGGTCGAGGAAGTGCGCGAGCGTGTGCAGCGCGAGGTCCGGACTCGTCGTGAGCGGCCGCCGCGCGAGCAGCTGGCGCGCGAGGAGGGAGATCGTCGGGTGCGCGTGGTGCACGAGGGGCAGCTGCGACGGCAAATATAAAATACAGGACGGCGGTGAGTGAGTGAGCGAGCGAGCGAGCGAGTTCAACGGTCGGAAATCACTGACCAGTTCCCAGAGCGGCGACGCGGACGCGTGCGCGTATTGCGGGTCCCGCTTGCGGGGATCGTATTTCTGCGCTTCACCGTCGGTCGACGAAGCGGCCGCGGGCGCCGGCTTGTCGATCATAGATCTCAGCCCGGGCTCCGTATTGAACAGCTGAGCCGCCAAACACCAAACACCCGCGATCAGCGGCCCGCCGCAAGCCCCACGAACACATAGGGAGAGGGATGAGGGCGGGGAAGACGCACCTCGCCGAGCAGCCACAGCCCACCGGCGACGAACTCCGCGCCGCCGAACCCGCCCACGAGCACCTGGCAGAAGCGCTTCACGAACGCGCGCACGCGCTCGGGGTCCGCGTCGCTCTTGACGCTCTTGAACAGCAGGTTGAGGTACATCGCCTGCTTCGAGGACTCGTACAGCCGGAAGTCCAGCAGCGTGTTGTACAGCGTGCGGAAGTAGCGCACGGCGACTGCCGCCGCCGCGGAGGCGGCGTCGGCCGCCGAAGAGGTGGAGGGGGCGGAGGAGAGCGAGGCGAGGATGTGCTGGATGAGCGTCAGGGCCTGCAGCGCGATGTTGAACGTCGAGGTGTGCGTGATGAGGAAGAGCGTGTCCATATGCCGCTGGAACCTGCACACAACGCGCGTGCGCGGCGATCAGCGTCGTCGAACATCAAAGTACACAAAGACACGCACTCGACGTCGGCGCCGCCGAAGCGCGCGAAGGGCATCGCGCGGTTGACGCCGGTCAGGATCGCGCTGACGAGGCGCGAGTTCGAGTCCTGCACCTCCGCGAACCCCGCCGCGCCCTGCACCTCTTTCGCCCTCGGCCCCGCCTTCGCCTTGCCCTTCCCGTACTCCCTCTTCCCTCTCTTCCCCACCTCCGCCTCTGCCTCCGCGTCCCCGGCCTTGTCTTTGTCCCCGTCCCCATCGTGCGCGCCGGGCGCGTCGTCCGCGGGCTCGGGGACGCTCCGCTCGCCGACGACCTCCCTGAAGATCTGGAAGTACACGTCCATGAGCATGCGCGCGGCCTTGCGGTCCTCCTCGGACGTGCTGAGCACGACCTGGTTGAACGTGATCGCGGCGTAGTACCGCGCGTGCAGGTTCCACGCGCTCTTCTCCGGCTGCTGCGCCTTCGCCTTCGCCTTTGCATTCGCCTTTGATTTTTGCCCCTGCGGTGCGGCGTCGGACTTTGGCGTTTTGTGGTCCCCGACGTCGTCGTCGAAGCGGATGTGGGTGCGCGGCTTCGCGGCGGGGGTCGCGGTGAGCGAGGACACGGCAGCGGAGGAGCCGACGGGGCGCATAACGAGCGCGGTGGTCTCGCGGATGACGATGGATTTCATGACGGGGTGGGTCTGGAGGAGTTGCAGGATGTGGTACGATGCGCGGGAGCACACCGACTTTTCGCCGTCGCCCTAGAAGTGAACATGGAATGGAGAAGCAGGATCAGGTCAGCGTTAGCGTGGCCGAGGTGTGGTTTTTTGACGGGGGATGGGGGGGGGAGACAGACCAGCTTGTTCACGAGCAGCCGGAGGAGATTGTGTTCCTGCTCCGGTTTTTCGCGGAGGAGGTTGAAGATGAGAGATAACGCCTGTGTGCGGACGTACGCGAGTGTATCGAGCGAGAGCGCCTATAGAAGGAGAACGCGACGATCAGCATACACCAGATACGAGTAATAAATCACGCACCTCGAGGGTCTGCAAGAGCGCAAAGAAGTATTTCTTCAGCCAATCCTCAAAGTACCACACCAGCAAGTGCCGGTCGGTGACGTCCGGATGGAGGAGGGGCTGGTCGCGGAAGTATCTTTGGAACAAGCGGTGAGATATACACTCATCGGGGACGAGCGAGGACTCACTTGAGCTTTCTGGCAGGTGCGCCGCCGCCGACCCACCAATCGACGATCGCACGCGCCGCCTTCAGCCTTTCGTCCCTCCCTCCGCCTCCACCTCCGCCCTTCCCGTCCTTCGCCCCGCCGCCGCCCCGCCCCCTCTCCGCCATGCCCTTCAAGACATCGAGCCCGCGGGTGTTGTGCAGCGGCGAGCTCTGCACCATGAGTGTGAGAGCGCTGAGCCGATCGCTGAGCGTGCCGGACGCGAGGATGGTCTTGAGGAAAGCGTGATCGGACGAGGACGAGAGGAGGGCGGCGTTAGGGGACGACGCGAAGCCTGCGAGCTCTGCGGCGTGGAGGTCCCCAGCGTGCTTGGCGAGCGAGGCGATTTGGGTGGCGGTGGGGACGGGGACGGGGGCGGAGGCGGGAGGGGAGAGGGGAGGAACGAGGGCGTACCAGTCTGGGGTGGGTTGGACGAGGAGTTTAGGATTTTTGGGGGGCGGGGGGAGGGTCGTGGCCGTAGATGAAGGTGTGGGGAGCGGTGCAGCGGGTGCAGCGGGTGCAGCGGGCGTGGATGTGGAAGGGCTCGGTTTCGGGTCGGCCTTTTTTTTTGGTTGCTGCTGCTGCTGCTGCTGCTTTTTGGCCGTGCTTTTGGCGGGGGCGGCGACCGTCGTGCGCACGTCCTCCACGGTCTCCTTCTTCGTTTTTGACTTCTTCGCCTTGGCCGGCGCGTCCTGCGGCTGAGAAGCGGGCACGTCGTCGCCGTTGGGGAAGTTGAGCTCCTTGAGGAACTTGGTCACGTCTTTCGCGAGGCCGGCCTTGGGAGCGCTGCGGATTGAACATCACGAAGGGAAGAAGAGGGTGCGACTCACGTCCTGCTTGCCGTCTCCGTGCAAGGGCTGCTCGCCATCCCCAATGTCGTGTATGAGGTCCATGTCGGCGTCGGTACCGCCGAGGGCGATAATGTTTTTCCTGAGGACATCGCGGGCGGCGTGCTTGCGCTTTGTCGACGAAGAGGAGGCGGCCACGCGGGCCTTTTCGGCCTTGTCTTTGCGGATGCGGGCCATGGAGGAGGAACGGTCGGAGTGGGCGCCAAAATTTGGCCGAGGTCGCCGATCGGCTCGGGGCGGGTCTGCCGTGCTGATCGTCCACGTGACTGCAGAGTCGAACCGAGTCGCGGTCCGCGGGTGGCTTCGTGGTCGAGCAGGACGTCCCGCATGCTCTTCGACGGAAGCACTCCCCACACCCGGTCCGGCTTCCCACTCCTTCTGCGTAGAATGCACACCGCCCCATCACTCAGCAGAACCCCCGTCCGCCACCGTGCCGTCCACGCTGCCCCCGACGCTGGCATTGCAGGAACCACCACGCATCATCCCTCTGGCAATGACAGACGCTATGACTGTACACTCCTGATTGCCGCCCCACCCCGAACTCCAATAGGCAGCTCGTTCGCAGCTCCGGGCCCCCACCCCAGCTGCATTTCTGGACGGCTGGCTCAGGGGAAGGTCGCTCTAGGCGCGCGACCAGAGTCGTGTGAGGCACCGGGCGAGAGCACATACGGATTTACAGGGTAAGTACTACATGTTTTGTTTCTCATACACGGTTGAAACGGATGCAATGTCGCAGCTGGCCAATGTCGCGCCCTGGCGCTTCACCGATTCTCATCGCGGGCTCTGCGCAGCCGTCGTGCCGAACTCTCCGAGACCGTCGAAAGGAGTTAACGAGTGAAGGTGCTTGCCAATCGGCCATTACTGACGCAGGACACAAATCGATGGGCGGCGCCCGCCTCCGCGCGCCCCACACTCAGGGCCCCCATACACAAATCGCCTTCTGGAGGTGGAGGGCGGGGCTGGGCGGGGGTCCCAAACGTCGGCCGCCCAACACCGCAGGCCTGGGTCGCATACAGTCTTTGTCAGCAGTCGCAAGCTCCGTCGTCGACGATCGAGAGTCTTCGCCGTTGTGTTTGCCGAGCGCCGGAGCAGCGGAAGTCGTCCTAGCGCGCGCATGACATCATCGCTCTCCGCGACCGGTTCAAAAGCCCGCAGTCTTCATAGTTCAGCCAGCCTTTTTTTCGCCTGCGATCCCGCGCATTTTCTGCCTATTTTCCCCGGCGTCGCGGCCATCGTAAACTGCAAATAAAAAGATGGCCTTGTTCTACACGTGAGTCCTCCTTCCTTCCCTCCCTCTCCCCCCTCCCACCTACCCACTCGCGGATTTTACACGACTTGACGATCTCATCCTATCATGTTCTACAGACAAGGCGTGCCCATCGGGTATGTCGCCATCATGTTGGCCTTGGTGGCCTCCATGGGAGGTGTACGTCTTCTCTCGCGCAGCCGTCCTCGCCGATCTGTCGTTCGCTAACTCTTCCATCTCACACAGTTCATCTTCGGTGTACGTATACTCCACAGCGAGCTTCCCCAGACCACGCCGACTGACGCGACGTGTGTGTGCACTAGTATGACACGGGCCAGATCTCCGACATCCTGCTGATGGACGACTTTGTCCTCCGCTTCGCCCAATGCCATACCCCGGGCGACCTCTCCACCTGCAAATTCAGCGTCGTGCGCGAGGGCCTCATCGTCGCCCTCCTCTCCATCGGCACCCTCATCGGCGCCCTCGTCGGTGCCCCGTAAGCAACCCCCTCCCCTCCCCGCCTCCCTCCTGTCCGCTCGGACGCTTACTCTTCCGTGCACAGAACCGCGGACTTCCTCGGCCGCCGGCGCGCGATGCAAGTCGAGTGCATGGTCTTCATCGTCGGCGTCATCATCCAGATCACCACCTTTTCCGTCTGGGCCCAGTTCGCCGTCGGGCGCCTCATCAGCGGTTTCGGCGTCGGCGCGCTGAGCGCCGCGGTGCCCATGTACCAGGCCGAGACCGCGCCCGCACAGATCCGCGGCACCCTGACGTGCGTCTCTCGTTTCTATGTCACCGTGCTTTCGGTGAGGTTGATGGACCGTGGGACTTAGCGCGACGTACCAGCTCTTCATCACGTTCGGTATTTTGGTTGCATGTACGTCACTTGATGAAGGAGTGCTTTTTGTGGAACGTATGCTCACCCCTGTCCTAACTTACCAGACTGCATCGCCATCGGGACGCGCTCGCTGTCCGGCGCCAGCTCGTGGCGCACCGTCGTGGGCATCGGCCTCATCTGGCCCGGGATGCTCATGATCGGCATCCAATTCATGCCCGAATCCCCACGGTAAGCGTCTCTCCCCACCCCACCCCACCCCGCATCCGCTCACACGCTCGCGCGGCGCCGCAAGATGGCTCGCAGCACACGGCCGCCTCGCCGAGGCGCGCCTCGCGATCGCGCGCGTGCGCGGCGTGCCGGCGGAGGAGGCCGACGCGCACTACGTTATCCAGCGTGAGGTCGAGGAGATCCAGAATAAGGTCGAGTACGAGTCAAAGGTCCGCGGCGGCTGGCTCGACTGCTTCCGCGTGCAGAACAAGACGCTCTACCGCACGCTCCTCGGTGCGTCTCCCCCCCATCCTTCGTTTCTCCGGATCGCGTGCTCAAAACTCGTATGCGTTTTTTTGTGGGGGTGGCACTATAGGGATGGCGCTGCAGAGTTTGCAACAGCTGACGGGCGCGAACTATTTCTTCTACTACGGCGCGACGATCTTCCAGTCCGTCGGCATCCAGGACTCGTTCGTCACGCAGATCATCCTCGGTGCGGTCAACTTTGTGTGCACGTTCGGCGGCCTGTACGTCATGGAGCGGGTGCGCATCGTCTTGTTTTATCCGTGTGCATCTTCTCAGAGGCTGATTCATTGTGGGGGCGCGCTGGGTAGTTTGGGCGCAGGGGGCCGCTGATCGTCGGCGGGCTGTGGCAGAGCGCGTGGCTGTTTGTGTTTGCGGCCGCGGGGACTGCAAAGGTCCCTTCAGAGAACCCAGGAATCGGAAAACGTGCGTCCTCCGCTACTATCTTCGCCGTTTCTGGAAAGGTTGACCGCTGCGCACCTTGTCAGTCATGATCGTCTCTGCGTGCATGTTCATCTTCGGCTACGCCATGACGTGGGCTCCGTAAGTCCCCCCTCTGTCAAGCTTCTTCGTTCGACCCGATCGACCGACTGACGGGACCTGGCTGACCGGCTGCAGCGGCGTGTGGATCCTGATCGGCGAGACCTTCCCGACGCGCACGCGCGCGAAGCAAGGCGCGATCGCGACGGCGTCCAACTGGCTGTGGAACTTTTTGCTCGCGTTCTTCACGCCGTTCATCACGCGCAACATCCAGTTCCGGTACGGGTTCGTGTTTGCGGGTGCGTGCGCTGTCTATTGCATCGAGTCGGCGTGCTGAATTCGTCGTCGTCGTCGTCGCAGCGTGTAACTTGCTGGGCGCGGTCGTGGTGTACTTCTTCCTCTACGAGTCGAGCGACATCTCGCTCGAGGGCGTCGACCAGGTACGTCTCCCGCGCGGGCGTCTTCGAAAGATTAACTCAACCCCGGACGCTCACTCGCGCAGATGTACAACGACCCAAAGTGCAAGCCCTGGACGTCGCGCGCGTGGGCGCCGCCGGGGTACAGCTCGCGCCTGGACCTGATCGAGCAGACGCGCGCGGCCGAGGCGCACAAGCCGCTCAGCGGCGCGCAGGAGGAGCGCATCGAGAAGGCGTACGATACCGCGGGCGCGGGGCCCAGCACGGGCGACGGCGCCTACAAGGTGTGATGAACGCCTCTCACAACGACGAAACGCCGTGTCATGGCTGCATGCATGGACGAGCCGCATGAACGGGATGGATGGAACGAAATGATCGATGTTAATGCGTGATATTAATGTGTTGGGACTCAACTCGGGAGGGCCGGCCGGTCGCTGACCCCGATGATGCCGATATCTTCATGAGACGAAACAAAAGCATCGTTGCAAGGATGGCCGATGATACGTACCGGGATGCTTGATGTATTTTATCTATCTGTTTGGTTTACATGGTATTGGAGCACTACTACCGCAGCTTTGTCGCGGTCTGCACGAAGGGATGCCGGACCGTGCCGAAGCGTCGAGTTGAGGTTCCGGCGTCTGATGTCACTTATTTGCCTCGACCTGCATCGACCCGCTCGAGTCGACTGTCCACCTCTGAGCCTTTCAGGACACAACACGCCAGCGGTCCCCCGCCTCCAACATACACAAAAATGTCCAGCGATGGTTTCCCATCGCTCCTGACCTCGGCCACGTTCGTCTCGCAGGGCGCAGAAGCAGCACGTAGAGATCCCACCCCGTCTCTCCGTCCCCGCGCCCGATCCTGACACCCCCCCCCCCCCCCGCAGAAAATATACAAGGCGCGCCTCCACGCGCGCGCCGCAGATGATGGAGGCAGCGTGCCCGTGCCCGTGCTGTTGAAGCACCGGTTCCACAAGCAGTACCGTCACCCGACGCTCGACGGCTCGCTCACACGCGCGCGCGTCGCCGGGGAAGCGAGGGCGCTGCTCAAGTGCATGCGGTGTGTCCCCCCTCCCCTCCGCGGCCTCCTTCGCCCGCCGCGTTGCTGATCGCGTGAAACGGAACGGTGGTCGGCGGTGTAGATCTGGCGTGAACGTCCCGGGCATCCGTATGGTCGATGCCGTTAATGGCTTACTCGGGATCGAGTGGATCGAGGGCAAAAGCGTAAGGTTTTTGCTGGGCGGTGGTGCCGAGGGCGAAGCAGAGGCCGACGGTGACGACGACGACGGAGAAGAAGAGGCCGACGCGCCTGCAGACACCGCGCCGGACCTCCTGGAAGAGTACACCATCTCGCACGGTACGTCCCCCCCCCCCCCCAAATCTTCTATGCTGCTCGCTGTACATGCTGACTGACGTCGTGTGGCATTCCAGATACGCTTATGGTCATGATCGGAGAGGAGATCGCCAAGATGCACCTCGCCGACGTCATTCACGGCGACCTGACGACGTCCAACATGATGCTCCGCCATCCGGCATCCTTCACGGCGCCCTCCCCCGACAGACCCCGCACCCAGCTGGTACGCCCCCCTCATCCGTATACCCGTCGACGACGCGGCGCCCTGATAACCCGCCTCTGTTCGTCTGCTCAGGTCCTCATCGACTTTGGCCTCGCGTACACCTCGACCCTGGTCGAAGACAAGGCGGTGGACCTGTACGTCCTCGAGCGCGCCTTCGCGTCGACGCATCCCGCCTCGGAACCCCTCTTTGCGTCGGTGCTCACGGCGTACCAGAAGCGGATGGGCAAGGACTGGCCCGCGGTGGGCCGGCGCTTGGACGAAGGTGATCCTTTTCTCTTCATATCCCTTTTCTGCTGAAACTTATCTTTACCCTCATTAGTTCGGCTGAGGGGGAGGAAGCGAAGCTTGGTAGGGTGATAGAAGGAAGTAGAAGTACGCATCTGAGCAGGTCAAATGTATTTTTTTTTACCGCGTACTCGGCAGGCGATTAGATTCGGAGGTACACCCCGCTTGATCTCTACCATCGGTGTGCTTGTTATTCGCAGGCAGGTTTTAAGCAGATCTAGGTCGTTGAAAAACGATCTACTAACGTACACCACACACCACACACCCTACATCATACATCCCGCAACCCCACCACTCAGCACTCTGCTCACACCTAATCCGACAGCTCGTCCCCACGCATTTAATTTTACGAAAAATAAATTGACATCTAGAGCCTGGGACCGCATGTGGAGGGTACTCGGTCAGACCACGGCGACGCGCTGGAGGGAGCTGACGTAGTCGACACGGAAGGGGTTGGCCTCCGTGTCAGCGCTGCGGTTGTGTGGCGTCCATTTGGGCTCCTCCTGTGCGTGGGTGTGGGTGTGGATGAGCAGACGCGGATGGACAAAGGCAGGGTCAGGGACATGGGCATATGCGGATGTATCAGCGTTAAACGGTCAGGGATGAGACCGGACGGGTGGCCGGGCGTAAGACAAGGAGCAGACGAAGGGGTTGCAAGCCTACCTTGAAGAGGCGGAGAGCCTTGATCTGGTTCAGCTCGTCGAGCGTGAAGCGGTGATAGATGCCTGAGGGGATGACGAGCAAGTCTCCGGGCAGGACGTGAATGCGGATCCACGCATCCGTAGGATGTTCTGGCGCCGAAAAAAAACTCGTCAGCGACGCACGACGCACTGACTACTTAGGTCGGCACGGAAGAGAGATACGGACCACGGACGTCGAAAAACCCTGCACCAGAGAGGATGTACCGGATCTCCTCGTCCTCGTGCATGTGTCTATCCGGCCATCATCGCATACATCAGGATCGACGGCCGCGACGATCAGTTTTTCTTGGTCGCACTCACTCCTCGAAGAACGTCTTGAGCTTCGCCTCGTACAGGTCCCCGAGGCCCTCCTTCGTCACGTTGATGATGTCCCGGTTCTTGTACCCGCGCTCCACCGCGAGCGCATCGATCGCGGGCTCCCACCCGCCCTCGCGGTCGTGTGGGATGCGCCAGTGCAGCACCCCGGCGGCCTTGAGCGTCTCCTCCGACACGGGACGCTGCGAGTCGTGCGGGAGGCGCTGGTCGCCGGGGACGTTGTCGAAGTAGTAGGCACGCATCGTTCGCTTTTTCGGGGGTTAGATAGGAGGATGAGAGAGCTTGTTCTGTTCGTGGCTGGGCTTGTTTGTGCGCGCGGTTCAGATGTAAAGATATTATCTGACGGGGCTGTGACTCTGGGAAGCTATGTCGCAATGATCAATAGATACGCTGCGAGACACTCATGGAGGTTTCATTTTAGATTTTTTAAAACCTGCGGACAACTAACGGCGGAATACGAGATAAGTGGTTATGAGTACCTGGTCAAACAACAGTACATGGGAATGCAACGAATGGCTCTTCGTACTGAAACATAATCATGGAACAAAATATGAAAGGGAACGATAAAGATATGTGATGTGATACAAAAAAGTCGATGAGAATGATAGCAATGGCCGAGTGTCTGAGAGCGTCAAGCTAGCGCAATCCAAGAGTCATAGAGTAAGTCAACCGGGATCACTCGGATGAGAATTTCATCGTCGTCGTGTAGCTTTCTCCCTGTATTCCACTGCGGCATACCAAGCGCCGCCTAGTAGCGTCAGTGCGATGCCCAACGCATTGGTGGGTGATATCGTGAGCTGGAACATCGAGACAGCGCACAGCACTGTCAGCACCTGCTTGACATTTGCTGTTTTAGATGTACATTTAGCGTCACCGACCTTTAAAAGCGAACATGACGCACGTACCTGCGACTCCCATGCTCAGTGCGCCAGCGCGGCGGTTCGCTTCGAAGCTCACCACGTTGAGCGCAAAGGCGATAAGGCCATTCGCGAAAAGAAGCCCGACGTGAGAAGGGAGCACGCCCGCATGCGCCGTGGTGTATCGTTCTATTTTCCAATGCCGGAGGGTATCCAATTCACCGGACAGATGGGCGTAGAGCGCACACTGCACAAGGGCTAGTGGAGACGTACGCGTGAGCAGGTCGAGCGGGTGGAGGTGGAGCCGCGGCAGGCTCAGGGATGGAAAATCGGGTAGGACGACAGAAAAGGGGAGGCGTGGAAACGGCGGCGGGAGTCGGAAGGTGCGCCGCACACGCTTCTGTTGAGGCATCCTGGATGCGTATGAGAGTGGATTTCGGGCAGAGGGTGGGGACTGGATGGTATGTGTCGCTATGGTTTTGAGCGCGGCAAGGACGGTGCCGAAGAGGGTTAGGAGGAAGCCGGCAGGTGTGAAGTAATAGTCGCCATAGGTTGCAAGACCTACGCCTGCGATCACGAGAGCGAGCGAGGCAAGCGTATTCTTGCTGAATCGTGTATTGAAAAGGTAGTATGATAGGATTGTGGTGAAGATGGGTGAGGCCGCGCGGACGACCTGATGGAACTTGGGAAGGTGGTGGGCGTCAAAAAGGGTTATGCAACATTTTCAAAACCAAGCACAAGCACGTACTGGAACAGTGACAAGTTTCAGGGAAACATTGCTGATTGCGATATTGACGGAGTAAAGGATGCTGAAAGCTAGTAATGTGATGTAGTCATTGTTATTTAGCCTCTTGGGCTGATAGAAACCATTCTGGAGCATGTATCGACCGCCGACGGACCCGCAGAAGGCATGGATAGTCGTGAGAGTGTAGGGAAACGGGAAAGACACAAGTACAACTTTGTTATAAAGCGTGAGCATCAAGTTCAACGCAAAGTAGAGTCCAAGCCAGAAAGATTGCGAGTCAGAACAGCGGTCGAACGTGCGTCGCAGTTGGTAGAAAAGCATAGGACCCCGAGATGGCCTGTGTGCGGATGAGCGAGAAGTCATTTGTTGGAGGTATGCAGATAGGTCGGATCGGGAGCTGTGCGGGGATATGGTCGGTAGGGAGAGGAGATCGTCTGACGACGAAGAAAAAGAGGTAATCGACCGGATCCGAGCACCACTCTCTTCTGCCTGGTGAGCCGTGCAGAATAGATCAGATGAGGGGCACTGCTTGCAGTGATAGGGCAAAGCAGAGCTGGCGTGCGTCTCTTCGGCGTGCGATTTCCTCAAACGATGGTATTTGAAAATGCGCTCTAAAGGTGGACGGGTCGAGCGGTTTTCTTCGCCGATATTGCACCCGCCAGCTTCTGCACACTGCAGGACAGGGGATGAGATCGAAGACTCGGCCGGCCATGCACTGCACAGATCGTTGCCAGCGTAGTGCCCCATGGAAGAAAAACCAGGTCAAAGCGCCAGTCAGGTCGTCTTGTATGGCGAGTCGTCCTTCACTCAGAGCGCACGCGAGTTTCGGAAAATGAATGGAGTTTCAGAGCAAGGGGGTATAACGTATGGAAACGACTGAGCTGGCTCCAAAGAAGGTGGATGGAAAACAATGGAGGATTCAGGCGGCATGATTGAACTATAGCACCCGTGGGAATAAAGAACCACTTACCGGAAGAAGATTCAAATTAATGTTGGAATTGGCTTGGGTGGCTTCCTCACGTCGTTGGAAAAAGAACATTGTCTCCAAGCCATGCAGGCACGCGTGAGCCATGCGCGTGAACCAGCCATGATCGGTATGACTGTCAGTGGCATTAGACGGACCTTCGCTGCTTTCTTTCTAACATTCACCACCCTGTCAGCTCTTAGTGGCGAGTGTCGCATCCAGACGAGTTCTGTATAAAGAGCGTCTGTAAAGTTCTCTCAAACATCACTATATTACCATGCATCGTCCTGTCGACTATCGTTCTTACTATCCAAGCTTTGATCACCGAGACCCTCAAAACTATTCTCTTCCCGCGTTTCATCCGTTTAGCTCTGCAGATCCATACCCAACGCCCGGCCCTACCCCCACGAATGCCTACTATTGTGAGTTCATGTTTCATCCATGACTGCTTGCTCTGATCAAAGCGTCGTTTTGCAGCGACTCCATTTGTACAACATCCATTCTCATACCCAAAGCAGAGCCATCAGTCACAGGACGCGGTTCCGATACCTGTCGTCCCTGGCATGCTGGCCAATGTATTACCTGTGCCAGCTCAAAGATCTGCTGAGACTCAAGTAGTAGTACCGCCCAGTATTGAGAGAGTCAAAGGATCGACCGGGGCCAGTACTTCCTCGGACGCCGAGAGGGACATCCAGACCGTCCCTTTGTCGTCGGCATCGGCGCCAACACAAAGGAAGGCAGTCGAGACCACGAAACTTTCTGAGTCGTCGCAACCGAGCGCCGGGCCTAGGCTTTGGAAGCGAGAAATACGTCAGGGAATGGAGTTGTTACGTACCGCACTGGAAGGGTGCCTGCCGTCTGAGCAGATCAACGCAGCATCCCCCAACTACAGAGTGGCAGCGCTCGGTGTGTCCTACAGAAGCCAACTCGTCTATGAACGGATGTTAACAAGACGCTCAATTTGTAGGTGCTCGGCTCATCAAGCAGCAAAGGGAGGAACTTCGTCAAACAAAGGAAGAACTTCATCAAGTCAAAGAGGAACTGCGAATACTAGACGACTCACTGGACCACGCGTGGACCCAAGTCAAACATTTCAGAGAACATGCCAAAAATCTCGAAAACCACCTCGAAAGCCAAGGAAGGCATCTCGACACTCGGGTTCGCGATACTCTCATCCGAAACAACCATCTCAGGGAAGAGTTGGAAATATTAGAAAGTCGGTTGCGCAAATATCAACGACGACAGGCAAAGGGATCGGACGAGGCGGAGGTCGCCGAAGTTGATATGAGTGATGATCAGTCGCCGCATGAGGGTTGAAACCGTCGTTCTAGAGCATACATGGCTATGAATTAGACTGTATTGATTCATTGTTTGGTAAATTAGGGGCAATATGGGTTTACGCGTTACCTGTGAAGCGTCTATTCTCGATGTTAATTATAGTGCTTGGTTGCTGGCGTTGAACTCTGTGAATGTTAACTACAATTTCAAGAACTGATGCAGCAGGGAACACATCAAAATCTCGAAATCATCCTGCAGTCTCATCGAAAAGGTGGGACAATGACGCCCTTTCCTGCATACGTACGGCGCACAAGTGGATGACCCTTGAGGATGGTGCAAGTCGATGCCGTATGTCGATTGGGTTCGGCATGTTGATAACTTAGATGAAATCGCAACTCGGCATGTTTAGGCCTCAGCTCGTTGCATCCGTAAAAGCCGCTTCACATCACCGTAAAGCCCTCATTCCAAGCCCGTGCTTACCTTCATAGTGCTTGCAAACGTGTATTTTCACGTCTCAGGGGAAGCATGGTTGCATCAGGGTAACGTGTACAAGGACCGATGACATGCTTGCGACTGTGATAGATACGGTCAGTGAGATATTATCGACGGTCGAAGTTACGAACGCAGACGCTCGATGTCATGGTCAATACGGCTTTTGGCTTTGCTAGACACCATGCACAACAATTGATTGGACGAAATACCTTTGAAAATCCGTCAACCGATGCCGTGACTCGCGGGCAGAGAGCTCAGCACTCACATATGTATCTCTGTTGATCGCTGAACAGAGAAAAGCATTGACAACCCTCGACAGATATAAACATAGTCCAGTGTCCCAGTGAGATGCAAAAACAAAAAGAGTGTCACGACTCCAGAGCCGATTCAGCTGCCATTACAATAGATATTCCCCCACCGATCCTGCGCCGTACCCGTGAATCCATCACCTTCGATGCCGGGCTTTCCGTTGTCGATGTATCCCACGCCATAACTGCTATTCGCGTTGAAAGCCACAACCGGACATTTGAACCCAAGGAAGTTTGGGCATGCGCGGTCCGTCGCAGTGCAAGTCTCGATGCAAGGCAGGAGCTGTACATACGAGTAGCTGGCGTTTGCCAGATTCGGATTCCTCGGAGTCGTCCCAGACGGTTGAGGAATGAGAGCTGGAAATACTTGCTGTGCATTACCGGTAGTGGTCGTGGTAGTTGCGAATTCGGCACACCGTGGGAACGAGATCGTACAGAGCCATTTTCGATACGCGCGTTGGCAGTCTGCACAGGATTGCAAAGGGGAATAAAGGTCACGCCCACACGCAAAGGTTAAGAGACTTGTCGTGAAGTTGGTCAGGTATGAGAGAAGGGGATCGGTCAAGCCGCTAGGTAACGTTGTTGAGTCGTGTGCAACGTTCGGAAACGCGGGCGCAGGAAGTGGAGCAGCGAAGGAAACTGAAGGACAATATGGTAGAGAGTGGACCAAAGGGCACGAAAACGATCCTACGAGAGAGTGAGTGGCGGTCGGGTGCGTAGAAAAGAGTACATACCTGATTTGGTGGTGAAGTAGATCGGTCCGTTGACTTTTGTATGATCCTGGATTGTGTAGGCAGTGTAGTTTGTTGATGGTGTCAGGCGGCCGACTAGCCATTCCGTTCGCCAACCATCGGAATCCCGCAGCCAAGGCTGTTCTTCTTCAGTAGCACCAATTTTTTGTGCCGATCGCAAAGCACATGCCGTCTTCGGAAGCGTAGCTATTGAAGACAGCGTATTTGCGAGTACCAAGGTGAAGTTGGGCGAGGACGAGGGCGCGGTAGGGAATGATAAGTTCGCCGTCGGAAGAGTATAATTCGGGTAACTCGGATCAGAGAAGCGGGACCCTGAGAAGGGAGGGGAGTAAATCAACGCTTGGTTTGATGTGGTATCCCCAAGAAATGGGAGGGTGGACAGATGTGCGTGTAGAGGTCCTAGAAAAGGTGTTCAGTCACGTACAATGTTGAACAAGGGAGTCCGTCGACCATGAACGCAGTGCACCGAGTTCGTCATACATACCGTCGTCTGACACGCCTATCTCTATCGCATCATCCCTGCTTCCTCCCCAAATGGCCATCTTTCCTCCAGTATCACCGCCTATCGTCAAGTTGCCAAACCCTTCTTCCCCCAAAATCAATTCCCATACATCCTGGCCACTATCTGGCCCTGGGACACCGACGTCGCTGGAATTCGTCACGAAAAATCTTGGCACGTTTGATGAATTGGTGCATGATGCCACGGAAACAGAGAGCTGCCGTGTGCTGGGCAGAACGAAGAGCTGAGGGTTGGCGGAGGATAACACGGACCCTGATACCGCTAATGGTGTTCCCAGAGTCAAACGAGTATTGTTTTGTGCACGGGCGAATGGTGCAGAAAGTGCGAGAGAATATATCAGCGCCCACAGCGATTGCGGAAGCACCCCGTTCAGCATGTTGCTCCGTAACTAGGGTGTCCAAGAAACTGTGAGCAATAAAATCATACAAGAAATTGCCGAGGCAAGAGTTTGAGCGGAATGGTGGTACAATGCTTGCCTCGCTTTTTCCAGCTCCCAGCTTGTGGGATTCAATGCGTTGTAGAGGGTTGTAGTCAAGGAACACCAAGCTAGATTTCTTTCGGGATGATGACGTAATACCTGATGATCGCTACAAATCTCTTCTCGCCAATACAGTAACCTACCAAGGCCCCAGACAGGCCTTCAAAGCTTCAAGCTTCAAGCGCTCATAACACAATGGCGTCCTCAACGGCAGCGACAGGACAACAACCTCAGCAAATCAACATCTCAGACCTGGATCTCCCCCAGCTCTCCGATGTGCGCAGACAGCTCGAAGAAGTGCGTGGTTTCTTGGTCTTTCGTGAGACATAGCCCAGCGCTGATCGTCATCTTCAGGAACTGTCGCACTTGACAAACTCGTTTGCCCAGCTCAAACAAGCCCAAGCAAAGTTCCGGTCATGCATTGAGAGTGTGCAAGAGGTGAAGCCGGCGAACAAAGGTCAGATTCTGTGCAACTCTGATCAGCCTTCCCCGACTGAGTGTTTATAACAGATAAAACGATATTGGTTCCTTTGACCAATTCCCTCTATGTACCTGGGAAACTAAGCGATCCAGAAAATGTCATCGTAGACGTTGGAACCGGTTACTATGTGCAAAAAGTGAGTAGATGCATCCCTTAGCCCAGGTCTCCTCGTTGTTGACACACCGCCAGACACGCCCTCAAGCAGTCAAGCACTATGAGTCGAAGGTCGAATATATCGGATCTAACCTTGAAACGTTACAGGAAACTATACAGAAGAAGCAGGACAATATGAATTACTTGGTGAATGTAATGCAGTCAAAACTGCAGTCTGCATCTGCGAAAAATGACAATTAATACTTTGAACTTTACCAATATATGACATCTGAGGGTGCCTGCATATTTCAATACTATGCCAATACGTATAAATGGTCGAATGGATTTCGGCACAAATGAATGTCGAAGTGAGGAGTGCTCTAAAAGAGTACACTCATCAGACTATTCCGGTACGGGGAATCGAACCCCGAGCTGCCGCGATCATAGAATGAAAGGCGGCAATGTTAGCCGTTACACCATACCGGATACATAAGTGTTCTCTTTAGCTATTAAATCACTATCTTGCAGCTTGTACTGTACAGAATATATGAGAAGCAACATAGAGGGTACATTACTTATTGCCACGTACTATATCTGCAGGGCAAATTCTGTGTGACTCCACACTCGCCAGTGAAGTCAAAGAGAAGTGTCATAAGAAAACTAATCGAAGATGATCACCCGGTTTTCGCCTTTAACTCTCTCCACAGCGTGAGGAACATAATGCCCCCCAAGCCCAGAAAAGCTATCTCCAGACCAACATAATTCACCATTCCGACTCGCAATCCAGATCCACCCCAGACAGCGCCGAGGACCCTGCCGGTGAAGTTACTGTACTGGATCATCATGCTGATTCTCCCATTCCATTCACCAGGGAACTGTTTTGACAAAAGACTCATCGTCACCGTGCTCGCGATGTTGAAGCCGAGCGCCACAAGGAACCAGCAGGCGAAGAGCGAGCCGAACGTGACGCGATCGGCGAGGAGGATGGCAAGAGTCGTCAAGAGGCCAAGGAGGCCGAGAGAAGATCCGAGTGCGAGGATATATCTGTCCTGTGTGCGTCGAACGAAGTAGATGTTCATGAATAGGAGGGGAAATGTAGAAATCCCACCAAGTGCGATGAAGTTACCTGCTGCGAAAGGAGAGTAGTCAAACACGGCGGCTGTAAAAATGGGGATGTTTGCTTCCCAGGCGCCAAGTGTGAAGAAACAAGTCATCGCGAACCAGCACATTGTCACGGTAACGCCCCATTGACGAAGTGTAATGGAGTTGGATAGCGAAGAAGAGAAGTCCGGTGGAGGGTTTCTACTACCCGCTTCATCAGCGACAGGATTCTGGGGGTGGAAGGGAGGGGGGTTCAATTGGATTGGGGATTCGGTGTGCGGAGGATTGGGGCGCGTACGAGGTACATCTTGAAAGTACCACGCAAAGATACCCCAAAATACAAGCCAAATGACTGCCATCAACCATCCGGGGCTTGTGTACCCATTGAAGACGCTGTTGCTGAACCCAATCTTGTACAACAGGCCCCCGATGAATGGACCCACGCTGAACCCGATGCCCTGTCCTACGACGAGCCACCCGGCCAAAGTAGTCCGTCGTCGCACGCCGACGATGCGAGGATCCGAACAGAAGCGCTTGCTGTACATAAAATTGGTGAACGCCAGGCCGCTGACGCAGCGACTAATCAGGATCAGGTAGAGATAATTGGCTTTATATGCTAGACCGTAGAGTATATGGCCAAGTATCATCGTCGCACAGGAGAAATGGATTGGTCGAGTGTATGCACCTGGATTTGCATGCGTCAGATTGACCTCGATGTTATTGTAAAGACTCGGATTTCACTGCGCTTGGTGACAAGTTGACAACTAACCTTGATCTATTTTCATGACAGGTATCAATGCCATACCAGAGAAAACTGTTGGAATGCCGATAACGAGACCTGAAAAGGTTGCTGTACCCCCTAGATATTCCGCATATTTGCTTGATGACGATACGATGATGAAGAAAGAGATCTACGGATGTTAAAGATGGTCGAGACTCAATCAGCCCATTTGCTTCAGAGTCCGGATGGAGCACATACCTGTGTTAAAGCATTCATAGCAATGACGAGGACAAGTGATAGAAGGGAAGGCAGTTTCAGCTCTGGATCCTGTTCCGCTGGCAACTGAGATTCATCCTGGACAGAATGGGCCGATGGAGCCCGAGGTGCGCTAGAGCCTCTTCGAAAAATGCTATGAATTGTGGTACTCGAATAGTCGAGCACTGATGAGACAATTTTGAATTCAGGCATCCTGTATCAAGACATAATCAGCCATAATTACATTTGACGAGACATGACAGAATGCACCGAGAACGCAAGACCCGAAGGTTTAGAGATCAGATTCAAAAGCCAAGTCACTGCACACTTGTAGCCAGATGGTTGGCTAAGTATACGGAGCAAGCAATAGCTTAGCAGTTGGTCCTTGAGTTAGCAGGGGATCAAACCTAGGATTTGACTCGACCATGGCATGCTCGAGGAAGATGAAAAATCCCGGCGTCAAATAGCGTAAGCATCAAGCGATATCAAGCGCCCACTAAGTACAGTGACCGAATGATACGGCCAGTATTCCTCTCTTCAAACGGATATGTCCCATCGCTTTCGAAGATGCGGAATATGTGTCCCCCTTTTTGGCCACCTTCAAAATGTACAACATTTAGATTGGTTCCATTCCAACGACGCCCAATCCCCACGTCATCGTACTTGACGAAACATGTTCACGAGAAAGAAGACTTGGTCTAACTTCCGAAATACATTTATTCGTATAACCGCTTACAGCAGATCAAGAGACTTCTAGGAGGACAGACTACATATTTACAGCACAGCGAGGATCTTGTCAGCAGCTGTGGAGACCACGGTGGATGAGTCCTCCTCGATGGTCAAGGAAGAGACAGCTCCCTCATCGGCGACGATAGCGAACCGCTGTAGTGAAGTTTTAATGTACCTAGCATCAATCGTACGTCAAAAACTGCGTACCTTGGATCGGGGGTTACCCAAAAGGCCGGTAGCGTCCTGGAGGAGTCCTAGGGACCCCACCAGCAGGCCCTGATCATCCCCAATGAAACGCACAGCTGAATATATATGATGGCATCAGCGTTCCATTCCTTAAACGACAGATCTACTCACAAGTTCCGTTGGGAGCGAGCTTCTCCTTCCACGCCCTATTTATTCGCACAGACGTGAGGTTGTAGAAACTATATACTCCTCAGAACTCTTACTTGGTGACAAATGCATCGTTCACGGCAACGACGTAAATGTTGTTCACACCCTTTGCCTTGAACTCGTCGTACTTCTCAATGTAGCCGGGAACTTGCGAGCTGCACGGCGGGGTAAACGCGCCAGGTACGCCGATCTGTATAGAGCAGCGACATTCGATATGAGCACATAGGAGGGTAAACGGGAAAACATAGGACACACGATGATGTTCTTTCCTTTCAAGTCGAGCGTGATGGTCTCGCCGGGGTTGGTTTCCTTGACGGTCAGGGTGGGGATCTTCTCACCAGGTGTGACCTGGGCCTTGGTGAGCAGGCTTGTGGAGGTGATCGACATGGCTCAGAATGCGTATACGATTGGAGGTGTGCGAAGGCGGATAAGAGAGGGGTGGCGAAATCGATATGGAGGACGCCTTCTTATAATTGTGCGCGATACAGTGACACAATTACCAATGCTTTGCGTGATTCACCTTCTTTCCTCTTCTGTGTCCGGGTACGTGTTGTCTCACGCTTCCGTCCACCATGGACCACACGGCCTCGTCGCAACGTCATATCACTGCTGGCTTGGTCACAATTCTCTCTCGCATCTCGGATAACGTGTCTGCTCAACGAAGGGTGTCCCAGCCATCTTTTCTGACGTGTGAACGTGTGTGAGCGTGTGGGATGGAACGGCAGCCCGCATGGCGCGCTGATCAGTGCTGATACTCATCACGCGCATCCTTTGATTGACATGGTTCGCAGAATCTTTCCCTCTTCTGTCCGATCACTTGTCTAAAAGACCTCGACGTTTCAACGGCCGCCACGACTTGTATCATACCAATCGGTGTGTGGTCGATGTCGTCGCTACTCATATATGGGCCTTAGACTGGCTTGCGGAATGCATGAAACAATCTTCTTCACCTCAGCTATTTACAGGAATACACAGGCAGACTCTACAAGCCCATGAAGCCTTATGGCATCCCTCAGCTTCTTACAGTAACTCTCTCGTTTGTAGATAAGGCCTACTCGAGCTCAAGCGCTTCCGACCGGCTCGAGCTCACACTTATCAAGGAGTCTCGGAATCTAGAAGACTGCTCAAGACTAATAGGTACTGATGCCCTCGTCTTAGATCTAGGTCTTTCGCGAAACTCTCCCATCTGCTTCTTCCGTTTGTCACGGGCTAAAACGACATTCTGCTTCATCTCAAATCCGTGCGCGCCACTCAAAGGCTGCACAACGAGACAAACGCCGAGACATATTCTTTTGTGTCGCGATACCCAACTCAGACCTGTATGTGACTAGTCGCCTCAAGTGTATTCATAAATCCTTCTATATAATTCTTACCGAAGCAGTGGCGACTCTTCCGCCTCAGCTTAGGCCTTGGGACTTGAAGCTTGAAGCCTAGTGAGAATTGTGTATCTTCAGTTCGAATGAAAACACGCGGTCTCGCGAGATGTCAAGCGCAATTCTCATTGTGTGGAGTTTGAAATCGTGAATCGTGATAGGATCGTCCTTTATGAGATGGTGCAAGCCAGACGTCGGCCAGCAGCGGCCAGCTCATGAAGCTCAGCGCTCATCGATCATCAGCTCGGCTCAGTCTCGGCAGCAACTCAAGCGGTTCGTTCCACCAATTTCTAAGTCATCGCCCTCTGATCGTTGCTGTGGCTATCGCCGTCGCTGGCCTCGCCGCTTGCACGCTGCAGAGTTTGTGAAGGCGATCGTGACATGGGCGAGGCAGTAGACTTAGGCAACGAATATGCAGGACTTTCAGTTCGACCTCGGCAGCTTTGTATATGACACTGAATATCGAGAGCGCTCAAACAAGTTCGATCTAGTTCACAACACAAGGCTATCCTTACGAAGGCCTATATACATAACTTGGCAGGCATTCACATCCGAAGACGAGTCCTATCTGACCGATATATCCGACCATCTGAGTCTTCCTGCCGTTGGCTGCATAAGCGGAAACTTGTCTGGACCTCGATTCCATGTACGGCGGCAAGGGCCCTGAAATCATGGGCTTGACTGTGTTGAAGTTGCAGAGTTCCATATTGAATGCAATGCTCGTAAAGAGGAGAGAGATGTCGGAAAACTCACACAGATCTGTACAATAATTTGGGGTAATATCAGGCAGCTCCGCCATAGCTTTGAAGGGAGTTCTTTGGATGCGTTTGGAGCTATATTTCCATAGAAACTCATTCATCAATCCAGACAGCGAGTTGAGGGCATTGTTCGTGAAGCCATTGAGTTGTTCTAGATAAAGCAAAGAATGAGAGCTACCCTACGATATAAGATAAGTGGCAGCTTACGCGTGTTACCTTTCTCGAGCATCCAGGTTATCAACTGTCGTGGATTTCGGTTAGCGTTCTATCCAAGTTGAGAGTAATCACTGACGATGATCCTGCAGCTGAAAATCGCCAAGGCACGGGCTTTTGACGCCGTGCTATCGCGTTTCTTGAGCCATACTTGAATTTCTTTTATTGTCGCGCCGTCAAATAGATCATGCAGTCGGCCTCGAAGACCGCCGTAACGATCCTGAGTGTCAAACCGATTGGAGAAGATATAATCTCTGTCCAAACAAAAAGCAATGAGCCAGAGGTAAGGTCAGTCGTTGCGAAGACGCACCGGAAGAATGTTTCAAAAAATGGAAGCTGATACATTAATGCGTTCGCAGTGGCTGCGTCAATCAACTCCCATTTATTACCTAGGAGGTAGTCGACCATCTTCCTCACGTTGGAGGTCGGCGCATCGAGTTGTTGGATGATAGCATCGAAATGTTGACTCCGCTGTTGAGACATGACGGCGCGATATGGTGCGTATAGCAGTGTATGCACTGTAATGCAACGGAGGATGCTGGACTGGAGCAAGAAATTGGTGACTGCAATGAAAGCCTGGGTTTATATACACTCCAAGGATCTCTTCGCTTTGACGGGTCAAATCTGAGCTTGGCGTGCCCGCTGTCAGTTTCTCGCTTTGTGCCCATGTTCTCTTTGTGCGTGGTGGCTGAGCTTCGGATTGGACACAGGTGGCGGTTGGGCAGGTGGCGTCCTGGCGACCCCTGGATAAGCAGGTCCAAGCCCTGTTTGATACACGAGGACCGGGTCAAAAAAAGCCAATACGGGGATATGGACACGTACATTTCGATACCGTCCATGACAAATACTCGTCAATCGGTGCGCATTGAATAACCATACCTTGCTGAGACCAGTACAAGAAACTGTAAGACTAGACGGGGCACATTGATGACAGGGGGCAGCTCCAAGAAGCCGAGGCCTGTAACACGGCGGTCCACGCTGCGGATGACCTGCCTGTTCGCCACATTTTACTTAATGCGACAACCCATGCCACATTATTCAGTCGTGAGGGAGGCCGTGTATCGCCCAAAGCCAGAGACTATTACTAAGCCGCGGCACTGGTCAAAGATCCCAGCGTCTCTTTGCGGTAGTTGCCCACGCTTTGGAACGCTCTCAAAACAAGCCGATCACGAGAGTGGTAACCCATAAAGATGACATGCAAGGGATCAGGATAGAATGAGATAGTGTCGAGAAGAAAGTCAAGGTGAAGTCGATCGTCTGTCAAATCTAGAGAAAAGTGTTTTACGGTAGGGACGAACGCTTGAGACGATTCTCCCCGCCACAAGGCAGAAGTACGCTTGAGACACTAGCCTGGCAGAGATGTGGATAGTCAACACGGTCACAGTCGCCCAAGTCAAAATCCTGTGCGCTGCCACTGCCACTCTGAGATCAATGCGAGTCAACGATGAGCCCCGATTTCAGAAAGCTTAAGCAAAGCAACGCGTTCCATGATTAGCCGGCAAAGACGAAGCGACGAACAAAGCCTGGACGCCGAAGAAACGTGAAGACAATGAGAGAGAATAAGAGAACAGTCCGCTGTATGCTCATGGTATTTCGCCCAGTCGTACCGTGTCAGTAGAGTTAAATGCCAGATAATCAGGAAGTTATCAGCACATGATCAAACAAAAAGGTCAAGCGCACGTACAACACATACTAGATACAGTCATGGACTGCTATGCAGCTTCTCTAAGATTGGGCTTCCAAACCTTATAAGTTACTGATTATCATGCTGCATTGTCATGAACAGGTACGAGCGCAGTCAACGCTGAACAGGATGGAAATCATTATAGCATCGAGCCTGTACAGTGAATTACCCAAGGTGAGAGATGGTGGGGTGCAATATCGCAAATATTCGTGTCAGCGGCAGACACAAATCGGAAAAGGTACAAGGCTCAACAAAACGGACTCCCTCGTTATATAGGTGTCCATAAATGCTTGTGATACGGTAAATAGAACCATGTGGGTCCATCGGCACACATGAATCTTGCAGACCGCGACAGGAGAAAAAGGGTTTCAGAGCATGGAGAAAGAAGTTCAGAAGAGCAATGTTTGCACGCACTTTGTATTGCTTCTGAGCATCGGGAGAGCTAAGGTGACCGAATCCATGCGCGGCCTTTGACTGTCCTCTCGACCGGGGATACTATAGCCAGCACCCTGACAGACATGAACTGAGATGATCTGTAGAGAGTGAGTCTTGTTGCTTGAGTATCATCAAAGGTACAGGAAGTAGAGCCTTCGACGATGCCTCGAAAGTAATCGCGGTGGACACATATGATGTCACGTGGATCCATCGAAGCCTGCCCTAATCCAGCAACTGCCGCCAAATCCTAACAATCTTTTTCCTCGCGGTCGACAACGACAACGAGCTGTTTTACACGCTGCACTCGACGTTGGCGATCCTTTCCGCCTTTCCTGACGATATAACGACCTGTATAACTACTTTGTTGAAGTATATCTCAAAATAGTGAGTTTCCCATCGCCCCAACTTCATAAAGACGTCGGTCGTTACAGTGCACGCTCTGCAGAACAGCCGACATGGCTCCTACTTCAAAACCCGAAACTCTCCTCAAGCAGGCTGAGGGTCTCATTACCGTTGGCCAGAAGTTCACCGCTCTCCAGGCGCTGACAGAGATGTTCAGCTCAAAACGATTCCGTTCGACCCCGCTCGCCTTGCTCGAGCCCATCATGCTCCGCTTTGTGGAGCTCTGCGTTGATCTACGCAAGGGGCGCATTGCGAAGGAAGGACTAATGCAGTACAAAAATATCGCGCAGAATTCCAGCGTCGGTTCGATCGAGATCGTCATTCAGAAATTCATCAGCTTGGCAGACGCGAAGGTGCAGGAGGCACAGGATATGGCGGACAAGGCGGTAGCGGATGCGGTCGCTGATGTGGACGATTTAGAGGCCATTGAGACACCAGAGAGTATCTTGCTTGGAGCGGTCAGCGGGGATCAGAGCAAAGACCGCACGGACAGGGCTTTAGTGACGCCCTGGCTCAAGTTCTTGTGGGAGAGCTATAGAATGGCACTGGAGACGTTGAAGAACAATGCCCGTTTAGAGGGCATTTATCAGGTGCGTACGCATAGTTCTGTGGGGCGTCGTAACCTCTCATTCTCCACCAGCAAGTAGCGCAACAAGCGTTCAAGTTCTGCTTGAAGCATCAGCGCAAGGTCGAGTTTCGTCGCTTGTGTGAGACACTCCGGTTGCACTTGGGCAATGTCGCAAAATACGCGCACCAGGCCCATTCGATCAATTTACAGGATCCAGAGACGCTTCAACATTATCTTGATACTCGGTTTGCGCAGCTCAACACATCTGTAGAGCTCGAACTATGGCAGGAGGCTTTCAGGTCGGTCGAGGACGTGCACAATCTGTTGACGATGGCGAAGAAAGCACCGCGACCGGGGATGATGGCGAACTACTATGAGAAACTGACGAAAATTTTCTTGATGAGCGGAAATGCCCTCTATCATGCCGCGGCCTGGGCAAAATACTACTCTCTTGTGACGGCAATAGGTGGGCGATCTGAGGATGAGATGCATCGGTTGGCAGGACAAGTATTGGTGAGCGCACTCGCTGTGCCTGTCGGGCAAAAGGCGGAGGAATTTGGCGCCGTGGAGGGTAAAGGCAAAACAGCTCGATTGACCGCTCTTCTCGGTCTTTCGAAACCACCCAGTCGCGGCGGACTACTGAAGGATGCGGTGGGTCGACTTTGTTCCAGGCCTTTTGCCGATTCTGACATTTGTACAGCTGTCTCGAAATGTTCTCAAATTAGCCCCTGAGACAATTCGCTCGCTATACACGATTCTCGAGGTTACATTTGACCCTCTGACTCTTTGCGGTGCCGTTGCGCCGCTCTTGGTCACGCTCTCCCAAGATGCCGCTTACTCCCCGTATCTCCCGTTGCTTCAGCGTGCTCTTCTCTCCCGCCTTCTCTCTCAGCTCGCACAAGTCTACTCTTCGATCGAGATTGCCAAACTCCTCGCGCTACTCCAGCCCCTGCGCGATGCTGCCACAGATGGTGCCGGCGACGCCACGGTTTACCAGGAGGAACGAGTCGAGGCCTACATCATGGGATGCGCGCGGGTTGGCGAGCTGAATGTCCGCATTGATCACGCTGCAGGCAGCCTTGAATTTGTCGATGACGCCTTTGCCTACGAAGATGCGCCCTCGACGTCGGCTGCGCACGAGAAAGCCATTCAAGCGTCTGCATCCACGCTCGTGCGAACACGTTTGAGTACCATTGCTACTAGTCTTCACAACTCCCTCGCCATTCTGGACCCGGCTCTACAGCTCACGCCTGAGGAGCAGCAGGAGCGTGTGCAGGCTCTGGTCGCTGCAGCCCAGACCGAGCGAAAGGCTCTACAGCTCCGCCGCGCGCTCGTTGCGAGACGACGAGAGCTTCTATCTGAGCTCTCGGTCCGTAAGGAGAAGGAAGAGGCAAGTAGGCGCGCTGAGATCAGCCGGAGGGAGCGTGAGGAGGAGGGTAGAAGGGCACTGGAGGAGGTCAGGCGAAGAGAACAGGAGAAGGCAAAGAGGGAAATCGAGAACATCCGGATGGAGGAGGCAATGAAGTTGGCTCAGAGTCTCAAGGAGAGGGGCAATCTCAAGGTCGACATCGAGGTGAGTGATCCCGTCTATTTTCTTCCGCTTAACACGGCATTGACCTTTTCATAGGATGTCACGAACCTCAACACGGACAATCTCATGCGTCTTCAAGTCGAACAGTGGGAGAAGGAGAAGAAGGACCGCGAGGAACGTCTTCGAATTATCGCCAAGCGTCTCGACCATCTCGAGCGCGCTTACCGCAAAGAAGAACGTCCTCTCCTCGCCAAGGATTATGAGGTCCAGCAGGAGAACGATCGTGCTACCTTCGACGCTGTACAAACCGCTCGCCTCGAAAACTCCAAGGTTGCCCACCAACAAGACTTGGCCACGAAGAAACGTCTCTCGCGTATGCTGGACGAGTTCAACGCCCGAAAGGACCTGATCCTTCAGAAGAGGGGAGAGGAGTTCGAGAAGAGGAGGCAGACAGCGTTGGCTAAGATCGAGGAGGAGAAGGCTAAGAGGCGCAAGGCTGTCCTCAAGGCACGCGAGGAGGAGCGGATCGAGCGCGAGAATCAGGAGCGTATCAGAAGGGAGAAGGAAGAAGAGGAGCAGAGGCTCGAAGAAGGTCAGTCTCGTCTTCCCATAGTTGATACGAAGATTGAACTGATTTGTCTGATTCCAACGTTCCAGAACGTCTGATGGAGGAGGAGAGACTGCGCGCAGAGGAGGAGGCCGCTCAAGCCGCTGAAGAGGCCAAGCAGCGCGAAGAGCAGGAAAAGGCACTAGCCCTTCGCAAACAGCGGGAACAGGAGCGGGAAGCCGCAAACGAAAAGGCGCGTTTGCAAGCGCAGCGCGAGGAAGAAGCCATGGCACGGCGTGCGGCTGGACGCGTGGCGCCAGCGGCTGTTGCCACTCCCGTCGCCACCGACACCTGGAGGCGTCGCGAGTCCGCCGCACCGCCCACCCCGATCCGGGCATCCATGGCCACGCCTCCACCGCGGTCGGAGAGCCCCGCTGGTCAACCAAGAGTCAGCCGACCTGCCGTCTCCAATGGCGGCGGATGGAGAGCGAGAGAGCAGGCTAAACAGTCTGGCGCTGCCCCTGTTCGGTCGGCATCCCCCGCCCTTCCCAAAGACGAGCCCAAGAAGGAAGAGACTAAGGCCGACGACGACGGTTTCCAACCTGCGAAGAACGTCTGGCGTCCGTCGCGGCTGAGGGGCAAGCAGTAGTGCGATCTTGAGGTTCTGTCTGTCTTTTGATCCGTATGCTTCCATTCGCGCATTTGCATGTCCTCATGTTCTGTTTTTACATCTTGCACCATGAAACTTTCTATGAATCCTCGGATAAATATCTGAAAACAACGAATGCAGTACATATGCGGTTTAGGTACAGTCAACACAAAACTCAATGTCCGATATAGCAAACGAATGGATCGCAGGGGGTACAACAGGTTTATTGCCTATGCTCCTCTTCTTCGGCTTCTAACATCAAATCTGCAAAGAAACGGACGGTGAGAAAAAGGCAAAGGGCATGTCGACGGCAACACTTGCCTCCCCATGATGAATTTTGGACCGCGGCCAGGACGTCCTGCCCGTCGTCCTCTGCTATCAACGAAGAATCCCGAGATGGAGACAAGTCGCGCCTGCAAAGAGCGTCAGAAATGCACGTAAACCTGCGCGATGAGGCGACTGACGCATAACGGAGGCCCAAGTCCGTCGAGAGCATACTGACATCGCTCGTCCTGCGCGCTCTATGAAGCGCGGACGAGCGAGGGCTGCCACCTCCGAACGACAGATCGAAGGGGTCTCTCGTTGCCTCTCCCGGGGATCGCCCGGGCGACTCGGGGTCGCTAAAGGGACTGGCGGGGTACGACGTGATGTCACGGGTGCTTTGGGGCGGCGTCGTGGGAAAGTCGTCGACGATGATGGCAGGGATGTCTGGGTGCACTGTCGGATGAGGACGATCGTAGGGGGTGGACGGAAACTGAAAAAAGCTGTCACCTTGCTCCATCTTCGCCTGCCGCGAACGCTCCCTCTCGGCCAAAAAGCGTCGGCGATAGGTGATACACTTGAGGTAGGACCGCACGCGGTCCAGGTTCACGAGATCGGTGACGAGCTTGTTGGTCTCCGTTCGGACGACTAGGTCCTTCAATCTGCAGATGAACGTGAGTCGACAACGAAAGGGGGAAGGAGGATGTCTCTGACATGAGCGCGTCCTTGTCCACGATCAACTTGTGATGGGCCAGCAACAGAAGCATGTCCGTGAACGAGATGCCCTTTCCTTGGTGGTGCGAGATGCTCGCCTCGTGGTAGAGGCGGCTGTACAGATTTCGCCGCCTCCGAATGGCGCCGTAGTCGATGGCGCCGAGCGTCTTGTTGAGGTTGTCAAGGTCAACGCCCTCGACGACAGCTTTCCTGCCGGGCCAGGAATAGTCGGAGTCGCCCGCGTCCGTGAAAGTCCTCAGAATATTTGGGACGCTGTATTCCACGGGGTATATCCGCACTTCGAAGATGCCGCTGAGCCGCTGATACGATCCGCTTCAGCTTGTCCTGCGTCCTCGATGGGGCGAAAACACTCACGGCGAAGAAGGGAACGAAGCGGTGGCGCTCGAGAAAGCCCGTTCTCGGGTTCGCAAATTCAGCCCAGACCTTCTTGAACGCGCGCATCTCCTCTCGCGTCACCGCCTTTGTCCCCCCGGTCATCTGGAACACGTATGAAAAGTTCTCGACGACAACACCTGCGAGCGAGCGGTGAGTCCAGGGCTGAATCGAAGTTTGTGGTCACGCACCAGTAAACATGTTGACGAAGATGTACTTTTGTTCGATCGTTCAGCGTGCGCGCGGCTTCGAGACCGGAAAGGGACCCACCATGCTCAGGAGATTCCACGCTATGAAGAGGGTGAATGCCCACCCGACGCTGCCGCAATCGGAATCTGGGTCACTAGCCGAGGCGTTGGTGCACCTCGGATACACCAGCGCACTGAATAACGTCAGCGAACCGCGCGCTTGGAACCAATCAGACCTACTAGTCGTGCATATATTGATTCCACCCCTCCCTAGAGGCTGATGTCAATATCGGGCTTGGCGGTCGAGAGCCCCAGAAACGTACCCTGCGGTCATGAACGCCAACATGACGAGGGCGGTGCCCAGCGTCGTGTAGTTCTGGTTCCGTGTCTCGGCAGACTGCCACTTGGTCAAGCTGAAGATCTCCACGAACAGGATCCCGAAGAACAAGAAGAACGTGATCCAGAGCGAAAGCAGGCTCAGGATGACGGGCAAGCTCGACCTGTCAGGGGTGGACACACACGTCCGTCAGTGTTGCATTGAAACGCGCGACACGACGGGGGACGCGCGGGGGCTCACACTGCGGTCTTGAACAGCTTGTTGAGGTTATTCATGCGCTGGATCAGCTTGAACGCGATGCTGACGAGGAACAGCTTCTGCAGCTGATCGAGCACGTACCCGCTCGCGCCCACGCGGACGGAGACGGTCGTGATAAGACTGCCGCTGGCCACAATGATGTCGAATATATTCCAGCCGTTCGCCCGGAAGCTGGACCACCCAAGCCCGTACAGGCGCACGAGGATGTCCAGCACGTACACGGACGTGATGAACATGAAGAAATCGCCTGCACAGCGACGGCGGCGCGATGAATGAGACGCGGCACGTTCGAGGGAGAAAAAAAACGCGACGGAAACTCACTGCGCAGCTGGTCGGCAAAGCGCTGGGGCTTGAACGTCTGGGTCCTGAGACATGATCTTTGTCAGCGAATGGCGGGCTGCCCGAGACGGCGACGGGACGCACATGAGAGCAATGATGTGGACGGCGAACAGCACGGTCATCATGCGGGACCACCAGCCGTGCTTGCGCACGGCGCGGTCGAAACACCAAGCCCGCACGGGCCAGCGCGGCCTCACTTTGGGCCGCTTGGACGGCTTCTGCCGCTTGATCAGCTTTTGCAGGTCGATCCACTCCCGCTGGGGCTGCGTGAGGAACGCGGTGCCCGTCTTAGAGCTGAAATTGCCGATGATGATGCTGCGGGGCGAAGGCGGCGCGTCAGCAAGGGGGGCGGGACGAGTGAGAAGGACGCGGCAACGCACCTGACGAAGAGCGTCAAGATGACGACGGCACCGAGCAAGTTGTACACGAGGAAGAAGATGGCGTTGACCTGGGACGCGTTGGTCTGCGGCTGCATCCCAAACCCGGTGATGCTAGTCGCGACGCCCATGACGTCCGTCCAGCCCTCGAGTGAGACGATCTCGAACAAGATGAGGAGGGACGAGCGAAAGCTATCGAACGAGAACGTCGTCGACGGCGACGGGTTTGCCCACACGCGCGGGACCGGGAACAGAAACGCCGTCCCGTCGTCCCCGACGACGCTGTTCGTGAACTCGTTCACGCAGTCGCGCGTGCCGCCGACCGAGGTGTCGTTGCACGTGTTCGTGTGGCCGGCGAAGATGTTGAGGCCCCAGACGGCGTAAGGGATCATGTACAGGATGGCGAGCAGCGCGGCGTCGAGGATACGGGTGACGCCGGAGATGATGAGCGATTCGAACGTCGTGCGCATCTTCTCGATGAGCGTGATCAGGCGCAGCGCGCGCAGGGCCTTGAGCGCGCGTGTGAAGCGGCTGAGGCCGCCGATGAAGATGAGCCCCGTCGTCACGTTGACGAGCAGGCCAAGCATGATGAAAAAGTCGAGCACGTTCCATATGCTGCGGATGTACGCGTTGGGCGTGAACAAGAACCCGTCCGCGACGACCTTGATGAGGAACTCGACGACGAGCATCAGCCCAAAGACGGCCTCCGCGATGTCGAACCACGACCCGCGCAGGAGGCCGTGCTGCATATAAAAGTTGCGGCGGTAAATTGGGGTGGCGATCGCCTCCGTGACGATACCGCCGATCACGGTCAGCAGCAGCACGAACTGAAACATGGTGTGCGGGATGGGCGCCGGCGGCCGTCCGAAGATGCGGTCCCCGTTGGCAGGGCGGACCAGCCTCTGGCAAAGCCGGCGGAACGCGTTCTTCTGCGAGAAGAGCCAGAACGTCTTGTCGAAAGACGGGTGGTCCCGGATGAAGTCCGCCTTTTGCGCCCGGCGCTCGTAGAACGCGTCGCTCGCGTCCTCGACCGCTGCCACCTCGTTGTTGATGCTTGCGAGCAAGTCCCTAAGGTCGAGAACGGACGGTCAGCGCTGAACGGCGCCCGCCATCGACGCTGCCACGTACAGATGCCGCTCCATTTCCTCATCGTTCGGGTCCTGCGCGCGCATGGTGTCCCTGCGGCCGTTCCGCAGCGCGGTCATGGGCATATCGTTCGCGTGTGTGTCCCCGATGAACAGCTGCTGCAGCATATTCAGTGACTTGGTGGTATAATGCCGCACCGGGCGCCTGCGCCCGTCCGCCGGCCGAACCTGTCATTCAAAACCATGAGCCAGCGCGCGCGCGCGCCAGAAAAGCAACAAAGCAGCAAATATACCGCGTTGGGGCGCCGATCCTGGCTCGGCAGGCCATAGTCCAGCACGAGGGCCTTTTGCATCGGCAGGACGAGGCTGGACGGCAGGTTCTCGACGACGATGGCCTTGGGCGAGGCCTTGAACCACCTGTACGGGTTGAACTTGCGCATCCACGTCGCTTTTGCCTTTTGCGGCTGCTGCGCGGCCCAGTAGTGATTCGCCTGCTGCCCGCGCTTCGACTCTTCGGCGACGTTGAAGTTCTCGTTGATGACGGCGATGAACATCTGCAACACGATGACTGTGCGGCAGCGGAGGGTCGGTCGGTCAATCGGCCGCGAGGAGGGGAAGAGGGAGGAAAGCGCGCGGGCGCGCGGGCACTCACAGTTCGCGAAGAAGAACCAGGCGCTGATGAAGAGCACCGTGATGGCGGACTGGCCGAGCGGGACCTCGGCCGTGGCGGAGCTGTAGAGCACCTGGGTCCAGTTCTCGGACGAGAACACCTGGTACATCGCCAGAAAGGCAGTGAAGATCTGCCCAAAGTTCATCGTCTCGTCCGCGCCCAGGTCGCCGCGCAGGATCTGCACCGCGACGAGCGCGGCGAGGAAGTTGACGAGGATGAGGAAGAGCGTCATGTTTGCGAGGCCGTACATGTTGCCGAACACCGAGAGCTGTGCGCGGCGGGGTCGACCGGACGGTCAGTCAGTCAGTCAGTGGGTCAGCGAGCGGCGGGCGCAAGGGCGCGACGCACCAGGAGCGGCTTCATGCGCGGGATCTCGAGTATGACGCGGTAGAAGCGCATGAGCTGGAAGATGGTGAGCCAGGGGTACACCGGCGAGTTGTGCACCGCGGGGACCTGAATGACGGACGAGCCGAGCGCGAGCACGAGGTCGAGCCAGTTGGTGCCCTTGCGGAAGAACGCGCGCCAGTCGGGCAGGTGCGCCGCGACGCGCACCGCGATCTCGACGTCGAACGCGATCGTGAGCACGAGCTCACCGTTGTCGAGGATCGCCGCGTGCGTCGGTGAGATGCCGACCTCGCGCGTCGCCTGCAGCACGAGCGACGCGAGCGCGAGCGCGACCCAGCACCACCGGATGTGCTCGTACATCTCGCGCACGCGGTTGTGCTTCACGTACCGGCCGTCGACCATCGCCCACGTCTCGTCGCGCGCGTCCACGATGGGCTGCAGCCTGACCCCACGCGCACCGTCAACCATCAGCACCACGACCGCACCTCAGCAGAGCAGAAACAGAAACGCTTACGGGGCGGCGCCGAACGCGCTCTTCTGCGTCTCCTCGCGAATGGCGGAGAACGTGTTGGTGATCACGGCCACGAAGAGGTTGATGAGCCAAAAATTGAGCACGACGATGCAGACGATGAAGAAGAAGCACGAGACGAAGAACTCCGAGTCGATCATCGAGTACATCATCGGCGACCACTGTTCCGCGACACACACGTCAACCCGTGAACCGCACGTGAGAGACGTGAAAGGGACCGACCCCGTTGGCAGACGCCACGATGACGACCTGCAGCGCCGAAAAATAAATCGTATCGAAGCTCTCGATATTCTCGTACGGATTCTGCTCCTCCTGCACAAGCAATCAGCGTCTCTCCCAACGCTAGAGCCAAACCAAAAAAAACGCGCCCCACGCACCTTGCACACCTGCCCGAGCGGGCATATGTATCCCTTGGCCTCCTGCGGCGTCCCGTCGAGCGCGACGTACCCCGTGGCCGCGAGCGTCCCCGAATCGACGTACCCGCCACACTGCTGGTCGAGCTGGATCTCGTCCTGCCCGAGCGTCGGCAGGAGGTAGCACGAACGCCGGAACGATCCGCTGAACGACTGCACGCCGATGATCCTACACGTGCGCGCGCACGGCATTAGCGTGCCCAGAACGACCGAACGAGGACGGCCACTCACGAGAACAGCGCCATCGCGAACAACACAAAGTACAGCACGCTCGTCAACAGCGGCCTCGCAATCTTCAACGACCGCATAATCGTCTGCCCCCCAAACCACGATCAATCAGCGCCCCCCTCTTCCCCAACAAAAAAAAACAGCCCGCCGCACCGTAGTCCCAGAAGTGATCGCCAGCAGCCTCGCGAGGCGCAACACGCTCAGCGCCCTAAACAGCCCAACATGCGTGCCCCCAGGCCCGCGCTCCGCCCCCGCCTGCGCGAGCGCGAACGCGACCCAGAAGCCGACCAGCGCGACGCAGTCCAGCCGCGACCAGCTGTGCCGCAGGTACGGCACGTTCCGCACCGTCATCGCCTGCGCCCGCGCCACGCTGAACCGGAACGGCAGCGCCAGCCCCCCGCTCGCGCTCGCGCCGGTGCTCGTGGGGGGCACGCGAAAGGGCTGCGAGGCCGTGTGCGCATGCGCGTGAGCCTTTTCCATGATCGGCGTCGTCGACCCCGCCGTATCCGAGCGCGCGCGAACCACGCGCGACCCGGACGGCGTCGCGCTCCCCGAATCCGAACCCGATCCCGAGCTCATCCCCGACGCGGACACCGACGCGAGCCCTGAATTCGACGCGGACGCGGATGCGACGCCGAGCGACACGGACGCGGCGAGCACGCTCGCGGGCACGCGCGCGTTCCCCGCCCACGCGCCTGCGCCTGCGTCGGCGGAGGCGGTAGACGCGGCATGCGGGAGCGCGAATGGGTGCGCGGCGCGCGCGTAGAGGCGGCGGAGGCGCTGCGTGAGGGTGCGCGAGCGGGCGAGCTGGCCCTGGTACTGGCTCGAGTGCGGGTTCTGGCTCTGGGAGTGCGCGCGCTGGAGCGGGGCGTCGGCGCCGTTGCCGGAGGTAGGGGCAGGAGCGGCGGCGGCGGGGTCTGGGTGTGCTGGGGTGAAGAGGAGCGAGAGCGGGATTTCGGGGTCGAGGATGAGCCCTGTGACGCAGATGCGCGCAAAGGCCTCGAGGCTGCGTGTGGTGTGGTGCGGTGCGGTGCAGGGAGCGCAGCCGAGCGCGATCAGCCAGACAAGACGCGAATTGCGGGAGGGGAGAGACGCACGTGAAGAGCACGAAGAGCACGAAGAGCGCGTAGTCCTCCCACGCGTGGAAGTACCCGCGCACGGCGGCCGGCGCCGCGCTCGCACCCGCGCCCGCGTCGAGCGTGAGCGTGTGCGACGCCTGCAGCGTGAGCACGACGGCGTTGAACACGATCAGGCACAGGATCGCGGGCTCCGTCCACCTGCGCCGCCGCCGGGTATCGCATCAGCGTCGCCCATCACACACGAACAGCGGCGGGGGAGCAACGCACGGGTACACCAGGAAGCGGAACATCGCGAGCCGCACCGCGCTCCTCGGGCCAAAGCACCCCAGAGTGCGCCCGCGAATCGGCATCCCCCTCCTTAAATCGGGCACCCCCGCCCCGTCCACCGCACCCGCACCTACGCCCGCGTCGTCTCCCTCGTCGTCGACGCCGCCGCCCTTTTCGACGCGCACGTCCCCGTCTGCGAGGCGCGTGTGGTCGTCGAGGCCCCGGCCGGCGAGATTCACGACGCGCAGCGATGCGCGGCGCAGACCGCGCGAGACGCTCTTGAGGCGCGAGCCCGTGCGCTGGAGCGGCGACGCGCCCGCGCCGCTCCCGCCGCCCGCACCGCCACCGCCGTACTTGAGCGTCCTTCTGCGCGCGGCGCCCGCGCGCTCCGCGTCGACTTCCGCATCGACACGCGCGTGGCCGCGGGCGTACGCGGCGGCGCCGGCCATGTGGGTGGTGAGGCGGGCGCCGTCATCGTCCTCGTCATTGTAGTCGTCCGCGTCGGGATCGGGCTGGCGGAGGGTGTCGGCGTCGGAGAGAGTGTACGTGTAAGAGGCGGAGGAGGCGGCGGAGTCGCGGGGGTACGGGCGAGGGAGTGGGTGGCGGATGAGGGAGGCGGCGGAGGCGGTAGCGGCGGTGGTCGCGTACGGGTTCGTGGTAAAGGTGGTGGAGGAGGAAGAGGCGGCAGCGGCGGCCATGGTGGCGGTCGAGGGGCCATAGTCGCGCGCGGGGTCGCGGACGCGGAAGGGGTCGTCGTCGAGGTCGAGGGCGAGGCCGCGCGGGCGGTGATATGCGCGTGCGGCAAAGGGGTCGTCGCCGTCACGGTCGCGGTCGCGGGGGTCGAGGGGCATGACGGGTGTGGCGCCGACGATGCGCGGGGGGGAGTCGGAGCGCGGGATCGGGATGGAGACATATTGTGCGAGTGCGAGGGGGTCCTGGCCGTGCTCGACCCTGCCCCAGCTTGTCCTGCGGCGTGCGAGGTTGCGGTGGGGCTCTGCGGGGTCGAGCGAGGGCGAGGACGGGGACGGGGCGGCGTGCGTGTGCGTGTGTGTCGGGGACGAGAGGCTGGAGATGCTGGCGCTGGAGCCGAGGTCGACGGCGGAGGAGGTGGAGGAGCTCCTGGACGGCTGCTGGTCGCGGTGGGCGGCGTCGGAGGCCATGTAGCGTCGACGACGACGACGACGACGGTGAGGAGGAGGAGGATGTGTGGGAGGACAGGTCGTCAGCGGTGGGAGCAGGAGAAATAGGCGGTTGCCCCTTTTGGGCGGGGCTGCCCAGCGCTCTCCGGGGTCTCGTCGTCATGCGCAGTGTTCTCGTCGACGGCGATGGCGGCGGCGCAAGCGAGGGCCAGCCGAGTGCATTGTGGAGAGTGTTGTGGAGAGTGTTGCGATCGCAGACGAGCTCAGCGCCCACGGCACGCAGACTTCGCAATGACGCACGCCTCGTTGACGACATACATACGGCATACACGGCTGAAGACACATACAACAAATACACAGAACGTCGAGCAACGATGCTCGTACACCCTCGCCTCACTCTGCATCCTGCCGTATCAACCCCAACGCCGCCTCGGAGCGCGGCACGAACGCGCACTTGAACGGCCTCGGCCGACTGCCAGCCGCCCTCGCCGTCAGCACCAACGCCGACAGCGCGACACCGACCCGACGCACGACGCACCTGACAGACTCCGTCGTGAACGCCTCCTCCGGCAGGACCTCGCGCCCGTCCGCGTCGTTGGCCGGCACGACGTCGAACACGGCGAGGATGCTCGCCGCCGTCAGCCAGATGTTGTCCAGCGCCAGCCACCGCCCGGGACACACTCTGCGGCCACGCGCGTCAGCCAGCCCCCGCGAACGCAGAGCCGGAGGCACGCACCGGCGGCCGAAGCCAAATGCCATGAGCGGGACCCCGTTCACCCCGCGCGCCCTGTTCCCGTCCGCGTCCACAAACCTGTCCGCCACGAACCGGAACGCGTCCGGGTACATCTCCTCGTCGTGGCACATCCCCCTGCCCCACCCCGCGCGTCAGTCTCCTCCCTTTCCTCCTACACACGCGCACTCACCAAACATTCGGCAGCACCGTCGTCCCCCGCGGGATCCGCCACCCCCCATACACGTCCTCCCGCACCGTCGCGTGCGGCGACGCGAGCGGCGCCACCGGGTTCCACCGCTGCGCCTCCCACACCGCGCTCGTCACCAGCGGCAGCGCACCGCGGTCCCCCAGCGTCGGCAGCCGCCCCGGCCCCGCGCCGAGCACCCCGTCCAGCTCCGCCTGCGCCGCGCGCCGCGCGTCCGGGTACAGCAGCATCGCGAGCAGGAACGTCAGCGCAGCCGCCACAGTCTGCACCACCCCCCCGATCCCCAAATCATGGTCATTCGGAGACGCGCAAGCGACGGGGGACGGGCGCTCACCGTGTCCGCGCCCGCTGCGTGCCCGCGGCCGAGCCAGCGCGAAATACGCCGTCAGTCAGTCAGTCGAACGGGGACGCACGCACCGGAGTACGAGATCGCAGTGATGCCCTGGATCATCCGCACGTCCGCCTCCCGCCCCTCGCGCACCGCGCGCTCCAGCTCCGTCGCTGCCACGCACGGCGCCGCCGTCCCCGCCTCCTGCGCCCGCACCGCCGCCGCCCCCGCGTCAGCATCGCCGTAGGCGTCAGCATCGTCTCAGGGCGCGCACACGCACCATGTTACGCCGGACCATCTCGAACGGCCGCTCGAGCATCGCCCGCGACAGCGCGCGCCACTCGCGCGCCTTGCGCTTGAACCCCGCCCCGGGGACCCACGCGGGCACGTGCTTCACTGCACGCACACGCGCCCACCAACCCTTCCGCCGTCAGCGCACAGCCACACACACATACACACACAGAGAAAGAGACGCGGGGCACGCACGGAGGGGCACATAGTCCACCAAATACGTCCCGTATATATCCGCGTGCGCGAGCGCCGCCGTCGCGCGCGCCGCGAGCCCCACCAGCGCGTCGCCCTCGCCCTCCTCGGCAACGTCGTGCCCATACGCGATCTTCAACACCAGCGCCGCCGCGTTTCGCCGCAAGTGCCGTTCGTACGCGTCCGGCGCGCGCAGGAGGCCGCGCAGGAGGGTGAGGACGTTGAGCGCGGCGATGGGGGCGTAGGACGGCACGACGCGCGCGTGGAAGTGTTTCTGGAAGAGCCCGCGGTGGCGCCGCCAGGGCTCGCCGTAGGGCATGCGCGAGAAGGACCAGTACCAGCCCATCCTGGGTGCGTGGGTGGGTGCGTGGGTGGTCAGCAGCAGCGGCAGCGGAGAGACGTGTGCTTGGGGAGCATGGACTCACAGCTCGCGCGTCATCGTGCGGCGCGGGCGCGACGAGTACACCGCGCCGCGCTTGTCGAGTAGCTCATCCGCCGCCTCTGCCGAGTTGACGACGAGCACGGGGTCCCTGTACGCGCGGTAGAACACCAAGTCGCCTGCGCCCGGCGCGTTAGCCCACCACCACCATACCCCCACCACGACACGAGACAGGGGGGGTGCGCACCGTAGACCTGCCTCCACGCGGTGTACGTGCGCCACGGCGCCGCGCGGGAGATGGCGGGGCGCCCGAGGCCGAGCCACGGTGACTTGGGTCCAGGTGGGAGCGGCAGCCTGCGCGCGCGCGCGCGGAGGCCGAGGAGCGCGAGGAGGAGCGCGGCGAGCGTCGCTGCGAGTGCCACGCCAGACTCGAGGGCGATACTGCTTGCGATCATGCTGCTTGCGAACACCATCGAGAGCGAGGTGTGGAGGGGGCGCAGGGCGCACGGGGGTGGGCGTACTTGTAGCCCCGCGCGGCGGCGTTCTCCGGTCCTGCCCGTCGACTGTACCGCGATGCATGGGAGCGCGCGTCCGAGGATGGGCGGGCGCATGCTTCATGTCCCCTAGACGTCATCGGCCGACGCGCGCCGCGCACCGCGAAGGCCCACCCCCCGTAAATAGCGTGCGGGCCAGAAGCCAGAAGCCGTCGAGCAGAGCAGCCCGCGTCGAGCGCACGCGGGTGGCCGGGCTGTTTTTTTTCCCTCGAGTACCCTTCTTTAGAGTGGGCACAGACGTGCGCCCAGTGGCGGGTACGATCACGCTGCTGGACTCGACGGCGGTGCGGGGATCTTCCCCACGCGGAGCACCGTGTGTATGACCGAGGGACGCACGACCGACTTATTTCAAGAGAGGAAGTATAGAGGTACGTAATGCTACACGAACGCGTTTCTGCCACAACCAGCCGCGACCGCCCAGTCCTCCCCCCAATGCAGCCTCTACGCGCTGCCGTTGGCGCCGGCGCCCGTGTCCTCCTCCGCATCCGCGACCGCCACCTGAGCGCAGAAAAACGACATCGTCAGAGATTATATACTGGTCTACGGTTCAGAGACGCGTGGGTACTCGCCCTGCGCTTCCGCTTCGACGCGCCGACCGGGTCCGGCGCGGAAAAGATCGCGTCCAGCTCCTGCGCGCCGCGCCGCACGGCCAAAGACGGAGCAAAAGACAAAGGAACGTCGGTGAGCGTGCCCCTCGCGCGTGCGAGCGGCGAGTCGACGGCGTACCTCCAGCGTGCGTCCCTGTCGTGGACGGGCGAGTCAGACATCAGCGTGAGCAGGCGCGATGGCGCACGCACCTGCGTTTCCACGCAGAAGAAATACCACACCGCGGTTTCCTGCAGTCCCGACCGGCCGACCGACCGACCGACCGACCATCAGCACCATGGAACATTCGGCCGCGGTCGAGGTACGCACGAAGGTATCCCAGCCGACGAACACCAACATATATTTCCACTGCATGAAGGGGCCGTACGTCAGCGTGGTCCCTGTACGGCACTGTAGCAGACACCCTACCCCGATGCGGCCGTACGCGATGCTGCCAGCCCGAACAAGAGCATCAGCACAACGGACGACCCCTCACCCGTAGACTGGGGCGACTCACGGCGTGCAGAACAGGTTGATGAACGACGTGCAGCCGATAATCTGGCGAGGTTTGCGGGCAGATCGTCAGCACATTCCTGCGGGGGGATCGCGCGGACGGAAAGGCGCACGAAGATCTTGAAAGACACGCCCTTCGCGCGCGTCGTCGTCTCCAGGCATTCGGCGGGGTACAGCGACTCTGTCCGAGGGTCAACATCGGTCCTTCGTAATCACGCTGCTGAGCGACTCACGAAGCGGCGTGTAGGTGAACGCGTACACGACCCCGAATAGGAAGTAGAACGCGATCCCCGCGTCGCCGATCGCCTGCACTCGCGTCCCCGCGCGCCGCCATACTTAGCACAGCACGACGATGGAAACCAAACTACGCACCAGATTCTGCTCCCCCGCCGTGTATGCCGCCCATCTGGCGCTGAATGCGGCGTTGAGCGCCAGCATAACAGCGCACGCGAACGTTCCCGCCACGAGCACCTTGCGCCGCGGCATCCGATCTGGATGGAGACGAGGGTCGGTCATGCACGCGGCCAGACGAGGCGCAAAGGGGACGCACCCTCGAGCGAGACGGCAATCCAGGCGACGAGTGCGTTGGCGCACGTCGCTGCGTGTGTGTGCGCGGTGAGGGCCCGGGGAAGAGGCACAAGCGCGAGAGCACGCACAAATGAGATTCATGTTGAATTGCATTTGTTCTGCACGTGGTGATCAACCCTTGCCGCCTCCCCACGAGGGAATCACTTACTGCCAAACCCTAGACTCTATCCAAATTGACGAGGTCAGCGTCGGTCTCACAATAGCGCTATGCGACTGACCTCGTATATCGACAGCTGGATTCAGGCGAGCAAAGTAGGTTCAGTCGACCTCCCACTGGCACATCCTGACTACACTCACATTGAAGTATCCTATAAATAAGAGCCTTCAGCGGGCGTGCGTTCGTCACTTTCGAAAGCAGACGGCTCACCTAGACCGTTCCCGCTCATTTGTCCTGAAAGCAAGTACTCAGGCCTCGATGTATGCGCAGCCACGATCCACGCACCGAAGAAGCCCATGAGGAAGACCATCTGAAACCGACACCGCGTCAGATACGGTGCACTCAACGCAGATGCCCTGGCATTACCAAAATTCTCCACCGCGCGTTGCTAGTCACTTTACTCAAAGTCAATGCTGATCGGCATCCTCCTCGAGGCCAAGCAAAACCTACCAAACAAGGCCCTAAAAACCCACCACTGCTTAGCACGCGGATACGTGTGCTTGTGGGAATACAACGTGACGTACTTGAAATCCCACCACCGCTTATCAGACCCGTCCGTGCGGATGCCCTCTGTGAACTCCCGCATCTGGAGTTGGACAATAGGATGCTCTCGATCGCCATTGCCTACAGACGTCCATTTTCCAAAGACTCGAAAGGTCGGTGAGCAATCCAGAAAACGTAGGGGAAATGCTCACCGTGATATTTGATCAGAAATTCGAAAGCTTCTTCCGTGCGCCCGTGCGCCATGAGCCATCTGTGAGACAAATGATCAACGCGATGGGAAGAGGGTCTCAGATTGGATGACTACCTAGGACTTTCCGGCTGTCGTCGGGTGTCATAAAGGTATAGAAGAGCAACCCTCGACTTTAGATAAAACCCACCAAGAACCAGATGGTAAGCACAACCAACATTGCAGGGAAGGCCTGCAGGACGCATACGTCAATTTACGCGCATTCGCTGTGCGGTGAACAGACCACATTTACTCACTTGGATGATCAATGGGATCCGCCAACTCCAATCCGACAGCATCCGAGACGTCCCCAACGTGATCGCCGCAGCAGGAATGGCGCCTCCATTCCACCCAGTGTTGTAAAGGGACGTCAAACGGCCTCTGCATACAATGAAAACGAGGGATCGTCTCAAAAAGTGTAGGTCACAAATTCAAAAATTCAATGCGAACCGCCATTGAGGGGGCGCGACTTCGACTGTGTACGTCGGTGCACCGATTGTCGCAATCGCGATCCCGAAGCCAAGCACGAACCGACCCGCGACGAACTGGGTCGACACGACGTGAGTACGGCACTGGTACCGAAGGACCAGGAAGGGTTGAGTATCACCTGACGTTTGACCTCGGATGAAGCGATGATGGCAGACCCGATCATTATGATTGCACATCCTGTGAAGGGAGTCGTATAATTATACACACGATGATCCACAATGTATGAAAATGTGACTCGCCAGTAAACATACCCGCACGACGTCCCCAACTGAGTACCAGAGAGGTCAACATCAGCTTCACCCACTCAAAAAGAGAAGCCACCTACCGGTCACATATATGTCCTGCAAACAGCGATCCGGCCATTTGCCCAACCTTGTTTCAGGGACCATGCGTATGAGCCATGTCGAAAGAGTAGAATCATGAAAGAGACACACCGTGTAGATGGAGAAGATGAGACCAGTGGAGACATCAAGTGTGCCTATATCAGATGTTAAATGCGCTTATAGAGTATATTTGAATCCTTGATCTCCCACCTTGATTGAATTTGTTCTGGTAGCTGGAGAATCTGTGAGAATTGATCAACGCATTACGGCCCGACTCACTAAGGCATCCCGTTGATACCAGTCATCAACGACCCGTCGTACCTAACATGTATCACGCATCAGTTGCACAGAAAACATGACTCCAGGCAACCTCTCCCTCACCCATTTCCACACGAACACAAGAACGCCGCCGCGGCGCCTGTCCAGAGCTCGGTCAAGTCTCATCAGGCTGGGGTGCAAACAAACCAACTGACAAGCGTATAACACGAACGCAGACCGCGTCAACGGGTCAATGCGTCCCGTCTTCACGGCCGCGGCATAATCCACTGTGTCCGCGAAGTCAGTACATGGAAAGCAGCTGGGTCAGACGAGAGAAGATAGAAAACACCACACCATCACCGGCCTTCTTGATCTTCGCCTTGTCATTCAAAACTTCCGAGACTCCGCGCAAGGGGCTCTCAACGAGTACGACGTCGTTATCTTTTTCAATGGATCTCTTCTCGTCGCGGTCGACTTGCGAGATCACTAAAGCCATGAGCGAAGCGGAGAAGGCCTTTTCCAGCACCCGTGAATTCGATACTTATAATCATCGTGAAGCCCATGCTCCTCCACTTCGTTGCGAGAGCCGACAAAATGCCGCGCAAACGGAGGTCATCTGTCTCGTCGATTCCCTGCTACTGTAGTGCGGACAGAGTAGGCGATATGGGCGGGTGTCATACGTGTTAGAACTGGGAGATCCTCGGGCAGAAGCGTGAATGGTCGCTGCCGTTGAAAGAGTGTCCCGTACCTAGAAAGCTCATTTCCCCTCTCAATCCCAGCAGAGGACGCCATCGGTACGCATCAGAAGAATCGATTGACCGATCAAACAAGCCCGTCCGAGGTTTTGTGGAATCTGATAAGCGGCACAAAAAGAAGGGGTCCAACGGGGACATACCCTCCATCCCGTTTGGCTGCTATAGTTGTTCATTCCGAAGCCCATGGGAAAGATAGTATAGGCTTTTCGACGGGTGCAGAGCATACTTCGAGCGGACGTAGGATCAACACGAGAGCTTGCGTCGCTTCGGTCTCTAGTCAACAGCATCCGCTGTGATATAGAAGCTTGCCTGTATGCGTACGCCCACGGCGCTTCGATCTTCCAAAGATGACTAGGGCGCAAAAACAGTTCCACCTGTAATATGTTATTTTAAACCTGCAAATTCAGCCGCTAGACCCAGAAGGAGAACTGCTGCGCACCAACCCCTCCTATAGCTGACCCATGAAGACCAAAATAGTGAACAAAGAAAACATTTAGTTTGAACAAGCCATACCACCTTAAAACTCAGGCCGTCCCGGTCCTGCGAGTCATCACACTGGACGGTATACGGTAGAAACTAGTCTTTGTCGTGAATTTACAGACTTGTACAAGCCGCGTCATAAACAAGAATGAAGCAGAAACAGCACACACACAAAAGGGGGGAAAAGAAGACGGAAGACAGAAAGTCGGGAGATAGAACCTGTTCGAGAGGGATGGACACAATAAGTTCGGTTGATAAACGAGCGAGGGGGTATAAGCGAGGGTGTAGACTAGGAGGTGGAGGTGGAAAAGGACGAGGAGAAAGGCAGAAGAAAAAAGAATGAACGTGCTTTGTGCGCCAATTACTGGAGACCTGAGACAAATAATATGGAGGGCAGAAACAGACGCCGTATTGTACTGCTGGATGGTGTCGTTAAACGGAGAAGAATGGCTGATCACCGTTTTGATGTTGTTGCTGCTGTTGTTGCTGCTGCTGCGCAAAGGGGTTGTAGCCGTTGTTGGGCGCCCCCGTCTTCTGTACTGCCAGTCGCCCAGCGTCTGTGCCCCCATAACTAGAGAAAGGACGAGGGTCAGTAACGGATTCCAAGTAAACGTGCGGAAGATCAGCATGAAATAAAATTGCATCGGGCCGAACAGGATTCGGGCCCTTGAGAAACTTAATCTCGGGCCATACTGGTGAGAACACGAAGCAGGTGCGGGACTATGCCGGAGGCGATCGAAGGGCAGCCTTGTGCCTCGTGTGACCGGAATGGTAGCCATCGAAAGGCACCAAAAACCTCCGCCACGATAACGTCCAAAAGAGCCAACAAAGCATGAATGGACAACGCACCGAAGTTGGCCAATGTTCCCGAACGTGTCCAGCCCGTCGTCTCTTGGCGCTGCGAACAAGTTTGCCAGGTGCGCATGTTCCTGATCTGCCCGCGTCGGCCGACTTGGGCCGGGTGAGGACGACGCGGATGAAATCGGTGCAGGCGATAGCGACGATGACAGATTCGTGTGGGGCGAGTGCGTCTCGTACGTTGACGGGAGGGAGAAATTCGATAGCGACGACGCAGGCGGCGCAGGTGAGGGCTGGCTTGGGAGTGGTGGTGCGTTAGAGAAAGACGCAAAGGGATTGTTCGAGCCGAACGAGGTCTGCTGTGGAATGAGCTGCTGCTGTGCGGCAAGGTACTGCTGCTGTTGCTGTTGCTGCTGTTGCATCTGGAGGAGCTGTTGTTGGCGCATCCATTCTTCCTGCTGGGCTTGCTGCATCTGCGCTTGGGCCTGCGCAGCTTGCAGTTCTTGCTGCTGGCGCATCCATTCCTGCTGCTGTCGCAGATACTCGGCCTAAAGATCGATGTTCCATAAGCATGCAGAGCACTGATAAACGTAACTGCAACCATGCCCTCATTGGACAGTTAAGAACGTGCATGCCACAAGCATAGCAAGTGGGTACAATGGTGTGGACATCTTCCCGCGACAGATGAGTGATGTCATAGACAATACTCACCTGCATAGCCTCCTGTTGCGCCTGCTGTTGGTATGGATTGAAGGACGTAAACTGGGGTTGAAGAGATGTGTACTGCGCCTGGAGACCAGTATTGAATTGAGACGGGTCGCCAAGGAGATTGTTGTTGGGATTTCTGGGAGCCCGAGGGACGAGGGACCAACATGTTCAGATTCAGAGGACACCCTGGGCGAGCCATGGCAAGAAAGCACTCACAGATTGCTGTGATCGTCGAAGAGCGACGCCCCGTTCGAATCCACCACCGCCCTGTTCCTCTTCTCCTCTTCCTCCTTGCTCAGCCGGATTGCCTGCGCCAAATCCCTATCCTCACCTGCACGCGCCTGCTCCTCCGCCAACGTCTTCTTGCTCTCTTCGATCGCCCGCTTCAGCTCATCCTCGTCCTTCGGGCCCTGCTTCAAGGTCCTCCGTGTGGCATTCTCATTCTCGCCCGGGAACTCTTCGCCATCCCCATCGGCTTCGCCCGGCGTACTCAACATGCGATCGCGCATGCTCGCGCGCGAGCGGCGCTCCTGCCGCAGACGAGCCTCATCTGTGAGCAGATTTGTGATGTCCTTTGCTTTTTGACGGACGTTCGCGCCCTGATCCTTGCCAAACTCGTCGACGAACTGGAACTCTTTGAGCGTCTTGATGATATAGATATTGTCGCGGAAATAGATGACGACGTTCTCGGAGCCCGCGTGGAGCAGGTAGTCCAGGACAGTCAAAGACTATAGAGAGGCTGAATATGAGCGCAAATGGGGATGAAAAGACGATGTGTGACCTTGAAGACGTGGCGCCAGTTCTTGCCCTTGTCATTGAGCCGCTTGTCCAGCATCTCCATGATCTCGACGAAGTCATTTCTGGATGTAGAAACAGTGTGCGATAGAGGGATATCAAAATTCTGCAATTAAACCTCTTGCACGATGACGGTGCACTATTACGCACTGATTGTAGGACATTTGAGCGATCTCGTTCATCTGCGTGCCCGACGGTCCCCAAGGATCGTTGGAAGTGGCCTCGCGGACCTTGGCTTGAACATCTGAGTAGCCTTTCGTGTAGTTTTTAGCGACGCGGAGGGCCCCTTTGCCGAAATGTTGTATAGACATGGCGTTGAAGGGGCTACGGAGAGGAGAGGAGTGGGTTAATGGGGAGGAGAGCGGCGGCACGGCTCGCGGCCGTAGTAGGTCTGACTGCGCAGGCTTTTCAAGTGTTATAGAACTGCTAGTGTCACACCAGGCATGACGCCGATGGTGAAGCGGTTATCATGTCTGCCTTCCAAGCAGACGGCAGGGGTTCGACTCCCCTTCGGCGTATAGACACTTGATGGATGTTTTTTCTCTCCACAAGCGAGCTTCCTCTCGGACAGAACCGACCCTCTTGTATATTCTGGGATTTGTTCTTATTTCCTTTGTCCACCGAATGCCTTGTTCACCGTCTTCGACACCATCTGCTTCGGCCAGTGTGTGCTCAATCCCACTCAATCATCCTCATATATTTTATTGAACGGTCGACCTACCAGGTATGGCGAAAGAACCGCCGACGAAGCGCCGCCGTCTAGCCCCCAACGCATCCCATACCGAACGCACAGACGTACCACTGCATTCCTCAACAGAATCCTCTGATAACTCTGGACAGCTGCTCCGAGTCCTGAAGGTCCTCACCTGCACGTCGTGCCACCGCTGTCTGAATGTCAAATCTGGACATGTTCTCCTGTGCGCGAGGTACGCTGCGTTCGCACAGCCCACGAGCGCACCTCTATATTATCATTGAAATACGCGTGCAGGTGCAATGCGCCGACATGCACCATCTGTTCGCGAACGTGTGCCGCCGCGCCACCCTCGTACCCGCCCACACCACGGCTCTCGTTCTCACCCACGCCTCCCGCGACCCCTGCGCCCTCTCCCCGCCGCGCCGCACTTAGCCTAAGCAATACGAACAGCCAAGCGACACCACGCCGAAGAAAGTTCAGGGACGGCGAGGATGGAAGTGTCAAGGACGAGAACGCATACAGTGACGCGGGTGGCGAGGATAGCCTCGAGTCTGCTGGGTGGACGCCAGGGTGCGGGAGGATTGTGTGCAGGGGGTGCTGCTTGGAGCTTCCACAGAGGTGAGGGAGTTTTATTCTATGTCGTGGTTGTTGACTCGGCTTTAACTGACGTGCCACACAGCGACTCGACTTGCTACGACTGCTACGGGCGCCCGTTCGCGCCGTCAACGCATCATCACGATCCAGTGATGTACTGAAGTCGATAGGATGGTTCTAAGGCCCAAGTCGAGTTGATGCCATGAAGTCAACAGTGTGTCTTGTCAACTGCATAACCAGGCTTCCTCTTGTATAACAGGTTCGGTGCATGGCGAGGACTTTACACTATTGTTTTTGCTATCCTTCGCGCTCTCTTGGATTTCACACTTGATTAAGGCCCTTACATTTTCCGAATGGTTGCTCCGTACCTCCTCATATACTCCGTCCTATCACTACCCCCTGTGCTCGACACTGTCAGCGAACCCTGTCCTTCCTTTGTACTGCTCTTTGGAAATGCTCATCATCATTGCGCTACATGAGCATTACTTTCCCGCCGAAATACCGGTGCTGTGAATCTGCTCACAAAACTGATGCTAGGGTTAGGTCTTTGAGGACTGCTCGCCTCAGAAACTTGTTCCTCCAGCATAAAAGCCATCTCAGAACATTGCATAGGCTTTTGTCATTCTAGAAATCTGGCCTCAATGTGTCTCCCAAGGGACATTGACTCGACGTTTAGCTAGCGTAACGGTTTACGTGCGGTGGCGCGAACCAACGGTCGTCGTAACCCCACGGTCGACCGAACGGCCATAAGTACGCACGCCTCGTCTCCGAGGTATTTACATGCTGCGCGGCTTTCCATCGACCTGACCTTTTGATCCCAGATATAGATCTCCACACACCGCATACTGGGCGATAAGCAAGTATGGCGGACGATGTCGCATCGTCGGGCACTCGACCGCGCCGCTCCACTCGTCTTCCGACACGCATCCCGTCCACGACGACGAAGAGCGTCGACACGCGGCCACGACATGCAGCAACGAGGAACGGCAGGACCAAAGCTGCGCCTGCGGACAAGGCAAAGGCGGGCGGGAGTGGTAAGGCAAAGGCGAGCGATCCAGCCGAAAAGCTCAGAGTTTTGCTCCACGAGCCGAAGAGCGCATTGACGAAGTTAGACATGAGCGTACGTCGCACCAGCCGTTCTCTGCACAAATTCACCCGTGAAGCCATGTATTCTTGACGCAGGACGTTATCAATGCCGATACATGGAACGCGCTGTCCTCAGCGTCTCATGCGCGCCTCGTCTCCCTATTTCCTCCGACCGCCTTTAGGGGGTTCCAGCTGAGCTTGGACCCGACACACCCATTTCGACGCTGGCAGGACGAGCAGCACGTACGGTGTGCTGTCCCACCTCCAGATTCATCTCCCCACAAGCCGAAATTTGAACTCTCAATCGCGTCGCTCTCATCTAGCACCCTCGAGCGCATCGAGCCGCCTTCCTCCCCGCTCAGCACCCCACCCTCCTCCCGGCCTCCCTCGCCTTCATTCCCATCTCGGCTCCAGGATCTCGACCTCGGCTGCTTCAAAGATGGGCACTTCCTCTCCGCCATGCAGACCTTCCAAGATCACCTCTACACGGGCTGGATGACGGATGCGCACAAGGAGATGGTAGAATTTTATAAATCGGGGATTGAGAACGGGACGCTGCATGCGTCATGGAAAGACGAAGCTTGGGAAGGGGACGAGCTAGACGAGGAAGATGTGGTCGCTGCCGCACCCGCTGCCGCCCGCGCCCAAATGCCGGCATCAAAAGTTCGTACAGGGTGCGTATATCTTACATTCAGGTTCCAGCGTTCGTTTTGTGATAGGAATGCATGTCTGGTATCAGAGCTCCAAAGGAATTGAGACTACTAGATCTCGTGAAACGGCATATCGTGCAAGCCGGCGACGTGCTGGTCTACAGACGACACTTTGTGCAGGCGGGCATAACAATCGAAAAAGACGTCCTGGTCAGCGCTCTCGCCCCTCTGAACCTTCTTCGTACGCTGATCGATCAAATCATCACTCTTATGCATCCCCAGATCGAAGTCGTCCGCCCCAAGTCACTCGTCGTTTTACTCCCATCCGGGACCACGAGCTCGCTCCCCGCGCACATCCTCGCGCATGGCTCGGATATGAACGTCGACGGCGAGTCACTCCGCTCGGCAGAAATCACGAGTCCGAGCCACCTTGAAAGCACCATCCTCGACCTCGACGGGCGCGTCGAGCGCGGGCAGCGACCCAACTCGAACGCGTGGAAGTCTCTGGTCGTATGGCGATGGCGGGAAGACGGGTTCGAGGCCGGCGAGAAGAGAGGAGGCAGGGAGAAGCGGAACACGCTGTTCTATCTGCGGAGCTGCAGCTACTACGACATATGATGTGATGGGGGCGGTGTGTTCTGACTGCGGCATCAAACCTTTTGTACTTTTAGAATTGTAATAGAGAGCGTCGCGCCTCACAATTCCTTACTATTCGGGGATCGACGTCCGCACGGGCGTCTGGCAGATATGTGCATGGCATCCAAAGTGCTTTCGAAACACTTCGGCCATCACACATCTTCTCCTTACGGTGACCTGAAAACATGAAGTTGACTTGCTCAGGGCGTCTCTGAGCTTCGGCATTTCGGCAGCGGGCTGACACCTGCGTATGTAGGCGCTGGCGGTCATCCATCTCCTTTGGCGGTGTGCACGACGAATCTTCGCGCTACTTCCTCTTGTCATGACATTGTACACCCCGGGCCACTTTCATGGATACTCTCTCGGACTGTCCTGATGGCCGAGCAAATGCGTCGCTTATGTGGTCGACTGGCGCGCAACGTACTGCACACATCCCCATTACTCAATCGACCGAGCTGCATCGTGGCCAAAGTCACCCCAGTGCTGTCATCTCGATTCGAAGCTTTGTGCTGCTCTCACGGTAGAGAGCTCGACGAGCCCGCTGGAAGTCGAATGAGAGCGATGGTCTACGGTCTGCGGTGCTAGAATAGACTGCGCGAGCGCCGTACTCGGAGTTTGCTCCAGAGAAATGGGTGGGGCCGTCGAGCATGGATTAGGCAAAGTGGGCGGCGCATTGGACACCGACTGGCAATGAAGCGCTGATCGGACCTCCAACCGATGATGCAGGGTTAATATGAAACAGGTCTCCTGGCTGTCAATTTTAGTCAATGTGGGAGCGACGGTTCGGCGTATATAACACGCGCAGCCTTCCTACGAGCGCCTTATAATCTCTGTCATTAATTGCTGCCTCTCCGGTGTGCGCTCATTTTCTCGTGGTGGTCACTAAATTTACTGAACGTAGTGGGTTCATCGCAGTGCGACATGTCGTTGTTGGACTTGGGTGCTTTGCCTATACAAGATGTTGAATCACAATCTCTACCTCCAGTGTCTCGTCTACCAACGGAGCTGTTGATCGACATTTTTCGATATCACATTCCTGGACCCTGGACCCTTGTTCCACGCAAGGGCCTGCCTCCAACGTGGATCGCCATATCACACGTATGCCGCCGTTGGAGAGAAATTGCGATAGGTTACCCACACCTGTGGGCGAACATCATACTCTCCAACAGAGCATGGACCACAGCCATGCTGGAGCGCTCCAAACCGCTTCCCATCGTCATCAGTGCTGCGTTTGAGGGTCGTCCTCTCCGAGCTGCGCTGCTCGATGCGCTCAGCCAGGTGTCGCGTGCGCGCGAGCTCGTGCTTGAAGTGACAATGCTGCGTCATTTGCTCGAGTCTTTCAAGGACCGGCCGGCGCCGAGTCTCGAATCTTTGCGTCTCGTGCAGAGCGTTAGCATGTTGCCTTGCGTGCTGCCCGACAATGTTTTTGGAGGGCATACGCCCGTACTGCAGGAGCTGGAATTGGATCGCGTCACGATTCAGTGGTCGTCTTCTCTTTTACGTCCTGGGCTCACGCATCTAGAAATCCGGAATCCACACAGAGATTTCTTGCCGAGTACGACTCAAATGCTCGACGTCCTTGCAACTATGCCGCATCTCGACACGCTCATCCTTTCGAATACCCTCCCTCCCTGTCATATCTCTCAGCACTTCGATATCACGAATCCCAGCCGTAACTTACCACTGCCTTCCATCACAAAACTGCACCTCGTTGGCACACCGGGAGAATGCTCACAGTTTCTGAACCACGTCATGATACCTGCCGACGCAGACCTCGTCTTCGAATGTATCCATTCCCCTTCCACTCAGGACCTCACGCTCGTTATAGACTTGATCGAGAATGCCATCACCCGTCACATGATGATGCAGCGACAAGGGGAAATTCGAACGCGTCCAGGCGCCATCGAAAGTATGTCCATTGGATTTTCACATAACAGAAAGGCATGGCTGGTCGCCGGACCTGCGCACCCACCATCCACCTTCTTTCCCTCTGACAAGCGGACAGCGCGTATAGTTCTGTCCCTCCAATGGAACGTGGAGTATCTTCCGGTCACAGAGACTGAGACGCTCTTCTCGCGCTTGTGCACCCTCCCGTCGTTCGCAAACGTGGAGTCCCTGCGCGTGCAAGGCTTCATGTTCACCGCGGCTGAAAATTGGAGGGTGGCGCTGGCGAACATGAAGAGCGTGTCGCAGCTGCTGGTGTACGGCCACGCTGCATATGGCTTCGGTCGCGTGTTCAACCCTAGCAATATGGAGGATAGCCTGCCAGTAGACCCAGAGCGCAGCCCGGACGATCGTGGCGAGCCTGGGTCTCTATCTTTGTCTGGCGAAGACCACCGGAGGCCTGCTCCGCTGTTCCCTGCCTTGAAAAGCCTCCGCGTTGAGCAGGTAGACTTTTACGCCTCGACCTTGCCGGCGAATTTGCGGGAGGGTATCGCGGCCAGGAACCAGTCGGGGCCGCTCGAGAAACTGGTCGTTCGGGATTGCGATATCTCAGAGTTGGACGTTTCGCAGTTGAGGAAGTCCGGGGTGCGTTCGTTTGAATGGGATGGTGTGGACATTGGCTTGTCCAATATTTACCGGACAGAGCATAGGTACACCATAGACTTGGATCGCTAATGTTTTCTTTGTTATTTTCGTGTTGCCATCTCGATGCACTCCATTTGCGATATGTTTTCCAAGGTTGTTTCAGGCGTGGGTCTGCGGTCTTATAAATAGAACAACTGATTTTCTGTGTAAGGCCAGCCACGGAAACTAGGTCTGCGGGGTGTCTCTTCCCAACTCCTGCTACCATGAAAGTTGAAGGGCCACATCACAACATCGAACTTTGGCGGTTTTCATCCTTCTCCATTTCTTTTTGTCTGACCCGGTTCTTCGTCTTCGGCGCAACATCCTCTTCTAACCTAGTCCTGCAAACACCGAGTGGCCCGTCAAGATGATCCTTTGCTCAATTCGTATAGATGTGAGTCAGCACATCCACTTGTAAATCTCTTTCTCAGGCAATTGAAACACGTTCCCCCAGCGAACCCATCCGATGATGCCCCTCGCCTCGCCCAGGTCCCTGCCAATCTCACGACGCAGCGCTTGATTTGAATGGGTTGTCTCTGGCGGTCTCTTGAGAGTACACCTCTCCCTTTAAGTGAAGCTCATGCCATCTAGCTTCGATGCTGTCTCTCAGTTGGCACCTATCAGAATCCTTGTCACAATTGATAGAAATTTCCTGGGCGTTAGACAGTTCCACTTAAGTATACTGCCGTCAATACGATGCGTGCTGGGCGTCGACACGAGCACCGCTCTATTTTCACTCATTATAATGAGTTCATTCACGATTTTAACACGGAGATGTCAAGTGCTTGTCTGGTACGTTCCTTTACTTTCTGGATCCCACACGTCAGTCCGCTGATACTCTGTTCACTGCTTAGTTTCACCTCAATCTAGGGTTGTTTTTGATGAGCAGGACCTCGACCTCTCAGACGATCATCCGATCGGTTCTCGACTGTGATTTACATGATCAGGGGATATTCGGGGAATGAGAAAGCTCTTGCATTCAAAGCTCGTTATATGAGCGCTCCACCACTGATTTCTGGTTCCGACCGACAGCGCTTATTGGTTTTATTTTGGTATCGCCTGGACTGCCAGCCATCCTCCGTGAAGCCCATGTTTCATCCTTTGGTTCCATTGTCTGCATGCAAGATATAAAGATAAGGAAGAATACGCGCAACGACCTACCGCCCTCCCCTCAGCCATCATGATAGGATCTCGCTTCATGGCCGCTTTCCTCGCTTCCACCCTTGTCACCCCGCCCGACCCTATATGCATCGTGGGTGCTGGGCCAAGTGGCCTGACGATTGCCAACGGGCTTGAAGACAAAGGTTTTAGCACCATCATATTCGAGAAGAACGCGGTAGTCGGTGGGAAATGTCAGGAGTATTACGAGTGAGCATGCGCTCTCATCATCCTCGTCCCACCAAAAGATCTGATGGTTGTCTGTAGCCCACTCTTTCATCCTTTGGGAGCTCTCTTGCTCTCGAACGTGACGTACAAAGAGACGTTACCAGTTGTTGAAGCTTCAGGTGTACCGCTTCTCCCTTTTGCCAACACGGCCAAGACTTGGCTATTCGATTGGATGACAGGCGAGGTGCAAGAGGCCCCTCTTTCGCCTCCAGAGCTATTCCTCTTAGTTCAGGGAGACGCGCAGAGATATACAGAGTTTTGGAACAACATCTTCTCTCCGAAAATGACGAATGTTGGATACAAGGTATTTGGACTTGATTGCAATCAGTGTCGTCTAAAATTGATACACTTCTCAGAATGGTATTCCTGAAGAGTATACTGTCCCATTCTTACAGTGGTTGTCGGCAAACAATCTCACGTCCCTACAGCCGATTTTTGAAGCGGGTATGGTTCCATACGGCTATGGAGATATCACGGAGACACCAGCCGTAGGTGTTTTTTCACCGTTGGTTCATGTTTGGGAGATTGACGCTGATCCTGGTTGTAGATTTACATGCTTCAATACTTCACACCAGATATATTGCACTTTTTCACTGGTCAGCATGACGGCTACCTTGTAGGTAAGAGATGCCGAATGCTCTGGATCGTATGTTCTCTTATGCATTCTTCTCAAGACTTTCATGAAGTGTTTGTTCAATATGCCGAAAATTCCGTCAAGGGTCCAATATTGACGAACACGAATATCACCAAGATAGGTGCGCATCTCCGCCCATATTGCATGATCGTTTGTCTGACAACTAGGCTTGATTTGCCACTGAGATCGCTCTGGTGATCATCCTGTCATCACCTACACCAACCAAACCGGCTCCACAGCATCGCAAAGCTGCTCCAAGCTCATCCTCGCATTCCCCCCTGTCATGCATGCCCTCCAAGCTGCTAACCTCGACATTTCCGCTGACGAAACCATCGTGTTCTCTCCTGTCGGGATCACCGAGTATTGGTCAGGTGCCGTGAGCGTTGCAGCCCCCGGTGGCTTCAGGTATGAAGCAGAGACATACGAGGCTGTGGGTCAGCCTTCTGCGTTCGTCCGACTCTTCAATGAGTCATCTGTTGCCACGACATGGTCATGGGGGAAATACAGGGGCAACCGGACGACAGAAGAGGCGCGGATACTCCTCAAAGAAACGCTTTCCAAAGTCAACAAGGACCCAAGAAACGCGACGGAGCTGCCTCGTCCTGTCACCGATGAAGACGTGAAGGAGTTTGAGAAGTGGGACTATTTCGCACACTACGATCCGCGAGAGCTACGCGCGGGGTTTTATGGCAAGTTTGATGCATTGCAAGGGAAGCAGAACACGTATTATGCATCTGGATTGAATGGCTTTGAGACCGTCGAGTTTGCAATCCGAGCAGGAAAGGACGTCGTAGACACGTACTTTTCGAGTTCGTGATTGGTGCTTTGCATCTGACTAACGTCATATATACCATGCTGCGGACGTCTCAGTGAGCCCATGGGACAGGCAATACTTCTAATCATAGTGAATTCTTGAGGTATTCAGACCCCTTACAGTGTACATTCTCCGGGAAAATTCAGTTACGAGTTGCCCTCTTATTCCCCCTTTCACTGAGAGCTCTAGCAGCCAGAACACCTGATACGGATGATAGGCAAGCAGACGGCGGGAATCCGCTTTCGTCCATCACGGAAATGACTGCAAAAAGAAAAAGAGTATTTAGATATTTTTTAATTGTTTATAATATATAAAAGATGTAAAATATGTAAAATTAACCAAAGGGCTGGCTCATTTGATCTAGAGCCCTGAAAAAGTGCATGTATCTCCCTTAAAAAGAAGACCCACAATATTGTGAGGTGTATAAATGCTGCTCGCAATATCACCATCAAATATGAAAAAATATTCATCCGTCACCCAGGCTATCCCAGAATTACGATATCACATACCTAGGCTCGGACACAGCCGGTCTTTCAAATTCCGCTGCTCCGCTATGCTCCGTCAAGGGCTCCATGGGAGACCGGCTGGGCTCACTGGTCGCGGTTTTGGCGGGGCGCGCCAAATGTGAGTTCGACTTAGCCAAATTTCGTGCAATCTTCAGCCACCACTACTATACCTTGCCTTTCTCCTTCCTCTCTCCCTCTCCTGTTTAAATTGACAGTGTAATATATCATTCATATGGTTAACTGTGTCTCTATATATGAATCTGATTGATTATCATCTGGAAATTCATCTTCAAAATCATCAAATACAAGGTTATCATCCCTCTCCTTGGCATAGCCATCCATATCAAGTGCTACATCCTCCATAAATGCCAAATTCAGGTTGGGTCAAACACCCTAGTTGAAATCCACCTCATCAAAATTATCTACACTTGCATCACTGTGCCCATTACTATTGTTGGTGGTCATCTGCCAAGCTATCAGTTAGAGAAAGCCACCACATTGGCGTGGCACTCTTGAGCTATATAAACATACCCATCAATAGATGGCTATCCATGACACCGGTGATATGCTAGAGGTGGCTCTAAGTGCAGAGCACAATACCAAAACAACCTCTAATGCAGGGGTGCTGGAGCTAGTATCTGATACATAAGAAATTGTTAGTGATGACTTCAGAAATTGATGGTGCACTGAGAAGCAGTGAGGAGTGTGAGATTATAGCGCCCAAACGGTTTTAGGACTGCACCAAACACCGACCGAATGTTTGGTCAGTCGTGTCGGCAATGCGGTGATGAGCATGGGTATGCTCTAGGCACCAATACCCCACTTTTTGCAGCTTTTCAGTATTCTTTGACCATTTGGCACACTTAGGACCAACCAATCCCGATCTGTTCGGTGATCTCAGCCATTTTTCAGGTGCCGACTTTCCATTTAGACCTCCACACAGTTGTTCGGAGCTGTTCACAGTCATCCGATCCATCTATCATCACTCTCAGCAGTAGGGGCTCTCCACAGACTGTCGCGACCGATCACCAATTGGTTTGGTACACTTCACATAGTCGGCACATTCGGTCAGCTTCGGTGTCCCGAATCGGAGGTGGCCGAACACTTTGTTGACTCAGAACGGATCTGTCTTTCTATCTCTTATCGCCCTTATGCCTTCTGTTGACCTATCCTTCATTATCTTCAGAGCTCCCAAGTTTCTAAATGGTTTACCCATGTGGCATGTGGTTCTTATCTCCGGGTCCATGTGGACTAACCTTGGCAATCTCTCCACTTATTTAGACTTTAGAGTTATTGCTTCTTATCTTATAATGTTTGCAACATCACTCCCTTATCTTCTTTACCTTTGATCACTCTTGGCACGCATTTCCAATTGCTCTATGCCTCTGCCGATCTCCTTATCTTGTACCTGTTCGGACTTACTATAAAAGAGCACCCATGGCCTTGCAATACAGGAGCTTTGGCTCCCCCCTTGTTCCGATTCTATTTGTGCGCTTGTGTCCATGAGACTTTGAGCCATTGCCTTCCGATCCTTGTTCACATTTTGCCCTTTTGTTTGTGTTGTTGCGTTCAATTGCAGCCCTCTGTCAGAGCCCTCGTCGTCTTGCTCTCTCCCTCTCATCTAGTTTGTCATCCTCTGCCAGTGTCCAGTGTGGCCTTGCACCCATTCCCTTTCTTTTGTGTCCAGATCAAATCCTGATCAAATACCAACCAATCAACTGACCAACTGACCGACCTACCGACCTACCAACTGACTGACCTACCAACCGACCGACCAACCTACCAACCGACCGACCGGCCTACCGACTGACCGACTGGCCTACTGACCAACTGACCGACCTACCGACCAACCGACCAACCGGCTTACCGACCAACTGACCGACCAACCAACCAACCAACCAACCAACCAACTGACCGACCAACTGACCAACCGACCGAATATTTTGATTTTGAAGTTGTTTGTTCACTACACTCCAAACACTTTTAGTATGCTCTTGTTGCACAGCTTATAGTTCCTTGCACACTAGAACCAGCTCCTGCCTACCTGCGCTTATAAGGGTGTTTCTTGGGTGTGTTTCGCACTCAGAGGCATCACTAGTGTATCAGCAGTCAGTAACGAGAAGGTAGTGTCATAACCAACAACTACGTGCTTCAAGAGCCACATGGGACTCTGACAATATACGAGGGAGAATGAGGGGTATAAGCAAAGAGTCGAATATGAACACAAACAAGGCCGAACGGTAAGGATGGCAAGTTTTTGGGAATCAATGAAGATGATTTTGATGGTTGAGACGAGTGCAAATGAGCTCTGAACTGTGGGGTGCGAAAGCTGGTTTATTCCAGAGTTGTATGTAGGTTTTTATAGTAAACAGAGCCCCTAAGTAAAATATCAAACATGAAATGAGAGTAGATATCGAATGGGTGCCAAGCCCTAGTGATCAGAGAAGATACAAAGGTAGGTGAGATGTCCATATGGGTTCTAAAGGTGATAAGGTAAAAGTTAATCAGCAATGGTGAAATCCCAAACGTTCAGGATCCGTCACTCGAGTGTAGGTAGCAGGAACAGGTGTTGGCGAGCCAATGAAAAATAAAGAAGACATAATGTACGACTAGGGTGGCCAAGTAATGATGCAAGATTGTGTTTGACCAACCATGTGAAAGTCGGGAAGATAAGCGATAAGGACTGACGACTCACAGAGGACATCGGCTAACACGGAATACTGGCTCTGATCTCATAAACACCTATTGTAATACTCCTATGCAGTCATGGTAAGTATGCAAAGTGTGGGTGAACTGACCCAAGGGCTGCCGAACATCATTTGGAGGGCTGCCATCAGTCGGGTGAGGACCAACCATGTTTGGTGCAAGTCGGCATCTTTAGTACTCGTCTAGCGCTGTTTGGTATCTCCCCAAAGCTTCCCGAATACCTCTCTCGGACCCTAGCGCAGGTGCATGCTTATTACTAGTATTAGAAGGGGTTGTTTTACCTTCACAATATTCAATGGCACTGACTAATAGTTTAACTTAGTGCCATTGCTATAATGTTGTGAACATTGAATTGAATTGCTTCAATGTGGTTGCTGCTCCCTAAACCATAGCTAGCCCTATGTTGCTCAGCAACATGACAAGTGAGAGAACAGTTTCACCCTGGGGCACCTCAATTCTGCATAAACAAGCAAGATGCATGCAACCTATGGCCTCCAGTGCTGGACCCCTTCTATCATACCAATATAATATTGTAGAGCATGCCTGAGTATAGATGACTGACATAGCACCACACACATCCTATTATTGAGACCATTGCTCACAAAGCTATAGACCTCCTGCAAACAATCTGCTACTAATTCCAGCAACATTTCTGCCTACAGCATCCTTCTATGTACTAAACTAGACCCAATCCCTCTTCTATTCTTATTCCTTGTCATCATTTGGCCCCTTGTATTCTTTGCCTTCTGACCCATAGCATAGTATTGCACTATATGGATAGTATCCTACAATGACACCATCATCCTAGCACCCTTTAGTTGCCCGTATTGCTCTGCCTTAGCCTTCAGCATCTTTGTGAGGTGCAATAGAGTGCCCTGTTGTGAGTTTTAATTTTTAGGAACATTTAGAGGCAGAATAATATAGATAAACAATTTATTTGTTAAAATATCTACATACATATTTATTTGCTAAGAGAAGTAATGAGTGTGGAGGCAAGGTATAGTAGTAGTGGCTGAAAATTGCACAAAATTCAGCTGAGTCAAACTCATATTTGGCATGCCTTGCCAAAACTACGATTAGTGAGCCCAGGCAGTATAGAGCCAGCTTAGCTTGCCTAGCTGTAATGACTCTGACGAAAATGCACCATGGCTTTTCAATGCCTACTTGGCCTATTCTACTTGGTAAGCACAATGCTATTACATATCCAGGCTATGCTGGCCATCCATCCGATACGGTTTTCAATGAATTAGGTAATTTAGGAATTATACAGCTTAGTTACTTTAAGCTAACAATAACTCAGATATTGATCAGAATTCACATAGCCTTACACACTTAAATGATGATAGTGACAAGATTTATCTCTAAATAGAGAGTGATAGTAGGGGTCTGGTGGCAACCAGCCATTGGCTAATTCTATGCAACAAACCATGTGAGACCGCTGTCCCATAGGCTTTGGGAGGCAAAATGGAGCATGTTGGAGTCTGAAACAGAGCTAGTCAGTGCGTGCATGCCCAGGGCTGACATAAGCATAGGGAATTCTCTTTTTCTGGCACTGTCTTATAGTGATTTCTTTAGGTGAACTATGAGGGTGCATTCAGCAAGTACTTAGCTTAGCAACAACTCTGGGCTCTTGGTTTTGTTTGCAAATATTTTGTCTATAAATAATCCATTTATCCCTAAATGGAGGGTGAGAGTAGAGAATTGTGGCAAAACTCTGCTGGCTAATGTTGCATGTTGTCACTTATGCTTGTGTAGGCCATGTAAGAAACCACATAAGCAAAGCAAGTGCTATGACAAATTTGGCAAGCAGAGTGAGCTGTCTCTTAAGCTGCCTGGCAACCTCGGCAACTGGAGTAGGCCGTGTCTTAGCAGCCATCAGGGTTCCATATGGCATTCTGGTCTGCCTTGGTGTGCCTGGCAATGCCAACAACTGGAGCAGGCCATGCCTCAGCAGCCATTGGGGCTCAAAATAGCATTCTGGCACCCCATAGGGAACCTCACAGAGGAGCCTCATAGGGCAGAATCTCATAGGGAAATCTTATGGATGAGACCTTATAAGAAGCTTTATATAGGAAAGACCTTATAGAATGTCATAGAAGAGTTATATAGAAATATTGGAGCAACAGACTTTATAGGCACTAGACTTTATGGGTGCTGGACTTTACAGGCACTGGACTTTACAGGCACTAGACTTTATAGGCATATCAGACCAAGCACTGCAACAAAAACTCAAATTAAGCATAGTTGCACTATCACAACACAGCTGGTAAGAAGCTAGTAGCTTAAGAAATTAGGCATGTGCAAGAATCAAACATGCAAGAAGCAGCCACATAACACAAAAGCACTGACTGATCCACTCTACTACAATGGGTAATAATTGTGTGATGATAGCCTTAATATGACAACATTTTCTAATAAAGCGGGACATGTGATGACAACCATATTGAGTATTTCATATAGGATATTTGTTGGCATGCTGGAATATAGAAAGTAGTCTTGAGGGCACCTCTTGAACCTAAACCACTACCTAGTTGGGTTTTTCCCATGCTACAGAGCTGGGCAAGGGTAGGTTTCTATACCACCGTACAAGATAACTGCCGCATCCAACACATTCAGCTCATTCATTATTGGTACACAGAAACCCTCAGAAAACATCTGGCATACCACAGGAGGAATTGAGGGACCTAAGGTCTTATGACCAACTGTAAATGGTTAAACAGCCACGATCCAAGACTAAGCACCAAAGTGCGCAGAGCCACAGATGGCTACACCACACAAGTAAATATGAACAGCCCATATTGCACCTCAAACACAACACCCCCCACACTAACACTACCACACTACAAGAGAACTCTAACATAAGAACATAATAAGCACAACACCTTCTGTCCTAATGCCCTAGAGCTGACGACGAACCAACATAACCAATAAGCCCCTCACCAAACATAACACCTTCCCCGAGCAAAATCGACGTACTTGACGAGCCAACTGTATCCAAACCTTGAGGGCACAACATGTGACCCAACCACAGCAGTTAGACACACCAGACATATGTACAGTTGTAAGTCAGCCACCACAGCATTTCCCGAAAGAAAAAACAAGAAAGCGTGCTGATACAAATCGTCCTCCTTCCTAAACTAGCTGACAAACATCAACACAATGTCATTCTCTATTTAGCCAGCATCTTTCCATGTCTGACATAGCCCCATCACCGGAAGACCGCCCAGAAAAGTCCGTTACAGCCATCAGGAAATCTGTACTTGCCGGCCCTGCCGCAGCAACAAAAAGCACGAGAAGCAAACACAAAGTGGCAGACAATCCTGAGACAGGTAAGAACCACAAACCTAACTAATAAACCCTGCTCACAGACAATATGACAGATGATGACTGGACAGAGATAGTATGAAGGGGATGATCAAAAATAGCACAGACCTCGAGCACTCCCACGGAGTCCAACCCAGACCACTAAACTCAAATGCCTGAAGGCAATGTCACTGCAAGACAGACACTAGAGGAAAAGACCCCAGACAACACTAATGCAAGTGTACCTGAACCCACTTTAAAGGAAAACTCCTTAGCCCCTATCGAGACAGGAGTAATCCCCCACGCCGTAGTAACCCTAGCCAGCCATTCCATCCAGATAACAACCGCCACCAACACCACAGATGCGACCATCTTTTTCCACACTGGGGAGTCCTATGAACAGGTCAATACCAAAGGCTGGACACCTGACACCGTTGCAATCCTCCTGAAGCTCAGTGACCAGCTGGCATGCCGTCCCCCACCCCCAAAAATCAGCCCAACGTCCCCGTACACTGATGAGGACGTCTTTATGGCTAAGCACCCAAATCTCCCTGATGAACCGAGCACTCCTAAAAAGCCCATGACAATGAAGTGAAGTGAAGCGACCAGCACCCCCCCTCCCAAATCTAGCCTTATGTCATGCATAGCCACTGCGTCCATCCACACACTGGCAATTGCAACCTCCATGAATGCTGATGGAGTTATCGTACCCATGTTCACTCAAGGGCCCTTCCCAATCATCCATATGTCACATCCCACGGCCCCACTCGACCACATCAAACCAAGTCAGATTGCCGAATGGGAAGGGATGACATCAACCAAGCTGCTAGCAATACCCTTTGACACAGAACTGAATGGCCCTGCAATCCACAGCTCAGTGGCCAACCGCATCCTATAGGTAGTACGTGAAGTCACGCAGGAGGAGTCCGTAGGTGTGGCAGTGCCAATTAGATCCGCAGAGGCAGCACGTGCACGAGCCTACCCCACCACCTTCCTGGTTTACAACCTCTCCCAAAAAGCCGCCAACACCCTCATCGACAAACAAATCTGGTCAGCGGAGCACATCACCTTCCAAACACTATCGCTCAATATGAACATCCCCTTCTTACTCTTCACACTAGTGGGCTTTACTACCAACGACCCCTAGCTAGTGTTACACACGGTGAAAAACCACTGGACCAAATAGTCTATGGCAGAGTTCTTCAACAACCTGGTCAACAACTCAAAGGCCACCACAAACACACTTGATGATGACACTGTACTCACATTTATAAACTCCCTGAAGGTTGAGTGCATTGACACCAAAGCATAGGTGGGGTGCTAACCCCATGTTTCAACGTCCTAGCAGATGGACCGCTATGAGGAAGCGACAAGAGGTGGTTCCGCATGCGTGACTACCTATGGTCCATCAAGTACTCCTCCAACTTTCATGGCTTGGGAATCACGCAAGCAATGATGCACTGTTCCATCTGTTATGCTGCAGACTGCCCTAGGGGCCTCTGCCTGTTTCCAACCCTCCCAAGTTAGAGAGGACCTAGACACCGACCAATGGCATCAAGCAAATGCCATACAGGGCAAAGGAAGCGGGCAGTATGGCAGAACCGGAGGCATGCAACCCAAAGGCAACAGCCCATGCTACCCCATGCACTAATGATTGATCATCACCCCCACCCCTTGTAAAAATAAAAATAAAATAAAAACAATTGGCTGTATATCTCACTCCCTTTCTCCCAAAATGTGTAGACAATGTAGTACATACTGTCGCCCTTTGTCACAGTACATAGCACCAGAGCTCCAACCCCACCCTTGTATCTCACCTTGGGGAGTGAGAGCAGAGTGACTGAGACAGCAATCAGCCAACTAGCCTACCTGAGGTAATGGGACTAGCACCCAACTGAGCTGAGGCCCACACTTACTGACCACAAGCAGGACAGGAAAGCCAAAGGCTCACCTCTGCGACTGGCACAAGTGTCAGATGGAGACCTATTTAGGCCTGGATGACCCACGGCGAGAGCCTTAAGGTGCTTAGATATAACTGACTATGCCCCAACATATGAAGACATGACAAAGTGCTGAGTCTAACCACGCTGACCGGATATGTCAGACAAGTTCGCCCATGGTCATAGGTGAACAGGAAAGAGCAACTACGAGCATATTAAGCAACCAAAGTGTACATACTATTTAGGGAGATTTGACAGGCAATGGTTTGAGCTTCCAAGGACACCCAGGGGGTAATCCAACTGCTGCCAGGAACCCCCTAGAGAAAGTGTCTGAGGAACACAATGGCGGAACTGCTACAGTGGGGGACATACCAGGTCCAATAAACATGCCCAATGGCAATACCAATCAACATAATAACCAGCACGACCACATCAGTTGTAATACAAGAGCAAACATCATGCTTGCCACTCTGAACATGAAGGGACGCTCCTTGATCTCACTGGACCCAAGTCCAATATCAAAATGGAACAAAGTCTACAGTCTGATGAAAACTCACCACGTAGGCATTCTTACCCTTCAGGAAACACACCTATCTGAAGAACAGGTAACAGGAATACACCGCATCTACAGACAATGCCTAAAAGTCTTCAATTCCAGCCCGTCAAGCAACTCGGCAGGTGTTGCCTTTGTCCTTAACAAGGAAATCACTAATCACTCTCATGCGAACTTTCACACAATAATTCCAGGATGGGCGATTGCCCTGACAACCAAATGGCACCAAGGAGAAGTAATCACATTAATAAATATATATGCACCCAATGGGCACAATAACCACCCACTATTTTGGGAAGAAATCAGAACCCAAATGGATAGCACAAATCTATGTCCAGACATCTTAATGGGAGACTTTAACATAGTTGAAGAACCTATAGACTGAACCCCAGCCCGATCAGATGACGAAGAAGCAACCAACAGTCTAAGAGACTTCTGTGCAACCTATGGCCTACAAGACATGTGGCAACACACCTTCCCAATGGAGTGCCTGTTCACGTTCAGAACACATGCCGGAACCATGTCAAGACTCAACAGAATATACACAAAAGCTATGCACAAACAAAGTCTGTTCCACTGGGAATTGGGACCAACAAACGTACCAACTAACCATGACATGGTAACCGTGCGCTTTGCCCCCAGTGACGCCCCACACATAGGTAAAAAAAGGTGGACATGGCCTTTGCACCTCATGCACAACAAGAAACTAATAGACATAATCAACTCCATGGGACTCAAATTAGAAAACAAAATGATACAAATATAAGACCAACGTACAGTCACCAACAACCCACAGTAACTGTGGAAACAGTTCAAAGACGACATTACAAAAATTGCCAGAAAAACCGCACAATCCAATGCAGCAAAGCTGGACAACAAGATGAAAGCACTGAAAAAAGACATCAGGGACCTAGTGAATGATATTTCAATAGACAGTGACAAAGACACGAGAAAAAATGAAAACCTACTCCATAGTGAACTCAACCACCTAGAAAAGAAAAGGTGTGCTTATGCGAGAAGCAAATCAATGGCACAATGGGCACACAAAGGCGAGAAAATAAGCAAATACTGGTCAGCTGTAAACAAACAAAAAAAACCATGGGAACTCATACAACAACTTCAAATCCCAAACACAACACCCCCACGACACATGACAAGCAGCACAGAAATCGCTAAAATAGCACGGGACTACCACAACAGAATTCAGCAGAACCCAATGTCTGAACAATGACCCAAGGAAGTTACTGAACTAATGACAGCTGAAATCTGGTCAGAAATACCCTTAGAACAGAAGCTAAAAAACCCTAACCGATCAACACTGAACAACCTCATAACAGCTAATGACGTACTAGAGGCAATACATGCTGCAAAAGCAGGCAGCGTAGCAGGAATTGATGGCATCCCGTATGAACTTTGGAAAAGCCTATTGTGTAAGAGGATCCTACAAGAGAAAACAACACTAGACACACCATGCTTCCATGTAATGAACACCCTAACCAACGTATACCAAGATATTCAAACACATGAAGTGGACCTCAGAACCAACTTCACACTAGGCTGGATGTGCCCTATCTACAAAAAAAATGAGAGAACGAAAATTGAAAACTACCGACCAATAACACTACTAAATATGGACTACAAGTTACTCACCAGAGTGCTCACTGTACAACTCGCCAGCATAATACCACCTCTACTACATGAGAACCAAGCTAGATTCATCCCCGGTCACTCCATCTTTGACCAGACATGACTTGCACAATCCATGATTGACCTGGTGGAGGCAACAGATCATTGCCTTCAATCAGGAAAAGGCATACGATAGAATAGACCACACGTACCTCTGGGAAACCCTGAAAACATTTAACCTGCCAGAATGATTCATCGAAACAATAAAGTCCCTGTACACAGGAGCATGCACCCAAGTGATGGTGAATGGAGTCCTGAGCACCACATGGACAGTATACAGGGGTACGCGACAAGGCGACCCCATATCAGCCCTCACCTTTGACCTGGCGATAGAGCCGCTAGCCTGCATGATAAGAAACTCAAGGAAGCTGAAGGAATTCACCATCCCCAATGTACCCAACCCAATCCTCATAAACCTATTCGCAGATGACACAACCATTTACATCTGGAAAACCATCCCTTTGTATTAAGCTCTAATTAGTTCTATTTATGTATAATTAAGAACGATTAGGATTAGACATTTTTAGCTTACCCCCCCTCTAAACCTGTTCTAATTAGACATAATTTTCCTAGAATAGGAATTATTAGGATTGATTATAACTTGAAATTTCGGAAAAATCATAATAAATCAAGCATCACAATTCTCATAGCCTTCTTATAGAGTCATGTCTATTAGAGCACTCATTAAATACCTAAACACAGAATATACCTTATAACAAACTTGCCTTTTGCCAGAGTTGAACCAACAACCTCATGTATGCAAGCACCCGGGACAGATACTCTAAGCCACTAAGCCACAAGGTCTAATATATAAACTTGGTAATCTAAATAAGTAGACATGATATAGGCAACCTCAACATCTCTGATTTTATTCAATATTTGTCTTTCCTCTATCTTATAAATAAATATGTCAATAAATACCTAAAAAGTCAGGTCTTTCAGGATTGAGTTTAAACACCAGCTAAGAAGATAATAAACCAATGGAAAATTGATAATACACTTTATATAGGATAAAAACAAATTATGGCACTTATACAATTTGGACTGAGAATGTGTAAAACTATGATTGAGTATAATATTCAATGGGACTCTACTAGTATAGACAATGCTACTTGAATTTGCAAATTTGATCAAAAACATAATTATAAATAATCAAGATCCAATAAGAGAAAGGGGTCTCCCAAACAGCCACTAGTGAGGTAGAGGGTGGGGACAAGAGTATATGTATGGCATGCCTATATATAAATAAGCACAAGATTGTTGGAGGTAATCTTAATATGCTTAATGCATATATTTCCTATATGGCAGGCAAATATATCATTCTGGCACCACATACCAGTATAACTGTCTTTTCCACAGCCTAATAGCTAGAGGAAAACACCAAGTTTGAGCATCTTCTGTATAACAAGGCAATAAACAATATAAATAGTGCTAAAAATTGTAATATCAATAGTGATGATGATTGTGTGCTGCACAAGACAGTATTAGCTACTATACTAATAGACAAGGTCTATAAGGCTGCATATAGCATATCCCTAAGTCCAACCCACATGTTGTGTCCTATAATTACCAGTAGCAGGCATTGGCTAACAATAACAACTTTAATGATCTTGTGTGTAAGGACAAGGTACCTAGGTCTTCATAGCCTCTTGTGGCAGCTGCCAAGCTGCCAACAATGCGACTGGGGGCATCAATGCACATTTCTCTCTTTCTATATCCCTTATAAAAGCAGCTGGAAAGTCAGCAAAAGAGCTACAAGATAATGGTATAGGCATATATGAAGGAGAGTAATATGCTAAAATAGTATAGAATGTGCCACATCCTTATCTTCACACTAATAGAGCAGTAGTACTTACTATTTCCTACTAATAATTAAAGACTTCTTAGTATAGAATTAGTGCTAATATCATGAAATTAGAAACCAATCCAATGCTCACAATGTGTTGCTCTCAATTAGGAAATTAGACACTTTTAGACCCTATTAACACTTTTAGATACTTTTAGACACTATTAGATATAATCCGGAGCTAATACAAGGGGGTGTTTTTCCAGATGTACTTAGGCCAAGAAGACCAGTATAAAGACTTACAAAATATACTATCACAATGGTGCACAATCTCAGGCACCAAGTTCAATTCCACCAAAATGGAAGTCATCCCAATCAGCCCCACAGGCCACTATGCCAGGGTCCTCATGACCCACAAACTGCACCCCGACGATGAACCATTATACGCTTCAATATGAATATCACCCGATAGACAAGCCATACGCTCTTTAAGGGCATGGATAGGAAACAAATTGATAACACGACACTATGGGAACCCGTCCTGGACAAGATAAACACACACCTAAACCGGTGGAGCCTAGGGCACCCAACACTGGACAGAAAGCAACTAATAGTGCTGGTGCATCTATCCAATACCTAACAAAGGTGCAGGGCATGCCCTCCAGAATCAAAGAAGCCCTAGTAAAAACAATAAGAAACTTTATCTGGAATGAGAACACACCCCAAATAGGCCTACAGTACCTATACCTACCAAAAAAGGATAGGGGCATTGACCTATTAGACATAAAAGCATGCAACATTGCAATACAGGTGACATGGCTGAAGCGATACCTTGACCTCACTAAGAAACAACCCACATGGGCTTTCCTTGTTGATTCCCTGATCAACAGAATAATACCACCAAGTGTAGAAAGCCTAGAATAGGTGAACACCTTCCTACAATCCTGGGACGTCCCGACACAAGGCCCGAGAGCCAATAAGTTACCATCCTATGTGCTGAGCATGCTGAAAGTTGCAAAAGATCTTAAGGTTAACTTTGCAGCGATCAAGCTGTCAAAAGAGATGAAAAATCAAATGCCCACGTGGCACCACCTAGGACTAACACCAAGGAACTACAGACAACAATGTAGTGAATGTATAGTGAGCAACCACTCCCTCAAGACAGTAGTAGATCTAGTACAACTGGCCAAACACACCAAAAACCCAGATAGTGGAAACAGAAGGCACTACTGCATACGAACCTGCACCTGTGATCCTTGCAAAGAGGATCAAAGGAATGGATGCCACAACCCTGATAAGTGCAGTTGCACAACACACAACATCCTGCGGGATATGCAGCCTAAATATAACCCATATGAGGCACTGCAAGCAGATGACCTAATGCTCACTCACAGGAGGCAGGAAAAAAACAGCACCAACAGAAATCAGAACCAAAGTGACATAATCTTCGATCCCTCTGTCACACTTTGCACAAACCTATCTGATGGCATATGGATATTCACCGACCCAAGCCAGATATCCAATAACCCTGCACACAGATTAACAGTAACAACAAGAGGCGCCGCCATATAAGCTGATGCCATCACCATCTACACCGATGGGTCTTGCATTAACAATGGCAAGAATAATGCCCAGAGTAGAGCGGGATTATGGATAGCAGATGACCACCCGGGCAACTGCGCAATATGTACACCAGGGAAACATCAATCCAACCAAACGGGAGAAATTGCCACGGTACTCATAGCAATACAAAAAATGCTGACGTTTGCACCCTTACAAATATGCACTAATTTGCGCTATATTATAGATGGCCTAACAAAACACCTGCAAACATGGGAAGACACTGACTGGATAAACATAGACAACAAAGAACTGTTCAAAGCAACAGCTTACCAACTAAGGATGAGATCAGCGCCAATAACCTTCCAGTGGGTAAAAGGCCACAATGGAGATCTTGGAAATGAGAGAGCAGACACCCTAGCCAAAAAAGGAGCTGGAAAGAACATGGTAGATGACATAGACTTAACTATACCCCCTCACTTCGACCTGCAGGGAGCGAAACTAGTGACCCTATCACAAGCCACAGCCTATAGAGGAATAAGGAACCTAAAAGAGAAAGAACTGAAACAAAGAACAGGAACAAAGACTCACCTGGATATAACACGAGGAGCACTCAAAGAACTGACAGGAGTGCAAGAAATGAATGAGGCGATCTGGTGTGGCATCAGAAACAATGACCTGAGCCTAAACGTACGCCAGTTCATATACAAAGCTCTACACAACACACATAGGGTAGGACAGTACTGGGAGAACATACCGTAATACAAGCACTGCACGCAGTGCAACAGTTGCGGCCATCCTAACAAGGACATGGAACACATACTACTGTACTGCACATACGCACCAAGACAAGTTATATAGGACATGGCAGCTAAGCTGTGGCCACATGGACAGTTAGAATGGCCACACATCAAACTAGGAACGATAACAGGATGTGGCTCACTAAAAACCAAATCCATGAACCACAATGAACAAGAGGACAATGACAGGAGGAGGAAAAACACTAGTCCAGAGTGCCTACTACAGATCCTAATTTCAGAAGCGGCTCACCTAATATGGGTCATAAGGTGTGAAAGAGCCATACAAGGAAGAACCCACACAACCAACGCAATATGGCAGAGATGGCACAATAAACTAACCAGAAGACTATATGTTGACTGTATAATAGCGGCAAAAATAGACCGACAACCTAAGATAAAAAGAAAAGTGAGAGACACCTGGACAAAAATACTAGCAAACTAGGAAAATATACCAAAAGACTAGGTGGACCACTCCAAGGTTTTAGTGGGTATTGAGGGACTGTGAAGCCTGACTCAAAGGGCCAATCCAATCCCCCTGAGCCCCACACTGCCCACATAAGGGCATGCATCAATGCATTTTGTCCTCAGCCGAGAACCCCTCCTAAAGGGTTTCTCGCTGTAGTGTATTTATGTAAGGCTGTACCCATTGTTAGTCATTACATAAATAAATCACTTGTCAAAAAAAAAAAGTAGTCTTACATAGCTCATACAATATTTTACCTGCCTATAGTCTGCTGCAATATTGCTTGGCCCATGTAACCCTCTTATAACCCTTCAGAATATATTTTAAATGTTCAGCGTCTATTCCATGAGTCAATGGCGCGAAGGGTGACTATACTCTTCGGGGCTCTGCTTGTTGAGCATCCTCTTCTTTTGGACTGCTATAAGAGTGGACTGAGCAAGTCTTCCTGCTGTTTGTGCTGCGCCAATGACGACCCCTCCTGCTCAACTGCCACGTTGACTCCCGATCTATAGGAAGTGTACTGCATTTCAGCATATTTTCGCTGTTCTCAGTATTAGTGTCCTGTCATGCACCATTTCCTGCCAAATTGACTGTCGTTCATCACACCGTTCCCAGCCTTGAAAAGCCTCCGTGTTGAGCAGGTGACTTTTACGCCTCGACCTTGCTGACGGGAGGGTATAGCGGCCAGGAACCAGTCGGGGCCACTCGAGAAACTGGTCGTTCGGGATTGCGATATCTCAGAGTCGGACATGTCGCAGTCGAGGAAGTCTGGGGTGCAGCGTGCCGTTGGCACCATGGAAGCCGAAAGGCCACATTACAACATCGATCCAACTCTGGACGGTCTCCATCCTTCTCTATCTCTTTTTTGTCTGGCCCTGTTCTTCGTCTCTCCGGTACTCTATCCACTTCTAACCTAGTCTTGCAAACATCGAGTGGCCCGTCGGGATGATCGTTTGTTCAATGCGTCCAGACGTGAGTCAGCACATCCACTTGTAAAACTCCTTAGGCAATTGAAACTCCAGCGAATCCATGCCCCTCGCCTCGCACAGGTCCCTGTCAATCTCACGATCATGTGCTCAATTTGGATGAGCTATCTCTGGGCCTCGAGTACGCCTCTCCCCCCTTATGCGAAGCTCGTGATATCTAGGTTCGATGCTGTCTCAGTTGGCACCTATTGGAATCCTTGTCACGATTGATAGAAATTCCTTGGGCATCAGACAGCTCCGCTGAGTATGGTGCGTCAGATTACAAACTGTGGTGGGCGCCGACACGAGTACTGCTCTATTTTCACTCATTTTAATAAGCCCTCTCACGATCTTGACACGAAGATGTCAAGTGCTTGTCTGGTACATTCCTTGACTTTCTGGATCCCACAAGTCAGTCAATTAATACTCATTTCACCAGCCAGTTTCACCTCAATCCAGGTTTTTTTCGATGAGCAGGACCTCGACTTCTCAAACCCCACCCTCAAGTAAATTACGATCATCCAATCGGTTCTCAACCGTGATTCAGACGATCAAAGGATATTTGGAAGATGGGAAACTTCTTCCATTCAAAGTTCGTCATATGAGCGCTCCACCAGTGATTTCTGGCTTCAAGCTGACAGCGCTTATTGGGTATACTTTGGTATCGTCTGGACTACCTGTCATCCTCTGTCAAGCTTATGTTTCATCCTTTCATTCCATTGTCTGCATGCACGGTATAAAGACAAGGAAGAATATGCGCAACGACTTACCGACCCCCCTCCTCAGCCATCATGATAGGGTCTCGCTTCATGGCCGCTTTCGTCGCCCCCACCCTTATCTCCCCACCCGACCCTATATGCATCGTGGGTGCTGGGCCAAGTGGCCTGACGATTGCCAACGGGCTCGAAAATAAAGGTTTCAGCACCATCATATTCGAGAAGAACCCAGTAGTCGGTGGGAAATGTCAGGCGTACTACTACGAGTGAGCATGCGCTTTCATCATCCTAGTCCCACCAAAAGATTTGATGGTCGTCTACAGCCCTTTCTTTCATCCCTTGGGAGCTCTCTTGCTTTCGAACGAGACGTACAAAGAGACATTACCAGTTGTTGAAGCGTCAGGTGTACCGCTTCTGCCTTACACCAGCACGGCCAAAAGTTGGCTATTCAATTGGATAACAGGCGAGGTTCAAGAGGCCCCTCTTTCGCCTCCAGAGCTATTCCTCTTAGTTCAGGGAGACGCGCAGAGATATACAGAGTTTTGGAACAACATCTTCTCTCCGAAAATGACGAATGTTGGATACAAGGTATTTGGACTTGATTGCAATCAGTGTCGTCTGGAATTAATAACCTTCACAGAACGGCATTCCTGAAGAGTATACCGTCCCATTCCTCCAGTGGTTGTCGGCGAACAATCTCACGTCCCTACAGCCAATTTTTGAATTGGGTATGGTTCCATACGGCTATGGAGATATCACGGAAACACCGGCCGTAGGTGTTTTATCACCATTATGGTTCATTTCTGGGAAATTAACATTGATTCTGTAGATTTACATGCTTCAATACTTCACACCAGATATATTGCACTTTTTCGCGGGTCAGCATGACGGCTACCTTGTAGGTAAGGAATGCCGAATTTTCTGTATCGTATGTTCTCTTATGCATTCTCTTCAAGACTTTCATGAAGTGTTTGTTCAATATGCCGAAAAGTCCGTTAAGGGTCCAATATTGACGAACACGAATATCACCAAGATCGGTGCGTGTTTCCGCCCATATCTCATGATCGTTTGTCTGACTTTTGGGTTGAATTGCCACGTAGATCGCTCTGGTGATCATCCTGTCATCACCTACACCAGCCAAACCGGCTCCACAGCATCGCAGAGCTGCTCCAAGCTCATCCTCGCATTCCCCCCTGTCATGCACGCCCTCCAAGCTGCTAACCTCGACATCTCAGCCGACGAGACAACTGTGTTCTCTCCTCTCGGAATGACCGAGTATTGGTCAGGTGCCGTGAGCATGGCGGCCCCCGGTGGCTTCAGGTACAGAGCAGAGACATACGAGGCTGTGGGCCAGCCTTCTGCGTTCGTCCGACTCTTCAACGAGTCATCTGTTGCAACGACTTGGTCATGGGGGAAATACAGGGGCAACCGGACGACAGAAGAGGCGAAGATACTCCTCAAAGAAACGCTTTCCAAAGTCAACAAGGACCCAAGAAATGCGACGGAGTTGCCGCGTCCTGTCACCGATGACGACATCAAGGAGTTTGAGAAGTGGGACTATTTCGCACACTACGATCCGCGAGAGCTGCGCGCGGGATTTTATGGCAAGTTTGATGCATTACAAGGGAAGCAGAATACGTATTATGCATCTGGATTGAATGGTTTCGAGACCGTCGAGTTTGCAATCCGAGCAGGAAAGGACATCGTAGACACGTACTTTTTGAGCTCGTGATTGATCTGACCTACGTCGTATATATTGACAACTATGTTGCGAACGGCTCAGTGAGCGCACGGGACAAGCAGATTTGTACTTCTAATCATCATGCATTCCTGCGGCGGACCCCTTATCATGTACATCCTGGCAAATTTAGTTACGAGTCTTCTTCTTACCACTTCCCTTGAGGGCTGGAGGATCTTTGGGAAGAGCGAGGCGCGGTATTGCATCAAAGGGGGACCCAAGGACGACATGAGGAGCAGCCAGACCCCTCGATGTAGACGTTAGTCCAGCAGACGACGTGGATCCGCCTTCGTTAACATCGCCACTTGAGGATGGAGTCGAGGGGAAAAATAAGGGATGGGTAGATGCTCTGGCAAGTGGCATAGGCTCATCTTCGTCAATAATGGCTGGAGTCGAGGGATTAAACAGTAAGGATTCGGTAGATGCTCCGGCATATGACATGGGCTCGTCTTCGTCGCGAATGCCTCCCATGGTTTGGGTCGAGGGGGCCCGGTAATCAAGAGGAATATCAATCGGTGCAAGCAAGCTTCCATACTCGTGAGCTCGAGCAGATCCCCGTAAATTTATCGGGGAACTCTCCGCAGCCAACGGGGAAGAGAGAACTGTCCAAGGAGACGATGACGAAAAGGGCGACCTTTTGGACTCTGCTTGTTGAGCATTCTCTTCTTCTTGGACTGCTTCTAAAACGGCCTGAGCAAGTCTTCCTGCTTCCTGTGCTGCCCCGATGACGGCGTCCGCTGATAGATTGGACTGTGCGAGTCTTTCTGCTTCTTTCGTTGCTCGTAGGGCGGCTTCTGTTGCTGCACGTACTCGAGAGCGCGTCATAGGCGGAGATCGTACGGTTGGAAAGTTGGGCGCGCCAGGTTCAAAGACGGATACTGTAGATGCCACTGATAGCATGGGAGGATTCTGAGTGAAAGGAGACTGCGTTTCGGCATATCTTTGTTGTTCCCCGAGTAGCTTAGAATGCACCATGTCCTGCCCAATTGACTGTAATCCGCCACACCAGTGTGTAGCACCAAAAAGTCAGGCACATAATAATCCTGCGCAATGATACGAAAGCTTACCCTTTCTCCTGGAGGTTGTGCGATAGCGCGCGGGCCACCGAAAACGGTAGGCCTCCTGAAGTCCTGAAAAAGCCCCACAGATGCCTCGGCGACGGCATCTAGTGCCCTCAGATACAACGGGCTAAAGCCCGCTACACGATCTATGAAAATAGGCTCGTTGAAATACAAGACTTCGGGTTCGATAGAGGCAGGGTCTCCCAGATCATCGTGAATGTTTTTTCGAATGTCACTCCTCGCTCGTTTCTGTGGTGATGTGGGAAGGGAACCGGCAGGCCGCACATATGGCGTAAGGTTCGCCGGCCTTTCATACTCCAACAATGTGAAGTAGGCTCCAACCATCAAGAATGCATAATGGATGTTGCCTTCAAAGTGGCGGAAGGAGAACAGTGCCTGCTTGTTGACCTGAATGATTGAGTTAACAGCTATTGCATCTGCAATATCCTTGACTGATTTTACGCTATCAGGGTTGCCAGCAGCATGACCATCCAAGGGTTTGACCTCTACCCAAAAAACCAGAGTGTCATGAACGATGCCTGTAGTACTGATGGATGTAATGATAGCCGCAAAATCGGGAATCATTCTGTGGTGTTCATCTGACTGCTCTGTGCCTGCGTGATGGGAGAAGTATGACTGGGGATGGCAGCCAAAGGATACATTACTCCAGCGAGGCACCAAGTCCAAGCAGTATGCTGTGAGAGAGAGGCTATAAAAGGCATATAAGCGAGATTCAAGATGAGGTTCCGCTAATGCATGAGTCAGAAAGTTTTGAAGATCGGCGTAGAGTCGTTGGCGAGTAATCACGATTCCGTCCTGTTGGCAAGTATTCGGTGACGAGAGCGCTAGGATAAGCTATGCGTCACTTACAGTATGATTGTTTGTTGCCATGAACAAACAGACAGAGTAATGCTTAAAGTGAGCGATAGTTTGGGTCCGACGCTGGTTGCGGTCCTGCTTTTTAGCAATTGGATACCTGCTTGTTCCACTCGAGACTGCTTTTTGTTTGAGCCGTTCCTTGTCAAATCGTGCTGTCAAGGGAACACAGTGAAATCTGATCACATGCGGTGAGGTATTGCAGCAGTAGGAACAAGGTGGCCAGGAAAACAAGGACCGAACGATCAGACCTCATGGTTTCCAGCCGTTCTCATTCATAGCTTCTCATGCACTATAGAGCTCCTACGCCAGCCTACGCCCGGCATTTTCCTGTGGATCTCCGGGGATGAGATTCTGACGGCAACGAGTGACTTCTGTGGAGCGGGCTGTCGCTCGGGCTGCCCGCGGTGGCTCGGCCTCGTTGTTCTTCGATGAGGACTAGAATCATTGAGATATGCTGAGAATACTCCAGAACTCAGCTGCAAGTAGAATAAAGGTGCCTTTTCTGATCATTTGATGAGAATAACAAGGAGGCTGTGCTGTGTGTTCGCTTGACGCCTATAAAGGCTACGTTGGTACCGACCGTGAGAAGCCAGGTTATACTTCCACCTGCTTTCTCGAGGATGCCCGAAATAATTGCTCCTGACATCAGAGATGATGACTTATCGGCCTATGTCAACGAGTACGAGCACGATGCTGAAGGAAAAACAATACCCACCGCCGCACAAGGTTGGAGGATGACTGCGCGCTGCGCGCTAGCACGACAACAGGTCCTTCCATGCTCGTCAATGCTTCAACTCCATTCTGACCTCTTGAATACACATTTTAGCGATGGGTGGAAGAAACAAAACAGTATCCACCTATGGAACACCTCCCTGCTCAATACGATGCCGCGATCACGAGGACATCCGTCATCCTCTGTTTCGGTCTCGGGGTTACCTACGACCAGCTTTTGAGATTCGTCAACAAGCACAACATTAGAGCTCCATCGGCTCCCGATCAACCTATCACTCGCCCTGTAGTGGCCTTTTTTATGATTGCCAAACATCTAGCGACAAAGGTCCGTGGTTTGCGGCTATTTTACCGCCGACCTCGGTCCCTACAATACGACATGGTTCTTGCTCTCTACTCGAATCATTCGTTCAGAAAATATCAGTATAGGCCCGAAAGCGAGAAGCGAATTATCGAGATCATGAAGGAGGAGCTGGAGATTGACTCAACCCCGATGTGGTACTGGGACATGGACCGCGATACACTGTTCTGAGCTCTATTGACAGTGAGTGGCCGGCGGCTTGATCTCCGTAGATATAGTCGTGAAATCTCTCTCTAGATCCTACTGCTTTCTCCTGCCACCGCTTGGTGGCAGACTTTGGTTATCATCACCTCTCTCTCTCAAGCTTGTACAAATGATAATCTTGGTTATTCTCATCTGCTCTGGATGCACGTGTGCTTTGTGATGGAATAGAAATTTCTACCACTTAAACACGTTCCGAAGTTAAATAGCTTCGAGCCTGTTGGAAAAAATAATCAGCTCTCAATGAACTGCGACCTCCATGGCAAGGACAAGTTGTCTTCGCTGCCACTGAGAGATAAACACCTGAAGCTGTATGGCTAGTTTCACTAAATTTCGGCATCAGGCAGTTGTTCCCGAGACCATGAGCAGAGTACTGGGCCAAAAATGAGCAGGCCATGTCTGGCAAGAGCAAAGTGGCGTGAGTGGGAGCGAACTTTTTGATTCAATCATGGACAGCATGTGTGTGGACCCGCTTGATTTTGAGGTTGAGATGCATCAATGTAGTAAATACATGAATCCTCGAAGAATGCGACGAATTTGCGGCCGAGGGCGTGACAAAGCATGGTAATAGTAGGATATTGTGTTGAGAGTAAAAAATTGATCTCAGTACACCACCAAGCATCAATATGCCGAAAATTCCGTCAAGGGTCCAATATTGACGAACACGAATATCACCAAGATAGGTGCGCATCTCCGCCCATATTGCATGATCGTTTGTCTGACAACTAGGCTTGATTTGCCACTGAGATCGCTCTGGTGATCATCCTGTCATCACCTACACCAACCAAACCGGCTCCACAGCATCGCAAAGCTGCTCCAAGCTCATCCTCGCATTCCCCCCTGTCATGCATGCCCTCCAAGCTGCTAACCTCGACATTTCCGCTGACGAAACCATCGTGTTCTCTCCTGTCGGGATCACCGAGTATTGGTCAGGTGCCGTGAGCGTTGCAGCCCCCGGTGGCTTCAGGTATGAAGCAGAGACATACGAGGCTGTGGGTCAGCCTTCTGCGTTCGTCCGACTCTTCAACGAGTCATCTGTTGCAACGACATGGTCATGGGGGAAATACAGGGGCAGTCAGACGATGGAAGAGGCGCGGATACTCCTCAAAGAAACGCTTTCCAAAGTCAACAAGGACCCAAGAAATGCGACGGAGTTGCCGCGTCCTGTCACCGATGACGACATCAAGGAGTTTGAGAAGTGGGACTATTTCGCACACTACGATCCGCGAGAGCTACGCGCGGGGTTTTATGGCAAGTTTGATGCATTGCAAGGGAAGCAGAACACGTATTATGCATCTGGATTGAATGGTTTTGAGACCGTCGAGTTTGCAATCCGAGCAGGAAAAGACGTCGTAGACACATACCCTCCCCTATGGCAAACCATCGATCACTTCTTCGTCACGAGTAGAAGAGAGGCGCCTTCGGTTACCTGGTGACTGCGGCACAACCATCACAAGGCTGGCAAAGACGAGCTGACTCCTACAGGTTCCTAGTATATATAAAGGCTGCGTTGGCGCCGTCCGACCGTGAGAAACCAAAATCAGTTACCTACTGCTTCTACGATGCCTTGTATCATCGCGCCAGACATCGCAGATGAGGACTTGTCGGCCTATGTCAACGAGCTTCAGCGCGACGATGGAGGAAACCTAATTCGCAGCACCACGCATGGCTGGAAATTGACTCCGCGCGGCGAGCTAGCTCGACTACAGGTCCTTCCCTGCCCGTCAATCCTTCGACTTCATTCTGACTTCGCATCACAGGCATTCGTAGAGGAAACAAAACAGTATCCTCCTATGGAACAGCTCCCCGCTCGATACGATGCAGCGATCACAAAGACGTCCGCCATCCTAAGCTTCGGTCTCGGTGTCACCTACGATCAGCTCTTAGGATTCGTTAACAAGCGCGACATTCGAGCTCCATGGGCTCCCGATGAACCTATCACTCGTCCCATAGTGGCTTATTTTATGATTATCAGATACCTGAGAACAAAGATTCGCGGCTTGTCACTGTTTTACCGCCGACCTATGTCTCCACACTACGACATGCTACTTGCTCTCTACTCGAATCATTCATTCAGAACATATCAGTATCATGATGAAAGCCAGAGGCGGATCATTGAGATCATGAAGAAGGAGCTGGATATCGACTCGCCTCCGATGTGGTATTGGGACATGGGCTCTGAGATATTCTGAGATCCATTGGCAGTGGGTGGCCCGCGTCTTGATCTCCGTAGGTATGGTCGTGAGATCTCCCTCCAGGTCCTACTGCTTTCTCTCACCACCGCTTGGTGACACACTTTGATTACCATCACCTCTCTCTCTCGCCGCCATGGCCCATTGTCGCCCCGCTTTGTTGTTGCTATCTCTCGTATTGTCGTCTCCTTTTGAGGATCTGTGTATTAACAATCATGGCACATCTCAATTTCATGCTTGTGTACTGCGGGTGTTCTCTTGCCACCATCATTCCTGAGACATGCATTCGTAATGAAGTCAGAAAATGCATAGAAGTTTAGGCCTACTATCGTTGCACCGGAGTTGCAAAAAAATTCTTTGTAGCATCTTAAATTGGGTTCTCTCTCGCTCCAAATTTTCATGGTACCTGTGGAAGCTTCTTAAAATGTATCTTATTATTTTTTTCATATTTTTGAGCAAACTCAAAGAATTATTGTGATATGATTGAGAAGGGGTGTCCGAAAACGAGCAAATCTTGGGAGTTGCAAATCTTGCCGACGAACGGGTCACACGTCATCACGTTTGAACTCGAACTCCGACGGCGCGCACTGCGGAACGACCTACTATGCGGAGATTCAAAGAATGACCAAGCGTCACACGCTCCGAGACTCTCTGTCACTCTGCCTGCCATCGCGCACTGCCCGTCGAAAACAATTTGGTGAAGAGCAGCGGAGCCCTCAAGGTCAGGAAAAATAACTTGAATAATATTAGCGATACCTCTCCATATTCATATTTTTTTTTTTTTGTAATTGAGCTCTAGGATCTGAGAGGTCTTGAGCATCTCTCAGACACCTCTGCCCTAAAAACCATTATTCATTGCCTCCTCACTGCTGCACCTAATTTATGTTCTCGCAAAAACCCTGATACTTGAAAAGTGCTTAAATAAACTCAAGAGTTACTGCGAGGAGCTCGATTTTGAACCTCTCATACCATTTGCAACTCCGGTGCAACGATAGCAGGGCGTGGAAATTCAACCACTGGCTCTGCCAAATGCCGATGCGGCGATGTGCAGTGAATTGGACCTCCGAAAAGAAGTTTGACTTCCGGATTCCTTCCTCCGCCTCACGGCCTCACCGGCTCACCGTCCGCAACGGCTTCCTGAGTCCCTGGGTTGCCTTCGCTTGTTAGCATTCGACATACAGAGCGCAGTCAAGATGGTTTACCCCAGTTCGCATACTGACAGGCTGTGTCAGAGACCACTGACAGATCTGTCATATAGGTCGACAACATGCTACCAAGACGCTAGAGAAGCTAGCGGACCTGCTCTCCGCTGAAGAGAGGGACAAAGTAATATCTACCCTCTTTATCGTCTGGCTTGAACTTACATTCCTCGTCGTGGATCTTGGTTTAGCCCCAGGTTATCCTCCTTGCAGGCGAAGTGACCCCGTATCGAAATGATACCGACAGGGAGATGCCCTATCGGCAGGTAGGACATCGGCCTCGTTTCGTGTCACGATCTAATACCGCTCTAGGAATCTAATTTCTTCTATCTATCGGGATGCACTGTGCCGGCCTCCTACCTTCTTCTCACGACGTCCTCCGCCGCGCTGGAATCGTCCTCGATCACTCTCTTCATACCGAAAGCCGAACCCGTAGACCTCATGTGGTCTGTCCCTCCCCCATCCCTTGATGCCGCACGCGAAATCCACGACGCCTCGTCAGTCCTGCACACATCGGATTTGTCGAAGGCCCTTGTCGACGCCCTCACCGCGTTTCCCGATGCCCTGATACACACGCTCCCTTCCAAGTCACCCCTCTTTCCGGAGCTTCCAGAGGCGCTGATTAAAGCGGCTTCAAAGAGCGCAACCGTGACAGACGCGTACCTTTTGCCCGCACTCCACCGCGCAAGACTTCTCAAAACGGATGAAGAGATAGAGAAGATACGCAAAGCTAACGCGATCAGCTCAAGGGCTCACGAAGTTGTGATGCGCGTGTTGGGGAATGGAGTGCGGGGCTTAGAGAAGGGGGCAGGAGCAGGGGTTGACAGGCCTCTTCTGCCTAGCGAGTGGCTGATCGAGAAAGAGGCGGAGGCAGAAGCCATCTTCGTCGCATCATGCAGACGCGAAGGGTGCGTCTTGCTTTTGGCACTCATTTTCGGATTCTATAAACTCTCTTTACCTTGCAGCGCCGTCCACCAAGCGTATCTCCCGATCGTCGCAGCCTCGACTCGCGCTTCGACCCTTCACTATTGCTGTAATGATAAAGAGTTTGCCTGGGGACCTGTGAAACCTCACGATCATCACAACAAGAACGACTTTGCCCATGGCAGCGCACGTGATTTGCAGCCCCAGGTTCTGCTCATTGATGCAGGCTGTGAATGGGAGTGCTATGCCTCAGACAGTGCGTTCTTTATCCATCATTTGCATATTGACTTTGACCACAGAGGTATCATGGTAGTTACACGCACTATGCCTGTTGGGAATGGCGGCAAATTTACGCCAGAGGCCAAGGCAATCTATGAGCTTGTTCTCGAGATGCAGAAGGTAACGACACGGCTGCTCGATCACTTCGACAAGGACATCTGATGTATCATTTTTCAGCTCTCGATGGCACTCCTCAGGCCCGGCTTGCACTGGGATGCTGTGCAATTGCTCTGCCATCGTACTCTCGTTCAGGGATTCCAACGTCTAGGTATATTCAAGTCCCCCAATTCCCCCGGATCAGGATCTTGGAATTCCGAGGAGGCGATCCTGGCGTCCGGTGTTAGCAGCGCGTTCTTCCCGCACGGGCTTGGCCACTCGCTTGGGATGGACGTGCACGACGTGCCCAGCGCTAGCAAGCCAGATGTAAATCACACTATCGACAAAGGGGTCGCGCTTGGCCATGAGAATTTCTACACATATCTCAGGTTGCGACTGCCGCTAGAGGCAGGGATGGTCGTTGTACGTGCTTCCCAATTTGCTTGCTTGGGACTGTAGATCTGAACGTTGTCCGTCTCCGACAGACTGTCGAGCCGGGGTGCTATTTCTCGCCACACCTCCTGGCACCCGTGCGCGACTCGAAGCACATCGACCATGAAGTGCTTAAGCGTTACGAGAGCGTGGGTGGCGTGCGGATTGAGGACGTCGTCGTAATCACGAAAGTCGGATACGAAAATCTGACCACGGTCAAGAGCGATGTCGAATGGATTGAAGGGGTGTGTTCGGGAAAGCTTTAAGGCTTGTATGTAAAATTGTTTTCCAGTTGACCGCGCAGAAGATGATGAAGTGTACGAACACAAGGTGAGAGGGCGTGCTGCATTAGGCCTTAGGGCTCGGAGCTGAATAAGAAAGCCAGTTTCCCGGTGTTTGCGTCTGCGTTGCTCCCGCTCAAAAAACCACCATATGTGGCTCCTGGCAACTCTGAACCAAGCCTATGCTTGTCTCATTCTAACTTCTCTCTTCCAAAAGTGTCGGTGATGTTTGCTCGTCCCACTTTTAGAAGCGCTCGGAACATCCGCGTGACGGAAGGTCTCGGAGTTGAAAGTGTATCAGTCGATCACGGGGCCATTCTTGTCTCCATGATTGAACACGGTGGGCCACCGTGGTTACCAGCTCGTCATGTCGACTTTGAACGATGTCCGCGCAGAACTTTCTGCGTTATGCCAAAGCAGAAAGCAGGAATCTTTAGGGATTCACACAGTCACATTCCAACCACTTCGTTCTCGCGTCAGCGAGGACCGTATGGTGACAGAAGAATGGAATATACTGGAACAAAGATGGCTATTTGTGGCAGTGCTAGATGGTATAACGGGCTATATGTGTTTTGATATTCAACTCATAACTCTGTCTACTAGGTCACGGAGGAACTGCCGCCGTAGAGCATACAGTAAACGTATTACCAACACGTGTCCGCGCAGCATTACATCTCCTCATTCAACATCATCTACAAGGCAAACTAGACCGCCGTAATAATGGGGATGGACAGCTTGTGTCTGTCATGTTACGCGAAGAGATCGAAAAATATGACAGGAGCATAGGCGAAGCTGTGAAGAGCATATGTCGCAAGCCGCATCGTCTCGCGGAGGAGGCTGCTCGGACGTTGATCGATGAACACTTAGAGATCTTGCAACGTGCTTACAGTGGTACGACCCTTTCCGCCGTGCTGGTAAACATCAGCGAACGACTTATGTGGGCTGTGGGTGTTGGCGACTCCACCGTTGGTGAGTATTGAGTGTCTGTGCAAATGCTATACTTACACATCAGAGGCTTTGCAGCGCTCAGTACACTAGGCATTGACGGAAGGCGCAGTTTTGAGCGACTGGCTGACCTGCATTCTCCGAAGAATCCTTTGGAGTACTTTCGGGTGGCCATGGCGCATCCGGCGACTGAAAAGGAGGTCTTGATTGAGGACCGGCTCCTTGGATCCCTTGCCATGACAAGAGGTCAGTGTGGGCTTTCAGATTCTTGCTATGTGTCAACATACCTTGCTCACTACCTATCTGGATAGCTATTGGAGATTTTGAGCTTAAGCTTCGTCGAACGTATTTGAGTCACCTACTCCGTTTCGTGCCCACTACTTCCACGACGCCTCCTGAAGAAGTGATTCCACGAATCATGACGCCACCTTACCTGATTGTGGAACCATCAGTGCGCTTTATTGACCTGCAGCTCTACAGCACAGCCAAGCCTATTGTCATGCTATACTCCGACGGTGTCGACTGTCTCGTCGATGGATATGCCAACTTTAGCCCAGATATGCACCGAAAATCGAATCCTTGTCAGGTCGTTGCCGCTCTTCTCCAAGACAGTGTCGATCCATTTGTCGAAGAAGCGCTTGAACACAAGGTGGAATTGCGATGGACTGGTCCAAATGGAAATAAGGCTGTCGATGTTCTCGGCAACCTCTTGGGAGGTACGAACGTGGACAAATTGAAGATGGTCATGGATCAGGATATCCTGGTTGATAGGACCGCAACGTCCGGTTTCTATATTGACGATGTTTCCATCATCATTTTTGAAGTGTCAAAAGCAATCTGACGTGACCGCTCATACTAGCACTGATGTACGCCTTGACCCTGTCATTATGTAGCTCATTCAGCTTCAGCTTCTTTATTTCCAAGCCCGATCTCGGCTTCTACTTGAGTGCGATTAGACATTACCCTTGTTGAATATCTCTCTCCAGATCTCTTGATGTCGGTGAGGTTGACCTCGAGCACAACACGTGGCCGGATTTCTCCGGGCAGCGGTGGGAACAGCTGAAACTCGATGTGCTCGTAACGCACATGGCTGATAAGGGCGCCTGGTCGAGTGGCCGTGGCGCCAGCAAAAATAAGATTCGCGGCAAGCTGTAGGCGTAAGCGCTCGCGCGCAAAGACCTCTTCATCGCGTATCGAGGGCCGCCTATTGATTCCTATGTGGAGGGTTAGTCCGTATTTAAATTCCTGCGCAAAATTTGTACAAAAAGGATTCGAAAAAATCAATGACCACATACCTTTGGAGATGACCCTGCTATGACTGAAATCGGCCACTTGTCCGTATTACGAGAAGACCATGTGCTGTGAAAATGTTACCTATTGTTCAGTAGTAAAGTAGACGTGCAACGTTCGCGGTGTCAATGCATCAACGCGTCAACGTTGAACTGGCGAGACCCTGTGAGACAGTTGTGAGACCTGCTCGGAAGTCCCCGGCAGTTCCCAACATGTCGGAAGCGTTCCGGAGCCAAACACCGCCAACAGTCGTCGATGTTTACTACTTGTCTACTGCTCAGCGCTCACTGCTCAAGCGCTCAAGCATCAAGCCATTCTTTGCCCATTCACTCAAGATCGAGTGAGCTACTCTGGGTATCATGTCGACTCTAGATGAGCTTCGTGCAAACCTTGCCGCAGTCTACACAGATAGAAAGCTAGACGCTTTGGGAATCCACGCCGTCACATTCCAACCGCTTCGATCGCGCATCAGCGAAGATCGTTTGGTGACGGAAGAATGGAACATACTGGGACAACAGTGGCTCTTTCTAGCAGTCCTAGATGGTATACTGGTCAATCTGCGTTTTTAGATGCAACTAATACTCATGGCTTTCTCTCTAGGTCACGGAGGAACTGCCGCAGTCCAGCATACGGTAAACATATTACCAACACGTATCCGCACAGCGTTGCATCTCCTCATTCAGCACCACTTACGAGGCCGACTAGACCGCAGTAATTCTGGGAATGGGGCACTTGTTTCTATGATGCTACGAGAAGAAATAGAGAAGTTCGACAGAAGTATAGGCGAAGTTCTAAAGAGCATATGTCGCAAGCCGCATCGTCTTACGGAGGATGCTGCTCGGGTATTGATCCAAGAACACATGGAAGTCTTGCAACGTGCTCACAGTGGTACGACCCTTGCCGCTGTCCTGGTGAACGTCAGTGAACAGCTTATGTGGGCTGTGGGCGTTGGCGACTCCACCGTTGGTGCGTATTGAGTGTCCGTGTGAAAGCTATACTCACACATGAGAGTGTTTGCAGCACTTAGTACACTGGGCACTGACGGAAAGCGTAGCTTTGAGCGACTGGCTGACCTGCATTCTCCGAAGAATCCTTTGGAGTACTTTCGGGTGGCCATGGCACATCCGGCGACTGAAAAAGAGGTATTGATCGAGGACCGGCTACTAGGTTCCCTTGCCATGACAAGAGGTTAGTAGGGTCCCTCGTAACATCATCCAGTGAACATGCTTTACTCACCACTCACCCGAGCAGCCATCGGGAATTTCAAGTTCAAATTTCATCAAGCATATCTGAGTCACCTTCTCCGTTTCTTGCCCACTACTGCTCAGACGCCTCCCGAAAAAGTGATCCCGCGGATCATGACACCACCTTACCTGATCGTGGAACCATCAGTGCGCTTTATTGACCTGGAGCTCTACAGCACAGCCAAGCCTATTGTCATGCTATACTCCGACGGTGTCGACTGTCTCGTTGATGGATATTCCAACTTCAGCCCAGATATGTGCAGAAAATCAAATCCTTGTCAGGTCGTTGCCGCTCTTCTCCAAGACAGTGTCGATCCATTTGTCGAGGAGGCGCTTGAACACAAGGTGGAATTGCGATGGACTGGTCCAAATGGAAATAAGGCTGTCGATGTTCTCGGCAATCTCGTGGGAGGTACGAATGTGGACAAATTGAAGATGGTAATGGATCAGGAGATCTTGGCTGATACAACCGAACAGCCCAGTTTCTATATTGACGACGTTTCCATCATTATCTTCGAAGTGTCCAAAACATCCTGACATAGCCGTTCCAATTAGTACTGATGTACTTACCACAGGTTTTTCACAGTGTTCTCAATTTCTAAACTCGCTTCTGTCTCTTTTTTTTTCGTGCGGGAACCAGGTTTCGGCTACACTCAGTCGTGAGAATGCACTTGCTTCCTATGTTGTCATTGAAGATCACTGGGGAAGCCAGACTTCGCATCCGGTAGGACATTTTCACTCAACTCGACTGGTTAGTTTCGAAAGTTGGATCTGTTGACAGAATGTATCAGCTTCAGCAATGTTCCGCCTATAAGAAAGGGTGACATTTACTTAGATGTTTTACAGGACGCGAGGGCCGAGAATAACAGCTTTCTACAATAGTTCACGGAGATCAGTAAGTATAGCGACCACGTTTGCCTTTAGTTGCCCCTTTTCCACGTTCGCAAAACCTCGATTTACAACAGGCTAACTTATTTCCAAAATACAGAATGAACTGCCACAAGATTCCTTTGGGCATGACTGATGCTTACACTGTGAGGAATCATCGCATGCTCGAGACGGAATTCCTGAAATCATGGGACTGATGCTACTTCGCCTCGGGTATAGCCCAGTCGAGCACAGTTGGACATCATCTGCGTTCTGAAGATCCGTGCCTTGTGTCTTCTGAATCTTATTCACACCTATCCAGCCCTCAAGGACTTGATCCTGCGGCATCTGATTCACACACGCCATTTACCATCCCGACGCCTCTGATCTTGGGCGATTTCCACAGCGGTCCTTCTAGAGCCTGAGAGCTCTTGTTCCGCCGTGAAAGTCATCCACCGCATGGAACTACGCCTGATCACGGCCGTCAGGACTCAGGCGCAGAAGATCCTCGCGCGATAGGGCTACATCTCTCCGACCAACGTATCCAAGGCTGGAACAGATCGCTTAAATCAAGGTCCCGCGGTTCTGAATGTCAGCCTTCTTTCTTGTGACTCTGAACACCCCCTATCAGTCCTTTTGATCGCATGCTTCGTAGCGCTCACCACGTTGCAGCTGACCGAGATCGCAGCAGCGGGCGTCGTGGGAGATTGTGGTGAGTTCATGACTCGCCAGTATTATTTTCGTTGTTGATCAAACTCATCAGAGCTATCAGTGGGTGTCGAATTCTCGGAGCCAGATGTCGTTTCCCAGCGTTTGCGTATGAACGCTTATGAAGGATCCTAGAGAACCAAAGAAGCCCATCAAGATTAGGTTGAACATCGGACTAGTTGAGTAACCCATGATGCTCAGTCTCACACCATCGTCTCTCTGCGCTCGAGGGCCTCACTCGCGGCAGCCTATCTCATCAAGTACAATCTTGAGGCATATCGCTACTGGATGACGCTCGCAAGAGGCTAGCGAACATCTACACGAGCACAAAGTTGGATTCCCTAGGTATCCACACAGTCACGTTCCAGTCACTTCAGTCGCGCATCAGCGAGGATCGTATTGTGACGGAAGAGTAGGATATACAAGGACAGAACTAGACATTCTTAGCAGTTCTTGATGGTAGAAGATCAACGTTCTTGCTTAGATCACCCGCGTGAACCTTATTCACTCTTCAGGTCACGGCGGTACTGCCACTGTCGAGTATGCAATGAACGAACTGCCGCTGCAAATCCGCACCGCATTGCACCTACTCATTCAGGATCATCTACATGGTCGACTGGACCGCAGAAACATAGGACTTGGAGAGCAGGTGTCTCTCACACTCCGACAGGAGATAGAGCGATTTGACCTGACCATTGGCAAAGCCGTGAAGAATCCTTGTCGCAAGCCCTATAAACTCTCGCAGCCGCGTTTGTGAATGTCGAGGAAAAGTTCATATGGGCCGTAGGCGTTGGCGACTCGACCGTAGGTGAGTATCTCTGTTTACGCGCGTATGATACTCGCTCATCTTTTCTTTCGCAGCATTGACTACTGCCGGTGGGGATGGCAAGCCAAGCTGCCAGCGACTGACTGATGTACACTCCCCGAAGACTCCCTCGGAATACTTTCGTGTCGCAATGACACATCCAGCCGCCGAAGAGTCTTAGCTGACGATCGTGTACTCGGGTTTCTTGCAATGACCAGAGGTCAGTGTCATCTTTCAAAAATTCACCGGGCCACAGTCACTCTCGCTCATTTCGGAATATGGCCTCCCTATCTGATCAGCCATCGGCGATTTCTCGCTAAAGTATCATCGAACATTTCTCAGTCACCTTTTCCGTTACATGCCTACTACCTTCTCAACACCTCTCGAGACTGTGATCCCACGAATCAAGACGCCTCCCTATCTCATAGTGAAGCCATCAGTTAAGTTTATCGACCTCCGACCTTACTCGGAAGCCAAGCCGACCATCATGCTATTCACCGACGGCGTTGACTGCCTGATCGATGGATATTTCAACTTCACCCTAGGAGAAAACAGTGGAGGCAACCCTAAATTGTTGTCGCTCTCCTGCAGGACGGGATCGACCCGTATGTGGAGGAGACCCTGGGCCATAAAGTGGATTTGAAGTGGACAGGTCCCGACGGAAATAAGGCTGTCGATGTGCTGGCGAACCTTGTAGGTGGTATGGACGTGTAAAAGCTGGAGATGGTCATGAACCAGGAGCTATTGGCTGATAATAGTGCATCGCCTGGATTTTACATCGACGACACGTCCATAGTCATTTTCGAAGTATTCAAAGTTACATCTCAATAAATTTAGTCAGAAATGATGACATTGCTGCACCACATAGCAGATCACCACACTATCACCACCTACCCTTTTGATGCCCAGACATAGAAGAGCAGTTTCCGAAACGGGATTCTGTAACAGCCGCTGCGTTTGGTGTCGGAATTTCCACAGACCATGCTAAACTTGGACGGCAACGAGCACGGCTAGCATTCACCCAATTTCTCTCCTAATCACAGGAAGCTGACTCCAACAAGATGATGAAAAGGAAGAGCATCTTCGAAATATACGATCGACCCACAAGCCTTCATGCTGCAAGCTTCAAGCTTCGACCAGGTGCTTCGAAGGCCGTTGTCTTCCACCGTCTAGCGTCAATCAATGATATTGCCATTGACCAATGAACTCCATCCTTCTCGCACAGGACATATGAGCCCTTTGCGCCGCATCAATTTGTTTCTTAGGATCTAGAAGGCTGAACAGCGGGTTCCTGAGAAGTACTATGAAGAGAGGAAGAGAGCACCTTCTAGCGCCATGCTCTCTGATCTCAATCTGACGATTGAAGGTAACTCAGCTCTGGGCCCTCACCCCATTCCAATTACCTTCCCTGAGCGTGCGCTATCATGACAGTTGATACCTGGGATTGACAAGAACAAGCATACATCGATCGTGACGTATTCTTTACCATGATTCGCAGCGCCCACCGTCTTCGATCGGTATGATGATAATCAAAATCTTCAGAAGATACCAGGCGTCTGCGCTGTAAAGAGTCGATCAGCTTAGGCTTCAGATGTCAGGACATCTCCATGTTTGGGAAGCTACGTGATTCAGAAAGGCCGGACGCTTGAATTTGTTTCAGGATGTAGTCGGAAAGGCCATCCTCCGAGCCACTGGCGCACAAAGCGTCGTCTGACCAGGTTCTGCGAGGCTTTGCGTACGATACCTGTCTAGTATCAAATGATTCCGTTAACGGCGACGTGTTGGTGCTTCGAAAGGTCCGTTTGCACCATCTCACCCAGTGTTGATGTCTCAACGTTCTGTGTAGCGCCGGGGCCGCCACAGAAGGGGCACATTGACGCGGGCATCGACATCAGTGTCGGACTTCGTGAAGACCGCGGCGTCGTCATTTACCGGGGAGACATGTCGCGCGCAAGAGGAAGGGTGGGTGGAGAGCCAGGCGACAGAATGGAATGCTTGACCATGACGTGAGCTCATAATGGAGGCACCGTTCGAAGGCGCGTGGATTGTAGCACCAGCTTTATCCTTGTGCTCCGCAATCAGCCGCAGAAGTTCCAGGGATGCGCAGCACTTCAGTGGCGAAACCAGCCTTATGAGGTGTAAGACTTCACGCGGGCGAGCTATCGCAAACAAGCCCGAGTGCATGCTTGACTACATGGTGATTATGACGCACTTGAACGTCGCCAGGAGTACGATTGTGCTGATCGGGAACACAGACACGGTGTGATCGCGACAGACGGAGATGAGGGGATGATGACAGCCAGGAGCGAATGAGATAGGATAGGTCAAGGGGTTTACTCAGGAGACGTTGTTGCTGGTAATACATCGTTGTCGTTCTGGGGGCTGGCTGCTTCAAGGTTAGGGGTCCCCACTGTCACCAGACTCCATTCTGCGGCGAATAGAGCACGGAGGTTACCTATTGACCCTGTCCGCGCCGTGACAGGCGCTCATCGACGGCTCTGCATAATGACATAGTCGGTGAGGCAGTCAGTGTGTTAAGAGTCCGATCGGAACATGTTCGCAACGTGGTGGGTACGCGTGCATATATTGGCTTATGAGGTCACCAATCGACGGTCAGGCCCAGTGAGAATCCCCCCACGGCTGAGAGGACGAGGTAGGAAGCTTTACACGGAAATGTGACCAGGTGGGAGCTGGTAGGAAAAAAGAGATTTTGCTGCCAAAACTTCTGAAAGAACTGAGAAACTATACAGAATCTTCTGATTTCTTCAACCTTCTGTATTTCTGAATCGTTTTCTCCGTCGCAGACTTTTTTATTTCTTATCATGTGACCCGTGCGACTGGGCGCGACTCGCGTCTGTGTTGTCCTCGCGCGCTCGCTGGCGCTCTAAGTACGAGTGCCCGCAACTATTATATTTACATTACATACACAATCATTAGTGGGTAGCAGAGGGACTATTCAATAGATGTGCAAGTAAAGAAATGAAAAGTCAAAAAACATGTGGAACTTACATATGTGCACGGCAGGCACACGTCAGCAGCTCCTGCGAATGAGATGTGTTGCAGGCTAGCTTCACACTGGTTGGGCACTGAAGATGAGTTATGGCCAGCATCTACACGTCGAGGCTGAGCAGCCAACAAACAACGTCTGCAGCCTGAAGGTCGAGGCCAAGGTAAAGGGTGCATGCGAGGAGGGGTGGGACATCGAGGTTGAGTGCGATGGGGTGGGTGTCTCGGAATTAGGTGTGTATAAGGTGGATTAGTGCATGAACCTGGGCTGCATACATCTGGAAAACCACCCCCTTGTATTAAGCTCTAATTAGCTATAATTAACACTCTACTATACTGAATTATCAAAGATTAGGATTAGACATTTTTAGCTTACCCCCCCTCTAAACCTGTTCTAATTAGACATAATTTTCCTAGAATAGGAATTATTAGGATTGATTATAACTTGAAATTTCGGAAAAATCATAATAAATCAAGCATCACAATTCTCATAGCCTTCTTATAGAGTCATGTCTATTAGAGCACTCATTAAATACCTAAACACAGAATATACCTTATAACAAACTTGCCTTTTGCCAGAGTTGAACCAACAACCTCATGTATGCAAGCACCCGGGACAGATACTCTAAGCCACTAAGCCACAAGGTCTAATATATAAACTTGGTAATCTAAATAAGTAGACATGATATAGGCAACCTCAATATCTCTGATTTTATTTAACATTTATCTTTCCTCTATCTTATAAATAAATAGGTCAATAAATACCTAAAAAGTCAGGTCTTTCAGGATTTAGTTTAAACACCCAGCTAAGAAGATAATAAACCAATGGAAAATTGATAATACACTTTATATAGGATAAAAACAAATTATGGCACTTATACAATTTGGACTGAGAATGTGTAAAACTATGATTGAGTCTAATATTCAATGGGACTTTACTAGTATAGACAATGCTACCTGAATTTGCAAATTTGATTAAAAACATGATTATAAATAATTAAGATCCAATAAGAGAGAGGGGTCTCCCAAACAGCCACTAGTGAGGTAGAGGGTGGGGACAAGAGTATATGTATGGCATGCCTATATATAAATAAGCACAAGATTGTTGAAGGTGATCTTAATATGCTTAATACATATATTTCCTATATGGCAGGCAAATATATCATTCTGGAACCACATACCAATATGACTGTCTTTTCCACAGCCTAATAACTAGAGGAAAACACCAAGTTTGAGCATCTTCTGTATAACAAGGCAATGAACAATATAAATAGTGCTCAAAATTGTAATATCAATAGTGATGATGATTGTGTGCTGCACAAGACAGTATTAATCACTGTACTAATAGACAAGGTCTACAAGGCTGCATATAGCATATCCTTAAGCCCAACTTGCATGTTGTGTCCTGTAATGACCAGTAGCGGGCATTGGCTAACAATGACCACTTTAATGATCTTGTATGCAAGGCCAAGGTCTTCATAGCCTCTTGTGGCAGCTGCCAAGCTGCCAATAAAGTGGCTAGGGGCATCAATGCACATTTCTCTCTTTCTATGTCCCTTTTAAAGGCAGCTAGAAAGTCAGCAAAAGAGCTACAGAATCATGGTGCTGGCATATATGAAGGAGAGTAATGTGCTAAAATAGTATAGAATGTGCCACATTTTTATTTTCTCACTAATAGAGCAGTAGTACTTACTATTTCCTACTGCTAATTAAAGACTTCTTAGTATAGAATTAGTGCTAATATCATGAAATTAGAAACCAATCCAATGCTCACAATGTGTTGCTCCCAATTAGGAAATTAGACACTTTTGGATGCTATTAACACTTTTAGATACTTTTAGACACTATTAGATATAATCTGGAGCTAATACAAGGGGGTGGTTTTCCAGATGTAGACTTGAAGGAGAATGTACACAGCTCAAAGGAATGTGTGGAGGTGTAGAGGATAGAGGAAGTGGCAGTGGGCGATGTGGGTAACTGGGAGGTTGACCCAGACTTGCACACAGAAGAGAGTGTATGAAATAACAGTAAAACAGTGTCGCCCTGCACCTTGCTAGTGCTGAAGGGTATCTGTGGGCCAAACATAGGGAAGGAGGTAGAGATGGGGTGGGGATAGAGTGCATGAAGGAGGGCAATAACAGTGGCAAGATAATCTGAAGAAAATGTTAAGTTCTATGGCTAGCAAAGTAATAATGTACCTATGGCTAAAAATTTCACAAGACCAAGGGCTTGATATTGGTCTGACACTTGAGATAACTAGACATCTCATGCACCATCTGATTGATCTTGCAAAGGGTGAGCATCCTGGCTCATAGTGCACCAGGCATTGTAGGAATAGGTGTTATCATAGATAATATTGGAGGCAATCATGAATGCTGAAATAAATAAATGGTGGCCTTAGGAGCCTTTGGTGGTGGGGAAGTGGGCCTTGAGTTACTGGAGGAGGTAGAGGGAGGTGATGGTGATGGCAATTTGGAGTCATTTCTAATGGAGGGCATATGCAAAGAAGTGGTTCAGTGGCAAGGGGGGGTGGAGGTGGCAGAGAGGGACAAGAGTGTATTGGGGCACACAAAGAGATGTGAGATAAACCAAGCACTTACCTTTGCTATGTGCTCAGTTGGTTGGCACATATGGAGGCAGGCATTTGATTAATGGGTGGCATGAGATGAATACAGGGAAAAGCCTGGCTAACAAGCAACATGGCTGTGGCTTGTGAAGGGGAGTGGTATGGCAGAGACAACTTAGGAGCTTGTAGGTTATCATGGCTATGTGACACATGCGTAGCATTTGTGATGCCTTACAACTTCTGCTAGTACACCCTTTGCATGGTTGTGCACTCTCAATATATGCACTAGCAAGCATTTTTTATTACCTCACACATAGAGCCAGACTCTTGCATCATATACAAGTGTCCTGCTTGTTTGCTGCGAGGCCCTGGTGGCAAGCATGTTACCAGATTGACCTGGTACTCATACCTCCAGCAGCAACTGATTCACAATGCAAGACCCTCTGTTGGACCCTCCACATCAAACGGGACATCAAATGATGACAGCTTAGAGCATTGAGACAAGAGAAGGAAGACTGCTGGTGCCTTCAATATGTGTGCAGAGTCTCCAAGAGAACAAGGGAATTTGGTGTGTCTTTCTTTTCCCCTAATTGTTCCCTTTGTTTTTTTGACCAAAAAAACAATACATTCTCTTTTTATCTATATGGGCTATTGAGGATCTACTTTTACAGGAAGATTCAGACCCGCATGACCTATCCATTGAGCCATAGCCTCCCGCTCACAGCCCATCTCCACCAGGGCCACACCTGCACTATTCACAGACCCCAGGTCCATTTTTTCTACTTGGACTGATCAATATATTAACCTCCATTGATATTCAGAAATTAAATTACCTAATTTTCAGCTTGAAACAATCCTTGCTGCTGCTTCTGCTGACCATCCATTCCTATTGCTCAGGAACTTGCTCACTTTCATTCAATCTCTCCAGAATGCCACCCTAAACAACAGCAGCCTCCTGTAATTGGTTCTTTAGTGTTTTTGTACCCTTTTGCAATATCACACTGACATGACAGACCCCAATCTATGGTGCTTGATCAAAATGTTCCTTTGCTCATCAACTACTTTTGAGGAGGTTTACACCACCATGCAAGATGCTTGTATGGAACAAAATTTGGACAACTAGATTCTCTTACTAGATCAGGTCAAACAGAAGGTGGCAGAACTTAGTGGAGTCTTGTCTGTGGTGCATGATATGTGCCAAAACTCATGTCTTGCTTATACTGGCCCCTTTACAGACTTTGAATCTTATCTGGAATGTTCATTGTCTTGATACAATCCTCTTAAAGCTGGACAGACTAACAAGAAGATACCTAGGCAACAGTTTCATACCATTTTTCTAGGTCTGCAGCTTCAGGTGCTCAAGCAGTCTGATGACAGCTCTTGTAATGTTGGGCATTGGCATTGCACAACACAGCACATTCTCAACAACTTCATGCTTGATGAGCATGGTAAAAAGGTTATCAACCTTGATTGCTTCAACAACTTCTACTTGGGCTCTGATTATCTTGGCCGGGTTACTAATAGCAATATCACTAAGAATTATTTTGTGGTCATGCTATTGCTTAATGGGTACCAATTATATGAGCACAAGGCTTCTGACTGCTAGATTTATATCTAGATGATCCTAGACCTTTCTCCTGACCTTTGCTACAAGAAAAAGCATATTCTCATCAGTGAGTTTATTCCTAGGCCTAATAATCTGAGAAATCTAGATTCTTTCCTCCATCTTGGTCTCCATTATATCTCAGCACTGTAGAAGAAAGGTCTCCCAGTCTAGGACTTGCTGACTACAACTATTATTATGTTTCTAATTTTTGTTGCTCTTGTGCTTGTGGATGGACCAGGGATTGCTACAGTCAATGGCTTTGTAGGACACCAAGGGATGTATTGCTGTCGACTCTACTATCCAATACAAGGGCAGCATAAACCTGGGGCAACAAAGTATTATCCTGCTCTCCTGAAACCTGATGGTTTCACTATTGCTGGTTGCAATCATAATGATATTAATGTCACCAATCTTTCTGCTATTTCTCAAAAGGAATACTGCATTAATCTGGCCTGGCTTCTGCAATCAAGGATGAATGTGGAGTATGAGTTGTAGCAAAAATTAACTGGGATTGCAAAGCCAAGTATTTTATCTGGACTGTCTTCTAAATTTATTCTAGGCATTCCTTCCATGTTTCCTGCTGACCTCATGCACCTTGTATGCCTCAATCTCACTAAACTCCTTCTCATGCTCTGGACAGGTACTATACATTGCAATCCACTTGACAACCTGCACTCTTGGGATTAAGCTGTCTTGCAGGGTCCTATATAGATGGCCCATAGTCTTGATATTGCTTGCTGCCACTTATTTATTCCTGATCTCTTTGACTGTCCACTGCAAAATCCTGCTAAGAAGATGAACAGTGGGTATAAAGCTTGGGAGAGGATGCTTTATGTTTTTGGTATAGGTCCTGCACTTTTGTGAGGTATTCTACCCAACATCTACTAGCATAACTATTGTCATCTTGTCTATGGCATTTGACTCATTCATCAGTACTCTATCACCTATACCTAGCTTCTTAAAGCTCACCAGCATCTCATGGATTTTTACAAGGGCTTTAAGGAGCTCTATATTTAGCACAAGACCTCACATCTCCATTTTATGTGCCCTTGTATCCATGCTGTCCTTCATATTGCTCCTGAGATACCTCATATTGGACCACCTATCTATCACACTCAGTGGATGATGGAGCAGACTATTGAGAATTTTGGTGAGGAGGTCAAACAACCATCAAATCCATATGAAAATCTTTCTTTGTGTGGTGTTTGGTGCTCTCAGGCTAATGCACTCAAGGCTTTGGTACCTGATTTGGAGCCTGTCAAGCCATCTCTGCCATGTAGATTATAGGTATATGCTGATGGATATATCTTATTGCATGCATGTGATTGTACTGCTTATCTCTTCCCTGCAATTGAACACTGGCACTTTGGAATTATATTGAAGAGTGTGGTACAGAGCTACTAGCAAATTGGGTGATAGAAAGGACATACAAGTGGGCACATCTTCTCCTTTCCAATGGTTATATTGCATGCTCTGCATGGAAAGAGCAAACAAAGGCTTTGCTTGAGACAAGGATTGCACATTATGTCAAGGTATATTACTCGTTACAGTCTCTGGTTCATATTTATTGCCTTATGCACATTCTAACTCCAAACACAAGATATTGTTGAATTTGCAGAGGTAGACTTCTATTTTCAGTACAAGATTCTGGACCAGATCTATGCCCTTGCACTTGTACACCTTTTTTCTCCTCTAGATTAGGATAATCTTAAGTCCTCATATGGGATAGTTTAGACATGTTGTCATTTAGGCAATGAAGGCATCCAAGTTGTCAAGGTGACTGACATTGAGGCTGTGGTATTAATCATTTCTTTTGCAAGGGAGGCCAAGAATGTATACCATGAAAATATGGTATACTTTGTGGTGGAAAGGGTCTGGATGGCCATGGGTGTCCTTGGGTAACCAGATGAGACAGAGAGAGATGATGATGATGAAAAGGAGGAGGATACATTGTAATTAGTTGAAGTGCAAGTGCACACGCAAATATACATGCTTGCACATTCAAAATTCACCTTCTTTGCTCCCTTGAATTGACTGTCCATCATAACTGACAGATCACATATTACAACAGATGGGTAATTATCTCATCATTCAACTGAGATTACTTAAATACAAGGCAGACTGCTATAAGTGAGATATGAAAGAAAATGCAATAACTCTATGTATGCATGGACAATATCCCTGTAGTCCCCCACCAGCCACAAGCATACACCCTAGTGGCTCTTGCATACTACAACAACCTCTATTGTAAGTGTGGCCACCTCACATGGCATTGTACATATGCCAATGTTGAGTACCATGGCTTGGGTGGGGTTCTACTAGTTAGCATGTATTGTGTGTTTGCAGCTGTCAGGTGGGGGCTGAGGGAGGCTTTCATGGATGGATGGTGCCATGCAATGAGACAGTTTGAAGTTGGAGGGTGGGAAATAGTCTCATTGACATGCCAACCAATTCTAAAGAATTGTCGCCTAGACTAACTTAGGTTTTCCTTCTTTCCCAGAGCAGCCTAGTTGTTCATTGTTGAGGGTAATTTCTCTTGTTTATATAGTGGTACCAGTTTATCTTAATATGCAAAGCTGTGTGCCTATGTCAGGAGGTGTATGGATCTTAAAAGGGTGGTTACTAGCATGCTGTGAAGTGTGTTATTCCTATCAAGGTGCTGTGCATTAGGATTAGTAGAGCAGCATGAGAAATACTTTCCTAAATTCAGACTCTTTCCATTTGAAAGAATCCAGAGCATGAGTATGATGGAGAGAAAAGACCAGGATATCAGACTAATAGGTATTGAACTTGGTGTTTTCAGAGCTTTTTTACTGATGCAAGTTCAGACATTTTCTAACTGGATCAGACTTAGAACTAACTCAGTGTCCCGTTTGGACTAACACAGCTTTAGACTTATCAGAAGATACTTGGTGCTGACTTCAGAGACTTCAGTGATTAGTGAAGACTACCTTACAAAGTAAAGATCACTTTATAGGGTAAGAGCAACTTTAACAACAGGGGCAACAAACTGCTTGTATTTCAGGGCACATGCACTCCTCTTTTATGTGTTTTTGGAGAGGCTGTGCATGAGACCTAGATTTGGGTATTTACAGATGTATCTAGGTGCTAAAGGTTCTAGAATGAAGTGTCTGGTTTAAACTAGAATAGAGTAGGCTTTTCTAGATTCTTCTAGAGCATGGCCTGGAATTATCTCAGATTCTCTATTAGTCACCTGAGCAGCTCTAGGTTCTCTAGCCTCTTGATTCCTCATCCACTCACTAAGCCATTACAAAGCCTCTCAGTGCATTAGAAAGCACACAAGGTCCATGCAATTCTATGAGAGTCTGGATCAGTTTGGCTCTACTCTGGTCCTTTCTAGGCTTTATTTAGTCTGTTAAAATAGCACTAATGTAGCTTTGTTAATAAATATAGATACTTTAAGTCCCTGATAAGTCAAGGTTTAAGGAAAGACAGCTGCATATATTCACAAATATAGATCAAAATGTCCATCAATATCCTAAGCATGAAACTGGAGCCAAGTAAGAGTGTGATGCTTGAAATATAAAGACTATATGGATTTTAGGGAAAGAAATAAACAAGAAACACTGGACTAAAGAAATAAGAACTTAATGAATCATAAATGGGTAAAGTGTTCATGGCCTAGCAAATCGACAAAAAATCATGCCTCCTACTCCTACTAACGCTTGCCTCACAATTTCCAAAACATTGCCATCAGATGCAGGAACACATTCATAGTTAGAGCTGAAGAGATCTTGGATGTACTGACTGAATGTGTAATACATCACATAGCCAAGTGAGGGAGGGGGGTTGACATAGAAATTAGATGTCACCACTATGAACTGCTGCTCGTTGCCTGCTCCACCAAAGATGGCAATATGATCATCTCATTAGACTATTTTGGAAAGAACAATAGTCATAAACTCATAGTCACCATCTGGCTTTCTTTCAATCACATCCACTGAAACCCCATCTTCTAACTAAATCCCCTCTTTTCTAGGAAGGACACAGACTTCCATTGATACTCCTCCAGCCGAGACTGGTGGCAGTTGAATTTCAACTTCAGTGGAAGGGATTGACATCATTGGTGGCTCATTCAAAGGTGATGGAGCTAGAAGAGTATTGGAGGCAACATTAATGCAGTATGTGGGTTTGTAGGGAATGGTTATAAAAGAGTGAGATAGTGGAAAGACAGAGGATACATTAAGCAAGTCAGGTTGCAGACCTGATGGGACTATTAGTGGATGGAAGTCCAGTGGTGGCTGTTGAAGCTTTGTGTGGCAATGAAAATAGAACAATGGTCAAGAGAATGTGCCCCAGAGTGATAAGTGTGCAGAGGTGTCATTGGACATAATGTGAGGGAACAATGCTCAGATGTGATTACTTGCAGTTCTTGAATCATCTTGTTCCTCAATTTCCCATTCTTCTCTAATATTCCTTGCATCGGCCTAGACTTGCATAGTTATTTCTTTCTATAGAACACTCTTGGAAATTATCCTGCCAAGGCACAAACTTGTTTGTGTTGTGACAATGGTGATGAGCATGCACCCATGCTAGGGTCTAAAGGAGGTATTCAGGAAGCATTTGGGAGATACCAAACAGCGCTAGATGAGTATTAAGGATGCCAACTTGCACCAAACATGGTCAGTCCTCACCCGACTGACTGCAACCCACTGAATGGCATTTGGCAACACTTGTTTCAGTTTACCCACACTTTATGTACTTACCATAACCACACAGGAGTATTACAATAGGTTTTATGAGATCAGAGCCAGTATTTCATGTTGGCCAATATTCTCTATAAGTTGGTTGGTCCTTATTGCTTATCTTCCCAACTTCCACATGGTCAGTCAAATGCAATCTTAAACCATTACTTGGTGACCCTGGTCATATGTTACTTCTGCTTTATTTTCATTGGCTTGCCAACACCTGTCCCTGCTACCTACACTTGGGTGACAGATCTCAAATATTCAGGATTTTGCCATTGCTGATCAACTTTTACCTTATCACATTTGGAAACCATATGGACATCTCACCTACCTTCTGATCTTCTCTCATCACTAGGGCTTGGCACCCATTCGACATCTACTCTCATTTCATGTTTAATATTTTACTTAGAGGCTCTGTTTACTATAAAAACCTATATAGAACTCTGGAATAAACCAGCTTTCGCACCCCACAGTTCAGAGCTCATTCACACTTATCTCAACCATTGAAATCATCTTTGTTGACTCCCAAAATCTTGTCATCCTCACTGTTTGGCCTTGTTTGCATCCATACTCATCTCTTTGCTCATACCCCTCATCCTCCCTCATATATTGTCAGAGTCCTGTATGGCTCTTGAAGCACATAGTTGTCAGTTGCAACACTACCTTCTCATCACTGATCGACTCCCTGACCTGACCCAACCAACCAAATGTTTGGTTGGTGTTTGGTGCAGTCCCAAAACCGTTTGGGCACTTTAATCTCACCCTCCTCATTACTCTTTAGTATACTCTTGCTTTTTCAAGTCCTAACTCATGATTCCTTGTGTATCAGATACTAGCTCCAGCACCCCTTGCATTAGAGGTTGTTTTGGTGTTGTGCTCAGCACTTAGAGCCACCTCTAGCATATCAACAGCATGGCACAAGAGATGGCATAAGAGACAGAAGCACGGTGTGAGAGGGAGAGACAGCATAGAGGGCAGCACGGTGGTATGCTAGAGGTGGTTCCAAGTGCTGAGCACAATACCAAAACAACCTCTAATGCAGGGGTGCTGGAGCTAGTATCTAATACACAAGGAATTGTTAGTAATGACTTTAGAAATCAATGGTGCACTGAGAAGCAGTGAAGAGTGTGAGATTATAGCACCCAAACGGTTTTGGGACTGTACCAAACACCAACCAAACGTTCAGTCAGTTGTGTCAGCAATTTGGTCAGTAACGAGAAGATAGTGTCATGGCTGACAACTACGTGCTTCAAGAGCCACACAGGACTCTGACAATATATGAGGGAGGATGAGGGGTATGAGCAAAGAGATGAGTATGGATGCAAACAAGGCCGGACAACGAGGATAACAAGTTTTTGTGAGTTAATGAAAACGATTTCAATGGTTGAGATGAGTGCAAATGAGCTCTGAATTGTGGGGTGCAAAAGCTAAATTATTCCAGAGTTGTCTGTAGGCTTTTATAGTAAACAGAGCCCCTAAGTAAAATATCCAACACGAAATGAGAGTGGATGTCAAATGGGTGCCAAGCCTTAGCAATCAGAGAAGATAAGAAGGTAGGTGAGATGTCCATATGGGTTCCGAAGATAATAAGGTAAAAGGTAATTAGTGATGGCAAAACCCCAGACATTCGGGATCCATCACCCAAGTGTAGGTAGTCAGAACAGGCGTTGGTGAGCCAATGAAAATAAAGAAGATGTAATGTATAACCAAGGTGGCCAAGTAAAATGGTGCAAGGTCATGTTTGACCAACCATGTGGAAGTCAGGAAGATAAGTGATAAGGACCGACCAACTCATGAAGGACATCGGGCGACATGGAATACTGGCCCCGATGATGAGCATGCACCCGCGCTAGGGTCCGAGGGAGGTATTCAAGAAGCTTTGGGGAGATACTGAACAGCGCTCGACAAGTACTGAAGACGCCAACTTTTACTGAACACGGTCGGTCCCTGCCCGACCAACGACAAGCCACCAAAGGACATTTGGCAGCACTTGGGTCAGTTTGCCCATATGTCACGTACTTACCATGACCATACAGGAGGGTTAAAATAGGTGTTTACGAGATCAGAGCCAGTATTCAGTATCAGCCGATGTCCTCCATGAGTCGGTCGGTCCTTATCACTTATCTTCCTGACTTCCACATGGTTGGTCAAAACGCAATCTTGCACCATTACTTGGCCACCCTAGTTATACGATACCTCTTCTCTATTTTCATTGGTTCTCCAATGCCTGTTCCTGCTACCTACGCTTGGGCGACAGATCCCAAACGTTTGGGATTTTGCCATCGCTGATTAACTTTTACCTTGTCACCTTTGGAACCCATATGGACATCTCACCTACCTTCTTATCTTCCCTGATCGCTAAGGCTTGGCGCCCATTCGACATCTACTTTCATTTCTTGTTTAATATTTTACTTAGGGGCTCTGTTTACTATAAAAACCTACATACAACTTTGGAATAAACTGGCTTTTGCACCCCACCATTCAGAGCTCATTTGCACTCGTCTCAACCATTGAAATTGTCTTCGTCAACTTCCAAAAACTTGTCATCCTCATCATTCGGCCTCGTTCGCGTTTGTACTTGTCTCTTCACTTGTACCCTTCGTCCTCCCTCATATATTGTTAGAGTCCCGTGTGGCTCTTGAAGCACGTAGTTGTTGGTCGCGACACTACTTTCTCGTTACCGACCGCATTGCCGACACAACCGACCGAACATTCGGTCGGTGTTTGGCGCAGTCCCGAAACCGTTCAGGCGCTATAATCTCACACTCCCCGTTGCTTCTTAGTACGCCTTCCCTTTCTAAAGTCATCACTAACAATTCCTTGTGTATTAGATACTAGCTCTAGCACCCCTGCATTAGAGGTTGTTTTGGTGTTGTGCTCGGCACTTAGAGCCACCTTTAGCGTATCACCGATCTCTAAACACCTATTGTAATACTCCTATGCAGTCATGGTAAGTATGTGAAGTGTGGGCAAACTGACCCAAGTGCTGCCAAACATCATTCGGAGGGTTGTGGTCAGTCGGGTGGGGACCAACTGTGTTTGGTGCAAGTCGGCATCTTCAGTACTCATCTAGTGCTATTTAGTATTTCCCCAAAGCTTCCTGACTACCTCTCTCGGACCCTAGCATGGGTGCATGCTCATCAGCACGAGAGAGACTGCATGGCATGAAAGGATGGTGTAGTGCAAGAGTGATAGCATGGCATAGGAGGACAGTGCGAGAAAGAGCTCAAAGGGCTGCGTCACATGACAGACCACTCACAGGGCAACACAGAGGGCCAGCAGAATAGGCCCCTGCAATCGGATTGGAGGATGGTGGCACTCATATGGGTCTTGATGGAACCTGTGAAAGATAGCAGATGCAGATGGCAGAGTGGTGGCAGAGGATGTATGGGCTAGCTGGTGAGGGCAGAGTCAGCTCTGTTATCTTGGATCTCAACAGAGACATAGCTATGGCAAACACATTGAGGGTGGGTGAGCAAGCAAGTGAGGGCAGGAGGAGCAAAGCAGATTAGGTGATTGTTTGGTGTTGATTTCTGGATAATGAGTTAACAGTGTTTGCAAATTAAGGTAGCATTGTCTGTACTCATAGAGTCCCATTGAATATTATACTCAATCATAGTTTTACAAATTCTAAATCCAAATTGTGTCAGTGCCATAATTTGTTTTTACCCTATATAAAGTGTATTATTTATTTTCCATTGGTTTATTATCTATCTTCTTAGCTGGTATTTAAACTAAATCCTAAAAGACCTGACTTTTTGGGTATTTATTGACCTATTGATTTATAAGAGAGAGGAAAGATAAATGTTGAATAAAATTTGAGATGTTGAGGTTGCCTATATTATGTCTACTTATTTAGATTACCAAGTTTATATATTAGATCTTGTGGCTTAATGGCTTAGAGTATTTATCCCAGGTGCTTGTATATATGAGGTTGTTGGTTCAACTCTGGCAAAAGGCAGATTGGTTATAAGGTATATTCCATGTTTAGGTATTTAACTAGTGTTCTAATAAATATGACTCTATAAGAAGGCTATGAGAACTATAATGCTTGATTTATTATTATTATTCCGAAATTTCAAGCTATAATCAATCCTAATAATTCCTAATTTAGGAAGATTATGTCTAATTAAAATGGGTTTAGGGGGGGTAAGCAAATAATCTCTAATCCTAATCATTCTTAATTATGCATAAAGAGAACTAATTAGAGCATAATACAAAAGAGTGATTTCCCAGGCCTTTGCCTCCTGTATGGAGCAGAGTGGAAACTAATATAGGCAGATTATAATATCTATTATTGGACCCTCAGATAATTACTCACCCATTGGTCCTGTTTTCTAGTTATAGCCTAGTTTTCTCCAAAGCTGATATCTCCTTTTATCAAAGGGATTTGGGCCAGGTCTTCAGTAATGGCAATCTCAAAATACCTACACCAATTTCGAGAGGGACCACACATGCAATGCCTTCTGTGTGTTTTTTGGAGTGCTGTCAACTTACGATGATGATATGGAGAGGCAGTCAAATTTGGTGAGTAATTAACTATTTTCTATCACATATCATGCATTATTAACAATGTAACTCAGTGTCAAAGTATTGAAGAGTCCGGATCTCAGCCTATAGCCCCTGCCTCTATTGTGGGTCTCACATGGTCATGACAACTGCACCTTAATGTCTCATATACAATACCCTGTATATGCTGTGCCCTTTACTGATTTGTTTAGCTACCATAAATGTTTATTTTTTCATGTAAACATAAGTGATCATATAAGATGGTTCAATATTACTTGGATGAATTGCTCACCCTGATGTCCGTATTTCATATCTCGCCAGTATAATTCCATATCTCGCTAGCATACTTTCAGACATAGCCGGTACAATTACTAATACTAAAGCTGATATTTTAATCACAGATACTCAGACGACGGCTTTCTGGCGTCAAAGACCATGCCGCTTAGTCAAAGCACGGCATTGGATTGCAAAATGAGCAGTCCAGTCCCTGTTGCCATACCTTCCGACTCGTTTGAAGCTCAAGCGGGCCACTCTGGGTATCATGTCGACTCTTGATGACCTTCGTGGAGAACTTGCCGCAATCTATGCAGATAGCAAGATAGACACTTTGGGAATCCACACCGTCACATTCCAACCACTTCGATCCCGCATCAGCGAAGATCGTTTGGTGACGGAAGAATGGAACATACTGGGACAGCAGTGGCTCTTTCTGGCAGTCCTAGATGGTATGCTGATTACTTTGTGTCTCGAGATGCAATTAATACTCATGGCTTTCTCTCTAGGTCACGGAGGAACTGCCGCAGTCCAGCATGCAGCAAACATATTGCCAGCACGTATCCGCACAGCGCTGCATCTCCTCATTCAGCACCATTTACGAGGACGACTAGACCGCAATAATTCTGGGAATGGTACACTTGTTTCTATGATGCTACGAGAAGAAATAGAGAAATTCGACAGAAGTATAGGCGAAGCTGTGAAGAGCATATGTCCCAAGCCGTATCGTCTTACGGAGGATGCTGCTCGGGCATTGATCCAAGAACACATGGAAGTCTTGCAACGTGCTCACAGTGGTACGACCCTTGCCGCTGTCCTGGTGAACGTCAGTGAACAGCTTATGTGGGCTGTGGGTGTTGGCGACTCCACCGTTGGTGCGTATTGAGTGTCTGTGTGAAAGCTATACTCACACATGAGAGTGTTTGCAGCACTTAGTACACTAGGCACTAACGGAAAGCGCAGTTTTGAGCGACTGGTTGACCTGCATTCTCCGAAGAATCCTTTGGAGTACTTTCGGGTGGCCATGGCACATCCGGCGACTGAAAAAGAGGTATTGATCGAGGACCGGCTACTAGGTTCCCTTGCCATGACAAGAGGTTAGTTGGTCCTCTCGTAACATTATCCAGTGAACATACTTGACCCACCCCAAATCTGAGCAGCCATCGGGAATTTCAAGCTCAAGTTCCATCACACATATTTGAGCCACCTTCTCCGTTTTGTTCCCACTACTTCAAAGAAACCTCCCGAAAAAGTGATCCCGCGGATCATAACACCGCCTTACCTGATCGTGGAACCATCAGTGCGCTTTATTGACCTGCAGCTTTACAGGACAGCCGAGCCTATCGTCATGCTATACTCTGACGGTGTCGACTGTCTCGTTGATGGATATTCCAACTTCAGCCCAGATATGTGCAGAAAATCAAATCCTTGTCAGGTCGTTACCGCTCTTCTCCAAGACAGTGTCGATCCATTTGTCGAGGAGGCGCTTGAACACAAGGTGGAATTGCGATGGACTGGTCCAAATGGAAATAAGGCTGTTGATGTTCTCGGCAACCTCGTGGGAGGTACGAATGTGGATAAATTGAAGATGGTAATGGATCAGGAGATCTTGGCTGATAGAACTGAACAGTCCGGTTTCTATATTGACGACGTTTCCATCATTATTTTCGAAGTGTCCAAAACATCCTGACGTAGCCGTTCCAATTAGTACTGATGTACTTACTACAGGTTTTTTTACAGTGTTCTCAACTCCCAAACTTGCTTCTATCTATTTTTTTTGTGCGGGAACCTAGTTTCGGCTGCACTCAGCTGTTGTGAGGATGCACTTGCTTCCTATGTCATCTTTGATGATCACTGGGGAAGCCAAACTTCGCACTCGGTAGGACATTTTCATTCAACACAACTGGTCAGTTTCGAAAGTTGGATCTGCTGACAGAATGTATCAGCTTCAGCAATGTTCCGCCTATAAGAAAGGGTGACGTTTACTTAGACTTTTTACAGGACGCGAAGGCCGAGCTTTACATGAGGAAAACAGCTTTTCACAATAGTTCACGGAGACCAGTAAGTATAGCGACCACGTTTGCCTTTAGTTGCCCCTTTTCCACGTTCGCAAAACCTCGATTTACAACAGGCTAACTTATTTTCAAAATACAGAATGACTCTCACAAGATTTATTTGGGCATGACTGATACTTACACTGTGAGGAATCATCGTATGCTCGAGACGGAATTCCCTGAAATCATGGGACTGATGCTACTTCGCCTCGGGTACAGCCCAGTCGAGCACAGTTGGACATCATCTGCGTTCTGAAGATCCGTGCCTTGTGTCTTCTCTGAATCTTGTTCACTCCTATCCAGCTCTCAAGGACTCGATCCTGCAGCATCTGGTTCTCACTTACGCCATTTACTATCTCTGATCTCGGGTGATTTCCACAGTGGCCCTTCTAGAGCCTGATAGTTCTTGTTACGCCGTGAAAGTCATCCACCGCATGGAACTACGCCTGGTCACGGCCGTCAGGACTCAGGCGCAGAAGATCCTAGCGCGATGGGGCTACATCTCTCTGACTAACGTATCCAAGGCTGGAACAGATCACTTTAATCAAGGTCCCACGGTTCTGAATGTCGGTCTTCTTTCTTGCGACTCTAAACGCCCCCTATCAGCCCTTTTGATCGCATGCTTCCTGGCGCTCACCACGATGCAGCTGATCGAGACGCAGCGGCGGGCGTTGTGGGAGAATGTAGTGAGTTCATGACTCGCAGGTATTATTTCCACTGTTGATCAAACTCATCAGAGCTATCAGGGGCTTTCGAGTTCTGGAAGCCAGATGTCGTTTCCCAGCATTTGCGTATGAACGCCTATGAAGGACCCTAGAGAACCAAAGAAGCCCATCAAGATTAGGTTGAACATCGGACTCATTGAGTAACCCATGATGCTCAGTCTCACACCATTGTCTCTCTGCGCTCGAGGGCCTCACTCGCGGCAGCCTATCTCATCAAGTGAAACCTCGAGGCATGTCGCTACTGGATGACGCTCGCAAGAGGCTCACAAACTTCTACACGAGCACAAAGTTGGTAGCCTTGGGCATCCACACTGTCATGTTCCAGCCGCTTCAGTCACACATCAGCGAGGATCGCATAGTGACAGAAGAGTGGTCCATACAAGGACAGCATTGGGCATTCTTGGCAGTTCTCGGTGGTAAGAGATCAACATGCTCGCGCATATCATCCGCGTGAACCTTGTTCGCTCTCTAGGTCACGGCGGTACTGCCACTGTCGAGTATGCGATGAACGAACTGCCGCTGCAAATCCGCACCGCGTTGCACCTACTCATTCAGAATCATTCACATGGTCGACTGGACCGCAGCAACGTAGGACATGGAGAACAGGTGTCTCTCACACTCCGATAGGAGATACAGCGATTCGATACGAATATTGGCAAAGCCGTGAAGAACCTTTGTCGCAAGTCCTATAAGCTTACGGAGGAAGGTGCTCGAACGTTGATCTAAGAACACTTAGATACGCTTCAACGTGCTTTTTGCGGTACAACTCTCGCAGCCGCCTTGGTGAATGTCGAGGAAAAGCTCACGTGGGCCGTAGGCGTGGGCGACTCGACCGTAGGTGAGTGTCCGCGTTTGCACGCGAATGATACTTGCCCATCCTTTATTTCGCAGCATTGACTACTGTCGGTGAGGATAGCAAGCCAAGCTGCTAGCAACTGACTGATGTACACTCCCCAAAGACTCCCTTGGAATACTTTCGTGTCACCATGGCACATCCAGCCAAGAGGAAGTCTTAGCTGAAGATCGTGCACTCGGGTTCCTTGCAATGACAAGAGGTCACTGTCATCTTTCGAAAATTCGCCGGGCAACAGTCACCCTCACTCATTTCGAGATATGACTTCTATATCTGATCGGCCATTGGCGATTTCTCGCTGAAGTATCACCGAGCATTTCTCAGCCACCTTTTACGTTACATGCCTACTACCTTGTCAGCACCTCTCGAGACCGTGATCCCACGGATCAAGACACCTCCCTATCTCATAGTTGAGCCATCAGTACAGTTTATCGACCTCCGACCTTACTGGGAAGCCAAGCCAACTATCATGCTGTTCACTGACGGCATTGACTGCCTCATCGATGGATACTTCAACTTGACTCCGCGGAGAAATAGTGGAGGCAACCCTTACCAAATTGTTGCCGCTCTCCTGCAGGATGGCGTTGATTTGTATGCGGAGGAGACCCTGGGCCACAAATTGGAACTAAGCGAACAGGGCCCGACGGAAATAAGACTGTCGATGTGCTGGGGGATCTTGTGGGCGGTATGGACGTGTAAAAGCTGGAGATGGTCATGAACCAGGAGCTATTGGCTGATAAGAGCGCATCGCCTGGATTTTACATCGACGACACGTCTAGTCATCTTCGAAGTATTCAAAATCGCACTCAAGTGAATTCAGTTAGAACTAATGATATTTCTCCACTACATCCATGGCAGATCGCCACCCGCCCGTTCGATGCATGCGCATTGACTTGACCAGCTCTCTTTTCAGACATAGAGAAGGTTAGGACGCTCTTCAGACTCATCCGCTGAGTACATATGGATTCGGTACTCGAAATCCCAGGTTCCAGGCCATGAACCATATCATCGTCGGGCGTTATGCACTTGCAATATATCACACAGAATTATAGATGTGTCGTCAATATGAAAAAAGATCCAGTCATCCTCGTCGTCAGCCAACCTCTCTTGGTCCATTGTCATCTCCAGCCTACGCACATCAGTGCCGCCGAGCAGGTTCCCCAGCACAGCGATAGCTCTGTTTCCATTTGGCCCATTCCACCTTGGTTCGACAGGATGGCCCAAGATCTCCTCAATATATGGCTCGATATTCTCTTGCAGCAGAGCGGCAACTACCTTGCACGGGTCTGCTCCACTGTGAGTCTCTGGTCGAAAGACAAAATATCCATCAACCAGAGAATCAACGCAGTCAGAAAAGACCATGAGGCCCAGATTGTCCTTCCAGATTGGTTGTAGGTCGATGTACTTTACTGAGGGTTCGGCAATCAAATAAGACGGGGTGAAGATGCGCTCGCTGAACCCTTCAATATCGCCGAATGTGGCGGACATGAAGCGAAAGAGGTGAGTTAAGAATGTTTTGTGAAACTTCAGCGTAAAGTCGCCGAGCTGTGAAGAGCGAACAACAGCTCGAATGGTTAATTCTGCTGGTGTTGGAAGGGTGCAATTACTTCTTGTTATTGAAATAAAACCGATCCCACGATCTGCGAACAGGACATCTTTCTCAGCTGCTGGATGTGCCATGGCCACTCTGAAATATTCTTGTGGGTTCTTCGGTGTGTGCATATCGGTAAGACATTGGCAATTGTAATTGCCATCCATATTGGTACATAATGCTCAATCACGTCTATTGCATCAACTCAAAGGAAAGAACAAAAGTAGATATAAGAGACACACCTACGGTCGAATCGCCGACACCAACAACCCACATGAACTGCCGGCTGATATTGACGATTGCAGCAGCGAACGTGGTCCCGCAAAGAGCGCGCTGCAAGGCTTCATGATGCTGTTGTATGAGTGCTTTTGCGTGCTCTTCTGTTAGATCGCCTGGCTTGCGGCACAATTTCTTGACAGCTTTGCCGATATCGTGGTCGAAAGATAATATTTCCTGTCGACGAATTGCTGATACCTTTTCCCCGTTATCGACATTGTCGCGATCCAGGAGACCACCAAACTCAATCTGATCTAGTTGGCATAGTGCATTGCGGATTCGTGCTGGCAGAGTGATTGCCGTGAACTCGGATGTTGCGGCCCCGCCGTGACCTAGACATTCACATTCCAAAAAATGAACCAAGATGCTGAATGTATGCATACCATCACAAACTGCCAGAAAAAGTCATTTATCGCCTTCGATGTCCCATTCCTCTATCACCATGTGGTCTTCGTTGAGGTGAGAACGAAGGGGTTGGAATGTGACAGTGTGCACGCCGATGGGTCCAAAACGGTACTCGTGTAGAACTCAGTGAGTCTTTTGCGAACGTCATCCAGTGTCGACATTGTAAAGGCAATGAGTGACCTAGTGAGGAGGGATGTGTGAGTAGGTGGCAGAAGACGGAATTAGATGTGATGGTAGACATCATAGACGCGCAGTGTGGAGTGATTTCTAAAACGGGATCTTGTGGCAAATATTGCGGTTTCCCATAAACCATGCTAAACTTGGGCGGCAACGAGCACGGCTAGCAATCACCCATTTTCTCTCCTGTTGACAGGAAGCTGACTCCAACATGATGAGGAGGAAGAGGATCTTCGGAATATACGGTCAACCACAAACCTTCATGCTGCAAATTTCAAGCTTCCACTAGTTGCTTCGAAGGCTGGCTCTACTATCGTTGTCATCCACCATCTTACGTCAATCGATGATATTGCCATTGACCAATGGACTCCATCCTTCTCGCACAAGACATATGAGCCCTTTGCGCCGCATCAATTTGTTTCTTAGGATCTAGAAGGCTGAACAGCGGGTTCCTGAGAAGTACTATGAAGAGAGGAAGAGAGCACCTTCAAGCGCCATGCTCTCTGATCTCAATCTGACGATTGAAGGTAACTCAGCTCTGGGCCCTCACCCCACTCCAATTACCTTCCCTGAGCGTGCGCTATCATGACAGTTGATACCTGGGATTGACAGGAACAGGCATCCATCGATCGTGACGTATTCTTTACCATGATTCGCAGCGCCCACCGTCTTCGATCGGTATGATAATAATCAAAATCTTCAGAAGATACCAGGCGTCTGCGCTGTAAAGAGTCGATCAGCTTAGGCTTCAGATGTCAGGACATCTCCATGTCGGGGATGCTACGTGGTTCAGGATGGCCGGACGTCTGAGTTCGTTTTAGGATGTAGTCGGAAAGGCCATCCTCCGAGTCACTGGCTCACAAAGCATTGACTCACCAAAATCCGCGAGGTTTTGCGCATGATACCTGTCTGGTATCAAGTGATGCCGTTGTTTGGTTCACGGTGGCATGTCGGATTTCGTGAAAAGCGTGTCGTCGCCGTTTATCGAGACATACCACGCGTGAAAAGTGGATGAAGAGCCATGCGGCGGAATGGAATGCTTGACCATGACGTGAGGCTCATAATGGAGGCACCGTTCGAATGCGCGTGGATTGTAGCACCATCTTGATTCTTGCGCTCCGCGATCAGCCACAGAAGGTCCAGGGATGCGCAGCACTTCAATGACGAACCCAGTCCTATGATGTGTAAGGCTTCGCGCACACGAGCTATCGCGAACAAGCCCGACGACTGCATGCTTGACTACATGGTGATTATGACGCACTCGAACGTCACCAGGAGTACGATTGTGCTGATCGGGAACACAGACACGGTGTGATCGCGACAGACGGAGATGAGGGGATGATGACAGCCAGGAGCGAATGAGATAGGATAGGTCAAGGGGTTCACTCAGGAGACGTGATTGTTGGTAATACATCGTTGTCGTTCTGGGGGCTGGCTGCTTCAAGGTTAGGGGTCCCGCTGTCATCAGATTCCGTCCTGCGGCAAATAGAGCACAGAAGTCACCTATTGAACCTGTCCGCACCGTAACAGCCGCTCATTGGCGGCTCTGCATAATGACATAGTCAGTGAGGCAGTCAGTGTGTCGAAAGCCCGATCGGAACATGTTTGCAACGCGGTCTGCGCGCGAGTATACGTTCATTGGCTTATGAGGTCACTGATTGACGGTCAGGGATTGTGAAGGAGAGCAGTCAAATTTGCGAGAGACCTCAATGGCAGTCTACTATCCGATTATACCTACATGCCAGTATCACGCTCGAAGAACAATGGCCAAAAAGCAGTACATACACATTACTTTTTTCTTTAGCAGACAAGGGCTCATGCATTGTCACCATCATCGCACAGCAGCAAATTTGATGTGCGCTTTCTCATTGCGGCGCACGTCTTCGTCGTGCAGTTTAGCATTTAGAGCGGTGAACAGCCCTGATGCATAGTTCTCTCCGTCCTGCAGGGCCGACAGTCAATAGGCGTCAAATAGACTCTCAAAAAGGAGTTTGGGATACCTTCAATAAGAATTTGATCTGGGCAAGGGTGACTTCCCCAGGCCCTAGTAATCGCATGCCTTGGAGTGTAGGCGTGCTGTTGGGCATGAACGAGTAAACGAGGAGTAGTTTCTGAGGTACGGCTGCTTCTTCCTGTAATGTAGCATCTAGCAGGTGCACAGGTGGTAACTGTACCAGCGGAAATAAATTAATGGCAGAGCCGTTCCCAGAGATCAAATCCGACCTTACCAGGTTCAGTGTGATGCACACAGGCCACCCATCTCGTCCATCCAAAGGCTCTCCCTCGTCCCAATAGTCCTCCAGTTCGAAGTCCGTAGCGGCGTGAGCCTGCCTCATATCAAACCCACTCTGCTTTTCCTCGTCAACGTCCATGTCCGCGCTCCCGATCGCGCCTGGCAGCCTGCCGCCCGCACGATACTCGACGCTGCGCGTCCGCGGTACCTTTGTATCCCACAGGGCCGCGCGGGCAGCCACGAACAGAGCGTCATACACGTTGCCGCAGTCGGAGAGGACGACGAAATCGAGGACCAACAGCCATGCTTTTTTAGCGTGTAGAATCCCGAGATTGGACGGACGGAGGGACGAATGGGCGAGTATCTGCTGCAGCAAGGTCGTGTAGTCATACTGTAGATCGTCGATGGCGGAGGCGGATAAGTGTGGGTATGCAGATGGGGAGCTATCTTTGCGACCGTCGGTCAAGTCAGTGTCTCAACAAAAGTAAAGAAAAAAAGACGGAGAGGCGGCTCTGTGAGACTATACACGCTACGCACCAAGAGACGGAGCAGGTCACGCGGCCGCCCTCAACGCCTTCGCCGGTTTCGATGTCCTCAACCTCCAATTTTGCGGCTGCCAGGATTTCTGTGCCGCCTCCTGCCTCACTGTTCGTGCCGATGTTGATGCGGACGCTCCCGTTCGCCAATGGGACGACTCCGGTCTCGATGGCGATTGCGCGAAAATCATGGAGGCCACGGCCGTCTGCTCGCACGACGGGGTCTGCTCTCAGCGAAGACTGCACAAAGGCCTTTTCAGCCTTTGAGAGAGAGGAGGCCATTGGAGAGGAGACGCAGGGGATATGCGTAATTTAAGCGACGGCTAAGTGGATTGCGCCCGATCACAAGTGCAATTACGTGAGATAACTGGTTGCCGCCCTTCGCTGCGGCTTCTTGTGAGGCTTGCTTGCTGTCCCACACCACAAAACGATGAATCTGTGAACTTGTTCCCCACCCTCCTCTCTTTTATACGGCCGGTCCTTGCTTTTGCTTCTGTACTACTTCGCTTCAGAATTTGTCTCTGTCAAAAGCTCGTTGTTTCCAATGGCCAGCCAAAGGCGGCCTGCGCAAACCACCATCTTGAATGCTAACCGTCACTCTGATGCTCTCCGTGCGTCCGTGCTCGACGTCGCGTTGCAACTGGGAATTGGTTCCAGTCGCACGGTTGAAAACTGGATGTTCAACTCAGTCGACGAGGATGAGGAAGATGAGGAAGAGGTGAGCATGACCTGTAGTACCGGCGGCACCAGCGGCACAAATGTCGCGTCAAACCGACAGACACTGTCTCGTCGATGAGCTGAGCTGCACAGGGACATCACCAATGCCCCAACGTTACTCATCTGATGCGCTCTGGTGTCTCCGGTATCTGCACACCTATTACTGTGAAGGATATCTTACTCGCTGCGTAGAATATTTTGTCACCAGGCCTCACGTCCGCCTCAACTGCTACCTCCGAGGAATCCGCTCTATCCCCATTCGTCCTCCCCGTGACAGGAACGCCTCCGAACCATTTCAACGGCTCGAAGCCTTACGAGCCTTCGTTCCGTGTCGAGAACAAGGTCGCCGATCAACCTCCGCTCTTTCGTTCTGCAGATAAACCGACCACTCAGATACCCCCACATAGACCGGCTAAATTGCGCAAGCCCCGCAAGGAAGGATACGAGAGCGACGGCGGCTACGCAAGCGACGCGGGAAAGAAAAAGAAGAAAGAGAAGAAGCGGACCAAGAAGGACAAAGGTGATGCAGGAGACGACACTGATCACGATGGGTATACCTCGGCCATTGACAACGCTAAGCCCAGCCCCAAGTCATCGCACAAGACGAAAACAGCATCACCGCCTGACAGCGGCGACGTCTCCGACGCTGGTTACCTCTCTGAGTCTTCCGTGAAGAAGAAGCGCTCTTTCTTCCGCCTCAACAAGACGTTGAAAAAGTCTGGCTCGAAGGACCTCTCACAACCAATACCTCCTGTTCCTGCGATGCCTCCAATGCTAATGCCATTGCCCATCGCAGAGAAGTGGACAAGCGAAGCTCCCTCGCTCGTTGTCGACACCAGCTCGAGAAGCGTCACACCCATTCCTGGACTCATGCGCAACTTCGGCGGGCATAGCGGCAGCATCGGGAGCTCGAGCTCGATGGCGGAAACATTCACCGCCTCGGAATCAAATAATTCACTGACCCTCAGTTCCATCAGAGCGAACACGCCCGACACGCAGAACTCCCCGGACCGCACCAAGGGTCCTGCACCTCGCGTACACTTCACACTGTCCACCCAGTTTCCCAAGCGCAGTGGGGAAGTTGATACGCCCGTTAGTCCACCACGCCTGATCATCTCACTTCCCATCACTTCGTCCGGTTCTTCGTCGTCTTCTGGTGCATCGTCTCCTCAGCCGATTCTTGTTCGGCCAACACCCAACATCAAGAAGGCTCCTACTCCGCTTGTGTTATCTTCCCCCAACTTTCTCAATCCCGAGTCACCTTCACCTGTGCCCTCGGACTATATCATCGTCCCATCCGCAGAGTTCGTCGTCCCCTCGCCGTCACGGTCTCGACGGAGTCCGCTCCTTAGTCCGCGCGGACATTTTGCACAGTACGACCTCCCTCCGCCGAGTCCACCTCCGCAAGGGCCACTTCCACAGATCCCTGTTGACCAGCCAGCCTTCGATGTACGCCCGCCACCATCATCGTTCATGCAGGGTAGCAGCATCAATCGCTCAAATACACCGAGCCCGAGTCCGAGCCTTTTTGCACAGCCAATACCCTTGATCCAGCGGGGCCGCGAGTCGCCCTTCCCAACACGACCGGTTCTCCCACAGGCTGAGTCCACCGAGCTCGTCCGGCGCACCTCAATCACCCAGCGGGCGCGCATGATGGCGACCCGCGCGTTCGCTGAGGATGATTCTGGTATCGGCGCGGGCGCGGACGGGCGAAGCCGGCGGCGGGTGCAGTTCTTGCAGCCCGAAATGGGGTTGGAATCCGAAGACGGCCGGGCCGCCAGCGCTCTCGGTGTCCGTGGGGCCGCGGCGTTCGTGACGCCCGAGATCACCGTCGCGGACGAGGACGACGGTCCTACGCCCGTGTCCAGGGGTGCAGGCGAAGACGACGTCCGCCCAGACGTTGCTGCGTTCTTCTTCGGCTCTCAGGATCCTGGCCAGAACATGGCGGCGGCGGCGATGCGTGCGTCGACGATGTACGGCACAGAGGACGAGCAGTCAAGCTACATCGACGATGATAGGTCGCTCTACCCCGATGACACTCGGACGCTGGAGACGAACCGCGACCGCGCTACAATCGATTCCTACTACTTCCATGCTGATGGCTCACGTGAGTCAGTGTGGAGTAAGCGTGCGAGCTTCCTCGACGATGAGCGCAGCGGCGAGGTGCGCGAGCGATTCGTGCGCGGTGTAGCGGCGATGTACGGTGGAGACGGGCGGGAGAGGGAGACAATCCCTCCCGTTCCTAAGCTGCCGTTTTGAAGTCCCTCAACGACCCTTCCTTCCCTGCCCTCACCGGTCCATTCCTTCGATTCTCGGATTCGCTTCGGACAGAACTGTCAGCCGCAGATATCCATGCGCATCGCCATTCCTTCTTTTTCTTGATAGACGCCAGTAAATAGACTTTTCGGGCGATTGCTCGACTATTGATTGATTGGTGGCTTGATGGGTGGCTTGCTCGCGGGCGAGCTGGGCTTCCACTCAGCTCTGTGTATGAGGACTTAGTGGCGTGTCGCTCGACGCGATTCATTCCATTTATACTACTTTACTGACTTTTATGGTCTCATTCGAACTCAAGACCGGGGCGCTTTCTCCCTTCTGTTTTGGGCTCGCCTCTTTGAATTTTTCACTGGGGTATCTAATCATCGTCGTTTGTGTTCGTTTCAGCTGATACTTTTAATGTGTCGTTGACTAGGCTTTACTCCCTACTTACTTGGCCACCGGTCTGTCTGTTTGTCGTCGTAGGCTTCAATCTGTTGCGGCTGCTATCGTTATACATGTTCTGTTCACCCCGACACAGCTTTGATTCTTCCAATTTGTTGTGTTCTGCTTTAGTAACTAACGTTTTACATCGTATCATTTGCAGGCTAGTCCGTTTCAAGAGGGTCATGGCGAGCCTGTGTACCATGCATGCAGGGTATGTATGTGTCGGACACATCCAGATACAGCTTCCAGGCTTATGCAGCTATATCACCTGGAGCGCGGCTGCGCGCGGGCGTCCCGCGATCTCTCTGATCGAGTCGGCACGGGTGCAAACATTACATCCGTTGTATCAACCCGTTTTGTCTCCGCGTCCGTTGCCTGACTCAAAAATAGCCATCATCAATGCAATGCATCAAAGTGCGGCGTGAACTGCGGTCAATGCAAGCTTGGTGGATCACGGGTGGATCGAGTTGGAAGTTCATCCAACCGAATGGTATACCGTCCTATTCCTGAATAGGCTGGATGGTCGACTAGCGCATTAATATGTGGCAAATGATGGGGTGATCGAACGTGTTCGAGTCTCCCTTCGTGGTTCTCGGTAACAAGGACTTGCTTTGCAATGATCTCATCCAGTAGGCATTTGGAAAGGCAGGTGCCTGGCATACGTTGTCGGCTGCTTGGATTTCCAATTCGACGCTCCGACTGAGTCCTTTTTCTCGAACCTTGGGCCTATTGTTTTGAACCAGGGAAAAGGTGGTCAGGTCAGTTTGAGGGGCTTGGAATATGGGTCCATCAGAACCGAGTAACAAGGTGAGTTTTTTTGTTCTTTCTTACGCGTGGTGCTTTGACCAAATGAAGATTATGGGCGTCTCTGGGTGCTGTATTCACTCCTTTCTCGGTAAATCAACTTGATAGGGGCTAGTCCTCGAGGTTTCCGTCCAGATCACTTATCATGCGCCACGCAATTGCTCCTCGACGTCGAACAGAGAAGATCTGGTAGCAAGAATGCAACAGTGTCTTGATTTAGTCGGCTGAGTTGTCGCAAAAATCCGTCACCTATGGCATTGTAGGCTCCTGAATTATGCAGCCATCAACAAAATGTGTCGGTAACGTGAAGCCGTCAGCTTTGCTTTGCTATATCCCAATTACTTTGCATATGGGGAATAGCCCTATGGCAACGCCTCATTACCACCTGATCATTTGACCTTGGTGAGCCACTATCTCGCGCTCGCTCCATCATCGATTGAATTCCCTGTATATGAGTGTTTGCTTTGCGCAGAGATTACGTGCTTAGGCATATCAGGCATGGATCAGGTTACACATGTTCTTACAACAGGTCGAGGGCTCGTGCTCGTACCAAGTCTATCTCCTAGCGCCTATGATACATTATCTATTGTAGACTGCGGCAACTCCCGTGGACATGGACAGCACATCAAAACGTGCAAAGTGTTGTTCTTCGATCATTTCTCTCTTAACCCACTGATGGGACCGGACAGCAACCGAACTTTTAGTCAAGTGACGTATTGAAACGTAGGCGAGTCAATCCTTTTGAATACTCGGTCTCGAACACACTCTGAAGCAAGCGCTAATTCGTCGCCACCAGTGCCCTAATACAAGAAGATTAGACACAAGACGAAACAACTCGCACCTTGCGGCCTCGATAGCGTGCAGTTCTTCTTCTTGCACCCCCATCTCGGATTTTGATGCACATAGGACAATGCCGTCCATAGCTCCATCCTTTGCAACAACAGCCCTCGAAATAGGCAAAGAGCTATCTAATTCGACACCGCTCAACGGGTTTGGGCTGGCAGGGGTGTTTGTTGCGGCCAGCGCAATCATAAAACTCGTCGAAGCAAGTTGACTAGTGATGTCGTCTTCACATCCCTTTCTCTAGTACTGAAATTTGGACAATCAACAGGAAGTAAAAGCTACGAAGCAAGAATGCCGTACGCTGACCTCAAAAGTCGGCCGCCTCGTTTCTCATGTGAACGAGGTGATCAGCAGAAGAACCGACCTCGCTTCGAATGAAATGCTCGATAATGTTGCACAACTCGAAAAGTTTGTGTTTGATTTTGGATTTGAGTTATGTTCCAAACGTGTTCTATGCAGAACTTTACTTGAGATCGAAGGGAAACTTTCGAAGATCGTAAACAGCAAAAAATGGACTCAATTTCGGATGAAAGCTCAGAATTCAGACGCAATGCAAGAATGTTCGAGAGACCTTGACGAAGCCTGGAGAATCTTCGATGCAAGCATCTTCGGTTATCATCGTTTTCTGCCCATACTGATGCTCCATTTCAGACGAAAACTCTGATCCAGATACAACAAAATCAAGAAAACTCTCAACAATATGAAGGGGAGGTATGACGCGTCAATCATTTTTCTGTTAGCGCCGTAACTGAAGCCTTGTGCTTGTGGGCGTTCTAGTACCGCATTTTTCGAGCCTCTGATCTCCGTCCTCTTTCAAGGTGGACACCAGTTGATGGTAACAGCGCTGTCGATGTTGGAGAAGCGCAGCTGAGAGATACGGGAGAGAAAGTTTCAGTGTATAAATTACGACGGCGAAGTAATTCTGATGTTCAGGTGGGATTCCAACATTGCTTGTCGCATCTCCAGCTCAATCATCTCCGTTGACAGACTTTCTGGGAAGAAGTGAAAATGATGAAGCCATTGATATGGTTTGACTGTTTATATGCTGTTAGTGCTGGACGCTCAAGACATCGCCGTAGGCATCGTAATGTACGCCAACTTGTTGGACACAGTCGCCGCAACAGCGACGACCTCTTTTACGTTCTCAACGATAGTAAGAGATCACACTGCCTGTTCATGAACGAGCTCCTGACTCGTTCAATTACCTCTCTCTGAAGCTCAAGCTTCAACGCCGTACACCTTCACAACGTACATGGCACCCTTCGAGGGGCTCGAGAGATGGGTGAAGAAATTACAACTCGTAAGCTATACACACGTATCATATGTGCAAATTCAGATGAAGTTGTTCTATACAGGCATTGGACATGGCGGTTCGTGTGATACTCCCGCGAGAATTGGAAGCATCGAATGAACACTTACCTTAGGAGGTGGCCGAATTCTTAGGGCTCCACGATCTAAATATCTACCACAGAAACGGACAGGTGAGTTTTTTTCCTCTGTAATATTGCGCAAACAGGCTGTCTAATACTCCTCGCAAGCCTCATATCAAACTCATCACCCCTGACGGCAAGGTACTGATTGGCCCGGAAGGGCTGTCGAAGAATAGTAACCTATTCTCAACCCCAAGCGAACTTGCCTATACGTTCTACTACCGGTCAAGTTACGGATTCAGACTACGTGTATGTCCATGCGACTTGAGAGATAATGTATCTGGCTGACTTCAGATCGGCAGACCATTAACAACAAAGATATCCCGTCCTGGCCTAGAGGTATAGTTAAATCTGTTTCTTCGGTGTATCATTCGACCCCCGACAACGGTATGCAGAGTCATATAACCTGGATATCTCAAGCTTGCAGAGGGCGTTGGATGTCATTCCCATACTGCAATCATCACCCCAAAATCCTTTCACATCTCGGTATGCATTGGAAGTACTGGATCTTTGGTCGCGATATTTCGAGCCAAATGCCCTCTCCTGGGAGTCTCACTGGGCATGGCTGTGCCCAGAAGGCCTGAAATGCGGTGACATTGGCTACTTTTTCCTCGATGATAGAGACCCACATCGACAGGAAGTTATATTTCAAGCGCTCGGAACAACGAACAGATCAGAATGGCGCTTTGACCCCGAAGTCCAGGAAGAGAGAAGGTTTGCCTAAACCTCCTTTTGCCACTACCTATCAACTTAGAATCGCAGGCGCTCCTTCCAGAGGGAGCGTTATGAATCATTGGCCAGCTCATCTACATCACAAGACATGTGCATTTTTCTCTCGAATATTCCGTCTATTTCCTCAAGATATGGAGTAGAGATGGATAAACTCATCTTGAGTGCGACGTCGCTTGTTCGTCTCCGCTTTGAACCACTCCTGAACGACCTTGCTTCCAGTTGTCTCTGAAACCTATCGCCATACTACAACCGCTACAGTTGATCCATCCTATGGTGAATTACCTTCCGAGTGTCGAAGACTACGAATTCAGGTTGAAGAAAGTCATCCCTTGCAGATGTGTCAGATCTATACTTTCATGCATTGGGTACGGACCCAGAGGAAGGACAACCGACTCCTTGGGGCTACTGGTCATTTGACCCTCGCCCACTAATGACGCCAGAAAACTCCTCGTACTCTCCGGAGAATATCCAAAATCATCCAGGGATCATCGCTCAGGCTTCGCTGGAGGGAGTCCATGTTCAGGATAGGTAAATGCGACTAACAAATCTCCCTACTACTTTATTGACAACTATTTCAGTATTGAACTTGTTTCTTTGCGATTTCTTCAATTGACGCCAGATGAAGTTGAACTTGTCAAACTATTGCATCACCATATGCAGACCGAAGAACATGGAGTAGACGAGACCTTACCACAATATTTAACATTACCGCGGAATGCTGGTCCAGATTGGGGACCGCGGGCCAGGATTACCGAGATCGAAGAGGCATGAAGTGTTATTTTAATTTTCTATTTGGGTTTTAGGTTGCTGTATCATCAGACTCGCGTTATATCATGATCGTGGTGACCATATGTATTCACTCACCTCCCTTGATCAATTAGCTGGACATATTGCTTGATAATATGCCACACTCATGCCAGTATAAATGGCAATTTTCCAGTCCAGTACGTTGGAGACCAGGTTCAGGTTTCGTGATTTTCCGGCAAAGGCCGTTCTTACTACTCCGCCGGAGGCTAAAAGCATCGGGGTCCTGAGCTCGAGTCGTTCTCGCCTACTCGATTTCAAAATTTCAACCTCGACTTCTCCACTACTGTATCCAAGTCATGATTGTGTCTGTCGCACGACACAATGAATATGTCTTGTCACTTGTGCGCATCAGGTGCTTACCATTCGAGTGACTGGGACCTTCATCGAGAACGCTGCCAATCATATAACGAAATTTGAGCTGCTTTGGTGAGATTCATTAGAGATGTAGAACTGTGTCACTGTCTTCTCATGAGACGAGCTGGTCTGATCTTAAGGTGAGTATTCCGAGTCATTGACTGCCTATGTTGACTGTGTTATCTTTTCGGCATCGAGCTATTTAGAATTTGCACTGCGGAAAGCTGTTCTCTACAAATTGACCACCTACATGTGGCAGGTCTCAATGCATTGGTGAAGCTTATGTTGCCCCTTCTGGGCGCTCACTTTCGCATAATTTGACTCTTGCACATGTGGTTGATGGTGTTGGGTTCACTGACTCAGACCCCGGCCTATAACATATTTTGTATCTATCGTCCTGTTTTCTCATTTCTCATCAATCCCCACAATCCTAATAATCTTTATTCATGTCGAAGGTTCCATTGAAACTGGTAAACTTACTCCCATGACTTTACTACAGCGTTACCAGTCATGAGTTCAGGCAATTTTAGGCTGTTCCCACAGCGGGCCGTCTTCCTGCTTTCGTCTGCTCGGGGCTTTCCACACTCAGCTGTTATCGGTCTCAAGAGCTCTCATCATGTCTTTCCTCAGAGTTTTGGGCACGTCAGTCGTCGCTGATAGCGGAAGCGAAGTCGTGCTAAGGGGCGCAGGGTTGGGTGGATGGATGTGGTGAGCGTTAATATTCTTCTGCTGTTTGCCTTCGTGTTAAATTCAAGCTCGTTATTTCAGTATGGAGAACTTCATCTCTGGTAGCTGCGATTGCCTTCGCGCCCGTGCCCATTGCTGATAAACATTCTTTAAGGGTTTCCTGGATCCGAGTTTCAGGTTCGCGAAGCCCTTGCAGAGGTACTTGGGGTTCAGAAAGCCGAGTTATTCTTTGAGAAAGTGAGTTCTGTAGTACTGTTCTCCAAGTCGTCTGAGCATCTGATATGCTAGATCTATCGTAGTATCTTGAGAATTTCTTTACGGCGAGCGATGCTAGTTTCTTTCGATCACTTTCTCTGAACTGCATTCGGATTGCCATCAACTACCGACATTTCGAATCTCCCATGAACCCACGACACCTTCGGCCTAATGCTTTCACTCATTTGGATCGCGTAATCAGGCTTTGCGCCGCGGAAGGGATATATACCATCATCGACCTGCACACTGCGCCTGGTGGGCAAAACGGGGGATGGCACGCAGATCATGGCACCCATCTGGCCAACTTCTGGCGGCACAAGGACTTCATGGACAGCGCGGTTTGGCTTTGGGAGCGTCTTGCAGAACGGTACAAGGACGAGCCGTGGATTGCAGGTTTCAATGTTTTAAACGAGCCGGCAGACCCCAGCGCGAAGCAGCTGATCCTTTTCTACGATCGCGTCGTGCGCGCCATTCGCGCCATTGATACGCGGCATATCTTGTTCTTGGATGGAAACACTTATGCTGCAGATTTTTCCGCGTTTCCGGCCAACGTGAAGGAAAGATGGGGCGAGAATGTCGCATACTCGATACACGACTATTCAGTGTTCGGCTTTCCGAAGGGAGGAATATACGAGAGAACAGAAGAACAGAAGGAGAAAATAAAGAGAGGATACATACGGAAGCGGGCGTGGATGGATAAGCGAGGGTTATGTGTTTGGAACGGCGAATGGGGGCCTGTGTACGCAAGGAAGGAGTACGAAGGCGAGAACACAGATACGATCAATGAACGGAGATATATGGTCCTTCAGGATCAGCTGAATCTTTACCAGGAGGTGAGCAAACCCGAAGCGCCGACCGACCACAATACTCACTCGTTCATATTGGTCGTTCAGGACCGACTGAGCTGGTCCATCTGGCTTTACAAAGACATCGGCTTCCAAGGCATGGTCTATGTTTCTCCAAAGACACTATACATGCAGCGCTTGAAACCCTTCTTGGAGAAGAAGTATCGTCTTGCTGTTGACTCCTGGGGAGCGGATGATGCTGGCGTGCAGCATGTGTTTAGGCCCATAGTCGACTTTATCAAGGAAGCAGTACCCCGTGAAGAAGATTGTCGTCTGTACCCTTGGCCGAATTGGAGCGTCGAGGAGCGAGTCAGCAGGCTAGCCAGGGCAACTCTGATAGGAGAATTTCTAGTCAAGGAATGGGCGGAATATTTTCGTGGGATGGACGAGACTCAGCTGGAGGAGATGGCGAAGAGCTTTCATCTCGATAATTGTACAAAGAGAGAGGGATTGAACAGAGTATTGCGGGAGCATGCTCAGCAGGATTCATAGGTCAGTGTCATGTTTTTCGAAAGCCTCATGGACTGTACAATCACAAGTTGCTCTATATAGTGAGCTCTTGTCTCGAAAAAGGGGGAGACCATAGAAAACTTCAAAAGTGTATATGCCCAAATGGACAGGCGAGAGTGAAAGGTTTCATAGTCGGATAAAACAAATGAACGATCTTGCTGTCTGGGTTACTAGTCAAATCAAGGCATCCAACAGCCCCTCGTTATGTAGACAGGTGATAAACTCGCGTATGAAAGGCTCATAGTCGTGAGTTCTCTTGATTGCGTCGGTCTGTCGGTGGATCGATGGTCATAAATATTAGAGAGTAAGGGAAAAGTAAGGAACACGCACATTCGCTGCCTTCGCGCTTCTAAATTCGTCCTCTACTGCCATCTTCGCTGATAAAAGCTTTGTCTGGCATTCGGCCCAACTACTCTTCAAGTCCTGAGGGGTCATGTCGAGTATGGCCCTACCCTGCTCAAGATTTCGCAAACCGAAGTCCGGCGAAAACGTAGGGCCACGCTCCCCGCCCGCAGCGTCCGAATCCGCCCCAAACTGCAAAGTTAAAAATTATATTTGAGAAACCACGTGGACGCGCAAAAGAACAAACCTCTTCCCTCCAGCTGGTGGAAAATTGCTCGTCCAAGCGTTTCTCCAAGCAAGACTTTTTGCGAAACAAAAGCTCGTATTCATCGCTGGCAACCTGGTATCTATCATCAACCAGCGCGAGAAGATTGAAGCGGATGTTCGCTTCGCCACCTGCGTCAACCCCGTACTTCTCCATCTTCATTCGCAGTGCAGGACGGACTACGTCCATCCAGCTCTCTGCAGTGGAGTCCTCAGGGAGCTCGCCGACCTCGAGGGGACCAGACTTTAGTCCATCAAGCTCCCAAACCTTGCCGTGCGCGGGAACATAGCCAATGAAGTGATAAACCTCTTCTTGGGTTTCAGATGACGTTGCCTTCTGCTGACTCACACGAGCGTTTGTGGACGCTGTAGTTTTGCGTCGCTTCGCAGGGTGCGGCTTGTTAATTTTAGACTGAGATGACTTGTGCTCTTCGACCGTGGTGGTTGCTATCGCATTCAGGGCACTGCGCAGGTCCGCGGGGCTTGTTTGAAGATTAAACATCATCAAATACCACTTGAGGTGAGTCCCTACCGAGAGAGACTGTTGTGCGCGTCACGAACGAAGCGAGAGTTAGAGATGGCGAGACCTTTCATCTGATAAAGTCGCCTCCATTAAGCCTAGACAGCCTATAACAAACATACGGGTCCCACACTTACAACGGACGACATCTTCTGCGTGTCAGTCTTGAAGTCAATCAAATCTTGACCAACATTGCACTCCGGGCAGTTGAGCAGAACGTTTAAGATGGCAAGTGAAGCGCAGGAATCGTCGCTCAGCTGATTTGCGAACCAAACCTGTTCCGCAGCAGGGTCCTCGAAGTCGCCCGCACGGTGGGTGTCCTTTCGCCATAAGAAGCAAAATATGAGGCCATGTGGGTTGAGGTTCTCGACAGCCCATGGTTCTATGGCGTAGAGTTCTACAACCTCGAGGCCACTGATGCCCAGTTTACGCACGAGTGTAGTGAAGACACCTATCAATGAGAAGATATCAGCGAATTTGAAGATGACGGTCTATTGTGATCAGATACCTGGATCAGATTCAATGACAGAAAATGGACTGCCGATCAGGTCGTGTTTTCGACGATCATCATGTTCACTGCTCTTCGTATCTGTCCCGCTCATCTTGATTATGCGCTGTCTGTGATTGCCTAGTCTTGCCTTTTAACTGCCTTTAAGAGTTGGTGTATGAATATAAGTATACGAATTCATGACATACCCATGTAGACAACAGACCGACAGACCGCCAATGAGCTGTGAGGGAGACAAGGGCGACTGTCACTGGGTGTCACCTCGAAGCAGCCCAGACCCCAATGCGGAAGTCCTATTCTGAGATAATGAGAATAAAATAGGAGCGAATCCCTGTTTTGAGCACAAATTTTATAGATGCATCGGATCAATCGGCACCTGAAATCGACGCCTTTAATTAGGGATGAACGACACTGGCTATTAGTGAGGGCAGGATGCAAGGTCCCGGTCGCGGAGATTGAAACAGCCGGAAACTTCGCATGATGTCGCGGAGACTTCTGACACCAGTGAAGCAGTCTTCGGGGTCTACATGTTCCCACTCTCAACCATCAAAATACGAGCTCAATATCTACGTCCGCCTTTCGGCTTGACTTCGGATTACTTCAAACTTGAAGCGATGTATACTAAGGCACCAGGTCACTTGTGGCATTCAATGGCAAGTCCGCTTCGTTCCTCACACCCGGGAGTTACGGGCCGACGGTACACTCTGCAGAGCTCACGCTCATCATGACTGGCCATAAAGATATACAACAAGCCTCCTGAGGCCTTAGCTTTGCCTATACTGTATCTTTCTCGAAAGACTCTTAGAGCCCTTGGATTACAAACTGTCCCGATTGATGACATTCATTATCTTGCGCAAGGACGCAGCAACTACACTCCCAGATCACTCTTGTGCTATGCAAGTCATCACACGCCGAGAATAACTGTCCATACAGCCGATTCCTAAGCTAGACGTAGCTAGTGGGTAGATGCATCACCTAATTCCCTTCGGACAAACCTCGGGATTGGCTCCACATCCAAACGAGTGCGCCATCCCATGACCTCTTTGGTGCTCTACTTAACGAACGGAAGGGCAGACGATGGGTGTTCTCTGCGCCCCAATCATGTCATATCTCAAAATCTCTGGGGCAAAGATCGTTAACAAGGATGGGGAAGAGGTCATCCTCCGAGGTGCGGGGTTAGGAGGATGGATGAAGTCCGTACCTTCCTTTCACTCGATGATACCGCACTGACCTAACAAATGATAGCATGGAGAATTTCATCTCTGGTGGGCTATGTTCAGTTTCTATCGTCCTTGCATTAAACATTCAATCTCATGCAGGATACCCTGGATGTGAGTTTCAGATACGCGAAGGCCTAGCCGAGGTTATTGGGCCTGTGAAGTCAGAGTTGTTCTTCGACAAGGTTCATTGTATCTGTATCTGTATCTTTTCATGTGCTTCTAAAAGTCGATCTCGTCTCTAGTTTTTGGATTACTTTTTCCAAGATGCCGATGCGCAATTTTTCAAGAGCTTGGGGTTGAACTGTATCCGTCTTCCATTCAATTATCGTCATTTCGAGGGTATGCATGGCGATCCAACTTCCTGTTTCTCCACTAATCACATCATAATCAGATGATTTAAACCCACGCGTTCTCAAACCGGAAGGTTTCAAACACCTCGATCGCGTGATTGACACATGCGCAAAGTATGGGATTTATACTATCCTTGACCTGCACACTGCTCCAGGAGGACAGAACACGGATTGGCATTCCGATGCGGGTACTCACATCGCAAACTTCTGGCTGCACAAAGACTTCCAGGACAGGGCCGTATGGCTGTGGCAGGAGTTGGCGACGCATTATATGAATAATACCTGGATCGCTGGCTATAATCCTCTCAACGAACCCACCGACCCTACTCACACCCGTGTCATCCAGTTCTACGACCGCGTGTACAGCGCGATTCGCACAGTTGACAAAGACCACGCTATATTATTTGACGGTAACACGTTTGCGTCCGACTTCTCGCACTTTGGAGATATCTACAAGAAATGGGAGAATGTGGGTTACGCGATTCACGATTACTCCCTGTTCGGATTCCCTGCATCTCCGGAGGACTATGTGAGCAGCGACGTGCAGAAAAAAAGGTTGAGGAGAAGTTACGAGAAGAAGCGAGAATGGATGGACCAGAATGGTTTGTGCGTATGGAACGGGGAGTGGGGTCCCGTGTACGCGAGGACTGAGTATGAAGGGGAGAAGACGGATCAGATCAACGAGGTCAGATTGAAGGTCTTGAAGGATCAGTTGGGAATCTACAATGAGGTATTTTGATCTTTTTTCTATCGCGACGTCAGCTCATCAGCGGCAGGACCGTCTGAGCTGGTCTATCTGGCTCTACAAAGATATCGGCTTCCAGGGCATGGTGCATGTCTCAAGGGAGACGGTCTACATGAAGCTATTCAAGGATTTCCTTGCCAAGAAACATCGACTCGCTGTTGATGCCTGGGGCGCTGACGTATCGCAAGTCCAGCACGTCTACCAACCGCTCATCGACCTCATTCAGCAGGAGATCCCCACGCAGTTCCAGAACTTGTACCCTTTCCCCGTCTGGAAGCTGAGCGACCGCGTCGGACGTCTTGCGCGCAATATCCTCGTCTCCGAATTTCTCGTGAAAGAGTGGGCGGAACACTTCCGCGGCAAGACCGAGGCCGAAATCGACGAGATCGCGAAAAGTTTCAGCTTCGAGAACTGTTTGCACCGCGAATCGTTGAACAAGATCCTCACAGACAATGCGACTTTGGTCGGAAATGACGATTAGGCGATTCAGCATCAAGGGTCGGAGACATTTTGTGTACTTTTAGCCCGACGATGGCTTGATTGCATTAAACAGGCATCGTTTGCTGTTCTTACCATCTCGACCAGGTCAATTATACCTTCACTCGTTGACTTTGCGTTTAGCTGGTTGACAGGAACTTATGGCACCCGTGTCAGCCAACTTGATCGTGTGAAGATTGAAGGGTTGGATGCAGCGAACTACGGCAGTCATCAGATGAGGTTTCAACAAGCGGTGCACCTCGTGGTTAGGGCATCAATCGTCGTATCGGTAGGTGCTGAATCCCGGCATCGCCGTCCGTGCCATGCCGTGGCTCTAGCGCGGTTCCCTAACAAGTCGAACTGCCTCAACATTCATCACATCACAACTCTGTGGCAGTCTACAGCGAACTGTCAATTTCCTGATCGTTACGAAGGTGGTATTGATCCTATTTGACCTCGCTACAAAAACTATATGCGTCACGAGCACACTCCACATCTTACCTACCACGCTAGAACTTACTCCTTCGTTTTGCAATGTCACCGCGTATGTTCAATATCGGCAGATAGTGAGTCACATTCAAGTCGTTGATTTGTCCCTTCGACCTGAGATTTGACACGTTTCAGCATCGGACCAGCGGCGAGTCTGTGCCAGTAATAGCTCCCTGCTCACTAGATCTTACCTTGAACGCTCGTCAGTTCTTAGGAGCATTATTTAATTGGGGCCTTTATGGTGTTCTCACATCACAAGTCTGTGAGTGGCTGAGGCTACCGAATACAATATATGCTCAGAAGGCTGGCTATGTGATAGATATGTACTCCTACTACTATCCCAAGGATAGGGTTCAAACGAAGGCAATGGTATACGGCCTTTACATCTGGGAAATGGTTCAGACAATTCTATTCACGATCGATGCATACAACCTGTACGCGTCTGGGTGGGGTGACCCTGATAAATTATTGAGCTTGGGTATGGTCTGGTTTAGTTCTACGATCATGAGCGGCATCGGTATGCTCCAATACGATCGTGGCTTCTATCATCTAATGCCTTGAGTAGCCGATGGTGTCGTCCAGCTGTTCTATGCCTGGCGCATTTTCAAACTGACCCAGTCCAGGATCTTGGTTGGAGGAATTGCATTGGTATGCATTATAAATTTATGCCTGTCACTTCTGAGCAAGCTCACGGTCCATGACTCTGTGTTGACAGATGATAGCACTAGGTGTTGCGACTGCAATATACTGGGGTATTTCGACCAAGGTGGTTAGCCGTGACGAATCGTATGGCCGTGCGCCTGTCAGCGTGCTCGATCTCTCAGCCGTAGGCAACATCGATTCAGGCATCGCAATGGCATTCACTCACTGGCCTCCGTTCAGATCTGCCTCTTCTCCGATGCGATCTGTGACACATTCATCAGCATCTCTATGTTATATTGCGTGAGTCATAACCACGAAATTATATTGCGCCAGACACTAACCGCTCCCTCGATTCCACTCAGCTTACTCGTGCTCGGAAGGAGACTGTGTACCGATCTACCGAGAGTATGTTGACCAAATTGATACGCGTCACGGTCGGCCATGGTTTGCTCACAGGTAAGGCCTACTCAGATCGTGATACGCAATCCACCTCGAGCTACGCTGATTCGTTTTACTGTTTTCTTACCAGCGAGCCTTGTTGTCCTTGAAGCTATCATGTACTTGGTCTTTAAGGACGATTACTACTACATGAGTCTCGGCGCTATTACCAGCAAAGTCTACACCGTATCGCTTCTGTCGCTGTTGAATAGCCGAATGCGGATGGGGAACAGCAAGGACTCTGCATATCTTTGGGACAACGAAGAGCCACCCATCAACCATGCTACACAGAGTATTGGTATTACCTTTGCCACCATGCCGACCTCAACAATCGCAGAAATTGACGATGGGGCAAGCCTCACGACGTTTTCAAGCGACAGGATCGATAAGATCGATAGGATTGCCTCCGTGAGCCTGAAAAATTCTTTACAGTTCAGCAATTTTCCTCATTTGCAATCATACGAACTTCGGCAGAAAAGTGTCGGTTGGCAAAACGACGGATGAGTCGTTTTTAGCTGTTGATATATTGCAGACATATCGTATGGCTTTTCGACTTTCCTCCTTACTAGCTTTCGTAGAGCATGTCAGCATGATCTCTTCATTGTGTCTCTTGATTTACACCGCACCCTGAAGTCATGTAGTCAGAGTAAGTAGTAGCTGTGGAGATGATAGGCTCGGACTTCTTTCTTGAAATACTTAGATACCTCGCAGACTCCTCATCCAATTTGGCCTTCGACGAAAGTTCTTGAGAACTCGAGGAGTCCTCAATTGACACCACACACGTGATCGAGTTTCAACGAGATCGAGTTTGGGACACAATTACTATTGGCCACTCATCGTCTTCAATCCCACTGTATTTTAACAACCACTCCTGACATGATTGCCGGGTGGAGGTTCGCCTTGATTCAACCGCATTCCTCCTGCAAATAATCGATATTGTCTGCGGGAAGAATTTCCACGAACAACTTATCTACTGAACTTTAACTTTGTCTGTGCTCCGGAGGCTGTGGGCAGGTGAGTCATCTATTGGGTTCAGCCATTTCTTGCTCTGAGAGCCACATGTTGGAGTTTTAGGCGCTCCCCCATTTCTGTTTCTTCACTCTTGTATCAGAAGATCCAGCATGGACGGCGATCGGCATACTAAATATGATCCACGAGGCAAGTGTCCCTGTCCAGGCATCCTTCCGCGAACAGCGATCCTCATCGTGCTTCTATTTAGCGGCTTTGAAAGCTGCTTCAGCCTCGTTCTCGTCTGTCCGCGACTCTGTCGTTCTCAAAACATTCACACGAAAGGCAAGCATTTGTGTAGCAGATTAGGACGCACGTATTAAAGCCAATTGGCTGGCCTTGTCAATCAGATCGTATTCACACAGCAACGCGGAATCAAGCGACCGAATCACCCTGCGGTGCATTCAGGTTCCTACTTTGTTGAGCACCTTCAAGAAACGAAATTAGACGAGGACGAAGTGAGTAGTTGGCCTTGATATCCAATAATTTTGGGATCCTGACCACCCTACCAGCATACCAAGCCGCCCAATCCACGACGTGGATCTCTAGTTCTGTCATCAGTCCCAGAAGCATCTACCCCAAGCCATGACAAGTCTCGCAATGACGCACTCCTTCCCTCACCGAAAGCTTTCGCCAGCCAGCATCATCCTGGTCCATCGCAAGCCACGCATGACGTCTCACGCCGCATATCTATCACGACGACCAGTCGACCTCGAACGACCACGACACCTCCACAATCTAAATCGAGCCAACATGCCAATGGCCATTCAGCAGCATCCACTAGCCATCGTCCCCCACATCGGAGAGCTCACTCAGAGGGCGTACACGCTCACCGGACTTCATCACACCCTGAGGCCAGCGCGCGTCTACCGCGCTCTCCTGCTGATATACCTCTGCATCGCACGGAAACTCATACCCCGCGCCCTGATACCTCCGCATCGCGACAGATAGGCAATTCTTCCGGTAAGCTCGTCAAGTCAAAGCCCTCCTCGCACCCACGAAACCTGGCTGTTCGCGATCCTCCTCCTAACAAGCTTAGGAAGCTACGCCGTCACTCGGACACCAGTGCGCTCCATACTCGTGGCGCTTAATGGCGCTGTTCCACAGCTTCTATCAGCTTTATTGGCCAATTATCTCTTCGTTCTTCTATATTCTTCCCCCCCTCTCTTCTATTGGGTATAAGGATTGATGGATATATGGATGGATACACTTATTTTAATCTTATACCCTGGCCCACCGGTCATGGATTGTCCATAGTACAAGTTATTATTGCAACGAGCCACTCTTCACTGATGACCTGCTAGGCGATAAGCTTTTCTTCGAAACAAAATCAGGAGAGTATTTGTGTGATCTTATCTGAACTACTCGTACTGTCCGAGCTTGAAATTTTCAATGAAAATGCTTTGGAAAATTTACAGAAAAGGACAAGCAACTTACCCACTCTTACAACTCACTTGACAAAAGCGTGACGATTGGAAAAGCTTCAATTTTTTTGAAGGCAATTTACATAACATTTTCTCAGAAAACCCCAAGCGCTACCCAGCGCTGTGACCATGCTGATGAATAGTTTGATCGCGCGAGACAGACGTTCTTGCCAAATAGATCAGACGCTCATATCTTTTTCAGCCCAAGTTGGACGTACCATTGAAACCAAAAGGGGGAGGAGGAGCGATGATATATCTTGTCGCTCATGAACGCATGCCAGCATTCTCGGACACGTCCGTTGTCGTGATAGAGTCTGGATCCAGGCAGGTTCTTAAGTCTTGACCGTCTATCGATCATGGGCCTAGGAGGTTTGATTTTGTGCCAAAGCCTCGTGTGTCACAGACTCTTCGAGATGATGAGGAAGGAAGACATTGCGAAGGGCAAATTTCTGATGTGTCTGCAAAAGTGAGTCCGTCGGCTGGCAGTGCCGATGATGTGTGTAGAGTCGCGTGTGGTGAGGAGAGGATGGTGCATGGGGCGAGTGAATGTGGGCGGCAGTGCAGATCAAACTTCCTCCAGATACCCTTGCGTGATCAGATGCTCAATATCCGCCCGACGCACCATGAACCTCTGCCCCTTCTTGAAATCGATGCTCCCCAGCTCCGTCTGTATAACCCCACAATCCCTCACTACGCGCACGAGCACGTGAAGATCCTTTGGCGGGTTAACAACGCTCGCCATGATATCCAACTCGTTGCTAAAATCTCCACGGTACTCCATCACCGACGCGCCGTACGCGCGCAGAAAATCGACCTCGTGGGGGGACAGGCGCGCGCGCAGGTCGGCGTTGCCGAGCAGGTGTGGCAGCGCGCCGCCCGCGGCCCAATAGAGATCGCGTAGGCGATCGAGTCGATGGGCATGGTACGCGAGTAGACATCGCTTGTTGCGGAGGATCGCGGTCTGATATAGCAGGAGCGCAGGCGCGTCGCCCGTGAACGCGTCGGCGGCCTGCGCGTCGATGGCGGTCGCGATGAGCGTTTCGAGTGAGCGCTGTTCGCGCACGATGGTGCGCACGAGGAGGTCATTGTATTTAAGAAGGGTGTCGGTGGACGTAGAGCGTCGAGATTCGGTGACGAGCTGAGTTGCGAGGTCGCCGAACTGGCGAGTTTCGGTGCTCATTGCGGTAACTGCGAAAAGGATGCCGTGTCACTGTGACAGATGACGACTGTGACAAATCGAGCGATGCAGCAAGCGAGCAGAAGCCATTTCGTGCTGCCGCCCTGAGTTTCAAAACGCAGTGCCAGGCGTTGCCGAACACTTGCCGAACAGTCAACCGAAACACCTCCGATGAGACTTGTCATTCAATACACAAATTTTGGTTGACTACATCAAAATACAACAACATTTCCCAGAAGATGACATGTCATGCAGTGACCACAAGTCCCCTTCCTGACTTCCCTCGGCAAAATTCCTGCCTCCCCAACGACTTTCGACTAGTGCGTTTACGTTCACCGACCTACACCCACCTTTGCACCACGACGCTGTTCACCAAGCCAGCGGCTTCGACCGTCGCGCCGTTGTCCTCGAGCACGCGATTCGGGAACGTCGTGCCGACAGTATACGGACGCATCAGGTTCTCGGGGCGGGCACTGTGTCACAAATTCGGTCAGCGCTGTACTCGAGAAAACGTACTGGGGCATTCGACTCACGCATTGATGAAATTTCGGATGTCCCCAACGGTATGCGTCAGGTTCATCCTGCACACCAGCCTGCAGCGCAACAACGAACACTTTTTGTCAGCAACTCGGAGATGATAAAAAAACAGCTACGCACCGCGTCCCGTCCGCCAACCGAATCTGCACGCTCGTCGTGGGCAGCGTCTGGTCGACCTCGAACCTCGTCCCTACGCTTTCTGGCTCCCTCCTCGCCCCAGCGCTCGCCCCTCCGCTGCCGCTCGCGCCTGGGAACGACCCTGGCATCGGCACGGATGATGTCGAGGCGGACGTAGCAGCTGGGACAGGCGCGCCGAGCCGGTTCCCACTCCCTGCGAACGTGGCGAGGTTGCGGCTCTTGGGGGTGGGGACGTATGCCTCATTGAGGCGCTTGGCAACGCGGAGCTCGACGGGCTCGTTGGGCTGGACATTCAGGATCGACAGCGGCGCGCGTCTGCTCGGATCGTGGCCGTAAGTGGCCGATCGCACGCGTGAGGAGGGAGAGAAGCCATCAGTATGAGATCAAGATCCAGTTGTAGCGGAGTAAGACAAGGCACGTCATTGATCATCGCCTCGTCTGTTTTTTTTCGGGATTATACGCACCCAGCATTGATCTCGCTCAAGAGCTGCGCGTTCGCGGGATCGTCGTACCGCAAGAGCTCACCATCCTCTACGCTGAAACCGTCCCGCCAGAACGTGAGGTGGCGGATGGTCGGTTCCTGTTGCGCTGAGTCGAGTGAGTCAGTAAATATCGGAGGGTCAGATCGAGATGAAATTCAAGAAACGCAGGGACGATGTTGAGAGAAATTCAAGTAGGGGCGAGAGAGGCATTCCAAATGGGAGAAAAAAGGGAGAGACAGCGACTCACTACTACCCTCCGCGGGAGCGGTCGGGTCGGGGATGAACGTGCTTTCAACTTCGTCTGAGCCAAGTGTGTGTCCGCCGCCAGAGAAAAAGCCAGGCTGACGTGCTCCTGGGGCACCGCGAGCAGGTTCGGGAGGAGGTCCTGCTCTATTATGCGGAGATATCGGTGGGACGGAAAGAGATGACAAGGGTCCAGTACAGAGGGAGACGTTGTAAAAAACGTCAGCATCAGAACGCCACGATACGCGACGAAGGGTATAGGAACAGAATGTATAGACATTTGTCAAGGACGTACTCTGCAGCACGGCGCAGCAAATCACGCACGACATCCCCTCCAGGAATATTCCTGACCGCATCAGGATTCTCCACCGAGATGCCACTGTGCATATACAGGATCAGTATGCATCGGAAATGGAGCAGCCCGCCGCAAGATGGGCAAGGAGATTCGTACCTACGCTCGCCACCTGCGAACCAGCTCTCTGCTTCTTGCGGCTCGCCATCATCGCTATCGTCGTCGCCATCGTCTCCATGCCCGTGTCCGCGATGCGAGCCCGCGCCCATCGGCGGCGCTCCAGCTCCACTGGCGCTGGTGATATCACTCAACGTCGCGACCCTTGGCCCTGAGTTGGTTCGACTACACATGGCCATATAATACACGCGTGAGCATCAGCATCACTGATCACCACCTTTTCACCACGATGGAGAGAGCGCCACCACAGGCCGCGCACGCACCTAGAAGACCCAGACGAGGGCCCACCGATGCGTCCGATGCGCGAGCCCGAGGAGGCACCGCTCGCGGGGCGCGCCCAGGCCGTGGGGATGGGCTCGTTAGACGCAGATCCGCCGAGTGTGCGCGGTGCGTTCGGGTTGTTAGAATCCGACATTCGTTCGATCGACGTCGTGTGTTCGTTCGGTGGTGCGATATACGAGCCCTATTATTTCAGAGCTTTGGTGACGCACAGGCGTATGAAAGTAGGAAGGAAGGCGAGAAGAGTACGCGTAGTATGGGGAATATCTGTTACAGCGACGCGTACACCTTATAACCGTGGGAATATTGGCCGGCTGGGGCAGTGTGATTCACTATGAATAGCCTTGCCAAGTGCAATCAAACATGAATTCTATGGTAAGTCCTTCGAGAATTTTGTGAGATCGTTGAAATAGGGCGCATTTGAGTGGATATCCATGATATTTATGTTGCCAGTTGAAAGTGCCACTAAGTAGTAACTTACAGAGTCCAGACTCGGAGATAGGCCGCCCCTCCAAAAGCACTCGACTTTTTGCCGGGACGGAGGCGGAATGAAACGTAGGTTCGACCGACCCCTCCCGAGCGCCGAACGCCGAACGCGTGAGGTGAAGGTGAGCGGTCTTGGAGTAAGACTAGGCATACGCGGAGCCACTGCGGACCCATTGACGCCAACACGGCCAGCGGTGAATCGTCCGAGCTCATCGACGCGCGTAAGCACATCTTTCGATTGGTCAATTCCAACTGTGCTTAATCAGATAAGATATGCGCTGACTCCCCATCATCGCGGCCTCCGCTGGCACACTCCTGCTGCTTCCACTGACCTCTGCGTTTTATTTTAGACTCATCTATCGCTGTGCCGCCGAACGGACGCGTCGACATGACTTCTCCATCCGGCTGATAGCTTAATTGCCAGGTCTTTCCTGCGTACATAAGGCGACCTTATGGCATTCGACAAGGCTCTCCACCGTCATATACTTAAACCCCCTAGCGGTGATGCTGGGCTCGACACGACGCATCTCATTCCTTAGCTTGTCGACGCCTTTCAGATCGCTCATTCGCTACCGCACAATGACGTCCACGTCTCCCACCTCCAAACCCACGCTCAACATCGTCATCATCGGCGGAAGCTACGTTGGTACGTGTTTTCCGTCTTCCTTCGACACTTGCACCTTCTCACATTCTTGTTTCTGCTTTGACCATCACTCTACCCCTCAGGCTGCAAAGCGGCAGAACTCATCGCCCAGCGCCTCCAGCCTTACAAACGTACACACGCCAACACCCACATCCCGCACCGCATCCTCCTCATCGAGCAGAACTCCCATTTCCAGCACCGCTTCGCGTTTCCGCGCTGTGCCGTCGTACCTGGGGACGAGCTCGGACTCACGGATGCCATCGGGGCCGCGAACGGAGCTGAGACCAGGAAAATCGGGCTCGAGCAGTTTGCGTTCATCCCATACACGCGGATGTTCGCGGCGCTCGAGTCTCCTGACACGTCTTCGTCAGATGCGAATGTGACGGCAGATACCTCGGTCACCGTCGTCCACGCACGTGCGACCTCCATTCTTCCATCGTCTATTGTGCTCGACCCGTCCTCGTCTCCTGACGATGCGCCCGCAACACCAACCACCATCCCCTACGACTTCCTAGTTCTCGCCACGGGGACGCAGCTGACCCCACCCGGCGTGCCTCCCGCTACCAATCACGGCGGCACAACAAAGCGCGAGGGGGTCGCATACTACCGCGCGCACCAGGAGCGCGTGCGCAGTGCTGAATCTATCGTCATTGTTGGAGGAGGAGCGGTCGGCGTGCGTACGTATTTGTCTTTGCTTCCTCTCCCTCCGCCTTTTACGCAAAACCCCATTTTCTTTTCATTTTCTGTTGGATCTACTCGCGATCGACATCATATTTCGAGCCCGGACTGACTTCTTTCAACAGAATTAGCCACCGACCTGAAAGAGCACTACCCGAACAAGCATATCACTCTGATCCACTCGCGCGCGCGGCTAATGCACACCTTCCACCCAAAGCTCCATGCTATCATCATGCAGCGCGTAAACGACCTCGGCATCGACGTAGTACTCGAAGATCGCGTCATCGTTCCGGAGGGCGGTTTTCCTGGCGCTGTCCAACTTGGAGCAGATGACCACGATTCGAAGCCGTTTGAGGTAGCGCTGCGCAGCGGGCGCGCGATTTCAAACGTTGATTTTGTCGTAAGCTTCACTCTCCCCCTTCCATTCCTCACGCTCAAGAATCTTCTCCGCCTTTGTGAAAGATCCTCGCGACAGGCCAAACCCCGCAGCCCGTGCCCATCTCTGTTTCGTGTCATTCTGACCCCGAATCTTCCACACCGACCCCCATTGCAATTCCCGCATCCGGCTACATTCCCGTCCTGCGCACCTTCCAACTCGCGCAGCCCGCAGACTCAACACGCGTCGCGCACCCGCATATCTTTGCCATAGGCGACGCCGCCGCGACACCCCACCAAAAAGCCGCGCGGCCGGGGTTCGCACACGCCGAGATCGTATCGCGCAACATCGAGGCGCTCATCCTCGCGAACGCAAACCCAAGCCTTGATCAAAGCAAATCCGGGGACCTGAAGCTCGAAGAGTACGGCGAGCTACCAGGCGGGATCCACCTGTCGCTCGGGAAGGTACGTTGGCCGGGCTGTCTTCTTCGATCCCGATTCTTACTTTGGCGTGTAGAGACATAATGTTCGCTTCCGCGAGTCTGAAGAGCCTGGCGGCGAGCCGTGGTACAAACTTTCAGAGGATGGGGCGGCGGATATGCGCGTGAGGAAGCTGTGGGAAGCGCGCGCGCCTGGGATCGTGGATTATACCCTCTGAACGTTTGTCGCTTGTCACGGCTGGTAGATAAAGAGGGGGTCGGTATGGGATGGTTCACATGGCTACATCACGCTCTTCGATGCACGGCGTGGCACCAAATACCGTGTTCGTATACGTCATCCAAAGCAAGCCTGCCGGAACATCTCATACGTCGTATCTCTTACCTCACAACCCAGCTTTCGACTGGTTATAAAGCACGCCTACTTGCTCTCTCTTGCTCTGTCCTCACAGCAACCTCAGTCATGGCCGCACAATTCGAAGAGGAATTGCTGAATTCTCTTCCCGCCAAGCACGGCCCCATGGTGCGTGAGTTGGCTCGGTTTCTCACCGTTTCCGGGGGGTGTACCAGAGCCCTACATGTTATATATCCTACGGTGGCCTAGTACCAGGCTCTGTACGACACCCTCATTGTGGAATTTAGGACCAACGCGACGTATCCCGGCACACTCCCTAATCACAAAGACGCAAACGGCTGCAAAATATTCTTGCAGAAAATGCGATGCGGTACTTGCGCTGCCTTCTACGGGAGCTAGAAAGTATACCAATCGCATCAGTCATCTTTCTATTTCTGACTTTGCCTTTGGCCAGTATAACCTAGAAATACCTCACAAGAGCTGCTGGTTCTCAGTTCCTGATGGGCCAGGCACTCCCTTCATACGGCAAGGTGGGGGGATGCTATGGCCAACATTGCTAACGATATAGCGTATGCGCACTCTACTGTCTGATATCTTGCTTCAACGTGGTTCAGTGTCATTGTCCAGGACAGTCAACTGAGTCGGCGTTGATGGGTTGGATAAGCTCAAGCGCCGGGAGAAAGCTAGCGAGCATTTCGAGGTTGTCAGCTCGAAGAAGCGTCATACGGCAGCAGTTAGCAGCCGTGATGGGGGCCGTTGGGATGTAATTGGCTCGAAGATCCGATACAGGGATCGCGAGACTTGCCAAGTCATGGAGGCATCCGTGATCGACGCTAGGTCCAGCGTTGTGTGCAAGGTGAGTATTACTGTGCGCAAGATACCCAAGGGCAGCAGAAGACGGTATCGATGGAAGACGTTGAGAAGGTCTTGAAGGAATGAGTAAATCGGGCGACGAGCGTGCTCGCTGCCATGACCCACTTCCTCCATGACGTCTGCCAAAGGCCCTTTTTTGTCTGTCAAAGTACCACCCGCGACGCTACCGTGTGTGAGCTCATGTAAACTGCATTGCTCGAAGCTTCAGATGCCCGGCTTATGAGCAATCATTGCATGGTTCCTTGGGCGAGTCTCTCAAGCAGCTACGTTTGGTCGGACCCGGAAATATCGAGCCCCGGCCAAATCGGGTGATCTCCTCAAAATTCCAGTTTCTTGCGAACAAAGGCTCAAAGCACAACAACGCTCTACTGCTCTTCTCCTCTCTATTGTTGATCACGGCCCGCGACGACGTGGCACAGCGCGGCACCGAAGGTGTTCCTGTCACTATGCCTAAAGCTGGAACATTTTAGATGCCTCAAAACACACGCCTCCCTTATGATAAAAGACTGGTATACTTCTTCTGTTCCTCCACCCTCCTGTTAGACCCAGCCATGGCCGCACAATCCGAACAAGAGATGCTCAACACCATCCCCACCCGCTACCACTCGATAATGCGCAAATTCGTTCATTTTCTCATCGTCTCCTCGGAGTGTTCCAAAGCCTTGAGGGTCCTGTACTCCGGGCCCGACGAGTACCGTGATCTGTACAACGATCTGACGAGGGAATTTATGACTAACTAGTCGGAATACCCTAGCGTGATGCCTGCCGATGGGAACGCAGATAGCTGCAGGGAGTTCTATAGGAAATGTGATGCTATACTTGCGCTGCCGTCTACGGATGATGAAAAGTACATCATTCGTTTCAGGGTCTGTATTGGACAAAAATAAAGAGTGCCGAGCAAGTTAGTCACATTTCGTCCAGGTCTGGCCAATTCGTGGAGGATCTCCAAAGCGGCAAGATTCGCGCAGATTCTGGGAGGATCTCGGAGACGTGTCCGTCTGTGCTTAGTTTTGTCCAATACGGACCCTCATACATTCGCGTCATTCTTTTCCTCTATCACTGAAATTTGGCTAGCGTCATATTGAAGTACCTCGCGGCGGCGGCTGCCACGCAATTCATGATGGACTTTGAAATCCGTGTATGTGGCAAGGTGGGTACACCATAGCCAACATGGGTGATGATATAGCGTACGCCCTTTCTGCCATCGAGCTTTGTTGCATATAGCTCGGTGTTATTATTTAGGATAGCGCACTTGGTGGGTGTTGACGGATTGAACGAACTCAAGCGCCGTCAGAAAGCCACCGGTAATGGTGGGAAGCGTTTTGAAGTTGTCGGCAAGAACATACAATATGAGGATCGCCGTATGTCCCAAGTTCGGGAAGCATCCGTGCTGGACGCCGGTTCCAGCGTTGTACAAGGCGACTACTACCGCATCCAGAATAGTGAAGGTCAGCAGAACACGATTGCGATGGAAGAGGTGATATCGACCGAGTGAATCGGTGGGGCATACTCGATGCCGTGGTCCGCTGGTCCCTGGAGCCGTCGTGTCTGATCAAATTCTTTTTTCGTTTGTCGTGATACCGCCCACGTTGTGTCTGAGCTTATGTACATTAGTTTTCTTGAAGCTCTCCTCGGAGGCCCACGCTTGTGAATAACTAAGATTGCACGCTGTCTCGTTGAGTCTCACAAGCAGGGTTCCTAGCAGTGAATCGAGCTCCAAACCGATGGGGACTCGGCCGGAGAATTCCGAAAGCTCTTTCGATCTGTTGTTTGCAATCCACGGGACTGAGTCATAACATATAGCAAAGCACGCCCAAATCAGTAGTACTGTAATGCCGCTCGCCGCCATCTCAATCCGTTCCGCGGTAGTCTCTCCCGAGATCTAGACGGGGACAGATCCCCCAAGAGCGTTAATCTGCTTCAGCCTCTAAGTTATTCACCTTCAGCGTCGCCCTAGCCGTTTGAGATGCCCTCGATAGCCTACGTTCCTGTCGAAGTCTTCCTCGACAACATCTTCCATCTCCTTCCCGTCTCTGATCTCATCGCTCTCTCGTTGACCTGCAAATACTTCTCCCGCATATGCGAGGATGACGCCTATTGGAAAGGGCGCTGCGCCGCTGATTTCGACTTGTTCGGAAACGAGACCGCTCAACAACATGGATGGAAGGCATTGTATCGAGAGCTCAGTTACCCTAAGCTCTTTGTATGGGGGTACGTCCATTTGAAGATTTTTTTGTCTTAAGCCTGAGTGCATTCCAATCCTAGGTGCCGCAGCGAGGGCAGGCTTGGTCCAAATTCGTATCGGCCGCTAAGAGGTTCGGGTGTGCCTTTCCCTACCGAGATCGAGATTCCAGGGATACGCCTCGTCTCTTTGGCCGCGAGTGGATGGTTGGGACCATCCATGCATCTCTTATCAAAACTGACGGCCGATTCCCCACGATAGGTCGTTTCATGCGTTGGACTCCAAGGGCTCTGTGTACGTTTGGGGTACGTTGTCCAATACTTATAGTGTGTGCGTGTACCCAGCCAATTCCTCAGGTACTTTGAACGGGGAGAGTACGTCACATGGCCAGGGCTTCAATAGTCCGTTCAAATGTGCACCAACCCCTCACAGACTTATTCTCCCCGAAACCGTTCGAAGGATCAGGTTAGTATATATTTTGCAGCACCTTGGACTCTGGATCACTGAGAGCGGCTTTCTTTGGCAGCTGTGGTAGGCATCATATGATGGCGCTCGATGACAAGACTCAAGTTTGGACATTCCTTAGCTGGGGACGGCCCTTCCGACTCCAGTCCACTCTGTTGGACTGTCATTCACCTTTAACGACTCCAGTACAGATCGAATGTGGCTGGATGTTTTCGACTATTCTTACCGGCTCGGGCGACGTGTTGTTATATTGGCCTCACCGCGGCAATCTACAACACTTCATAGACGCAAATGACAGGGCGTTGAACAAGCAGGGCGATGGTAACGAGGCTCGTGCTTCGGAGGATGGTGCCATCCCCTGCGTGACGAGCGTCATACAGGCTGACCCATACAGACTCCCTGCTATTCCCGCCCTTCCTAACCTTCCGGACACTGGGCTTACCCAAGAGCAGCTAGACAGAGAGACAAGATTGATCAAAATTGCCGCATACGACAATAATCTGGTTGGCCTTACCAATAAAGGCCACGTTCTCAAGTTTGGCGGCCTAGGCAGTCGGAAAGAGTATCTCCGAAGTCGCTGGGAATATGTGCGTGGAATCCCCGCGCCTACCTCATATTTTCTCATGTTTGGAGGTGATCTTTACATCGTAGCTGCCCAACTTCAGCGAGGCCGCCCGTGTCTGCAGCCACCCCACATTTGCCGGCCAGAACGCAGTATGCGAGCCGCCAAAGACGATGCGTATAACCCATGTCTGTGTGATATGATATCTCTCTTCCTTCATTTCAAACTGAGCTCTCTTAGATGTGTTTATTTGCGTGTACAGCTCTCTGCGCACTTTCGCACATTCGTAGCTTACTCCAGGGGTCCCAGTTCTGTCGTCCTCATGGGCGGTCAATCAACCAATGTCCGCTCTCGACCCCAGATATTGCCCGCTCTGCAGTACCGGTCTATCGTTTCGGTGACTCTTGGGGATTACCATTTTGGCGCTGTGACCTCTACCGGAGAGCTCCTGACATGGGGTGCGTACTCCAAAGGCGCACTCGGCCTCGGGGATCCTTTAGAGTTGCCTCTCGGTGCACCCGGCGGGTATCAGACAGCAGCAGAAGTTGAGGACGCTCGAACAAACTGGTGGATCGAGCCTCCGAGGGTCAATGAGCCCGTCGAGGTCAAGTTTGATCGCGGGAAAAAGAGAGGAAGACGACGTTGCGTTGCGGCATCCGCGTCGGGGTGGCATACAGGTGCTCTGGTGAATGGCTTCGAGGTCCGTTTTGCGCTTTTATCCTCTGCTCCCAGGGGCTTTTTCTTATTGGTTCTGGCCAACCCGGCCGCTGCTCTCGTGTCTATATAGTCTGACGTCGCAGAGGAATGTGTAGAGGACGATTGTACATAGGATAGGACGCATCCTACCTTCGCGCGGAGTGAGGAATGGCGTATTCATGGAGTGGGAGCCCTCAGTGAGTAGCGAAAGCGCGCCTGTGTCGAGTTGAAGCCTTTAGCAGGACCTCTACTGAGCGCGTGAACAGAGGATACTGTTATAGGTTTACTGCTGTATCTGCGACCTGATCAGCGCGGTGTCAGGGAACCATCAGGGAGCCATAAGAACCCAGAAGCAGCTGCGTTACATACTACCATCCATCCTCCTCTCTCTCGGATCACACGAAATATCGTCCGTGACATTGAAGCTTCGAAGACGAAGACGTGTCGGCCTATATCAATGAGTACGCACGTAATGGGAAAACTACGAATTGCCCAAGCCCGACAACAAATTCATCATCCTTGCTTGTCAATATATGACCTGATAAGCACCCGCTGAGATTTGTCAAGAAGTCAAACTCGGATAGTGATTATGAACACGATTCTATACTTTCGGAGTAGTCTGCATGCGAGCAAATTCTCTTTACTTACTATCACGGACCGCGTTTCCATTGTCATGCAGTACAACTGGTTCTAGATGTTGGTCGCCGTTGACTATATACATGTCAAATTGCCGCAGGCATGCACCCCGAGATGCTCGTCAACTGCGAGGGGCAATTCACCTGCTTGTACGTGACCTGCCTGTACGCCCAGCAAGCAAGCGCAAGCATCAGCATATCTTCGTGGGCACACAGGTCCGGTGAGAAAGCGTATAGCACGTACCAGTTATTGATATCGCCTCCAGCCCTGCACGCATAAACGATGATCGAAAAAGAAGGCAAGCAGAGCGAGTCAGGATCAAAGCGTGAGAAGTGAGAGGATACCGACCACTGCCAGCGCCAATGACATCCGGCCTGGAGCCCCGATGGAAGTTGAGAGCATTCCGCGTCGGAAGATACGCCGCCATACTGTCTTCCCCAGCCCTCTGCAGGCGCATTGTACTGTGCTGCGCAGCCATTGTAATCTGTGCGGCCAAAACAAACAGTCAGAAAAGCGCTCCAGATTTGTTGTCTCGAGTGTGAATCGAACTACGCTTACCACCAACGCCGCCGCCAGGGGTCTGAAAACATATACACTGATCTGTATCTAAGAGCATGCAAAACAGAGATATAACATACGTAGATATCAAAATCGGTTGCGGTTATGCCTGGAAGATTATAATTTTGAAGTCAGTAGGCATTGTCCTTGCTGAACTTTCGCAACGCGTGTACCTCCAGCGTTGATGGCCTGTACGATCATCGACTTGCCTGACCCTGCGCCGGAGGTCCATTTGAATTGGTAGCACATACAACCTTGGTCGTTACCAAAAAGAAAATCAGGTCAGTAAGGCGACAGAATCCCAATGGTCCGCTGTTCAGGTAGTCTTCACGTACATGTAGCAGTCGCTGTATTGCCATGTCCTGCGAATCCGTACGAGAATGTGCTGTTCACGATGGTCGGCTGATACGAGGAGCACGAGAACGCGAGGTTCGTCGCGCCGTTGGCGAAGCACGCATTTGTCGCGCCCGCTGATGCCGCCCCGTTACTCTTGTTACAGGACCGAACGGGGCCTCTGGCTCCTGGGGAAAGGTTCGACGTGTAGCCGCATGCGGGTTCACAGCTGCGTGAAAGACGTTGAGCATCATGCGGATGAGACCTCAGAAGCGGCATACCAATCCCACGTCGTGGTTGTAGTGCCTGTCGTTTGTGCTAGGACGGCCGGGAAAAGATGTATAATTCCTAAGAAAACTGCAGTCAAGGGCAAAATCATGATGTGTCGGTATACGGAGCTGCTGGTGCAGTCTCTGAGAGCACCATTCCATCAGGCTTTAAACCTCTGAAATCCATGAGAGAGATTTCAGCATGATACCTACTCATGATCCGATATTCAACCACCATATGAATGGATATGAGCACGGGGTTTCAAGAGGGACGCTGATACTGGGAGATTATTTGAGCCAGGGGAGTAACTGGTGAAAAAAGCTCGGCGATTTCGTGAGAGGAAACTACTAGAATGCGAGGTTGTTCTCGTGATGAAGTCGCCAACGGGTCCTCCCTGAGTGTCTTCAGGCCAAAAAAAAATTAGGGGGAACAGAACTCATGTTCGCTCCTCGCGCGGCCGACTCACAAACATAAGGAGAACAAAATATCGCAATGACGAGAAGGACTATTGCGAAAGGCAGGTGAAAATCAAGGGGTTTGACTGCCGGCCTGTAGCTGGGCTGCGGGGTAACACCGGCCACTTACGGGGTCAATATCATTTATTTGTCGTTGCTGAGTGGTGGAAGTGTGGTGGGACCGAATCGGTGAGACCGTCGAAGGCATTTCGACGGACTGATCCTATATAGATGTTACAACTCGCACCTAAGGTTCTGCTGTCGGCAGATCCGAGAAGAAGTCGACGTTGAGCCGATTTTGTGATTCGAAAATGAGCACAGACAAGGTCAAGTATTATCATGTGTGTAGCTAGGCGGGGAGACGATTGACGCTGGGATGAAAATTCGGTCAAAAGGAGAGAAGACCGTGTTTGGATGTGACACCCCGTGACTGACGCGTCATGTCACATCAAATCACAACGGTATTGGCGCGTCGTCGTCACGATTTCTTTTTGCACTACGCCCACAATGGCACGCGCAGGTCCTTCTCGTTCTCAACGTGCTACGCAACCTTCACAATCACAGCCCCAGTTTCGTAAACCTAATCAGTCGCAGAGGACGCGTCGAAAGCCTCGTACCCCAGAGGAGGATGAAGACGACGAGGGAGAAGCAGGTCAAGAGAATGATCCTGATCCTGACGATGATGATAGCGACTCAAACGAAGATCAGGTCTGTGACATCTACTGCGGTTTTCATAACAAGCGTGCTCACATCTATGGGCGCCTTCGTTAGGATCTCAACCAGAAGGCCTACTCCTTAGTCCGTCTGGCTCTGTTCCAGGAGCAGAAGCGTCTTCCTCTACGTCGAGAGGAGATATCAAAGAAAGGTATATCCTCACACTTTCTGGATCATCGCGCTATTTAATCTCCAGTTTTTTTATCGTGACTCTCAATAGTTCTAGGAAGTAAACGCGGCTCATTCAAGGTCGTATTCGAAGCAGCTCAGAACATCCTTCGAGATACCTTCGGGATGGAGCTTGTCGAACTCCCAACTCGCGCAGCTGCACAGGAATCCGAAAGAGACAAGAAATTTGAAAAAGATAAGACAGAGAACGAGCAGAACGGCGGGGACGAGAACCGGCAAACCCTCACAGGTCTCAAAAAGAAAGGTACGCCTCTCGTCCACGACCTCCTCACGCTAACATGGTTACCTCATCGTCGTGCATATGGAAGCTACCATTCAAGGATCCAAAACATACATCCTACGCTCAACATTAGACTCGAAAATTATAGAGTCTGCAGCAGCAACAGACGCGTCGATACTTGCTCAGGAATCCGCTGACGCGCCAGATGGCGATGACGATGATGAAGTCGGCACAAACCTCTACGGGAGCATCATCGCATGGAATAGCTCTGATCAGCTAGGCGCCCTCGGTATTTTGCATGTCGTACTTGCCATCGTTTTGGTAAATGGCAGGGTTATTAGCGACAGTATGTCTATGATCAGTCCGAGGAATGTGACTGACATCCGGATTTGGTTCGTAGTGGACCTCCGGACGGCCCTCAAACGCCTCCGTCTTGTGCCAACGGCTTCTATACCCCTCTCAGCTGCCTCCACTCACCGCTCAATACAGCTCGAAGCTTACCTTTCCCTGCTCTTGCGCCAAGGCTACCTCGATCGTATCCGTCTCGGCGGGTCAAAAGGGGGCAACAAGCGTGGGCGCACGACACAATCACAGGCACAGACGCAGCACGACGGCGACGGCGAGGTCGCCTGGGAGTGGCGTTGGGGTGTGCGCGCGATGACTGAGATCGGCGAGGCGCCGGTGGCGCGTTTCGTGGCAGAGTTCATCGCTGAACGGATGGCCAGCAATGACAGTGAAAGTGAAGACGAGGACGATAATGGAGAGGCTGCGAGGAAGCGGGCCAAGAAGAGAAAAGAGGAGGCGAATAAACGCTTGGATGCGCTCACCAAGGGCATTGAGAAAGCTGCTGGTGGAGATCTGCAGGAGGTCGTTTGAGGGTATTCCTGCATTTCGGCCTGGCTGCCTGGTAAGGATGTTCGCTTTTAGGTAAAATGTGCTGTGCTTGGTCTTGTTTTGGATTACTTATTCACTTTTCCCTGATGCAAGTTCATTAATCATTCGAAAGGTATATGAGAATCGACTCCGTGCTCATTCACTGCACGACAGTTGTATGAGGCACTCGCTACCTCTTCAGTCTTCACAGGATTCCAAGTGCGACATTGGCACATCGCGGTGCGTCCCAAATTTGATCCTGCTCCTGGCTAACGATCTATAGACTCTCGTAGTACACATTCTTCATACATCATCAATGTTCAGTTGCAAGATATGTAATAAGTATATACCGCCACAATTTCCTATTCATCGGCCTCTGCCTATGCGGCTTCCACGTCCTCAAACTCGAAATGCACGAGTAGTGTCGCGCCCAAATATTTCCCTTGGTTATCCAGCATACGCATGAGCCGCCACCCAGGCTGCACTTGTTCCACCCGCGCGACAACTGCAGCTCTCTCTGCATCTCTCTCATATTTTATGTTTTCCTTGATACGAATGCTGCAACAGCCTCATATCAAACTAGATATGATGGAGACTGGACTGGAAAAACGTACCGTATAAACGTCACACTGTCCGCGTCGTACTCAAACGCGAAACGCGCGTCCCAGAAATAATCAGCTAACCCTTCCTCAGGGTTTTTGCATAGCACTGTTTCGCTCCGCCATTGCGTGCTGGCGTCTTTTGGGACGCCAGTGTATAGAAGATGAGCGCGAACATATGCAGCTACGTTGGTCCTTTCTTTACCAACAGGAACTACGCGCCCATTACAGAGCACGTAGATGGGTCATGTCAACGAGTGCAGTACAAGCCCCAAGGTGATAGACGTACGTGAGCTGAGGCCGACCACGTGGCATTTGAGCCTCATCTTCCGACCGTCTGTAGAAGGTACTTGGCCGAGTAGCTTCTTGGGCTTGACGACCCATCCGGGTGTCCCAGCAAACATGGCTTCGTTCATCTATAAATATGCGTGGACAAAAACGCTCATCAGTATGTGAAATCTCATCTTTCCGAGACAGACGCACTTGAACACCAAGATCATACCGCTGCCAGTTAAGTGCAGCGATTTGGCTACCGGAGCTCCATGAGGCAAGCGGGTCAGGGTTGCTGGATTCGATGCGAGTACCGCGTGGGTAGACGCGACGGAGATGACGCTGAGCGTTGGCGATGAGCGCGTCGAGCGAGTGAGGGATGAGTGCAGATAGCGCAGACTCAGAAATGTTGATCATGACGTGTGCGGGATACGTGATGTCTGGGAGCGGGTGGGTTGCCGTCAGCATGGAAGGGGCAGGAGGGAGGGACAGGAAACGGACGGGTCGTGAGCCAGTCTTTGCTTGGTTTCATGCTGCGTGCGTAGACGCCGAGCTCGGCGAGAGTGTCTGAGATAGGCGAAGGCTTGGGCGGTTTGGCAAGTTTGGCCTCTACTCCTGGTGACTCGTCGTCAGAAGAGGAATCATTAGACGAGGAGCTTGGTGGCGCGTTTTGGGATTCCGTATCTTCCGAGTTTTTAGGAGGATAATACTCGACCTAAGACCAGGGTATCAGAACACTGTTATGGGTTGACCGGTACTCACGACCCACCATGACCATGATCCTGCCCTTGAGGTCTTTCGGCGTAACCTCCGATTTGGTGCCCTCGACGCCCAAGGGCCCTCTAACGAGCCGTTCTCCCCAGCACTCCTCCATGATCTGCACAATTTCCGGCTGACCCTCAACAGACACATGGCACTCGAGGCTAACGAGCACAGGCCAGTCGTGCTCACGCACGGCTTGCCCGACGGCCTCGCAGACCTCTCGGAACAAGACCGCGCTCGAGAGTGTGTAGCCATGCGTGACAACCAGCCCGCGCGCAGATGACCAGACGTCCATTTCGACGCAGCGCGCATGCTGCCAAAGGACGTGAACATAGGAGAGCGCTGACGAGTGCCCGAGCAACTGGCCCGAGAGAAGGTAGGTGTTATGAGAAGACCTGCCAGAGGTAGGAAGATCGTCAGGTTCAGGGGTAGTCGACAGTGCATACTATTTCGAATGCAGAACAGGGAACTCACGAAATGAAATAATCCCTTAACGGTCGAGCATCATCCACAGGTAATGGCACGATGACGGGCAGCTGGAGAATCTCGTCTGCTGACTGCATCATCCCATCACCATTCCATCAATCTATGTCCACGTCAAAACTGCCACAAACTCAGACTCACCTCTCCTTTCTCCTCGAGAAACTTTTCTACGTCTTCGCTCAGCCTAATGTGCGCGTCGGCAGGTGGACGAACATTGACAAGCGTGTCGACCGCCTTATTCTGTAATGTACTCAGCTCCTCCGCCCACTCGCGCATGCGATCGCTCATTGCAATTCGTTAGATAGATACTAATTATAAGCTGTGTTCAAGAATATTCGTGAGAGAACTAGAAGGCGTGAATGGTGTGTAGATTGTGGTGGTTGACAAACAAGATCAGGATCAGCGTCGTCGTCATGTTTGTGCAACTCAGGGGCGCGGATTTTAGAGTAATCAGTTGAACTATGGGCGCATAGGCGCTTGGAGACATCGACTATAACACTGGTATAAAATAACATGACCAAAACGACTAGCACCGTACGTGGTATCACGTCGAGGCATGTCCTCCGGCACAAAGTCCAAGTAAAATCTACCAGCGACTTGGAACGCACTGCCAAACTAGGATTCCCTCCATTAGACAGTGATGCCACTGATCAAGGCTTGAAGTCTATGTCCTGGCCGGCAACTCGTATTCATACACTCCCGCCGCACCCGAGTCCCATCGCTCCCTTTCCCTATCCCAGTGGCTCCGCAGATGCGAGAACCTGACATTATCATACACTGCTGCTGATTGCCGCTCTCCGTGACTGTCCTCGCGCCCATCTCCGAGCATGTGTTCATGCCCATGACTTGTCCTCGACGACAATGAGGCAGCAGTCTCGTTGGATTCCGTGTAAGAATGCCGACGGACATTGAGGACAAGACGGCTGAGCGTGATGTTTGTCGCGCACCATATGAAACTGTATTAAATACGATAATAACTAGAATTCAGAGACGTGTGCCCCGGAGAAGGGGGAATTGTACTGACAATACTCCCAAGAAAACCAGAGACAGCTGAATGTTTTTGTGTGAGTTCGCCGGTAGTACTTTCTTACGGATGTTATGGTGGCAAAGATACACACCGGCGCAACGATAGCCAGTACGAGGTTCGTGACCCTCAACGCTGTTCGCACACACCAAGCTTAGGTCTCTCTGTGTGCACATGATTAAACCAAGACTCACACAGCAGCACCTGAGAATATCACGAGCGCGTCAATCAGCTTCCAGCTTCACAAGGTATTAGAGCAGAAAAACAAAAATAAAGCGCCCCATTCAAAAGAGGAGGAAATGCAAGATAGCGGTCTTAGACCTCTGTCCATGAATGGTTTTATAGCGAGAGGAATGTCACTCACGAATACAAAGACGAGACCATCGCGGTAAAGCACGCGCGTAAGAGCCTGGTCAGACTCCCGTGGACGCGCCATCGCGTTCCAACAGACCGTCACAAAAACGACGACTTCAAAGAAAACCTGTAGATGCGCCGGAAGGACGGGAAATGTCAGGATTGAGTCATAAGAAGAGTACAGTTAACGCAGTCCACACGCTGCACTTCAGAAACTGATAGCGAAATGGACGGAAATAGTGAAGCCGATGGAATATGTATTGAAAGGAGGAAACGCACCCCAGGCGCCCAGAGACCCTCGATGTGGACTTTTCGTGTCAGGGAGCATATGCGTAAAGTAGCATTGTACTCTAAAACCGCTGTGTACGCGTCAACGGAAGCAATCTAATTAGAAGTAAGCTAGAAGCAGAGACAAAAGACGTACGACGCATCTGCACTGCGACCCAGGTGACCATCGCGAATGTACCGAGCTGGGAGATGACGAAGACTGCAAGCGAGGCGCAAACGAGACGCGGCTGCTTATTCCAAAGAATCCAGAGCCGTAAAAGAACGATGACTTGTTAGACACATCAGATGCGTTCGCATTGGAGAGCGGTCGGAAGTGGGTCAGCTCGATGAGAATAGTCACTGTAGGACAGTTTGCGAAGACAGATGATAAAGACGTACAGTGCCCGTTCGCGATAGAAATCATACCGAGAATAATTGCGATCGTAAACCACGTTTTGCAACTACGAAACAAGGGATATCATTATAAGTTACGAGACAAAAGCATGAAAAAGAGCCTACAACTACATCGCAAAATTGAAGCGAGTCAGAGTTTAAATTTTCCAATGAAATGACAGACTTACAGCATCCGATGGCCCTGGTGAAAGGGCTGCAAGAGCTGCGCGCCGTCGCCAAATTCAATTCGCAGAATCAGCCAACGAAATTGCCCGCCCATTAATCAAGCCGTAGAGAAGGGAGCGTAAGGGTACTCACGATAGATAGTGACAAGCATGAGAATGGGAACAAGGTAACGATTGATGAGAAATAGGGTCTTTGGGAGCGTATTACGGGCGCGCCAAATAAGCTCGATCTCGTCGTTGATCGTGAGAAGGTGATCATATAGCAGTGCGACAAGGCCTGCCGCTACGTACCGAGCGAAGAGCCATATCCAGGTCAGTTGGAGTGTATGGTGAAAAGTGAAAAATAGAGGACGTCTGCTCACCACTGAGGTATCGAGTAGCGTTGACATTCTTCAAAGCCGAGATGAGCTTCTCCGCATCCATTGTAGGCCTCAGTCCCCTCCCTGCCAGCAACTGCTGCTGCACCGCAAGCGTGCACGGACCGTCCTGAACGCGAACGGGAGGAATAGGAAAGAGGGGAAAAACGTAACAATCGATCCCACAGACGAGGCTTTAAAGAAATAATCGAGATCTTTCGAAGTCTATGCACGCATGGTTTCTATGTCAACACCACAAGTAGAGGGGCATGGTCTGTCATGACGCTCGCGGCACATCGCGTCGTCCGATGGTTCAATTCGACGGAAAAGGCGGCAAGAAGTTGAAGCTTCCGTCTGCATGATAAGGCGACCAGGTGCCACAGATTCAGATCGCCTCGGATCATCCGGGGCTGTATGTGGCTGGACGCGGGAGATCCTATAATGAGTCATGTATTTCAAAACCGGGGTGCCTGGGCGAGATCGACAGGCCCGAGTGCTCGTCGCTCGAGTACAATCTTTGAGCGGAATCAGACGGAACCATTGCAAACGCACTTACACTTGAGGCCATTGCACATTTGCAGTGCCGTGAATGAAAACACAAAACAGAGGTGGATGTCAGGTGGCAAAAACTTCTTTCTCACCGGAACTAAAGTCAGCGTCTTGCACAAATACAATGAACCCACCGACTCTGCGACCATCTTTGACGAACTCTGAGGCGCAGTTGGAAATTGCAATTTGCAAGGTCATCGCCAAAAGCAAGTTGATATAAGTACATATATGGATATATACTCAATGTTCAACGGTATGCCTGGTAACCCATATAAGCATGGCAATGGGTGTAGGGAAGGAACGAACCTGCACTCACCGGTGTGGAAATTGAGCATCAAAGGAAGCAACGCAAAGACATGCATTTGCTCATACGGACATAAGCCAGCACGGGGAAGTAAGTACGTCCCCGTCGCAAGAAAGGAGCTCGCCAAGGAACTCCAGACTAACTGGTACATCAGAACCTGAATCATACATGCAACCTCCCGTAATGGATCATCTCCAACCATGATATAAAAATCTTCGTAACATGCACAACAGACTCTCACAAACTCCATTCAATGGCGACCCCTGCTTCCGTTCTCAATGACTTGTTCGAAAGTCTCGAAGATGGGATGGACGGTTACTTGATTATCCTCACACCACCGTACTCAGCGAGCGTCCACGGATGCTTAGGTCCAAGTGTAACGATGCACATCCTGCTGCGTGGGATATTCAGCTCGCGTGACACAGCCTCAACAAGCTGTTCCAGCATGCCGAGGACATGAAGAAGCGCGACGTGGGATAGATCGGGACCCATGAGTCATTCAATCAACTCATTAGCGATCAACAGTCCTAAATGAAGACAAAAGAAGGGAACGTACCACGGGATTAAAGACGCCTAGCACAAAAACGAGACTGTGACAAAGGAGGGAGAATGGAAGGCAAAATGAGCGAGCTAGATCCTAGACCGAGAACGCAGATGCAGGGAAAAAGTGTATGATTGAACGCACTCGACTGTAATCGTGGGAAATGCCTCGTCCAACAACCGTGAGTTTGGATGGAGCTCGTTCGGGATCCGATCTGCGCTCCTATATGCATGTACGAAGACCACCTTACTCGCATGCGGTGTGTTGGCCTGTACGGACAGAAGCGTCTGGAGCATCGTATGAATCTGTATCCAGAAAGGTGCCGTGGAATTAATTCAAACATTCCCACAGATCTGCAGCCTAAGACAATTTGGTGCATGAGAAAACTAGCAAAAATCACGCACGTCGTCATGCTTGATCCAGACGCAGACTGAAGCGTCGCGCGTATGTTGATACCACCGCACGAGCATTTGCTTCCACTTGCGTGTACAAGCCCAGCGTTCGAGTCCGCTTGTGCTATGAATGCGCAAAGCAAGTCGTACTAAGTACGGTTGTGAGTCAAGGACAAAGAACATGATCAGCACGACAAAAAAGAAGGCCGCAAAAAGTCCGATCGCGGTTGGGCTAAACGATCGAGCGACGCAGTGTCAATCTTTCCGAGGTGGAGAGGAGAATGTGAGAAGACCCACTCCCGTGCTATGTTCCCTGCAAGGGTTACGCAAACGACGGTGAATGCGCCGAGAAGAACCATTGTGTTCGCGGATGGCTGTCGTGGGAGATGCGGGCGGTTGATTTTAAGTAAGATGTCTGAAATGGTGAACTGAAAAAGAGTTATGATTAGGAGAAATAATTGAACTAGCATGATAGGTTAACTTACCAAGAAGAGGACGAACAAGAAGGAGATCGAAAACATAGATGACACAGTGGCCAGATTCATGCCCGAAGCAAGGAACAGCAGCAGGGCCAGAAGGAGCGAGAACAATGTCGCGAGCCACGTACTCCCTGTGATCGGTAGCTCACTCACAAAAACTTGCGGGAGCACTCGATCCCTGAATATAGCTTCAGCCCGTGCTCAATGGATGTGGTGTCTAGCACGTACCGCGTCAGTCGCCCAATCAGCCCATCCGCAGTGAGTACACCTGTGAGGACCCCGCCCAGCAACACACCTACGGCATCCACAACAACGACGATACGCAACCAGCGTCCGGCAGCCACTTCCGCAAGCACTGACAAGATATTTGCGCCACTTGCAATGGTCTCAGTAGAAAGGATGGCATACACCATGAGTGAGAGCACTCCGTTGAGTGCCACCGCGATGGCCACGAGATTACGTAGAGCCGCAGCGTACGTTTTCGTACTCATATGCTCAATGTACGAGGGCGTGCACTCAAACCCTATCGCGGAGTAAATGATTGTGAGCGGAGCCTAGTCAATGGCAATGGCGGAGGAGTAATATGCACCTGTCACACCGAGAAAGGCAACACATATACCATAGAATATGGCGCGCACAGTTTCGAGCGCGCCAACCGGACGAAGCGCCCAATTGGCGCGCAAGACTGCAGACGTCGTGTCTGCACGAGCCCAATGAACGACACATGCGATCGCAAGCATAGCCATACTAAACAACTGCATGAAAACCCCTGTTCAGTATGCAGAATGGCACGCAGCGCGTGCGAGAGAGCAGCGAAAACACCATACGTGAAATAAGAAAACTGAGGCGGTCACCGTCGTGCTCTCACGCAGGCCAGCAAGAGCGAAAAGCCCAAGGGCAATGAGAAAAAGAATGGCAAGGACGCCAGTCGAGATTGGTAAGTGAGCAAACTCGCCCGCGAGGTAGGTGCTTGCTGTTGCTGCAGAAACGGCCGATGTCGCAATTGCATCGAGTAATGTTCCAGCCGCGCCAATGATGGCAAGAAATTTGCCTGAGGCCTGGAGTAGGTAGACGTAATTCCTAGAATAAACGTGTATGGCAAAGGAGGGTGTGAGAGAAAGTAGATACTTACGCGCCATTTAAGTGAACTGCGTTCGCAAGCTCTAGCATGACTGGACGGAAAAATAGGAGGAGAAATGTGGCAACAACCAAGCATAGAGGAGAGTAAATGCCTCAAAGTAACAAAAAAATGGGGAAAATTAAGGATGGAGACACGTGTCATGCCTACAAAGCGCGTACCTGCAGCAGCTGCGACCACTGGGAAAGCATAGAATACACTTCCGGTCACACCGTTTCCAGAAACGGAGGTTGCTCTGATCTCATTCAGCGACTTTACTGGGTGGTTCAAGGACTCCTCTGCCGCATGCAAATCCACCGGCGTGATGTCCAAGTATCGCATGGATCCCCAGCCCTGATTTGACGATAAGTTCACGAGTACACATATACTCATTCGTGGGGCGTACCGCAAATTCCCACTCGTTGCTCAGATGAGGCGAGCGCGAAAGGTGGGGGCGGATCTTGGGTCCGTCGGCATGACGCTGGCGGCGGACGATCTTTGAGAGACTAACAGTGAGCACCCATCCAAGAAAATCTAGGCCACTAGACAGGCTCAACACAGCCAAAAAAAAGCGCGTACGGTTTGAAACTCGCTTTGCGCAAACGAGGGAGGCGTGCTTGGGATAGGAGCTTGTGTGGCGCATTAAATGGAGATCGAGGGTAGATTGCGAACTTGCGAGACTCACTAGTGAGCTCTTTATTTGTCTGCTCGTCTCTTTTGGAGACGACATGGTCCTTGGATGGTTCTTCTACATGACCAGTGTCAGGAGCTATGCCGGTGCGCGCGCAACATGTCGTGAGAAACTCTGTTGAAGTCAGGAGGAAATCAACTCACACAAATCCCCTAGGCTTGACTCAATCATAGGAAGAGTCTTTGCCTCCATGTTTTCCATGGATACGGACGCCACCAACCAAGAACGCGACAGTGTGCGTTCGTAGGGCCTCTGGAGGGAGGAAACGGAGGTCAGGACTAGTCTTCCAAAGGCGACGACGTTGGCGCTGCTCCTTCAACGTTTGAATCTTGTGTAAGGTCAGCTACGAAGACTCCGTTTCAAGCTGTTTCAATATCCAGATATCCGTATCTGACCGCTAGGCACCTACAGCCAGTCCTTAGAAAAATGATCAAGATAGATGTTCAATACATGAAGCTGTCTGTTGACATCGAGAAGGGTTGCCCGCGTCGAAATTGGTCATAAATTGGCCAAACCCGGCTCGGTCAAATTTACTCATTTCGCGCAGAACATCTCTGCCAATGGTTCGGCCCTGAAAGAGCGTTGTAGCCGTGGACCAGATTTAAATACATGTCTGCCGCTGTCTAAATGATGCATACCTTGACGGAGGGAATCATTCAAGTTGGGAGGATAGGGGAGGACACTGGACAGACGCCCAGGATCACAATGGGATGATACAATCTTGATTCGGAATCTGAGCGGCATGGACAAGCTGTCGCGGAGACCTGTTGTTTAGGCAAATATGTGTACTGATATAACCCCAGTATGTCACAAACCGTCCTCATACATCGCGGACGAATAGATAATTCGAAGAACGAATCGCGCATAGAGCCACAATATTCAAGAAAGAGAAATGAAGGAAAGAAAGGAAGATACGGGCGAAAGAAAAGAAAGATCCGAGAAGGGAAGTGGAAGGAACAACATAGATGAAAAAAAACGTAGGGTACGACACTCCGCTCATAGCACAGACCCAGTAGTCCATTCATTCACATCTGAGAATCCAAGCCAGCCTACAAAGGGCGAATGGCCCTTGAGAGAGGAGAGGAGGTACAAGAGAGTGGGGCAGCACGCTACCAGAGAGGATCCACCTGTCTACGAGAAGGTTCGCTGACAGAAACAGAACACACGACGGTATCACGCACGCAGAGGAGGACAAGGCAGAATATTGCCCAGTCCAGAGATGCCGCAACTCGAGCCCACCTACAAGTGAGTGTGCGCTCGCCCCGGTTTGAAATCCAGGGCACACGCTAGCGCACGTCAGTCTGACAGTCACTCATGAATCGTGTCTGCGCTCACACCGATTCGTCAATACTCAACCTGACAAGAAAGCGATAAGGGAATCCGCGCACCGTCGTTGAGATGTACACGTCAACCGAGTCAGGGATCCAACTTTTCCCCGCGTGCGAGCACGCGAACGACCTTGCTAGGCTGCGCGACGAGTTCCATCATCGCCTTGACTGCCGGTGGGCGCTCGACTAGTGCGCCGCCACCCGGGCCCCGCTCCCGCTCCCGCTCACTGCCCGAGTGTGAGCTAGAGTTCTTGCGCCCGCGGTGCACAGGCGCGCGCTTCGGTCTCTCTCGCTCCTCCTCGTCCTCCCCACGCGCGCCTACACTCTCGCCGGCCGGTGCGGGCCGCACCATCATGAGGTCGATCCCTGCGCGTCGTGCCCAGTGAGCTACGAGTGCGCCGGCCGTGCGAGGTTCATGCTTGTTGGCGTGCGGAACCGGGAGTGGGACGGGAGATGCGGCTGCGTTGGCCAACTTGGGCGAGAGTTGCTGCACTGGCTGCGTGGGAGGCTGCGAGAGCACGGCGAGGACGATGCGTGGGCCCCCGGGTGTGCCCGAACGATCCGCAGGGAGCTCAGTCGCTGCGTTAACGGCTTCCCAGCGGGCACAGCAGATCGTGCGGCGGACCCATTCCGGCGAGCTCGCGGCGTGAGGAACGCTGTTGTCATCTGCGGCGGGCTCGGAGAATGTGATGCTATCCCAGAGGACAAAGGCGGAGTCCTGTTGCACGCGGATGCGGGGATTCGTGCCGACCTGGGCCTCGAGGATGCGCGAGGCTGCGCGGGCCCGCTGGGCAAGATGACTCGTGCCTTTCTTGAGGAGATCAAGCGTGTTGAGGGCTGGGAAAGTCGAAGGGTTAGCATGGGACTAAGGAGAGGTTGACAGGCTATGGCATGGGAGTGGAATGATTGTAGCGAGGAGTACAGGGCAGTGATCATCATCTGCTTGATGGATAATCGGGCAGACAGTCGCAGGGGACGTCCGTCGATACATTCCATCCCGTGAATGAAAGCTGTGGGTACAGACATCCATGACGTTGGACCTGTCCTGCATTTGCCCTGGCGGGGTTAAGAGGGCTTCACCAACATCAAGACCCAGCAGGATGAGTTCAGCATATCCGGGCGCTCTGTAGCCCGTGATAGAGTTTTCCTCCAAGTGCATAGCTGCCCCGTATACCTCAAAAAAGCCCCACAATCCACAAAGACTCACCTTCAAGCGGCACAATGATGATCTCCTCGCGGCCGTCCCTGCACCACTTCTTCACTTGGCCTAGCGCATGGATCAAGACGCTCGAATCTAGCACCACGACATCTGCATCCTTACTCGGCTCTCTGCGCTCCTCCCGTCTCTCCTCCTCTCTCTTCTTGATCCTGATCTCGCCGGCCATCCTTTCCCGTTCTCCCTCGCCTGGCTTCCTTCTCGCCACCTTCGCTCCGGTCGGGACGGGTGATCGCTTGCCCCCGTAGTTGATGACGCCTCTGCCACTGGGAACGTTGGAATCCGGTGCGGGCCTCCGCTCACGCCAGTTGCGAGCGCCTGGTCCCGCGGAGACGGATTTCTCGAGCTGTTCAACTTGGTGTGTGAGGAAGGCTGCGCCGAGCGCTCGAGACATTGCAAGCTTGTTATTCATGATTCCCTGACATAAAATGGGTATTTGATGAGCACTTGGTACGAGGGAATACGCACCTTGGTGTCTGCCATGATTATTGCCGTGGGGGTCGGTGTATGGAATGGGCCTGTAAGCCCAGGCTACATATATGGCTGGTATGCGGACGCAGTGGGACCCCGATCACCATACGGTGGCCGTGGTACCGCCCAAAGGCACTGCCGCTGTATTTTCAATTTGACTCAACTGCGTGTTGCGGTGGCGGCAGACAGCCCCAGACGGAACACAGCAACACAAGGAGGACAGCTCTACGATCCGCCTTGGTACTCCAGCTAGATTATCTATGTATACGTCTAAGATCACAAAAAAGACAGCCCACTAACTTATGGGTATCATCGTAGGAAGGCAGGAAGTCAGGCAGTGGATACGAGAGTGTATAGGCATAAAAGATCATATAAGAACGCACATAAACCAGTCCATATCTCATGCTCCTCGTCGTAAATCACCGCTTCCGCTTTTACCCTCCAAATCCAAATACCAGCCCAAATAGATCTCGCCACCCTTTGCGAATCACCACCTGCACGCCACCACCGTACTCGTCCCCGAGCCACTCCAAGAACTTCGCATCCAAGCTGCTCAGCGGCCCAAGCTCGAACGATAAGACGTCCCGTGGGGTCAGCGCAATAGATCCTGCGCCGCTGCCGGGGCCCGACATGAACGTCGCGAGCCTCGAGAACAAGAACCCTGTCTGCGCATGGAACGTCTGCAGTAGCGCGAGCGTGGTCAACACCTGCCGATCGCGCCGCGCGTCCTGCACCTCCTTTGGCGGAGTCCCAGGCGCGTCCACAATAACAGGAAACGCCGCACCGTCCCCCCTGCGCAGGCCCGCAGCCTTTCCGACCGACATTCCGCTCGACCGCCGCATCGCGCGGCTTGTCACCGGCAGTGCGCCAGGCATCTGTACGGGACGACCTTCGATCCCGTTCCCGAGGCTCCGCATGTAGCTCCCGCCGACAGTCAGGTCATCGTCGCCCTCGAGTTGCGCCGCGCCCCAGTCCCCGTCCCGGCTGGAATAGGAGGCGATCGAGTTCCCGCGCCAGGATCCGATCCAGAGCCCTGCGCAGACGATACAAACTTCTTCATACAGGCGCCACGCATCCGTCCAGGCTGCCCCTCCTTGCGCCGCGGCAGCAGCCGCTGCGGCGCCGCACTGATGCATAGTGTGGTGTCCTGCCTCTTCGGCGTCAAGCTGCAGCAGCCTATCCAATTCCGTCCACTGCGCCTACGGCGTAAGCGACGCAGCAACGCTACTCCATAAAAGTACACTCACCAGCTTGACGTCACTCCACGTAAACCGTACCGAAGATAGTTTGTATGACGGGCTGCGAGAGCCAGGCGATACCTGCTGTCGAGAAGTATACATGGCTGGCCTCGTCGCTTTCACAGGGGTAGATGTCGTGAGATCAATGATGAGATCGTAATACTGTGGCTTCTCCAAGAAAATAGCGTCGGTCGTACCTGCATGCGTGATGTCAGCCAAAATTTGGAACACGCAATGTAATGAAGCACACATGCGATCCAGCCCTGTCCGCCCATACTGCCCTGTTTCATCTTGTCTAGGTCGTGAAGCGTGACCATGCCGAGCACGTTAACGCTTTTCTTATGTTTCCCTTTCAACCGCGTCTTTAACGGGTCCGTGCTAGAGCTCGCAGTGTCGGTCGGCTCGAGCTCGACCTGGTCTTCGTAACATATGTCCGCAGCGACCTGGCAGAGTATGCATGCTGCCTCGACAGGCGGTAGCGTGTATATGAGTATGCGCCGGCGGCCAAGAACGTGCTTGTACAGCGTGAGACATGACGGTCCGAGGATACGCAGGAGGTGAGGGAGATGGAGAGTCGGGCTTGACGATGACAAGTCTGCATCGGGCTACATATGGGTGAGCGCTCATGTATCAATCCTCCAATACACACACAGGCCCACCTACCCCGTCCAATTCATGACTCCATCCCGTCCACGTCCCCGCCGCCTCTCGCATTTCACGCGCCTTGCGCTCCTCAAAGAACCGCCGCGCAGGCTCCCAATCCGCGTCAACAGGGCCCAAATCATCCCGTCCTTCCGCATCACTATGAATAGCCTGCACGAGCTCCTTCAGAGCACGCAGGTGCCGCCATGGGCGCGGCTTTGCAGACCGCGCGAGGAGGATGCCAAGAGACGAGAGTCGGAAACCACGCTGGCCGTCTTCTGTCGTCTTTCGCCGCCGAAACACACATACGCCCTCGCGGTTGTCCCGGTTGAAGTATCTGAGCACCCGCCGTCAGCCGCCGCACACGATATGGTCGGGGCCGGGGTGTGACATACACGACATCCTGTTCTACCAAGTGCAAGCCACTGGGCAACGCGCTGAACTCAATATGCGTGAGATCGACATCTGGAAAGCGGGCGGCCAGTCAGAAGATGATGAGAAGGGCCGAGATGGGGACGGCCGAAGGCACCCCTGCACTTGCCGTCGTCCGCCTTCAAAGACCAATCGACAATATTGCCCTGCGTTGGATGAAATGAAGCATGGAAGATTGCGACTGCCCAGCGCAGACAACGACAAATTTTGAGATGTATACCAGATGGAATGAGTAGCCGACTTACCTATGTCTTGAGGCGTACTCGTAGTTGTCCTCGACAAGGACATAATTCGATAAATAAATAAAATCAAGACGCTTCTTTGGAACCAGAGAGCTTTGGGAAAGCCGTAAGAGAGTGACCGTGACGGAGTCACTTGTGATATGACACTCCACGCGCAGTCATTGCCCTGCAGGTTAGTAGAGGTCAGTGCAGGTCCCAATTAGGATGAGATTATTGAACGCTTGTGGGAACACAAGGAGAACCACTAGAAAGTCCAAGCGGATCTCAAGCTGTAGGCGGAACAAGATACCGGGGAAAAATGTCAAAACTGCATTAACATATTCCGGTACGGGGAATCGAACCCCGAGCTGCCGCGAGCCTTCAACATCATTCGAATGAAAGGCGGCAATGTTAGCCGTTACACCATACCGGATCTCCATTACTTAGAAGAGTTTATATATAGCGTGATCACTACTTGAATTTGTCTATCATATATCTGAGTTCATGTAAACATGGTAACATGGTACCAATTTTGTCATCAAGCCCCTTGATGTTCATGGACCTAGGATTCTTACAGGCTCTCTGATACTTTCAACATAGCTCCTATATCTTTATATAGTTACTAAGGGGCATTATGTTAAAGGTAAGTTTTGGTCTATGATAGGTGTGTGTAAGTTCACATACACAATTATAGCTTGGTCACTATTGTCTACTAGCCATGTTGGGTACTATTAGTCTTGTGCAAGGGCAAATTGCTTCATACTATCTATAGATTGATTATCAGCTGCAGCTCCAAAATCAAAGGCATTATAAGAGCTATATATTAAGTATTCTATTAATAAGCAGGCACCTACTCTAGAGTCTGAGAAAGGTATTTAGGAAGCTCTAGAAAAAAGACTAAACAACTCTAGATAAGTACTAAAGATACCAACTCATGCCAAATGTGGTTGGTCCCTATTTAAATGACTATAAGTCACTAAAGGATATTTAGTAGTACTTGGGTCAGTTTGCCTATACTTTACATACTTACCATAACTGCATAGGAGTGTTATCATAGACATTTACAAGATTGGGAGCCAATAGCTCATTTAGCTAATATGGTCTGTGATTTGGTTAGTTCTTACAGCTTATTGTCCTGACTTCTATATGTTTAGTTAGACACAGTTTTATACCATTGCTTGGCTATCCAAGTCATATATTTACTATTTTTTTTTCATTGGCTCTTCAATACCTGTCCCTGCTACCAATACTTGGATAATATATTATAAACATTCAGGATTTGGTCATCACTAATAGACTTTTACCTTATCACCTTATCCTCACTGTTTACTATATCTTGGCACTTATTTATTTTTTGTTCAACATTTTACTTAGGGACTCTATTTGCTATAAAAACCTATATACAATTCTGGAATAAACTTGCTTTCACATTCCATAGTTCAGAGTTTATTTGCACTTGTTTTAACTATTGAAATTATCTTCATTAACTCCCAAAAACCCATCATCCTTATTATTTGGCCTCATTTGTGTTTATACTTGTTTCTTTGCTTATACCTCTTATTCTTCCTTATATATTGCCAAAGTCTTATGTGGCTCTTAAAGCATATAGTTGTTGATTATGACACTTTCTTTCTTATTATTAAACAAATCCCTGAAATAACTTACCAAATGTTTGGTTAGTGTTTAATACAGTCCCAAAACTATTTGGGCACTATAATCTCACACTCCCTATTGCTTTTTAATATGCTCTTGATTTCTAAAGTCATTACTAACAATTCCTTGTGTATTAGATACTAGCTCTAGCACTCCCTACTCTAAAGATTGTTTTAGTATTGTGCTCAGTCCTTAGAGATACCTCTAGTATATCAATGCATTAGGACATGGTCCTAATACCATGGACTTATACTCTATTTGAAAATGAAGAAATGAATCACGAGATTAGAGATGCAAAAAGAGGAAGAGGAAAAAAATGGCTAGTCTATAGAGGCTAAGGATAATGGGGATAATAAGTCAAAGGAAAAGGCCTGAAGTATTGCTATTGAGAAGATTTATAAAGAGAGTGGAAAAAAGTTCAAACCTTGGATGAGCAATATAAAGGTGCTTTACATTAGAGAAATTATCCTCATTATTGATTCTGACACTATTATACCCAAGGCATGTCTCTTTTCTATTGCACTCAACACTCTTTTAATACACTAGAATAAAATTGTTTCTATAATATAGGATGAGAGTTAGCTAAGTCTTCAAAGGTCATTATTATCCAACACAAATCAGGTATGTTTTTCTAATCAACTAGTCTTCACATTCAAGCTAAGACATTTGCAAATATCATGCAAGTTGCTTACCACTACTTTAAGAATGGTATTTCTCATTTTACACATTGGATTAACAAGTTTATCTTGATAGGATGTGCAAATGGCAAGGTTATATCTTTTATTGGATATAATGCTACTTTGAAATAGTCTACAATCTAAGACACTGTATTCAAAGATGAGAATAATAACTACAAAATGAAAATATAGTTAGGAGACAATATAAGTGAAGATTTCAATATAGTGCTTTGATTATAGGTTTGTCAAATGCCATATTGATTCTCAAGACAATAGCTAATTATATTATATTCAGCTTTACAGTTATATTATTTGCTAGGCCATTTACTCTAAGAGAGGATTTAAAGGTGTCTTGCTCACTATTGACAACAAATTGAATTGATAGTAAAAATATGCTAATAGTGTATTTATCTTTACTTTGCATCTTGAAATGTGCTAAGTTACTTTTTAGGGTACAATAAGCTGATCTTTAACTCTATCATCAACTAGTAGTATCTAGGTTCCATAACTAGGCAACTGAGGATTTTCATGTGGTTAGGCACACCTATGCATTACAAGATCAGCATAATATTATATAAGTACATGCACAAATTTGCACTTACCAATCACAATATTTTTATCAAAGATATATTCTTGTATTATAAGCTAAACACTATAAAACCTGCCTGCCACCTATTCAAATATAACTGGTTAGATAGTTTGGCTAGTAGTTACATACTATCTATATTAAATTATATCTTGCTTGGCTTTATCTTTCATATAGACTGATACTACAAATACTCATTTAAAGTTTGGCTTGCTTATATAGTAGTGTTTCCTAGTGCAGGTAAACTTGGCTATGTCCTATTAGAATATTGAATTGGCCATCACAGTCTTATCTAATCCTTAGCAGAAAACTTGACTTAGATACCATTTTTATAAGTTTGTTCTTTTATATCTACCTATTGGATATTACTAATTAGATTAGAAGTTTTTTTTTCTTTAGTAGTCTCTCTATTCACTTATAGGCCCTGCTTACACATCTTTTTTCTTATAACATCATTGTTACGAACTGCTCGTTCGGTAACCCCAAGAGTAGGAGGTTCTTCCCTAGGTCGCTCGTGGAGGATGTGTGGAATGATGGTCTCGACTGTACGTGTAGCACAGGAGCCAAAGATGTATTGCGATGTAGCAACGAAGAAGTACTGTAGGAAGACAGTACTGAACGAAGATCCCTGTATGTTGTTACGACTGCTCGTCGGTAACCTCAAGAGTAGGAGGTTCTTCCCTAGGTCACTCGTGGAGGATGTGTGGAACGGTGGTCTCGACTGTACGTGTAGCACAGGAGCCAGGAGTGTATTGCGATATAGCAATGAAAGGTACTGTAGGAAGACAGTACTGAGCGAAGGTTCCTGTATGTGGAGATACAGGAGAACGAAAGGCTGCAGTAGGAAGACTGCAGTAGAACGAAGAGAATAGACTGAAGATCCTCAGCCTATTCTATGGGCCTTTTATACTACTTTAGGAAGTAGGGCGTGAGAATACCGAATACGTATCTGTAGGTATTCTCTAAGTCGTCTCTCTCAATAACGACTACTCTTGTGCTTCTCCGTTGGTCTCCTTCCGGCCAGGAAAGACTAGGAGGTTCATGCCCTGCGTGTGAGTAATTTATAAGGCGGCGTTCCATGCCCGCTAATACAATAGGCCCGTGATACTCGACCAACGATAGGGTGATCCGTTGGGAGTGGATGACCAAGGTTAATATCTGTACCTTGGTGTACGCCTCAACCTGTGAGGCCGCGTGATATTTGTGATGATCGTATCGGTATAGACCGCCGTGTAGGCCCGATAGAACGTGATCATAACAATACCCCCTTTCTACGTCCTATTCGCCTGGTAGGACAGCGCTGTGCGCTTCATCGCCACTCCATATACGATTTGCTTTCTTGATCCAAAGACGGTCTTCGGATGCGACTTCCGAGACATGACTTCGTTTTCTGGGAGGAAGACCGACTTACGTCGTTTGATCCTCTAGGAGTTTTCCATCTCCGTTGAGCTGTTTGTTTGTCGAGTCGTGAGGGTATCCAAGCCTCCGCTCTCTAGGATGTTCTTCCTTCACCCGTGGGATTGATTTTGCCGCTTGTCGCGGTCTTACTTCCAGCCCTCTTCTGGAATAGTGTCAAGAAAGGCGTATGAATGCGAGTGGTGTGTGGATGAATAGAAACTCTAGCATGTGGGTTCCGATTCGTGTCATCAGGTTCTTCTTCTTCCTTCTCCGAGGGCCAAACCTCAGTGTTTCCAGGATAGTCGTCTATCCTCATGATTTGTTGTTCCTCTTGACGACAGTGGATGGCGCCCATGGACAAGTAGGTTGATCGCTTTACGAAGGCTTAGGCCTACTTCTCCAGGCTACCAGTCATGACGCCCCAAGCAGTATCGCTCCCATACGGTGAGCTCATCTTCGGTGAGGTTGCAGCCAAATCCCAAGCAGTATTGTCCCCATACGGTGGACTCATCTCCGGTGAGGCAGTTTACGGCGTCCAGAGTTTGTTTTTCACAAACGTGGGCCTATGGTGGGGAATACCACGTGTAGTGTTGGGTTCGAGGCAAGGATGTGAAGAGAATTTAGACTTGAAGGGTGCAGCGAGGGATAAGGAGGAGTCTGACTCCTTCCCCAAGTCTGCCCGTTCGCTTGCACGAATGGACATCTAGACCACAGCTGATATATTTGTCGGGTTGCGAGATATATCCACGACTGGCAGTTTAAAACGTCATGCGGGACGGTCCGTAGTTTATCGTCGTTTCGGACGATCCGTAGTTTAACGTCTTTGCGGACGTCCTTCATCATCAACATGGAATACCTGTGGGGAAAGATGTTTCTGCACGCCGGAATTTCCATCGGTTGTGTGCATAGGGCCATAGACCAGACTTTGCCCGCTCCAGATTCCACTGAGGCATGATGGACGGTTTATACTATATCAAACCGGATAACTTGTAACGCCTCAAAGTTATGAGACCGCTCAGTTTAACGCCGTGAGGTAGGCGGACCTGCAGTTTAACGCCGTGCATTAGGCGGCTTGCAGTTTAACGCCGTGCGATAGGCGGGCTATCGTCTGACTATGTCCCTCGAGTCACGATAGGCTTTTCCTCCGAGGATGAGGGTAGTTTAACGTCATCTCGGACGTTGTCGACATATTCTCGTCAAGAATGATGTCGACCGATGATCCCTATACTAAAAGGGACAAGTAGTTTAACGTCGTTGCGGACGATTCAGCACCAGAGTGATGAATCACAACTCCTATGCGGTAAGGAGCACGTAGTTTAGTGTCATTGCGGACCGATTGACACCATGGCGGTCAATCCACAACTCCTATTCGGTAAGGAGCAAATAGTTTTCCGTCGTTGCGGACGCATTGGCGGCCAGGGGATTGGACGTCAATGACAACCCCTAGGTTCAGGGGGCACCTAGTTTAACGTCGTCGCGGACGCGCGGTATCTTGTCAAGATCGCCACGCACGATCCCCATGCTTGAAGGGACAGTAGTTTTACATCGTTTCGGATGCCCGTAGTTTACCGTCGTTGCGGACGTCGATGCCATTGGCCTCGAACAATCCCTATGTGGAAAGGGACAATAGTTTAGCGTCATCGCGGACGTTGTTTTGCCACAAATGTTGTGGAAAAACAATGCTTAGTTTAACGTCATCCCGGACGCTTCGTAGTTTATCGTCGTTGCGGACGAGACCTAGTTTTACGTCGTCGCGGACGATGTGGCGGAATAGACTTTGGATGAGTGGCCCGCTCTTGTCGTTCTTCCGCTATGTGGGCCAGACGAGAGTCGTATGATCTAGTTCCTTCCTACTAGATCTTTGACTCGAGGCACGTGTCCTAGTTGCCTCCTGACTAGGTCTTGGAGCGGAATTTCTTGTACTTCGACTCCAGGACTAGACTGAGCGCTCCATGAAGAGATGCCTGCTCTTCCATGTCCCCAGACCCCTCGCTTGGATTTGAACCAAGACGACCCGATATTCTTTTACTGAAAAGCGAGTGAATATCGGAAGCGCTTCGACCTTTTATAGGCAGGGTTCTGTGACGCGAGTCCTTCCGCGCTTCGCCAGAATGCAACCACGCTCCTTTTGGTCAATGGTAGTTTAACGTCATCTCGGACGGGGATAGTTTTCCGTCGTTTCGGACGATGACTAGTTTAACGTCATTGCGGACCCTAGTAGTTTATAGTCATTGCGGACCAAGCCTTTGGTAGTTTTACATCGTTCCGGATGTATTTTGTGGCCTCGCATCATTAGGAAAACTTGTGAGGTAGAGGCAGCCCGCTCTCTACATCATCTCATGCGCCAGCTGTAGGATCCCCTAATGCGGAAACGATCCTGTAAAACGGGAGATCCAAAGTGGGACGTCCCAAAACACCAGTCAGACCTTGACTGTGAGGGTTCACGATACGAGTTATGCATCATAATTTCTTGACTCGGACTTGCAACCGGTTATGTATGGGCACTTCGCTGTACCAAGGCGAAGGGCCTGCTTGTCGACACCTACGAGTAGAGTATATGTCATGTAGAGGGTTCCCTAATGCGGAAAAAACCCTGTAAAACTGAGGATCCAAATGGGACGCTCGATGCATCTGTCAGATTACTCCTTGACAGCGAGGATGTGAAAGGATTCCGCCGTAGGTCATACGTGGAATTATGCCCGCTGTTGTCCTTGATTCGTACCATCATTTGAACCTAGGACTAGTGGTCAGGTACTTCCCCTGCCTTCTTGTCTTTTCACAGTTTTAAGACATGCAGGTCCGATAGTTTAGACGTCATTCCGGACGCGCGGTAGTTTAACGTCTCTTTCGGACGAGGTCGTACAGTTTAACGTCTTGAGGGACGATCCTAGTTTTACGTCGTTGCGGACGATTGTAGTTTTACATCGTTTCGGATGTAATTTGTATCAGGGGAAGGAGTTCCTCAACTTCCCTACCCCCTTTCTTCTCTCTATGCCCTGTTATTAGTCCGTTTAATAATCAAAGGGTCCTTGGTAATCCCCGCCCCCTTCGTCAGGTCGGTAGTAGGGGTCAGCGTCGTCGTAATTTCCTGGATCGTCTAGAGCATCCCATGCATCGAGCTCGGATCTAGTCCAAGAGCTATTTCTTCGAGCCTCCGAATCAGCGCGGCGAGTTCTGCGGCTACTTCGGTTATCCTCTCTTTCGTTCGTACGAAATCGAGCACTAGGAGGAGGCGATCCAGGCCGGTGTCGAATACTCCGGCCAGCAGTTGTTCCGCGTCCGAGGGTTGTCTGGTTTCCCCGACTCCGCCTTCCCTCATTTCTTCGATAGACGGGCGGTTCCTCCTCGTCGGTATTTCCTTGGGATAAGGGAAAACCTCGTATCCGGTGAGAGGGGGGAGTCGCGGTATGGCTATGCGCTGTAGGAACCTCTCGTTGTCTCGGTGGAGGGCGCTCCACGACCGTACGCGGAACCCTTCTTGGATTTGATACAGGCGTGGGATGTTCTCCGGGACGTGGTACGTTCCAAGTGACAACTCGGAAAGGGTCGGTTCTGCTCGGTTGGACGTTTCCCAGTTCTCCTCCGAAGAGGAGAGCTGGAAGGAGCTCTCGGTTGACATATTGGGAGAACTCGTCAGGGTGGATGAGGAGGGCTCGGGGTCGCCCGTCATTATGGGCGTACCAGGAGGCTGTGTCCGGGTCGGTTTGGAGGGCAAGCGTCCTGATCTGGAGACTGGCACTGGCCAGTCGTCGAGGTACGTCGCTATGTTCATTCCCGGGTTGTCCTGCCGAGAAGTTAGCGAGTCTTTGGAGGGCCATGGCTGTGGCCATTTGTATTACCGCGGAGATGGTGTTCCGCTGGAGGAGCGCGTCCGCGTGTCGCTCCAGTTCTCCGGTGTGAGGATCTGTACGAGGGGTAGGTCCTCCCATGGAGCTGGGAATCGGTCCACTAGTTGGTACTGGCGGAGGTGCAGTTTCTGATAGAACTGGTATTGATTCAGCTTCTCCATGGCCTGGGAGTTGAGCTGCCGTTCTTGCTCGAAATCCCGAGGGACCTGCAACTCCACTAGGACGCGTGCCTTCACTAGGAGGTGGAACTCCCACTGGTAATGGGCCAAGGCTCGACTGGTTTCGGTCATCAGAACTTTCATGCCGTGGTGCACCTCGTGAGGCCCTCTCCGGTGAGGATCTTCGGGTTCTTTCCCTTTCCTTGAACTTGGCATAGTCTTCGGCGTCGTCGTCGGAGAAGTTGTTGGTATGGGGGGTGAGGAGGACCCCGGTAGATCCTGGTTGTTGAGGACTTGTTCCTCTATCAATTCGTCCAGCATCTGGTCGGTGAGGACTTGTCCCTCTTTCCACTCGTTCGACATCTGGATTGGCGACCATAAGGACGACATCGGGGGAGGAGTTTCTGGATGGAGACGAAGCATCGTGGTCGTCGTGGAGGAGCATTCGAATGGGGGAAAGTGTTTGAGAGGGAAAGAAGGTGAGAAGATGTTCTTGTTGGAGTCCTCTTGTCGCTCCTTTTATAATCTTTTTTTTTTTTTTTTTTGTCCCTCCTCTCAGGCTGTTCCCGGACGGGGTTTGTCTGGGTATTGGTCATGGAAATCTTTCATGGCTTCTTCCGCTGTTCCTTTTAGGAGAGTGTAGGGCTCCCAGGTGTTGTCTGCTTCGGGATATCCCATCCATTTGACCAAGTATTTGGTTCCCCGTCCTTGCCGTTTTGAATCCACGATCATTTCTACTTCGTAATGTTCTTCATCGTTCAATACCTCCGGTATTGGTCGCGCGAAGTTTTCTCCGTGGGCTTCGGTTTCTCTATATTTGGTGAGCACGGCGGCGTGGAACACCGGGTGGATTTTCCACTGCGGAGGAATTTGGAGCTTGTACGCCAGGGTTCCCACTTTTCCCAGTATCTTGAAGGGGCCATATCGCCTAGGGGCAAGCTTGAACTTAGGATGGGTTGTCCGGATATGGGTTCCTTCTAACCATACTTGGTCTCCTTCCTCCCATTGGGGAAGTTTCCTGTGAAGATCCCGGTCTTTGGCGTAATTGCTGGCTATTTGTAAGCTAGCAGCGGCTTCTTCCTGAACTTCTGTGATCGTCCTAATGCGTTCAGCTACCGCAGGTACCTTTGTTTCCAGCGCCGTGTCAGCTGAATAGGGGGGGTTGAAACCGTATAGCACTTCGAAAGGGGATCTCCCGGTGGCCGAGTGTTTCCGTGTGTTGTGTGAGAATTCGGCGAACGGCAAAAGGTCTACCCAATTGTCCTGATGGTAGTTGCAGAACGTTCTCAGGAATTGCTCGATCTCCTGGTTTACCCGTTCCGTCTCTCCATCTGTTTGGGGATGATACGCCGTGCTGAGAGCGGCGGTGATTCCTAGCCGTTTCCAGAGTTCTCGGGTGAATTTGGCCGCAAATTGAGGGCCCCGATCGGACACTATTTTGGTCGGCAGTCCATGTCGATTGAAAACGTTGTTTTGGAAAAGCACGGTTGTTTCTTCTGCCGTGATCGTTTTCTTGCATGGGGTGATGACTATGCCTTTTGACAGACCTTGATCCACTACCACGTTAATTGAGTCGAAACCCTTACTTTCGGGTAGGTCCGTGACGAAGTCTGTCGAGATGAAGCGCCAGGGGACGTTGGTGGTTTCCAAAGGGTGGATAGGAGGGTGCGTCTTGTGTGTCAAATTCTTGGTTGATTGACATACCGCACATCCATCCACGTATTCATGGATGAACTTAGTCATGTTTTGCCACCAGTAGTGTCGTTGCACCATTTCCAATGTTTTTGCTCTGCCCGGGTGTCCTACCGCGGGTGCATCATGATGTGTTTTGACGATGAGTCTTCGGATGACGTCATCTTTGGGGACGCATATGTGGCCATTGCGTCTGGTGATTCCGTCCTCATATGTCCAATGTCCCAATAATCCTCTCATCCCTTGTGGTCCTACTCGTAAGAGTTTTGCAAGAGCTACTCTTGTTAAGGCGTCATGTTCCGATTTCGAGTGTCGGATGAGGGAGATGAGGTTTGAAGAGGCAATTTCCGTGGATTTTATATGCCGTGTCGGGGACGGTTCTACCAATGTTTCGTCGGATTTGTTGAAAAGCTTGGCCGGGAGTAAAATTTGAGATTTGTTGTCAGATTCTACCCCCTCACTTAGATCTGGACGCCTGGACAGAGCATCAGAGTGATTTGTTGATCCTGCTTTATAGCTGAGTGTAAAGTCGAATCTGCTCAAATAAAGGCTCCAACGGGCGTGTCGTCGTGATAGGTCTCGTGCCGTTTGGAAGTGTTCCAGGTTTTTATGATCTGTCCAAATCTCGAAGGGGTGTCGTGCGCCTTCGAGGTAGTGATTCCAATGTTCCAACGCTTTGATTATAGCCAAGAGTTCCCGGTCGTGAACGTCGTAATTCCGCTCTGCTGGTGAAAACGATCCAGAGAGGAACGCGACTGGGTGCCAGTCACCATCTTTTCCTTCTTGTAGAAGGGTAGCTCCATAGGCGATTAGTGATGCGTCCGTTACTAGTCGATATGGGTGCATGGGATCTGGATAGTTCAAGACAGGTTTACTGATAAAAGCTTTCTTTAATCGTTCGAAAGCTTCTTGGCATTTTGTAGTCCAGTTCCATTTCTCGTCCTTTTTGGTGAGGTCATGTAGGGGGCGCGCGATGAGTGAGAACTTGTCAATAAAGCGCCTGTAAAAATTCCCTAGACCCAGGAAGGAGCGAATGTCGCGGACTGTACGTGGGATTGGCCAATCTTTTATTGCGTCCACCTTTGAGTCCTCCATGGCGACATGGTCTTTTGAAATTGTATATCCCAGGTATTGGAGCTTTTCCTTGTAAAACTCGCATTTTTCGGGTTTCAAATATAGATCGTTGTCGCGTAGGATTTGGAAAACCTGGTTCAGGATTTTGACGTGTTCTGCCATGGTTTTGGAGAAGACGAGGATGTCGTCCATATATACGGTTATCTTCCGGGCTGTGATGAGCTCTCTGAAGATCATGTTCATCATAGCTTGGAAGGTGGCTGGTGAGTTGGTCAGGCCAAAAAACATCACCGTGGGTTCGTAAGAACCTAACGGAGTGATGAAGCTCGCCTTCCACTCATCTCCTTCTTTGATGCGTATATTGTTGTATCCCCATCGCACGTCCAATTTGCTAAAAATGATGGCCCCTTTTATCACATCCAGCAGTTCCTGGATTAGTGGAAGGGGGCACACATTCGGGATGGTGTGCGAATTTAAGTGGCGATAGTCCTGTACCGGGCGTAGTTTTCCATCCTTTTTTCCTATAAAGAAAAATGGGGCTGCTGTTTGCGAGGTGGATCGACGGATGGTTCCTCTCTCCAGATGTTCCTTGATGAATTTTCCTAATTCGTCGTGTTTCTCTGGGCTCAGGGCGTAGATTTTGGGCACTTGAGGTTTGAAGGTTGGTTTCAAGTCGATGGCATGGTCCCAGTAAGTGTGTTCTGGGAGTCGCTGCGACTTTCGTTCGCTGAAGATGTCCAAAAATTCGTGATGCGCCTTGGGAACTCTTTCCTTTAGATTGGTGACGATAATTTCGTCTTCCAAGTCTTGGTCGAAACTGGCAAATCCTGACGGTTCGGGGGCCAGTTTCCGAATAACCGGGTCCCGGGTGGCCTGTTTTCCTGAGGGTTTGTCTGGGAGATCAGGTTCTCCCCCGTTTGGTGAAAGAGATGGCTTGTCTTGAGCCTTTCGTTTCTCTTCTGCGTATTTCCTTATGTCCTTTAGGAGCCATTTCCTTTTGAGGTATGCTCGTAGTCGGACGCCAAACGTTCCGCTGTGATCGCGGAGTCCTACATCTTCCGATAGTCTTCGGAGATGTTCGAGGCGCTGTTTTTCGCGCTCATTGATGCGTGGTTTGTGCCGTGGCTCCACGTCTGATAACTGCCTGCTGTATGGCGGTTCTTCCCTTGCCCTAGTGAACCCATATGGTTGCTGGCATTTCTGGGGGCACCGATCAAAGTGCACTTCACGTCGCCTCCATTCGATGGAGGGATCGTGGTATTTCAACCAATCTGTTCCTAGGATAAGATCGTCTTTCCCTAGATTGGAGATAAACATCTGGACGCGTTCGGTATGCGTTCGTCCACTGATGTCCCGAATGGTGAGGTTCACATCCAAGGCGGATCGGATGAGACCTGCTTTGTTAATGGTGTCATCGACATTCCGGACGCGAATGGGGTTATTGAGTGTATAGGTGGGGAAACGATGTCTCTTGACCCAAGTTTCGTTTACTATAACCCCTTCGCAGGCCGAGTCGATGGTTGCCTTTGCTCCAGCGTTTTGACTCCTGTTTGATACTTTCACGTTCAGGCGTATGGGGGTGATGATACGGTCGTTCATTGCTCCGATACGAATACAAGTGCGGGCATCAAACTCGGGTCGTCCTTGACCTCTCTCCTTCGCTGGTGAGGGAGAGGTCAGGAAAAACGCTCCGCGTGTCCCAAGATTACTTCTCTGGCTTCATCTTCCCCTAATTCTCCGAGCACTGCTCCGATTCGAGCAGAATGACTGACGCTTCCGTCTCCCCATCGTCCGTTAGGTAACATAGCGCGTTGCCCATGGTTCGTTTGGGGTCGTCCGGATGAGGTAGGGTGAGGACGTTCCATCGAAGGACCAGGTTGTGGTACCCGCTGGTCGTTGCGAGGGACATCCTCTGTCTCCATTCCTCGATATATTCCCGCTTGGTTTCCCATAGCGGGTGTGTCGTCTTCTCCTTCCAAATCAACTGCGCGGTTTCCTCTCCCTGTCGTACCCAGGCGTCTTTTCGAGTTTCCTCGAACTGGTGGAACGCCTCTACGAGCGGATCGGCAGTCAGCGCTATAATGTCCCCTGCGCCCGCAGTTATAACATTTTGGTTGCTTGCCGTCAAACTTCCTCTTTTGACTTTCGGCATTACGCTTCCTGGTGGCGTCGATGTCCATATCTACCACCTGGTTATTCATTCTTCGAGGGGCGTTTGTGGAGTTGTAGCGGGGAGAGATTTGGTTATGGAAACGATTCAGATAATCGCTTCGAAAGGAGGTGGAGTTGGCGAGGATGGCCTTTTGAGCTGTTCTGGCTCGCAGTCGTCCATCTATTTCGCAGGCTGTATTGATCCAGTCCTGAATAGTATCCTTTGGCTGAACTTCCTTGTCGTATATTTTGTCCATGACGCGCGGGTCTAGTCCGCGTTGGAAGTAAGGGACCTGCTCTTTTTCGGAGATGTCGGCATCGGCGGCGATGAGAATAAATTGGTTGGAGTATTCGTCAACCGTCATTCGTCCTTGGGAGAAGGCCATAAGTGCGCTTCGCGCCTTGTCGGTCTTGCCCGTCTCCCTGAACTGTAATTTGAACTTGGCTAAAAAGTCCTTCCAGGTGCCTAGATCGGTAGGTGGATCTGCTCCTACTGATTTGAGGAGGAAGTTCTCCGCCCAGGCTCCCGCCGTGCCGTATCTCATGCATGAGAGCACAAGGGATATTTTGTCTTGATCGGTCTTGTACCGATCGGATTCTGCTGCGAAAAGAAGGAGGCATTGGAGCATGAATTTCTGGGATTCAATGCGGTCGCCCGTGTAACTGTCTGGGAGTTTGACTTTTCCTCTTCCGGGTTGTACTGTTGCGGAAGGGGTGTTTGTAGAAGTCGAAGCTTGTCCCGACATTTCGGCGAGTGGTTCGTTTCGGGTGTTGATCGGTGTTTGGTCTAGTGAGTCGGAGTCTGATTCCGAGGTTGTTTCCTCTTGCTCCGAGTCTTCGGGGATTACCGGCGCCGGTTCCCTGTATTGTGGGGCTAGTTCCCACTGAGCTTCTGTTTCGTTCCAAATATCCTCTTCTTCTGTTCCGTCTTCAAGTGTGAAGTAATAACGCCCGTTTCGGTATGAGCAGTTATCGTAATTCGGAGGGGCAGTTCCGTTATTGTCTTCGTAGACCCAGAAGTCCCCTTCGCGCCGGATAGGGCGATTGTTGTGACGGAGTTGATTATTGATACGTCTAGTGCCGGGTGGGTATTCCTGGCCTAGGTCTTGCTCCAGAGCGTGTGCAGTAACGCTTTCTCAATGGGGGTCTATATCCCCACTGAGCAAGGTTATGAGAGAGAGTGTGGCAGCAAGCTAGTGCGAGCAAGGTAGGGGCAGAAGAGTCTATTCTAGTGTTACGACTGCTCGTCGGTAACCTCAAGAGTAGGAGGTTCTTCCCTAGGTCACTCGTGGAGGATGTGTGGAACGGTGGTCTCGACTGTACGTGTAGCACAGGAGCCAGGAGTGTATTGCGATATAGCAATGAAAGGTACTGTAGGAAGACAGTACTGAGCGAAGGTTCCTGTATGTGGAGATACAGGAGAACGAAAGGCTGCAGTAGGAAGACTGCAGTAGAACGAAGAGAATAGACTGAAGATCCTCAGCCTATTCTATGGGCCTTTTATACTACTTTAGGAAGTAGGGCGTGAGAATACCGAATACGTATCTGTAGGTATTCTCTAAGTCGTCTCTCTCAATAACGACTACTCTTGTGCTTCTCCGTTGGTCTCCTTCCGGCCAGGAAAGACTAGGAGGTTCATGCCCTGCGTGTGAGTAATTTATAAGGCGGCGTTCCATGCCCGCTAATACAATAGGCCCGTGATACTCGACCAACGATAGGGTGATCCGTTGGGAGTGGATGACCAAGGTTAATATCTGTACCTTGGTGTACGCCTCAACCTGTGAGGCCGCGTGATATTTGTGATGATCGTATCGGTATAGACCGCCGTGTAGGCCCGATAGAACGTGATCATAACATATGTGAAGATACAGGGGAACGAAGAGAATAGACTGAAGAACCTCAGCCTACTCTATGGGCCTTTTATACTACTTTAGGAAGTAGGGCGTGAGAATACCATATATGTATCCGTAGGTATTCTCTAAGTCGTCTCTCTCAATAACGACTACTCTTGTGCTTCTCCGTTCGTCTCCTTCCAGCCAGGAAAGACTAGGAGATTAATGCCCGGTGTGTGAGTAGTTTGTAAGGCGGCGTTCCATGCCCGCTACGCAATAGGCCCATGATACTCGACCAACGATAAGGTGATCCGTTGGGAGTGGATGACCAAGGTTATCATCTGTACCTTGTTTGTACGCCCCCCTTGTGAGGCCGCTTGATATTTGTGATGATCGTGTCGGAATAGACCGCCGTTAAGGCCCGACAGAACGTGATCATAACAATCATCTAGGGTGCTACCAAAGAATAAGTGGAGCAATTTAATTTCTTTATAGAGGTACCATACATCTTAAAGCATTTTTGGCTGGCTTTTATAGTGTCATTTGTTGTTATTATTGTGATGGCTATTCTTAGGCCCTGGGAAGCTTTACCCAAAGGTTTCCCCAAAAGTTAATCTATTTCTGGCCAAAAATATGCCATAACCTTTCTAAATGTTGTTCTTTTTCTGGCCTGATTTGGCAAAAAATGGCTGATTCTTATTAGTTTTTAATCTTTTTCTGACTTATCTGAGTGTCTGTACATGGAAATTTTTATATCTAAAAGTCTCTGAGAACCTCTGAGAATCTTCTGTCTCTTTGCAGACATTATCAGACAACACTCTTTCAAGGCACTGATAAAGCCAATGGTAAAGGCCCTTATAATAGCTCAATCTTCAGATTTGGTCAGCTAAATTGCGAAAAAATGACTGTATCTCATGCATATATGATATCTTATCACTACTAATGTACTTTGACTTCCACGGATGCTTATAGTGAGGAAGAAACGAGTGGAATAAGCTGTAATGAGACCGGAAAACGAGCGTGACAGCATGTGACAGCATGTGACAATTATGACGAACCCTCTCGGACTTAATCTTTTTCTGGTCTGATTTTGGGGATTTTGACGGGGAAACTAAGGTTCCGTGAGTAATTCACGGACAGTTGTTAACAAATGTTAATAACATTTGCCTCTCTGGGGAATTTCTAACATGAGTTAATAACAGATTAATAACAATCGTATATAAAGCGTTATTAACATGTTAAAAACCGATTTATTTACATGTTAATAGAGTGGTGTTAATAACAAGAAGTCACCAGCTCCAGTCAATCTCGGAGCTGGGAATGGAAGGGGGGGCTTCAGGGGGGGTTGGGGCTCGTGGCAGTGTACCTAGGAGTATCAGATAGCAGATCCGCGAAGGCCTCCTCACGGATTGCGAACTCCTGCGCGATATTGAGCGCAGAAGCCCGGCACGGGGGTCCTTTTTGTCGGCCATCCGCGTCGTCGTCCGACTCTGCACTCCCGGACAAAATTATTATTTTGCAGGGAAGACATAATTGTACAGCCACAACCTTCAATATTTCCACCTGGCCCTTGCCCAAATATGTACATTTCAATGTAAATTCAAATGCTGATCATTATATACAACTTCGAACATTATTAACATCATTAACATCGACATTTTGCCCCCCTGGAGGGGACCTGTTAATAGCAGTGTTAATAGCAGTGTTAATAACTATGTTAATAACATAAGTTATTAACATGTTAGCAATTCATGGATTACTCACGGAACCCTAGGGAAAACCTTTGCGTGAGCTTCCCAGGGCCTTCGTTCTCGCCACTCCATTCCCCCCTATCGCCCGGAGAGTCCCAGGATCAGACTGGGCTGTGATTCTGCCGCTGTGGTAAGTATACTGTTTGGCCCTCACACGCGAACTTACGAACTGATATAATCATGCTAGCATCGTTGTTGGATCTCACATTCTGTTTCCAGTTGGTGATCTCCATTCAACTTCCGTCGTGTTGTATCCTAATGATCTTTCTTCATAGATCGTCTTGAACCCATGGTTGATAATTTTCTCGTGCTAAATCAGGACTGGCCTGCTCGCTGTTTCTCCGCATTCTCATATACAGGCGCAGGTTTACGAAAGCTTCATCGGCGGAATTCCGGACAGACTTTGTCACGCTAACATTAGGACTCGAGCAAATAGACTTCTCGTCTCTCCTTCATTTCAGGTACTTTTCTACAGGTGAACGCACACTTCTTGAATCGGTCGTTTTTTCTTCGCAATTTATTGCACGTGGTGTAATTTTTCCCGCGCTTTTCCCCCGATATCTGGTTTGTCTGTCTGACGTCCCTTATCAGAAACCAATAGCCCTTTTAAGACAGTCGTTCTCTAGCAGTTCTTGCTTTGCGTGACACGAACTATATGCTGCTTTGACTTCGCTGTTGATTTAGCAGAACCAGTAGCATCAGAACACATTCAAATAACGAAATGTTCACAAAAGGCACGCTGAGTGCGTGACTTGGTTTCTGGAATAAAGTCCTGATAAATAGCAGAATGACTCCCAATGAAAGGGTAGTTTCATCTAAGAAGTAGTGAAGAAAGTGTGCTAGCATAGCTCCCACATTTTCACATAGTCACTGAAATATCAATCGAGGTTAGGTTGTAGACAATTATAGCGATCTGGACATTGCGCTCACACAATCATTGCACGGTCTTCATCGCTCTCAGGCCATGTCGCTGACCATTGGTCTTGAGCTTGAGCAAATTGCTGCATAGCATCTGCGAAAGGAGATTAGTCAAAATCATTGTCGATGAAGCGCAACGCACTTAGAGCCCCATTCAACCAAGGCTTGTTGCCAGCACCGTCTGGGAACCATCCATTAGTTCCCCCCACAGCAACATCGAGTATGAGATAGAAGGCTGTTATACTTGTTAGTCTACGTTGTCCAGAATGGCAGAGGACCGGAGTGACGTACACTGGTCAAAAGGAGCAGAATTCCCTGATTTTGCCCACGGATTGGGAAGAATGATCTCCTGAGACGCATTGGACACAGACGCCGGAAAATCACCACGTTCAAAAAAGGGGATGTTGAATCGGAGGTCGAGCATATGTTGCAAGCGACTATCGACATAAATTCTCCTGATAGTGGCAGTGATAGTGACAGTGACATCAGGTTCGCCCCAGTACAGGAGATAAAAAGGTCTCACAAGAAATCTGCTGACCACTCCAATGCGTACGTGTGAAATGCCTCGTTGTAAGACGAGCGCCGTTCTGTCCACCAGCCATACGTCTTTGCTACAGCGTTTAGCCAGGTCAGTGGTCCCCAGTTCAACGAGCCTCGGACGTAATTAATGCCTCTTTAATAGCGACGACAGACAGGTCAAGCTGTGCCAAATCAGCTCAAAAAGGTTAGACATACTGTGCAGGGTAGTTGATGCCGTTACCACGGGCCTCCATGATATCGATTTCACCTGTCCCACGTGTCGCCTTAGCAAGACACAATCACGGTGACCGACAAAGAATGCAGAAATCACCGCTTAGGGGCCACGGGCCGTATGTATTGTTTTCGGGAAGCATCCAGATCGCTGGCCACATCTGCAGACAAATGTTGAGCAACTCAGATCGCCTTCCTATACAGATGTCAGTGACGAACCCAGTCCCTGTGAATGAAAGATAGAGGTCAGAGAGACCAGGAGCTGAGTTTTCACGCACTCGAAAGACACGAAGAAAACGAATGGAGAGATGACCACTGGACTCACCCTAGCGGCAACTTCGCTCTAACCTCAACGCGCCCGTAACGAATGCTCTTCTTACCCCTAGTAGAGATCCGAGCGCTCATCACTGGGTTGATGACGGTACCTGCAGTCCGATTGCTGACAGCACCACATGCGGTCAAATTCGTGTTGGTACATCCCGTCAAGTTGAAGGTGTAACCGTCGAAGATGGCGTCCTGTCCGATGACGGAGGAAGTGAGGGTAGGCAACAGATAAAGATTGTTGTTTCGGATGAAGGAATTGTTCGTGGACGTCGTTGTCATTTCGAACTCCCCATTGCTATGCGAACGGAAAGCGTCAATCAGTGAGGTTCTGATACGGGGGCTTGAAACCTGAGATAACGAGGTCACATACCCGAAGCCACCCATATCAGCTTCACGTTGCCATACGCCCTCAGTATCCAGATCGCTTCCCGAGAATTCCTCGTCGAGAACCAAACACATGCGGCCTAAGAGCGGAACAGCTTTCCACGCGAAATAGATCCGTACCGCACTTGCCGCAAATCCCAGCAGCATCATACCATACGTGATGAAGTATGCCAGGCGCGCAGTCGAATCTTTGGTCTTCAACCAAGGCTTCTGGAGAGGTTCGAGCTGTGACAACATTGTCGATCGTGGGCGCGATCGCTTCGACCGCTTCGATGGCACGTTCGGAATCGATGATGCCGCTGGCTGTAAAATTGTCAAAGGGCGTCGTTGAGGAGACGCAAAAGCCTCGCGTATGCCTCCACTTGCACTTGCACCGCGAAGATCGGTCAGGCTTGTCTGAACAGAGCTGATAGCGCTAATCCTTTGGTGTAAATCGGGGAAAGCATAGGCCTGTCCGCTGGCGCCTGAGGCTATGGCGGACGATGAGCGAGGAGTGTGCTCCCCGCTCATGCTGAAATTCACAACACTGGCAGGAGGCGAGAACGGGTTCACTTGCTCGATAGCGGGAGTGCTGAATGGGTTAGAGGTGAGAAGGCCGGTTTCCTGTGAGGGTATGTGTTGGCTTGAAGAGGTGTCCAGGCTGAGCGCACTTGACTGGCGATCTCCAGGCCGAAGAGCAGGCACCGCTTGTGTAAGAAGGTACGAATCATCTTCGCTGTGGAGAGAAACCCGATCGCCAACGATAGTGGAGAGTGGCCCCGATGGACTAGACGCTTGGACAGCGTCGTTACGCTCTGAGTCGGAAGGGAGAGAGTCTATGGCGATGGGAGACATATGAGTCGCACTCTCCAATGAAGGTGAATTGCGAGGGTGATTGGGTGAATTGCGAGGGACAGGATCTCCGAGAATCAGGGTGGTCACAAGTCCTGAGAATCTGAGGGCGAGGACAACTTATGAAGAGAGCGTGAGTCAGTGCCATCGCGCTCGCCGATCAAGCATTCCCGATCACCAGGCGCGGTCGCAAAGCGGTCGTACCGCCCTGAACTGCTGATGTTCGGGCTCTGAGATAGAGTGGTCCGTCGAAGTAATTTTAACCGGAGGCTAGATCGAGCATGGTGTTCCAGAAAGCCCGTATTCCGCTTCCGAAACGTGTGTGTGTGAGGCACAGAATGTCGGAGCGAGAAGTTGATTATATCACGGCTACAGTGAGCTGACGTGCTGATTGGAATCGGAATGTTGGTTAAATTTTCGAGATACGACAGCCGGCAAGCGCCTGAAGAAGTCCGCCACTGAGATGGTCACTTCAAGTGCTGGGGTGCTGGCGCTGAAGGCTGGACCTTTTTTTTGGTTCGGAAGATACCAAAAAAACAGAATAAACTTATAATATGATGGAAGTCTGATTGTCAGGCTTCAGGCCACAGGAGTAGTCGGAATGGAGCATAATCGATGTGTTCATCGATGCAAAACAAAGACAGGGCCTGTGGGAGAGACAAATGACATCCAGGAGGCATGCCCTGACGTCGAAGGGGAGAGCGTGTGAAGAATAATCAACCCGCCGCCTTCAGTTCGTGACCTGCATTCAGTGCCACCGGCAAGGGGTATGCGGCTGAGTGCTTTGTTCGAGTGAAAGAATGGATAAAAAAGATTGGCCAATGATAGATTTCAAAGGACACGTCATCGTGTGGATATGGAGCGTTGGAGTGAGCGTGACCAGACTCCGGGCATGTCCAAGCGTGCGCTGATCGCAATGGGCAAGTACTGTTTTCGCGTTTTGTCGGAAGGCTCACCTCTCAGAAGATGATAATGATATGCCCGACCTCCTGAGCGTACCTAATAGCATGCTGCATAGGCCGGAGTCGAATGCCACGGCGGAGACTCGAACAGCCGATTTTTTGTATCTCCGCGTGCTCGGTCTTCAAAAGTATGTCAACCCACGGCTCACGTGCCATAATCCTTGCAGTCAATTTGCTTCCGGGTGTCAGCACGGACTCGTCGCGACACTAGCTTGGCCTCCGTCGCGGCTTCGGATACTGGAAGGAGGTAGCGAGTGAGACAGCGAGTATGAAGGTGTGAGCTCTGGGATCTATGTGCTTCTCATTTGATTTGATCGATCGGCTACAGACGGGGCCTTGTTCACTCATCAAAAGCACCGCTGGATGAGTCGAGGGTTATAATGAAGAGCCCTTCCATTCAGGTCCGAAGAAAACATCGTGACACCAGTGACAGGGGCCTATGCAGGGCTTGAGCATCACCTCATAGTTGAATTTAGTGGAGTCGTATGTCGGTTCGTCTTCAAGGTGCACTGACATCATTTATGCTAAGCCACTTTACAGTTTTGACAACATTTTCCTTGCGGCTTACGATCGAAGTTTCACCTCGTTCAACGCCCAGCAGAAAGACTGAATCCTTGATCTCTTCCCATGCCTCGTCTACGACGCAGACGCACACTCCGTCACCCCTCTCCCCATGACTAATTCTCCAAAAAGAACCCACGCTGAGTCCTCTCTCAGGCCCATCATAAGTGTGAGAAGATATACCCGTTGATTTCCCGAGCCGCGCATTCTTTATGACAGTTTTATGACAGACGTTTCATGTCTGCATCGGCGGGGACAAGCGGTGGACATCTTCTCTTCGCCAAGCTTCTCCTGATACACATCTTTGTTTTTTCGCAGTCCCTTGCTCGACCAAAGTTGATCGTCTGGAAGCCAACGGATCGATCTGTTCTAAGGTCCAGCCCTGTGCATGTTCAAGTGGAGTGCGAATTCAAGACAAGGCCCTATGTATCTCCCCTATTTACTTTATTTTAAGGCTGTCCCGGAAGTCCGTACTTATCTCCTACTGCTATGACTGGCGCTGAATATCTCGGAATTTGATCTTCTTGCTATCTGGAGACGCCGTCAACGCCGAATCAATTATGATTAATCTGTTCCGAGCCTGCCGTCATGCGCAGTTGCGTATCGCACCGGCCGTGCCAAACAAGCTGACTCCTGAGTGGCGGTCTGTGGCGGACGGTTGTGACGCACATACGTCCATCTTCTCCCCATTGGTCCGGAGAGCGGGATATTGCGAAGATCTGACCCATTCGGAATCGAGGTTAACACGGCTGAAACTCCCACCGATCATTCGCCTTCCCTCCGATCAGGTCCAGGCGCGTACTCAAAGCCGTTGGGCGATGCGATCCAAATTCGTCTGCGTTGAGTAGAAGCGAGTTTCCTCTGCATGCGAGACCTGTCAGCGATATCTGTCAAATCTGACCTTCTTCAGACTTTTATAACTCTGGCCACTGCAGCCCTGGTGATAACGCAACTGCCCCCTGTTCATATCTGCTCCTCAGACCTTGTCGTCCGGCCTGTTTGCTGCCATGGATGCTATGGATTACGATGCGTATGATGCTTTACTGCATCACATTTTCAAGCAGGTTAGCGTCTTCGTCACATTTCGTGTATCCTCTGAGCTCTTCCCTTATCTGCGGCTCACAGACACAAGGGGATGCCTGGTTCAAACCATCCTCTGAGAACATCCATGCTGGGGTTTGCTTGCGCATCAACACAGGTCAATTCCGTGTCTTTCCTTATGAAAATCGGTATCTAGAACCCTTCGAGGCCGCTGTCAGAGGTTTAAACCCTGTAGTCGCAGTCAAGGTACGGAGCGCTGCAGTTCATGTTGCTTTGGGCACCGCGTAAGTCGTGCTGTTGTTGTCTCCCACCTATTTTTGTATGTTTATGAGGTTTCAGTGGGGATCAGGCCATGGCTATCTACGTCGATAGCGACACCCGCATTCAGATTTTGGATACCATGCTAGACCTTCCTCGTGCTGACAAGGAGCAATGTGGTGCTTTCATTGTAAGACCTATTCCTATCGGATCGGTCTCACACTGACTAGTCCATCAGCGTGATGAGCGTGTCCTCGTCGTTTGGTCGGACAACCTCGACATGATCATCCCATTATGTTTAGATTTCGATGACAAGCTGATCAAGCTGGTCTGGGCCCTCCGCGGCACCTTTAGTCTCGCATCTTCCGTGAATTCGACCGTGGGCAGCTCTGTTCCCTCAACATCGAACTCCGCTTCCGAGATCCAACTTTTTGAGAAGCCGGAGAAGACTAAAGAAGCAGCGCCCTCTTCTGACACGCCTGGTCAAGTGGCCGCCAAGACCGGCGGTTCGAGCTCGCTATGGGGGTGGAGAATCTCGACTAAAGCCGCTCAGGTCCAGCCGGACCTCGAAAAGGGCACAAGTAACGTCAGGCCCATGCGCCTCTTCGCTCCTTTCTACGGCGGCCTAGGATGTGCCCTATCAGTTTGTACGTTCTTTATTATTTCTTGCAGGATACGAGCTAATATTTCCACCTGGATTCTATCTCAGTCTTCGTGGGCAGCGGTCTTCAGGTCTTGATGACAGAATGGCGTCTCGATCATGACTATACCCGGTTTGCACTCATGGTCACCTCACCTTTCCTGTTTTGTGTGTCACTCGTAAGTCACGGTCTTCTGCTTTGTCGAATCTGTTTATCTGACCTCTGACCCTCTCCTAGTTTTTCGCACTGCAGGTTGTCACCAACATTTCCTACGTGTGGGCTCGGGTTTTTCACTTATCCAATTTACTGTTCTGCTGACATTCTTTGTGTACGATGAAGCCTTGGGCCTGTTGCTCAATATCATGAAAATTCCAAATATTACTCCGCGGTCAAACCGGGTCCTGATAAGGACCTTGATTCGCGCCTTCCTCACATCACGATCGAGCTCCCCGTCTATAAGGAGAGCCTGCAGCACACAATGTAAGCGCAGTTAATATTCAATCTTTGGGGCTTCTAGGCGGCATGTATCTTGGGTTGTGGGGATGCCTATCTCAAATTTCTTTGGCTGACGCAAATATCTTTAGATCCCCGTCAGTACAGTCTTTAAAGAAGGCCATGCAGACTTATGCCCGCCAGGGCGGCACTTCGAGTATCTTCGTCCACGATGATGGCCTGCAACTCATATCGGAAGCTGAGCGCCAGGAACGAGTCACTTTCTATGCCGATAACGGGATTGGCTGGGTGGCGCGTCCGAAGCACGATGATTCGGAAGGTGGCTTCAAGCGCCGTGGTCGATTCAAAAAGGCTAGTAACATGAATTATGGACTAACACTCAGTTTGCGGATGGAGGAGTGGATCAAGAAGCTGGAGACACAGAAAGAAGCTGCAAATGGCGAGGCGGAAGACCCTCAGGAGGAAGAGTTGGAGGAGAAAGCGTTGAAGATCGCCATCGAGGAAATTTATGAAGAGAGCGGGAAGAAATTCAAACCTTGGGCGAGCAACGCGAAGGCCCTTCGTGTGGGAGAGATTATTCTCATTGTCGATTCCGACACCATCGTACCAGAGGTATGTTTCTTTTGATGCTGTGCTCTCGATTCCGCTCGAACTAGCAACAGGACTGTTTCCGTGATGCTGCAAGAGAACTTGCTGAGTCTCCGGAGGTCGCCATCATCCAGCACGAATCAGGTATACTTTTTTGATTGGATGATCTTCACAGTCAGGCTGAGATGTTTGCAGATGTTATGCAAGTCGCTCATCATTACTTTGAGAACGGCATCGCACACTTCACTCGCCGGATAAACAAGTGTATCTCGATGGGGTGCGCGAATGGCGAAGTGGCACCATTCGTAGGGCACAATGCCTTCTTGAGGTGGTCAGCGCTGCAAGATGCGGCCTTCGAGGATGAAGGAGACAACAACAAAATGAAAATCTGGTCAGAAAGCAATGTCAGCGAGGACTTCGACATGGCCCTGCGACTTCAGGTTTGTGGCAAACAGGAGTTGTTGGCGAAAGCTTATAGCAAGTCGCTTTACAGCTTCGCGGATATATCATCCGTTGGGCTACCTACTCTGAGGGAGGATTCAAAGAAGGTGTATCTCTGACTGCTGACGATGAACTGAATCGATGGCAGAAATATGCATACGGTACATCGATGCGTTATCTCTATTTCCTCATAACCTGGGCTCATTCAATATCCAGGATGCAATGAGCTAATCTTCAATCCTCTCATTCATTGGTGGCGCCTTGGACCCATCACAAAGCAACTTCGGACTTTTCTGTGGTCTGACGCGCCAGTCCACTATAAAGTCAGCATGATGTCATGTGTGTTTCATGAATCTATTTTGTTTTCGTCAAAGATTGACGCTTTTCGCATTCCACAGATATGTTTTCATATTGTAGGCCACACAATTGCAATGGGCGTGTTCCGTTCATGTTCTGATCACATTTTAAATAGACGGGTTGGCAGCCGGCTGTTCACTGTCTGTGGCGAACTATATCCTGCTCGGTTTCGCGTTCCCGGTGGACGGGTTCTATGAGCACTCGTTCGAAATTTGGCTTGCATGCACGGTAGTGTTCCCGGGCGCTGGCAATGTCGGATATACGCTATTGGAATATCGCATTGGACATCGCAGTCTAATCTCGTCTTTGATTGAGAACTTAACCTGGGTCCCCTTCTTGTGAGTACATTTGTTCTCAGTGAAATTGACTGTACTCAAAACCCATCAGCTTCTTTTTCTTCGGCGGCCTTCCCATTCACCTATCTCAGGCACTTCTTGCTCATCTCTTCTCGTACAATATTACATGGGGTGCCACCAAGAAGGAAGTCGAGCGCTCCAACTTCTTCATCGAGGTACCGCGGATTCTGAGACGTTTCTGGCTCGCCTTCGTTCTATCGTTCATTTGTATCATTGCGATGATCATATTGTCTACCTCACTTCCCCCTCTTGCCTGGAGAGTCCCGGGAGTCGACTGGGCTGTCATTCTACCTTTATCGTGAGTTTGCCATCTAGACATGCGGCGTGGTTGCTGACATTGCTGTACCCTTTTCAGCATAGTTACAGGATGCCACATTCTTTTTCCGGTAAGTGATCGTCGTATCCTTTCGAAAGCAATGAACTCATGGCCTTTCCTGTTGTTGTCAGATCATCCTGAATCCTTGGCTCATGATCTTCTCGTATTGAACTTAGCTTCTCTATTCAATCGTCATGGCCCTCTGGCCTTTTCATCTTTACTCGCTACCTGGACTCTGGGGTTTTCCAAATACATATAAGTTAGATCTCTCAATTTTTCGAGCTCACCTTGAGTATAGACTGTAGTTCTTCATCGTAGTATACCATGTCAGGCGGTCTAGATTGCTTTATCTGATTCCTCTGTACCTCAGGCCTCAAGGCCTCATGCCTCATGCCTCAGTGTCACTGTATGGACTGTATTGCCAGTCAATTGTATCCGCTCTTTTTATCCTTGCACCTTGTGCTCTGATTAAATGATTAGGACAATCGTGGTACGGACAATTATCACAGTCCATGCGACCGAAACCGACAAAACCCAAGGAAGTACAGCTATGGATACAACTCCATTCTGGGACATTGGTACTCGAACGACAGCGAGACAGCAAATAAAATAACCCAGATGATAATATGAGATAGAGTAACATTCTGAATGATCACGAGCGGGCTTCCCCGCGATTATTGAACACACTCTTTGTCAGGGCACGCAACATGGCTGTTGTAACCCGTGGAAGCGAACCGTCCGTGTCGGTGGTCATGGACGTAGTCGCCGATGCGGTGGGCGAAGGTGGTGGCGGATGCATACTTCCGTTGGACATGCGACTGCCGTTGGTATGAGAGGTGAACAATGCATCATCTACAATCGTCGGTTCTGAAGACAAAGTTCTAGCCTTTTTGCTTGAGGTCGAGGAACTAGAAGGTAGAAAGGATCGAGGATGAGAACACTCGGCAAGGGCAACCGCGAAACAGACACGCACGAGAGGATGTCCGCTTCATCGTCGGGCGCTCTTCGCTTCCGACGCACAAAGAACGCAAACGTCCGACGGAGCTTATCCCCCGATTTTAGGATGCTCTTCTCCGTGTCCTCCCGAATAGCTTGAATTTCCCGTTTGGGGATGGGATAATTCGTCGACTTGTCCGGTTGGACAACCGACTCTGTGCGACGCAGAGCCAGCTCGTAAATATGGTCTATGAAGGAGTTCACGGGAAAATCTGAAATATATAGTCAGTGACGCTTGAAAATAAAAGAGAGGTGAATATAACAGACCGATTCCAAGAGACAAGTGAGAATGTAAACTCATAACACTATCTGAAGATACGCGAGACAGACCGGGCTGGTCAAGCCAAGCGAACGCGACTTCGTACATGGCCCTGAGATTGTGATCAATCGCCATATACCTATGACCAATGTAAAGAACGTACTGTGAATCTTGGATGGTGTCGTTTCCAAGCAAAGGTAAAGGATCCGTATACGATTCCACGTTATCAAACCGAGATATCACATGGCGAGACAGAATGTTCATCAACTCAATCAACGTTCGCAGGACTTGACTGTATAGATGCCAATCCACTGCATACTTCGTCAGCCGAGATTCATAGTAGAGCACGAGGAATGTTTGAATACCTTCGTTGTCGGCTGCGCAACGAGTCACCCAGTCTTCTGCAAATTCTCTCCATGGGGAAATGACCAGTTTTAGCAGACCTGAGTTTACTTGAGATCAAAAGAAGACTTAAGACGGCTAGCAGACATAACAGACCATTCCAAGACAGAATTTCGATGAGCCGCCCTGACACATCCAACGGCATTGGTCGAAGCGATTCCAAAAGCCGTGTATCCAGGTCGATCGTTGTTGAGGTCAAAGAGAATGTGCAATGGCTATTCAGATCGCCCTTCACCACGAAGTCTTCCACCTTTGTAACCATGATGTTTGTCTTGATAAGGTTCAACTATGAAAAGAGAAACGAACGCACCATGGCCAATATATCGTGCGAAACGCTGGCCTGTTCGCCTTCACCCCAGTTAATGAACAGGATGGATGGGACAAAGTGGCGATCCTCAGGCAAGGCCTCAACAACTTCGCGCAAACGCGAGCAGTCGTCGAGGATACGGTACTTCCGTTCGATCTCATCCTCGATTCCTTCCAGTGGGGAGCACTCGAAGACGATCAACCCCGGGGACTCTGCCGATTCGTCGCCAGGCTTCAAAGGAATTGAAAATATGCGCTCCGTCGCCCATCTCCCTGACTCCGGCACGTTGAACTTCCGCTCGACCCATATTGCAGTCCCGTCGTTGTCAGAATTCGTGGATAGCCAGACGGACCAATCAAATGGATAGCTCTTCGCGACATTATGTATGTGCTGACGAATCAGTTCGAGGAACGTCCCAACAGCCCATCTGCGCTCGTGCTGATCGTGATTCTAAAATGCGTTGAGGGTAAAAGTGAGATACTGCACTCGAAATGTACTTGCTGCGAGAGACGAAGCACCTCTTTCAGCCGTTGGGCGAGTTGGTCGTCTGTCCTCGGTGGTACGTATTTGCTTGACATCCGCTTTCGCACGCGCTTTGCTGTGGGTGCTTCGACGACAATCCCGTTCGACTCTCGTCGTTTTTTGCTTGGCGATTTCCCGTTAGACAGCGATTGTCTATGGACTCGTTCGCTGTATGCGTCACTCCGGCGAACTGCATCTACCCACTTCAAGCGCTCGGTAGTGTCGTGGCGCCATTGCTGGAAGGAGGACTTGACGACGAGACTTCTTCGCAAGAAATCCACCGCCTTTCCCTCGAGGATTGCGGAGTCAATTGCGCGCCCTTTACCCTTGCCATTCACCTTGGAGAGGGTGGGCGCAAGCGTGGGGGAGGATGTAGCAAGAGGGGCGGGGGTAGACGTCGATGACTGCGATGTTGTAATGAACGAAGGAACAGGGACACGGGCGGGAGTGGGAGTGGGAGTGGGAGTGGGAGCCAGGCTGCTATGATTCGAGACTGCAGAAGATCCGGCGGGTGTCGGCGACTCTACCGTCGATGGCCTTTTCAAACCTGTAAACGACGACTGAGCTGATAGCTGCAGCGGACTAAGTATATCTTCCGACGAGACGGATGACATCGATTGGAGGCTGGGGTATCCAAACAGCGATTTCATGGGTTTCGCGGAGGATTGGAACGAGGTCGTGGTAGGCGTGCCCGGTAGCGAGATGGGATTCATTTTGAGAGGAGGCGGCTGGGTCGGTGGAGAACGTCCTGAGGGCGTCAAGGGCACCACGAGCGTTGGCATGCGAGAAATACTCTCAGATCCATTGACAGAATTGTTAGTAGTTGTGTTAGGCCATTCGAAGAGGGTTTGTTTCCTCTCAAGTATATTTGATTGCCCGACCGGGGGAGTGGCCAAAGATTTGTTAGCTTCTGGTACACTCTTTGATTGCGACTGGGGTTGTGGAGTAGGTGAGAAAGAGGAGGAGGGGGATGTATTGATAGGAGGAAGTGAAGGTCGTGAGTGGTGAGAAGCTACAGATGGTGGTGTAGGTGTGAGTGCAGCTGTGATAGGTATAGGTGGTGATGTAGCTACGAGGGATTCACGCTTTCCCGGCAGAAAGACGGGAGCGGTAGGGTTCAGCGATGTTGAACCAAACGCAGGTGCCGGTTCCTTTTCAAGTGGCGTCGGTACAGAGACAGAGGATGGGGTAAATGCTGAGGTTGGCGGCGTGCTGAAGAAGCCCGAACTTGTCGAAGAACTAGCAGGTAACGGTGCCGGCTTCGAATTGAAGGCAGTCGTTTGGCCAAACCCGGAGACTCCAAACGAGGGTTGCGACACGCTTGATGAGATTGACGAAGGGGCAACGTGTGACTGAGTCGATACTGATGCGTCACCAAAGGGCGATGCCTTGGAGGAGGACGCGATACCCGCGAATGCCGATGTCGAGCCAAAAGCGGTCTGTCCGAAGGATGGGGCGAGGACACTGGGCGCCGACGTAGACGAGGGAAAGGCTGCGGATGCGCCACCAAACGCACTCGTCGCGGGGACGGTGGACCCTCCAAAAGGCGATGCAGAGGCTGAGCTGTTGGTCCCATATGCGGAGTTGTTTGTATCCCCGAGGCCAGCGAATGGCGATAGATTGGAAGGCTTTGAGCTACCAAAAGCAGAGGTACCCGTTGTGAAGGTTGCCCCACCGAACACGTTTGGTGTCGTCTTCAGGTTAGAAAACGCAGTCGCAGCAGGAGCTGGAGCCTCCGTGGTATAAACCGGCGCTGCAGCTGGCGCAGACGTAGAGGTTGGAATGGAGGAAAATGCAGAGGCAGGGTCGCTAGACGTTTGTCTGAAGATAGACGACGCAGGCTTCGGCCCGAAATTGTCGGTGAGCCACTCTGTCGCACTCGGCTTCACAGGAGATCTAGCTCGTGGTGGATTCAGCTGATGGTTCACTTTGTCAGTCGACGACATCTCCCCGTCTATGACTTGAGGAAGATCCAGTCCAGCACGAATGCTTTCGATATCATCAATCGTGTCCGTCCCGAACAGCCGCTCAAGAATGCAGGCTACAAGGTAGACCATGACCTGGCTCCCTTGCTGTTGAAGTACCCCTGCCAATTCGGCGAAAATCGCCATCCCCTCTTCGTCAACCACCAAAGCAGAGGTTTTCGTTATAGGCTCCGATTTCGCCTGGATGTGCTTCCGGAATTTTGTGGTCAGAAGAAAGACAGGGTGAGACAGGATTGATTGAGGGATATCGTCATGTCGCTCTCGTTGATCGCGTATGTGGATGAGACGGTGGTAGATCCTCATTTCTAGTTCGTTCGGCGACTGGTGGCGACCGCGTTGGTCCTCGTAGAACTCCTTCAAGCTTTGAAGAGCTGTCGCGGATAAGACCCTGCTCAGACATCGAAAGGGAGTAAACTCACTGTTCATGAGCTGCTGCTCTTCTAATGCAATCGAGAACCCACTGCGGCTTCGCTCGATATGGAGCGCGAGAATATGAAATCGTGCGCAACGTTCGTGGCACTCCATAGCAACAGCACCTGTCTCATGTTGCATCGTGAAATCGTTTCGAACAGAACGAGAACGATCACGAATGAAATTAAAGGTTGGAGAGAATCCTTCCCGAGGCATAAGGTTATGGAATAGATAGTTCAATGTTCTCTGGATGCGTAAAATCAGAACGCGTGAACAAGCTAGCACGCCTTTTGACTTTGCCGTACCTTGAGAACGGGAGGCGGCCGCAAATCGGACGGTAGTGTCTTGTCGCCAGCCGCGCGCTCGTACATCTTCACGGCGCGATTGTGATCTACCCGTCTCGTCCCGGGGATCTTCATACCATCAGCGCAGATTTCGGGGGGAAATAAATGATACAAGGGTAGAGACACGTACAACTTCCCACTCAAACAGGTTATTTTCCCGTTCGCGCCTGTACCTCTCGAACCGTGGACACATGTCCATGCATGTCCCGACCATCGTGATGGCTTCGTCCAACCGTTTTGGAACCAGAGGATCGTCCATCTTTCCCTCTGCTATTGCTTTCTTTCGTTCTACTTCTCGCGCTTTCACGAGCTGCATGCCATGTCTCGTCGGGCACGAACAGGCAAGAACATACAACAACGCACCTCTTGATAAAATCGCTCGCGCTCCTCCGGGGTGCTCAGCTCTGGCTCTTCGATCTCGCCTTCACCCTCAGTGTACTCCTCACCCTCGCCTTCAGTGTCCATACCGTCATCTTCCTGCAACACAGTGGGCATGACATTCGGCGTCTCTGGTCTGGGTGACTTGGATGACCTCGCTGATCTTCCGCGCCCCCTACCTCTCACACTTAGATGCCCGCCCCGCTCCCAGCGATCTCCATTGACTCCCAGGTGGTTTGGGGTGGCAGACCGACCTCGGCCGTTACTCTGCTCGGCCACCCACGTCTTGTTCTTTGAGTGTCCGCGCCGAGCGCGTTCCGGTCCCCCATGACTCTTCGGTTCGCGTCCACGATGAGCCCTGCCAGTTGAAGGGAAGGCCTCCATACTTCCGACAATGCCGAGACCAAACTACGCGTTTCTGCCTGCGAATCAACGGGAGATTGAGAACCGGATGGAGTAGAATATGAAAGACGTTAAACGTGAAGTCGTCAAAATGTTTAAGGTACGCTGGGTGGATAATAGCGGCACGCCAGCAATGGCGGTGGTCTCAGCTCTGAGAGAAACACAAAGAATAGAATTCGCGCCACAACAAGGCCGGGTGGCACCAAGCAAGAACAAACACCGTTCTTGCAGTGGAACGCGTTCTCAAGGACACTGTGGGTCAAAGCATCGTGCCCAGGATCTCCTGTTCGTCTTGATCTTCACTCTCAAATTTTGAGTCATGCACAAAAGTCAGAAGATTGAGCGACATCTTTGATCCTGATTTAGCGTCAAATTTCCATAAAAATGTGCATTCGTGCACGGTGGAACATCCGAGGAAGTATGTGACGTATAGGGTAGGGGACATTACGATGTAGAGTACAAGGAACAAACGACTGCCACACGACAAAACAGAGCGACCAACACGACGAACGGAATGAGCGAACGAAAGGCATAAACAGAGCGTAACGTGTGCACACAAGAAGAGAGGTATCGCGAGGGAGGCGTACAGATAAACAGAGGAGAACCTGAGAGCAAAACCGCAAAACCCTGAGAAGAAATCACGTCTCAACCGCAGCCAGCCCGCCGCTACCGTCCACAACATGGACGACATTCTCGTCCATCCCCTTGTGCTCCACCTCCGTTACTATGACATCGGCGACCATACCTTCGACCGGCAACACGGAAGACACCATCTGTGGTGGGGCATATCCTGCGTACGGCGGCCAATACGAGGAGTATCCCGGTGGAGGCGGTGGGTAATACCCATAGAAAGCCTGTTGGGACACATCTCCCGTTGGCGGCGACATATACGCTGGATACCCTTGCACAGAAGCTCCGGTCGGGGATGTGGGTGAGCCTGTTTGTTGTGAGACAGGTGATGTGGGAGATTCCGGAACCACGGGAGGGGACACCGCAGGCGGCGGAGCATAGGGACCTGCCGGGTACATTGTATGCTGGCTCATGTTGTATCCCATCTGATAGTACGGGTGCGGTGGCGGCATCCCATACGGATAGTGGTGTTGAATCATAAGATTGGGGTCTGCATACCCTGTCTGTCCCACACTATACCCTGGCTCCGTCGGCGACGCTATCTGGGCCTGAGTGCTCTTGCCCTTCCGGGATCGCTTTGTGCCTGCGTATGGATCGAATCGTTTTGGGCGCTTGCCCCCTGACACACCACCAATGTCCGTCGGCGCACTGAGAATAGGGATGCCAGTGGGGGTCGTGAGGACGTGGGGTGATGGCTCGACATCATCCGCTTCGCCGCGATATCGTGGGAGTCCGTCCATGCCAATCTCAACTTTGGGTGGATTTCGGAAATGTGTTTTATCGAGGTACTCCGGGCTGATGTCTAGCGAGGCGAGTTCAGGATATGATGAAGGTGATCTCAGACGCCCATCTTCAACGTCTTCGATTTTGTAATAAGAGATCAGGTGTTGTGAAACTCCGTTGATCGTCAACGAAAATGTCTGTGCAGAAAACACCGGTCAGTACCAATATACATCATGGATTCGACCAGAGATATCAACTGCAGGGAAGACCACACTGACTCGCCCAAAATGGGCGCTTATTTTGCGCGCTCGGCATCGTGCAATTCAATGTGCATGCGCTACTCACCTTCTTCATCATTCCACCAGACTTAAACTTGTAGCTATTCGTCAAGCTACCGACCAAGCTCCGCTCCCGATGTCGGTCAATTCCAAGCCGGCTTGCTTCGCCCCTTGGCCTGCTAAGCGTTTGGCCCTCGAGCTTGCCCCCATCAGGACCGAACTGCTCGTGTCCATCAGGCACTTCCACACGAGCACCTCTGTGCCCCGTACCCTTCTTTTCCGTCTCGCGATACAGCAGGAAGTTGCCTAGTATCCTGGACGGGCTCCAGAAAAAACCATCTGTCCATCGTTTGATGCCGCTCTCGTCCTCATCGAAAACGAACACGGAGCCGGAGGTGATCATCTTCCGCTCAGAGTCAACTAAGCGACGGGTGACACGAGGGATAAGGCCCCGACGTGCGGCTTCGAGGATAAGGAGAGCATCTCCAGTTGTCTCTATCCACCCCGACCACGGCGGTTCGGTCCATGCACTCGACGATGCCTGGCCGTTGCCCTGTGTATCAGGGGGTGATGACATATATGATCACGCTTGCATTGTTATCGTCAACAATCCCCAAAGAGCAGACGGGTAGTCCAGTTGCAAGATCAAAGTAAGTTCAGTCAGCCACATCAAAGTAAAGTTCAGCTGAACAAAGTTGGCTCACCGAGCAGGAAGATTTGCGAGGAGGGTGAAATGTGAGAAGCCTATTTAGGATTCAACGCCCGCTTTCTCCGCAAACTGTGGCGCCGGATCAGCTCTAATTTACAAGACAGGACACTGAACTACCCCTCACAATACTTGTCAACAACGCAGTTCGAGGTTCTATGAGGGATAATGCAATATCCGGAGGCTTGTACGACGTTAGGAGGGGTGGAAAGAAACAGTGGGTGCAGCGGCGTGCCACGTGTTTATGACCTGATTCGTCAATATCAGCCACATTTTCAGCCACCCTCAGCCACCAGGCACTCCGGCCGGTGGCTGCGAGCTTCGGCATCGATCAACCTTCGTCTGTCCCTCTTCCTGCTGCCGTTTGTAGTTTTTCGTTTGTAAAACATAAACCAAATATTCTATGCATACTCTTCATGACTTCAACCATCATTGCGCCCTCGCTTGGAACCCAGATTCTGTCAGTCCCTAACGGTTTGGTCACGGGATGCTACTGCATAACACAGCTCACAGCTCATTCATTGTGAAGTCACGACCTCGAATTCATGCCATACCCAACACAGTCCATCGTTTGACCCACTGAGCAGCCTAATCGCATACCTCGGGAGTCAAGACCTAGAGGTGAGACCGTCCACACGGCAATCGGGCTCATCATCGCCGTACAAACATCCTCGATCAGCCTCGGACAATGCACCGAGGCACGTTATGTCGCCCAGCGCCTTTACCAGAGGCTAGCCCAGACATAGCGCCGTCTTATCTCTAGTCTCGAACGTTGTTTAAGGTTGTCGGATATGGAGAAAGGTAGGAGGTACACTCGAGTCGGGGCTCGCACTCTTGTCGTTACCCCACGCTCTGATGAATGTATAAGCACAGTTCGGTTTTTAGACCATCTATCGTATCTCCAAACAGCTTCTTGTTCTCAACAATTTCTGCGCTTCCACAAAGTGCTCCGAGGTGCATACCTGGTCTCTAGTAGCTCATGAGCCATGCGCCACCCTCTGGGATGATACAACATCTGCTCTTTGAGCGCAGACCACGTAGATCCGGAGAAGGTTCTTCCGAGATCCTCGCCTGGTGCGCGTACCTTTGATTATTCAATTGTCATCTCGTAGGCCATGTCTAGACATGCTTCAACTTCGATTCTGTTCAGTGCCCCCTAGTGCCCCTCGATTCTACGTACGGTCCGACCATTGTTCCAGAGGAGGAACCCAACTAACTATTCTCTTTTGGACGTGGGTTTTGATGAATGCACACGTCGTGACCGAGGCACATACTTAAATTTTTTTCCACCCGTTCTCAACGCACCAACACGCTAGCCCACTTAAATCACGAGCACAATTACGTGGGAAGATGCAGGAAGATGTCTGCTCAAGTTTCTCGTGAGGGGGCTTTTTGCCGGACTCCTTCAAAAATAGACGCCACGATGTTCTTGACGATTACCCAATACAGGTTCAGGACAGTGTAAGTCTCCGTTCTAAGTTTGGCTCAAGTCCTTTCTTTGTCCTTGTTCCACTGTCTGCTGCGGCTTCACTGACATCCAATTTATTCCTTTTGGGACAAAGCGTTGATCAAATCAGGCGACCTCGGCATGCTCTACATGATACATATATCATTGATCCACGTCCGGGTGAGGAGATAATACGGGCGGGGTGGGCAAGACTACCGAGTTTTCCGAATCATACTTGAGCTCATGAATACTCTATTAGGCAACGCAGACCCGCATGTCAGGGAACACGGAATATCTCGAAATGTTTGATCCTCGTATTCAATGGCGAAAGGTCGCCAATGTCATTACCACTAGAAGCGCTCCTCTGCAGTTCGAAGTGATGGAGGTCGGCAATGTAAACGAGCTCAAAGGCCACTGAAAAGCGCTTTGCTTACTACTGTAACAGGTAGTCAAGCAGCGCGACATCATCAGCAATCAGTTTTTCTCATAGAAACACTGTTTTGCCAGGATCTTGACAGCGCCCCCTTTCTCCCACGATTCGCGATTGGCGCTACGGTTCCCGCGACTGAATCCTCGATTCTCATTCATGTCAGGGACGGAACACACTCGCACTTTTTGCACCTTGAACATCACGGGGTGCCACATAATCTACGCCCTGACAGAGTGGTCCCTGAGCAGGAGGACATCTGACAGCGCGAATTGCAGGGAAGCGCTTTACACATTTTGACAGCAGCGCTTATGGAATACGGACGTTAGCACCCATGCGAGCTCTATTCGCGAATGTGCCGCCTGCAGCATCGGAGGCGCCGCGATCGGTGTAACACCCATTCATATCTATTCACGTTGGCCGATGGCTTCGATGCAATCTGGGGTCAATCTGGTGCGGTCGGACGGCCTTCGCATTCCAAACTGTGACAGCTCTCCGAAACTGATGACTCTGGCATCTATTTTTTACGCAGCCCAGTGGTGCTTAAAAGCGGCCTGGCTTTGCAATGGTCTATCAACACCTCGCTGCATACACACGCTGCAGATGATGGTCGCCTTTAACCGACCCCGAACAGCTCTAATTATATCTCTCATTCCTGTTCGTGCAGCCTCTCTGTTCATTGCGCACGTCCATCAGTCTGACCGTCAGCTATGCTAGTTTGTTTCAGCCGTCCATGTTCCCCATAACCTTTTCAATCATAAACGACAAAATGCGGTGGTCCCGAATGACCTTCCTGGAAATTGGACCTTCCAAGGATGTTTCACGTTCGTATCTTAATTGATTCTGCAATTACCCTCTATTAATGCCGATTGGTTCTTTCGGTCCTCAGAGACAATCCTGGCGCTCGCACGCTTACGTCTGCGAGTTTCGTCAGCACTAACAACATGACGGTGGAGGCCTGTGTCAGTTTCTGCGACACGCAATCCTTCATCTATGCAGGTGTCGAGTTTGCTCAGGAATGCTGTATGTTTGATTTATCTTTTCAGATCGTCTCAGCATATGATGACCATGCTTCATAGACTGCGGGGACATTCTTTCGAATGGCGGAACTAATGCGACACTTTCCGACTGTAATGCCCCATGTACTGGTAACGCCACGGAAACGTGCGGCGCTGGGGGCCGTCTTGATCTTTTCTGGAGTGGCGCCCAGCCCCCTCCTCCACCTACAAGCCCTGAAAATGTCGGACTTTGGCACTCCCTCGGCTGCTGGAAGTGCGTATCTATCTACATGACTCTATCCAAAAAACGCTAATGCTTGCATATATATAGTGATTCTACAGCAGCGAGAGTTTTGAGCGTTGGTGTCAACGTGGCAGGATCAGTGAGCGTGGAAACCTGCACAGCCGCTTGCTTCCAATCAGGATATCCTCTTTCTGGGATGGAATTCGCCGACCAGTGTTGTACGTTTTCTAGTGTTCTATACCTAGGCCTTTTTGCATCGTGCACTGATCGATCTCATTTTGACATCTCCTTTAAGTCTGCGGAACTTCGCTCATCAATAATGCCGTCTTAGAGCCATTGACCGACTGCAGTATGGCATGTGCTGGAAACAGCTCTGAACTCTGTGGTGGCCCTAATAGGCTCAATATCTATAATTACACTGGCACCGATCTTCCCCCCATCACAAACCCTGGAGGTGGAGGTGGAGGTGGAGGTGGAAATAATGGGGCACCCGTATTCCCTGTGACATCTGGTCTTCCCGCACCGTGGACCTACTCATCCTGTTACGTGTAAGTTGACTTATGCAGCAAGAGCACCTGACTTTCTACTGATAACTTTTTGGTGATAGTGACGCTGCTAATGGCAGAATCTTTGCCAACGAGCTCAATGATAATTCCAATCTTACCGTCGAGTCTTGTATCGCTTCTTGTGCAGCCGACAACTTCACGTTGGCTGGGGTAGAGTTCAGTGTCCAGTGCTGTATGTTTTGAGGCTCTTCTTCTCGTGCAACGCCACCTCACATATCATTCTAGTCTGTGGAGATAGTCTCATCAATGGTGCAGTCACAGCGCCAGACGCTGACTGTAACATGGGCTGTGGCGGAAATGCAACGTGCGTATCACGATCTCACCCTGAAGTCTGGCTAACATCTGTAACAGCGAAGCTTGCGGAGGTCCAGATCGCCTTTCTGTTTACACTGCGACAGGAAATGTTACTACGTTTCCTGTCCCTATCCCTCAAAACACGAGCCTGCCTGGCCAGTGGCAATACCAGGGCTGTTTCCCGTAAGTTTACTGTTGATAAACATATATAATCATCGCCGATAACCGTGCATCTGTAATAGCGATGCGCAACCTACTCGGATCTTCACATACCAGATTTTCAACACAAATAACAACAGCGCCGATGCCTGTCTTAATCAGTGTGCAGCGTTTGGATATCCTGCCGCTGGAATGGAATTCGGTGACGAATGCTGTAGGTTGTTTGATTGTCTCTTCTTATCATAGGCTCATGTATTTCAGGGTGTGGTGATATCGAGGACGTCACAAACAGTGGATTGACGTTTGCTCCAGAATCTGACTGTCCTATTGCGTGTACCGGGGACCCCATCCATCTTTGCGGAGGAGCTCTAAAGCTTCAATTATACTTCTGGAATGGGCCCTTGAATGTATGGCACCAGCCCGAGAACACTGGCCGTTACGAGGTTTGTATCCTTTTTTTTTGTCTCATATCTGGTTTTGCTACTGATCATCGTTTTTACACGAATATCACTCTTCAGTTCCTCATCGGTGGCGTTGTTGTACCCCTGCTAGCCACCGTCGGCATCAACAACAAAGTCAGCTTCCTCGAAAAGTCCGGTACAAGTGAATTTGCAAATTCGACGGGGGCATACGAGCTCGATCTCACTCTGGTGGATGATTTCTCCCTCGCATGGCGGGAGATGCACGTCAAGACAGACGTTTTCTGCTCCGGATCCTTGGTCCTTCCTGACAAAGCTGGTCGCATCATCAATGTCGGTGGATGGTCGCATCCTTCCACGACCGGCATTCGGTTCTATAGTCCAGATGGGAGTGCAGGCGTAAACGGCACGAACGATTGGGAGGAAAATTCCGATATCTTGGCACTTCAGGTTAGTCATAATGGTGATTAGATATATAATACATTAATCTTTCTTTACAGGCCGATCGCTGGTACCCTGGTGCGCTCGTGATGTCTAATGGAACTATTCTGGTCGTGGGAGGCGAAGGTGGTTCCAATGGGGCTCCTACACCGAACCTGGAGATACTACCAAAGCCACCCGGCGGCAGCACCTTAAAGTTCTTAGATTACCTCAACAGAACAGATCCAAACAATCTCTATCCATTCCTCTCCATGATGCCAAGCGGTCGGATTTTCATAGGTATGCCGATGGACCAATCTTATTTCTGACGCCTACTTATCTCCTCGGCAGGATACTATAATGAAGCTCGCATTCTTGATCCAGTCACCCTGGACACTGTCCAGGAACTCCCGAATATGCCAGGTTCAGTGACAAGTTTCCTGGCAGGACGGACCTATCCAATGGAAGGGTCCGCTGTGCTATTGCCTCAATATGCGCCATACACCGATCCAATCACTGTGCTGATATGCGGAGGGTCAAATTTTGGAATTGCGCTGGATAACTGTGTGTCTATTCAACCAGAGGTTTCGAACGCAACCTGGCAGCTTGAGCGTATGGTATGTTAAAAATATGCCAACACTTGGCAAGCGTCACTAACAATTATTCCAGCCTTCGAAACGTGTCATGCCTTGCATGTCTCCTCTTCCGGATGGTACATTCCTGATTGTGAATGGTGCCCAGCAAGGCGTTGCAGGATTTGGCTTAGCCGACGATCCCAACCTTACTGCTCTCCTCTACGATCCGACACAGCCTATTGGACAACGCATCTCCATTCTCAACACCACCATCGTCGCCCGCTTGTATCACTCTGAATCTACCCTTCTCACCGACGGGCGTGTCTTGATCACGGGATCCGACCCCCAGACAAATAACCCCGATGGAACGCCGAAGTTCCCTGAGGAGATGCGAGTGGAGGTATACATTCCCCCATACTTGACAGCAGGACGCACCCAGCCTTCATTCAATATTACGGAGACCGACTGGTCATATGGCGGCCAGTATCAAATCACCACTTTACTCCACCATGGCACAACGTCTACTATGCGCGTTTCTCTCGTTGCAGGTAAGTTTGGTACTCTTCTGAAAAACTCAGCTGATCTGACCCCTCGCGCAGCCACATCAAGCACTCATGGTAATGCGATGGGCGGCAGGACGATTTTCCCCGAGTTCTCTTGCAGCGGTACAATCTGCACTATTACAGCTCCCCCGAATGCTTTCGTTTCTCCTCCTGGCTGGCATCAATTATTCATTCTCGACGGTCCGACTCCATCGTTCTCCCATTGGGTTCGCATCGGTGGCGACCCTGCCCAGCTCGGACTCTGGCCTAACCTTCCTGGCTTCACTCCGCCAGGCATTTGATCCAACTACCTCAATCATCAAAGCTTTACAATTGTTCCCAACACTAGTCCCTCATTAGGCCTCACTCTGGTTCTTTTGCTCATTCCTTTTAGTTATACAGCACTCGTCTTCCTTTCGCCATTCTTTTTCGGATGTATTGAGTCGTTGGGCTTCTCTTTTTATGTTTTATTTGATACCATCTGTGTACGACGTACTCCTTGACCTGTTGTTGATGTTCTCGCAAACAAGAAGCTCTGTTACCCGTCGATGTGTTCTACGTGTGCAAGACTCTGCAGCCTCCAGGACCAAGCAAACTAAGTTTTCGAACAGAACGTACATTCAAATTGACCATATAGTACATACAACACAACACAAACACAACATTGGATGGTACAGGATTGTCACAACTACCCTGAGGGCTTGATTCGTTTATACAAAAGGTGGCGAGCCTAGTCCCAAGATGCTTTCACACAATGAATCAAGCAAATGCCAACGCAGACCATGCAGCAACAGCGCCGACCATTACCAGAGCCGCAGTCTGCGTAGCAGCCGCGATCTTGCCACGTTTCAGCGGGCGAGGTCTGTCTGCAACTTCACTCATAGCACAGGCCTCATCCTCAGACACAGAACGTTTCCTCTTGAGTGATGGAGAGGGCGCGGCGTCGTTCTGTACGCGATGAGACGGAAACGCGCCCAGAGTGGGCATCTGAGGACGTACCTGGACTAGGCCTACGTGATCAACCGTCTTGTCGATGACAAGGGTGCGCGCAGCTTTGAGAGCCTGAAGATCATGCTCCACTTCTGCGGTGGTGGAATCTCTCAAATTCTTGAGACCTAATGCATGCGATGAGCCAAGGGCCGTTGGTACAATAAAAGGTACTCACTTGCTACCAAAGCGTGCAACGCTTCCACGCTCGTCTTAACATCCTCCCTCTCAACGAGTGCTCTTTGCAGGACTTCGGAAGATGGTGCCGGCGGCTGCTGTTGAATCCGGAGCTGCTCTTGATACTGCCTCACCTTATCCACATCACCTTGATGGGAGTCAAGACGCTCCCGGAACGCCGCCAACTCTTGGCTCAGTTCAAAGTAGTTGTCATATGCGCCCTCGATGCGGTTCCAGAGTGATTGGAAAAGATCGTTTGTCTCGTCGATTCGTTTGTCGAACCCGAAAGCTCGATCTGCCTGTGACTTCAGATCTGCCTGAGTCTTGCGATGTGCGATGCGCAGTCTCAGCACATTGGACTGCAATCGATCAGTGCAGGATCATCGAGATGAAGACGTGCACGTACTCGAAGGTCAACAAGCGAGCCTTCCAATCTTGAAAATCGTGACAGGATCTCACTTTCGCTTTCGGGCTTCTCTTGAAAAACGTTATTAAAGATCACGCCGGGCTCGTGTTCATCGTCATCCGAGTCGACGATCATGTCCTGTTCACCAGCGTCTACATCTTCTTCCAAGTTAGCTTGGGAAACTACATCAGGTTGTCCGCCCGCCACGTCATTCTCCTCGTCAGGATGCGATTCTTCCGCAACGTCAACAGGCATACATTCTGCGACAGAGACAGTGTGAAGAGGTGGCGCCTCTGGCACTATGCCTTCAAATCTGCCTTCCTCCATCTCCGGGGACATTGAGATTGCACGGATGGCAACCAATGATGAGTGAGATGGAGAGACGGCTCTTGAGTTGGGGTAGGCGCCGATCACGAGGGGCTCTGAAGGATGCAGGACGTTGTCAAGAAACATTAGATCGCTAAACCCCTTCTGGGCATCATTGAAGACGGCCTCTCCGTCAGAGGCATTTGGGAGCCGATTTGCCCCTGAAGGACCAGGACCGGAAGCTGACGGTTCAGTGTCCAACCAACGATATCTGGAGCTCTGGAAGGACATCAAAGATGGCCGCAGCGAGGGAGGGCATGATATGGGTGGGATCATGCGCTTGAGCAAGCCTAGACCATGAATGGATGGCAGCGAAGGGTCTGGGAAGTAAGAGCGGCTAGCGGAGAAATCCGGCTGAGCGTCAGGATACTCCTCTGGACGCTCGATCTCCTCAATATCCGAATCAGGTTGACTGGATGACGATGAGGAGTCGGAAGACGAAGAAGGAGAAGAGCCAAAGACACCGTATCTGCCAGAAGTGCTCGACTTGGGAGTACAGTTGAGTCGTTCGGGAGAGTCTGGAGAGAGGATGGGGGGGATGGGGGCTTCAATCGGTGCCGGAGATGAGAGATTCGGAGCAACGCCATGTAGAAGCCTGATGTTGACTGTCACAGGACGGACGACATAGCTATCCCGTCCAACAATCTTCCCAAATGTGACAGTATCACCGTCCTCCAAAAGAACGGGGACCTCAGGAATCAGCCTCTGAGATACAGTACCGCCTTGTTTCAAAAGGTGGGTTCCATGGTGCGAATCCAGATCAACCAAGTATACCTACGCACGGAGACACGGGCGTCAATATCTAAAGAAGTAGCGGATAAAGAAAGACGAACATGTCCAGTGTCCGAGAATAGTATCTTAGCATGCCGCCTGCTGATGACCGGGCAGCGAAAGGTTGCAGTATCGATCGATTGCCTCTCCTTGCCCACGTTCGAGCCCGATGCTCGACCGATATTTACGACTTGTGTGCGAATCTTATAGTACCTCAGGCTCTGTCCCGGCTGCTCAGCGGTCTTGGGAATATGCAACAAGATACCTGCGGTCACAGCGGTTATTGTCTCTCCTGCTGCAGCAGGAGACAACTGACCAGAAACCGGGCGATGAGTATCAGACGACAGTGCTGAAGGAACTACGGGATCCGCGGGAGGTGCATTTCTCCCGAGATACTGTACTTCGTCTTCCATGATTGAATTGATATATTGGTTGTTCTACGATGTCTTGAACAGCAAGTAGCTTGGATTGATTGACTCGATGAGGGGCAAAGGCAAGACGTCGAGGTCGAGGCAGCAGTCTTTATCAGGCCCATTACGCCCTCGGAGTTTCAAATGTCACCCTGAGTCACCACAGGTCACTGACTCGAGTCACGCCGCCTGCTGTTTCTTTTGGGTTTCCCCACTGTATTCTCTCTGTCTCAACACACAAAATTACACTCTAGATAATTCGAACCAGTATGGACGCAGCTTCATCTACGAATTCTGCTTCTGCATCCAAGAAAAAACCCGTGGTCATCATCACCATTGGGATGGCCGGTGCCGGAAAATCGACATTTGTTCAACGAATCAACTCGTATTTGCATTCTCAAGACCCCCCCTCGCCTCCTTATGTACTTAACCTCGACCCTGCTGTTTCGAGCTTGCCTTTTGAGGCGAATATCGATATACGGGATACCGTGGACTACCAGGAGGTCATGAAGCAGTTTGTGGTTATTCCACTCAGCGCTTGCCACTCTTAAGGTATAATGGTATCGCAAGGTACAATCTCGGCCCAAACGGTGGAATTCTCACTGCCCTCAATCTGTTTACAACCAAGTTCGACCAAGTTCTGGAGCTGGTAGAGAAGAGAGCGGACACGGTCGAGTGGGTTACTCGTATATATCGCCTACCTTCTCGCTGATCGAGCTAAATGACCGTAGCTATGTTATCCTCGATACGCCAGGTCAGATTGAGATCTTCACTTGGTCTGCCTCCGGAGCAATTATCACAGACGCCATCGCGTCTTCTCTACCCACCGTCGTTGCGTACATCATTGACACGCCGCGCACTATGGCGCCTGCAACTTTCATGTCTAACATGCTGTATGCCTGCAGGTGAGAACCGATCTTCAATATGTATCATTACCCCGTGTTCGATACCTCGTCGTTATCATCTCAATTTCTGCAACCATATCTACCAGTCTCTGATCAGCGCTAACCTCATGTCTTAGCATCTTGTACAAAACAAAGCTCCCTTTCATCCTTGTCTTCAACAAAACAGATGTACAGCCACACGAGTTTGCTTTGGAGTGGATGCAAGACTTTGAAGCCTTCCAAGTAGCGCTCGCATCTCACCAGGGAACGACAGACGATGATGGCGAACCGACGTATATGAATAGTCTCATGAACAGTATGAGCCTTGTCCTAGACGAGTTTTACAAGCATTTAAAGGTGAGCAATTGCACATCTTCCCACTGTCAGCTTCTTATGACGCGGACGAAGGCTGTGGGTGTATCAAGTATGACCGGAGCCGGCGTTAAGGAATTCTTCGAAGCTGTTGAGGCATCGCGTGAAGAATATGAAAAGTGCATCCACCGCCATTACTCGTGCGGGCCCGTCTCAATTGATCTGTCTCCACAGAGATTACGTCCCTGAATTAGCTCGCGCGCGCGCGCAGCATCAAGAGACGCTGCAGCAGAAAAAAGACGAGTCGATGAACAGGTTGATGAAAGATCTTGCTGTCGACCGCGAGCGCAATCCAGACGCCCTGGTGCATGATCAATGGGATGCTGAGGACGACGAGGAGGAGGAGGATGGTGGGGACGCAGATACCATTGACCGCAGTCCGTATACACTGCCTCCGCCTGACAACTTTCGCTGACGCCTTTGTTTTCTAGGCGAGGAGCCATGGCCTGGCCAATACATCGACCTCACGCAGACACGACGCAAAGGAGATGAGGGAATTTCATGGCCTAGACCTACTTAGACGTCAGTGATCGTTGTATCGTTTTCGCACAGGTGAATCACCATTTGCTACTGTATTTCACATGAAACTTCCAGCCGTATGTTACTGGGATGATGACCTACGATGACGTGTCCGCGGCCTGACCGTCCTGAAGTATCCTAGGCGCTTACGAGGCTTAATATCATTTTGCCAGCCTTCAAGCTTTCCTCTCGTCTGGATCCGGTGGTACATCTTCAGTCCTCTTGGCCTAGCTCCTTCTTTGAATGCACATACCCCGGAACCAGTGCTGTTCAATTGTAAGCAGTTCATCCGACTCGGTCATAGCGGTCACGCTCTCGGACAAGTCTCGTGTTCATGGGATCAAACAGGATCATACTCGTCATGAAATGCCACAATTTTCTGTTCCTGCATATGTTTCCAACGTTGATCGTTATCAACGTTGGACAATCTAGATGGGCCTGCAGGCACGATGTACCAGACTCTGCTGGGTCGCCAAGCAGCAAACTCTACGTCGTTGTCCGGCGCATGTAATAGTCTCACGGGCATCGCTACGACTAGTACATGCACGACCTCCCCGTGTCCTTCCGGTACCTGTCTCTATCTGTCTCTATGTTGCCCAGAGTCCAGATATTCTCTCCTACGCTACTTGAACGTCCGTTTCCTCATACTGGAGCTGCAGTGGAGAGATTGCGGCATGCCTGAAGATGCCGTACTAGACGTTGGACTGGCGTTGGTCAGAACTTGGGGTTGACTAAATGCTCAGACATTTTCTATGGCTGTGAACTTCTCTTTGCCGTTCCGGTAGTCTTCGCATTCGTTGGCAATCTTTCGACTTCCCAGGCTTTGAGCTAACTCATGTGTGGAGACGTCTTGCTCGCTTGATTGTCTGACGTGAACCTTTGCGCTGGCAATCTCCACGCTTGCTATTCTTTCCGGCAGTAGTGACTTCGCGTCGCGAAGTCCACCTTGAAAAGGGGCGTGTCCGGGTCTTGATCAAATTCTCAGCACACACTCAAATCTTTTGTCCACCGCACAGCGGCACTTACGGTACCGGGGATGCTCCGCACACGCCGGCGCTATTCTCATTTCCTCTGTTGATCACTGCGTCGATCCACGTTAGGATTTGCCATCACTGCAACGCCGACCCTGACTGCCTGATGTGTCTCGCTATACAGATATGAATGTCGCATTTCTTGTCTTATGACCCGGACAAACCTGGGCGTGTAGAACTTCAACGTTTCAACACCGGCAAGAACCCGAAGCCGGGAAGACCCCGCGTTGCTGTGTCGCATTCGTGTTTTCGCGACACTCCGCCTCGTACTCGTGTTCACCATGAACTACAGCCGCTTTACCACTTCCGCGCCCTACGTGAGCTTCCTTATGTATGCCATCTCCCATGACTCGTGCCCCAGTTCCTTGATCGCACCCTGTCTCTCCGCATCGCGGTCACCTCGCCCGGAGTTCTTACGAGGGTTAGACCACACACACACCGCTCGCTCAACCGTGCAGATGGTGCGGCGGCACCTTTGGCGAGCATTCCAGGTGTCCATCACTTGAATGAAAATTATCTCATTTAGGTAAAATTATCCCAATAGTGATCCTGTTCGCATTCGTCGATATTCGCTTTCCGCAGATCGGCCGGCAGCGCCCATGATATTTGTGGTAGCCACTTTATCTAAAGTAAATTGTCGGCGCTTCGCCCAGCACTCGCTGTATATCAGCGAAAACGAGGTCGTAACCAAGGATGCCTCATATCACAGAGGTGGGCTATGCCTGACAGCAGGCGATAGGTGGGACCGGAAGCTCTTGATCATGCTGCATCTCCATTCTTGTCCTAATGTACTATTGGATTTAGGTCGTACTTCGCCACCTGACTTTATCTTTGAACTTTCCTTCTGTGTATGTAGCATACAGGATCCTGCAACAGGCCTTCGGATACCTTTTCCTGCGCTATTGTTCGTCGTGAGCTATTGTATATTCCTGAAATGTAGACGATCGGCGCACGAAGGTTGAACGTTGAACACCGGATGTGCTGTTTCGCCACTAGCACATACATACATGCTAAGCTGGAGGGGTGTGAAATTCCCCGGAGAGGGTCGCGGATTTGCGCCTAATGACAGATTCATTTCTGCGAGAACTTGTCAACGATGGTGGGGCCGGCGAGGCCCATATATAAAGGGTCGTCTCAAAGTCCTGAAGTGAGCTTTGGGAACGAAGATTCACTGCAGGCCACCACTATCTTGTGAATTACATAATCGAGGGCAACAAAACCAACCCATCGACTCCTCCTCATTTGTGTTCCCCTCGCCAACTTCTTCCCTTGAAAATTATCTCATTCGTTCTCTTCCTCTTCTTTGTATCTGTATCCTTGCGGTGGCACTCTAGCCTCGAGCTTCCTCTGCGACTTGTCCTCGCCACCTGATTCACACCTTCAGGTCCTCAATACTTCTTCATGGATCGGTCAGCGCTGGTTGCAATGTCTTACTGGCCACGAGGAAGCTGACGGCGTTAACATTGGTGTTGAACAGGTATGCGAAGCTTGAGAAAGTCGGTGAGTGATGATGGATGCAGACTGTCACTTTACGCCACTAACCCACGCTCTGCAGGCGAAGGTTTGTCCGGATTAACTCGCCTGTCACTTCCTCATAATCGCATCCGCCAATTCTGTTTCACGCACGGACAACCTGCTCAGGAACGTACGGTGTCGTCTACAAGGCCCGCGACGTGGACACGAACCAGATCGTAGCGCTCAAGAAGATCCGGCTCGAGGCGGAGGATGAGGGGGTGCCCAGCACCGCCATCCGTGAAATCAGCCTTCTCAAGGAGCTGAAAGACGATAACATTGTCAGGTACGTCCATCACCCTCGAATCCGTAGTCCTTTTGCCCATCACATCGTCCTCGTGGGGCGCGGCACGCAGGCTCCTCGATATAGTTCACGCCGACCAGAAGCTGTACCTCGTGTTCGAATTTCTCGACGTGGATCTCAAACGGTATATGGAGTACGGGAACTCAACCGGTGCGCCGCTTACACTCGACATTTGCAAGGTGAGTGCACCGGTTGCCTCTTTAGGCCCCACTGCTATATCTGTGGAGATGGCGCGTGTGCGACGCGCTGCCGCGGAGGCAGACGTGTTTTTGCGGTGTGCGAGTGTGGAGTGATGCGCAGTAGACCTTGCGTGGCATCCCTGCGCCCTGTGCGCTCGGATCGCCAGCGCTTGATTAATCTTTCACGTCGAGGGCGTCTATCACGTGCATCCACAACACAACGTCACCTGGTCGTGACCTGCCTTTCTTGGAGGGGCCGGCACGACGTCATCGCGTGTACCGCCCCGAATTGAATGCAACCCGGTGCTCAGAACTGATGAAAAATCTTTTACAGAAATTCACTCATCAATTGACATCCGGTCTTCTCTACTGCCATTCACACAGGATCCTTCATCGCGACCTCAAGCCACAGAATTTGCTGATCGACAAGCGCAACAATCTGAAACTTGCGGACTTTGGCCTCGCACGAGCCTTTGGTATCCCTATGCGATCATACACCCACGAGGTGGGGTGGCTCACTGTCTGTACCTTGTTCCACAGCTGAGCATTCGTATCTAGGTGGTCACGCTGTGGTACAGAGCGCCAGAAGTTCTTCTGGGTTCGCGCCAGTACTCGACAGCGATTGACATGTGGTCCGTGGGCTGTATTTTTGCAGAGATGGTTATGAAAGGCAATCCTCTGTTTCCGGGCGATTCGGAGATCGATCAAATTTTCAAGATCTTCAGGTGTGTGGGCATTTGTGCGCGCCTGCTGAATGATGCGTGTTGATTATCTCGATGCCGATGTGAAACAGAGTCCTTGGAACACCGAACGAGGATATTTGGCCTGGAGTTAAATCGCTGCCGGATTACAAGCCCACGTTCCCGCAATGGTCTCGACAAAACATTGCGGACTACGTGCCTTACCTCGACAAGGCAGGGCTCGACCTTCTTATTGTATGTCTGCGGTTCATGTTTTTCCGTCCACGTTCCGTGATTTAATTTGATGTCTGGCAGCAAACACTGGCTTATGATGCGGCGAAACGAATTTCAGGTGCGCCTCGAGCCTCGAGTTGTTCATGATTATTTTTGACCCGACTTCATCCCTTTGTCCAGCAAAACGAGCCATGATCCACCCATACTTCAACGACTATCGGCCGTAATGATCGTTCCGCCCTCCTGCCGCCCCTGTCCCTGTCCCTTTCCTTCCACCTTCTCTTCCCTCACCACTTCCTTCCGTTGTTCGTCCTCCCCGCACGATATCCCGACACGCCCATGACGACGTATTATATCAAGACGACCTACTCGACTGTGTCTGTTCGCTTCGTATGTACGTTTTCCGCACTCGGTTGCAGCATTGTCAACTTGTGCCTATTACCAATGTCTACCTGTTTGTCCTTGACATCGCGATTTTCTAAAGTATAATAGAGAGAAGTGAGATTACATGTATCAACATCGTTGTTTCAGATGCCCTCCTTGTGCACTGTCGTGGCGTCGGCGATCAGTACTGCTTTGGAAGAGCTGGGTGTTTCCCGTAAGCGGGGGGCACTGTAACGTCAAATCTCCAGTTTCTTCGTGGATGTATACTCATCACCTATCATTCATCCTCGAGATGCTCATGAACAGGACATGCAATGATTCAAGGCACACATGAAAGGGTGCACCGAGGGCTACGAGGAAGCGAAGGGAAGCGAGCGTATTTCCACATATCATGTACCTGGCGCAATGGCCATTCAATACCGTCCAAGTCGAGGCCCTATCCAGGTTGCCCATCCATCGGCGACACGGTCATCGAGTACATATACGGACTGCATCGTCGGAGACCGACAACCGAATGATATCGCGGTCAGTCCGACGTCGGTGAATGGCCTTGCCCACGCGTGCGGTGTCCACCTTGGGTTCTGAGGCGGTGTGTGTCGGGAACCGAAGAAACTGGAGTAGGGGGTCAGTATTTGAGATAGACAGAGCCGTGCTACCTCCATGGCATAAGTGATTCGGGACCTCGGGATCTAGGTGATATCCAGCTAGCGTTCCCGTTGGTCCCAAGCAACTTTTCAGGTCAGACACGGTAGCATAGGACATTACACTTAGTGTCGACAGACAGTCGAGAGAGTTTCCATGGTATGTTTCTGCTGGCCGAAGGATCTGTATGGACTAAGCCTTGATTGAGGCATTGTTAAGCATCTGTGGTGTAATGGTTAGCATCGAGTCTTCCCACTCGACTGTACGTCAAGCATGGCTTGGGCCCGGGTTCAATTCCCGGCGGATGCATTTTCATCGGGCTCTGGAAATTTTTACAGGACGAAGCCACAGGCCAGTCGCAGCTGCCGCGCTGCTTGTGACCGACGAGAGCGAACTCGGATCTCGCAAAGCGCCGAGCCGGTCTGCGCTTCCTCGTTGGACACGCACTCGCACCGTCGACGGGCGAACATGGGCAGAAACCGTAAGCTGTCGCTGCAACCCCGCCAGACCCGCCGCTCGACCGTCCTCTTCCCCCACAGAATCCCACAAGGCGGTCCCACACAAGTCGAGTGCGCCGTGACCCTCCACACCCGCCTTCCACCCGGCTGACCCTCGTCACACCGCAGAGCTGAAGAAAGACCCGGGCATACCCCGTCTCCCTGATCTCAAGATACGCAATGCCGAAAAACAGCGCACCCACGCGGTCCGTATCCCTCTCGATCGCACCGTCCTCGGGCTCACCGCCCGCCGCTCCCTGAACCGTGCAGCCTCCCCCGTACCTAAAAGACCCAGACGCGACGATGGCGTCCGAGCCGACGCTCTCCTCCCTCGCCCTCCTCGCCGCCGCCTCGTCCGCCGACCCGTCCTCCCAATTCGACGACCCGTCCGCCGCCGGGCCGCAGCAAAAAACGAAGGAGCAGCTGCGCAGGTTCTACGTCCGCGCGCTCCACAAGGTCATTGACGAGAGCGACGTCATCGTCCTCGTTCTCGACGCCCGAGACCCAGAGGGCTGCAGGAGCAGGCTCGTGGAAGAGGAGGTCAGGAGGCGCGAGGCGGAGGGCAAGAAGCTCGTTTTCGTCCTGAACAAAATCGGTGCGCGTCGCTCGCGCGCCTGAGCAGATCTCGCATATTTTTTGACTCTGACTCTCTCGTCGAACGTCTGTTGCATCTTTGCACGCTCAATAGATCTCGTGCCCCGACAAAACGCGCTCAATTGGCTGCGCTACCTCCGCCATACCACCCCCACTCTCCCCTTCCGCTCGTCCACGTCCCATCAGCGCTCGAACCTCTCCTCGTCGACTGCTCCCGCCCTTATGAGGATACTCAAGGCCTACAAGCCTAGCGCGGCGCAGAGCGTCACCGTCGGCGTCGTCGGCTATCCCAATGTCGGAAAAAGCAGTCTCATCAACACGCTGAAGAGATCGAAGGTCTGTCCTCCCCCCCCCTTTTTTTTTTTGCTCAAGGGCACATGTTTCGCCTCCTGCGCTTGTGCATCCTAACCCTCACACTTCCAGGTCTGTGCAGTGGCTTCGCAGCCGGGTCATACGAAAGATCTCCAACACGTTCAACTCGAACGCGGCCTGCGCATCGTCGACTCTCCAGGTGTCATCTTCGACGACGATGTCGACGACGGCAAAGGAAACAGCAAGGGCAGCGTCCTGCTTCGCAACGTGATCCGAGTGGAAGACATCCAGGATCCTGTCGAAGTCGGTAAGCCCGCCTCAATCTCCCAGCCTCTTCCGTCCACGCACACCGATGACGACGCCGTGCCATCTCAGTGGAAGCCGTGCTCGCGCGGACAGAGCCCGAGAAGATGCAGAAGATCTACGGCCTGCCCGAGTTCGGCTCCGCGCTCGAGTTCCTGACGATGCTGGCGCTGAGCACGGGCAAGCTCCTCAAGGGCGGCACGCCCGACATCCTCGCCGCCGCGCGCCAAGTCCTGACCGACTGGAACCACCAAAAAATCCCCTTCTTCTCCGTCCCGCCGACCGTCCACCCGTCGCAGATCCCGTCGATGATCTCGTCCGCATCAGGTGAGCCCTTCCTTCCGTCCGTCCCGGCGCGCGATCTTCGAACGGGGCTCAACGGCGTTCTCGGTGTCCTTTTAGGCCCGGGACAGATCGCACCTGGCGCCGAGACCGTCGGCCAGGCGCAGATCCTGTCGGCGCTCGGCCAAGCGTTCACGCTCGAGGGCCTGTTCGGCGAGGCGGACCAGCAGGCGCTGCCCGACTCGATGGAGGTAGAGGACGAGGCGCAGGCCATGGACGGCATCGACGCCGACGAGCAAGGGTGAGCAGCGTCCGGCTTCGCTCGCGCATGTCGGTGACTGGGATCCGCGCTGATCAATAAGTTGAAAATGCGCGCTCGTCGCGACGTGCCCCCGCGCCCTACTTCTCGGCTTGGATCGGATCGGATCAATTTCGTGGCGGCGCCCTTTGTCCTCGGTTGTGATTGTGGTTGTGATTGTGGTTGTGGTTGTGACTGTGATTTTTTTTTTTGGTTTTCCTTGCCTTGGTTTGCTTTGGTTTGTGTTAGGGATCGGATGGACGAGGAGGAGCCCAGCCAGCCATCGCGCAAGCGCGCGCGGTCGCCCGCGGACGAGCACGCGGCGGCCCCGGGGACGATCAGCGTGCGCGCGCCGAAGCGCCTGCGCCGCGCCGCGAGCGCGCAGGCGGGGGCGCCGGTCCCGGGGCTGGTGGGGACGACGCGGCGCGCGGCGCGGCTGGACAAGAAGAAGAATCGGAAGGACGCGCGGAGGGCGGGGCGGGGCGCTGTGGATGGCGGGGGCGGGGCGATGGAGTTGGACGATGTGGGTGGGTTGGGTGGGACGTTCGTGGCGGAGTAGGGTCGGGCGCGGTTGTGCGAGTATGGGTGCTGGTGGCGGGGCTGGTGGCGGGGCTGGTGGCGGGGCTGGTAGTGGTGGGGATGTGGGAGTGCTATCGGTCCTTGGTTTTTGTATGATCGTGTATCCTTCGTTGCGCCACGGAATGTAGCCATACGCATACGCATACGCATATAGCGCGAACCATTTACACAGGTACTTCTGGCTGGGCTGCGTGTTCCAGCGGGAGCTGAGCAATTCTTTTTTGGGGCCGAAGACATCGCACATCGCCCCGAAATATCACAAATGGGGATATTCCGGGTATGTAGCATACTGTGTGGCACTATGGGCAACACCTGGCACCATGGCACGCTCGGTAAACCATGGGAATTCGTGCGATAGGCATGGGACTGGCATGTCCCGGTCGATCGTGGCTCAATCTCGACAAAAACGCCGTTTGGTGACCGAGAAGGCATGCAAACGTCACCTGCGAGCTCTGTTGGCTTGAAAGCATCCTTGGTCCCGAACTTCCCTCAAACTCAAAGTCAAGTCAAAAGTCAAGTCGCACTGACTTGGGAATCGCCGACTGCATTGGATTCGAAGCGCTCAGCTCCCCCTGAATTGTCGCAACAGTACTTACTGTCAATCGGGCTAGAACGGTGAGGATCAGGATCGCGAGCGGATCGCAGCTCGAAGGTTCGTAGTCACACTGTGGTGTTTGTGCTATATATATGCTTCGTATGAGATGGATGACGATGGAATCGGAGGCCAGGAGCTTGAAGCATTTCATGCTGTTTACCGAACCGCTCGAGCACTACTTAGTACTCAGTGTTCGACATTCTGGCTCGCAACGGGATAGTTGGACGTCTGAGGAGAACGGTAGGTGTATCGTCGAAGCAGGTGTATTGATAACGAGTGACGATTATATATAAACGACAGTAGGACTAGGATCTGCACAGTGAGAAGCAGAGGGCACAACACGAGCATCACATTTTTGTCGCATAGATTTGTGAAAATAAACAGTCGAGACGGAGAGCAGGGCAATCAGGGATCCGAACCGTCCATCGCGGATTCACCTCGAGAAAGGGTAGAAGAGGGAGCTGGCTGACCATAGAAGACGAAGATGATAAGTCGAGTGCAAAGAAAGTCTACGACGAGGCCGTCATGAATATTCAAATGAAGGTTTTAAGCCTTGAGCGGGACGTGCTCAAGGCCATAGCGTGTAGCCGGCGTGTCATCCTCGTCCCATTCCGCGTAGACGGCATGATGCTGAGGACTTGACGGTGTGTGAATGCATTCTGTACCGTCCCACGATGGGACATAACCTTTTGCACAACGTTGTACGACGCAGGAGCCAGAGATGCACTCCACGTCCGCGACACCCGGAAGGGCTGTACAATCGGTGCCGGTCGGAGTGTAGGGGGTCAAAGGAAGCATGCAACCACCGCCTGTTTACATCACATCGAGAAGGTGTCAGGATCCCCGTCGAAGATCAAGCTGAGAAGGATGAAATCAACGTACAGCTCTCTAGATCCTTCTTGGTGTTCACACACTCCCATGCGCGAGCCGCGCCTCCGAATACACCACAGGCCATCCATCCCTGGCCTCGGTCCCAACACGTGCCACTACCTTCCCACAACCTGTCCTTCTTGCTTCTCTTGGTGTGAGGTTTTCCAGAAGCGCAAGACGGGAAGTGGCCGCAGACACCGTTACATACAGTGTTGGGGGCCTTGCAGACGCAAGTGGTGGGATGAGAGGCAGGCGAGGGCGAGAAACCATCAGTACAACTGAACCCGCAGGATTTACCAGTGCACGCAGGGACAGAGTGTTCGGGATAAGTGCAGCGAGATTTTCCGGCTGCGTCATTAATCTAAATGCGCATTTAGGGTGATCCGAGAAAAAACGTTTGAGCGAAGATGAGGTAAATGACGTACGAGCCCGGTAAGCACGCCAGTTACGACGGGTTTTCCAGCAATAGCGACAGCGGCGATGGCGATGAGGTTAGTCTGGAGGAATTCGGGAATAGCGGATATGCAAAGGCAGAGATCTGCAGGCATCGGATTATTTCAACCGTGGTCAGTAAAATCGATTCGACGGTGTAGCAAAAAAAAAATGCACACCGAGCTTGCCCACGACAAGGGGCTTACTACCCAGAGGGATGGCAAGGTCAACGTCTAGAGAAGCGCAGACATCGACAAGGTCACGCAGGTCATTCCGATGCAACTGGGCGGCCGCAGTGCCAGGACGTGAGAGGAGTAGAAGAGCCGCTGGGAGAAGACGGTAAAGGCGCATCATTCCGATGAGGTTGGTACGGGGCGGGCAGAGCTGGGGGGGCAGGGAGCTCTGACGGAGGAGGTCCGGTAGGGAGCGGCTTTTATCAAAGATGCATACATAAATGATCTATTGGGGAGCTTCTGGCGGAGGTAAAGAGAAGGTACCTGAGGCCGAGATGAAGGGACAAGATGAATACATACAATGGTCAGGATAAAATTGACAGTGACAGGCCAAGTGCGATGCCAGCGGCACGCTCATGCCGAAGCCAATCAGCCACTCGTGTCGAACATACCGATCATGATTTAGAAAGAACTTGTAGAATACTGGAGATTGGAAGTCAGCACGATGATTGTGCAGCCATTTTCGCAGGATCAGACAGCGTGCTCGGAGTGATCACCGCGGTTCGGGACGCAGCATCTCCCCGGAATCAAAGAGCTGTCAGTGGCGAGGCCGAACCGTCAACCCAAGGTACTCATTTCTATATCGATGTGTCAAGACGGACGCGCAGTTGAGATCGCTACAGCTGTTGACCGTCCGAAAGCTAAGCGCCGGTGAGGTCTAGTCGAGTCCGAAGCACTCAGAGTTGAAATCGACAAGCATTGCACTAAACTTGGCTCCCAGCAGGTGTAGAATATGTGCAAGGTCATATGAAAAACTGAAAAAGCAGCAGCAGCGTGAGCCAGAACGAAAGCCGTCGTCGAGATGATATACAAACGTGACGCATGATGCGTGACTTCCATCGACTCCTGCTCCTCGGCCCTCCCACGCAGCTTCTGCGCTGGAGTACTGCTGGAGTCAACACAATGTAAGTAATCTGTGTTCTTTGAGTGTTTTTCCCGTACCACAAACTTACTCAAGTATTTCAACGAATAAAGAAACACGTTCGCACACACAGTTATTCACATCTAGTGTCACTGGCTTCACAGCGCTTGATGTATCCACGCGTGGCTAGAGGGTTTACTGCGCTCGTATCGCCGACCGTATTCGACGATTATCGACGATCGGCATTGATTTAGAAGCTGCCTCACCGCCCAATACGGATCGTCAGATACACGGACGGTCGTAATGTCCGCACCTTTGGGTTCCGTCAGTGGTTCTCCCAAAATCTCGACCGAGACTTCCGGTGGAATCACAAGGCTCCTTGGATGTTGAGCGCCGCGACTACATCTTCGAGGGTCCTCACTACGTAGCCCCGACTGGTTCGATTCCCCAACAATAGGAGAAATCTCCGTGTTTGTCAGGACATCGGAAAGCTCGAGAGAAACGGTAGGCGGAATGACGTTGCTGGCAGCGCGATGTTGGGCGAGACGTTCCCTGAATTGTACGTGATAGGATTTATCGGCATTGGAAGACTAGATGAAACGTTGCGCCACTGATGATGACCCTGGTGTAGAGAAAGGCCTAACTGACTTTTGATGAGGCGTCGTACACCGTCGTGTGAGCGCACCGAGTACTCATTATGAAGATGCGTCGAATCTCATTTTAGCAAGGGTAGATCGTGGAGTACGTTTTATTATATGATCTGCGACGCGTTTTTTGATATATCTTGCAGGCTCAGTCTGATCACACACTCGGAAAGCTCCGTTCGTAGGGCCGATCCTAAAGCTCGTTCTCCGACACATTACCGATAACTCGAGGCTCAAGCGCTCGTCGATCATCGGGCGTACAAGGCGATGTGTACGGCCTTGCTACCCCTGCCCAGATACTCATCTATACTGTCTTGTAAGTCCGCACTCAGTCATTAGTGCACGTAATATAAATATATGGAATCTTTTCGATATCAGCTACGGACGCTCTTCCCCTATACGATTGTCTGGCTTGACCGTGGCTATCTATTTCTCGTGCACCCTGCTTCCACAGTCCGCTCGAGTCCCCTCTATTCCCTCTGACTGAATAAACGTGGTTGACGAATTTGTTTGGGCGCCTCTGGGACTTCATGTGCCTCGCCTTCGGGTCCTTTGGGCCTCGATCTTGACATATCTGCGCCACCCATCTTTCCTTGAGACCCTGTAGACTCCGAAAGTTGAATCGTCCCTAGGGCCATTCCTGGCTTGGCATTCGTTTCTTGCTGTATCCCACACATCGTCTCTTGGACCTTCACAAGTGCCCTCGGTACTATCTTCCGTGTTGAGGCTCTTGTATCTCAAACTCTAATATTGACGCATAACCCACATGATCGACAGTCTAACCAGTTCCCGTAGGGTTCTGTGCCTTTTGATCACGCTGCTTGCAGCCTCGATGCAAGTCTTCTAACGGTTTCGACGGCTGCAATACCCCAACTCTGACAATGACGCTAGGCTGATTTTGGGTGGGTGAATTTGTATTTGGCGTGGGCATCCGTCTGCTTGATATGCCTGTCACCTGTACTCCGCGGCATGCAGGGTTGGGTGGCATCGTCGGGCATTTCTCGGGGACACCAAGAATCCAGTTGATCTATTGCCGAGTTAGCTCTACGGTTTGTCCTTTGAACCCTTCCTCCCTTCGTCCAGGCTGTTGCAGGCTGTTGCCCCTGGCATATGCCCATACTCGACCAGTGGTCAGGCTCGCCTATCCTCTGGAGCCGTTCCAACCTTCGTCACACATGCCGAAACTGTACCCGAGTTGTTTCTTTTCGCCTTGAATGTCTCGACTGTCGCTCGTGACTTTATCTAGGCCTCACTACGTGCACGCGCACAAGAAATGGGCGATGAGCACAGCTGCCATCAAGGTTTGTGGATTGACAGGATTGGCATCCCATTTCGATGTGACTCTACGTGCGATATATGCATTCCACTGGCCGACTCTGCCATCTCTTTTGGGAATTTTCGAGCACATGCCACGGAATTTAGATCAAAATTCCAATAATGTTCCTTGACGGATTCGCAGGCGACGCTACCTGAGATCAATAAGAACATGCCTCCTGCCGCAAGATAGGTTGACATTCATCGGCTTTGCACCGTTCCAAGTCTACAAAAACATGTTATGGACACTGAAGGGTCTTGACCCGACAGCCTCTTCCAGTCCTCTTCCCTAATTACAATACGATACTCAGTACTTATCAAGACGTGTGTCAGTTTGTCGCGATAAGCCCGGCTCGCCGACTGCAGCCTGTTGTACACCCTTTCGCGCAGGCACACGGCCATGAGAGGCGTTAGTCCACCTCCGGCAATCAACTTGTGAGCAAGACAAGGCAAGGGCTCAGCTCTGAGTCGTACCTATATCAACAAGTGGTTGAATCCGAAGCTGAAAACAGCCTGACACTACACTTGCAAGTGGAGTACCAATGATCGAATCGTAACAAAGATACTCTAATATACAATCAATTCGTCAGGACTCGGCCTATAGGATGAGGCTCTGATTCTAAGTGACTTACAGATATAATGAATCGCTTGCATAGGGAATACACGGCACAGTGGCTGGAGTGGTGATAGTATATATCATGCATCCACTACTTTCACACCCTTCAACGCCTCCTCCACCTGTTCATTTTGTAGCCAGTCCAGGCGAACGTCTTCCAGATGGTCATCAAAGTCAGAGAAGGGGACACGCGCTCGTGATAGGTGCAGACTAAGTGCGGGCGCAGAATTAGAGAGGGTAAGGATGGTGGGTGGTGCGGAACGGAACGTCGTGGATGAGCCGGACGTTGGTAGATAAGGCTGCGAGCAACGGAGGGAAGTAAGGTTCTCGAGTATAATCAAAACACAGGGCATGACATACAACGAGTGCGGGATCAGTTTCTGAACCCAGCTTTGTCCCATCGACCTGGCACAACGGTGGTCAGCTCGTGCCAAACCGACGACTACACGACCAAAAGGCGCTCACCACAACCGCGAGGGCATCTGGGAATCCTTCCCTGACTTTCGTGGCGACGCGTTCCCCGACAGGCTTCAAAGTATTATCGTCGACGCGCTCAGACGCTTGGTAGTACCCCACCAGCGCCAGACCGCGACTTTCTGCGTGTCCATTGGCCTCACTCACCAGACCACTTGCTCAGCTCCCTGCATATGATATTCTATATTATAGAAGACACACCAAGTCCAGGCCGATCTCCATCATAGGACTTAAACTCGTCCAATGATGCAGCAGCGGTATTGTGTCGACAACCTGCACGCCCTTTGTGTCCTTCGCGCCCAAGAGGACGCCATTTACCGGATGCTGTGGATGTTTGAGTGAGTGAAGGACAATTTTCGTATAGGCAAGGTCGGATATTGTGTAGTTCGCCATGGGGAGCGCTGTAGTTCACTTGTAGGAGATGCGCCGAGAACAGCAGATGTAGGTACGCTTCAGGGTTAGGGTCACAAGTGAGGCAGTCGCCGTGAACCTCCCTCAGAAGAGCACGCCGCAACGATGTACGGAGGCCGTCACCATTCACCTTCAGCATTTTCATCCCCAGCATCGACCACGCTATTTCGAAGATTGACATGGGAGGGAACTGTTCCTCTCGAAATTCGCGTCGATTCCAAGGAGCTTCCTGCCAATAGCAACCGCGGCTTAGAATGTTACTTTATCCAGGCGCCTCGCGTCTCATATCTTCCTCTCCTTGTGCCCGAGATCAAGAGATTTTTGATGGATATCGTGTTCGACGAGGAGGCGGCTAAGTTACTGAAGGAGGAGGATTGGTGGTTTGAGAGTGAAGGCGGAGGTTTGCTGAAATGGTCTGTCGTTTGACCCATCCGACGCCGATGGCTCATCTTTGACTTCCTCGTGGTCACTTCGATCATGTGTATAGGCACTGGTCGATTGGCCTCATCTACGACAATCATATCATTCTCTCTTCTATCCGTCCCACAGCGTCCACATCCGCCCATGTGCAGTCCGTACCCCTCCGTCTCATCCTTCACCTCGCCTCACCTCCCACCGACAAGCTCCTGCTGGCGCCCAGCCCCGAGGCATGCAAACAGGCGTTCATGGGTCAGCTTAAGGAGGCCGACTTCCTGAGATGGGGTAGCACCAAACGTATGACTGGCCTGCGCAAGGCGGAACAAGACGGCATCTGGGAGGGCATCAAAGATCGTGAGTCTGTAGTTTCACCTGTCCCCATCGCCTCTACTTAGAATTTCTGGCTATCACGTAATATACTCCTCGCATCGCTGATCTCGTTGCGACTGATCTGCGTGTTTCAGATAATTTCGATGATTATTGGCGCGTAGCATCCAAAGTCACACCCACAACCGCGCCTGCCCGTCCACACTCCCCTCCTACAGCCCCTTCTTCTGCATCCATGCATACTCGCCCACCATCAGCTGACCCTCAAGGAACCCCCGACCGCGACGGGGCATATAGCGTTCGCAGCGTGCCAGTCAGGGTCTATTTGCCCGATGGACCCGTCATGCAGGACATCGTTCCTCCTTTACTCGAAGATGGTGAGTCTTCTTCCATCGGGCTGTCAGATATACTACCGGCGACCAAGGACAATATTCGTCTGAACTTCTCCGTGGCTCTTTTATGGTGCTTTCGTTGCACAGATCGCGCATTAACTCAGATTTCTTCCAAATTTCGGTGCCGCTTGCGTCATGTTGATCCCGATACTTACCTCCCTTCTCTTCGCAGGTTCCCCAAACACTCTCGCTGAATTCCTCTCCCAGCGCCTGCCTCTCCTTTTCCCCATTCCATCGCCATCGGCGCCCGTGCCCCGGAACCTTGCGTACACGCTCATCCAAGGCGTCCTCGCGCCCCCAGAAGCAGAGATGGCGTGGCTTGGCGCCTGTATGGCGGGCGCGGACGGCTGGGTCAACGTGTGCGTGGGCCTGCTTCATGCCCCGCCTGCATCTGGGTCTAGTCGCCAGTAGCAGTCTTTATGCGCTGCCGATCTGCGCGCGACGGTGCTTTCAGACTTTGAGCGTCGTTATCACACAGTTGGGCCAGAGCCGTCAGCATTTCCGGCATGCTTGGGAAGGGGATTTGATAACGGTATACATAAGTTCAATAATTTTTTATGGTTGCATTTTTGTTCAGCGCTTGGAATATACCCTGTAGGACGTTTGAATGTTCCACGCGTTTCTTCTCGTGAGGATCCGCACTCGTCCGCAATAGGCATCCTTTTGACCATACCGAGTCAGGTCTTGGTGACGGCTAAGCGCTGAACATACGCTCAAAGCTGGAGGGCGATAATGCGTCTATTATCAGAATACAATTACAATGATGTACAGCAAACAAAACAGGGCACGACAGGAGATAACAAACACGATGATAACCCATGAACTCTCCGCCCCCTTGCCATGGTCATAACATGCAGCGATAAATCGCTGCGGAAGAAAATATAGCCCTCGGACGATACATGTGCTGTGATATGCTTGTACAATGCGCGATTTTCGGTGCAGTCCTGTTGAAGGTTGAGTGAGTGGTGGAGTGGGGGTCTTGGAGCATCGGATGCAGCGGGATGCGAGGTGTCGGGTATGGAAAGAGGGGATAAAGTGGTATATCGAGGGAGGCTACGGATTATGAATCCCGCGGACTCAGAGTCGACCCATCAGGCCACATATCCGAGAGCGAGCGCCGTCAGAGTCGACGAAACCAAGTTGACCTAGAACGAGGTACGTCAGACGTCAACAAACCCGAAAGCGGGACCGACAGGACGCGTACTTGGTTGTTGGTCAGGATATCGAACCCGCTGACGACCTTGATGTCCGCTTTACTGTCCGGGACAGCCGAGGTGTCAGTCAAGATGCGCTTTGTCGTGTTGGAATATTGCGTGCGCTGAAGGGTGGCACCGAGCAATGAATCGAGCTGTTGGACGTGCGAATTGTGATCATCAAAAGACGGCACCGAACGTGCATGCCGGCCATGATCCCAAAGCATTCATAAGCGCCACGTAGTGATTACATCCAGAGATACTCACCAACGATCCAAACCCGCCCGCGCCTGCGCCCAGAAGTAACAGCTGCCAGAACAGGCTGGCAGTTTGTTCTCTGCAGCTGGAATTTTCTGCCACGAGCGTCGCGAACATCGTCAGACCCATCGCCGCGCCGCCTGAGATGGACGCGACAGTGCCGAGCAGAGACAAGCCGCCGTTCGTTCCCGGTGGAACGCGGGAGAGGGTGGTGAGGAGAATCGGAGGTGTTTTGGAGAGGATACCGAGTTCGGAGGCGAGCGTGTCACCAAGGCAGCAAGCAAAGTGTCTGGAGTAAGACTTCGTGAGCTTACAAGAAAACTAATGAGACGTTGGGCGTAGTCCAAAGTGGGAATGGGTGAGTAGAAAAATCAGCATTGTTATGAAGAGGCCGAGACGGCGAATAGTGAATTCGAATGCTCAGAACAGGGGGAGCTGCACATATGGCTCCGTTCCAAATGAACAAAAACGCACCCTAGAACGATCATAAGCAGAGCACGGCTCCATCCTTGATTTGCGCTTGCATCAAGTGGACACCACGCGTCTGGTGTATAATTTACCAGATGTGCGCCGAGCGCTCTAGAAACCTGTCTAGCAGCAGGAAATCCTGGGGCGTGCAGAGCACCCCAGAGCAAAGCAGCCACTAGCGCACTCGCGGAATTTGAGAAAACTTGCATCCCGTTCCGATACCCTGCCCCTGCTTTGTCGTGTCCGTCCTCCAACAACGCCTTCTCCTTCTTACCCGCGCGCGTCGCGCTCGATCCGATCAGGTAGAACACGATGAGTGATATGCCTGGAGTGCGTAAAGGCATAGAGAGCATAGAAATGCCCGTCAGGAAGGCCGCTGCTGCGCCAGAAGGTGAGAGCGAGCGTTTTCGGAGACCATTCACGGAGAGCGCGGTTGCGAAGAGAAAGGGGACAAGAGGGAAATCGTAATGTATCATTGTCGACGATGACGGTGTCGATGTTGATGGTCGGAGAAAGAGGGATTTTGGCACTGCTGACCGTCGGCGGCGTTTTTGAAATGAGCGCCCAAGTCGATTGAATCAGCTGCCTGCAGTGCTCTTGCACGCAACGACAACAATTCTCCTTCTGCACACAACATATGTGACATGCATGCTGCACTGTGGCAGCATCTAGAAATATTCCGGCCACATGGACGTTTCGTTATCAGGTGGCCATTCTGCGTGAGCGATCTTTCAGCAGAATAGCAGTCGTGCAGAAGGAAGTACTTGTAAGTAGCTGGGACGGCCGGGCAGCTGACCGAGGCACTGTGTGCACAGAGTGCTCTCACACTGATAAGTCTCAGAATAACGACTGCCCCTTAACTCAGCTACTCTCTTCGACTAACACTTCTACTGACCATTCACCGAAACCCAGAATGTCGAAGCTCACCTCTCCTGGTACGTACACTCCGACGATTCTGCAGGGCAAGCTTGCCCTCATAACCGGTGCAACGTGAGTCCCTGCTCGTGAATTGGGCTCTCTCCACCCTATTTGTCCTCTGTCATAACTTCACTCCCGACTTACCTTCGCTCGTCAACTCATAGCGGTGGTATCGGCCAAGCGACCACCCGTCTCCTCGCCTCCCGCGGCGTGTCCATCGCAGTCCACTATTTCTCTTCCCAAGCCAAAGCCGATGCCCTTGTCTCCGAGATCCTCGCTAATAACCCTTCCATCAAGGCCGCCGCATTTCAAGCAGATCTCGGCGACTATGATGCTGTGCGGAGGATGCACAAGCAAATCGTGGAGACGCTTGGGAGTCCAGACATCTTGTACTGCAATGCTGCAGCAACTGGGACGATAGTTGGGATCAAGGGAAAGATTCAGGATGTGACGGTGGAAGAGTTCGAGAAGGTGTGGAGGTCGAATACCGCCTCCGCTTTCTTGGTAAGTTGCCGCCGTGAATGACTTTGCAAAATCATGTGTTATTCTTTCCATGGAGAGAAGAGTGATCGCTGACACTTTCTAGTTATCGCAATTATGCCTCCCCTTCATGGTAGAACAAGCCTGGGGGCGTGTTATATTTTGCTCTAGCATCGCTGCGGGTGATGCACAATCTACACATCGCTTAGTACAAATTCTCATCACGATTACTTATAGCGACGGGTGGTGTTATCGGCCCGCATTATGCCTCGTCGAAGTCCGCCCTTCATGGAATCATGCACTGGATCGCCAACCAATACTGCAGAACTGGTGTGGTATGTAGAGCTTGAAGAATCTGACACTGTCTTGCGCATCTAGAACCAAGGTGACTAACAATTGGCTCGTCTTGATTCTCCTTAGACATGCAATGCTGTAGCACCTGCGCTCATCACAAACACTGAGATGTTCAAAGCACCTACGACTGCGCATCTGGTTTGTGATGTCCATTTTTCCTTGTCACATTTCTCTTAACTACGCGTCGTTTACTTCTGTTGTGGCAAGGATTTGATCCCGATGGGCCGCTTTGGCCAACCTGAAGAGATAGCAGCCGTTGTCGAATTGCTCGTCACCAATTCTTACATGACGAACAAGGTATGTACTAAGTGTTCGGACACGCGTCCTTCAGAGTCACTTCGTTCTGATAGCCTTGCCTTTTGCAACAAAACACGTATCCGAATCGAAGATCGTGTCAGCGGACGGAGGGATGTTGCCATCTACACTCGCTTGAGATCTGCGGCGCATGACGTATGGTGTGGCGAGCGATATGTAACTCATACGTCGACTGGTTTTGTATTCACTCTATCGTTTCGCCGTCAGTTCAGATTGAGTCCGTAGGAAAGTTGGGATGCCACCTTTTATAGCGGATCCTCTCAGACCTCAACTGTCCCTCATGAACAACATGGCTGAACGTGCCCAAACCACCAATCCTGACTGTGCAAGCATTGTGCACCCAAATGATCAACAAGTACCAGCGATTCCCTCCCAGAATGCTGCCCTCTTTCCGAACAATCCCGCAGTACACTAAGACATCCTTCTTCAGGAAATTCTCGCGTTCATAAGTCTTCGTGCAGTTACATTATCAGTGTTGGTGACCAACAGATATACAGGTCAATCTCCTCCATACGCGTATCGAAACTCTCGAAAGAGAAGTCGAGGAAAACCAACGGGATCTGGGTTACGAGTGCGTTCGCCCATTTCAATCATGCCACGCAGGTCTGAATCAAGTCTACAGGTCTCAATGTAGTATGCTCCGCGTCATGAACGCGCGACAGGCAAACGACGGTCCCCTGCGTGCGATCCCTCCTCGCCCAGGTTGCCCCCCATATCAAGAGGGTGACTTTCCTCCGACATTCGTAGCATTCTGCAATTTACCCGGTATACCTGATCTTCCGCTACTGACATAGTACTCATTCTTGACGTTGAATGCCAGCTCCGAGTCTGGATCGCCTCTTGAGCGCATTTCGGCTCCCAGTTGAAGGCACGGATGAAGAAAAGCAAACTAAACTTGCTCCATTGCTTGGCCGTATCTTTTGAAACAGCTTGTTCACCTCGTATGTTCGCTCGTGTGAATTTTTAGTCCAGTCAGTTTCGTTCGTGCGGACAAGGGTCTTTGTGGTACCTTCCTCATATCCAGTAATCGTGGCTGGTCAGTCATTGTCGAAATGATCGATGAGAATTACAATAGAAAAACCATTACAATGAGGGGGCGCGCTGGTTCACTGAATAATCCAGATTCAATGAGCGTGGCAGGTAGCAAGAAAAGAAATGCACGAGGATCAGAGTCCGTACTGTAAGATGGCTATATGCAAAGTAACAGTGGCTATATGCAAAGGGAAGTAACAGTGTCAAGGTATGTTAAATACTCAGTAACACGAAAGTCCATAGGTGCTAGAGTCAGAATGCGAGGTATGGAGATGTGTGGAAATGCTACCGAAACGTCTAGAGCTTGTTAAGCTAGTCGAAATCATGATCATATCTATTGATTAGGCAAGATGCGCGAACCCGACACCTGAAGAATGCTTAGCCAACGATCCATGCATAATCCAGACAAGACTTATGATGTCCAGTCATGTCATACCCAGTGTACACGCTCTCCAACCACTTCTGTCCAAACATAAACGTGCCAAAACCTGCACTCGTTACCCAGGTGTACAAGGCCTTGGTGGCATCTAGTCCCAGCGCGTCATATAATCCGGTCGGGATGAGGTATTGTGAAGCTGGGATATCGAATGTCTGGTCTCCAAGGCCAAACGTCATCGAAGGCAGGGAGGATGCCGATGCATTCAGAGGGAAGGTGAGGTAACCATCGAGGGTTCCGTTCGGGACTAGGCCGGCGCCGGGGAAAGAGTGAAGGATAGAGAAGAAGGCATCACTGTGGGTCATGAGTTATGAGGTGATGCCACGGGAGATGCGAAAAACGTACGAAGGGAGGCCAATCTCGAGTACACCAGTGTCAGTCCGCCCTGGCTCGGTATCGTTGACTAAAACTGTGTCTCCAAAGCTGAAGCTGGAAACCTGCGCAAAACAAGGGGTTACTTAGAAGCCTAGTCATTTGGGAGAGTTGGATGCACATTGAATTCCCAATGGAAGTTCACAGGCTCGTTCTGAGGTAACCACACAATCTCGCCTATGGGCCAAATTGATTCGACTATTACCCTTTGACTGCAAGAGTGACCTACCGCTAATTCGATTGTCGTCAATCCCACCAAAGGTAATCTCACCCTGGCCGATCTGGGTGCCGCTGGCAGCATCCAACCCATTGACATAGATACCGAACATCGCAGCGTCAATGCTACCCTCTGACAGAAGGCTTTCCACAAAAGTGGGTGTCGCGTCGTGTCCAGACACCTCGCCAGAGTTTGAGCCTGACGGGCCTAGGCCAACTTGAACACAATTTTAGCCTGATGATTTCTGCTTGGACTCAACAAAAGGAAACCAATACTTACGGATTCCATCGATGGGCTTGACGAGTTTGAAACCAGTTGTGTGATTGGCCGCACCAATGATCTGTGAGTTTGCGACGGCAGCGCCAACGGTAACTTTATCCATGTATGCAGTGCCTGATGCACCGCCTGCACCATATCCAATACTAAAGGTTTCGTTCATCCTACCGTCGACATGTATTAGACGCGCAACGAAATCAAACATGTAGGTTTTACAACATACGCTTGTGTGTTTGAGCCTGGTTCATATGGCGTTTCCCCGCCTAGCCAAAGGATGGCGCTGCCTGTGTCGATGAGTACGTTGGAGAATGTCTGACCGTTTCCAGCCTGAACTATACACGGCAGATGAAGTTCATTGATATTCATGATGAATTCCAAAAAACATACCGGAAGCAACAGCTTTCAGCACTGCATTATTTGTCGGAGCATTCATGTCTGACGAAAATTGAGAATCGGCTGATTCAAAATGTGGATTCGCCCACCGTTAGCAGCGACTTTCGAGATTGCGGCTGCGCTCCAAGCCGCTTCAGAGTCAATTCTAAGCCATTGAGTGCAATGAGTGCATTAAAAGTAAGAACAAGGTGTATAGTATCTTGTGCCAAGGCGGATCGCGACGTACAGCGAAGATATGAATGCCGCCTTCAAGATCTTCTGGGTTGAAGCTGAATGCGCTGGCACAACAGCCGCAGCTAGTATACCAAAGATAAATGCAGCGCGAGACATCTGACCAGTCATAGTTTTCAGTGACGGGGTACGAGCTACAAGAAATATTGGGAGAGCGAGAAATGGAGAAAATTTGGATGTCTGTGTCCGTTCCGCTGATCATATTCACGACTCACCTTCGAGAATCTCCCACGACCCAGCGTGGTCTCACGTGGATGAATTCTCACCACCTCATTTGATGTCCATTGAACCCCGAGTAAACCCATGGACATGAAGGTGCGTGTGGCGAAGCGGGATGGTTGTGGGGTGGACTCGGGAGTTGGAGGCGCTGGTTCGAAGATTCTCCGGTCCCAGTTTGGGTTGCTCGGCGAATGCCATAATTTGAGCTCCGCGATACTTAGTTGAAGACAGGCTCCAGCACTGCGCTAGGCCAGTCTGCGTCAGTTTGACATTGAGGAATCTGAGACTCTGCAGCACGGCAGATCGAGTTTCTTGAGACGTTTTAAATTATCATATATTACGGAACCCCATAGGTGCACACGGAATACGAGCAGCGAGATTGTTCAGAGAACTTCTAGGTGCATCCTCTACGTTCAATGTTGAGTCGAAAGACTTCGACAACATCGTGGCACGATGACGAGTGTCATCAGCTACAGTTAACTTTCGTACACTCACACGTCTATGACCCATTTCATATTTGGAGTCCTTCGATCCACTCTAACAATGCCTCGTTGACCTCCTTCGGATGGGACAAAAGGACCCAATGACCTGCATCGAACTCCTTCACGGTGAGCGGTCCCTTCGCATATTGTTTGAGTAGCGCATTTCCCAATGCCGGGAGGCAGACAATGTCCCTGAGTGCGGCGCCGAAAAAAACAGGTTGCTGTATGTCATACGCCTCTTTGGGAACGACTGGCGAAGCGGATTCTCAGTGCATACTGACGATCATTAGCATTAAACATACGTTTGTCATCTTCAGCACGAATGCTACCGGCCGTTGTCTGTATTTTGTACCAAGCTACGGGGGAAGCAAGTCCTCCGCCTAGGAGCGTCTGGCGGTAATGCTCTTGGTCCTACAAGACAATAACGAGTGGATTAGACAGAACGTGAGAACTGGGAAATGACATCAGCTTGCCTCTACTGTGAGAAATGGGGCAATCGGCCCTTGGTTGTTAGCTTCTATCCATTCTTTCAGCGCGCCGGGCGGACAGAGATTCTTGAGAGCGATCTCTCCAGAACCGGAGAAGAATATGCTGAGGAAGGAGTTGAACTGAAAGGGCGAAAAATAAGAAGTGCAGAATTAGCTGCGTTCTTTGTCGACAAGGAAAAGGAAGAATATGCACATTTTTTTTGATCATTTTATCAGCACCCTCTTCTGCGAGATAATCCCAGTATCCAAATAGGTCGCGGCCAACGAGTTGTTTGATTCTGGCTGACTGTGCCGCAGGATCGTGGACTGGATTGGGAGGGAGGTATGCGAGCGCGAGGAAGCCGATGGCCGTGAATCGGTCAGGGTGGTTGTTTGCCAGACGTGAGACCACGCGGCTTCCCCTATATCGCGCAACAAGTATTGTTAAGCTCAAACAAAAACAAAAAAGCAGCATTCAACGAATACCAGTCATGCCCAATCAAAACGGATTTCTGCACATCCTCCTTGTCCAAGATATCGACAATATCCTGCGCTAGCCCGCTTCCGATGTAGAACTTTGCATCCGTCGGCTTGTCGGTGCCCGCATAGCCAAGCATATCCGGAACGACGAGTCCATAGCCTCGCGGTTTGAAGAAATCCACCTGGTAATGCCAATCCCAAGACGACGAGGGGAACCCATGCAGGAGTACAAGCGTCGGTTTTCCCGCTTCGGCAGAAACACGGAAGTAATTGTAGGTGAACCCACGCTGGGTGATATGTTTTTTGAAGAGTGACGCGTCCATGGTGTCGATGACGGTAAAGAATTGAGATGAGTCTGGGATCTCGATATGAGTGGATTTAAGTAGATCGGACGCAGGTGATTATACCTCCGGGAGACAAACCCGGCTCCCTATGTCATTAGTGATACTGGAATAGCCAAATCGAAGCGCCTAGAGATGGATTCTGCGCCTTCGAGAATCAACATTGCCTTACTTGTAAAACAACAGGCTCAGCAGGGTACAACATTCGGTCATGAGCTACAATTATGAACAGTCGTGAATAAGCACCGCAGTAAAGTATGTTCTATTTGACATACCATTGGCTGAATCCCTTGGGGTAGAGCTATTTTGGCCTCGGACTTGTCGACGTGGGGGCATACAGCGAGCGTGTACCCCGATCGGTCTTCGATGGGTCACCGAAGTCTGCAATCCGCCGAATCCTGCCAGACCTCCCGGGCGACACAGTCGCGGGGGTCGCCGGTCAGAAGGCAAGTCGGTTAGGATTAGTCAGCGCGTAGCAAACTTACTCCCAGTGCCAGCCTTGAGTGGTTGAGTCTTGACCTTCACGCTACAGATCGCATGACTCAAGAGACAATGACTCGTTCAGCTATCACTGTCGCTGTGGGTTGCGAAATTTGTGGCTGATTCAGCACAGGTAAGCGTTATAGAACATACCTCCTTCTGACGGGAGCCTTCACAAAATTCAAAACGTCACCCTCGGCAACCTCTTGTAGAGCCATCGGATCTTGACATACATTTGGTCGATATTGACCATCGAGGTACGCAGATCAACACAATCTACTAATTCCCGAACTCTATGGAGGAGCATATGGAAATTTAGCTAAGCGGCTTTTCCCATCCACATCATAAACGAAACAGCAGGCAAAACACGATGCTGTATGTGGTGTTGTTGAAAGGCCTGCCCTTCCTTGTCAATGGTCGTGCGAGTAGTTACACTCACAGGAAGGAGCCTTCTTGACTCAAAGGCGTGTTTGAAAGTTTCCTTTCTGCGGAGACGTTGGCCTTATGTTTCAATACTAACTATACGCTTGGCTCTTTTTCAAAGTAATTTTCTGCTGCCATACCATGGTCGAACGTGATAATTGCGGCCGGGTTAGTTTGAGCTGTCTGGGCGCCATACCCTTTAGACCCATCATATCGGTTTCGCATCGGTTTCCGAATATTCAATAGGATGTGTCGCCCACTTCTCCTGTACGAGCACAAACAGGTGAGTGGACGCAGACGAAGTGGAATCATACATCCTTGTTTCTCGACAGTAACTGATCTCTTGTACATTCTTTGTCTTAAAGTTTGACCGCCGAGCTCCTACATAGTGCTAAAAGACCTGTTGAGCACGGACAGAAGAAGGTGTTTCACCCCATCTTTGCCACAGAAGCCACACCTTTCGAGAGACACCTCATGACTCGCGAGCATCGTGAGTAATATTAATCTCCCGTAGTCCAGTCCAGCAAGCCTCTGCTCGTCCTCCTGCTATCGTCGTGGGACTGGACCGTAGTCTCGCCTGGGCAAACTCGCACTGACGTCCACGGCCCGACCAGTCATCCCGCAGACTACCTACGCTGAAAATGATGATTTGCCTGTTCATGGTGATGGGGTGCTCAAGCAGCGCGCAGAGGGCCCCATGACGGTACGCGAATTCGATGTTGACCATTAAATGCGGGGAAGGTACATCGTGTGATGTCAATGAAACACACATGCAATCACCCTTTTGCACGATGTAGTAATCATCTCAGCTCTGCGCACAGCTGATTCGGTTTCATTCAAATTAAGGGAGCTATGATGCGTGATGACATCAAATATCCGTACCCAGTTTTGCTTTGAACTTGCTCAGTCATGCAAATGGCTGGCTATGGCTGAATGACGACAGCCATCGGCATCGCTGCTCAATGACAACTACTAGCGCTCATCTCTGTAAGATGAAGGTCACTTCGGGATGCCGGGTTGATGATGGAGGCATCAAATTATGCGTTTCAGGGATCTTCTGAAGTTCGACATCATATAAATAATCTTGCACAAGTACAGCCAAGTGCTTGCATCCAAACGATCCCTCCCACCAACCGGAAAATTGACCGCATCACTATGGACGCCGCTTTGTACAAGAAACACACGACAACGCGTGGGTTCAGCTACAACTACTTTTTCGCTGCCGCACAGCCAGGCAAGTCGACGCTCATCTTCCTGCATGGATTCCCATCGTCGTCTTGGGACTGGACCCAGGAAGCTATATTCTTCAAGGCCCGTGGGTACGGCTTGATCGTTCCAGACATGCTTGGGTACGCTGGCACGGACAAGCCGACGGATCCGAAGGTGTACGTGGGGAGCGGGCTTGCAAAGGACATTGTGGACATCATGGACCACGAAGGTGTGGAGAAAGCAGTCGCGATCGGACACGATTGGTGCGAGTGCTGCTACTTGTACGCACGCTTGCTCTGGATCTGATCTTATCGATCTTCAGGGGATGCATCCCCGCTTCACGCCTCGCAAACTATTACAACGATCGCTTCCTCGCGTTTGCGTTCTTTGCCGTGGGATACATCCCCCCCAACCCTGTCTTCGACCCTGCTGCTCAGGCCGCCAAGACACGCGAGCTCGCCGGACGCGACCTCTTCGCGTACTGGGAGTTCTTTTCTGAGGAGGGCGCGGACAAGACGATCGAGAAGAACGTATGTCTTCTTCGCTACTTTTCCTCTTTCGTTCCATACTGTGAAGAAGCAGGGCACGATCTCTCCCTCCTTCCTGAGACTAGTCGATCTGAGAACACGAAATGCTCACGCTCATCTTGCAGTTTGACTCTTTCTTCTCCCTCTTCTTCCCAAACCCACCGGAGCTCTGGAAAGACCATGTCACTGTGATCGGCGGGGCCAAGGCGTGGGTCGAAGGCAACAAGCAGAGCCCCGCCCCTGCCTACATAAAGCCTGAGGTAGGCACTATGTGTCCCATCCACGTGCCTTTAGACTCGGTTTGACTTATTTTCTTTGCAAAAGGATAAAGAACATTATAAGAAATTGCTGCTCGAAGGAGGCCTTGCAGCCCCCCTCTGCTGGTACAAAGCGATTACAGGAGGTTTTACGTCCGAAGACGACAAGCGTACGTGCTATGATACTTCCTTCTCAGCCAGTCGCGATTCAAACACCTCATTATACAGTCATTCCTCTATCTTCGTATGGTTTTCAACAGCCTGCGTTCTTCGGCGCAGCGCTCAAGGACATGATTGCCCTGCCTGTGATCGGCAAGGCGACGGTGCAGGCGGCTGCGAAGGGGCCGGTGACGATCCGCGAGTTTGATGGCGACCACTGGATTGTGCTCTCCCATGCGGACGAAATAAACCGCGAGCTGTCGGCGTGGTTGGAAGAGCATAGTATTTAGGCGCTCTGCGAAGGAACGTAAGATGTAACAACATGATGTGACTTTTTGCTGAAGACAAATCTCTGTACGTGTGGAGGGATAGGAAGTCGAATTCAATGTTTTATGATAGGTTAGGCTTTGAATCCCAGGCCGGGACGCGGCGTGTGCATAAGTCATCCGGATAGAAGCTAACACACATAAGGCATCCTTCAGGTCATGGGCCGCGATGCTTATCAAGTACCGAGGCGGTCACACCGAGGAGCGGGTAGCAATTGCAAGTGTTTATATACCTCCCGAGGTGATCATACCGGGGGAGTGGGGTCGACCACAGATGACTAAATCGTTTTCCATAGTGAGTGAGTTGGTCCCGATTGAGCTCGATTTTTCCAAGATCTCTCTAGCCCCCCACAGATAAAGTACCCCAACCCTTCTCTCTTAGGACCACAAGTCAACACGCTCCTCGATCTGGTCAAGCCTCGAACAGACCATTGTGTTTTGACATCTCGGACGAGGACAATCCCATTGAGAACGTGAGTCAAGGTTACTGAAGGGTGATCGAGAACTCATTTCACAGTACATATGACCATTTCGATTAGATCAAGGTCAATAAAATGTTGGCCGAATCACTTTCCTGGGAGTATCCGTTCGTGATAAGTGAGTTCTACAGTCGCAAGCCTATATAAGGGCCTTCACGATAAACCAAGTTCGAAGTTCTTCCACGACCCACCAGCGAACAAACATCGACTTACCAACACGCCTCTTGCTCTAACCCAGAAAATGGATATCGCTTTCTACAAAAAGCACACTACGACCCGCGGGTTCAGCTACAATTACTTCTTCACTTCCGCACAGTCGGGGAAACCAACGCTCATCTTCATGCACGGGTTCCCCTCCTCATCGTGGGACTGGTTTCAACAAGCGACGTTCTTCCAACCGCGCGGGTATGGTCTGATCGTCCCCGATATGTTGGGGTACGCTGGGACCGACAAGCCGACGGACCCAGAAGCATACATCGGGAGCGGACTGGCCCGAGACATCATCGACATCATGGACCGCGAAGGTATACAGAAGGCCATCGCGATCGGGCATGATTGGTGCGTCGAGGCGTCTTATTCTGCGCCTACAGAAGTAGCCTCAGATACGCGTTCTCATCGGATCCGATCGCATACCCATCCCATCTGGTCGGCATCGCCATGCATTCGCGCCGCCAGGGGCTGTCTTACCGCTTCGCGCCTCGCGAACTACTATTCTGACCGCTTCATCGCATTCGCGTTCTTTGCGGTGGGCTACCTCTCCCCGAACCCCATCGTCGACCCCGCTATACAGGCCGAAGCAATCCGAGAGCTCGTCGGGCGCGACGTGTTCGCATATCAGAAGTTCTTTACTGAGGAAGGTGCGGACAAAAAGATCGAGAATAATGTATGTACGACTTCCATTCCATCTGTACCGGCAGCACAGGATATCGACGTGGATGTTGTATTGCAGTTTGATTCGTTTTTTTCCTTGATCTTCCCGAATCCACCGGAGCTTTGGATCGACCACCTCTGTGCGAGCGGCGCTACCAAAGCGTGGATCGAGGCCGACAAGCAGAGCCCGGCCCCAGATTACATGAAGCCCGAGGTATGATTTCAGCTTTACGTCGATATGAATATCAGTCCGTCCTGATGTGGAGCGTCTGGACGCACAGTACAAAGAGCATTACAGACGAACCTTGCTCGACGGAGGCTTAGCAGCCCCGATCTGCTGGTACAGAGCGAACACAGAAGGTTTCACAGCCGAAGACGACAAGCGTACGTACTTCCCCCATCCTCCCTTTTGCTCCCGTTCGGCTTCCAGGGTGATTGATACGTACCTCCCCCTGCAGTCGTCCCGAAGCCATCATACGACATCCAGCAACCCGTGTTCTTCGGCGCTGCGCTCAAGGACATGGTCTGCCTGCCCATTTTCGGCAAGGAGACGCTGAAGAAATATGCGAAGGGCCCAACCACGATCCATGAGTTCGACGGGGATCATTGGATCCTGCTGTCCCATATGGAGGAGGTAAATCGTGAGCTTTTGGCGTGGCTGGATGGGCTGAAGTTGTGAGTACTTCTAGCCGATGGAGTGTAAAAGACGATGTAGCTCCGGACTGACCAACGTAAATGTATATTATTTCACCGCTCATGTGCTGTGGTATTACACGGTCAAATATCGCGATGCAGGCGGCTTTACAAAGGAAGCACGACTGCGAGAGGAAGCCGGCCGACGATGGCCCCAATGTGTCTACAATGATTGGTGTCATCGACTCCGAGCTCGAGCGGACATCAGAGCAAGGAGCAGACACGGAGTTGCATTTCCAACAGGAAATCTGAGCTCTGTCGACAATCTCGAACAGTCCTCGAACGGACATTTCCAGACACTGGAGCCAGAGTGCACCGTGACGATTGCGATCGGATCGAAAGGCTGATCGATTGATCAAATGCTACTTGACTTCACAAAGATCCCCTCTGATTCTTCCCGGTATAAGTAGCTGCCATCCTGACAATACTTAAAGGCACTCGCTCCAAGCCAGCAATCACTCAACTCACCACTCGACCCGCCTCACACAATGGACGTTGCTTCCTACAAGAAATACATCACGACCCGCGGGTTCACCTACAACTACTACTTCTCCGCCGCCCAGCCTGAAAAACCCACGCTCGTCTTCATGCATGGATTCCCGTCGTCGTCGTGGGACTGGACCTCACAGGCTACGTTCTTCAAAGCTCGCGGGTACGGCTTGATCATCCCTGACATGCTGGGATACGCCGGCACGGACAAGCCGACGGATCCGAAGGCGTACGTCGGGAGCGGGCTCGCGAGGGACATCGTGGATATCATGGACAACGAGAGCGTACAGAAGGCGATCGCGGTCGGGCATGACTGGTGCGTCCCACACGTCTCTCGCCATGTTGGTATGCTGATGACCGATGATTTGGATGTTGATCGATGTAATCAAAAGGGGAGCCCGTCCGACGTCGCGCCTGGCGAATTACCACCCCGATCGGTTCATCGCGTTCGGGTTCTTGGCCGTGTGCTACGCGCCCCCAAACCCTGTGCACAACCCCGCCGCACAGGCCGCAGCGATCCGGCAGCTGGTCGGGCGCGATATCTTCGCGTACTGGGACTTCTTCACTGAGGAGGGTGCGGATAAGAAAATCGAGCAGAACGTGAGTCCCTCGTTGTGGATCCCCTGGCTCTCGAGTGTGATCCGGGCAGCTTCGCTGATAAGCGAGAATACAGTTTGACTCGTTCTTCTCCCTCTTCTTCCCGAGCCCGCCGGAGTTGTGGAGAGAGAACGTCACTACGATAGGTGCGACCAAGGCGTGGATCGAGGGCAACAAGCAGAGTCCTGCTCCAGCCTACGTCAGGCCCGAGGTATGCACACTGGACGGCTTTGCTTTCTTTACACTATGCTGACTCCTGAGGGGGCCATCTGCGCGGACAGTTCAAAGAACACTACAGAAAGACTTTACTCGAGGGCGGCCTCGCGGGCCCGCTCTGCTGGTACAGGGTAAACACAGAAGGTCTTGCGGCCGAGGACGATAAGCGTGCGTGTTTCCTCTTACTCTGCGCCGTGACATGCTCCAGACTTACAACAATGCTGCGCAGAGGCGCCGCTGTCTTCGTACGAGATTCATCACCCGGTCTTCTTCGGCGCGGCGCTCAAGGATGAGATTTGCCTACCCATGTTTGGCAAGGCAGTCCTCCAGCGGCTCGCAAAGGGTCCGGTGACAATCAGAGAATTCGACGGCGACCATTGGTTCATGGTATCGCATGCAGAGGAGTTGAACGGCGAGTTGTTGGCGTGGTTGGAGGGCCTGAAGGCGTGAGCGCATAGGAGTTGGCGGCAGATATGCTGTATGGTAGAATACGATTATGTCTATGGGAGTCAAGCGTTGTGTCCGCGAGTCAAATGGAGTGCAGTGGAAGCTGTTGAAAAATAAACATGAGATCTACAGCGAGGACCGGTTTGCCGACACGAAAGACCGAGGGCTGGCCGGCCGCGTCGTGGGCGTCGACGACGAGAGGGTCGTTCTGGACGAGGCTGGAGCGGGATGGAGTTGTCGGTCGGATGCGGTGGCGCGACCACGTCACGGATTGGGAAAAAGAAGCGCGGTCACGCCACTCTCAAATTTGCCCGTCCAAAAAGCAGACCACTTTCTCCTCGAGCACACCCGCTCCTCTTATATATACCCCCCTCCGCCCCGTCGTTCCCCACCCCCCTCCCTCTTGTCTTGTCAAAATTTCTCTTCTGGTTGGGCAACCATGTCTTTGAACGCGACCATCGCGCAGAGCGCCGCGCATATAACGAGTGCCCAGCTGTATGCGGGCGCGGGCACCGACTTTGCGTCGTTGAACTGGTTCGAGCAGCAGTGGGCGGCGTGGTATCTGTGGATTGGTAACCCCATCATCGCGACTGGTCTTGCCAGCTTCCTGCTTCACGAAGTTTGTCTTTGTTGCTGGCATATATCGTTCGAACCCTGAGGACTAATGTTTTCTTGCTCTAAAGATTGTGTACTTCGGCCGCTGCGTCCCATGGATGATCATCGACTCCATCCCGTATTTCCGCAAGTGGAAGTTGCAGCCTGCCAAAATTCCCACCATCGCTGAACAGTGGGAATGCACCAAGCTCGTCCTGTTCTCCCACTTCACGATTGAAGCTCCCACAGTGAGCACATTTTCCCCTTTGCTTTGAGGTTTTCATACAGCTGACTTTTGGGCAGATCTTCCTGTTCCATCCTGTCGCTGAGATCCTTGGCATGAGCACTTGGCAGGTGCCTTTCCCGCATTGGAAGGTCATGCTCCCCCAGCTGGCGTTCTTTTTCTTCTTCGAGGACATGTTCCACTATTTCGGTAAGCATGTGCTCTTTCACTGACTTTTCCTCGTTATGCTTACCATGACTCACCATTGAATTTGTCAACCTGTAGCCCATCAGCTCCTCCACACGCCGATGCTCTACAAGCACATTCACAAGATCCATCACAAGTACTCAGCGCCGTTCGGTCTGGCCGCTGAGTATGCGCACCCTGCGGAGGTCATGATCCTTGGCACCGGCACCATTGCAGGACCCTTACTCTACTGCTTCTTCACGCGCAACCTGCATATCCTCACCGTCTACATCTGGATCACGCTCCGCCTCTTCCAGGCTGTCGACGCGCACAGCGGCTATGGTGCGTCGCTTCATCCGTATGTGCATCTGGCAGCTTACTAATCGAACCGTATCCACGCGTAGACTTCCCCTGGTCTCTCCAGCATATCGTGCCCTTCTGGTCCGGCGCAGAGCACCACGACTTCCACCACATGGCCTTCGTGAACAACTTCTCGACATCCTTCCGGTGGTGGGATCGCGTGCTCGGCACGGACGACAAGTACCTCGCCTACCGCTCCCGCATGCAGGCCGCCATGAAGGAGGCCCGCGCGAAGGGCCTGTCGGTCCAGCAAATGAAGGAGGTCGAGGAGCGCATGGTGAAGGAGGCCGAGGCCGAGGGCGTGCGTGCCGAGGCAGAGGTAGAGCGCTTGGGCGAGAAGGGGAAGAAGGCCAAGACATCATGATTTTAGTGGCTGGGATATCCATCCATAGACACTCGGAGTGGGGGAGGGGCGTATAGCCTTATATTATGAACGGGTGTTGATAATCTCGTTCTTGCTTTAATCCTATATATACCGCTGTTTGTTGCTTGGTGCGCACTGTTGTAAACGCACGGTATCGGGCTACCGTCTTGCCTCCAAGGCCTCAATCCGGTGCTTCCGTGACCGGTTGGGAGAGCAAGTGTGGAACGTTGATTACAGCAATGTGTTGCCCTCACGCTGGAAACCTGATCGACGTTGCGGCGATATATTTTGTTCGTGAATACGGAGGGTGAGACATCAAAATGTCAATCTCTTGCACATTTTCTTCGGGGTTCAGTCTATAGGAGTCTCTATTCGACCACCGCGTAGAACTTCAGCTCTTTCCCATCTTCCAGCCAACTCGCCGGTGTGCTTTTCGAAAGAGCGGTACGGTCAGTTGTGGAGGTAGAACCACTGGACAATGAGATGCCGCACCTGTCCGGGTTTACAGCTGATCCACCCATGCGGACGAGGCCCAAGCGACCCGTCTCTCCGGTGGCATTCTTGTACGCACAACCTGGACTAGGCCATCAGCAGCTAGATGTGGAGGACAGGTAGAGCCATGCTTACAGTACGGTGATATGGTGCCTATAGGTCTCAGGATAAGCGCGAGGCGGTCTCCCTAAACAGCCAGAACATTTGTTTTTGTAAGAACACGCTCGCGGTAAAGCTGTATGAGTGCTGTCTATCGCGTACCTTTTGGACGGCGACGTTCGGTCGGAGGACGTAGTTCTCTAGTGCCCAACTCGTGTTCGTTGCCAGGTATGTGCCGTTAGCGAGCCAGTTCCAGTTGTTCATGGGGTTGTTTGGGAACACCGCCCTCGAGGGGCTTATCGGACCCGCATAGTCCGCCGAATCGTGGAGGTCGCTGTCATTCTGGAAGGAGAACAGCTGCACTGAAAGGCCGCCGTCAGAGCTATCCAATCCAGGGTTAAAAGCTAATTTAGTGAGAACGGCGGAGTGACAGGAGCGGTTCACTGACTGATATTGACCGATGTTGAAGCCGACTTCCGACAGGCTTCCAGACTGATTGACCGTCCTGCAAATGGAATGAGAATCGCCCTGGACTCAGCACACGGGACGGGGAATCATACCACGCTTGTATACGTGCCCCACTCTGCCAATTGTTCAAAGGCGGGAGATCGCAAGCGTAGTCGAAGCTAGTCATCCCCGATGTAGCATCGATATTGCGGGTCTGGTTCGGAGAGGAAGACTTGCCGTTTCCGACGACGACGTCAAGGTCGAAGGAGTCTGGGCAGGTCAGATTCCTGATTGTTCTGTTCCCGACGCTGACAGGCTCCAGATGCAGCGGCGCTCTTCCTTGATTCGTGCTTATAGCAAACCACAAGTCGGAAATGTATACGATATGTTGCCCACCCGCCGGCTATGGATGTTGATGGTATGTCTCCAGGCAAAATTATCTAGTCAGGGAACAATGAACTCACATTAGGTATCTGCGTGAGGAAACTGGACTGTCCGCCACAGCTATCTTCCGAGATATAGTGTCGCTTGCTCCACGGACCTAAGATACATGCATGAGAAATGAACAGGATATTTCGGAAACAAATATGAATGACCAAAGGGTGTGCTTGCTGTCACGAAGGAGGTGTCGGTTGAGTTGCAATAGCCGCACAGCGAACCGAACTAGCGCACAAAAAGCACTCTGATAGGCTTTCGTGAGCGGGTGCTCGAGAGCTTACCATCCAATACCACACATCATCGACGATGGTGAGACCGTGTGCTTCAATCAACGAGACAGGAAGGACTGTCGCGATGCCTGTTCCGTTGAGCCAGTCGTCTGTCAGCTTCTCAAGCGTGGCGTTGCCAAAGATGCCCGGCGAGTACGCTATCCAGACCTATCGCGAGAAGGGTAGATTTTTAGCTGCACGTTGAAGTGGTGAGCGACACTTACGGTGGAATTTTCATCTTGTTGAACAGCGAAATCACCGATTGTTTTTGCTATTGTATAGCCATAACTGGCAAACTCGAAAGGTCCAGTAGATGAATTCGAAGTGAATATGGCAAGGTTCGTCTCGGCTGTTATGGCAATGTCGTTGAAGAACAAGTATTATGTCGATGTCCTAAGGAGAGACCATATCAACATCCATGATTGATTTTGAAACCCAGACGATACGCACGCGTTTCGGTACTCGACTTTAGGAAGAAAGCCTAGGTTAGGATACTTTTCCTTATCGTACGCATAGCCTTCATAAGTCCCTGACACCAGATCCGGGCTGCTGTATACTTTGATTCCACAGAAATTGTCTTTGGAAGTCGGGACTGGGTCTGATGCAAGCTCAAGATTGTGCAGAACGAACGGACACGGGATACTCACTCATCCAGCGAAACCCGCAGTCGTAAGAAGTGCCATAGAGGACGTATTGCCCGTCAAAATATTGTATGTGTCCGTCTCTCATCGGTTAGTGAATGAAAAGCGAACAAGAACGACACAGCTTACCATGGGCGTCAAGTGAACTTAGGACAAGGTTTTTCAGCGTCTGAATAGCTTGCAGCATTTAATGAACGTGCAGGGTCGTGCTCAATTTGCGGCATCTTTCACGCGAAGAGGTTATGTGTCGAGGTAAATTAGGGTGAGTGCTAGATGTAGTTTTTGGTGTTTTTATGGCGGGAGAAAAGAAAAAGGAGGCGCGAGCCTCGAGCGAGCGAGGGTGCGTATGTCGCGGTGGGAAGAGAGAGCCGCGACACACGCCCCTCGCTTCCGCAAAGACAATAGTCTGATCCTTCCCTCGTGCCTCAGTACGTAACACACTCGCAACCTTTGGTCGTGCGAGCAGCAGTCCTCTTCAGAATTTCAGAAATCATCGCACCCGCAGGATCGAGACACTCCCCTCTATACCCCAGATTCCACGCGACCGCGCTGTCGTGCCGAGGCTCAAGACACGCGCCGAGCGCCATTCGGTAACATAAGCAAGTATTGAGAGCAGTTGCGAACAGCCCGAGGCGACATTTATACAAACTTGAGATTGAAATCCATCACGACAGTCAATACAAAGATCCTCAGTACAGAGGCCACAAATCTGCGAGCGAAAGCAGCGACAAAGCACGGTAACGATGACGAAAGAGCGAGAGAGAAGCTTTTATAGTCTGTATGAAGTCGGTCACGAAGACTAAGAACAAACGTCGATAGAGGGAAAGCTATGTATCCTATGAGAGAGGCGACTGCACATAACCGAAGGCCACTCACTGTCAACGCAGTTCAGTAGTACGAAGTGTAGCTCATGTCCCAGTACCACATCGGCGTCGAGTCGAGCTCCATCTCTTTCTGCAGGAACTCAATAATCATCTTCTCGTGTGCCTCCCCGCGGCGCTGCAGTTCCCGCATCGAGTGGTTCGAGTAGAGCGCGAGGAGCCCCTCGTAGTGTACCGAGAACGGCCGACGGTAGTACACCAGGAAACCAGGGATCCTCTCCCTGAACAGCCTGGTGATTCGACCCCACGCGACTATGGGGCTGGTGATGGCTTCATCGGGCGCCCACGAAGCCCGGATGTTGCGCTTTGCCGCATAAGCAAGGAGATGCTCGTGAGTGATACCGAGACCGAAGGAAAGGAGAGCGCCCGTGTGCGTGATTTCTGCATCGAGTTTGGCAGGAAGTTGTTGCATAGGAGGATATTGTTTGATCCATTCTCTAAATTCCTGTCCATGGGATCAAAATGCGTCGAGGCATCGATGAGCAATAAGGACGAAGAACCTGTTGCTGGGCTATGAGCGCGCGCCGAGTCAGGACTGACTTTCCGTCAGCATTCTGCTCGACCTCCTTCGTATAGGCCGACAGGTCTTCCACTTCAATGTCGGGGACGGAGGCTCGTGGTATCAACATCCTCGAGCAAGTGACTGAACCGCACCAACGACGCGAGCACCAAGGTGGAAGCGAGAGTATCTACGCGGGTCCGTGCCGCTGGCATGGTGCAGTGCACGCCGTGGGAAACAGGCTTGTGCTGGTTTTCTCTCTGTTTTTCATCTTGCCTATGTCCCCTCCTCGCCTATATAGTGGCATGAGTGACAATCCATTCGACTCGCCCGAGAGAAACATGTCAGTGAGGCACGTCCTTCCCTCGCAGACAGACCCAGTGCGGAGAGGGCCGGTAATGGTGAGTAGCAGCGACGGGTCAGAAAGCATCCTTTGGTCGTGCGAGCAGGAGTCCTCTTCAGGATTACAGAAATCATCGCACCCGCAGGATCGAGACACTCCCCTCTATACCCCAGATTCCACGCTGTCATGCGCAGGCTCAAGACACGCGCCGAGCGCCACCTGGACACACATGCACGTCTTAACAACAGTCGCGAACAGCCTGAGGTGTCAGTTATGTGAATTTGACATTGAAATCCATCACGACAGTCAATACAAAGATCCTCAGTACAGAGGCCACAAATCTGCGAGCGAAAGCAGCGACAAAGCACGGTAACGATGACGAAAGAGCGAGAGAGAAGCTTTTACAGTCTGTATGAAGTCGGTCACGAAGACTAAGAACAAACGTCGATAGAGGGAAAGCTATGTATCCTATGAGAGAGGCGACTGCACATAAACGAAGGCCACTCACTGTCAACGCAGTTCAGTAGTACGAAGTATAATCCATGTCCCAGTACCACATCGGCGTCGAGTCGAGCTCCATCTCTTTCTGCAGGAACTCGATAATCATCTTCTCGTGTGCCTCCCCGCGGCGCTGCAGTTCCCGCATCGAGTGATTCGAGTAGAGCGCGAGGAGCCCATCGTAGTGTACCGAGAACGGCCGACGGTAGTACACCAGGAAACCAGGCATCCTCTCCATGAACAGCCTGGCAATTCGGCCCCACGCGACTACGGGGCTGGTGATGGCTTCATCGGGCGCCCACGAAGCCCGGATGTTGCGCTTTGCCGCGTAAGCAAGGAGATGCTCGTAAGTGATACCGAGGCCGAAGGAAAGGAGAGCGCCCGTGTGCGTGATTTCTGCATCGAGTTTGGCAGGAAGTTGTTGCATAGGAGGATATTGTTTGATCCATTCTCTCATTTCCTGTTCATGCGGTCAAAATGCGTCGAGGCATCGATGAGCAATGAAGAACGAAGAACCTGTTCCTGGGCTAGGATGGCGCGCCGAGTCAGGACTGACTTTCCGTCAGCATTCTGCTCGACCTCCTCCGTATAGGCCGAAAGGTCTTCCACTTCAATGTCGGGGACAGATGCTCGTGATATCAACATCCTTGAAAGGGTAGGAGCGGATAAGACGGTAGTAAAGCGAGTATTGTGGTTTCTCACACGCGGGCCACCAGCTACTGATTCGAACTTATATACAGAGGCCACCGCACATCACCTAGGGCGCTGTGTAGAACTCCTAATTTTTAACCGGGTTAATAACAGGTGTTAATAACGCGTTATTAACGCGTTATTAACAGGCACATATCGGACCCCTTGGTTTTTAAGGTTAATAACTAATTTCCCAAAATAGCAATATATCTCAAATTTGTTGTTATTCAGTACAATCTCTGTTTCTGAATGATTGTCAAACTCACCTCCTTGTCCGGAGGAGGCCTCCAAGGTGGTGGGGGCAGAAAAGAGGGCATACAGTGCCGTTGTCGTCATCCTAGCACTGTTCTTGTTGGCGGTAGCTGACATGTGACACATGAGTAAAGTATTGTTAGTTGACTGAATTCTGGAGGCATATGAATGATTTTTTGGATTTTATGGATAGTGCCTGAACCTGATCAGGTTGTGGTGTATTATTTACAGAATGTAGGAGCTTGAATGATATCCAACTTGCATCATGGTGGCTTCTCTGGTTCCACCAACTCCACGACCACTTGCTCAAATCATCCTGTCTATGCTCTAGCCATCTAAGCCTCTCCAATTCATTTAGGCTTAGTTTACAGAATGTATAACACTGAGTGAGCTATGAGCCATCATTTTGTTTGCCCATTTTCTCGATATTACTTTCATTTTCCCATGCTCACAATATGTAGTTATTAACACTGGTTATTAACACATTATTAACACCTCCTGGTTAATAACTGGTTAAAAAGCCCTGCAGAGTTCTACACAGTGCCCTAACATTACCGCACATTGCCCCAAATATCCCCTGGGTACATTTGGGAGATATTCGCAATATACCCGGAATCAACCGCAAATATACCCACCTCCCCTCGGGGATATTCAAGGTCAATTCAAGGTAATGTCTTGATATACCTTGAATATACCATGAATATACCTGGGTACTGAGTATATTGTTAAGCCGCTAGGCTTATTTAGTGCGCTTGATGCACTTAAGAGGGGTTCCCTAGGCTAAAGTTGATAGTGATGGTGATGAGCATTCACCTGCACTAGGGTCCAAGGAAGGTATTCAGGAAGCTTTGAGGAGATACTAAACAGTGCTAGACGAGCGCCGAAGACACTGACTATTACTGAATATAGTTGGTCCCCACCCAACCAACCGTAACCCACCAAAGGATGTTTGGCAGCACTTGGGTCAGTTTGCCCATACTTCATGTACTTACCATGACCGCACAGGAAGTGTTACAATAAGTGTTTATGAGATTGGAGCCACATTTGGAAAAACCTCCTCTCTTAATTAAATCTAATTGTTCAAAATACTAATCTAAGCTAATTAGAATGTTTTATTCATAATCAACTTTATGACCAAATTTGAAATTAAGGGGACACTTTCTATATTATTACAGTCCTATTGAAATTTACAACCTAATTACAATTTTACATATCCCAAATCCAAATTATATGAGTGCTACAATTTTATTTTTACTGTATTCTTTATTTTCTATTGATTTACTATATTATTTTCTAGTGTCTAAATTCAAATATTAAAAGCCCTGATTTTTAGGATATTTATTGAACCTTTTATATATAGAATAAACAAGAGATAAATGTGTAAGAAAATCAGGAATGTTGAGATTGCCTTATTTATATCAACATATTTAAGTTACCAGGTAAATAGTTTAGACCTTGTGGCTTAGTGGTTTAGAGTACTAGTCTAGAGTGTGTAGGCATAAGGTTGTTGGTTTAATTCTGGTCATGGGCAAGTTTACTATAAAGTGTGACTTTAGTTTGATTAGTAAGCTCTATATAGACTCTATGATTGGAGATATAGTAGTAGTAGGGAAACCATGGAACTGGGTTGGTTGATATTTTTCCAAAAATCCATATAATGAATTAGCTTTTATAATTTTAGAATTAGAGGGGGGGTTAGCTAAAAATCCTTAATAGTATATAGCTATATTTATGCTTAACTATGGTTAATTTAGTATGGAGCTTTTCCCTGATGCAGTATTCTGTGTCGGCTGAGGTACTCCGAGAGTCAGTCAGTTCTTATTGCTTATCTTCCTAACTTCCACATAGTTGGTCAAATGTGATCTTGCACCATTACTTGGCCACCCTGGTCATATGTTATGTCTTTTTTATTTTTATTGGCTCACCAACACCTGTTTCTACTACCTACACTTAGGCAATGGATGTTATGATCACGTTCTGTCGGGCCTTAACGGCGGTTTATACCGACACAATCATCACAAATATCAAGTGGCCTCACAAGGTGAGGCGTACAACAAGGTACAGATAGTAACCTTGGTCATCCACTCCCAACGGATCACCTTATTGTTGGTCGAGTATCACGAGCCATATTGCGACGGGCATAGAATGCCGCCTTGCAGGCTACTCACAAACCGGGCAATGAGCTCCTAGTCTTTCCTGGCCGGAAGGAGACGAACAAAGAAGCACAAGAGTAGTCGTTATTGAGAGAGACGACTTAAGAGAATACCTATGGATACATATATGGTATTCTCACGCCCTATTTCCTAAAGTAGTATAAAAGGCCCATAGAGTAGGCTGAGGTTCTTCAGTCTATTCTCTTCGTTCCCCTGTATCTTCACATATAGGGATCTTCATTCTACTGCAGTCTTCCTACTGCAGGCTTCATTGCTATACTGCAATACATCTCTGGCTCCTGTGCTACACGTACAGTCGAGACCATCGTTCCACACATCCTCCATGAGTGACCTAGGGAAGAACCTCCTACTCTTGAGGTTACCGAATGAGCAGTTCGTAACACTAGAATAGACTCTTCTGCCCCTACCTTGCTCGCACTAGCTTGCTGCCACACTCTCTCTCATAACCTTGCTCAGTGGGGATATAGACCCCCATCGAGGAAGTGTTACTGCACACACTCTGGAGCAAGACCTAGGCCAGGAATATCCACCCGGCACTAGACGTATAAATAACCAACTCCGTCACAACAATCGCCCTATCCGGTGCAAAGGGGACTTCTGGGTCTACGAAGACAATAACAGATTCGCCCCTCCGAATTACGATAACTGCTCATACCGAAACGGGTGTTATTACTTCACCCTTGAAGACGGAACAGAAGAAGAGGATATTTGGAACGAAGAAGAGAGCCAGTGGGAACTAGCACCCCAATACAGGGAACCGGCGCCGGTAATCCCCGAAGACTTGGAGCAGGAAGAAACAACCTCACAATCAGACTCCGACTCATCACCAGACCAAACACCGATCAACACCTGAAACCAACCGCTCGCCAACATGTCGGGACAAGCTTCGACTTCCACAGACCCCCCTTCCGCGACAGTGCAACCCGGAAGAGGAAAAGTCAAACTCCCAGACAACTATACAGGCAACCGCATTGAATCCCAGAAATTCATGCTCCAATGCCTCCTTCTTTTCGCAGCAGAATCCGATCGGTACAAGACCGATCAAGACAAGATATCCCTTGTGCTCTCATGCATGAGATATGGCACGGCAGGAGCTTGGGCTGAGAACTTCCTCCTCAAATCAGTAGGAGTGGACCCTCCCACTGATTTAGGTACCTGGAGGGACTTTTTAACAAAGTTCAAACTCTAATTCAGGGAAACAGGCAAGACCGATAAAGCGCGAAGCGCACTCATGGCCTTCTCCCAAGGACAAATGACGGTTGATGAATACTCCAACCAATTCATTCTCATTGCTGCCGATGCCGACATCTCCGACAAGGAGCAAGTCCCTTACTTCCAACGCGGGTTAGACCCGCGCGTCATGGACAAAATATATGACAAGGAAGTTCAACCAAAGGACACCATTCAGGATTGGATTAACACCGCCTGCGAAATAGACGGACGACTCCAAGCTAGATCCGCTCAAAAGGCCATCCTTGCCAACTCCACCTCCTTTCGCAGCGATTATTTGAATCGTTTCCACACTCAACCAGCCGTCCGTTATAACTCCACAACTGCCCCTCGCAGAATGAACAACCAGGTGGTTGACATGGACATCGACACTACCAGGAAGCGTAACGCCGAAAGTCAAAAGAGAAAATTTGACGGCAAGCGAACCACCTCTTGTTCAAATTGTGGAAAGTTAGGGCACTCTGGCGCTAACTGCTGGTCGGCCTGTAGAAGCGTTCAACCAGTTCAAGGAAACTCGAAGAGACGCTTGGGTACGACAGGGAGAAGAAACCACGTGGTCGATTTGGAAGGAGAAGACGACGCACCCGCTATGGGAGACCAAGCGGGAATATATCGAGGAGTGGAGACAGAGGATGTTCCTCGCAACGACCAGCGGGTACCACAACCTGGTCCTTCGATGGAACGTCTTTACTCTGCCCCATCTGGACGACCCCAAAAAGACCATGGGCAACGCGTTATGTTACCTGACGGACGACAGGGAGACGGAAGCATCAGTCATTCTGCTCGGATCGGAGCAGTGCTAGGAGAACTAGGAGAAGATGAAGCCAGAGAAGTAATCTTGGGACACGTGGAACATTTTTCCTGACCTCTCCCTCACCAGCGAAGGAGAGAGGTCAAGGAAGACCCGAGTTTGACGCCAACACATGTATTCATATCGGAGCAATGAATGATCGTATCATCACCCCCATACGCCTAAACGTGAAGGTATCAAACAGGGATCAATACGCTGGAGCAAAGGCGACCATCGACTCAGCATGCGAAGGGGTTATAGTAAACGAGACATGGGTCAAGAGACATCGTTTCCCCACCTATACACTCAACAACCCCATTCGCGTCCGGAACGTCGATGACACCATTAATAAAGCAGGTCTCATCTGATCCGCCTTGGATGTGAACCTCACCATTTGGGACATCCGTGGACGAACGCATATTGAGCGCATCCAGATGTTTATCTCCAACCTAGGAAAAGACGACCTCATCCTAGGAACAGATTGGTTGAAATACCACGATCCCTCCATCGAGTGGAGGCGACGTGAAGTGCACTTTGATTGGTGCCCCCAGAAATGCCAACAACCACATGGGTTCACTAGGGCAAGGGAAGAACCGCAAAACAATAAGTGGTTGTCAGATGTGGAGCCACGGCACAAACCACACATTAGCGAGTGCGAAAAACAGCGCCTAGAACATCTCCGAAGACTATCGGAAGATGTCGGACTCCGCGATCATAGCGGAACGTTTGGTGTCCAATTACGAGCATACCTCAAAAGGAAATGGCTCCTACGGGACATAAGGAAATACGCAGAAGAGAAACGGAAGGCTCAAGCCAAACCACCTCTTTCACCAAACGGGGGAGAACCTGATCTCCCACACAAAAACTCAGGAAAACAGGCCATAGAGGAACCAGTTATTCGGAAACTGGCTCCCGAACCGTCAGGATTTGCCAGCTTCGACCAGGACTTGGAGGACGAAATCGTCGTCACCAATCTAAAGGAAAGAGTCCCCAAGGCGCATCACGAATTTTTGGACATCTTTAGCGAACGAAAGTCGCAGCGACTCCCAGAGCACACTTACTGGGACCACGCCATAGACCTGAAACCGACTTTCAAACCTCAAGTACCAAAAATCTACGCCCTGAGCCCCGAGAAACATGATGAACTAGGGAAATTCATCAAGGAACACCTCACTCGGGGGACCATCCGTCGATCCACCTCACAAATGGCAGCCCCATTTTTCTTTATAGGAAAGAAAGATGGAAAACTGCGCCCGGTACAGGACTATCGCCATTTGAACTCGTACACCATCCCAAATGTGTGCCCCCTTCCATTAATCCAAGAACTATTGGACGTGATCAAAGGGGCCACCATTTTCAGCAAATTGGATGTACGATGGGGATACAACAATATACGAATCAAGAAGGGCGACGAGTGGAAGGCAGCTTTCATCACTCCGCTGGGCTCTTACAAACCCACGGTGATGTTCTTCGGCCTTACCAACTCACCAGCCACCTTCCAAGCCATGATGAACATGATCTTCAGAGAGCTCATCACGGCCCGCAAAATAACCGTATATATGGACGACATCCTCATCTTTTCCAAAAACATGGCGGAACACATCCAGGTCCTGAACCAAGTTTTCCAGATCTTGCGCGACAACGACCTCTATCTGAAGCCAGAAAAATGCGAGTTTTATAAAGAAAAACTCCAATATCTGGGATATACAATTTCAAAAGACCACGTCGCAATGGAAGACTCAAAAGTGGACGCTATACAAGATTGGCCAGTCCCACGCACCGTCCGAGACATTCGCTCCTTTTTAGGTCTAGGAAACTTTTACAGGCGTTTCATCGATAAGTTCTCCCTTATCGCACGACCTCTGCACGACCTCACCAAAAAGGATGCAAAATGGAACTGGACTTCGAAGTGCCAGGAAGCCTTTGAACGATTAAAAAGGGCATTTATCAGCAAACCCGTTCTGAATTACCCGGACCCCATGCATCCATATCGACTAGTAACGGACGCCTCACTAATCGCTTACGGAGCCACCCTCCTGCAAGAAGGAAAAGATGGTGACTGGCACCCAGTCGCATTCCTTTCCAGGTCATTTTCACCAGCAGAACAGAATTACGACGTCCACGATCGCGAACTCCTGGCCATCATAAAAGCGTTGGAACACTGGAATCACTACCTCGAAGGTGCACGACACCCATTCAAGATCTGGACAGATCACAAGAATCTGGAACACTTCCAAATGGCGCGAGATCTCTCACGACGACACGCCCGTTGGAGCCTTTATTTGGGCAGATTCGACTTCACACTCAGCTATAAAGCGGGATCAACAAATCATTCCGATGCTCTGTCCAGGCGTCCAGATCTAAGTGAGGGGGTGGAATCTGACAATAAAGCTCAAATTTTGCTCCCGGCCAACCTTTTTAACAAATCCGACGAAACGCTGGTGGAACCGTCCCCAATACGGCATATTAAGTCCACGGAAATCACATCCTCAGACCTCATCTCCCTCATCCGACTCTCAAAATCGGAACATGATGGCCTAACAAAAGTAGCCCTCGCCAAACTCTTGCGAGTAGGACCACAAGGAATGAGAGGATTACTGGGACACTGGACACACGAAGACGGAATCACCAGACGAAACGGCCACATATGCGTCCCAAAAGATGATGTCATATGAAGACTCATTGTCAAAACGCATCACGACGCACTCACAACAGGACATCCAGGGAGAGCCAAAACACTGGAAATGGTGCAACGACACTATTGGTGGCAAAACATGACAAAGTTCGTTCATGAATATGTGGATGGATGTGCGGTATGTCAATCGACCAAAAATTTGACACACAAGACGCACCCTCCTATCCACCCTTTGGAAACTACCAACGTTCCGTGGCGCTTCATCTCGACAGACTTCGTCACGGACCTACCCGAAAGCAAGGGTTTCGACTCAATTAACGTGGTAGTGGACCAAGGTCTGTCCAAAGGCATAGTCATCACCCCATGCAAGAAAACGATCACGGCAGAAGAAACAACCGTGCTTTTCCAGAACAACGTTTTCAATCGACATGGGTTGCCGACCAAAATAGTATCCAATCGTGGCCCTCAATTTGCGGCCAAGTTCACCCGAGAACTCTGGAAACGGCTAGGAATCACCGCTGCTCTCAGCACGGCTTATCATCCCCAGACGGACGGAGAAACAGAACGAGTAAACCAGGAGATTGAACAATTCCTGAGAACGTTCTGCAATTACCACCAAGATAACTGGGTGGACCTTTTGCCGTTTGCCGAATTCTCGCACAACACGCGGAAACACTCAGCTACCGGAAAATCTCCTTTCGAAGTGCTATACGGGTTCAATCCCCCTTATTCAGCCGACACTGCGCTGGAGACAAAGGTACCTGCGGTAGCTGAACGCATTAAGGTGATCACAGAAGTCCAGGAAGAAGCCGCAGCCAGCCTACAAATAGCCAGCAATTACGCCAAAGACCGGGATCTCCACAGGAAACTCCCTCAGTGGAAAGAAGGAGACCAAGTATGGCTAGAAGGAACCCATATCCGGACGACCCATCCAAAGTTCAAGCTCGCTCCTAGGAGGTATGGACCCTTCAAAATATTGGCGAAAGTAGGAACCCTGGCATACAGACTTCAAATTCCCCAACACTGGAGGATCCACCCGGTGTTCCACGCCGCAACGCTAACCAAGTATAGGGAAACCGAGGCACACGGAGAAAACTTCGCAAGACCATTGCCGGAGGTACTAAACGATGAAGAACACTACGAAGTAGAAATGATCGTGGACTCAAGGAAACAAGGACGGGGAACCAAATATTTGGTCAAGTGGATGGGATATCCCGAGGCAGATAACACCTGGGAACCCTACACTCTCCTAAAAGGGACAGCGGAAGAAGCTATGAAGGAGTTCCATGACCAATACCCTGATAAACCTCGTCCGGGAGCACCCTGAAAAGCGGAAGGAAAAGTCTATAAAAGAGCGTCCGAAGAGCTCTAAACGAACCATCCTCCCACATCTTCTCCCACTTTTCTCTCAAGCTCCCTCTCCTTCACTCAAATGCTCCTTCACGAAGACCACGATGCTTCATCACCATCCAGAAACTCCTCCCCCGATGTCGTCCTTATGGTGTCCAATCCAGACATCGGACGAGTGGATAGAGGAACCAGTCCTCACCCAAGCAATGCTGGACGAATTGATAGAGGAACCAGCCCTCACCATCCAGAGCCCGCCGTCGTCACCCTCACTCCACACCTCAATAACTTCTCAGATGACGACGCCGAGGACTACGCCAAGTTCAAAGAAAGGGAAAGAACTCGCCGACCGTCATCCCAGGGGCCCCCACGAGATGCATCACGGAATGAAAACCCTGATGACAGAAACCCACCGGGCTCTGACGAAGTACCAATGGGAGTTCCACCTCCTGCTACAATCGCGGCGAACGTTGGAGCTGCAGGCCCCTCGGGACTACGAGCAAGAACAGCAGCTCAACTCCCAAGCCATGGAGAAATTAACTCGATACCAGTTATACAGGGAGCTACACCTCCGCCAGTACCAACTGGTGGACAGATTCCCCGCTCCATGGGAAGAACTACCCTTGGTACAAATCCTCACGCCGGAGAATTGGAGCGACACGCGGACGCGCTCCTCCAGCAAAGCACTATCTCCGCGGTAATACAAATGGCCACAGCCATGGCCCTACAACGACTTGCTAACTTCGCTGCAGGGCAACCCGGGAATGAGCATAGCGACATACCTCGACGACTGGCTAGTGCCAGTCTCCAGATCAGAGGACTCGCCCTCCAAACAGACCCTGACACCGCCTCTTGGTATGAACATAACGACGGACGACCACGAGCTCTCCTCATCCATCCCGACGAATTCTCCCAGTATGTCAACAGAGAGCTCCTTCCAGCTCTCCTCTTCACTGGAGAACTGGGTGCCGTCCAACCAAGTAGGACCGACCCTTTCCGCGTTGTCGTCTGGAATGTACCACGTCCCGGAGAACGTCCCACGGCTGTACCAAATCCAAGAAGGGCTCCGCGCACGGTCGTGGAACGCCCTCCACCGAGGCCACGGGAAAGTCGCCCAACACATAGCAATCCCATGACGTCCCCCTCTCACCGGGTACGAAATCTTCCCTTATCCCATGGGGGTACCGACGAAGAGGAACCACCCGTCTATCGAAGAAACGAGGGAAGAAGAAGTCGAGGAACCCAGGCAACCCTCCGCCGCGGAACAACTACTGGCGGGGGTGTTCGACACCGGCCTGGAACGCCTCCTCCTAGTGCTCGATTTCGTACAGACGAGGGACAGAATAACCGAAGTAGCCGCAGAACTCGCCGCGCTGATTCGGAGGCTAGAAGAAATCGCTCTTGGACTCGATCCGAGCTCGATGCATGGGATGCTTTAGATGACCCGGGAAACTACGACGACGCCGATCCGTATTATCGGCCTGATGAAGGAGGCGATGGGTACCAAGGACCCTATGACTACTAGAGAGGGGCAGTCGCGGAGCGAGAAAGGGGGTAAGGAAGTTGAGGAACTCCTACCCCTACTAGGGTCCGAAATGACCTTAAACTATTGTTCGTCCGCAACGACGTAAAACTAGGATCATCCCTCAAGACGTTAAACTGTACGACCTCGTCCGAAAAAGACGTTAAACTACCCCGCGTCCGGAATGACGTCTAAACTATCGGACCTGCATGTCTTAAAACTGTGAAAAGATAAGAAGGCAGGGGAAGTACCTGACCATTTAGTCCTAGGTTCAAATGATGGTACGAATCAAGGACAACAGCGGGCATAATTCCACGTATGACCTACGGCGGAACCTTTCACATCCTCGCTGTCAAGGAGTTAATCTGACAGATGCATCGAGCGTCCCATTTGGATCCTCAGTTTTACAGGGTTTTTTCCGCATTAAGGGAACCCTCTACATGACATATACTCTACTCGTAGGTGTCGACAAGCCGGCTCTTCGCCTTGGTACAGCGAAGTGCCCATACATAACCGGTTGCAAGTCCGAGTCAAGAAATTATGATGCACAACTCGTTAAGTGAACCCTCACAGTCAAGGTCTGACTGGTGTTTTGGGACGTCCCACTTTGGATCTCCCGTTTTACAGGATCGTTTCCGCATTAGGGGATCCTACAGCTGGCGCATGAGATGATGTAGAGAGCGGGCCGCCTCTACTTCACAAGTCTTCCTAATTGATGCGAGGCCACAAAATACATCCGGAACGATGTAAAACTACCAAAGGCTTGGTCCGCAATGACTATAAACTACTAGGGTCCGCAATGACGTTAAACTAGTCTTCGTCCGAAATGACGAAAAACTATCCTCGTCCGAAATGACGAAAAACTATCCTCGTCCGAGATGACATAAAACTACCATTGACCCAAGGAGCGTGGTTGCATTCTGGTGAAGCACGGATTTTCGGGAGGATCCGCGTCGCAGAACCCTGCCTATAAGAGGTCGAAGCGCTTCCGATATTCACTCGCTTTTCGGTAAAAGAATATCGGGTCGACTTGGTTCAAATCCAAGCGAGGGGTCTGAGGACATGGAAGAGCAAGCATCTCTTCATGGAGCGCTCAGTCTAGTCCTGGAGTCGAAGTACAAGAAATTCCACTCCAAGACCTAGTCAGGAGGCAACTAGGACACGTGCCTCGAGTCGAAGATCTAGTAGGAAGGGACTAGATCCAGCGACTCTCGTCTGGCCCACATAGCGGAAGGACGACAAGAGCGGGCCACTCACAAAGTCTATTCCGCCACAATCGTCCGCAACGACGTAAAACTAGGTCTCGTCCGCAACGACGATAAACTACGAAGCGTCCGGGATGACGTTAAACTAAGCATTGTTTTTCCACAATATTTGTGGCGAAACAACGTCCGCAACGACGGTAAACTACGGGCATCCGAAACGATGTAAAACTACTGTCCCTTCGTTCTAGGGATCTTAGGATGTGTCTCAAGATTGGGATGTCTCCTAGTCCGAAATGACGATAAACTATTTGTCCCTTTAAGCACAGGGATCGTGCGTGGTGGAAATCAAGGTTATCCCCACGCGTCCGAAACAACGCTAAACTACTTGTCCCTTCAAGTATAGGGATCGTGCGTGGCGATCTTGACAAGATACCGCGCGTCCGCGACGACGTTAAACTAGTGCCCCTGGACCTAGGGGTTGTCATTGATGTCCAATCCCCTGGACACCAATGCGTCCGCAATGACGGAAAACTATTTGCTCCTTACCGTATAGGAGTTGTGGATTGACCGCCATGGTGTCAATCGGTCCGCAATGACATTAAACTACATGCTCCTTACCGAATAGGAGTTGTGGTTGTTGACCAAGACCATGGTCATCAACCGTCCGAGATGACGTTAAACTACTCGTCCCTTTTTAGTAAAGGGATCATTGGTCGACATCATTCTTGACGAGAATGTGTCGACAACGTCCGAAAAGACGGTAAACTACCCTCATCCTCGGAGGAAAAGTCTATCGTGACTCGAGGGACATAGTCAGACGATAGCTCGCCTATCGCACGGCGTTAAACTGCAAGGGTGCCTACCTCACGGCATTAAACTGAGCGGTCTCCTAATATTGAGACGTATAAGTTATCCGGTTTGATATAGTATAAACCGTTCCCATCATGCCTCAGTGGAAACCTGCGGGACAAAGTCTGGTCTAGGGCCCTATGCACATAACCGATGGAAATTCCGGCATGCAGAAACATCTTTTTCCCACAGATATTCTATGTTGATAATGAAGAAGGTCCGCAAATGACCTAGAAGTAAACTACAAGGCAGCGCAGGGCGCCTTAATAACATCCGAAACGATGTAAAACTACTGTCGTCCGCAACGACGGTAAACTACGGAATGTCCGGCAAGACGTTTAAACTGCTATTGTGGATATATCTCGCGACCCGACCAATATATCAGCTGTGGTCTTGATGTCCATTCGTGCAAGCGAACGGGCCGATCCGGAGAAGGAGTCAGACTCCTCCTTGCTCCTCACTGCACCCTTCAAGTCTAATTCTCTTCACATCCTTGCCTCAAACCCAATACGCATAGTGAATCAAACAAACTCTGGACGTCGAACTAACTCACCGGAGATGAGCCCACCGTATGGGGGCAATACTGCTTGGGATTTATGGCTGCAACCTCACCGGAGATGAGCTCACCGTATGGGAGCAATACTGCTTGGGACGTTAAGATGGTAGTCTGGGGAAGTAGGCCTAAGCCTTTGTAAAGCGATCAACCTACTTGCCCGTGGACGCCATCCTCTGAACGCCAAGAGGAACAACAAAAATCACGAGGATAACGACTATCCTGGAAACACTGAGGTTTGGCCCTCGGAGAAGGAAGAAGAAGAACCTGATGACACGAACTGGAACCCACATGCTAGAGTTTCTATTCATCCACACCCCACTCGCATTCATACGCCTTTCTTGATACTGTTCCAGAGGAGGCTGGAAGTAAGACCGCGATGAAATTGCCGCGGCAAAATCAATCCTTACGGGTGAAGGAAGAACATCCTAGTGGCCCAGGGCTTGGATACCCCTGCGTTATGGCCGAGAAACAAACAGCTCAACGGAGATGGAAAACTCCTAGAGGATCAAACGACGTAAGTCGGTCTTCCTCCCAGAAAACGAAGTCATGTCCCGGAAGTCGTATCCGGAGACCGTTTTTGGATCAAGAAAGCAAATCGTATATGGAGTGGCGATGAAGCGCAAAGCGTTGTCCTACCAGGCGAATAGGACGTAGAAAGGGGGTATTGTTATGATCACGTTCTGTCGGGCCTTAACGGCGGTCTATTCCGACACGATCATCACAAATATCAAGCGGCCTCACTAGGTGAGGCGTACAAACAAGGTACAGATAGTAACCTTGGTCATCCACTCCCAACGGATCACCTTATCGTTGGTCGAGTATCACGGGCCTATTGCGTAGCGGGCATGAAACGCCGCCTTACAAACTACTCACACGACGGGCATTAACCTCCTAGTCTTTCCTCGCCGGAAGGAGATGAACGGAGAAGCACAAGAGTAGTCGTTATTGAGAGAGACGACTTAGAGAATACCTATGGATACATATACGGTATTCTCACGCCCTATTTCCTAAAGTAGTATAAAAGGCCCATAGAGTAGGCTGAGGATCTTCAGTCTATTCTCTTCGTTCTTAGGCAGTCTTCATACTGTCTACTTCGTTCTCCTGTATCCTCACATACAGGAACCTTTGTTCTACTGCAGTTATCCTACTGCAGTCTTCATTACTATATCGCAATACACCTCTGGCTCCTGTGCTACGCGTACAGTCGAGACCATCGTTCCACACATCCTCCACGAGTGACCTAGGGAAGAACCTCCTACTCTTGGGGTTACCGACGAGCAGTCGTAACACTCAGGACTACGAGCAAGAACAGCAGCTCAACTCCCAAGCCATGGAGAAACTGAACCGATATCAGTTATACAGGGAGCTGCACCTCCGCCAGTATCAGTTAGTGGACAGGTTCCCCGCCCCATGGGAAGAACTACCCTTGGTACAGATCCTCACTCCGGAGAATTGGAGCGACACGCGGATGCGCTCCTCCAGCAAAGCACTATCTCCGCGGGCAACCCAGAAATGAGAATAGCAACATACCTCAACGACTGGCTAGTGCCAGTCTCCAGATCAGAGGGCTTGCACTCCAAACCGACCCTGACACGGCCTCTTGGTACGAGCACAATGACGGACGACCACGAGCTCTCCTCATCCATCCCGACAAATTCTCCCAGTATGTCAACAGAGAGCTCCTTCCAGCTCTCCTCTTCACTAGAGAACTGGGCACTGTCCAACCAAGTAGAACTGACCCTTTCCGCGTGGTCACTTAGAATGTACCACATCCCGAAGAACGCCCCATGCCTGTACCAAATCCAAGAAGGTCTCCACACACGGTCGTGGAACGCCCTTCACTGAGGCAGCGGGAAATTCGTACAGCGCATAGCAATCCTGTGACGTCCTCCTCTCACCGGGTACAAAATCTTCCCCTCTCCCATGGGGGTACCAACGAGGAGGAACTGCCCGTCTATCGAAGAAACGAAGGAAGAAAGAGTCGAGGGACCCAGGCAGCCCTCCGCCGCGGAACAACTATTGGCGGGAGTGTTTGACACCGGCCTGGAACGCCTCCTACTAGTACTCGACTTCGTACAGACAAGGGACAGAATAACCGAAGTAGCCGTAGAACTCGCCGCGCTGATTCGGAGGCTAGAAGAAATCGCTCTTGGACCTGATCTGAGCTTGATGCATGGGATGCTCTAGACAATCCCGGAAATTATGACGACGCTGACCCTTATTATCGACCTGATGAAGGAGGTGATGGGTACCAAGGACCCTACGACTACTAGAGAGGGCTAGTTGCAAGGCAAGAAAGGGGGTAAGGAAGTTGAGGAACTCCCTCCCCAATAGAGGGTCCGAAATGACCTTAAACTACCGATCGTCCGCAATGACGTTGATATGCTAGAGATGGCTCTAAGTGCTGAGCACAACACTAAAACAACCTCTATTGCAGGGGTGCTGGAGCTAGTATCTGATACACAAGGAATTGTAAGTGATGACTTTAGAAATTGAAGGCGTACTGAGAAGCAATCGGGGAGTGTAAGATTATAGCACCCAAACGGTTTCGGGACTGCGCCGAACACCGACTGAACGTTCGGTCAGTCGTATCGGCAATGCGGTCGGTAACGAGAAGGTAGTGTTGCGACCGACAACTACGTGCTTCAAGAGCCACACAGGACTCTGACAATATACGAGGGAGGACAGGGGTACAAGCGAAGAGACGAGTACGAACGCGAAGGAGGCCGAACGACGAGGATGGCAAGTTTTCAGAAGTCAACGAAGATGATTTCGAAGGTTGAGACGAGTGCGAATGAGCTCTGAACTGTGGGGTACGAAAGCTGGTTTATTCCAGAGGTGTATGTAGGTTTTATAGTAAACAGAGCCTCTAAGTAAAATATTAAACAAGAAATGAGAGTAGATGTCAAATGGGCGCCAAGCCTTTAGCAATCAGAGAAGATAAGAAGGTAGGTGAGATGTCCATATGGGTTCCGAAGGTGACCAGGTAAAATTTAATCAGCAATGGCGAAATCCCGAACGTTCGGGATCCATCGCCCAAGCGTAGGTAGACGGAACAGGTGTTGGAGAACCAATGAAAATTAAAGAAGAGGTATCGTACAACCAGGGTAGCCAAGAAATAGTGCAAGATCGCGTTTGACCGACCATGTGGAAGTCGGGAAGATAAGCGATAAGGACTGACCGACTCACGGAGCACATCGGCCGACACGGAAGACTGGCTCCGATCTCATAAACACCTATCGTAACACCCCTGTGTGGTCATGGTAAGTACGTGAAGTGTGGGCGAACTGACCCAAGTGCTGCCGAACATCCTTTGGAGGGTTACGGTCGGTCGGGTGGGGACCGACCATGTTCGGTGCAAGTCGGCATCTTCGGTACCCGTCTAACACTGTTCGGAATCTCCCCAAAGCTTCCCAAATACCTCCCATGGACCCTAGCGCGGGTACATGCTCATCAACGTAAAACTAGGTTCGTCCCTCAAGACATTAAACTGTACGACCTCGTCCGAAAGAGACGTTAAACTACCCATGTCCGGAATGACGTCTAAACTATTGGACCTGCATGTCTTAAAACTGTGAAAAGATAAGAAGGCAGGGGAAGTACCTGACCATTAGTCCTAGGTTCAAATGATGGTACGAATCAAGGACAACAGCGGGCATAATTCCACGTACGACCTACGGCAGAACTCTTCTATATCCTCGCTGTCAAGGAGTTAATCTGACAGATGCATCGAGTGTCCCATTTGGATCCTCAGTTTTACAGGGTTTTTTCCGCATTAGGGATCCCTTTACATGACATATACTCTACTCGTAGGTGTCGACAAGCCGGCTCTTCGCCTTGGTATAGCAAAGTGCCCATACATAACCGGTTGCAAGTCCGAGTCAAGAAATTATGATGCATAACTCGTTAAGTGAACCCTCACAGTCAAGGTCTGACTGGTGTTTTGGGACGTCCCACTTTGGATCTCCCGTTTTACAGGATTGTTTCCGCATTAGGGGATCCTACAGCTGGCGCATGAGATAAGTAGAGTCCTGGCCACCTCCACTTACACAAGTTTCCTCCAAGGAATGCGAGGCCATAAAAAATATCCGGAACGATGTAAAACTACCAAAGGCTTGGTCCGCAATGACTATAAACTACTGTGGTCCGCAATGACTATAAACTACTGTGGTCCGCAATGACGTTAAACTAGTCTTCGTTCGAGATGACGTAAAACTACCATTGACCCAAGGAGCGTGGTTGCATCCTGGTGAAGCGCAGATTTTCGGGAGGATCCGCGTCGCAGAACCCTGCCTGTAAGAGGTCGAAGCGCTTCAATATTCACTCGCTTTTTGGTAAAAGAATATTGGGTCGACTTGGTTCAATTCCAAGCAAGGGGTCTGGGGACATGGAAGAGCAAGCATCTCTTCATGGCACGCTCAGTCTAGTCTCGGAGTCGAAGTACAAGAAATTCCGCTCCAAGACCTAGTCAGGAGGCAACTAGGACACGTGCCTCGAGTCGAAGATCTAGTAGGAAGGAACTAGATCACACGACTCTCTTTGGCCGACATCGTGGAAGAATGACAAGAGCTGGCCGCTCATCTGGAGAAGTCTATTCCGCCAATCATCCGCAACGACGTAAAACTAGGCCACGCGTCCGAAATGACGTTAAACTACCGTCCCTCAACCCTGGGGATTGTTCGAGGCCATTTTTGGTATGAAAATGGCATCGACGTCCGAAATGACGATAAACTATGAAGCATCCGAAATGATGTAAAACTACTGTCCCTTCGTTCTAGGGATCATGGGCTGCGCCTCAGTGTGGGGACACCCCATAGTCCGAGATGACTCTAAACTACTTGCTCCTCATCAAGAAGAGGAGTCGTGATTAATGACCACGACCTTGGTCATTAATCGTCCGAGATGACGGTAAACTACTTGTCCCTTTAAGCATGGGGATCGTGCGTGGTGGAAATCAAGGTTATCCCCACGCGTCCGAAACAATGCTAAACTACTTGTCCCTTCAAGTATAGGGATTGTGCGTGGCAATCTTGACAAGATACCGCGCGTCCGCGACGACGTTAAACTAGTGCCCCTTTGGACTTGGGGGTTGTCATTGATGTCCAATCCCCTGGACACCAATGCGTCCGCAATGACGGTAAACTACGGAACGTCCAGCAAGACATTTAAACTGCATTGTGGGTATGTCTCGCGAACCCGAACAATATATCAGCTGTGGTCTTGAGATCTAATTGTGTATGTGAACGGGCCGATTTGGAGAAGGAGTCAGACTCCTCCTTGCTCCTTACAGTACCCTTCTAGTCTAATTCTCTTCACATCCTTGCCTCGAACTCAACACTACACGTGGTATTCCCCACCATAGGCCCACGTTTGTGACAAACAAACTCTGGACGCCGTAAACTGCCTCACCGGAGATGAGTCCACCATATGGGGACAATACTGCTTGGGATTTGATTGGGCGCCCTCACTGGAGATGAGCTCACCGTATAGGAGCGATACTGCTTGGCCATTCGACTCATGCTTAGCATGGTTTCAGATAGTCTGGGGAAGTAGGCCTAAGCCTTGATAAAGCGATCAACCTACTTGCCCGTGGACGCTGCTGGTCGCCATTGAGGAAACAACAAATCATGAGGATAGAACGACTATCCTGGAAACACTGAGGTTTGGCCCTCGGAGAAGGAAGAAGAAGAACCTGATGACACGAAATTGGAACCCACATGCTAGAGTTTCTATTCATCCACACCCCACTCGCATTTATACGCCTTTCTTGATACTGTCCCAGAGGAGGCTGGAAGTAAGACCGCGATGGGTTTACCCGTGGCAAAATCAATCCTTATGGGTGAAGGAAGAACATCCTAGTGGCCCAGGGCTTGGAACCCCCTGCGTTATGGCCGAGAAACAAACAGCTCAACAGAGATGGAAAACTCCTAGAGGATCAAACAATGTAAGTCGGTCTTCCTCCCAGAAAACGAAGTCATGTCCTGGGAGTCGCATCCGGAGACCAGTTTGGATCAAGAAAGCAAATTGTATATGGAGTGGCGATGAAGCGCAGAAGCGTTGTCCTACCAGGTGAATAGGACGTAGAAAGGGGGTATTGTTATGATCATGTTCTGTCGGGCCTTAACGGCGGTCTATACCGACACGATCATCACAAATATCAAGCGGCCTCACAAGGTGAGGCATACAACAAGGTATAGATAATAACCTTGGTCATCCACTCCCAACGGATCACCTTATCATTGGTCGAGTATCACAAGCCATATTGCGACGGGCATAGAATGCCGCCTTAGAAACTACTCACACACCAGGCATAAAGCTCCTAGTCTTTCCTGGCCAGAAGGAGATGAACAAGGAAGCACAAGAGTAGTCTTTATTGAGAGAGATGACTTAGAGAATACCTACGGATACATATATGGTATTCTCACGCCCTATTTCCTAAAGTAGTATAAAAGGCCCATAGAGTAGGCTGAGGTTCTTCAGTCTATTCTCTTCGTTCCCCTGTATCTTCACATATAGGGATCTTCATTCTACTACAGTTTTCCTACTGCAGGCTTCATTGCTATACTGCAATACATCTCTGGCTCTTGTGCTACACGTACAGTCGAGACCATCGTTCCACACATCCTCCACGAGTGACCTAGGGAAGAACCTCCTACTCTTGAGGTTACCGAACAAGCAGTTCGTAACAATGGATCCTAAACATTTAGGATTTTGACATCACTAATTACCTTTTACCTTATCACCTTTGGAACCCATATAGACATCTCACCTACCTTCTTATCTTTTCTGATTGCTAGGGCTTGGCACCCATTCAACATCTACTCTTATTTTGTGTTCGATATTTTACTTAGGGGCGCTGTTTACTATAAAACCCTGCATACAACTCTGGAATAAACCAGCTTTTGCACCCCACAGTTTAGAGCTCATTTGCACTTGTCTCAACCATCGAAATCATCTTCGTTGACTTCTGAAAACTTGACATCCTCGTCATTTGGCCTCATTTGCATTTGTACTTATCTCTTCGCTTATACCCCCATATCTGGAAAAACACCCCCTTGTATTAGCTCCGGATTATATCTAATAGTGTCTAAAAGTATCTAAAAGTGTTAATAGTATCTAAAAGTATCTAATTTCCTAATTGGGAGCAACACATTGTGAGCATTGGATTGGTTTCTAATTTCATGATATTAGCACTAATTCTATACTAAGAAGTCTTTAATTATTAGTAGGAAATAGTAAGTAGTACTGCTCTATCAGTGAGAAGGTAAAGATGTGGCACATTCTATACTATTTCAGCATATTACTCTTCTTCATATATGCCTATACCATTATCTTGTAGCTCTTTTGCTGACTTTCCAGCTGCTTTTATAAGGGATATAGAAAGAGAGAAATGTGCATTGATGCCCCCATCCACATTGTTGGCAGCTTGGCAGCTGCCACAAGAGGCTATGAAGACCTAGGTACCTTGGCCTTGCACACAAGATCAGCAAAGTTGTCATTGTTAGCCAATGCCTGCTACTAGTCATTATAGGACACAACATGTGGGTTGGACTTAGGGATATGCTATATGCAGCCTTGGAGACCTTGTCTATTAGTATAGTGGCTAATACTGTCTTGTGCAGCACATAATCATCACCACTATTGATATTACAATTCTCAGTGCCATCCACATTGTCTATTGCCTTGTTATACAAAAAATGCTCAAACTTGGTGATTTTCTCTAGCTATTGGGCTGTGGAAAAGACAGTCATATTAGTATGTGGTGCCAGAATGATATATTTGCCTGCCATATAGGAAACATATGCATTAAGCATATTAAGATTACCTCAACAATCTTGTGCTTATTTATATATAGGCATGCGATACATATACTCTTGTCCCCACCCTCTACCTCACTAGTGGCTATTTGGAAAACCCCTCTCTCTTATTAGATCTTGATTATTTATAATCATGTTTTTAATCAAATTTGCAAATTTAGGTAGCATTGTCTATACTAGTAGAGTCCCATTGAATATTACACTCAATCATAGTTTTACACATTCTCAGTCCAAATTATATAAGTGCCATAATTTATTTTTATCCTATATAAAGTGTATTATCAATTTTCCATTGGTTTATTATCTTCTTAGCTAGTGGTTAAACTAAATCCCGAAAGACCTGACTTTTTAGGTATTTATTGACCTATTTATTTATAAGATAGAGGAAAGATAAATGTTAAATAAAATCAGAGATGTTAAGGTTGCCTATATTATGTCTACTTATTTGGATTACCAAGTTTACATCTTAGACCTTGTGGCTTAGTGGCTTAGAGCATCTGTCCCGGGTACTTGCATATATAAGGTTATTGGTTCAACTCTGGCAGAAGGCAAGTTTGTTATAAGGTATATTCTGTGTTTAGGTATTGAACTAGTGCTCTAATAGACATGACTCCATATGAAGGCTATGAGAACTGTGATGCTTGATTTATTATTATTTTTTCGAAATTTCAAGTTATAATCAATCCTAATAATTCCTAATTTAAGAAAATTATGTCTAATTAGAACAGGTTTAGAGGGTAAGCTAAAAATGTCTAATCCTAATTGTTCTTAATTATGCATAAATAAAACTAATTAGAGCTTAATACAAAGGGGTGGTTTTCCAGATGTACTTGCACTTGTAGGGTGTTTCTTGAGTGTATTTTGCACTCACAGGCATCATTAGTGTATCAACAATCATCATAACTACCAGGTGGCCTCAGTGCTGAGGCATATATTAAGATACAGATATTACTCTTAGTCATCCACTCTCAGCAGACCATCCGTCACTGGTCAAGTATCATGAGCCTATTGCAGTGGGCATCCTTTTCTGCCTTACAAACTACTCACAAGGGCATGGAGCTTCTCATCTTTCCTGGCCAGAAGGAGATGAGCAGAAAAGCAAGAGTAGTCATTCTTGAGAGAGTAACAACTTGGAGAATACCTATGGTATACATATACGGGATTTTTACACTCCTTTCCTAAAGTAGTATAAAAGGCCCATAAAATAGGCTAATGTTCTTTAGTCTATTCTTTTCATTCTTGGGTAGTCTTCACACTGCCCACTTCATTCAGTACTATCTCCTAATAGTACTATCTTTGTTCTTTCTATATCTTTGCATGCAGAGCTTTGCTCTATTGCCCTCACTACAATACACTCTGGCTCCTGTGCTGAGCGTACAGTTGAGACCATTATTCCACTCTCCTCCACAAGCAATCTAGGGAAGAACCTCCTACTCTTGGGGTTACCAAACAAGCAGTTTATAATATCTGCTACACACTCCCAGGGGGATTTAGGGGGCCTTGTGGTGGGAGTATCCTCTTGAAGCAGACAACACTTAGTGGGGAGGAGGTCGGCATCAAAATCTGTAATAAAAGGGCAAAGCTAGGTAGGGATGTGGATTGCTAGGAGGAAGAGGCAAAATAAAGGATAGATTTCCCTGAATAGGCTGTCTACGGGGTTGCTAGTACTAGGAACATAGCGCATGTGATAGGTACAGCTGGGGGATTCTGAGAGCTTGTAGACTCACTTAAAAACTTTGTTGGTTAGCTTATTGTAGCTGCGTTCCTTCTACCAGCCTTCAACAATACCCTGGTTGTCCCTGTAAACTTTGTAGTGAAGGCCTGCTATAGAGGATAAGATAAGAGCTCGGATGAGGAGTTTGAGGCCGACCACTTCTGCCTAGCCAATGTTTCAGCCATCTGTGTTCTAGTTAGGTAGGAGCCTCCAGGCATGCTAGCACTCACTAGTAATAATGCCAATGCTGACCCCTGAGCTAGCATCTGAAAAAGCAAGGGTGTCTTGGAGCTCATATGGGCCAGGGATAGGTCTTGGGAAGGTTGGCTGCCTAAGCTTGTGGATCCACAAGAGCAGATCTTCAAAAGTGCCTCAGGGTGAGGTACATGGCATAAAAGGACAATTGTCAAATAAACTGAGCATGGCCTCCAGTTTTGTGAGGTAAGCGCACCCTATGGATAGGACCAATAAAGTGTGTAGCAGCTTGCTATTAAGCTTGCAAACCTCTTCCAGGGCATGCGCTCTGCAGTCTAGCCAGGCCTCAATTGCATTAAGATACTTCTGCTTCTTGCTGTTAGGCAGCGAGAGTTCATAGGCAGTAAGATCCCATTCAAAACCAATAAACAGGGGGCAAGAGCAAAAGGGGATGTCTTTGGAGGCTTCTTAGTGGCAGCCAAGGGGCACTGAAATGCAATCAATGTCAGCAATTGTGCAGGTATAAAGAGCATCTGCGGGGGATCTGGGAAAAGCACTCAATAGGTCCCTGATTAGGTACTGCATATCCTCATCAAATTCTTCAAGCCTGCCATCAGGCATAGTGTCACCTTGGTACCATAGATGCCTGCCATCATGCCACTTGCCGCTGATACGCTAGTGATGCCTCTGAGTGCGAAATACACCCAAGAAACACCCCTATAAGCGCAGGTAGGCAGGAGCTGGTTCTAGTGTGCAAGGAACTATAAGCTGTGCAATAACCAACAAAGGAGCGTACTGAAAGTGTTCGGAGTGTAGCAAACAAACAACTCCAAAATCGAATATATTTGGTCGGTTGGTCAGTCAGTTGGTCGGTTGGTCGGTCGGTCAGTTGGTCGGTTGGTCGGTTGGTCAGTTGGTCGGTTGGTCGGTTGGTCAGTCGGTCGGTTGGTCAGTTGGTTGGTCGGTCAGTCAGTCGGTCGGTGTTTGATCAAGACGCAAAGGGGAGGGAATGGGTGCGAGGCCACACTGGACACTGGCAGAGGATGACAAACTAGATGAGAGGGAGAGAGCAAGACAACAAGGGCTCTGCCGGAAGGCTGCGATCAAATGCAACAATACAAACAAAGGGGCAAAATGCGAACAAGGATCAGAAGGCAATGGCTCAAAGTCTCATAGACACAAGCACACGAATGGAATTGGAACGAGGGGGGAGCCAAAGCTGATGTATTGCAAGGCCATAGGTGCCCTTTTATAGTAAGTCCAAACAGGTACAAGATAGGGAGATTGGCAGAGGCATAGAGCAATCGGAAATGCATGCCAAGAGTGATCAAAGGTAAAGAAGATAAGGGAGTGATGTTGCAAACACTACAAGATAAGAAGCAATAACTCTAAAGTCTAAATAAGTGGAGAGATTGCCAAGGTGAGTCCACATGGACCTGGAGATAAGAACCACATGCCACATGGGTAAACCATTTAGAAACTTGGGAGCTCTGAAGATAACAAAGGATAGGTCAACAGAAGGCATAAGGATGATAAGAGATAGAAAGACAGATCCGTTCTGAGTCAACAAAGTGTTCGGCCGCCTCCGATTCGGGACACCAAAGCCGACCGAATGTGCCGACCATGTGAAGTGTACCGAACCGGTCGGCGATCGGCCGCGACAGTCTGTGAAGAGCCCCTACTGCTGAGAGTGATGATAGATGGATAGGATGACTGTGAACAGCTCCGAATGACTGTGCGGAGGTCTAAATGGAAAGTCGGCACCTGACTAATGGCTGAGATCGCCGAACAGATCGGGATCGGTCGGTCCTAAGTATGCCGAACGGTCAAAGAATACTGAAAAGCTGTGAAAAGTGGGGTATGGGTGCCTAGAGAACACCCATGCTCATCACCGCTGTTTGCTATGATGGCAAGGCATGTGCACTCCTGGAGGGTATTGTAAGAGTTGAGGTACTACTGAAGGATTTGGAAGAATATGTGGTTGTTGACCCACTTGGAGAGCAGGCCGATTCTGGTGGCATAGAAGATGTCAGCACCAGTGTCACCAACTTCACTGTAGATACCAGCACCAGAGGCAAGCCCAAAGCAGTTGCATATGTCAATTACAAAGCAGTCATGCCCTTCGAGGCAGATGACAAGGCCCAGCCAATGCTCTGGGATAATTAGGATAAACTGGTAGGCTTTAGAGACATCCTGCACTGCTGCCTGTGAGCCTGGGGATAGCCTCCAAATGAGGAGGCAGATGGTTGCAAAAGTATCCCAGGTACAGTGGTAAAGATTAGAGTCAATGGCCAAGTTAATGGAGGAGATGCTTTCGAGTAAGTGACATGGAAATAAGAGGTTCTGGATAAGCCAGAACTTCCCAGGCTTCCCTAGCTTAGGGACCACAACTTTGGCTTCTTTTTCTCTATCTCAAGCTGCTCTGTCTGCTTCTTTTGCGCTTGCTCCTCTTGGTGCTGATCCTCTTCTTCTTGCACTAGCCTGTCAGCTTCATCCCTAGCTGCTTGCAGCTCACCTTGTTCCTGCTTGTATTTAGCCTTTCATACGTTGTTTTCTTCAGTCTAGGCATTTGCCAGTTGTTGGGCTACTTCCTCGTGGGTGAGCACCGGGTTAGCAGTGATGATGAGGTTGCACATTGCGAGGAAAGGAGTGGAGGAGAAGTTGACTTCCAGAAACACGTACTTCCCGTTGACATTGAATTTGAGATGGAGATTGTCTAGTATTGTCACCTTGATGGCTGTCGTGCTCGCCATAGAAAACAGAGATGAGGAAAAGGAAAGGAGCATGATGACCAGTAAACCAGTTCATTTTCCCCCCCAGTTGCCATCGTATTTGAGATGGAGTGAAATCCGGGCTAAAAGTCAAGTAATACACTACTGGTACTTCTTGACCAGTTGCAAAGGTTAGGAGTCCAAATATTACATCCTGACCCGTCTTCGAGATGTCTGCGGGCCGACCTGCAGAGTCGCCGTTTATTGTAATTTCGATTGTAAGTAAAACCTTTGACTAAAAAATTCTTTGAGGACGGCAGATGAAATCTTCCATGGTCTTGTCGCAATATCGTATGATTCGACCAGAAGCCAGGCGAGTCATATGATGACTCTGAGATTGAGAGGCGATAACTTTGAGTGCTAGCTTGTGATTTTGATCAATGACCAAGTTCATAGGTTTGCGAAAGGGTGTGCTCACCTCCATGCAGCCGGGACTGGTCAACTTTGTGTTAGAATAAGGGTAGCTGACTAATTATTCGGTTTCTCCAGCGTGAATGGTCGAGGACGCACCACAGGCAATGATGAGACACTGATGATTATGCCGTACTGTGGATTGAAGAAAAGGTGTCGTTGCATAGGTCGCAAGCGAAGGAGGACATTGCAGGTTCACACACTGCATTAACAAATCGTACCGTGCATTCTACTTACAAAAATTTTATTCGACCACCGTATAGAACTTCAATTCTTTTCCATCTTCAAGCCAAACCGCCGGCGAACTTACGATGAAAGAAAGCAGAATCGGTTAGTTAAAACGGGACAACACTCAACATCGAAATAATGTACCTGGTAGGGTTTATAGCTGCTCCGCCCTGACGAACGAGGCCCAAATGACCCTCCTTTCCAGTGGCATTCTTGCATGCATAACCTGAAAAGCGAACACGGTCATTAATACTTAATAGATGCATTGAGAGCAGGGGACCAGTGCTTACAGTAAGGTGACAGGGTGCCTCTAGGTCTGAGGATAAGTGCCAGGCGATCTCCCTGAACAGCGTCAAAGATGTAGATAAGAACAAGCTCCCAGTTGATACCATTGTGCAACATACCGCTTGAACCGTAACGTTGGGTCGAAGAACATAATTTTGGAGCGCCCAACTCGTATTCGTAGCCAGGAATGTGTCGTTTGCAAGCCAATTCCAGTTATTCATGGTGTTGTTTGGAAAAAGGAAAAATCCTTGCGGCGGACTTATCGCAACAGCATAATCAGCGGAGCCGAAGAGGTCACTGTCATTCTGGAAGGAGAACAGCTGCACTGAGAGGGACCCATCGGAGCTGTCCACAAAATGAGTGTTATTCGACACGAAGTAAGATAGCCCACTGACTTGTGTTGTCCAATGCTGAAGCCGACCTCCGACAGGTTTCCGGATCGGCCGACGGTCCTATAGATAATACAAAGCCCATGAGGTCCATCCGGGATTGGTACACGGGCTGATGCATACTTACCACGCTTGTATGCGGGCCCCACTCTGCAAATTGTACGACGGTGGGAGATCGCAAGCATAGTCGAAGCCGGTCATGCCTGATGTAGCATCGATACTGGAAGAAGACGTCTCATTGCCCACGACAATGTCTAGGTCGAAGGAGTCTGGGCAGGTCAAGTTTCCGATCGTTCCATTTCCGACACTGACGGGTTCCAGATGCAGCGCCGCTCTTGCTTGATTCGTGCTCCCATCGAGCCATAGATCAGAGCCATAAATGACTTGGTATCCGCCTGACGGCTATAATAGAATAAGGTCAGCCCATAAACATTGATTCGTGATATCGTTCAACTTACGTTGGGTACCTGAGTCAGGAAGCTCGACTGGCCACCACAGCTATCTTCTGAGATGTACTGTCGCTCACTCCACGGTCCTGACGATCCAACCCATGTGAGTGTAGTGCACAACATATAGAATAGACATTGCTGACCAAAAGGTGAACTTGCCGTCACAAAGGATGTGTCGGTTGAGTTACAATAGCCGCACAGTGATCCAAACTAGCACACGAGAGGAATGCAATTGAGTGGTTTTCATATACGAGAGCCTAAGACGACGTACTGTCCAATACCATTCATTATCGACAACAGTCATCCCATGCGCTTCAACAAACGTGACGGGGATGGCCGAGGCGATGCCTGATCCGTTCAGCCAGTCGTCTGTCATCTTTTCAAGCGTGGCGTTGCCAAAGAAGTTAGACGAGTATGCTATCCAGACCTTTTGTAACAAGGGCTTAATTGCTCGCTGCATTATGAAGAGATGAAATAAACATACCGTGGAATTTTCGTCTTGTTGGACAGCAAAGTCTCCAACACTTCCCAGCGTGTGCCCATAACTAGCGAACTCGAAAGGCCCAGTAGATGAGTTGGAAGTAAATATTGCGAGGCTTGTCTCGGCTGTCACGGCAATGTCGTTGAAGAAAAGGTAGTATGTCGATGTTCTGAGTGAAGGACGAGATCAGCACCCATGATCGCGAAGGAAACGACATTAGACTTGAGAACTAGACGCACGCGTTTCGGTACTCGACTTTAGGACGGAAAGCTGGGTTTGGGTATTTTTCTTTGTCGTACGCATAGCCTTCATATGACCAAGACACCAGATCTGGGCTAGTGTATACTTTAATCCCGCAGAAGCTGTTTTCAGAGGTCGGAACTGGATCTGCCGCAAGCTGAGGGTCGTTCAGAATGAAAGGCCATGAAACACTCACTCATCCACCGAAACCCGCAGTCATAAGAAGTGCCATAGAGGACGTATTTCCCGTCAAAATATTGAATGTGCCCATCTATTTCAATGATAGATCAGAAAATGTACGGTGAGAGTGAGTGACATCACCCACCATGAGCGTCAAGGGAGCTGACCAAGGTGGTCGTCAGCGATTTTATAACTTTGCGCTCCAGTCTAAGAAGCTACGCACCTTCCGTTGATATCATATTTGAGACGGAGGTTGTCTGGCACCGTCACCGTCGTGGCCACCGTGCTTCTTAGAAGAAGCAAGGACGAGACAATGGAAAGGAACATGATCAACGCCCAGGACACCTCTGGACACCTCCCCCTCCGGTCGCGTCATATTTAAACTCGTCGTTGTCATCTGGGCGGGGGTCAAGTGACACTGCGTAGGCTGCAGAGGGCTGCAGGTCGTCGCGGGTCGCAAGGGACGCTGCAGCTGGTACCTGTCGGGACTCGGGACTCGGACGCAGACGCCCGTCGCTGACGTCTAGCTCATCACGTGAGCGTCCAATCGGTCCCTTTTCTCCTCAAAGCCTCCGCGAGGAATCGTAGAAAATGGTATACCACATCGTGTTTCGCCGCCCCCAAGCAAGACGAGCAAAACCGGGCATCGTGCTGACGCTCGTGAGATCGCGCGTTTGACTCGATCGTTGGTACATTCGAATATATAAAGTATACAAACGCAATCCTACACTGGCTAATTTAATTGTTGGTATACAGCTTTTGAGCCAGCTAACTTCCCCCTTGCTCAACATCAATACAAGAGTCACTGCTTAGTTGTCGGGTACGACCTTCAGCGCAGCTTCGAAATCGGCGATAATATCCTTGATGTTCTCGATGCCAACCGACACCTGCATCACACACACATACACGCAACGTTAGCAAAACGAAGAGGATAGGGCAGACATACAGCAACGCACCCGAATCAAATCTGGCGTGACACCGCTCGCGAGCTGCTCCTCCGCGTTCAACTGTTGATGAGTCGTCGACGCGGGATGGATGACGAGCGTCTTCGCGTCGCCAACGTTCGCGAGATTGCTCGCAAGCTTCAGTGCGTCGACAACGGCGCTCCCAAGCTGTGGGTTCGCCGCGGCGCCGTGCACCCCGAAGCTCAGGACACCGCCAAAGGCGCCCTCGTTACGGAAGTCTTTCTTTGCGCGCGCGTGCGACGGGTGGGACTCGAGTCCGAGGTACGACACCCACGCCACCCTGGAATGGGCCTCGAGGTAGCGCGCGAGCGCGAGCGCATTCGACGAGTGCCGCTCTGCGCGGAGGGAGAGCGTCTCGAGACCCTGGAGAAGAAGGAAGGCGCCGAAGGGGTTCTGGGATGCACCGAGGTCACGGAGGGTCTCGACGCGCAGTTTGACGGCGAAGGCAACGGCACCAAACGTCTTGGAGAATTCGAGTCCGTGATACCCCTCGGACGGCTCTGTGAAGGAGGGGAAGCGGCCCGAGGTCCAATCGAACTTGCCTGGATTTTCAGGTGGATAAGCGCTTCGTCTACAGATGGGCGGGGATGATCTAAGACGCACCGGAATCGACGACGACGCCGCCAATGGTTGTGCCGTGCCCACCAATCCATTTGGTAGCGCTGTGCACAACGATGTCCGCACCATGTTCGATGGGTCGGATCAAGTAGCCTAACAAAGCGAAATTGTATCCGTTTAGTCTCACGCTGGTAGGGAAAAATATGACATTTAGAAGCATACCACCAATGCCAAACGTGTTATCTACGATCAACGGGATCTTGTGTTGATGGGCGACCTGTAAAATGACATTCGCAAAATCAGCTTATGCTCATGAAATTGGATAGTAGAGCATGAACACACGTCTGCAATTTCCCTGATCGGGCTGACGTTGTACTTCGGGTTCCCGATACTCTCGACATATATAGCCTTGGTTTTATCGTCGATGGCTGCAGCGAATGCCGCGGGGTCGTCCGACGTGACAAACTTGACGTGAATCCCAAATCTTTTGAAGAGTACTGTCATTTTCGTCAGCATGTCTCGGTCTCCTGATGTAACGATGGTTCCATGTACCCTTGAATTGGTTGTATGTCTGATGAAATGGAGAAAATGCGAGTGCATCGAGAATAAGGAGATATGCAACGAGAAGGAAAAATAGACGCACTCCACCATACAGGTAAGATGTCGAAACGATGTTGTCCCCAGCCGACGCGAGCGTGCCAATCGCCATGAACTGGGCTGCCTGTCCACTCGATGTTGCAACTGCTGCTACTCCGCCTTCAAGAGCAGCTACACGCTTCTCAAAAACATCCTGAAGATTATGCGACAATAAACTCATCGCAGCACATGAATTGATGTAGGGTAAGACATACGACAGTTGGGTTTCCAATGCGTGAGTAGATGTTTCCAAACGCACGAAGACCGAACAGGTCTGCACCATGCTGAAGTGAATATGAGTTTCAAGGCCATTGAGAAAGGGGTTGGTACAGATAAGAGTGGTGTGCAGATGGCAGAGGTTGGTGGAGGGGGAAAAGACGAGGCATAGGGGTAGACACCAACAGAGGAAAGAACTGAAAAGGGTGACAAAAGGCGCGCACCGCAGAGTCGTTAAAGACGAAGGACGTAGTTGCGTAGATGGGTGGTGCTCGCGCGTTCGTTGTCGGGTCCGGCTCCTGCCCTGCGTGGAGCTGGAGCGTCTCAAACTCAGGTTCTCTGTTGTGTCGAAAATTAGCATCCCACCATGATCAGTCAGCGCTCAGCGCTCAGCGATCGGCAGTCCGTACCTGTAGAAGTTGGTGGTCATCGTGAGAGTTTCTGAGTCTCTGTGCTAAGTATATGATCGACAAGGAAGTATGTAGAAGTCACAGCTTGCAGTGCCACAACGATAGGGGGAGGCTCGAAAGACGGATGGAGAAACAGGAGGCCGGTCCTGATGTTTTTATATATCTGGTACTTATGTCGCCTGAATTCATCCAGGGAAAAGCAGTCTACACGGTCACGCGTAATAAAGCTGAAAGCACGTCATTCAGGACTTTGCGTCACCCCAAGGGGAATGGCGAGCGCCCCAAGCTCACTGAAGCTGCGAGAGATACGAAGGAGATAAACCATTTACAGGCTGGACAGTGAGTGTAGTAGTTGTGCTCCCAAAGTGAACGTTGACAACGTTGACACAGAAGTTGATTTAGTGACAGCTGTGGGTCCAGTGCGTGGGAAATTCGAGACTGCGTCAAGTTCGCGTCACGATCGACTACCTTCCGTCCAGACCACTCAATCCGACGATCTCTTATGAATGACTCCAAGTTCTTGAACAATCGGCGCACGCCTTCTACGCGCCATCCTTATGTGGACTTTGGACAGCTCCCAGAGTGACGATAACGACCAGGCCATTCGTTTTATCTTGACAATCCATCACGGGATGGACTCCTCATTGCGTTCCACCACTCTTCATGTACTTTTTTCATGCCTCACTTGGATGTTGAGTCTGGCCATTTTCACTTGAATCCAGCACTACTTAGGGATTCAACATACTGTCAGCATATCGTTTGTCCCAAACCATCTCAAGCAAGCAAATACCAAAGTCAAGATGCCCTTCATTACCAGCCTAATAATGCAATCTACTCTCCATCGAAATTAATCGACTGGGCTTCTATCTTTCATCTTACAAGGGTATGATGGTCTTCCGTCTTGACTCGTTCGCCATGTTGTTTTCGATAAGGTGAAGCGTTCACAACGAAGTCTTGCAAGTCATGATCTAACGTTCATTTCCATTGCTACTTGAAAATATCTGTAATATATCTAGTATACCGCCATTCGGTAGGGCATTCACTGTGGAATGCAACAGAACGTCGACGATGCCATGCTCGTTCATATATAGACTGTTCAGTACTGGTCGTCGGGTTTTCGGAGCTTTGGAACAACCATAAAGCGTAGTTAAAACTCGTGGTCTTGGGCCGGAACATGATCCCTAACGTTAAGTTCCGCTGATCCTCTAACAGCAGCACTGGGTTGCTTGAGGGGTAGGAAGCTGCGCTATTCTTACTCGAGCCATCCCCAGCATTCTCCCAATGTGCTCAAGAAAGAAAGTGATCGTAAATCCAAGGAGCATGATGAAACTTGTGGATTTCATTTCCGTGGATTCTCTTACGGCCACGGCGTTCCGTCGATTCCGTCTACTGATACTCTATGGTGATGGGTATCTGTAGTATCACATAGGTTTACATTGTGCTCGGGTCTAGTCCAGGTGAGTGTTTCGTGGAAGCTGAGGATGATTGGCTGAAGCCTAACGCACATATGCTTCGCAACTGTGAAGTAGAACAGGGAAGCAGCTTTCTGGAAGATTAAGTATCATGTGTCTATCCCCTTCATAATGACGCTACGCTAAAAAGTCGCTTGTCAGTTGGCAATATGATCCTACTGCCCTGGAAGTGTCGTTCATCTCTATTCATTGACTGCACCAGGATGCCATGGCATGCTACTCAAGCATCCAGTCGACAAAAGAATGTGTCTGAAATGGCCATCTTCGCATCTTCGCACCTTCGCATCCCTTGCTAAGTTCGCACAACTTCCACAATTTCCAGTCACGATAGGTCACATATATTGGTCGTTGCACCGAATCCGCGAAAGCTTGAATGCAGTCTGGGAGCCGCTCATCATGCATGATGGGATATTGAGCTTCCTAACTTAGCTTGTTGCTTCAGAAGGTTAAGTGATCTGTGGATCATGACAAACGGCCTGGGTTCACGCTGTTCCCGGCCCTTGAAGCTTGACGCCCTGTGATGAGCGAGCGTCCAACGGAATAGATGAACTTATCTTCGTGCGCTGCAACAAGCCTTGCTTTCCGCATTACCCGAACAGTAGCATGTCGGGATTGGGGGCAGAAAATCCTTTGCGCAGTTTTGACCTTGCGGACTTAACCGAGCAAGGTCGGACGTCGCCCAATCTGTAACTTCTGGAGATCAGAGTGCTACTAGTCTCCCAAAGGCAGCAATGTTGGCGAGCGTTGGCGACTCTCCTTCACCTTCTTGACGTGGTCTCCGGATATCAGTATCTGACTCACATACGTACAACGACAAGCGACAACGCCTACGCCTGTTCACGCGCCCTGCCTTCTTCTCCGCCGTGTCGCACATTACTCAAATGAAACGCCGACTTATACCGACTTACCAATACTAGCCAATACTAGACCAGATGTCCTGACGAGTCAGAACATGTGAATGGTAGTTATTCAGGCGCCTCGTTGCACTTTCCGACATATAAAAGAGCGGTCCGGTCTGTATCCATACAGGATTCCGGCTCAGTTGTTCTCGCCGCGGCAGAGACTCGGAGGTTCTCATCTCCCATTAAAACTGACTCTTCCCGCGAGTATTTCTCCTGCGACGACCTCCATCTCCTCTGGCACGACCTCGTTGACGACCTATCATGTCCGATCCCGAAAAGCAACTCACGCCGATTTCTGGCCACAGCTTGAGTCGCACCGTCTCTGGCTCGACGCTACACAGGGATGACTATCGACGAAGAGAGATGGAGGCGACCGAGGCTGCTATCATTTCCCCTGAGGATGCAGACAAGACACTCGGCGATGATGATTTTCCTGACGGTGGTTTTGAAGCGTGGTTAGTATGTGGAGGGGTGAGTTTTTTCTCCTTTCCGCTATTTCCCCGCGCGGTCTTTGTCAATGGGAGGTGGTGCTCACTTTATTTTTCTTTACAGGCTCTTTGCTCAAATATCGCAACGTGAGCCTAGCCCCCGTACGGCCTCTACCCCTCTTGTATCCGCAACTACTGATTGCTATGCTCTTAATATGTGACGACGAATAGGTTCGGGTACGTCAATGCATGGGGAGTGCGTGATTATTCATGACTCGAAGGCCGTATACATGTGTTAAAGACTGACACGCTGTGTGCGCTCCGGTAGGCCTTCCAAGCGTACTACGAGACAGATATATTGAAGGACTCATCACCGTCGACAATGTGCGTGACCCACCATCCCAGTCTCGTAATTGATCTGTCTCACCTGTCGTGATGCAACTTCTATAGAGCGTGGATCGGTTCGTGTCAAGTGCGCTCTTTTTTCGTATGGTTTTTTTTTTCTTACACATTCACCACCTGGTATCCGCACATAGTATGCCCTCGTCTTCCTTCCCGCGCTGGTTACCGGCCGGATGTTCGACCTTGGGTACTTCAAAGGACCTTACTTAGCTGCAAGCATCCTTCTCGTCGCCGCAACGTTCCTTATTGCGCAGTGCAAGGAATATTGGCAATTTCTACTCTGTCAAGGTATCGCGGTCGGCGTCAGTCTATCTTACATTCCTTACGAGTGCAAGATCTACCACTCACAACTACTTCATCGATCTACAGCTTGCTTCGGGAACGATATTTGGTCCTGTGCTTGGAATAATTTCTCATTGGTTCAAGCGCCGTCGCGGCCTTGCGCTCGGCATCCTTGCTTGCGGGTCATCCATCGGTGGTACTATCTTCCCCATCGCGTTTAGGAACCTCGAACCCAAAGTTGGGTATGTGCATTTCCCCACCTTTTGCTCGAGCAGTGTTGACCTTTTTCCCTCTTGAATCTAGGTTTCCATGGACGATGCGTATTTTTGCATTTATCTTGTTGTTTTTCGCAACGATCGCAAACCTTGTGCGTCTGCATCTCACTCTCCCTCCCATTGGCAAGCACTAATCGTCCTGCTGTAGACGCTCAAACGTCGGCTGCCTCCGGTCAACGTCAAGGGCGGCCTCTTCAACCTACGCGTGTTCAAGTCCGCACCGTTTTGCACGTATACAACTTCTAGCTTCATAGCTTTCCTTGGGTTGTACACAGGTGCGCCTCTTCGAATTGCTAGATGTGTCTGCAGCTGAGCATTGTTTTTTGCTGCGTAGTTCTCACGTATATCGACGCATCTGGACCAACACAAGGCGTCTCTCCCGGATTTTCTTTCTACCTTGTGTCCATCGCCAACGCGAGCTCGGGTGCGGGTCGGCTGATGAGCGGTATCCTCACTGATCACTTTGGTGTGTTGACGTCCTTCCTCCCTTAATTTTCATCACCCATTGAATTTTCTATACCTCCCCGAATTGTATTTTGGTAGGTGCATTAAACATGATGACGCCAATGACCATGATGGCGGGGATCATCACATACATCTGGCCATTTGTCAACGGCGAAGCTTCTTTGATTGTCATCGCTGTCCTTTACGGGTATGGTCATTCCGCCGTCTTCGTAGCGCCTCCCCCCACTAACTATACACAACTCAGGTTCTCTTCTGGCGCCTACGTCGGTCTCCTCGCGGCGCCAATGATCGCGTTCGGTGAGACGGGCGACGTCGGACGTCGGACGGGGATGTATTTCACGATTTTGTCTTTCGGCGCTGTCGCGGGCCCACCGATTTCTGGCGCGATCAACACTGCGACGGGTAGTTACAAGGCCGTGGGCATCTACGCCGGTATGTCCCTCCGCAGCTTTCCGCTCATTGACTGCCGTTAACAATCTACTTTTTTTTTTCCTATGGCGGATAGGCACGATGATTTTGATCTCCGTTGTGCTCATGTGCGTGACTCGGCATCTGGTATTGAAGAGCCTCTGGGGCAGGTTTTAATTCCTGGTAGGCTGGGTTCCCATTATCGCTTTATCCCAACATATTATCTATGCATGCGTATCTACGTACACACATCAGCGCCACACTCTACGAGGCTCAAAATCCAGGATGTCTCACATCGTTGCAGGCAATACCATAGATACACAGGATACATAGAGGTTACGATCCTATTTCGGCTAGAATTTTCTGATTGCTCATGGCACGGATGGGATTCTCGAAAACACAATCGGGAGACAGGCGACATTACAGAAAACTAATGCACAAAACACGACAATCCTACATGCGATACAGGAATCTTTCACCGATACTTAGAATAAAACAAAAGGACAGCAAAACAAACAACTTTCGATGAGGATGGAAACGAGTCTCCCACATCGATCTACGCCTTCCGCAGACCACAGCAGTCCGTACAGCAAACTGTTCTGAAGCCGTGGGTCGTCACCGGGCCTCCCAAGTCTGGGCCTTCAATATTCGGAATCGGCTCTGCCAGCGTCGACGAGCTAGCCCCCGCATCCTCTGGAACGGTCGCGACAGAACTGTCGCCGGCTTCCCCGCTCTCAACGCTAGGGGCTTGAACAATCCCCTCTCCAGTGTTGTTTGCATTCTGACCTGCACCCGGCGCCTCACCCGGGATGTCCGCCGAAGGAGCGGCTGGAATGGGCTCAGGCAGTGGAGAACCGGAAGTCCAGACTCCGCCTTTTTGGTACCACACCTTCCCTCTCGGGAGGATGATCGTGCGCAGCGTGGGGCAGGCGGCAGCCCACTTTACGGCCAGTAAGGCTTCCTGTGCTATGGTCGCGGGCGGGCCGGAGACCATGTACGTCAGGTACTGGAGATTGTTGAAAGTGGAGAGCGTGGTGGCACATTCGAACAGGTCGACCTGGGCGGTTGTTGATTTAAATCAATTTCGATGATCAAACCAGCGGATGTGGGACTAAGATGTGTGCTGGGATGAGACGCACCATGTTATAGTCTACTCCCAGCGCCACGATGTGGAGCGCTATAAGATCAGGAAGGCGGGAGGATAGTTGTTGGAAAAGGTTATAGGGAGAGGCACAGTCGATCATTAAAAGAGTGAGGCGTTTGATCTTGGTTGAGGGTAAATTTAGAGTATCTAGAAGTTCCGGGCTATCGTCGGGGTAGAGGGAGAGAGACATGGCTTCGACAGGACGGCCAGTGATCATCTGGACAGAATGAGTTTACTCGTTGCACTTTTGGATATCAGACGCGATGGAGTGGGGCATGGCCCGAATGTGTGAAGACGCAGACGTACCTGACTGATTACGGAGGGCCCCGTGTGGACAGAGCGAAACGAGCGCAGATTCGGGAGTGCGTCAGGGTTGAGTTTGAATTCCCCTGTGGTTTGGAAACCACGTAGTGAAAGGTCCTGGATTTCGGGTTGAGCGTTGAGGAACATGGCCAGTTCAGGGTCATACCTATAGGGAATTGTCTGTGAGATGAATGATGGCAAAAAAAGAGGTTCGATGTAAATAATAACCTGACGGAGGTGGTAAGGTAGCGCAACTTGAAGGGAGCGTTGAGTGGGAAGAACCGAGCAAGCGGGCGTCGATTGTCCGAAGAAGAAAACTCGATTAGAAGAGACTTCAGGTTCGGCAGACGCTCGAGCGTCTGTCGAACCATCGTCAAGAGAGACATCAAGAGAGTGCAGTCGTCGAAGTTGATCTCGAGATTTTTGACGAAGTCATGGCGGGAAGGTAGATACTTGTCGTTCGAGGGATGTGGAGGCTTGGATAAGGATTGCAGGAGATGTACGGTCTGGGTCTTCGAGAGGTTTACCAGGTCGCGATAGAGCACACGAGCAGCGATGGGATGGACAACAGAGTTGGTAAGGAGGAGAGGGAAGAGATCTGACGGCGATGCTATGTCGCAGCAGATATGGTCAAGAATCTCGGTGGGGAGGCAGGACGACAGGGAGCGCAGCATGTTGACAGGCAATGTGAACTATGGGTCTGCGCAAGTTGGCGAGTGCGACTGGCAGGTGAATGAATCTCGCGGAAATTGTTGTGACTAGAAAGACACCATAAGACAAGCACGAGTTGAACAGAGATATCGGGAGCCGATGGCACGCACATTGGAGAGCTGCTCGTGGCCAAGCGCGAGTCTCGAAGCTGGGTGTTGACCCACGTAACAGAAGGTCGGATCAACGAGGATTTATTTGACGGTATACCTACGAGCCTCAATGTCCCTAGCAGAGGACAAGGCGGTCCTTTGGTGGATGACGGTTCTCGTCGCGGAACTTGCCGACCCGCCTCCAACCCTAATCCTGAACATCATCTCCTCTCTCGCCCTCCTACGCAATCTTCCCACTTTTTTCCTTGTAGGGTATCCTCACGCCTTAGATATCTAAATTCATCCATTCTCAGACCAGATCTCTGTGGCATTTATCCAGGCGTATATCTGGTCGAGGTCTTTCTTTTCCGATGGCATACAGATCAACTGACGATCTCCTTAGTAGGACTTGAGCGTCTTGGATCTCGCATATTTCTCCGGATCCTGCAGCTATCTCGCACCCCCCTCGGAAAATAAACGCCTGACACCTGCAAGCTGCGCTCATCGTGGCACAGATCTTTGGACACACATACTGCGATCAACTCTCTTTCGATCATACATCATACATCATACATTGCACCTTTCCTCGACCTCGCACTGTAGCATCATGACTGAATCGGGATCGAATCGCCCTATAAACTCTACCTCTCCCTCCATGCCTCGTCGACCATTCGATCTCGTGATGGGTGGCCTCATGAAACTGGGAACGTTGACGCTAGATTCGTTTCTGAATAATCCGGATGCCGATCCACCTCCTCCAGAAATAATGTTTTACGCGCATCCTGCCGACACAGCAGAACTGCTACAATCGTCACTTTTGACGACGCCTGCGGGGACGTCTGATGCGGACAGCAAGATCCCTCGGCATCAGAAGACCCCGCTCTTTCTCTTGCACCAGGTCTGCTCTCAGATATTCGGAAACATCGAGCCTTTGAAATATGAAATCATAGACGAGGGGGGAAGAGACAGTACGCGTTTCTCGAGTCTGTCTCTGCTTTATACGCTGACTTTGTCGCCGCGACAGAGAGAAAATGTATCCTTACCATCACGCGCCCTAACGGATCCTCACGGTCGTACACCACAAAGCCAGAGTTTTCGCGGAAAAACGAAGCTAAAGGCGCAGCTGCGACTATCGCAGTCGACATGGGCGCAATCGACTTCATCAAGAACGGCGCCCCCGACCACTTGAGCATCAAGAAAGGCCTGGTCCTTGCACCCTTGGACGCGCAAAGCAACCAGGATATGCTCATGAGCCTCAATGCAGAAGTGGAGAAGAACGAATCTGTCAAGGAAATCGAGCAATGCTGCATTGAGTGGAGAGCGCGGCGCGTGAAACCACATTGGGTAGAGTTGAGTGACGCCAAAAACGACGGAGGAAGTAAGGAAATCACGTTCAAGAGAGCTTGGCGCTGTGCTCACTGTCATATCCACAGAACTCGGCTGTGCACTGCGCATACGACTTTCACCTCACTCCGTCCGAGTATACTCCGTACCTATAATATATGGAACGTATGTTGAGGCGCAGGGCACTTGCGCGAAGACCGCCATCGAGGAAGGTGTTTTGGAATTTATCAAGTATGGGAATGGCCAGCTACGGCCGCCAGAAACGCAGTTTCCAAACGCTCTTCACGACGAAGACGAGAGCGCCTTGACACCTCTCGCTCCCCTTTCTCTCCAAGGCTTCTTCGAATCTTTGCCACGGCCACTGCCTGAACCACTCGAAGGCAAATCGCTCGCAGAGTCGAACGCATCGTCGTGGCTCAACGTACTCGTTCAAGCCGCTCGAGGCGCGAGGCTGGTGCTCAACTTCATCTGGATCACGGACCCCAAGTTCGGCTGTAAGTCCCATTCCCACCTTGCGTCTCTCTGTCACCTCTTGGTTTTATACACTGTCTTCCCACAGTGCATGGTTGTCTCCTTCGAGTCGAGCACCCTGGCGGGTACAAGTCTTTTCTTGTGGACCCTCAGTTTCCCAAACGCGCAGATGCGAAAATGGCCGCATGTTTGCTGGCAATATCTCAAGATATCGCAACCTATATTCGCGAGATCGGCGCCGCTGTGGAAGCCAAAGTGACCCCCGAGGCCAGGAAGCGCGCGATGGAATCTATCCTCCCTTTGATCCAATCCGAGTATATCAAGATCTGGCCAAAGCAGCCTGACATGTTCCTGTTCCCGAGGGATAAGGATGGTGAGCTTTTGTTACGCTCCTGACGTGATATTGCTATGGCTGACACCGGTAATAGCTTTGGGATGCGAAATGATGCTGAAGCTTACGGCTGAGGCGAGCGGTGCAGACGTCCGTCGATGGACTGTTCCAGCTGAGTATCGCAATAAAGCCGATGCCAAGGCTGCTGTGCTCAACGTTGCATTCGACAACGGTGCGGTCGAGTTCCTCAGGTTTCGTGGACAACCCCCGCCAGAGAACTACGTGGTTAATCTGCCGGTTGGGATATCCACCGAAGGGAATAAGAAAAGAAAGGCCAGCGACGAGCCAAAGGAGCGGACAGACGGCATCAAACGTCAGAAGATGGACGTTGGCGGGAAGAAGGGAATGTTTCCGTTTCCTGGCAAGGGCAAAGGAAAGTATCCTCTCAGTGCAGGGTTTCAATCCAAACCCAGGATCGGTCCCATCACGCATAATCCCAATTCCATCCCCGTCGCAGGCGGAAACCCGACATACCAGCCCGCAGAATCCCCAGGAAAACCTGCACACGGTAAGAACAACTGGACCAAACTCCCTCAGGCTATACCTTACGGCGAGGAGCGGGCATTCGGTCCACCCCCGCGTCAGATGGGTTATATACCTGCTGCGAGCAGCTCTGGGTTTCCGATCGAGCCAGGCGAGGTGCGCGCATCTCCTCACTCGAGGCTCCCGCACCCCCACCCAGACCCGTTCGCGATCCCTCATCCGAGTGCGCCCCCGCCCTACTTCTACGCGGCTGATGAGCCCGCTGGATCCTACCCCGCCCCCCCTCCAGCGTACGTATCGCGTCCTCCCTACGATGTGTATCCGAGCCCGCTTCCCAGTGGTGCGTACCCACCGGCGGACTACGCGGCGGTCGTTCGGGATCCATACTACGAGTACGGGCGACCGTACTACGATGGGGATCCCGATCCCGTGCGAAGGCCGTACGGGCCGTACCCGGGCCCGCAATCATACCCCGAGCCCCCGTATCACGACGCATACGCATATCATGCGCGCGCGCCGCGCCCAGGGCGCGCACGGTATGCCAGGCGCACGCATGCGCCGGGATACGAGGGCGCGCCGGTGCGCGAGGGCGAGGAGGCTCCTAGGATCTGGGAGCCCGGTCCTCATGCGCACCGGGCGAAGAGCTCTGGCGGGTCGTCTGTGCCGTCTGCGCCGTCCGCGCCCCGATCTGCGCAGACGAGCGAGAGCCGTGATACTGAGCCTTCCGTCGCCGCTGCAGATGAACGGTCTGTTGCTTCTGCCTCTGCCTCTGCCTCTGCCTCTGCCTCTGAGCATTTGAATGCCGCGCCCGTCTTGGCTTTGACACCTGAACAGCCGTCTCCGTCTCTCGCGTCTCCGTCAGAGGCAGAGTCTCCGCAGAGCAAAGCTCTGGGGATGGCCAGTGTTCTTCCGCCCGTTTCCGATGTATCTGCACCCGCGCGCGTGTCTCCTACTCTTGCGCAGGGACCTGCGGATTCCGTGATTCACGAGCCTGTGTCTGTGCGCGATGAGAAGCAGGTGAAGCAGGAGATTGGCGAGCCTCGTGTTTCGCCCGGCGTGCCTGGTGCTCGTGCCACCGCAGCGGTAGCCGTGTCCATTCCCACTGGACCTAGGAAGAAGAGGAAGAAAGAGCCTGTCGTCGAGGCAGAGCTGCCCCCCTCCCCCAACGCCAAGGCAACAGATGCATCCGAGAGGGCCGACAGGCCTCGCAGGGCCGCTCTAGAAGGTAAGTATGCTAACCCCCATCTCTCACGTTCCATGTGTCTCATTGTCACACCTCACCCACACCCCACCCCGTCGCACCGCCTTGCTCAGAACACTGCGCGAAAGCGGGCATCTCGCCGCTGCGGTTCTGCGAGAGCGTCGTGAGCGAGGAGGGGGCCGAGAAGCGGTACAAGTTGTGGGTGATCGTGGGGAACGAACGGATGGAGCTCCCGACGACGTTCGCGAGCGTCGTGGACGGGCACGAAAAGCTGTCGAGGCAGATTTTGAAGAGGCTAGGGGGTGGGTCGAAGAAGGTGAAGGCGCCATAGCGCCTGCCACGACCGGATCGGGGATTTTTTCTTTCACTTGCTGTCTTGCTCTGCAAATTGGTTGTCCTTGCACCTGCTCTGATGTCGTTGTGTACATGCCCGGATCTATCAAACAGTCACAACTATCTCACTGTATTTCTGTGCTCTCTTTGTGGCTCTTGGGCCTCATAGAATGAGTGTATGTGCAGGCACAACGTACGTGCTTCGCTCCCCCTCCCCCCTTTTCTCGAGCTCGACCTGGACGCGGGTCATCGCTGAACACATATTTGTTCGCTCGCAGATGCAAGACAACACGTCAGAATATACCTCACCATTCGACGATCTCGTTCCTACGGTGAGCAGAATTCCTGCACTGTCCACTAGCACCCCTCCCGGACCGTTGCGCGCAAAACGCGACATATGATGTTTTAATTTTATTAGACTCCGATATCTCATGTGGATAAACTTCAGATCAAACACGCTGATTCCGTTTTGCGATGCCGCATCCGCTCTTTCTCTCTTCGTCGGGTTGGGATTGCGTTGATGTTGACGCTGATTTTGATCTTTGTTCGCTCGTAGATGCAAGACAACAGTATTCGACAATCGCGTTTCCTACGGTGAGCGGAATTCCTACACTGTCCACTGGCACCCCCTCCCGGACCGTTGCGCGCAAAACGCGACATATGATGTTTTAATTTTATTAGACTCCGATATCCCGTGTGGATAAACTTCAGATCAAACACGCTGATTCCGTTTTGCGATGCTGCGTCCGCTCTTCTTTTCTATTTTTCGTCGAGTTGAGAGTGTTTCGACGTTGACGCTGATTTTGATCTTTGTTCGCTCGTAGATGCAAGACAACAGTATTCGACGATCGCGTTTCCTACGGTGAGCAGAATTCCTGCACTGTCCACTGGCACCCCTCCCGGATCGTTGCGCGCAGAAACGCGACATATGATGTTTTAATTTTATTAGACTCCGATATCTCATGTGGATAAACTTCAGATAACACACGCTGATTCCGTTTTGCGATGCCGCATCCGCTCTTTCTCTCTTCGTCGGGTTGGGATTGCGTTGATGTTGACGCTGATTTTGATCTTTGTTCGCTCGTAGATGCAAGACAACAGTATTCGACGATCGCGTTTCCTACGGTGAGCGGAATTCCTGCACTGTCCACTGGCACCCCTCCCGGACCGTTGCGCGCAGAAACGCGACATATGATGTTTCAATTTTATTAGACTCCGATATCCCGTGTGGATAAACTTCAGATCAAACACGCTGATTCCGTTTTGCGATGCCGCGTCCGCTCTTCTTTTCTATTTTTCGTCGGGTTGGGATTGCGTTGATGTTGACGCTGATTTTGATCTTTGTTTGCTCGTAGATGCAAGACAACAGTATTCGACGATCGCGTTTCCTACGGTGAGCAGAATTCCTGCACTGTCCACTGGCACCCCTCCCGGATCGTTACGCGCAAAACGCGACATATGATGTTTCAATTTTATCAGACTCCGATATCCCGTGTGGATAAACTTCAGATCAAACACGCTGATTCCGTTTTGCGATGTCGCATCCGCTATTTTATTTTATTTGTCGATTGCTTTGACAGTGACGCTGACGCTGATTTTGATCTTTGTTTGCTCGTAGATGCAAGACAACAGTATTCAACAGTATTCGACAAGCGCGTTTCCTACGGTGAGCAGAATTCCTGCACCTTCACTGGCACCCCTCCCGGATCGTTGCGCGCAAAACGCGACATATGATGTTTCAATTTTATTAGACTCCGATATCTCATGTGGATAAACTTCAGATAACACACGCTGATTCCGTTTTGCGATGTCGCATCCGCTATTTATTTTATTTGTTGATTGCTTTGACAGTGACGCTGACGCTGATTTTGATCTTTGTTCGCTCGTAGATGCAAGACAACACATTCAACAATCGCGTTTCCTACGGTGAGCGGAATTCCTGCACTGTCCACTGGCACCCCTCCCGGACCGTTGCGCGCAAAACGCGACATATGATGTTTTAATTTTATTAGACTCCGATATCCCGTGTGGATAAACTTCAGATCAAACACGCTGATTCCGTTTTGCGATGCCGCGTCCGCTCTTCTTTTCTATTTTTCGTCGGGTTGGGATTGCGTTGACGTTGACGCTGATTTTGATCTTTGTTCGCTCGTAGATGCAAGACGACACATTCGATAATCGTGTTTCCTACGGTGAGCAGAATTCCTGTACTATTTAGTGTCACCGTCATCCCTCCCGGACCGTTGCACGCAAAAACGCGACATATGATGTTCCGTTTAATCAGACTCCGATATCTCATGTGGATAGCCTTCAGATCACAAAAGCTGATTCCGTTTTGCGATGCCGCGTCCGCTCTTCTCTTCTCTCTTCGTCGAAGCGGGATTGCTTTGATGTTGACGCTGACGCTGATGTTGTCTGTGCAAGGACCAAACTTCGAGCCCCGACTTCAAGCGTTGAAGGGCGTGGCCCGGATCGCCCGTTGAACGTTCTCGCCGTGTCCGCGAAAGATCCGCCGAATTGCTGACGAGAATTTGGACTCGTAAGCGCGAGCAGACGTCGAAGTGTCAGGGTCCTTCCGTCGACTCTTCTGCCGAGCGATGAAGCGTGCAGCTTGACGCGTGACGAACGTCGATGGATCTCCGACCAAGGGGCTGCCGCCGGCGGTGTGCGTTTCGCCTGCCCATCGGCCGTTCTCGACCGTCGGGCGCGGCGATCCAGTGACACTTGCGACGAAAACGCTCGCGCTTCTGACTTTGGCCAGAAACGACGCTCGGTCGGAAGGCGCGAATGCCGCCGTCGTCGCCGAGTCTGGCATTACCTGGAGCGGGTCACATGCCACGCTGGCTCGAGCTTGATAGACGCGACGCGAGGTCCTCGTCCGGGAGCAAATCGACTCGACTGCGCAATGCGTTGGCGATAGCGTATTTTGGGCCGCTTCGACGACGCGGGTGTGCGATAGGCTGTCTATGTGGCCGGTGGGCGCTGCTCTCGTCGCTGTGAACGCTCTATCGCGTCTGTGCACTCCCGTAAGTACTTGGTTGCAGCGGTCGTGCGGGGTAGACAGTCCCATAAGGAATAGCGAGTTCTATTTCAGGATCGACAGGATCTGCCAGTGCCCAGTACGCTAGATTACGCTCCCCACGGAGATAAGCACATAAGAAATAAATGTCACTCCGGCATGCATCATGACGGACGCGACAGTGGCACGATGCGCCGCACTAAGCTGCACTGCTCCCGCGCATGTACTGTATACTGCATGCATCCGCCCGGCCTGGAAGTGCACCGATCAATGCTGTGCCTCGACAATGTATTGTCAGGCGCCAGGTCCCATGTGGATCCACATGGCGCACCATCCGCACGTCATCCCACGCTGGCCGTGTGTAGTGTATGCGGAACGCTGGCGCGCCGCACGCCGCGCGAGACACGGCGTGCGCTGGGCATCCGAGGAGGAGCGGCGCACGACGCACGACGCAACGCACGTGCGGATCTGCGGGCGTCGCGTCGAGCATTCTGGGTGCTGGGTGCTGGGTGCACGAACGGACGGACGGACGTGGAGGATCGGTTCGGTCGGTCGGTCGGTCGGTCGGTCGGGGAGAGGACGATCAGGGTGCATCCGTCAAGTTATGTGTGGTGTGTGCGAGCATGCGTCATGGGCCGGGCATGCGTCGATGTGGATAGATGTGGGTCCAGGGGTCGCCGCCACACGTCAACATACAGCCAACGTCGGCGCCACCGTTCGCGCATGCCACGCCGCCGCTCGCATATTCGCGGTGCATCGCTTGCCACTATCGGTCGATCCCCCGAACGCTCGCATCGTCCATAAGCGAGGCGCCCACCACCCGTCGATCGACCGGTGTTCTGTCGTCGGTGCATCCACTGTGCATCCCCGTGCGTCTCCAGGTCTCTGCCGAACGCGCACAGCGCACAGGCGGCGCGGGATCGGATCGTCGGACGCTCGTCACCTGCCAGCCGGCCAGCGCGCGTGAGCCCATGTATCACGTCCGCTCGAGCTCCACTCACGAACTTCCAGCGATCTCTGACGCGCACCCACCCACCTGCTCTGGCGGGAACATTCCAGCGATTCCCTGCCCGAGCCATCCCCGGCGTCTCTGATGGCCCCGGCGTGCTGCCAGACAGGAGCCAACGGTGGCCTAGAGCGCCGGTGACCTGCACGTCTCTGCGAAGCTGATCTGCATCCGTGTTCGCGAGAGAAGCCGCGGTCACGCGAACTCTGAACGCACGGAATTTGTTCACGGCGCTTGCGGGACGCAGGGCAGGGCAGGGCAGGGCAGGGCAGGGCAGCATAGGTTATTAGGGCTGGGCGCAAGGGCAGCAAGGGCAGCAAGGGCGCAGCGCCGGCGCGTCGAATTCGAAATCCTCGCCAGAGCCCTCTTCTTTCTCTCCCCTCTCCTTCTCCCGCTCTCGTAAGATCCCGCAGAAGCCCTGCAGCAGCCCGCAGCCCGAAGAAGCCCGCAGAAGCCCGCAGAGCACATGCCTGGGATCCGGACGCGTGAGACCTGGGATTCTGCTTGGGGCTGGCTGCCTGTGAGAGGGGCGATCCGTGCTGTACTCGTACCAGCGCATGAATTGAACACGGGCAGAAGGGGGGTTGGGAGGACCAGCCGAGCGAGTGCCCGGCGCCGGCGCCGTGCGTTTCTATGCGAAGCGCGCGTGTATGTATCTCCAGCATCGCAGGGTCCGTTCGCACACAGATACTCGAGTGGGCAACGGGGCAGGCAGAAAGATCGCGAGGGGGTACTATCCCCGGCGAGGTCTGCACGCGCGAGGAGCGCTTTGAATGCCATCGGGATCGGAATCCTGGACGGTTGATACGTCGATATTTGAACTTGAATTGCGGGAGCGCTGGTGTGTGGCCTGCCGTGGGAGAATGACGAAGCGGCCAGGTGCTTTAGAGAGAGAAGACCCAGGGAGATCCAGGCCAGGACGTGCTGCTCAGGACCGTTTGACGTGGGCGCGCATCAGACTCGCCGACCAGCCAGCCAGCAGCTGCGGCGATGGCGGTCGCGCCGTCGGTATATATCAGGTGCGCGGACGGGGAGGAGCTGATCGGCACTTGGGGAGGAGCGGATGTTTACGGTGGTTTCGGAGGGACTGCTACTAGCGCACTAGGGACGTGCGCAGGAGGATCAGAGCGATTGTCAGAAGGCGGCGATCGGCCGTGTGCACCCGTGTGCGGAGGGCCCGATGGGGTGTCTGTTTCTTTACGGACTCGCCTGGGCTCGCGCGATCGCTGAGCGCGGGTCGTATTACACTAGATTATACCGTCGTGCAGTGCATGGAAGATTGGGGGTGGAATCTCGGGGCGGGCCGCGCGCGTACCTGCTTGCGACGAGGGACTTTAAGTGGACTTTATTGCTTGCTGATGATGGGAGCAGGGGCTGCTTAGGTGTATGAGCAGCAGGCACATACGTCTGGAACATCGATTTTGTCCCGAAAATCGTGCTGAGCAGATCGAGTCCGCGAGCTGAATATTGTATGCTACGAGATACGGGGGCCCGGAAGCGAGAGCGAGCGAGGGAGACAGGCCTACGATCGTACTAAGGGAGAGATGACGAAGCTGCACGTCAAGTGGCGCGCTAGCGGGTGATTGATGGACGGATGGACGGCTTGAGCGGACTGCGAGCACGCGGTTGTCGGTGTGCGAACAGACGCTGCTGCTACTGACATGGAGCCTCCAGGCCCTGTGAGGACGTGATTCACCGGGACGGCGTGGGAGAGGGTGGGCAGGTGTCCACGCCGTCCATGCTGCGTAACGTGGCATAGCGTCGCGTCGCGCAACGCAACGCAACGCAAGACACACACGTAGTATGCCTGGTTCCCGTGGAGGCCGCGCCGACATGCCCTTCCGCAGGGGTGCAATAACGTACGGACTCGCTGACGACGCGCGCGCACGATGCGCAGGCTGGCGACAGAGTTGCAGCAGACCAGCGAGCAGAAGAGAGCAGACCGGTGTCCTGGTGCCAAGCAAGGAGCGCGGTTGGAATTGGAACGTTGGTGGGGTACCGGACTGGTACCGGGAGGATCGGTTCTTCCGGTGGAAGGAGAAGGCGGGAAAGGAAGTGGAAGGGGCTGGAAAGGGCGGACGGCCGGAGCGTCGGTCGCTCGGCCGGCCGGCGATTCGGATTCGGCAGCGGCGGCAGCGATGCTGACGTTGAGCGTGCGTGGACGGTCGGTGCATGCAGCGGCGCCGCGCCTGTGCGATGTTTCTGACCCACTGCGCTGCAGCGTGCTGCACGCGCGGGGCCACGGTGGACTAGTGCAACCCAGTTGCAGCGTGTGGAGGGCGGGCTTGGGAGGAGGAATCGGGCGGGTGGGAGAAGCGGTTAAGTGTCGCGGGCGCTCTAGATAGGGAGTGATCGCGTGCCTCGCGGCTTATCGTCTCGCGTGGACCCGAAGTCGCATCTCAGCCACCGCGGCCGCTCCATCTTCCGCCGCCCGGGCCCCTGCTATATTTTACCTACCCTCCCTCGCTCCCCTGTCCCTTCCCTTCCTCCTCCATCCTCAAAGGGCTCGGCGCCTCCCATACCCCCTCACCCCCACCCCCCCTCCTACCCCCGTCGTCGCAGATATGATCACCTTCTTCGACAGGCTCAATGCTCAAGTATGCGCTTTTTTCTTGCGGGTCGGCTTTTTGCTCGGTGCAGGCGCTGATCTGCGGCGCGCTTCGTAGGTAGCGAACTCGATTGTCGGCCGGTGGTTTCAGCTGGAGGGCTCAGGCGTGGAAAAGGAGCGCGAGGGCTCCCGGTTTCTTGTGCGTACATTTCTTTCTCCACACGCCGAAACCCCTCTTCCCCCCCCCCCCTTCCGTCCCCCCTTTCTCTACAAGCATAGTGGTCGCGTCGTCGGATGTTCGCTGACCTCGGCACATTTGTAGACTGAAATTCGCGCCGGTATAACAACATGGGTACGTCTCGTCTTTCGCTCTACCGCTCGCCGGCGATCTAACGGATGATGACTTTGCAGGCCGCGATGGCGTACATTGTAAGTCCCCCCCTCCTTACCGACAACAACCATGAAGCCCTCTCCCCCCCTCGTATCTTCATCGACATCTCATTCCTACTTTCCTTGATCTCGCTTCCCCTGCCCTTTCGGCATCCCCCGTAAACCTCTCTGACCCCTAACCTGTCCGCCAGATCTCCGTAAACGCGTCCATCATCTCTGACTCTGGTGGAACGTGCGTTTGTGCGACCAACGACGGATGTGTCACGGACGCCGCCTACGCTCTCTGTGTGACCGAGGTCCGGAGAGACCTCATCACGTCGACGGCCGCCGTGTCTGCCCTCGCGAGCGGGCTCATGGGTTTCTTCGCAAACCTGCCGGTCGGGATGGCGCCTGGGCTGGGGTTGAACGCTTACGTGCGTGGGCTCCAGCATTTTGACGGCGCGCGATGGGGAGTGCTGACCTTGACTTGGGGGACGGCAGTTCACATACTCTATCGTCGGGTTCCACGGGACGGGACTGATCTCGTACCGCGAGGCCCTCGCGGCTGTCTTCATGGAAGGGTGTGTCTTGTTCCTCATCCGGCTGTTCCCCGCACGCCACCCGGATCTGGGCGACGTCTAGTCTCGCGCGCTGTCGCCCCGATTGGGATGGCGCTTGTCTCCGACGCGGCTTCTGGATCGTCGCGCGTGACGTCGAGCACGTGTTCTTGCGTCGAGCGGACGTGCTAACGCTTCCGTTCTGATCTTCTCTAGCTGGATCTTCTTCATTCTCTCTCTCCTCGGCCTCCGCCAATGGCTCGCCCGCGTCATGCCGCAATCACTGGTCATGGCCGTCGGCACTGGCATCGGCCTCTTCATCGCGTGCGTCGTCTCTCGTCTCTCGTCCCTCTTTTACCACACCCATACTCACGCGCCTTTGCACAGCTTCATCGGATTGTGTACGTGAACCCATTTTTCAGAATCGGCTATCGCATTCTGACCTTGAGGCTCTCTCCCGCCCATTGTATTTTGCGTACTGCTTGATTTTTTTCAGCGTCCGGCGGACTTGGCGTCGTTGGCGGTGACACCACAAATTTCGTCGGCCTAGGCGGGTGCTTGCCCGAAAACTACGTCAGCGACGATCTTGCGGGATACTGTGCGCGCGGCGTGCTCAGGAACCCCACGGTCTGGTTGGGCATCTTTGTCGGCGGGTGCGTTGGTCTCTGCCGCCTGGCGCTCTTTCCCCGCCCACTGACTTGACCCTTCGGATTAGCTTCTTAACCGTCTTCCTCATGATGTACCGCGTCAAGGGTGCGATCTTGATCGGCATCTTCCTCACCTCCATCATCTCCTGGCCGCGCCCGACCGCGGTCACCTTCTTCCCGCACACGTCCGCCGGCGACGAGGCATTCGACTTTTTCAAGCAGGTCGTCGCCTTCCGGCCCCTCAACCGCATCGGCAACGCCATCGACTACAACTACGGCAACGGGCACGTGTGGTACGCGCTCATCACCATGCTGTACGTCGATATCCTCGACACGACCGGTACGCTGTACTCCATGGCCAAGTTCGCCGGGTTGAGAGACCCTGTGACGCTCGACTTTGAGAGGAGCACGGTGGCGTATTGCGTGGACGCGTTCTCGATCAGTATGGGCGCCTTGATGGGAACGAGTCCGGTCACGGCGTTCATCGAGAGCGCAACGGGTATCTCTGGTGCGTGCCCCACCCTGATTGCAAATGGACCCGTAAAGCATATCTGACGCGCTCGATGTCTTAAGAGGGCGGCAAGACGGGCATCACTGCGATCGTGACGGGCATCATGTTCCTGGTCTCGGTCTTCTTCGCACCCATCTTCGCGTCCATCCCGTCCTGGGCTACCGGCGGTGCGCTCGTCATCGTCGGCACGCTCATGATCCGCAACGTGCGCGATATCAACTGGGACTACATCGGCGACGCCGTTCCCGCGTTCTTAACGATCATCATCATCCCGTTGACATACAAGTACGCGTCTCATACGTTCCTCCTCTGCTCGGCGTTGACCGAAGTCTCTTCGCGACACAGTATCGCGTATGGAGTCATCGCGGGTATCATCTCGTATCTCATCCTGAATGGCATCCCCTGGATTCTTCGCAAGGTCTCCAACGACCGCATCGTGCCTCCAACATACGGCTCTGCAGAGCCTTGGGTCATCCCGCCTGGCAGCATTGTCCCTGGATGGATGTACGTGCTTCTCCGGTCATCCTCCTCACGTTCTCGTCGCTGATAGTCCTGACGCAGTCGCGCGATCATCGGCTGGCGCGGATCGCGCTCTACCGACCTTCCGCTTGAGCCGCGCCCCTCGACGCGCGGGCGCTCGCAGTCCGTCGACACGGCCTCGCAGGACCACGCGCTCGGGCAGAAAATCATCGACATGGGCGAGAAATAGACGAGGGATGTGGTGTCGGGTTCGCTCCGCCCCGGCCGTTTCGTACGTCTCGCCCGCGCCTCTCGCGCCTCACGTCCGCGTCTTCCGTTCACTCTGTGGGGTCGCCGGCCTGCGACCGTTCTTTTAATTTTCCGTTGCCCCGCTCCTCCGAGCGGGGGGGTGTAAGCAAGGCGTTGTAGGATGACCAGGACGGACGGGAGTGGTGGCGGTTATCTAATTATATATCTATCCGAGCGGGCTGTTGTTATTGTTGTTGTTGTGTGTTCCTTCTGCGAGGCGTGTAGTGGTGTCCGAGTCCCTTTCCTTTCCCTCCCTTACCTTGCCTTTCCTTTTTTATCCCTTACCATCGTTCTTACCTGCTTACTTTTTTTGGCGATGTTGTCCGATATATGTCTAATAGTGCTTTCGGTTTCGATTTTCGTGGGGTTTGTGCTCGTTTGTTCTCTTTTTCATTATCTGTTTTGTGAGCCCGTGTGTTTTGCTCTCGGTGGCGGTGGTGGAGGGGGGAAGGGCATGTTACTTAGACGGAGAGGTGGAGAGGCGGAGAGGCGGAGAGGCGGAGGCGGAGGCGGAGAGGCGGAGGCGGAAAGTGGAGAAGGTGTATAGAGTGGCGCGGACTCGCGTGGCTAGCTACGTCGTTACTCTTGCGGACTCGGAATGGCAGCAAAAATGTGCTCGCAGCAGCAGCGTTATCGGCAGAAGAGGGCTCACAAGAGTTTGATGATCCAGAGACGTGGTGGCGTCTGGTATCCTACCTGATGGTATCAGGGTAGCTGTCTGCCGCGATCGCCGTCACTCCGCTCAACTGGAACGAGTCAAGAGCGAGAGTAAACGCGCCTCAGCTGGTCACCGACTCGAGCCCCGATGCGACGGTCTCGTGTTCTTTTATCTCCCAACTTTACTCGCGAAAGACACGGACTTCGCGCGACTCATAAGTATGTTGAGCTTCGCAGCTTCACGCTCGGAGTCGCAAAACAATTGACTTTGAACCGCTACATGAATTTACAAGTCGCTGGAGTAGTAGTACGTACGCTATCCCAGCTCGAGATCTTCCGATGATTCTACAACTAACGTGTTCCGTATGTACATTCCTCGAACAAGTCTATTTAGGACGAGCCTTGCCCTTGCCCTTTCCCTTTCCACTGGGAGCTGGAGAATTTTGAGGGAGTTCGACTTGCGGTAGGGTCTCGATGAGAGACCCAAGGACGGTGCGAGGTTCGTCGCGGTGGGCACTTGTGCGCGCAGGCGGGGTGGCGAATATGGGTTGGCGAGATGGCCCGGCAGCTGGCATGGACACGTCTTCGTCGCGAGCGCCTCTCCTAGACGGGGTCGAGGGGGTCTGCTGCTCCGCAAGAAGGTCGTTTAACGCAAGCAGGGCGTCGACGGACTGCATGATCGTGTTCTGGAAGACCCCCCCACGAGGAGTCGATAAAAGCGGTGGGGACGAGGGAGGGGAAGTCAAGGGAGACATGGGAGCATCCTTCGAGACGCTCTTTTCTGCCCTTTCCTTATGATATGCGTCCCGTTGGGCCTCTTCGTTTTCTTCTTCTAGAGCTTGTAAGACCTCTTTGGCCTTCTGCACTGCTAGCTGCTTGGCTCGCGCGGTCTCTGCTAGGTACTCTGATCTCGTGCGGGAGCGCGTCTGGATCGGAGAAAATAGGGCCGTTCGTGCTGTTTTGCGAGGTCTGCCTTCAGATTGTGTGAAAGATGACCCGGCCGCTGACGATGCGTCAGGAGAACCCGTCTGAGTGGAAGCGGACGGCGAAGGTCTCTCTCGTTCATTCTCCAATGCATCCCGAACCAGATTCCGCCCCCTCACCTGTAATCGACCACAACAAAGGCAATTAGGTACACTATGAGACTGCATAGTGACAGTAAAACTTACCAATGACTGTTCCGAAGGTTCAGGGGCATTGGGTGGGACACGGAACAACGAGGGCTCCTCAAAGTGGCTACGAAGCTTTGCTGAGGAGTCGGCGACAACACTGAGTGCCCGCAGGTACATAGGATTGAGACCTTGGCCAACCATGAACATAGGCACATTGAAGTATAAGACATCAGGGACGATAGAGATGGGATCTCCTATGTCCTCAAGAGCCCTTGCTTTGAGAGTAGAATCTGCCCTCGCTCGTTTTTGAGGAATGGTGGTCGGAGCAGGCTGTACATTGGGCACAGACCCGATCGGCCTAGTATACTTCAGAAGCGAGAAAAAAGCGGCGACCATGACAAATGCATAGTGGACATCACCATCGAAGTTCTGAAAGGAAAATAATGCTTGTTCATTGACCTGAATAATCGCACCAAAGAATTCTGCTTCCGCAGCCGCCATAATAGATTCCAGGGTTTCGGTGGTGTCGCCGAGACCAAATGCACTGTCCCATTGGTGTTCTATCAAAGGCTTGACTTCTGTCCAAAACACAAGACTGGGAGGAAGGGAAAGTTCGGCGATAATAGCTGCAAAATCCGGAATCCTTCGGGAATGGAGTCTCTGGCTATCCTGTGCTCCTATGAAGTGTGAGAAGTATGGCTGTGGATGGCAGCTGAAGGAAATAGTAGGCAAGAGGGGCTTCCAGCCAGAGCAGTACGATGAGAGAGAGAGATTATGGAAGGCATATGAAGCTGATTCAAACTGATGACTGTTTGCTGCATGAGCAAGCAGAATGTGTAGATCGCGCTCGAACCGCATACGTTCCAAAATGATTCTGTCCTGTTGTTAGACGATCAGCCATGTGAGAGGAACGACAAGCCATGCAGCACATACGTCATTGGCTGTTGCCATAATGAAGTCGTTCGAGTGTTGGTGATGCCAGTGACGGGTGTCCTTGGAAACATTGTCCGATACCTGCTTTTAAGTGTTTAAGCCATTTGGGGTTGACGTCTGCTTGTTCCGTTCTGGGATAGCATTTTGTACCGCTTTAGGATTCTGCTTTGTTCTTTCGTAGGGCGGGAACTGTTCGTCACATGCATTCCTGGTCATACTGTGCTAGAACAAGGCGACCAAGGACAGGCAGAGAAACAAGGGCATGTGTTCAGGCGACCAGACCTTGAGACAATAGGATAACAGGGTTCGGCACACAGACGAACGCAATCTTTTGAGTTGATCAGCACCGGGGACTAATAGTTCAGCACTACAACGAGGACCATGTGAATAATATAACGGCGCAACACAGCGCAACACCTTCTCTGATCATCTGATCATATTAATATACAAGGTCAATGAGAGGAGACGAAGAGTAGACGAAGGTTCTTCACCGTTGAGTCACGATAGTGTCACGGTTCGTCCGCCTCTGTATATAAGTTCGAATCAGTAGCTGGTGGCCCGCCTGTGAGAAACCACAACACTCGCTTTACTACCGTCTTATCCACTGCTACCCTTTCAAGGATGCTTATATCACGAGCATCTGTCCCCGACATTGAAGTGGAAGACCTGTCGGCCTATACGAAGGAGGTCGAGCAGAATGCTGACGGAAAGTCAGTCCTGACTCGGCGCGCGCTCATAGCCCAGCAACAGGTTCTTCGTCCTTATTGCTCATCGATGCCTCGACGCATTTTGATCCCATGGACAGGAATTTAGAGAATGGATCAAACAATATCCTCCTATGCAACAACTTCCTGCCAAACTCGATGCAGAAATCACGCACACGGGCGCTCTCCTTTCCTTCGGTCTCGGTATCACTCACGAGCATCTCCTTGCTTACGCGGCAAAGCGCAACATCCGGGCTTCGTGGGCACCCGATGAAGCCATCACCAGCCCCATAGTCGCGTGGGGCCGAATTGCCAGGCTGTTCAGGGAGAGGATCCCTGGTTTCCTGGTGTACTACCGTCGGCCGTTCTCGGTACACTACGAGGGGCTCCTCGCGCTCTACTCGAACCACTCGATGCGGGAACTGCAGCGCCGCGGGGAGGCACACGAGAAGAGGATTATCGAGTTCCTGCAGAAAGAGATGGAGCTCGACTCGACGCCAATGTGGTACTGGGACATGAGCTACACTTCGTACTACTGAACTGCGTTGACAGTGAGTGGCCTTCGGTTATGTGCAGTCGCCTCTCTCATAGGATACACAGCTTTCACTCTATCGACGTTTGTTCTTAGTCTTCGTGACCGACTTCATACAGACTATAAAAGCTTCTCTCTCGCTCTTTCGTTATCGCTACCGTGCTTTGTCGCTGCTTTCGCTCGCAGATTTGTGGCCTCTGTACTGAGGATCTTTGTATTGACTGTCGTGATGGATTTCAATGTCAAATTCACATAACTGACACCTCAGGCTGTTCGCGACTGTTGTTAAGACGTGCTTATGTTACCGAATGGCGCTCGGCGCGTGTCTTGAGCCTCGGCACGACAGCGCGGTCGCGTGGAATCTGGGGTATAGAGGGGAGTGTCTCGATCCTGCGGGTGCGATGATTTCTGAAATCCTGAAGAGGACTCCTGCTCGCACGACCAAAGGATGCTTTCTGACCCGTCGCTGCTACTCATCATTACCGGCCCTCTCCGCGCTGGGTCTGTCTGCGAGGGAAGGACATGCCTCACTGACATGTTTCTCTCGGGCGAGTCGAATGGATTGTCACTCATGCCACTATATAGGCGAGGAGGGGACATAGGCAAGATGAAAAACAGAGAGAAAACCAGCACAAGCCTGTTTCCCACGGCGTGCACTGCACCATGCCAGCGGCACGGACCCGCGTAGATACTCTCGCTTCCACCTTGGTGCTCGCGTCGTTGGTGCGGTTCAGTCACTTGCTCGAGGATGTTGATACCACGAGCCTCCGTCCCCGACATTGAAGTGGAAGACCTGTCGGCCTATACGGAGGAGGTCGAGCAGAATGCTGACGGAAAGTCAGTCCTGACTCGGCGCGCGCTCATAGCCCAGCAACAGGTTCTTCGTCCTTATTGCTCATCGATGCCTCGACGCATTTTGACCTCATGAACAGGAATTTAGAGAATGGATCAAACAATATCCTCCTATGCAACAACTTCCTGCCAAACTCGATGCAGAAATCACGCACACGGGCGCTCTCCTTTCCTTCGGTCTCGGTATCACTTACGAGCATCTCCTTGCTTACGCGGCAAAGCGCAACATCCGGGCTTCGTGGGCGCCCGATGAAGCCATCACCAGCCCCGCAGTCGCGTGGGTTCGAATTGCCAGGCTGTTCATGGAGAGGATGCCTGGTTTCCTGGTGTACTACCGTCGGCCGTTCTCGGTACACTACGAGGGGCTCCTCGCGCTCTACTCGAACCACTCGATGCGGGAACTGCAGCGCCGCGGGGAGGCACACGAGAAGATGGTTATCGAGTTCCTACAGAAAGAGATGGAGCTCGACTCGACGCCGATGTGGTACTGGGACATGGATTATACTTCGTACTACTGAACTGCGTTGACGGTGAGTGGCCTCCGTATACGTGCACAGTCGTGAAACCTCTCTAGCTAATAGACAGAGGACAGACGTTTTGTGTATACTCAGCTCACTGCTGTCGTTTACTATTGCTCTCGCTCCAACTGCCAACCAAACTGCGAATGTTCACTGAACCCGCAAGGAAGCACGTCCATAAATACCAATCATCGTAAATTGTCATAAAGTCTGAGCCTTACAAGACTGATCGTGGTGTCTCTTGGTCGCTATGCAATCTATACGTTCCATATACATTCCTAGGACGAATCCAGTTCTGAGTCGCGCAAGTGATTTACATTGCCCTCTCTTTGTCCTTTCCCTTATATGGCGTAAGTTCCACCGGCCTTTTATACTTCAACAATGTGAAGAACCCTCCTACCATCAAGAATGCATAGTGGACATCTCTGAAGTACTTGAATGAGAAAATAGCCTGCTCGTTGACCTGAATAATTGAGAAAACACATATTTCCTTTACAATGTATAGGAGAGTCTTATCACCGTCTTTGGCACCCTTGTCACCATAGTCTTTGGCACCCTCATGACCAGAATCTTCGGCACCCTCGTGGCCAGAGTCTTCGGCACTCTCGCCACCTTTGTTAATGCAATCCATCGATGGTAGTCCAAGGCCTTGACTTCTACCCAAAATATCAAGCTCTAGTCAAGGACCCCATCAGTCGTGATGAGGACTGCAAAGTCAAGAATCCTCCTATGGTGTCGTCTGGTGGAACCCTCTTTCCTCACATATGAGAAATACGGCTGAGGATGGCAGCCAAAGTTCTTGTGACTTGTCGAGCGAGGCTGCCAATCGAGGCAGTATGTCATGAGAGAGAGGCTCTGAAAGGGATATAAACGAGATTCAAGTTGTTTTATCTTGGCTGCATTGTCAAGGTAGGTCCAAAGATCTGCATAGAGTTGTTGAGGTTCTATCAGAATTCCGGCCTAATGTCGAGCATTCAGTATGTAAGATTGAGAGGTAGCCATGCGTCACTTACGCCATGATTCCCAGTGAAAATTCGGTATTGCAAAATCGAACGAAAACTAGCGAGATCGGACAAGTCGATGTAGTTAGAAAAGTCTCACTTTGATCGAACGTGAACGACTTTGAATGACTCTCATCACACGTAGCCAATGCTAGCTGATGCCCAGGCTCCTACCCACCACCGTGTCGAGGGCAAGGGTCTATTACTAAGAGGAAATAACGAAAAACATATGAGAAAACATATGACAAATAAATGACATAATGAAGTAACATTTTGAACCTTAATCCTCGAGCAATCGCAAGCCCTCTCTATTGGTGGCTGGCACATAACATATACAAACACGCGCCACCTGGAAGATTCACCGGCGTCAGCCATAGAAGACTGGCCGTACATGAGATTTAGATCATTAGTAATGCGAGTGCATGATATCATGAAATTTACTGAATTGCACTTGGGGCTCTGGACCAAAGATTTGAAGGTTGAATAATGATATACAATGCAATGGCTCTACAAAGTCACTACAGGCCCCAAATGTCAGGGGTATAACTTGATGGCAAAGTGAATGCCAGAGCAAAAGGCGATAATCACTGGTTATATAGCACTGGTGAGGACATAAATAAATTGATGTGTTAGTGTAGTGGTTATGCTGCCATGATAAAATTTTACCCACTCACGAGGTCCCAAGTTCAAACCTGGCATGATTTCTCTTTTGATCAGGTATGCTCCCTTCTTATATGATTTATCAAAAGCCTCAGTGCTTCTATTCTCATGAGACAGGATTGATAGTTTAAATAAAACATATATAATCATGTCAGGTTCGAACTTGGAACCTTGTGAGTGGGTAAAATTTTATCATGGCAGCATAACCACTACACTAACACATCAATTTATTTATGTCCTCACCAGTGCTATATAACCAGTGATTATCGCCTTTTGCTCTGGCATTCACTTTGCCATCAAGTTATACCCCTGACATTTGGGGCCTGTAGTGACTTTGTAGAGCCATTGCATTGTATATCATTATTCAACCTTCAAATCTTTGGTCCAGAGCCCCAAGTGCAATTCAGTAAATTTCATGATATCATGCACTCGCATTACTAATGATCTAAATCTCATGTACGGCCAGTCTTCTATGGCTGACGCCGGTGAATCTTCCAGGTGGCGCGTGTTTGTATATGTTATGTGCCAGCCACCAATAGAGAGGGCTTGCGATTGCTCGAGGATTAAGGTTCAAAATGTTACTTCATTATGTCATTTATTTGTCATATGTTTTCTCATATGTTTTTCGTTATTTCCTCTTAGTAATAGACCCTTGCCCTCGACACGGTGTCGTGGTGAGGAATGGTTTCTCCCCTAGATACGATCGGGGTTTCCTGTTTTTCCAGATGTACCTAGTGTTCGTTTGATTGCTGTTCTAGATGATACCTTCCGGTGTTGGCACGATACACAGATGTTGGTCACAGTTATAGGCAACGATGAGAATATCTTGAGCTATTTAGCGAATTTCTGAAGTGGTGCCGGACCACTAACAAAGACAATACTCTGTAAATGTTGAGAATAATGAGGAGAGGCTTAAGAACTTTGTGATTCAAGTTGCTGAGGTGCTACACAGATTGAAGGCGAGCTACTAGTTCGTCTAGTATCCCTACAAGTCTTGTAGCTTATCTCCAACTAATATCACTCAAAGAACTTATTGACTGGCACTGACTGACTGAGTAAAAGTAAGAGGGAGAGATGGTCTCTGCCTGAAGCAGGACAATCAGCCTCCTTATATACTATTTCAAGTGGGAATCTCCTTCCTAGTATATACAGGCTGAGTAGAGTCATTGTGAGTCACAAAGAATGCTGTAGAAATAAAAAGAATAGGGAGGAAAGCAGAGGAACAGAAAGGAAAGTAAAAGAAAGGCTCAGAATGTGGTAGAATATTCCTTCAGCTTCCTTCAGAACTGCTCAGAACCTTCCCCTCCTTTCAGCTTGGAATGCCCTAGACCTTGCCCCTTTCCTAAACATTCTCCATCCTTCCACTAAAGCTCCTTTCTATTCTACCAGATTCCACTGCTTTCTTTCCATTCCTTATTGTCTTGCCATGGTCTAGCCCTTTCTGAAATAGACCCTAGGCTCTGGAATCTGTCCCAAAAGCGAATTATGAGTAGGAAAAGGGATAGGAAATCAAGTTTAAGTGGTAAAATACTCGAAAAATATGTAGAAAATCGGAATTAAATGTCCTGTCCCTTCTAGGTTGTTTCTCTTTTCTTTCTTCTAGTCAGATATTCCGCCCTCCATTCTACCATCACTATTTGATGCCTAACAATGTGCAAGCGCGACAACGGTGGTGGATAAGAGCCTGGCTGATGCCTAAATTTGGTATTGTGAGGTTGGTAAAAGCCCTGCGCTGACCTGCTACCTTGACAGCCACAGCGTGTTTTCCACGCCACTTGTGTCCGTCATTGCTTACTGCATCTGCCGCCAAGTCACGCCTCCACTCCTACGGCCCACAACATCCTGTTCAGGCCAGTCTCACTGTCATTTACCGACTTCCCCATGCCACCACATCAATCCCATGCCACACCTTGACACCACCAAGCACAGCCGACTTCCGCAGCACACGTGCATCTCAGCCATCGCTCAGCCACTAGGTCACATGGCACGGCACGGGACTGACTGAGGACAGTCAGGATTTCAGTAGGGAGGAGATGATGAGTGCGCCACCTCTCTAAGCGCCGGGACCCCGTTTTTTGCAGTTTTACGAGCACTAGCATGCTGACCTCAGGGAATACCCCAGACACCGCTGGGTGGCCCTGCAGCCCAGAGCGACTCCCTCCAATGCCCACTACGACCTCAGCATTACGGTCTCGGGCCGACACGGTCTTGTCTTGCACCCCTCAGTCATCGCCTTGCATCATCTCACTCAGCCCCACACATGTTGCACAACAACCTCGAGCCTGCTGCACCCGCAAAGACCTTGCCAAGCTCTCACCATATGCCTTACAAGCATCGACCGCACGGACCGCACCGCGAGCAGCTCTGCGATGCGATATCGTAGAGAGCTTTATCGCGTGTGCTTATTGGGTAGTACAGGTCCCGTGATCCATTGCCCCTCCACCTTCCTAGAGTTTACCTCGTCTCACCGCTACACCTCTTTACTAAATATTGCTTTGTCTCTCGACTGCAGCGCAACAGAACCTTGCAGTCTACGAGCACCTCTGCGTGTGGTTTTTCTTTATCTTTCTATGTTACGGTCTTGGCGCGATATCGATTTACTTTACCTTACAAGTTCGCGTTTACTGTACTCTCTTTGACTTACTATAAATCCCTGCCTACGACACTGCAATACACCAGTTTTGAACACCCCTCTGTTTAGAGCTCAACTTTGCACAAAGATCTCACTCGTATTGCATCGCACCGACATCGCACTCGCTCGATTTAGCACTCCAGTCGCCTTCATTGCCACTATTGTCAGGGCCTTCATCACTGCCCTTGAAGTTGTCTCGGTCACTCTTGCCTCGGCCCACAGTCCACCACCTCGTTTCACACGAGAGTATTCTCGCGTAACCTCACCTCACCTTGCTAGATATCTTGATATCTCACAGTACTTATCTTATGCGCCATCTCACAACTTACAAGGGTCTCTCGCTATTTGTAGTAAAGTCAGCTCCCCGCCTACCCTGTGTTTAGTGGTGTGTTTTGTGTTGTGTTTTCGCATGCAGAGCCATTGCAAGCACATCAACATCATGAATGTGCTGCCAGCTGTTGGGCAGTTTCAGTTTAAAATAGACTGTTCCAATAGTGTCAATGATTTCGAATAGCCCAAATTGTTTGGGTCTTAGTTTCTCCGAGGGGTGATTTGTATGGATGTGTTTCCCATCTAACCACACTTGGTCTCCTTTCTTGAAAGGTGGTAGTTCTGTTCCAAAACGGTCATGTTATATCCTTATAGCTTTGGCTGCAATTTTGAGGCTAGCTTGTGCTTCCTTCCTAGCATGTTGCAGAGCGGCAAGTCGCATGTTGGCGGTGGGTATATTTGTGTTTCCTATAATGGCTGGATACGCTCTTGGCTGGTATCATCTGGAAAAACACCCCCTTGTATTAGCTCTGGATTATATCTAATAGTGTCTAAAAGTATCTAAAAGTGTTAATAGTATCTAAAAGTGTCTAATTTCCTAATTGGGAGCAACACATTGTGAGCATTGGATTGGTTTCTAATTTCATGATATTAGCACTAATTCTATACTAAGAAGTCTTTAATTATTAGTAGGAAATAGTAAGTACTACTGCTTTATTAGTGAGAAGGTAAAGATGTGGCACATTCTATACTATTTCAGCATATTACTCTCCTTCATATATGCCTATATCTGTTAAGCCGCTAGGCTTATCACGTGCACTTAATGCACTAAGTAGGGTTCCCTAAGCTAAAACTAAGATTGACTGCCTAACGAATGAAGACGATGGCTCGTCTGCGTGCATGATCCAAGAAGTCTTGGTTACTATTGATCTTGTCTTCGAACAAGTGGAGAAGATGATTATTTATAATTGACCGATGTTCTTCAGGAACGAACAAGTCTTCTCTGATAGAGCAGATCACTTCGGGTGGATCCCAGCGAACGACTCGATAAGCAGCGAGTCCTTGATAAGCAATAGAGACGGGAGAATGATAAGGGCTTTGAGACGAATCCAGTGCTTCATCAGACTAGGTATGATTCGATTGATCTGACAGAGTTCGCGATGCGTGGGCTTGGAAGGAGCCAGATGCTAGGCGCAGTGCAGAGATCAAGATTGTATACGAAGTGAACGAGCTGAGGCTTCTAAGAAGCTCAGCTCGGCTATTTATACATACAGACTATTTAGGGCAAGCCGGACAAGTGGTCCGTGCTTCTAAACACTAAGTACGATCAATGATCGGCGTATGTAATCCGCAGCTCTGTGCTTTTATCCAATTATAGTAACAATGACGATTGTCTGTCCGCATCAGTAAACAATTCAGGAACACAGTTAAGTGACGTCATAACGGGCATACGTAAACGTTCAAGCCGAAGCTTGTGAATGAGTCAGTAAGGTAAGCGTTCATGCATTGGCATGTATATGTAATCAGTCTTTGTCACCCAAATATGTCAATGAGTCACGTGCTGAGCACGTGTTAGGACACAGTCCTAACAATACCATTATCTTGTAGCTTTTTTGCTGACTTTCTAGCTGCTTTTATAAGGGATATAGAAAGAGAGACATGTGCATTGATGCCCCCAGCCACTTTGTTGGCAGCTTGGCAGCTGCCACAAGAGGCTATGAAGGCCTAGGTACCTTGTCCTTGCACACAAGATCATTAAAGTTGTCGTTGTTAGCCAATGCCTGTTACTAGTCATTATAGGACACAATATGTGGGTTGGACTTAGGGATATGCTATATGCAGCCTTATAGACCTTGTCTATTAGTATAGTGGCTAATACTGTCTTGTGCAGCACACAATCATCATCACTATTGATATTACAATTTTTAGCACTATTTATATTGTTTATTGCCTTGTTATACAGAAGATGCTTAAACTTGGTGTTTTCCTCTAGCTATTAGGCTATGGAAAAGACAGTCATATTGGTATGTGGTGCCAGAATGATATATTTGCCTGCCATATAGGAAATATATGTATTAAGCATATTAAGATCACCTTAACAATCTTGTGCTTATTTATATATAGGCATGCCATACATATACTCTTGTCCCCACCCTCTACCTCACTAGTGGCTATTTGGAAAACCCCTCTCTCTTATTGGATCTTGATTATTCATAATCATGTTTTTGATCAAATTTGCAAATTTAGATAGCATTGTCTATACTAGTAGAGTCCCATTGAATATTATACTCAATCATAGTTTTGCACATTCTCAGTCCAAATTGTATAAGTGCCATAATTTATTTTTATCCTATATAAAGTGTATTATCAATTTTCCATTGGTTTATTATCTTCTTAGCTGGTGTTTAAACTAAATCCTGAAAGACTTTTTAGGTATTTATTGACCTATTTATTTATAAAATAGAGGAAAGATAAATGTTAAATAAAACTAGAGATGTTGAGGTTGCCTATATTATGTCTACTTATTTAGATTACCAAGTTCATATCTTAGACCTTGTGGCTTAGTGGCTTAGAGCATCTGTCCTGGGTGCTTGCATACATGAGGTTGTTAGTTCAACTCTGGCAGAAGGCAAGTTTGTTATAAGGTATATTCTGTGTTTAGGTATTGAACTAGTGCTCTAATAGACATGACTCTATAAGAAGGCTATGAGAACTGTGATGCTTGATTTATTATGATTTTCCCGAAATTTCAAGTTATAATCAATCCTAATAATTCCTCATTTAGGAAAATTATGTCTAATTAGAACAGGTTTAGAGGGGGGGTAAGCTAAAAATGTCTAATCCTAATTGTTCTTAATTATGCATAAATAGAACTAATTAGAGCTTAATACAAAGGAGTGGTTTTCCAGATGATCCATGTAGAAGTTCAAATGGTGACTTCTTCGTGGCTGAGTATTGGTGTACGTTGTGGGCATATTTTGCATAAGAGATTAGATCGGCCCAATTGTCCTGTGACGAGTTGCAGAATGCTCTGAGGTATTGTTCCAGTTCTTGGTTCATTCGTTCGGTGGCGCCATCTGTCTGTGGGTGGTATGCTGTGCTGAGTGCCGATGTGATTCCTAGTTCCTTGAGTAGTGCTTGCGCTACTTTCGACACAAATTGTGTTCCTCTGTCCGATATGATTTTATCGGGCAGTCTGTATCTTCTCTAGGTGTGATCCAGTAATAATCAGGCAGTTCTGTCTGAGTTAATATTCTTTAGACACGGTGTGATAATTGTCACCTTCATGAATCTGTCTGTTACCACGTGGAGTGAGTCAAATCCTTTTGACTGGGGTAAATCTGTAATAAAATCCATAGTGATCATTCCAAAGGGTCGGTCTGGAATCTCCGTTGGTTGGAGAGGAACCATTGTCGGGTGTGTGTCATTCTTAGTAGACTAGCAGGTTGCGCATCCTTCCACATACTGGTGGATCGTGTTCAATATTCCGGGCCAAGTAAACTCTTGTCCTACTGATGCTAGTGTTCCTCTTTGTCCTGGATGTCCTGTGGCTAAACTGTCATGATTCATCTTGATTATTTCTCGGCGAAGTTGTTTGTCTTAAGGAACATAGATTTTTCCTCTGTATAAAACAAGTCCTTCTTCATCATTCCATTCCTGTAGGCCTTTCTTCATGCTGCAAGGGCCTAGTTCCCAGACCTTGGCTAAGGTTTTGATTAGCCACTTGTCCTTCTGGTTTGCAGCTATAATCTGCTTCTTGAGGTCTTTATCAATAATTGTGATGCCTCCTTGTCCTGTGGCTTTGATATGCTATATTCTGTGGGGGTCCAGTTCTTCCTCTGTGGTGATTGCATTGATGTCTGCAAAAGGTCTCTGCCCTGTTTCTTTTGCTTGATTGAAAAGTTTGGGTCCCAAGAGCGTTGATGAGCATGAGTATGCTCTAGGCACCAATACCCCACTTTTGCAGCTTTTCAGTATTCTTTGACCGTTTGGCACACTTAGGACCGGCCGATCCCGATCCGTTTGGCGATCTCAGCCATTCGTTAGGTGCTGACTTTCCATTTAGACCTCCGCACAGTTGTTCGGAGCTGTTCACAGTCATCCTATCCATCTATCATCACTCTCAGCAGTAGGGGCTCTCCACAGACTGTCGCGGCCAATTGCCAATCGGTTCGGTACACGTCACATGGTCGGCACATTTGGTCGGCTTCGGTGTCCCGAATCGGAGGCGGCCGAACACTTTGTTGACTCAGAATGGATCTGTCTTTCTATCTCTTATCGTCCTTATGCCTTCTGTTGACCTATCCTTCATTATCTTCAGAGCTCCCAAGTTTCTAAATGGTTTACCCATGTGGCATGTGGTTCTTATCTCCAGGTCCATGTGCACTCACCTTGGCAATCTCTTCACTTATTTAGACTTTAGAGTTATTGCTTCTTATCTTATAGTGTTCACAACATCACTCCCTTATCTTCTTTACCTTTGATCACTCTTGGCACACATTTCCGATTGCTCTATGCCTCTGCCAATCTCCTTATCTTGTACCTGTTCGGACTTACTATAAAATGGCACCTATGGCCTTGCAATACATCAGCTTTGGCTCCCCCCTTGTTCCGATTCCATTTGTGTGCTTGTGTCTATAAGACTTTGAGCCATTGCCTTCCGATCCTTGTTAGCATTTTGCCCTTTTGTTTGTGTTGTTGCATTCGATCGCAGCCCTCCATCAGAGCCCTCGTCGTTTTGCTCTCTCCCTCTCATCTAGTTTGTCATCCTCTGCCAGTGTCCAGTGTGGCCTTGCACCCATTCCCTTCCCTTTGCATCCTGATCAAATCCCGATCAAACACCAACCAACCAACCAACCTACCGACCTACCGACCTACCGACCAACCAACCTACCAACCAACCGACCTACCAACCAACCTACCAACCAACCAACCCACTGACCGACCGGCCAACTAACCGACTGACTGAATATTTTGATTTTGGAGTTGTTTGTTTACTACACTCCAAACGCTTTTAGTATGCTCCCTTGTTGGTTGTTGCACAGCTTATAGTTCCTTGCACACTAGAACCAGCTCTTGCTTACCTGCGCTTGTAGGGGTGTTTCTTGGGTGTGTTTTGTACTCAGAGGCATCACTAGCATATCAGCATTTTGGATGCCATGACAGACCGTCGGACTTATTGGTTACTTCCACCTTGTGTGTTAACTTGTAATCGAAACGCGAGAGGAATAATGACCATCTTGCCTGCTGACGGTTCAACTTCTGACTTGATTTAAACCACTCCGAATTCTTGTGGTCCATCCAGACATCGCCGCGCGCCTGCTGCACTCTCGGCGCCCTCCAAGTAATGTCACCAAGCTTTAAAGGCTCAAATGACTGCTAGCAACTCCTTGTTGTAAATTGGATAGTTGCGTTCCGTGGGTGAGAGTGATTTGGAAATGTAGGCACAAGGGTGCCATTTTCCATCTGGGGCAACTTGTGATAGTACTGCTCCTGTGGTGAAGTCTGATGCATCGCATTCAATGCGGAAGGGGTTCCTAGTTTCTGGCATGACAAGCACTGGGGACGATATGAATGTCTTCTTGAGTGCTTGGAATGCTTCTTTGCATGCTGGCATCTAATCCCAGCTGTGTTCCTTCTGTGTTAATTCAAATAGCAGCCTAGCTATTTTCAAATAATCCTTGATAAATCTGCAATAAAAGTTGCAGAATCCTAGAAATGATTGGACCTCCTTGACTTTGGTTGGAGTTGGCCACTCCATAATTCCGGCCACTTTGATTGGGTCCATTTCCAGGTATCCATGGAATATAATGTATCTTAGATAGTCAATTTTCTTCTTATGAAAATGACACTTCGAGGGCTGCAGGTATAAGTCGTTGTCCTGTAATATCTGTAAAACCTGCTGCATCATCTGAATGTGTTCTTCCATAGTCTTTGAGAACACCAGAATATCGTCCATATAAATGGCTACCTTTCCTCCATAGATGAGGTTCTTGAAGAGCGAGTTCATCATAGTTTGGAACATCGCCGGTGAGTTGGTGAGTCTAAAATACATTACTAAAGGTTCGTACATTCCTAGGTTAGTTACAAACGTGGCCTTGTGGACATCCTTTTCATCAATGAGCACGTTATTGTATCCCATGTCGATGTCTACCAACGAGAAGTATTCTGCCTCAGTCAAGAGATCCAGTAGTTCTTGAATAATTGGCAGAGGATACTTGTTCTTGATCATTATTTCGTTAAGCTTCCGGTAGTCCATTACCGGCCGTAGCTTTCTATTTTTCTTCTTGATAAAGAAGAATGGCGATGCCATATGCAATTTGGATTCCTGAATGAATCCCTTCTTGAGACTTTCGTTGATGAATTTCTTGAGCTCTTCCTGCTCCATAGGGCTGAGGCTGTAAAGTTTTGGCCTGAGTGAGTGTTCCATATTGTCCTTGAATTCTATCTTGTGATCCCATGGTCGTTTGGGTGGTAATTTCCCTGGTTTTTGTCCTTCAAAAACTTTCCTATACTTCCAGTATACTCTGGGAACGATTTCTTCAAAGAGTAATTTGGGTTTCCCTTTAGAAGCCTCTTCTGCAAATTTTTGCGGATTGGTGTGCTTGGTTTGTTTGCCTACCGCTGTTTTGATAGGTTTCGCTTTATGTGTTGGTGTATTGGCGGCAGAGGTCTCGGTATGATGGATCTCGAATTCTTTATTGTGGTCATTGTATAATTCCAGGGCTTCCAATTGCCCTGTGTCCAGGCATCTGATGAGGTATACTCCATCTTTATCTAGATCCGTAGAAGGTAGAGCCGATAGCAGTCCACCACCTTCCTGAGTCTCCTCTTTGGCCCACTTTGGTGCCATATAATGCTTGGCTTGGGTCCTGAGGTAGTACTCCAGTTTGGTTCCTTTGGGTTGCGAAACCCAGATTTTAGGTATTATCCGTGGATGTGGTACTGTAGTGTTTCCCACTTTCCGGCCTAGCTGTTCTTTTCCTGGCTTTTGCAATGGGATTGAGTAATCACGCTCTTGTGGTACTGTCACTATGCGCCGTATCTCTGGTTCTTGTCATCCTGGTTTCCTAAAAGCCCTCTTGGCTTTAACTGATCCTCCTGTGATACTGCAGGATAGTGGGCACCTAGTAAAGTGTAATCCGTAAGCATGCCAGTTGACTTCTGGGTTGTGCTCTAACAACCAGTCAGTTCCTAAAATGATGTCTTCTCTCCCAATTTTGGCTATATAGAATTTTGCCAATTCGGTGTGTGCTCCCCCTCCTTTGCCTAGAACTCGTAGTTTTAGTTCTGCGAATCTTGTGATGGGTCCTCCTTTGAACTCTGTGTTCTGGACCATTGATGAGCATGCACCCACACTAGGGTCTGAGGAAGGTATTTGGGAAGCTTTGGGAAGATACTGAACAGCACTCAACAAGTACCGAAGACACCAACTATTACCGAACATGGTTGGTCCCTACCTGACCGATGGCAAGCCACCGAAGGACATTCAGCAGCACTTGGGTCAGTTCACCCACACTTCACGTACTTACCATGACCGCACAGGAGGATTACAATAAGTGTTTACGAGATTGGAGCCAGTATTCTATATCAGCCGATGTCCTCCGTGAGTCGGTTGGTCCTTATTGCTTATCTTCCCGACTTCCACATGGTTGGTCAAACGTGATTGTGCATCATTACTTGGCTACCCTGGTTGTACATTACGTCTTCTTTATTTTCATTGGTTCTCCAACGCCTGTTTCTGCTACCTATGCTCGGGCGATGGATCCCAAACGTTCGGGATTCCGCCATCGCTGATTAACTTTTACCTTGTCACCTTCAGAACCCATATGGACATCTCACCTACCTTCTTATCTTCTCTGATTGCTAAGGCTTGGCGCTCATTCGACATTTACTCTCATTTCTTGTTTAATATTTTACTTAGGGGCTCTGTTTACTATAAAAACCCTACATACAACTCTGGAATAAACCAGCTTTCGCACCCCACAGTTCAGAGCTTATTTGCACTTGTCCCAACTATCGAAATCATCTCCATCGACTCCCGAAAACTTGTCATCTTTGTCATTTGGCCTTGTTTGCGTTCGTACTTGTCTCTTCGCTCGTACCCCTTGTCCCCCCTTGTATATTGTCAGAGTCCCATGTGGCTCTTGAAGCACGTAGTTGTCGGTCGTGACACTACTTCCTTGTTACTGACCAAATCGCCAACACGACCGACCGAACGTTCGGTCGGTGTTCGGTGTAGTCCTAAAACCGCTGGGGCACTATAATCTCACACTCCTCGCTGCTTCTCAGTGCACCATCAATTTCTAAAGTCATCACTAACAGTTTCTTGTGTATTAGATACTAGCTCCAGCACCCCTGCACCAGAGGTTGTTTTGGTGTTGTGCTCAGCACTTAGAGCCACCTCTAGCGTATCATTTTGGAGCCCACCGCGAGGGGTTAGTATTCAAAATTACCTCAAGGTATCTACGTTGCTCATCCCGACCAACAGCGGAGTGCGAAGAACGACAAACAGTTATTGACAGCTTCAATACTCAGGAAACATCTGCTGACCAAAGTTTGTTTGGAGATGCCAATATCGTCCCAGAATATCTATCCCACCATCATTATCTTGATCTCGAATCCTCGCCATTGCTCTTGCCACCACCCGACTCCACTTTTTTCTTAACCCCACCATTGTTGCCAAACTGATCGCTACTCCCGCCGATTTCCCCCATCCTCGATCTTGTGCTTTTAGAACAATCACCCCCGTCTCCTATACCATCTCACCACGACTCCATCTCTCCATTAATCCCATGCAGCCCTGCCTTCTGGACGCCGACCATCCGATTGATGTCACTAGAATGCTCCTTTGAACCAGCAACTCCATCCCCAATCACCTTAGCAAACAATATCTTTTCTCCCGCCTTTGACTTTCTCACTATGGCAACCCCATCCATGCCCACTCATAGAGATCGAATGGCCCCGACCTTTGACCCCCATCAACCCTGCAAATTGAGACGATATTTTGCCGATCTAGACTTCCACTTCGGTCAGTCAGCGATAGAAGATGACCAGGAAAAGAAGAAACATGCTTGCCGATTCCTGGACGTCGACACCTGCGAGCTTTGGGAATTGCTCACCACTTTCACCGATGCCCCAAAGACATTCAAGGAGTTCTACAAAGAAGTCTACAGATTGTACCCTGGATCGGAGGAAGAGCGCAAATGGTCGGTATCAGATATGGACAAGCTAGTTGGCAAAACAAGCAGGGTTGGCATCTTGTCTCTCAGCGAACTCGGCAACTATCATCGGTGATTCCTGGCGATCACGGTATTCCTCCTCAGCAAGGCACAAATCTTGGTTGCCAAACAAGGACACGCCTTCACTAGAGGATTCCAACTGGAGCTATGGGCAAGAATCTTGCAATGTCTACAACTCAAGTTCCCCGATCATTTCCCAGACAACCCATACAACCTCCAAGACATCCACAACGCGGCCCGATTCATCTTGCATGGCACCACGTCCGCCTACAGCATGACCTCTACTGACATCTCTCGAGCAGCCCCCGCCGCGCTGCCCACCAACGCAATCAAAGCCGAAGACCTGGCAACCATGTTCGAATGACTCACTGACACCTTTGTCAAGGCCATCACAGCTTAAGGGATGTCCAGGCCAGCCGATCAACCATCCCGACAACCAGGACAAGGCGGCGACAACTGCATGTTCTGTGGCAGTCCTGAACACTTTATGTGCACCTGTCCTGAGGTCACCGAATACATTCGGATTGGCAAATGCAAGCGGAATATTGAGGGGAAGGTTGTATTGTCAAGTGGGGCATTCGTACCCAGAGAAATCACAGGTATTAATCTGAAGGACCGAGTTGACGAATGGCATCGCAGGAATCTGGGACAGTTGGCGACTGAATAGATGATGTTCACAGTAAACGCAGCGCCAACTCACCCAATGACGATAGCCTCCCGTCACAATTTCCCCTCATTGCTGGATGTCACCCCGACTTACCAACTCACCAACGTCCAGCGAATCACAAGCCTTGAATGCAAACTATTTGCACTCCGAACGTAGGACATTTGGCACTTTCTCCTTCACCGGCTCCCAAACAACAAGTGAGGACTGAAACTCCCAAACCCAAACCCCAACCGATGACCCCGACTCAGTGACCGCCCCCAGTGCCAGCCAAGGACGATGCTCCGATCCACCCATACACCAAAGCCCAGGATGCCGCCTATGCACTACCACACAAATGCAACATGGGGGCCCCGGCAAAGATACCATTGGCAAAGAAGGATGCTCTGGCCTACAAAACTATGGTGCCAATCTACGATGAGAAGGTAGCAGCTGAGGTCTACAATAGGACAATGGCCACTCAGGTGACGCTTACCCAGTGCAAACTACTCTCTCTCTCCGCCAAAGTCCGTTCACAGGTCAGAGAAGCCACATTGGCTCGCCGATCGCCTGCCAGAGACGCCAGCAATGTTTGGACCTTCTACCAAGATGCCAATCTACCCTACGCCATTGACGATCTCGAACCACCGGCTCGACTGACCGTCTCCTCCTTTGTCAATGTCCTGCACCAACTGGAAACACCCCCGCCAGGTGCAACCATCATCCCCAACATGTATGAAACGTACCTGAAGAATCTACAGCCCGATCAGGTTCCTCAGCCGTTGATAGTTGCTAAAGAATCATCCGCCCTAAGGTCCATCGTTCCCCTCGTTGATCATCAGCAGGAAGTTGAATGCATCATCGACCCGGTGATGAGCGCGCCACCTCTCTAAGCGCTGGGACCCCGTTTTTCGCAGTTCTACGAGCACTAGCATGCTGACCTCAGGGGATACCCCAGAGACCGCCAGGTGGCCCCGCCACCCAGAGCGATTCCCTCCGATGCCCACTACGACCTCAGCATTATGGTATCGGGCTGATGCGGTCTTGTCTCGCACCCCCCAGTCATCGCCTCGCATTATCTCACTCGGCCCCCACGCGTATCGCACGATGACCTCGAGCCTGCTGCACCCGCAAAGACCTCGCCAAGCTCTCGCCATATGCCTTGCAAGCATCGACCGCACGGACCGCACCGCGAGCAGCTCTGCGACGCGATATCGCAGAGAACTTTATCGTGTGCGCTTTTTGGGTAGTACAGGTCCCGTGATCCATTGCCCCTCCACCTTCCTAGAGTTTACCTCGTCTCACCGCTACACCTCTTTACTAAATATCGCTTTGTCTTGCGACCGCGACACGACAGAACCTTGCGGTCTGCGAGCACCTCTGCGCATGGGTTTTTCTTTATCTTTCTATGTTACGGTCTTGGCGCGATATCAATTTACTTTACCTTACGAGTTCACGTTTACTATACTTACTTCGACTTACTATAAATACCTGCCTACGACACTGCAATACACCAGTTTTGAACACCCCTCTGTTTAGGGCTCAACTTTGCACGAAGATCTCGCTCATATTACATCACACCGACATCGCACTCGCTCGATTTAGTACTCGTCGCCTTCATCGCCACTATTGTCAGGGCCTTTGTCGCTGCCCTTGAAGTTGCCTCAGTCACTCGCTCCTTGGCCAATGATATCTCGATATCTCGTAGTATGTATATCGCACCCTGTCTCGCAACTTACAAGGGTCCCTCAATATTTGTAGTGAAGTCAGCTCCCCGCCTACCCTGTGTTTAGTGGTGTGTTTTGTGTTGTGTTTTTGCACGCAGAGCCATCGCAAGTGCATCACCGGGTTTACAAGTCATTGCCATGTTGGAAGGCATTTGCAACAAACTGGTGCTCATCTATGACCCTGAAATTGTCCTCAATATGCAGTCGGCGAATGGCGAAATCGACCAATCCTTGGGCCTTGCACGCAACATTCCATTCCTCATCGGTGACATTACCCTGTACCTCCAAGTCCACATCATTCGGAACCCAGCCTACGACGTTCTCCTCAGTCGGCCCTTTGACATCCTCACCGAAAGTATTATCAAGAATTATTTGAATGAAGACCAGACGATCACCATCAGTGACCCAAACACAGGACGACGAGCCACCATTCTGACAATCCGGCGAGGACCCCCTCGAGTTCTTCACTAGAGACAAGCGGGTTTTCGCGACTCAATAAATTGATCCGAGATCAAAAAGAAGTTGCACTGATCATTTCCACCGATCATGATACCCCCAATTTCCCACTTATCGAAGCGTCCTCAGATTTCCATTCTCTATCTCCCTCTCGTCACAATTTTTGTCTCAAGTACATTATGGCCTCCGATTTGGGGCCCGAAAATCATCTCAAAAACAATCTCGATTCCGCTATGTCGTCCCTATTCTCCTCAGTCATCCCTATTTCTCGCCATTCCACTAATATCGCCAATCCAGTCACCATCTTTGCCACCAAGCGCAAGTACAAACCGGTCGCTCAGAAAACATGACCAGTCTTGGCCAACCTCCCCAAAAAGTTCCGAATCATTCGGAACATCCTTGGTGATCCTCTTGCTACCCTTCCGACACTGACACCAAACCCCCCACCTTTCACGCTGACTGGCAGATACACAGCCGAATGACGCGACCTCATTGACAAAGTCCACTCAGACAACTTCCTTTGGCCCGCCAAACGACAGCTCATGCACCATTTTATGTGTCTACAAGAGATGGGATTTGCCTGGGATGATTCGGACTGTGAACGTTTCTGTGAAGAATTCTTTCCTCTAGTCAATATGCCGGTGGTCGAACACAAGCCCTGGGTACAATGCAACATTCCAATTCTACCAGGCATCTACGATGAAGTGTGCCGACTTATCAAAACTAAGATCGCCGCTGGAGTCTATGAGCCGTCGAATTCATCCTACCGATCACACTGGTTTACAGTCATCAAGAAGACAAATAGCACCTCCACTGGGACTAAACTCCGAATTGTTCACAGCCTCGAACCCCTGAACGCCGTTACCATCCAGCATTCAGGTGTGCCCCCATATACCAATCAGATCGCTGAACAGTTTGCAGCTTGCGCTTGTGGCGGCATTCTGGATCTCTACGTTGGCTATGACAAACGAGGGCTCGCCGAATCATCTCGCAACTTCACCACATTCCAGACCCCATTCGGCGCCCACCGACTTGTCACCCTGCCTATGGGATGGACAAATTCGGTCCTGATCTTCCACGACGACATCACCCACATCCTCTAGCCAGAAATTCCAGACACCACCATTCCTTTCATTGACGATGTTCCGATTCAGGGCCTGCTGGCCCAATACGAACTGCTGAACGGAGGCTTCGAGACGCATCCCGACAACTCTGGCATACAGCGGTTTGTGTTGGAACATTTTCAAGGCCTCAATTAGGTGGTCCAGTAGATGAAGTACAGCGGAGGAACATTTTCGGGACACAAGGCGACACTCTGCTCAGCTGAAATCACGGTGGTCGGCCATCGCTGCACGTACAAAGGAAGATTACCCAACGAGTCTAGGGTAGAGTCAATTATGAAGTGGGGACCTTGCAGGGATCTCTCGGATGTTCGGGCATTTCTGGGGACGATCGGTGTCATTCGGATCTTCATTCGGAATTTTGCACACCGGGCGCATGCACTAACTATGTTAATGTGCAAAGATTTTCCATTCGTGTTTGGCCCAGACCAGATAGCAGCCCAAGATGATCTCCGGTCAGCACTGCTCAAACCACCAGCCCTTCGGCCAATCAACTATGGGTCAGCAGCCAACGTCATCCTCGCCGTCGATACCTCACAAATCGCGGTCAGCTTCCACCTCTGCCAATGCGCACTCAACAATCCACAGGTTTGGTACTATGCCCAATTTGGCTCCATCACCCTTAATGACCGCAAATCGTGATTCTCCCAGCCGAAGCTCGAACTCTACGGTCTCTTTCGCGCCCTCAGATCGCTCAAAATGTATCTCATTGGCATTCAGAATCTGATAGAGTAGATGCATGCTACACCAAGGGCATGCTCACTAACCCGGATCTAGAACCCAGCGCCAGCATCAATCGGTGGATTGTCTCCATCCTCACCTTCCATTTCACACTTGTCCACATCCCCGGCACCTCGCACGGCCCCAATGGACTCTCCCGACGACCACCACAACCCGCCGACCAACCCGAACCTAAAGACAACTTTGACAACTAGATCGACAATCTCTATGGCTTCCTCCATCAGATCAACAACATGTTCCCCACCTCCATATCAACTTCGACCACCGCCATCCTCACCTCCTTGCTCATAGGTGACCCCTCAACCAATACCAACTCCGACGATGAAGGCCTAACTATCGACTATTTGGATATCCCAAGATTGCAAAAAGCTTTGGAAGCCAAAGAACACCTATGGTTGGTCCGCGACTGGCACCGAACATTGGTTCAGCCCCCCTCTCTCTCCGACTCTGAATATGCCACCTTCCTATGATATTGCACTGAGTTCTTTATTGCAGCCGACAAGCTATGGAGAAAAGACTTGCACGGACGACACAAGATCGTTGCAGCCCCCTCTAGCTGGATCACAATTCTCACTGCTGCCCACGACAATGTTGCTCACAAGGGATTCTACGCCATGACCACCTTAATCGCTGAACACTTCTGGGGGCCGCATATGTGGCAAGATATTTCCTGGTTTGTTCGAACCTGTCACCTTTGCCAGATTTGCCAGACTCGCAACGTCCTTATTCCCCCGACCGTCGCCACACCTGTACCACTCTTCGTGAAGATGTATATGGATACCATGCACATGCCAACCGCCAGCGGTTTCAAGTATCTTGTTCAAGGCCACTGTCCGGTATCACACTATCCCAAATTCTGGATGCTGCGACGTGAGACAAGTTCAGCTCTTGCCAACTGGATCTTCAAGGATATCCTATGCCAATAGGAAACACTGGTAGAGATTGTCTCCGACAATGGACCAGCATTCGTCAAGGCGCTCGACCAGCTAGCAAAGAAGTACCACGTTTGGCACATTTGCATCTTGGGCTACAATTCTTGCACCGAATGACTTCACTTTGACATTTGGCAGGCTCTGTTCAAGGCAGTTGACGGAGATCAGGCCAAGTGGAATTGTGCAGCTCATTTTGTATTCTGGGCTGATTGCATTACTGTTCGGCGCCGAATGGGTTGCTCGCCATACTTCGCAGTGACTGGAACCCATCCCCTCCTTCCCCTCGACATTGCCAAAGCCACCTACCTCCTGCCACTGCCAACCACAACCCTCAGCACCACCGACCTCATCGCCCGACATGCCATTGCCTTGCAGAAACACCGATCAGACCTTGCCCACCTTCGCAGCTTGGTAGTCGGCACCCAAGTCCCGGCCGCCATCCAATTTGAACAACAGCATTTGGCCACCCTTTGCGACTTCAATTTCTACCAAGGCTTGCTTGTCCTGATGCGCAACACAGCCATAGAAAAGGCACTCAATCAGAAGATGCATCCACAGTATTTAGGGCCATTGCTAGTAATTTCTAGGAATCGGGGAGGAGCATATATTTTGGCCAAACTCGACGGATCAGTTTTTGATCGGCCAGTTGCAGCATTCCGCATTATTCCTTATTTTGCTTGCAGGTCTCTGAAGCTCGCTGACCTTGAAGCCCTCCTCGACATCTCGCAGGAACACCTTTAGGCCATGGAAGATTCCCGATCAAGAGACAATGACGCCAAAGACGACAATACCAATGAAGATACCAACACTAGCTCAGTCCGATTGGCGGAGGACAATGACGCAGCTTTGGCAACCTCCAACTAGATCCCACCCTGCCACCCTTCGCTCTCTTCAGTCGGTGACTGGGGACAGTCACGATCTCAGTAGGGAGGAGGATTCACAGATATACCCATTCCTTATTTTCATTTATTCATCACAGACATAGACTGACGCCCAATCATTTCCACATCTTTTAGTACTTTTGCCACCGATTGATTGCCGACCAAATATTTGGCCCATCATTTTCCCATCATTCCTTCAAGTACCAAGTCGCATTGAAGACTTCTTCCAATTTGTGCAAAACCATAGGGTTTTATGCCTGTGATGACATACTGAGGCTTCCCCTAATATTCCAATTTATTTTCTTCATTTCCGCCAAATGCTTTGCTTACAAGTACATTCACACAGTTATTTCGCCGACTGATTTCCTGAACAACACCTCTAGTCTTTGACAAATGTCTCATTCAAACTAGGACAGTCCCTTTCACTATTATGTTACATTTTACTGTATGACAGACACCTTGAAACTATTCCACACATCGGGCACAAAGTCGCCCAACACAGACATGTCCGAATCCTCGGCATCCAACGAGTCTTCCACCAGCACCACATCCGAAACCACCAAGCCACCCGAACGTGCCTCAATACTTGCCAACTCACCCTGCCACATCGCGATCGAACGCGCCAGCGAGGCACGCATACCTTCGGCCACAGCAATGTGGTACCAAAGCTCTGATGCGATGCCTTGTGCAACAACAGAAGACAGGCGAGATGAGTCGGACAGAGCAGGGACAACAAAGGAGTGGGGATGGGAAGGGGCCAGGATGGTATGAGTGGAGGTTGGAAGACACTGGACTGGCTTCCGAGCCCGAACAGCTAGACAATACAATGAGCCCACATCCCAGCAATGTCCGACCGATTACTCACCTTTTGTCCACATGATAATCTCACCAACAGATCGTTCAGGGACGACTACCTCGACCTTGCGCTTTTTGGTCGGGCGCGATGGTTCCTGTCACGAACGGCTGTTTGAGACAAGGAGATCCTAGGCCACAAACAATACTGAAGAGTTTTAGAAGGAGTCGAGGGACTGATCAGACTAATGTCTTGGAATCAGAGGAGACTGTGTGAACAGCAGTCCTTAGATTGGACAGAAGTGGATAGCCTAAGGCTTCCACCCTGCGCCGCAGTATCTATAAATATGTACAAACAGGAGCACGGACCAAGTATCAATGGAGCGGGAACGCAAGGTATGGTCGGGAGAAAGGTCCTACGAGTCCTTATCAAGAAGGTGGGAAAAGTAGGTAAACATAAGCAAGGTGTTTCGTAACATTACCCCCCCCTCTAGGCCGTCAGTGCCAGAGACGGTAAGTAATAGTCCAGGAAAAACATAAGCAATGTATGTAAACCGAGTCATACAAAATAATACTTAGGGCACAGATTCTCGCTGCCCACAGTCGAGTTATGATGCGATAGCTCTTGAGTACGGATGTCATAATACCCCACCTCATTACCAACCATGCAGGGACTGCGTTCTAGAGCCAAGTCCCTCGTCTCATCATGGCGGTGGGTACCGGCCCAATGGATTCGAACCATCGTTTGCCCTGGCAGTTTTACATCATACCAGACATCAGCATCTCGTTCTTTAAGCACCTCGAGGGCGGAGGACAATGGGTTGGGTGTCAGACTCACTGGAGTCATATTCGACAAAGGGGAGGGGAGGTCAAGTTCAGGTAGAGGAGCGGATTACTCCCAGTCGCGCGGGTATGACATGGTAGCGAGGTGAAATCTGTGTGAATCTATAGACACCCCCCCCTGCCGTGTTCTATGGGATAAGCCCCCGGCATTGGGCGAAGCGGTGCTCCATTTGAGGCCGAAGACGAGGCACAAGATACCACAGCCATGGTAGGCATGTGATATTCAGTGACGGGGGTGATGTCGTCGGCAGGATGAAAGGAGTCTTGGAGGTGTGTAGTTTGATTCAAACCCATAAGCCTTCTCTCGCCTGCATTGATTTGGGCGATGAGCATTCCTTCCCGGATCTGCAGAGCCCTCTGCACGTGTCAGACAAAGCTCCTCTCCTCTTCCAAAATCTCTAATGCCCTTTGTATTTCCGGTCGTGTGGGTCCTGACACAAACTCAGTGTTCGGTGTTCCTTTGATGAGTCCCATCATGTAGGCGATGGGAGTCGTCAGGTACGTCTCTCTATCGGGGAATATGATCCCCTCACCCTGTGTGCGGATAAGGGGTGGTGGAGAGGGAGAGCGGGAAGGTGAGGGTCTGTCGAAGTCCTCTGTGAGTCGTCTGATCATCTTGTCTTCTCATCATTTGTTCTTGTCCAGTCCCTCCAGATACTTGCTGAATCCTTCTTCTGCTTCCTGCACTGCTTGTTCTTTGTCCATGTCCCATGGTACAGATCGTTCTTCTACTATAGACATCTCAGAAGTCGAGGGAATAGAGGGTTCAGTGGAGGGTGTTTCTTTGTAAGGTTGTTCGACAAGAGTGTCTTCAGAGGAGAGGTAGATGGATTCACTGGAAGACATGTTTGCTGGAGGAGTGAATAAGCAATTGAAGGGATGAGGGAATTGCAATGATTGAATTTGGGTTTTTATACATTTCGGACTTTGTTTGTTCGATGTTTGCGAGGGCTGCTCGTAGTGGTAAGTTATGATGTCGCGCGTCGTATGCTTCTAAAAGTTCTTTAGCATTCCCCAGGTTTGCTCTTGTGGCCCATTCATCCGCAGAGCTCGGGTATCCTTTCCAGTGTACTAGGTATTGATACCCATGTCCTTGTTTCCTCTTGTCAAGAATTTCTTCGACTTCATATTCTTCCTGTCCGTCTATGAGGTCAGGTGGTGGTTGTTTGAAGTTGGGGCCGTGTGCAGCTGTTTCTTGATAAGGTAAGATTAACGAGGCGTGGAATACGGGGTGTATTTTCCATGTTGGCGGAAGCTTTAATTTGTACATCACCGGTCCTAGTTTGCTTTCTATTTCAAATGGTCCATGCAGTTTCGGGGCTAGTTTGTCTTTCAGGTGCATGGTGGTGATATTTTTTCCCGATAGCCAAACCTTCTGTCCTGCTTCTAATTTGACTTCATTTTTGGCTGTTTTCCTTTTCATTAGTTCAGCTGCAACTTCTAGGCTGACCTTCATTTCTTGCCGTAATTGTTCTAGCCTTTCCAACCTTTGTTCTACGCCTGGGATATCGGATCTTGGCGTGATCGGAGGTATGAAGGTTGGATTATAGCCATACATGAGTTCAAATGGCGATTGGTGAGTTGCTGAATGTTCCCTGACGTTGTGTGTGAATTCTGCATATGGCAATAATTCAGGCCAATTCGTTTGTTCGTAGTTGCAGAATGCTCGTAGGTACTGTTCTAGCTCTTGATTGACTCTTTCCGTTTCTCCATCTATTTCTGGGTGGTAGGCGGTTGATAGTGCTGTTGTTACTCCTAGCTTTTTCCATAGTTCCTTTGTGAATCTGGCCGCAAATTGTGTACCTCTACCGGATACAATCTTCTTTGGAAGTCCATATTGTTTCCAGATGTTTTTCATATAGAGGTCAGCGGTTCCTTCGGTGTCTATGGTTTTATCATATGGGGTGTAAACAATGCCCTTGGTGCTTCTGTCTACCGTTACGTGAATGGCATTATACGGTCTTACTTGGGGAAGATCCGTAATGAAGTCCATTGTGACTGTTTGCCAGGGTCCTTCTGGTATTTCGTTTGGAATAAGCGGGGTGCGTGTGGGATGCATGATGTTTTTGGTATATTAACATGTTGCGCATCCCGTTACGTATTCCTTTATGAATGTGGACATTCCTGGCCACCAGAAGTTGTCTGATACTAGGACATAGGTCTTCCATCTTCCTGGGTGTCCAGCTGCTGGTGAATCATGGTATATTTTTGTGATTTGTCTTGTAAGTTCATCGTCTGGCAGAACGTATATTTTTCCTCTATGCCAGATAAGGTTGTCTTCGTAATTCCACTCTTGTAAGCCTTTTGAGAGTGCTCTAGGTCCTGATGCTTTGATAAGCTCCATTGCTTCCATTACTTCTCTATCTTTAGCCGTGACTTCTTTTAGCTTTCGTCTCAGCTGGCTGTCAAGCATTTCAACTGTTCCTTGTCCTGTCACACTTTTAACAAACATTTGGGGTTGTAGTATCACCTGATCTTTGTTGTCAGATTTTACCCCCTCTTTTAGGCCTGGACGCCTGGACAGAGCATCAGGTCAGTGGGTAATGCCTGGTTTATGGATGAGGGTGAAGTCAAAGTGGGAGAGGAAGAGTGACCAACGTGCTTGGCAGTGGGAAAGAGTTCTTGCAGTAGAGAAGTACAGGAGGTTCTTGTGGTTGGACCAAATCTTGAACGGGTGTCGTGCACCTTCGAGGTACATGCGCCAGTGATCGAGGGCATGTATAACAGCAAGTAGCTCCTTATCGAAGATATCGTAATTCCGCTCGGCTGCATTGAAAGATTTGGACAGGTAAGCGACAGAGTGCCATCCGTCGTTGGGCGTTTCTTGCGATAGGATGGCGCCAGAAGTGAAGTCCGACGCATCGGTCTCAAGGTGGAATGGGTGATTACCATCTGGGTAGATAAGGATGGGAGTAGATGTGAAGCAATGCTTCAACTGTTCAAAGGCTTTGTTCCTCTCATGAGTCCACTCAAATGGTACATCCTTCTTTGTGAGGTCATTGAGAGGTCGTGCCGTGGTAGCGAAGTCTTTGATGAATCTGCAATAGAAGTTTCCAAAGCCGAGGAAAGACTGTACTTCTTTCAGGTTCTTCAGGGTTGGCCAGGTGGCGATTCCATCAACCTTGACCGGGTCCATGGATATATTATCCGCGGAAATGATAAATCCGAGGTATTCGACTGTGTCCGTCTCAAAGGTGCATTTAGAAGGCTTCAGGAACAAGTTGTTGTCCAAAAGTATTTGCATGACCTGGGTTGTCATGCACCTATGCTCTTCAATGGTCTTCGTGAACACCAGGATGTCATCCATGTAGACTGCAAGGACTTGCGCAACAATGAGGTCATGGAAGATGATGTTCATCATAGTTTGAAAGGTGGCAGGCGAGTTGCAAAGACCAAAGAACATTACAAGGCATTCAAACAGGCCGAATTTAGTCATGAAGGCTGTCTTCCATTTGTCACCTTCTGCTATTCGAACGTTATTATACCTCCATTTGACATCAAACTTGGAGAAGATCCTTGCTTTTGATTTGGCAATGGTTCTTATTACGTCATCAATCAGGGGCAGTGGGTATTTGTTTTTTACTGTCCACTCATTCAGTCTCTGATAATCTTGAACCGGTCATAAGCTTCCTTCCTTCTTTTTTACAGAGAAGAAGGGTGACGCTTGTGGGGATTTGGATATTCTAATGGTTCCCTGCTTCAAGTGTTCTTGAAGCATCTCGTGTAGCTGGTCTTCTTCTTCTTCTGTCAAGGGGTATAGCTTACATCCCGTCAGTTCCCATCCTGGTTTCATATCGATTTTATGGTCCCATCGTGAATGTTCTGGAAGTCGTTGCGAAGCTTCCTGGCTGAAGATTTTGGCAAATTGTTTAAGAACGTATGCCGGGACTATTTCCTCAATAGGTCGTTCCGTTTTTGTTTTGTTTGCTTTTTCTGCCAGTTGTTGTGACTTGTTTCCGAAGGAACCAATGTGAATTGCTTCGAGGGGATGCACTTCTAGTGGATCTTGGTAATACCATTCTTCGTAGAATTCGGAAAAGAAGGTGTCTTCAGTTTTGTTTTCTTCCAAATCATCTTCTATTCTGGAATACCCAACTGTTCTGTTTTTTCTTCGCTGGGTAGGTGCTAATGCTTGTATGGTGAATTTAGGTCGGCTGACTAGGCACGTGGTAGCGCAAGTTGAAAACGTGAGACTATTCTTTACCCAATTGATTTGTGGGTTATGTTCATGTAGCCAATCCGTTCCTAGGATTATATTTTCTCCTCCTAGGTTAACGGCCAGTAATTCGCATCGTTCATCGTAATAATCGCCTTCTTCGTTCGTCATTCTCATAAGCAGGCAGGCTTTGTTGGTGATTTTTCCTCCATCATTGGCTGTTCCGTCCACGTTAAACACAGGGATAGGTTTGTTGATTTTCTGCATCAGTATGTTATTGTCCAAACAAAATTGTTTGTTGATGAGAAGCCCTTCTGCTCCTGAATCAATTAATACTCGGGCTTTGGTGGTTCCCTCTTTGTGTTTCAAGTGCACGTTTATCCTCATAGATGATTTCTGATTGGATTTAGTAGGCCGTATGAATGTTTTTGCAGGGGGATTTAGAGTGGGTCTACGGTACACCGGAGCCGTAGGCCTATTTAAAAATCCCATTCTTTCCGCTTGCTTATCTTGCTTAACTCCTGAAGGAGTGCTACCTGCTCATCCCATCTCATCTTTCCTATAACCCTTTGGATTTCTTCTCGGCTAATCTCAGGCTCCTCCTCATGTACAGGTGCATCTGGTCCAGGTGTGTGGGCTTGGCGAGCTGCGAGTCTGGCCCGGAACGGGTTAGTCGTCGCCATGCTTCTACCTTGCGCCGTAGTGCCTCCCTAAGTACTGCCTGGAGTTCCTGCTGAGAGCGCTCGGCCATAGCCGCTTCCTCCGCCTCCCATCCTGCTACTGGCCTGAGCTGAGTGGTTCCCCACCGTTCTACTACCCTGTTGAACATGTCCAGTTGACCCTTCATATACCCTAGACGAACCCCTGACAGGGCATTGATTTGCCATATGTCCTTTCTGGCGACAGTAAAAGCACCCACCCTCCATCCTGAGGCGGTTGTGCTCTTTGTCTATAAGGGTCATTCGGACTGTATCTATGGCCATGGGGACGACAGAGTTGTTCATAGATGATGGAGCGTTAGAGGAGTTGTAACGGAAGGGGTTGTTTGGTCGAACAGCAGCAGAGGGTATGGAGCTTTTTATGCTCTGTAGCTCCCTCCATTGGTTATCGAATCTTCGGGTGTATTTTACCCAATCATCCATGGTTGTCGGCATATCAGGGAGTCTGTAGATTTGTTTGAGAATTTCTGGGTGTATGGCTCGGTGGAAATAATCAACGGTAGATTTGAGATTGAATCCACTTTCTCCTGCCGTCATGAGGTAGTCCATGACGAACTCGTCTGCTGATCGCTTTCCCATTCTCATCGTGAATAATTTCTGTCTCGCCTTCTGTTCAAGACTTTCATCTTTGAATGCGACGGCTAATTCTTTCAAGAAGTCTTTGAACGTTCCCCATGTTTTTTTGGTTTCCGTTGCTTTGTACTCCCGGAGTTCTCTGTCAAAGTAGTATTTTTGTGCAAACAGTGAAGCTGTTCCTTCCCTCATATACGACAGGACCATGAGTGTCTTGTTCATGTCCGTGTCATACTTGGTCGGGTTGGCTAGAATGTACATATGACATTCATAGATCCATTCTCTGTACTTTGACCTCATTCCATCGAAGTCTTTCGGCTTGTTTCCTTTATCTGATATTTCGTCTTCGTCGTCTGTGGTTCCTGTGATCGGTAAGGGGTTTGGTTGTGGATTCGGATTTGGGTTCAGATTCGGTTGACTCGGTCCTGCTACAGGCTCTGGGTCTTCTTCGTCGATTGGGGTTAATACTCCTATGGGAATTGGGGTGTCTTTGATATCTTCTTTAGGGATATCGACTGGTGATAAGACAGGTCTCGTTCGGGTGGGGGAGTCAATGGTTCTGAGGGGTGCTTTCCTATCTTCCCAGGGTACTAGCGGGGCGTCAACTGTTTTTCCGCTATTCTGTCCTCCTACGTAGACCCAATTTCCCTTGGAAGTTCTTCTGATGGGTTGTCCAAAGTGGACAAATGTATCTGCGTGTTTCAGGTAGTCGGTTCCATGCGGAACTCACCCTACGTGTTTTCCTAAACCTTGGGAAGTCGTCTTGTTAGATCAAAGAGCCCGCGCTAGTCTTGACCTGATCAAGGTTCGAGGGTCAAGGCAACAGCAGCTCTTCCTAGTCGGGTATAGTATTTCTGCTTCTGGTATAGTACCGTACGTAACGTCGAGTGCAATTGTTTTGGTCATACCTCCACTGGGTTGATTACCAGATAGAAGTATTTTACAACCTGAAACGACCCACACCGAAGTGGAATCGTCCAATTGTTCGCTTGAAGTGTTATGATCACGTTCTGTCGGGCCTTAACGGCGGTCTATGCTGACACGATCATCACAAATATCAAGCAGCCTCACAAGGTGAGGCGTACAACAAGGTACAGATAATAACCTTGGTCATCCACTCCCAATGGATCACCTTATCGTTGGTCGAGTATCACAAGCCATATTGCGACAGGCATAGAATGCCGCCTTACAAACTACTCACACACCGGGCATCAAGCTCCTAGTCTTTCCTGGCTGGAAGGAGACGAACGGAGAAGCACAAGAGTAGTCGTTATTGAGAGAGACGGCTTAGAGAATACCTATGGATACATATACGGTATTCTCACACCCTATTTCCTAATGTAGTATAAAAGGCCCATAGAGTAGGCTGAGGTTCTTCAGTCTATTCTCTTCGTTCTCCTGTATCTTCACATACAGGACTCTTCACTGTAGTCTTCCGACTACAGCTTCCATTGCTGCATCGCAATACATCTCTGGCTCCTGTGCTACACATACAGTCGAGACCATCGTTCCACACATCCTCCTCGAGTGACCTAGGGAAGAACCTCCTACTCTTGGGGTTACTGAACGAGCAGTTCATAACACGAAGTGTATAGTAACTATTACGGTCGACGGACGTTTGTCTTTTGGGACTGCCTAACGCCGTATGTAACTAGCCAGTGTTCTGCTGCAAGGAAAGGGTGGAGTCGGATTTGTGTGAGGAGAGGCTATCCAGATGTCACAAACGGCTGTTCAAGACAAGGAGATCCTAGGCCACAAACAATACTGAAGAGTTTTAGAAGGAGTCGAGGGACTGATCAGACTAATGTCTTGGAATCAGAGGAGACTGTGTGAGCAGCAGTCCTTAGATTGGACAGAAGTGGATAGCCTAAGGCTTCCACCCTGCGCTGCAGTATCTATAAATATGTACAAACAGGAGCACGGACCAAGTATCAATGGAGCGGGAACGTGAGGTATGGCCGGGAGAAAGGTCCTACAAGTCCTTATCAAGAAGGTGGGAAAAGTAGGTAAACATAAGCAAGGCGTTTCGTAACAGTTCCGGCTCCCCAACTTTTCGGCCGCCTTCGCTTTCGACTTCCCTTTCCCCTTGGACTTTCCCTTGTTCAGCATCCACCCAGGTTGGAAGCTGCAGCCTTTCTGCTCCTTGGAGCACTTTGTACACAAAACTTGGCCGGACCTCGTGTAGCACCAAAAGGCCACAGTGGTAAACTCAGTCACGCACCTTTGGCAGGCATAGTCGGCCTGGAAGAAGGAGGATCAGCAAGCAATGAGAGGCAGCAAAAGGGAGGGCTGCAGTGCGCTTCGTAGGTAGCGAACTCGATTGTCGGCCGGTGGTTTCAGCTGGAGGGCTCAGGCATGGAAAAGGAGCGCGAGGGCTCCCAGTTTCTTGTGCGTACATTTCTTTCTCCACACGCCGAAACCCCTCTTCCCTCCCCCCCCTTTCGTCCCCCCTTTCTCTACAAGCATAGTGGTCATGTCGTCGGATATTCGCTGACCTCGGCACATTTGTAGACTGAAATTTGTGCCGGTATAACAACATGGGTACGTCTTGTCTTTCGCTCTACCGCTCGCCGGCGATCTAACGGATGATGACTTTGCAGGCAGCGATGGCGTACATTGTAAGTCCCCCCCTCCTTACCGACAACAACCATGAAGCCCTCTCCCCCCCCCCTCGTATCTTCATCAACATCTCATTCCTACTTTCCTTGGTCTCGCTCCCCCTGCCTTTTCAGCATCCCCCGTAAACCTCTCTGACCCCTAACCTGTCCGCCAGATCTCCGTAAACGTGTCCATCATCTCTGACTTTGGTGGAACGTGTGTTTGTGCGACCAACGACGGATGTGTCACGGATGCCGCCTATGCTCTCTGCGTGACCGAGGTCCGGAGAGACCTCATCACGTCGATGGCCGCCGTGTCTGCCCTCGCGAGCGGGCTCATGGGTTTCTTCGCAAACCTGCCGGTCGGGATGGCGCCTGGGCTGGGGTTGAACGCTTACGTGTGTGGGCTCCAGGATTTTGATGACGCGCGATGGGGAGTGCTGACCTTGACTTGGGGGATGGCAGTTCACATACTCTATCGTCGGGTTCCATGGGACGGGACTGATCTCGTACCGCGAGGCCCTCGTGGCTGTCTTTATGGAAGGGTGCGTCTTGTTCCTCATCCGGCTGTTCCCCGCACGCCACCCCAATCTGGGCGACATCTAGTCTCGCACGCTGTTGCCCCGATTGGGATGGCGCTTGTCTCCAATGTGGCTTCTGGATTGTCGCGCGTGACGTCGAGCACGTGTTCTTGCGTCGAGCGGACGTGCTAACGCTTCCGTTCTGATCTTCTCTACAGTGCCAGACAAGCAAAGTCAACAATTTTAGTTAACTAATTTTCCCACCCTCCGGAACCACCGGAATTGATGCGCATTCAGTAAATGAGCATTTTGAGCTCCTTACAAGCAAAATCCCATGAGCCAATCTCACGTAAATTACATTTTATTGATTTTGACCCTTAAAAAATTGGCCAACCCCCAAATTAAATGGTAGGGCCTCAGAAATAGCATCAATCAACTCCATTTTTCTATCTGAGTTCAATGGTAGTCTTAAATAGTCCCAAAAAAAATTACCAAGGCTGTAATGGTGGTGCATTTCCAAACCATGACATACTGGGCTACTAAATTATGTAGCATTCAAAGCATCCCCAAGGGCATCCTCCAAGAAAGAAACATGCATTGAAAATTCAGCATCTTCACAAAAAATCAATCCACTCGAGAAACTCACCTGGATTTGAGTCAGACACTGAAAAAGACATGGAGGATATTGATCTTGATAATCTATAAGACAGAGACTAGCTCTCATCTATGAAAAACCTGGTGAGTTCTTAAAAAACTTAGATTATAATCAATACTGGATAGACCATGAATAGCAGGTCCACATAAATCACACTCACATGATCCTATTATCAACAATAAGTCAGTGCATATGCAGCAATGCCTGGAGTGGAAGTGAGTGTGAGAGGGCCAGACAAAGTTCAATGGTTATTTTTTAGTAAGCAAGATGACAACCAAGAATAGCAAGGCAAAGGGATTGCAGCAGACTCTTACAGAATGTAGCTTTGATGTCTACACAATAAAGGCCAAGTATTCTCCAATTTGTCCTTTTAAGAGTGACACTTGCTATATAGCCTGACTCCTGACCAGGCAGGATGATTTTTTTTTTTCAAGAATCCCTTCTTGAGCAGAAATCAAAAGCTTAAGGTCACATCTGCATCTTTCTTCTGAAGTTCCATTGTGAGCTTAATCCTATTGAGATGGTCAGTTTCTTCAGTCTTTTCTTTTATGGCATGTTCATATTATTCAGTACTAAGGCTAGTACAAGCATTCGTACTGTAAAATTTACAAAGTCAAATTTGAGGATGCAAAGAAAGTGGCACAGCAATGCCTCAATAAGTGTCCTGTCAAGGTGATTCACCAATTTTTTTAATCAATCATGGTGGTTTATGGATGCATATCATAAGGGGCTTATAGGGAAAGTGGCAGAGTGGGCTGTATGCAAACAGAAGTCACATAGAAGGGTTGGGCAGTGCACAATGATGTCTGTTGATGCAATGCTGACCTGAGATTGACTCAGATTGACTCTGATGCCATTTTAGGCCTAATTACATTTTGTTTTTTTCGCTCAAAAAATTGGCCACCCCCATTTTACCGTGGGAAATTCCATAAAGGGCATTTTTTGACTCCTTTTGCTTCCCTGAGTCCGAATCTGAACTCAGTTTGTCCCAAAAGATTCCGCCTGGGGAGTTAGCAAAATTGTCGACTTTGCTTGTCCGGCACTGTAGCTGGATCTTCTTCATTCTCTCTCTCCTCGGCCTCCGCCAATGGCTCGCCCGCGTCATGCCGCAATCACTGGTCATGGCCGTCGGCACTGGCATCGGCCTCTTCATCGCGTGCGTCGTCTCTCGTCCCTCGTCCCTCTTTTACCACACCCATACTCACGCGCCTTTGCACAGCTTCATCGGATTGTGTACGTGAACCCATTTTTCAGAATCGGCTATCGCATTCTGACCTTGAGGCTCTCTCCCGCCCATTGTATTTTGCGTACTGCTTGATTTTTTTCAGCGTCCGGCGGACTCGGCGTCGTTGGCGGTGACACCACAAATTTCGTCGGCCTAGGCGGGTGCTTGCCCGAAAACTACGTCAGCGACGATCTTGCGGGATACTGTGCGCGCGGCGTGCTCAGGAACCCCACGGTCTGGTTGGGCATCTTTGTCGGCGGGTGCGTTGGTCTCTGCCGCCTGGCGCTCTTTCCCCGCCCACTGACTTGACCCTTCGGATTAGCTTCTTAACCGTCTTCCTCATGATGTACCGCGTCAAGGGTGCGATCTTGATCGGCATCTTCCTCACCTCCATCATCTCCTGGCCGCGCCCGACCGCGGTCACCTTCTTCCCGCACACGTCCGCCGGCGACGAGGCATTCGACTTTTTCAAGCAGGTCGTCGCCTTCCGGCCCCTCAACCGCATCGGCAACGCCATCGACTACAACTACGGCAACGGGCACGTGTGGTACGCGCTCATCACCATGCTGTACGTCGATATCCTCGACACGTCCGGTACGCTGTACTCCATGGCCAAGTTCGCCGGGTTGAGAGACCCTGTGACGCTTGACTTTGAGAGGAGCACGGTGGCGTATTGCGTGGACGCGTTCTCGATCAGTATGGGCGCCTTGATGGGAACAAGTCCGGTCACGGCGTTCATCGAGAGCGCAACGGGTATCTCTGGTGCGTGCCCCACCCTGATTGCAAATGGACCCGTGAAGCATATCTGACGCGCTCGATGTCTCAAGAGGGCGGCAAGACGGGCATCACTGCGATCGTGACGGGCATCATGTTCCTGGTCTCGGTCTTCTTCGCACCCATCTTCGCGTCCATCCCGTCCTGGGCTACCGGCGGCGCGCTCGTCATCGTCGGCACGCTCATGATCCGCAACGTGCGCGATATCAACTGGGACTACATCGGCGACGCCGTTCCCGCGTTCTTGACGATCATCATCATCCCGTTGACATACAAGTACGCGTCTCATATGTTCCTCCTCTGCTCGGTGTTGACTGAAGTCTCTTCGCGACACAGTATCGCGTATGGAGTCATCGCGGGTATCATCTCGTATCTCATCCTGAATGGCATCCCCTGGATTCTTCGCAAGGTCTCCAACGACCGCATCCTGCCTCCAACAT